CCCTAACCCTCTATATAGTAGACTAATATAAGCTATAAAAATTAACTTAGAAAGCTCTTAGTTAAAGAGTTATTAGTTATCTTTATCTTTATAGACTTCTTACTTTACTAGAAGAAAATATATATATAACCTTAAGTATTATTTTATAATATTATAGTTCTATTTTTTAGCTTTAAAATAAGCCTCTATACGTCTCTCTAGCTCTACTATAGAGATCGTTATTAAGTATTCTTTATAACCCTAGGGCCTAACCCTAGAGTTATAGGCTCCGGCCGAGCTCTAACTTAAAACCCTTATAACTTAAGCTATACTTAACCGAATTAGGTAATTTTTAGTTCTATAGATAGCCCTTTAGCTATAGTATCTTATATAAAATTATTAGTATAGGGTCCTATAGTAGAAATCGAGGGTACTAAGTAGTTTAAGATAACTTAGTACCCTTCTAACAAAAAAACTTGGTACTCTGAGAGAGTACTAAGTTTACTAGATATAGATTTAACTTAGGGTTAGATGCCGTCCTCGCAATAGTTGGCGTGTGAAAATAGAGAGTAGCTTTAATTTAAAATAGGAGTACACTCGCATATACATTAACGATATACTTCTCAAAAGCGAGATTACTTTCCGAGCTAAGACTTAGCTTACAACTTTGCATATAAACATCCTCGACGGCAATATACTTTTCGACGATACTGGAAATATCCTCGATCCCATTTAAGACGTCCTGATGCTGCGTCGAGTCGTTTAGAATTAACGTAAGAATCACACAAACCCCTACCCAGGGGATTCCAACACTGTTCGGCTATTAGTACATGTTTTCAATCGATGATTTAAAGACAGAGGAAATGGCCTCTTAGTAGATGTTGAGCAAGAAAGCTCGGCTCCACGATTCTCAAAACCAAGGGGATAAATACTGACTAAATAGGATCCATCTGCGCAATTGCCGTCCCCAAAGCCGAGAAAGTTTGCACAAACTTCACAATTCTCTCTGCTTAGTCTCGGATGACGATACTTTTCTTATCCCACTGCAGAACCCATAGTTTTTGCTTCATGACACTAATCTGTTTCTGTACATTTTCTTTCATTTTTTGAGAGAAACTTACATTATTTGCTTTACTGGAACAGTGTTCGTCCAAGATAGCTTCGTACTTAATGAAAAGCTCCTTATGCTTCTCAGAATTGAGCATTTGAGTATACTACTTCTCCCAAAGCCCAGCACTGGACATTGATATCTTAGGGTCAAGAATTCCGGGCACCGCTTCTTCGTCTTTGAATTCTTCCCTCTGGGTACGAGGGGAGACTTTCGCTGTTTTACGTGTATCGGCCAGTGCTGACAGAATAGTAACAGTAGGCGTTTTTGGGTCTTCTCTTTTCGCAGCAGAGGCTTGGGGGTCAGTTAGTCTCGCAGACGTAGGCTGCTCATTGTCCTGGATATCAGAGAAGGAAGCATCCTGAACGTCTGATGCCTGTGCGTTCTCGGGCTTCCCCTCAACCGGGACTGATCGGACGGCATCTGTGGGCTTCAAGCGCTGGGATATATCGACCGACGTAGTTGTCTGGACTGTTGTCGCCCACCGAGTAGTATTCTCTTGAGATTGCGTGTAGGGTGGGGGAGGAGGCTCGGACTTCGTAATCACTTCACTCGTCTGGCGGGCCGTCCCGCACGAAGCTTGGCTAGAACTGGGCCCCGCTGCTGCTTCCTTGGAGGGTTGACATGACCGCTCTTCTTTCGGAAAGACCTTGGGCAGCCATCTTGGCCTCTTTCGATGCTTTTAGTGGTCCATCATCTCCGATTGTCTTTCACCAGTTTGAACTCCAAACTGGCGTATGTCTGAAATTTGGTCACGCAAGCTAAGCCCCTCACTGATTTACCGAACTAAACCCGAGTAACACGAGAATAGTACTTGTATAACCCCGCAAATATTTTTTACATGTAGTTAATACGAGAGCAGTTTGTTATAATATTGACCTAATAGTTTAAATTTAAGGTTCTTGCCCTTTTCACATCACTTGTCATATAAAAAGACTAACGGAAGTAGAAAAGCGAAAGTGCTTTTGGTACTAAAACTATTTGTAAACACTTTAAGATAATTGCCGACCACGTTAAAGCGTATGACCCATTTTTTCTGATCTTAAATTTCGCCTGTTTTAAAATTTCGAGTTCTCGGCTTTTTACAATGACCACATCGTGGTTTTAGTATACTACATGGAATAGCACCCTGGGCAGAACAAGCGGAGATCAATTTGGGACCGAAACAGAGATTGAAATGGTGGCAGGACATCGTAATCATAACTTCAATATTAGTACGCCCATTTGGTACTCTTTATGGAAATATAGATCTTGGTTTGAACTGCACTGGCGACCTACAATCGCAATGCTGCTAGCAATGGAACCAGTATTTTACTATATACTACGCGGATGAGAAACTACACACTGGGGCTGTATTTAAAATCAAAGGTAAGATAATTGAGGACCAAGAGAAGAGGCAAGAATTAAATCTTAAACAAGCTAGTGAAGTTAGCTTCAGCCTATTACCATCGAGGGCGTGGGTAGAGAACATGAATGGCCTTGTGGAGGTGTTGAAAGCGAGAAGCTGGTTGGAATCAAATGGGATACCAAAAATCCTAGGCCACAAACAGAACATGAAAGATACGACCCGCCTCTAGATACCAAAAGTAACCAACCCTAAAAATCTTAGCTAAGATGAGAAGCCACTGCTTACATTCTGATAACCGAATTTTGTCGCGTAAGCGAATAAGTCCACTTCCCTTAGATACTGAATCCTAACACTTAGCGAAGAAATCAGCCCTTTCGTAAGCAGGCCAACAAAAGAGCTCGAAATCAATCCTTCCAAAACCTTACATATTGAGTAACTGCCTTTCTTACTTTCAGCTTTCCCGTGGCTTGGGAATTGAGAGATTTGCATCGAATCACAAGCATCGATTCAGAACTCTGCGATTCTGAAGGATTCGAATTCTGAAATATAGGTTACATCGAATCTGAGAGCATGATGCTTTTGATTCTGGCAACGTCTTCCGCCATATGACGGTGGAGGTATCTCACCGGATAATGACACGATTACAAAAGTTCAACCTTTCGAGAACTGAGGGCTGATACTGTAGCGTAGCCGTGTAATTTATGATAAAAAGGACGATCTTCCCTTTAGAAATAATCCCTTTGCTCCTATCATCCACATCACCCAAAATCATTCCAAGCAGTCATACCACCATCAACACTAATACTTGACACAAAATGCCTGCGTCAGTAGAACACGGAGTGGTCGTGGAAAACGGGATTGAAATCTCAATGGCCACTACCAGCAACGAAAATGAAACTGGGGGTATCACCAGCGAAGGTCCAACCCTCTGGACCACCAATTTGTCCGATTGCACAGCAATCGCAACATTTGATCCAGAAGCCGAGTCAGAACAAGTTGCACGCACATTGTATCATTCACGCGGCGGACGCGTTCCGGACGCTTGGTATACGAACCTCGCCAGAATGCTGGACGGAGAGCACACAACGTATGTTATAGTAGCAAACGGCGATGTTTCAGGAGACGAAGCATCATTCGAGTCTGTCCATTTGACGCCGCTCAAGGAGAACTTGATTGCGGCAATGGAAAATGAGGGGAAGGAAACTGGGAACTTGGTTTTCAAGATCTTCTTCTCGGAGGCTGAGGACGATGACCAAAAAAGGCTGGTACGCCGCTCGTTTGCCATTGATGAATCTGGGTTCTGGGGCAGGGCTGCCGTAGGTGGTGATGTGCCTAGTAAATTCGACGATGGAAACAAAGCAGCCGACCATCACAATGATAATGATGAAGAACAAGGAGAAGCTGGAGATAATGACGCCGAAGGAGGAGAGGAGGAAGAAGATGATTTTGGGAACGATCAGACAAACGAGTCTGACGATGAGAAAGCAGGTGATGCGGCAGTAGATGCGAGAGGAGAAGGAGATCCAGCAGAGGAGCAATATGATTCTGGAGATAAAGAGGAGGACCAACCAACTGAAGCATCCGAAGAGAAAGAGGACAAGGAGGATGTTGAGGAAGAGTAAATTTGTCGGCTCAAAGCTAACGACTCCGAACCGTCAAGTTTAGCTTTTCTAGTTATAGCTATTGGCTTCGTAAATGGTATAATATAACTGTAGCTGGATATTCAGCCTATCAAACTTCAAATTAGATTGACATGCAGTCGTTGAAACTGCTTTTGAGGGTGATAGTTGCTAAATTCGCTCAAGTGAAACAAGACTTGTAGCTTGCTATTCTTTGACTGTTATAGAATATTTGAAAAATGAGTACAAATTCACGCTTGCTGTTCCCTAAGATTTACTTCAAAAGAGAGTCGGAATTGAAGCGAGTTCGACCAACAATCCGTCAACCTACAAAAGCCGCGGATATTTGTGCTGTTCTGCACCAATCTATTTACAAGAGAATCCCTCGTCTTCAGTAGCATTCCCAACCCCATCATAAGTCTGTTTTAGCGGATATGGACACAGTGTTCGCTTCACTAGTCGAGTAGTGCCTACAAATGTTGCATTCAGTACATCTGGAGCAGTCCCATTCTCAACCCAGGAGCGCATTGCGTCAAAGGTATCAGCTGGATAAGCGCCATTTCCACCGAAGCAATGCCCGAGACCTGGGGAGAAGAACATCCTATAAAAGTCATGGATGTTTGGGCCGAGCTCAGTCACATTGTTGAAGTACCGCTTGGTCGAATCGGGAGTGATAATGCCGTCAGAATATTGAGGTCAGCCTTTTTTCCTCGAGATATGTCACAGCATGTACTGAAATGAACTCACCAATCCATGATATCCAACTATTTTCCCTCCACGAGCACGAAAAGCTGACAGATCAGGATCATTGGTATCCAACACAGACGAGTACTCATTAACGGAAGCGTGCAAGAGACGTTCAAAATCTCCGCGTGTCAGTTTTGACAGATCAACACTCTCATCCTTGAGGACAAATTTTCTTACCCACGGAGTAAGAAGTGGAAGTGGAGCCGCCACGCAAGTCCCGTTACTTGAGCATGTGGTGAGAGCAATCGTTCCTCCTGAAGTCGCGTCCGTAGACGATAAAGTAGTACATTTTTTTGGTCCGGGGAAGAGCGAACTATTGCTTGATCCCATCGGCCCTTCCCAGATAGCCTGAGTGAGAATCGATGCTCCCATCGAGATGGTAACATTCCGACCGATTTCGGTGCATTGGATTGTGGTGCCAACAAGAGTCGTAGGATCAAAAGCGCAGTCGTCGGGCTCTGTAATGAGCCCATCAACGAGGCCGTCATTACCATCACAAGCGGTGACAGCTGCTTGGGTTATAGCTTGCATCTCGCACGGTCGAGGAAATGTCTTCATGGTATTCATGAGAATATAAGGCCAAAGGTCTCCCACGAAGAGCTCGCTCCAGTTGATGGCTGGAGCAGAAGCTACAATACCGTCGAAAGCTTCAGGGAATCTTTGGGCAAGCATCATGCCTTGACGTCCTCCCTGTGAGCAACCATTCCAGTATGAGAATACAGGCGGTGTACCATAATAGCTGTTAACACGGTCTTTCCCAAGTATAGAGAGGTCGTTCAGAGATGTTGATGCAAGATTTTGAAGCAGATAGCGGTTTGTATTTCCCGGACTCAAGAGTCCCCAAGTCGGAGAGTCAGAAGTTCCCAGGCCAGAATCAGTTGATAAAGAGGCATAGCCTTCGCCTATTGCGGCTTCCATTCCTGCCAAAGCAACAAGATTGAGACCAGTCTGCCATCCGTTGCCACCAATGGCTTGCATCCGTCCGTTCCAGTCCTTAGTTGGTAAAAACATCTGCACTTTGACCTTGTCGTTCTGGCCTGGGTGAGTGTAGGCGATAGAAACATTACAAATGTTGGCCGCTTGGACATCGACGGCTCCGTGGTTTGCGTACAATCCAAATCCTACCGTCCGACTGAAGTCATTGACCTGATTGGCTTCGAGGGACAGAATCTCAGCTCCAAAGAGTACTGGTGAAGGGATGCTTAAAGGGGAGCATGCTACCACCGCGGCAGAATTGAAAGCCATGGCGAAACTATTGAAATGATTGTGAAGGGCTTAAGGATCCCCGGAATGAATGCTCTGGGTATATTATCAATGTTCCAGCACGAAGTATTTAAACATCTTTGCTACAACAAAGCCACGGCCATGTTGTCATGCGGACGAAAGAACTCGCCGAGTTGCATGGCGTCGTGGACGGTGGATATGGGCATTAACTTAATAAGATTGACTTCCAAGAAAAGAAAGATGGCTGAGCAGGAAGTTTTGAACTAGGCGTAGATCGCATATCATGGTTGCTTTGGTGGACGGGCTTTTATCGACAACAAGACTCAAGTAGACCGAAGAGTGATAAAACTTCGCACAACTTTAACATGTGCGAGTACGAAGTGCTCGTAAAGTGAGAAAGCTATGATTGGTCGAAACAGCCGGTTACGCGTATACAGTCAAGACTAGTCCTCTGACCCTAACCAACACGTCGGACCGATCACTGGATACGTTGGATTTTACCGAATACGCGTGTTCTCAAACCGGTGCCAAAATAAGCGTAATGGAACAACGTGCGGCGTTAGAAGCTTTTTGATTTTTGCGTTATCTGAAGATAATTACCTGCTTCTCGTATGGTTTACAAATCTTCGAAGCCCCTCAAGAGTAAATATCGTCTATTCACTTCGAGAATACGAGGTATGCGGCCCCGCCGAACACATAAAAAGTCACGGAATGGCTGTCTAAAATGTAAAGTTCGTCACATCAAGGTACATTTTCCCGCTTACTCCATCTACCAGCTCCTTTGTAGTTGTTTTATCTTGTTCGTATACATAGGTAGGGTGTCGTTGTTGTTCCCTGGTTAGCTCTGGCTTGTCGGTCAGTTTTGGGAGTAGCAAGCTTGGTTTATTTTAATTGGCATAAACTTTCCTACGGCTTAGGATGCTGGTCAATTCTCCCAAGGCAACGAGATAATTTGTTGCAGCTTTTATCACAGTAGATTGAATGCACGCAAATTCTTTGGGTTCATGAAACATCTTTACAGAAAACCATGCTGATTTTCTCGCGGCAGTGTGATGAAAGCAAGCCTTCGTGTCTAAATTGTGTAACAGCAGAGCTTTGTTGTAAATATCAGCCTGGCGATCCCACTTTCCCCCCGGGACCTAGTCGACAAACAACTGCAGTAAATGATCAAGTGCAAAACTCGTACCCTGCGCCAGAACCCCAAAGTAGTAATGCAAGTACGACCAGAGCCACCAGCCATGCATCCTCTCCACGGTCTCCTGTTCTGAGGGGAGCAAATATGCTTGACTTGGAGCTATTACATCACATGTCGAGTGTTACATGCAAAGAGTTTCGATCGGATGGGAATGAGGCTAGAGAAGCATTTGATACAGCAATTAGTTACGCCCTTGATGCTCCATTTCTCATGCACGAGCTTCTTGCAATCAGCGCTCTACACCTGAGCACATTACGGCCAAACTGGGGACAATTTTACCACAACAAAGCGACCGAACTTCAAACTCACGCTGTGTCGCTTTACACCAATCAAACCGACAGTGGTAATCCCACGAGCCATATAGCAGCCTTTATGTTCTCATCGTACTTGGGCATCCACGTTCTCTTTGACACACTACTTTTTCGACCTACAGATTTCACCCTCTTTGTCGAGCGCTTTGTTGGTTACCTTCGGCTCCACCGTGGCGTTAAGGTGGTTTCAACAGGTGCCTGGAGTCTGCTCCGAGAAACCGAACTTCGATCTTTGCTAAGCGAAGGAAACCATCAGGAAGCAGTGGGCAAAGAATGTGATGCGATACATTCACTTTCGCTATCTGCTGATATGAGTCAAATCTCAATTGAGAAATGTTTGGAAGCAGTCACACATCTTCAGTGGGTGTTCGATTGTTCTGGCTGGCGGGATAAAGGCAAAGGAGATACGGGCGAAGGGGATTTGATATTTTCTTGGCCAGTCACTATATCCCTAGAGTTCACGAATTTACTTTTACAGAACAGACCAGAAGCATTATCTATCTTGGCGCATTATGCTGTATTACTTCACTGGAGGCGCGATCTGTGGATTGTTAGGGATGGCGGAAGGTTCTTGATAGAGTCGATCAAAAGATATCTTGGGTCGTTTTGGGAACAGTGGCTAGCGTTCCCCATAAGCGCTTTGCAAGTAGTAGATGATTAACAGACAGTCATTAATTTAATGTACTTTATGGCCATTTGGCGTTTATTGCTTTTGCTCTCGTGGACAGGCTCAGAGCTGGATCCATCGCTGATCAAAACCATCACGATGTATGATCTAAGGCATAAGTTTATACCTCAACCTGCAAGCTGAAAGAGTGGATTTGGCCAAGTAATAATATAGACCCAAGTAGTTGCAACTATTCCAGCGCTATATATACAGGTTCTATCAATATCGCTTGTTAGACAAAATGGTATCAGAAGATTCCTGAATTTCAAGCGGAAAGTCCATACACTCTTTCGCGGAAATATTATCCGGGTATCTGAGGTACACAAACACCAAGGCCATAAGCATTGGAATTGTATCAAACAAATACAACGTCCACTCATGAGTCAAGGGATATCCATCCGTTCCCATTACATACTCCACAATTCTGAATATTGACCTTAAAACAATCAACACGCTGACACCATATAACATGTACATAGTTTTGATCCAAGTTTGGTCAATAGCATACGATCTTGCAGTTCGGGTTCGGCGTAGTCGTATGTGGAAGATAAAAGCAGTATATCCAAACAAAGTAAATGATATGAGTTGAATAACGAGTCCAGCGACGGTCATGTATGTCCCGAGTTTACCCAACGTTGGGTTTGTCGCGGCTATAACCTGTAGACCAGAAGAGGCACCCTGGACCAAAAATGAGAAAACATCACCGCCAACGAAGACTCGTGTCAGTAAGCGATGCTTCACTATCGAAAGGCGTTCTCCCTGAACAAGTATGATAATTCGTCCGAGGCACATATAGATTGTTGCGGCGAATAGAGCAGGCGGCAGGAGGATGAAGGCGCTCTGAATTATATATGGCATAAGTTTGTTTGTTTTATTAGCAGCACCGGCGCGAGCACAGTAGCTGATGAATTCCACTGAAAATAATAATCAGTACAAGCGAAACGGTTTCGTCGAAAGAAGGCTTACTGAAGCACCCAATTACGAAAGAGGAGCAAAACCATGTACGTGATTTGAACATCCGCCAGCTAAGGAGACCCTGCAACGACAAACCATAGGATGGCAGCGATAGCGGATGCAGCCGTACTTGGAACATATTTCCAAACGTAATATCCGCTCTTGAGAGGAAGAAGTTCAGGCATCGAAGTGTGTTTAGATGAGCAGGACTCGGTCCAGCACCTTTGGAATCCGAGAGGAAATCAAATGTTTAATATGGCGTGGGAATCAGTAGAGTTTTGATAGCAGAGAAGTGCTTGAGAATTGCGGGTTTAACATGTACCAAGAGGTTGAACAAGAACTGAATCACACACATTTGTTTGCAGGCTGCAGTATTCACCCTTTATATAAGAACTACCATGGCCGAACTCAAATCTAGAAACGTGCCGAGCATGGACTCTTGTTGACTCGTTGGGTTGAGACAGAAAAAAAACCCCTGTCAAACCCACTATACAATCCGATACGCGTATTCAAGGTCATCGGTTTGCCGAACACGCGGATAGTTGTGGTAGAGTGGGCCATGGAATTTTCAATGCCGGTTAATTCTGGATCTTGCATCGCTATTCTTTGCGTCTAGGTACTTGCTGGGAGATTTTAAACGATTCAAGATCGACTGGAGAAACGACAATGAGTGATGATTCTGCATTTGATTGATCCGGCTTGAGAATGCCTGTCTTCAATTCTAACTTCATCGGGGTCTATGATTGGATTGTTTGTTTCATAGGAGAAATGCTGCAAAGAGCATACGATAGTAGATTATGTGAGATTTTATACCTTCAGCAATCACACATATCTAATAAAACTCACGTGCCTCGAGGATGGTTAAAATATGTTCCGATTTGCATCACAACAAGCTTAGTTCACAACTTAATTTTGAAAATTTTGGGCCAACGGATATGAAAGGTATTTATGGTAAAAGCTCTCACCAGAGTTCTGGAAGAATTGTATCATCTCTGGATGTGTAAATTGAAAAGACTGGACTTTGGCTGTTGGTGTGTACAGAAACATAGTATTCTAGCACGGGCTTCGTAGGTGAAGCGAGGAGGCTGGGGGAAACGCCTAGAAACGAGACATCATACAGCCTTGAGCCTCCAACGGTGCGACAACCAACAACGGATCATGAACTTTTGCCTCAACGCATAGATATACCGCACAATCGAGCCACCGACCTTTCTTTAAATTTGACAGTCTCTAGGTCCCTGGGTGTTCCATGTTCTGTGCTAGAAGTTCTTGACAGAATCTTCTCCGCAGACCACCATTTTCTTCAAGGCAAGACCTGCGGCGCCTCACCAGACCGCAAGTACTTGACAAAGCGATAAGATATGAGGAAGAGAAGTCTTGGTACACGCCAGAGAGATTTTATCCTGTCCGTTTAAGGGAACTTTTCAACGAAAGATATCAAGTAATTGGGAAGCTTGGATTTGGCGCTTATTCTACCGTCTGGCTGTGTCGGGATTTGCAGTATGGGTTATAAAATGAAATTAGCAAATACGAGACTAACGACCATATAGCAATAGTAGATATGTTTGCGTCAAAGTTGCTGAGGCGAACTCACGACAAGCCGCAAGAGAGTTAGCCTCATATAAGCGAATGGGTTCAATTTCATGCGGGGCTGAAATGCGTTCGAACATTGTTAGATTCCTTTCTTATCAATACTGCTACTGGCAACCATATATGCATGGTTCACAAGCCTCTCGGGATGCGAATTTCTGACTTTCAAGAGCTTATCACTGGCGAGAAGTTACCGCAAGAGATCTTGAAACTGACGTTGAAGCACTTACTTCTTGCTCTCGATTTTCTGCACTCAGAATGTGATATTGCGCATACCGGTGAGCTCTTCCACTCATTTACCTTAAATCTTTTTATGTTATTTTTCTATCATACTCATGCCTGAAGTGGCGATCTCTAATAGGTCTTAGATATCCAGGCTAAGAACATTCTTATGAGAATCGAGGATGAAACAGTGCTTAGCGAGTTTGAAGAAGCAGAAATTCAAGACCCAAGTCCCAGGAAGATTGACGGAAAGCGCACGATATATACCTCGCGACAACTTCGTATCAGAGGAAGTGTTGGTCGTCCAGTACTGTGCGACTTTGGTGAAGCTCGTGTTGGCGATAAGAAGTTCACCGAAGATATACAGCCTTTTCTGTACCGCGCACCAGAAGTCTTGCTCCGGAAACCATGGGGGAAGAAGGTCGATATCTGGAATCTTGGGGTTTTGGTTAGTAGTTGCATCATTGTCAACTCGGGCAATATATTGACAAGTCACAGACATGGGAGCTTTCTTAGGGTAAACTTTTGTTTGATGGACGAGACATCAACGATGAAACCACCAATGAAGTGCACTTCGCGGAAATGATCGCTTTGCTTGGGAGTCCACCACAAGGAGTTTTGGATGGCAGTCCAATAATCAGAGAGTTCTTTGACAACAATGGTAAATCAATTCCTCACAAGTATTGTGAGCAAACAACTAAATAATTCCAGGAAATTGGATTGACGAGACGAAAGTCCCTTCGAAATCACTCGAAGAAATGGAGGAGAATTTGACGGGCCGCGATCAAGTAGCTTTCCTCGAATTCATGCGCAAAATGCTGCGATGGGTGCCTGAAGACCGCATGTCAGCTTTTGACCTTTTGGATGATCCGTGGCTGAACTCCTAAACCAAGAGTTTTGCCTCCACACGCACTGCCTCTGGCCATGGATCGCAGCATGCCAACAAGTCAATAACTATATGATCAGCAGTGATCGGGTATAGACTTCATGATGCAAAATGGTGGTGCTGATTATTCTCGAGCATAACACCTCGAGCGGCGGCATCCAAACCTGCGTCATCACCATCACACAAATTCAAAAGAACCTTCTCTCATTCTATGCTTTCATTCCTCTGTATGCGGCCCATCCCATTCTTCCTGTAGCTCCACTCTGTCGCCTTACCGGGTATTCGGAAGAGGACTGGCTAAACAAGACTCCGATCTCATTCCATGAAATTTGACTTGAAAGCTTTCTGTCTCAGGTTACCATGACACAACATTTGCATTCACAGGAAAACTTCAACCATGTCTTTTTACATAGTCTAGGGCGAAAATCTAGATCGTCTTACTTAACTGTTTCGTTGTGGAGTTTGGTTTCAAGCAATACATCGAGGTATCAACAACACTTTAAATGATATGTTTCGTCACTGTTCTTGTACAACTGCATATCACTCTTGCTCCTTTTTAAATCTCACTAAATATAACTCTCTACGAATTGGTCTTGAATGTGCTTCTAGCTGTCAACATCCGGAACCGTATAAATCTTGACCGAAACGTCGGTTTTAGCATACTACAAATGTTACCGCCGATGCTAAATGCTGAGACTGGAGAATATTCAACACAAGAAATGGCGCTAACGCTGAGATTGTACGTACTTTCTACAAAGTCTGCCACCCAGAGAGCCTAATGCATGCTGCCTGCTGCCTCGTTCCCTCGCTAAAGGAGGAAGATCGCATCCGTCATGATCAGCAAAACACCTACTAAATAGGGGACCGATGGATGAGGAACAAATAGCCAACAGCTTCTCGTGCTTCTTATGTGTTCCTTTTCTCGAAACACAGACTCAAGCTGCCAAACATGACGGACGACATACTCACATCGACCATGTTCAACATTTTCCGCTCATCCCTCCGCATCCTCTGCCAACTGAACGAGATATCCAGTTGCTTGAATCCATGGATCATCACACAAAGCTGTTCTGGGGATGTCGCAATCACCGCACTGGATATGAACCCGCTCTATTCAACGGTTGGATATGCCATATTGGAGCCTCTTTTTACAACTCAGCTTCAGGGTGCAACCGCACCGGCATGGAGTATTCTGATCGGAATGTCGTCGTTGCACATTACATGGACGTTGAACGCCATGGTCAGCTATACCAACCTCCTTCTCATCATACGATTGAAGGGATTAGATTCGTCGGATGAATCGATCGATCCACCTACATTTGTAGCACGATACCGAAGGGACAATCCAACGATCCAGTTTTTCACCATGCTGAGTTTCATCCTTCCTATCATTTCAGCATCCATAATCAACGCCTGCCTATTGACATTATACGATAGCGTCTGTGTCGAATCTTTGAGTCAGCAGCCCCGCATTTATCTAGTGGCACCCATTGCGTTGATTTTCTTCTTCACTTGCCGGTATGCCGACTACGAGATCTGCAGAAAGACGGGCCGAGGTCGACCTTCCTATATGGCGGTCTTGTTGCAGCTATGCTTGTGTGGGATTAGATTTTGTGTGAGAGCAGCGGTCGGGCTTTTACCATTTATGCCTTTCCAAGAAATGGATCATGCTGAGAGGGAACGATTGTATGGATCTGATCGTTATGTGTGGACAGAGGAGGGGCGGAGGGGAAAGTTTTTTACGACTTCATGGGCACTTGCCTTGGTCGGCGCTCCTTTGACGATATTTGGATATCTTTTGATGACGCAGTGGCCGAAAGAGATAGATAGAATTGAGCCAGTTCCTGGAATGTCAATCAGCGAGAAGGCAGACAACTGATGATTTGTAGCACTCGGTCATAGTGCTTTCAACTATGGTCTAGAGACTGTTCGTCAGTTCCTACGCAATACGACGTTTGGTAGCTTGACTTATACTCAACAACCTCTTGATAACTCTGTCCTCAGTTAGTCGAAGTTTAACTCGATTTTAAGATAGTTTCAAAGCGACACTCCAGAGACATTCGAAATGCGTCTGGGTTAATGACCTCAAGCACAACCTTTTAACACGCTCTATTAAAATCCGAATGGTGTAAATTGTTTTCTCAATTAGCCACGTCTTCTTCTATTGCTAGAAGCGTCTCATACCCACCAGTCTTATGTTTATAGCTTCACATTGTATCACCTCCTCCTCACGCCATTAGACGTGGAACCCACGTCGTAAATACATGCAAAAGCAAACAAGAAATACAACAGTCTTAGTTGAAAAGCCTCATTCTTTCCAGCTTCGAGCACTCGAAAAAAGTATGGCTGATTTTGATGGTGTGGAAAGATTTTGTTTGCAAGATTAGGTGTATTGTGAATTTAACAGGCCTAACCTAGGACTCACCATGTTGATTGTCTAACACCAGGCTGCCTTCTTCTAATGTGTGAGACTTATCGACAACGATTTCCTTTGCATACCCTAAGACACCTGACCTTGTAAGGTTAGATTGGAGTGAATTCCACTTGAGAAACATGTTCTGTGAGCAAGTTTCCCACACAGCTCATAAAATGAACATAGAATCAATTATTCTTTCCCTCCGAAAGACTTGATTAAAAAGCAACGCATCATATCCTAGACATCTTCCCTCCGAGTCCATACAAAACAAGCTGCTCGGGATGATTCTCAAGGGACCTCGTGTGCAACTTCAATTCCATTATCCTCTTTTCAATAACTTCATACTCGTCTATGAACCACAGAAAAGAACGCGTATGTTCCTGGCGGCTTGACCAGCCATAGTCATCGAGCATGGCAGACCATTTTGCGAAGATCTCGTGATAGGATAGTCGGTGAACGGGGTGCATCTGGTAAATATGCTTGCCAGAAGGAACGACGTCTAAGGAATCAGTGGAAGGGCGGCTGCTTCTCACCATCTGCTCCCAGGAAAGTGATTCATCTCCCACTTTATTGCTCATGTTTTCAATCATGTACCAGCCTTCCTTCACAATCTCGTCGAAGGAGTTTATCTCATAATCAGCGAACTTCTTCCAGAACGCCAGCAGTTGCCTGCCTAATTCCTCTTCTCCCACAGCGTCAGCAAAACATCGATTACATCTCCAATTCTCGAACGGCGGAGCCCTAAAATCGCGTCCATTGGAGTCATATGAATCCGGATAGCCTTCTCGAAACGCAGCCAACTCCTGCCACTTCGAACACCCCGGACAGCGAATCGACCACAGGTTTCACCAGCCCAAACTCTGCTCCCGACCTACGTGTTGTCTAAATGGGTATTCCTCGTCCGCACCAATAGGAAACAGACCAGGGAAATACCTCTCAGTATTGTCATGACACCTACGCTGACGGCACTTGACCGCCGGAACTGTGGCTGTACCGTCATTTGAGTCTCGATGTGAGCCCTGCCAGCCTCCATTCAGTGGTGCGTTTTGAGCGAATGCACTAGTGACGAATTTGCATTCATTGCAGAGACGTCGATGTCGACGACTGTCGATCTTATAAAGCTCCTCTAACTTTGCTTGCGACGTTCCTAGAGATGAATTAAAAGAGATCCAGCGGGCCAAAGTACCGTTGCGCAAGTTTGCCTGTCGTTTTAACCCCTGAGATTTTGCATCGCCTGGCGTCCAGTCGCAAAGTTTCCGTCGTGACCTAGATTCTGGAGGGGGTTTCCGGTATCGAAGCCTTAGGAGTGCGTGGTTGTCGAAGCAGGTGTGAGGGACAATTTTAAGGCAGTGGGCGCACGCGTAGGATACTTGTTTATCAGGTACGATGATTCTGCGGTATCGGTTGATGATGATTTCTCCGCCGTATTCTCGAAGACATTCGAGTTCTAGAAGCCTATCCAAGAAGTGCTTACGTTGTGGATTTATGAGGTGGCGAAAATAACGATTTGTTTGCGAGAGTGAGATGAGAGATATTGAGGTCAAATTAGGGATGATTAAGAGCTGTATGTCTAGTGGTAAGAAGAGCATGTCTTCAAGTCGTGTAATTAGTCGTGTTATTTCATCAACATCAATATTGAGTAAGAAGCAAAAGTTCAGGGTACCACGCAAGGGTGGGAAGATTTTACGTTAACCCATCCATTTTATGGACAGCCTAATGTTATTTCTGTAGATACTATTATTTCCAGTAGACCGAACACAAAAGGGTGTCAAAATTTAAGAATTGACTTATTAATGGGTTTAACAAAAAAAGGGTTTTCCTTAACTCAAGTTCACATCGTAGATTAAAACCTCTCCACCCAAATCCACAAAACGGCGTTTACCCAAACAGGAAATGGGTACCTACTTCCTATTCCGGCAAGGCGTATGCCAAGTATAACCCCATCTACACGTCCCTAAATCTATAACCTCTTATTCGCTCTATATACTCTGTTCCAAGCTATAGATCATAAGGTAGAAAAATGAAATCTTTGTCATACTTAAGTCAGGTGGAAGTTAAATAGAGCTCAAATTCCCATTTCACCCTTCCAAAACTCAAATTACGTCTCATCGGAACATCGATTCAACAACACTACAACCATCCATTTCACAAAAATGCCAGCCCCATCCATCCTCCTCCTCGGCGCATCAGGCTACCTCGGCGTCCCTCTCCTTGCCGAATTCCTCACCCACCGCTCAAAATTCTCACGTCTCGCAATCCTAACCGACGAGTCTCGAAAACACAAGTTCGAAGATGCCAAAGCCAAGGGCGTGGAACTGATAATCGGATCTTATCTTGAGCCTGATTCCTTCAAAGGTCCTCTTTCTCCTCCTAGAAATGCATGGAGGTTAATTCAAGCTCAGGGTTCAACACAGTCCTCTCCCTCCTCGGAAACCACGCCATGGCCGACCAACCCTCCATAATCAAGGCCTGTCTCGCCGCAAAGGTAACCGAGTTCTATCCGTCCGAGTTCGGTGGCGATAGTTCTCAAGGGCCGTACGTCACGAACCGGTATTTCGACGAGAAGAACAAGACACGGGCGTTTCTCGCCGAGACGGTGGCGAAGAATCCGGATTCGGGGTTCAACTATACGCTGATTATGTGTGGTGGGTTTATGGAGTATGTGATGAATCCGATTTTTGGCGGGGACGAGGAGAGTGAGACGTTTACGTTTTATGGGAGTGGGGAGAAGAGGGAGCCGTTTACTTCGGTGGCGGAGTAAGTTTCCTACTCTGTGATAGGTGGAGCCGTGGACTGACAATGGTGTGTAGTGTGTGTCGATATACAGTCGCGTCGACATTGATGCCCAAGTCACCATCTGGAGCACGGTCCTTCAAGATTCCCGAGGCTTGGTATACGTGGAGTGAGGTTATTTCCACGATTTCGCGTGCCAGTGGGGTTGAATATAAGCCTATATTCTTGCCGAATGAGGAGGCGGTCGAGAAAGCAAAGCAATTTAAAGAGAGTGGCGATGCGGATGGCGAGCTTACGTTTTCTTTGAAAGCACTGATTGGGAGCTTAGGATTTGAAGCTGTCCCAGAGCCATGGGATAATGATAAATTTCCGGAGATTGTGCCAGTGAATTTGGAGACTGCTTTGAAGCAGTATTTTGCAAAATCTAAACCTGAAGTTTAGATTTTGTGGAGCAAATCGTGTTGGCGTCGGCGAGATGGGCTTCAACATCAAGTCGAATTGCTTTCATGGATTCGTGGTAGATAAAAGAACGGCAGTCGAAGCAAGATCTTTGCACTATCAAAATGACAGAGCGGGGTGTGTTTATTCCATCAACTTGCAAATACGTTAGTTCACACTGTGCTTAAATCTTGTTTGTGAGCGGATCTACCTACCTGTACTGCGTTATATTTTAAGCTGAATAAACAGTCGGTAAATTACCACTTATATCATCCGTACTGCCCACCGCAAAATCGTCCATGTTCATACGCTGTCCTACCAAGTTACATCCTTGATCTTGTACTTCTCCGACCCAAAGTAAATTGGAAGTCATCACAACGATTTCATTCCACTCGCTCAGTCCCAGGTCGTAGGCTGTATTTCGTATGATCATCAAGAATGTGGAGTCGTGCTGGGGACCAACTTCCATGGCTGCCAGAATACAAGTCCAGATAAGAAGTGTCTTCAAACTATTCCAGAAAGCTGCATGATCCTCGAGAAGGATTCTGAATGTATCGGTCAAATGACCGGTGAAAAATAGTTTCACAGATCGACTTGTTGTTGCGAAATTATTGAACTGTCGACGAACTTGGCTCAGTAGTAGTAGTGCCCCAATTATACACCCTTGCTCAACGACAATCCAATTCAGCTCATCTGTGCTATTTGTAACACTTCGACTTGGAATCTCTCGCTTACAGTCGTGCAAACGATATACAAGAGGCTCCACCCATATCCGAGCGAATTGTGCATCTTGCCAGATGAGCCGCTTTTTAGATTCCGAGTTTATTGTCATGATGACTGTTGACAGGTCGCCAAAGATTTCACCCAAAGCAAAGTTTTGTGGGAATACCGTAGGCCATGAAGCAGATAGACCTGCTACAGGAAAAGAGCAAGGAGGGTCATAGCTGGTGTGTAGTAACAGACTCGTGGGTAGCGGAAAACTGGGCCGGATTCCTTGGAAACATGCGGTGGTGATATCAATACTTGGGGTGTCAGTGGCACTATTCGCATTATAATTGTCCAATAATTTCTTGAACATACTTAGCTAACATCAGGCGGAGGAGTTTATTATGATCAATCGTGTGTACACCACCCTTTCGCTTGATGATGTCGAGGAGACCTTGAAGGTGCAGGTTGTAGCTATCTATGTCTCCTCTTGAATGCTGTGACAAAGATCAGCATTTGACACATCGGTAAGATTGTCATAACTTGCACTGAACACTGCAAACGCAAGTACTGTGCCAATAGTACCGTCACTGACACCCAAGATTGGGTCTTCGAGCCGCCGGTTGACGGATGTTATCGACATCCCATGATACCGTAGAGCGGTAACATTGTCGGTATGAAGCCGAGAGATACCCGGCCCGATATAAGCTACATTTGCTAATACTTCGTAGAACAGTGCTGGATCGGTCATGGCGAGTGGAAGCCAGGTGTCTCTAAACGGCGTTAGAGCGGGATCAGGCGAAGTATGAACTAGAAATGTTACATGGAAGTCGTTTCCGTCCGCACGAAACTAACTATAGTCAATGAGACGCAACGCTTTTGTATCTATTGCGATAGGATATTGTGCAAATGGGTTCATTCGTCCCCCGCCAAGTCCGATTGAGAAGTCGATAATGGATTTTGGCTGCCGTCCATCAGAGAGTTTTGACTGTTTTGTGCTATCAAAATTATTGCGTCTTCTCTCTTGATCGTGATTTGATCCTCCCGAGATCTCAATCGAGGCTTTGGTTGCGATATTTCGTTGTCGCGTTGCAGCACAGTCAAGCATGACATGTTGCTGAATTGCTTTTCGAGTCTTTTTGCTTTTAACTTTCCCCGTTGAGGAGACTGGAACAAAGAGAAATGGTTTTGATGTTTCCATAGTGTACTGATGTGCATGTATATCCATGATCTTCTTTCAAAGTGAGGTAGGAATTGATGTCAAGAGTGCTTACAAATGATAGGTTTTTTGATCGGGTTCAGATCACGTGCTATACCTCGTCCTGCACTAGACAGAAGAAGCTCGATAATCATTAGGAACAAAAGTGACAAAATATCGTGCGATCTCACTTCGTCTACTATTTATGGTAGAGGAAACATTATTGGACTCTCCTCGAAACCGTTAGTTAATCAAAAGAAAATATTTATGTAGTCAAACGCGAAGCGAAAGCAGAAGCTCGAAGCTACATGACTTTCCAGCTAACATGCAACTACCATCTCGAGATGGATTTACTTAAGCAGATCTTAAGTACTGATGTTGCTTCGCAGGCTCTGTATTTTCAAGGTACTATATTCTATTCATGAATTGTTGCAAATGGAAAGCTTGATGGGCTGAATTCTTTTGATGATTCAGGTAACAAACCAGCTCGAGTCTTCTCCTATTCAATCTGTACTCTTCAAAAATAGGTATTAGTTGCTGTCGATTTCTAGAGAACTTACTTTGTCATTTGATCAACTTGTGAAGCTACTCAAGAAACCAGATAGGGGACTTATTCTTTTCTTTGTGCTTTTGAAGTCGGCATGTCTATTGGTTTGCCCGTTTAGCCGCCATGTTCCCCTCAGTCCCAACACTTATCAGCCATTAGGAGCACGAGGATGACTAGATAAATGTTACCCACTTGAGCTGAGACATTGAATTGCCCATACGAATTCCCATACGTTGAATTTCTCTACCGATTCAGGCGCAGTGCAGTCAGCCAGACGGAGAGCGAGACCCTTGGTGCATTCCATCCCTTCTGACCACGCATCAGAACCACCGCCTAGCACAAAGAACCTCTGCCGTATACATCTCTCCTCACGAGATCAAGATCAAGATCACGAAATCGCAACATCGATACGATCTCAGTGTCTTTTCCTCATCCTACTTGAGACATTACGTAGACCATCAACATCTTGGAATCGTCGAAGCGCCGCCGAGGTCTGCTTGCCTGGGCAGAATCAACACCGCCCAGCGCCAGCGCCCATCTATTACTCGCGCGCATCACCTGTCGTTAACAAACAAAATACAAACAAGCGGTCTGCGTAGTCTATACGAGCATCGAGTTATGATATTGCGCCCTGGATAGACAAAGTGGGATTGGCAGAGTAAACTTGCTCTCCACGACGACGTAAACATCCAAGACCGACGACCCAATCTCACCGCTCCCTCGACCCCACCATCGCTCACCATAACATGCCGCTATCGCAACCAGTCCGAGGAGGTCAAAATACCTCTGGAAACTCGGAGCAGAGCAGACAAACTCTGCGAGATATAGAAACTATGGTGCAATCATCTGGAGTTCCTCAAAGGCTGCGTAACGATGGTAAACATTCCACTACATCTGCCACAAGTACCCCGCTGATATCAACAGAATCATGGGTCGAGATATCCTCACAACCATCTTCTTCTTCCCTTTCATCTATCGGCGACGAGATAGTCACGACGGGACTACGAGTCCAACATGATCCCAACTCCCACCGACGGCGCCGCGCACAGGGTGCTTCAACCCGGATAGACATGCCAACGAGGCAGACAAGTACGAGCAGTCAAGAAGAATATGAAGAGAGCGAGAGTGAGGAGGATCATGTCATGACGAGTTCAAACGAACATATCACGCCCGCTACGAGATTACTTAATATGCCACAAACACAATACGATGCTGCTTCATCGGACGAGGATGATGATGAGAATGCAACAGCATTAGGACGACGAACTGATGAACCATTTACACCACAACCCAACGCCTTTTCCCATCCTCCATCATCACATCGCCACCGAAGATCAGAACCAGGATCCTATTTCCCCGCGCGAAGAAACAGCAACGACAGAAACCCATACGCATCCCGCCGCCTCCCCTCCTACAACCAAGCAGACCACGACGCCGCGCTCCGCGCCTCCCTCACAACCCTCCTCTCCATCGGTGCCGCGGCCGCTCGCGGAAAGCGAAATCAGCAGAACCCATCAAGTACAAACATCGAGCCCATGGGTCTACGCTTCGTGCCCGAGTCCGAACTCGTCGGTCCATCCACCATTCCCGCAAACACATCCCGTCCACTCTCCCCTTCTACCCGCGCGAGAAGCAGTCCAAGCATCTCCAGCACCGAAGCCGTCGAAAAGGGGAAACGAAAAGCAGGTACCAGCACAACAGTCAAAGAAAAACCGCGCGCCGACAAGAAAAGGCGGAAAAGCACACAAGTCTCGGTCGACGGGGAGGAGATGCTGCTTAGTCCTACGGTCTTCACGTGGGTGGTGTCGGCGGGTGTGTTGGTGCTGTTTAGTGTTGTGGGGTTTGGGGCCGGGTATGTGATTGGGCGGGAGGTTGGACGGAAGGAGGTGCTTTCTGGGTTTCAGGGTGCGAGTTTCTCGGATAGTGGGTATGTGCAGGATGTCAAGGCGTCGGGGGGTGGGTTGAGGAGGTTTAAATGGGGGATTGGTGGGGGGGCGAGGGGGGTGGCTGCGAGTGCTTGATCTTCGAGCACAGCGGTTGGGTTTTGTGAGGGGATGAGAGAATCTGTGTGGAAGGGGATGTGATGATGATATTTGCATCAAATTTGGGATCATAGTATGAGGTGACGAATCACGGGGTATGGAAACATAAATGAGGCGTTTTGGGGTGGTTAATCTGGGTATATGGCATGTATTTTTGGCTAGCGATTCGGGTTTAGGTTGATATTATTTGACGTGGTAGATACATACATACATACGCATGGATTGCGAGATGATAGTTATGCTAGGTTGATGAGGGTGGTAATTAGAATGAAAAATTATTTATATTGATTGCGGGTGTGATGTTTAGGTTGTAGGAAGACGAGAGAACAATTAAGCAGATTCTTCGGCAGCGGAGCAGCCATTGGAGTCACGAATATAGAATAGATGACCTCTAAATTCGTCGGCTGTTTTCGATAGATATTAGGAACCTTTCTAGGATAGACTAGAGATCCTAGGTCTAGGTAAGTAGGATAGAACATAGTAATATCTATAATATTTTGGTATAACCGATAATAAAGCATTTTCGGATAAGATATTCCTATAAAGTAGAACGTTTTCCTACTACCTTAGTGTATTTTACTAGTAAGTAAAATCGAAAATATAAATATATCTCTTATCTACCTCTTATCTTTATACCCCTCTCACTTTACAAAAATACAATATCCTTTCCTACTACGACGTCTAGCTAAGATCCCTTAATCTCGATATTTAATCTCGATATTTAATCTCGATATTTAATCTCGATATTTATTCTTCTTAGAAGAATAACTAAGATAGAAATTATATTAGAGATTAGAATAGGTATAGGTAAGTAGAGAAGTAAGAGGGTATAGGCGATGTAAAACTTAAAGAGGGGTTAGATATATCGGCGTAGTGGGAGGATTAACGAGGGTTTGAATTTAAGTTTAGATTTACGGTCGGAGTTCATAGGGTAGTTTGGTTATAGGTGCTAGCCTATTTGATCTTAGATATTGAGATTTAAATCGTACTACTTAGGCGGAATATTGGTTAAGTAGTGTAATTAGAAGTACTAACCTATATTGACCACGAGAGTGTAGAACAAAAATACACACCCAACATTAAAAACTAGCCAACCCTACTATGCTTTCTCCACGCTCCCTAAACCTTTAGTAATAACTTCTCCCCCCATCCTCCCCCTCCACCGGAAACGCCCCAACAACCTCCCTCTCACCCTCCCCCTCCTCCGAACTCTCGCCTCCATAATCATCCACCCGATCAGGCGGGGCGCGCATGCCCTCTAGCAGCGCCGGTTCCAGGGTCGGCGGGACATACATTTTAAGCGTGTAGATTTCACGGCCGGAGGGCATGGCTGCCATGAGTTGATGGAAGGGAGGGATGGCTTGTGTGTTTATCTTCAAAGTTCTGAGTGGATGTGAGAAAGAGGGAGGAAGGACTTACGGTGTCGTTCATTTTATTCCATTTCCTCGACAACATATCGATTACCCTACTTTCCTCCAGTCTCCCCGCATCAGCACCCCACGCCGTTCCTCGTTCGATTTTCTTATCTTCCCTCTTCTCTTCCCACCCTTTCTTGAATTTCCCAAACCCAAACCGTTTTTTACTTCCCTCACTTGACGTCGAGGAATAGCCGAGCTCATGCAGCCCAGCTTGCAGCCACGCGATACCATTCCCCGTTTGCCCGCCTAGTTCGGCGTCGATGCCGAAGAAGCGACATGCTTTTCCTCGTCCAGTCTTTCGGAGGTCGGAGATGTATTTTAGGAGTTCGGTGTCGACTTTGCCGGTGCCGTTTAGGAGGGAGTAGGCGTTTGAAGCGTGTTCAGCAGCGGCGAGACAGAGGCGCGCGAAGAGATGGGCGCGGACTTGTGGGATATCAGGGGCTCGGATCATCCATTCTTTGTCATTTGAGTTTCTGTCTTGGGCGACGACTGCTGGGTATGGGTCGTCTTTGAGGACTGCTAGGAGGGTTGCTTCCGCCATTGCTAGAGATGAGAGGGCCCGAAAGGCGGATTTGGTGATGTCTACACAAGGTGGATCTGAGGATACCTGATCTGAGCGGGTGGAGAGGTAGTCATGAACTGAAGCTGCAGACATGAGATGTTTTGTTGCAGTTGTGATAGCTAGAGTTCTCTGTTCGGTACTAGGCGATGCAGATGCTGAGGAGTATAGGGGGTGTAACGAGGCGCGAGCGAGGAGAGTTTGGGCATAAGCAAACGTTGAAAGAGCAAAGTATATCTCATACTCCAAAGACTTGATCTTGAGTCTCATGCCTTCGCGGCCAGGTATGGCTTTGTCTGAAATAGTCGGCCGCCATTCTAAAGTCGGAGTTGATTTGAGAACCACGTCCAATTCCTCTCCAGCAACAGGTTGATTTCCTAATCCAGCGTCGAGTGCTAAGAGGTAAGGGATGTAGTTATTCAAACTGAGTATGATATTTCCCAGATTCGCTGATTGCTCGCTTGGTGGAAGTCGTTTATGTCTTTTGAGATTATCTCGAAGCACACCACGGTATGTACTTGCGGAAAGTGGTAACGATGGATGGGAGTCGCTACTGAAATATTTTGAAAAGGAGAAGGAGGAAGTTGTAGGAAGTACGAATGGAAATGGCATCGTTGACCAGTCCGGAGGAGGGAGCGGACTGTTTATCTATTGATGCGCCGCGGGGCAGCTATGGTGGGGTAATGGTGTTGGATCTTAGATTGGTGCCGCGCCAAAATAGTGATCGATTGTTATGTAGATATGAGCCCAGCTGAAGTTTATTTGTTAGTTTCATTGAGCGATTTTATATCGGACGTTTGAACTGCTGGCGAGAACTTGTGTTTGATAAATGGATGAAACATACCATGTTCATCTTGGCCTTGAGGCTGAGGCGACTCCTTTAGCGACGCGAGGGTGTGAATCTAGCCCTCCCCTCCCCCACCAAAATTGAAGTGTCAATACGTCACCGACGGGCAACAATATATGGAAATTCCAATTGTGGTTCTGCAGGTTTGCAATCAAAAGTCTTTTGCTCAATCAGTTTAACTTTATCTCAAAACCTAATAAAACTTCCCAAACTTTAATACATCCCCTCAAAATGTCAGCAGCAAACAACCAATCCTCCCTCAACGAAGCTCGAGGAGCAGGAACCACATTCGGCCCCAACACCAACTCCTCCTCCTCAGCAACGCCCGCCATGTCCGTAGGTTCAGCAACGGCAGCCGGGCACGGCGACCACCCCAAGGACAACGCCGATGACAGCAATGCCACTTTACCAGGAACCAAAGTCGGTCCTCAAAACGAAGACCTGGATGGCGAGCAGATGGCTGTGTTGGCGGAGGGGAAGGTGATGGATGCGCAGTTTAATAAGAAGAATGCGGGGTGGGGGGAGGAACAAGGGTTGATGAGTAATTTGGATCGACAGAAGGAGGAGCAGAAGGAGAAGAGGGAGGAGGTTAAGGCGCAACGGAGCGCGGGGGTGAATGTCGATGGTGGTGCTGGACAGAGGACTGGCAATGAAGATTTGAGTGCGGTATAGAGGGACTGGGAGAGAAACGAAGACGTAGAGTGGTGGAAGGTTTGAAAGGTTGTTGGGTGTATCTGCTCCAGCTCATTAGGGTGGACAAGTGATGGGACACGTCCTTGTTGTAGATTAGCGAATGTCCTCGCCCAAAAGTTATATTTACTCAATCTCATTGACTGAATTTCGGATGTTGTCTCTTTCACAGGGTTCATGATATAAGTAAAGGATGGAGCTTTGGAAAGTCGTTTATTGCTATGGGTTTGCTCGAAAGTGTCTCGTCGGTCTTGTAACGCAATATATGTGCTGATCTTTCGCAGTCGTGGGAGACGATTGCAGCGCCAAAGATAAATATTTCTCCAATATATTGAGGAATTGGATCCAACTTGACACTCATATTGAATAAATCGGATGTAACAACGTGATAGCTGTCCCTTCACTGTATATTCTGTAAGTCCATTTGCAGCCAAGCACTTGTTGAGGGAACATTTCCCAAGTCCCTAACTTATCATACACACCAACGCTTTTCCAATCACCCAAACGCCGTCGCAATGCAAGGAAACAGCCAAATTCTGCTATGAAAAATCCATCTCCTCCATTATTTCGTCTCCTAATGAACTCAATACCGAAGATTGTCGTCTCGAGGATATCAAGGACGTGACCATTGATTCTTTCTGTAGATTTTCTCTAAACTCCTCTAGACTGGTATATTCCCCTCCCTCAATGCGTATCGTGCGTGGCTCTGCAGGTTTCCCTAATATCGTACCTGTATATCTCGAGTCTTCGTCTGTTGTACTATGCTTCTTCTTAAGAACTACACCGAGTCAGCGCCAGGGTCGTACAGACAAGATCCATACACACCCGTCAAGTAATCATCCTTGGAACCATCTCCCCCTTCAAACGCAATTCTCCTAATTTCCTTACTACTTGGACCCGTAGCCCATGCAACAAACTCATCCACCCCCCGGGTATCTTCCACGCCCGTAAACTCTTGATCCATGAATGTTTCCTCTGGATACAGCACACCACATGCTTCCATGGCCATTCTCACATCTTGAATTCCAACCTCCATGGCCAGTTCGGGCTGGTCGGAATGACTTGTCGAAGCATGAGCCATCGTTGACTGTGCGATGGTAACCATGAATCTCGCGGCAATATCGGTGAGCGCATCCACGACTGACGGTCGCGTACTGTGAAATCCAGCTGCGCGAAGAATATGAAGTACACAAGGCCGCAATAACGCGTGGTGGAGGGTTTGTGGAGTGGTCATGATGATTTAGAAATGAGTGAAGTTGACGACGTCGAGTCAAGGAATGATAGGCGTAGAGATCCACATGGCCATTTGTTGCGAGAAGCTGTATCGAATATCTCCAGACGTCGAGGTAAGAGTTGGGAGAGGACAGTGGTGAAGGTGACAAGAGAAGATGAGAATTGGGATAGTTCCAGCAGTGTTGCGCTGGGCCTTGAGCTCTTCGCCCAGACGCGTGGAATTTGTTCCGGCGCATTGTGGCTCGTGCGTCGAAACTCCCCCGTCTTCGAGCCTTCCAGGTTGTCTTTCGCCGTGTCTCCCCCACAGACTCACTACGACATGGCAGCAAGCAATTCGACATTTCTTCACCACCACACTCATCCACCACACAAAACTTCACGAGAAGGCTAAAAGTGTAGTGATTCACCCACCACCGATCCTCACGCCGTCTCCGCCTCTCAGGCTGCCTTCAAGATGAGTCTCAAGCTCAAGCTCAAGGTCAACACAGGAGGACAACCCAAGTCACCGTCTGTAGCAACTCCTCAAACTCCAGTACCCATGTCTGCAATCACGCCCGGAGGATCACGTCCAAAGCTGAAGTTTAATACGAATAAATCTGTTCCACCTACACCCGCCGCCGTCGAAGAACTGAAACCGAAAAAGACAAAGGCAGGGAGAGCTCCAAAGCCAAGCGCAAAGATTCTCGCCAGCAAGAAGAGAGAACGTGAAGGCAGTGATAGCGAAGATGAAGGATCTACCATAGCCGTACATGCGCCTCCAAAGAAAGTCAAACTCAATCTTGGCCCAAAAACACCATTATCCGCGATATCAGCATCAACGCCAATCCTACTCAAACCCAAACTCAAGGGCAAACCTCCTAAAAGGACTGCCGGAGAGGGCTACGACTCGGAGGCAAGTGATCGCGAGATTGACCCTGCGATTGAAGAGGAATTCATATTACGAATGATGCCGGGCGAGGACTGCGAATACCTACGTGCGGCGATCAACGACAAGAAGATAGGCGTGCCGATTTCACAGGGCGGCCCAAATATACAAATGAAGTTCTTTCACAGCGAAGGTCGGAGGGCAGCAGTCATAATCAAGGGTAGGCCATATGCCGCAACTCTAGTCGATTTACCATGTATCATTGAGGGCATGAAAAGTTGGGACAAAAGAGGATGGTGGAAGACTGCAGATATATGTCAGATGCTGTGGGTATTTGCAAAGGTTGACAAGGAGGAACAAGCGAAGACGATTCCATTGCCGAGTATTATTGATAAGGAGACGCATCAATATCCTCACGGAATAACTCCACCATTACACTTTGCTAGGAAGCGACGCTTTAGAAAGGGTATCAGTAGAAATGCTATTGAAGCAGTAGAAGATGCTATTGAAAAGCTCTTAGCTGCGGATGATGCCGCCATATCTACCAGATTCGAGATGATTGACCCCGACATGGGCAGAGCAAGTCAAATGTACAGTCCCGCACCTGGTAGCAGCCCGGGTAGAGCTCAACTCGACGAAGACGAGTACTCCGAGGACGACGCAGAGGGCGAGGAAGACGACAATCCTGAAGGATACTTCGGGCACATCCCTCAACCCATGGTCGAAGAAGACGGCGACATCGACCCCGACCTCGAAGCGGACCTCGAAGCCGCCTTCGACGCCGAAGAAGAAATCGAAGCCGAGACCCCCATCTCCGCCGCCGAACCCGCGCCCGTCCCCGAAGAAGACAGCGGCGACGAGTCCATCGAGGGCGACGACGGCGAAGACGACGACGAGGACGACGACGCGGAGATTGACGAGGATGAGAAGGCCCGGCTGGCGCAGATCCAGGGCACCAAGGAGGATATCGAGGATCTGATGAAGCAGATTGAGATGGCGCAGGCGCAGTTGGCGGTGCAGAATAATCCGATTTTGCGGCGCAGGGTGGAGGAGAATGTTAGGAAGTTGAAGGCCGAGGTGCAGTTGAAGAAGAGTTCGATTGGGGAGGGGGATGATGATTAAAAGTTGATGATGTAGGAGGGCGACTTGATTGAGGGTGGAGGAATTTGAAATTTGTATTATCATAGTATCATGCGGAAGCGCTCTGCATTGGTACATTGCAATTCATCATAGGGTCGAGGCTATAGCTGGGCATGGCTGGAGCTTTAGCTATTACAAGGAATACAAGCTACCATCACTATCCCCTTTTCTCCGAGGCCACCTTTTTGAGCGATACAAGCATAATCTAAGTTAATTAACACCTGGCAATCAAAATCCCGAATTCGTATACTTATTAAATCACCACGAAATCTCCCAGGGCATTGCAAAAATTGTCAACATAACGACCCATTAACACCCCTCTGGTTCGTAGGGTTTACATTCACCCTCTACAGACTACAATACAAATAATATCCCATATCCACTCAAAATATCCCAGGAAACACAATATTTCCTACCTTTCTTCCCCGCCGTCGTAAAGACTCGTTTATTCTTCTCTGTGTATAATACATATCCAAACTCTGCAAAAAATGTCTATCTTTTTTGCAACACTTGGTTTCTTTGATTAGCGAAATTCATTTCGATGTATAAGTATAGGTATGTAAGCTGATTTTTTAGTTCGGGGATGAGTATAGCGTATAGGGAATTATAGGGTTTGCCGTTACATCTCCTCGCAAAGCCCAATATAAACGACATATACATCCCATTCCCTCGCGAGTCAATCAAAAAACTTTTACTCGTCATCTCATCTGAATTTAGTTCCAACGCCTATCATTTACGAAAACGTTGAACCAAATATACAATGGATATATACTACCTTGGGATTTAAGGTTACAGGACGCTGGACTAGGTAGATGGGTTTTGTTACTAGAGGTTGGTATATTTAGACAGTATGTTTTGAGAGTGGTTTTAGGAGGATGAAGAGGGAGAGGGTGAGGTAAAGGTAGGAGTAGGGTGTAAGGTACTATGAGATTTGACGGAATCCTGCGACTGCGTCTAGACTTTGTGGTGGTGGTTTTACACGCAGACAAAGTATGCCTTGTCAGAGCTCCGTTTCTCTATTACTGGGACGTATGAAGAAGTTTGAATGCTAGAAAGGGACTCGGTTGTACAATATATCATGGATTTTATACATAATCGTACAACAGCCTATGGCGTTGGTCACTACATTCTTGCACGCCAACCATCTACCTTGATAATGCTTTCCCATCTCAAACACATGTTTTACACGCCACCGATTTCTCCCACCAGCTCTCTAGGCCAATTCGAGATTCAATGTACCAAGCCAATGGCGATGAGCAGCGTAGAACCCATATTTCATCCACCATCTCCTCCCGGCCCAAATGACATCCCATCGCAGCACAACAACAGCGAATCCCAATACCATCAGACCACTCACATGCTCTTCAAATAATTCCCCTGCTTAATCCCCTTCCTCCTCTCCCCCCTCATCGCCTTCCTCACCTCCTCCCGTCCCTCCACAGCCTTCATCGCCCCCTCCACAGTCCCCTCCTCATTAGCCGGTAAATCAATACTCTGCTTCGTGATCGGGATCTTCGGGGCGAGCGCCTCCATGTTGCCGCTTAGGAGCATCTGGGCTTCGAGTTTGCGCTGGCGTTTGGCGGCTTTTCTTCGCAACTTCTTGGATTTGGCTGGGGGGTGTTAGCTAGTAATGGGGAGGAATTGGATATTATGGGAGACTTACAGAATTCATCACCCTCCTCCACTTCTCCGCCCTCGACATCTGTCTTAACGTCTAAAACCCGCCATAACCACTCCGGATACTCCTCTTCGCCTAAAGCAACTGGGTCATCCCGTCCTTTGATGTAGTTTATGCCCTTGAGCACCGTTCCTTTGGGCGCGGAGGAGATTGGTAAAGCACTTGTTTTCGGTTTTGGACGTAATGCGGCGCCGAGAGATACTTCGTTGGGCGTGGGACTGAGGGGCGTGCTGAAGGGTTGCGCGGCGGAGGTTGAGGTTGCTGGTGTGTTGCCGGTTGAGTTTTGGGGGCGGGGAGTGTGAGAGAGAGCGCGGCGAGTGGAGGATGGGAGGAGGGCGGAGGGATTGAGAGTGGCTTTGCGGAGACAGGAGCGGCAGATCATGGTTGTGGATGTTGGTGGTTTGGATTGGAGTTGTTGAAGCTGTCGCGGTCTGATGCTGGAGACTTTTTTGTACGGTGGCCGGGTGGGGACGGGAGTGCTGTCAATATCAAAGTCGAACCGAGCCCAGCGAAAACATAACTGGCAATTAAAGTATATGAGTTGGCCATTTAGTTTCTGAGTTCGCTTTTGCGTTTAGCTTATTTAATATTTTCAACAATTAATTTGTTTAAACGGGTCTTTTGAATGTATACCACAAATCGGGACGGAAGACAGACACCATCGTCGCCTTTCAAAATTGCATCATTGTTTAGTCAAGATGACACAGGTGTTGACATTCTGCCTTATTGTCTGGGAAGGCAAGACTCCGTGTTCCCTTCTCCCAAGATCCATATGAAAGCGATATCAAATAACTGCAAATGCGTGTGGAAGAAAGGTAAAGAGTTTCATTTCCGCCGTCGACGAATCAACAGCGACAAAACATACGGTAACCTTGTGCTTAGTGAGCCAACCACCGTTTTCATGAGGTCAAAAACAGCTTGGAGTATTTTGTATTTACAACTGATTTGGGCATATAGCTGCAACATGCCCAATTCCTCCACCAGGGCTGAAATCATAGACCCGATGTCTACATCCAACGCCGCTGACTTCGTTTATGATTGTACAAGCGCTTCTAGTGGTGCTTCGCGCAACAGATGACCAAGTCTATCGTTGATTTTTGACAATTCCTTCTCCCTATCCCATCACTACTGTTTTGGAATATAGTTCCCCTGCTCGAATAGGTAACCCCGAATCTTGGACTCCTTCAACAGCTCGAAATATCGTTCTGGAAGTTCAATCATTAGCAAAAAACTTTAAAAATGGCAGACCAAGCCATGTCATGAACATTGGCCATAGAAGCTCCCTCATTGCACTCAGGAGTGTCGTTGGCTCACCTCGTAGTACTCCACACTTTTCTAAATGGTTCACCCCCTCCCGGTAATAACATTTCCCAAGCTCCTCCCTAACCAATCGCGCCATCATGCTCTTCACCCATTGTTCTCTGATAATCGCGTCCTGAGCTTGCTTCAACCTCTTGGTGTCGTCGTAGTCAACACCATCAAACGTCGGAGGAACGGTTGGCTTCTTCGCGAGGAAAGCGGCGGATTCAGGAGTTGGCGCCATGGCAGATGATGGGCGCAATGGACTGATCGGTTTAATTGTGTACTCGCAAATAGGGCTGTGGTGGCTGTCAGTCGCAATCGCAAGTTAATTGAAGCTATCCAGAGCTTGCTGAGGTCCAATTCCATGTCACGTTACCGGCGCAAGAAGGGTGCTTCGTGCTAGCGGTCCTTCGGGATTAGCGCTCCCCGCTATGATAAGCGAATGAAAATTTCTAGCTCGCGATAAGAGCTTTCCACCGCCTCCCCATAAAAAAGTTTCTACAATACCAGCCTCTTTCCTCCATTTTTCTTCTTCCTCATCCAACAACGAAGAAGAACTTTCCACTTCTTCCATAACATCCTCCACTCATACCAATCTTTATATCCTCTCCTTCACACACCATCATCACAATGGGCAAAACAAAGGATGTTAAGACTGGCAGCAAGGCCAAGTCTGAGGTCAAATCACTTTCAAAAGTCAAAAATGCAGCAATCACTAAACCATCTCAGACACCAGTCGCAAAGTCCAAGAAGATCGCGAAAGAGACCGCCACCAAGGTGAATGGCAAGGAGTCCAAGAAGTCCAAGCCAGTCAAGGCCCCAACCCCAGAGTCCTCCAGCAGCGAGTCTGAGTCTGCCGATTCTGCATCCGAGTCTGAATCCGATGAAGAGACCAAGCCGGTCGTCGCCAATGGCAAGACCAACGGGAAGGTCAATGGCAAGGCCACCAACGGCAAGGGCGCAAAGAAAGAGGTAGTTACCTCTGATTCTTCCGATTCGTCTGACTCGTCAGACGATGATGATGCCGATTCTTCTGATTCTGATTCTGACTCTTCCAAAAAGGCTTCCTCAGACGAGTCTTCTAGTGAATCCGAATCCGAGGAGGAATCCGCCCCAGTTGCTGTCGCCAAGAAGGCTGTTGAGTCTACTAAGAAGGCTGTCAACGGCGCCGCAAAGGCTGTCGTTAAGGCCACTTCTGTACGTACATCCATCTCTATCACATATGCATCTTGCTAATATGAATAGGACTCCGAATCATCTGCTGAAGATTCTGACGGCTCCGACTCCAGCGACTCTGACGACGAGGCCCCAGCTGCCGCCACAAAGGATGATGCTTCCTCTTCCGGTTCTGACTCTGATGATTCCAGCGACTCCGATAGCGAGGCTGCACCTGCATCCAAGAAGCGCAAGGCTGATGATGAGCCCGCCGCTGCTGCTAAGAAGAGCAAGACTGATGATGTTGAGGACACTGGAAGCAAGAACCTCTTCGTCGGTAACTTGAGCTGGAACATTGATGACGAGTGGCTGTACAGAGAGTTCGAGGAGTTTGGAGAGATCACCCGTGCCAACGTTCTTACTGACAGAGAATCTGGTCGATCAAAGGGTTTCGGATATGTCGAGTTCTCCTCGTCGGCTGCTGCTGCCGCTGCTCTTGCTGCCAAGAAGGGTGCTCTCATCGATGGCCGTGAGGCTAACGTTGACTTCTCTACCCCACGTACCAATGACGCTCCTGGCGCTCGTGCTGATAACAGAGCCAAGCAATTCGGTGATTCTCAAAACCCTCCATCTGATACTCTTTTCGTCGGCAACTTGTCATTCGAGGTTGATCAAGACGCTGTCGGAGAGGCATTCGGAGAGCACGGCACAGTTGTCAATGTCAGACTCCCAACTGATATGTAAGTTGCCATATATCCTGATGTTATGTCGTGTACTAATCATTCACAGGGACTCTGGCAATCCAAAGGGATTCGGATATGTCACATTCGAGTCTATTGACGAGGCAAAGACTGCTTATGAGGCGATGAAGGGTCAAGAGATTGCTGGACGTCCTTGCAGACTTGATTATGCTACCCCAAGACCAGACCGTGGTGCTGGTGGAGGCGGTGGTCGCGGCGGAGGCCGTGGAGGTGGCCGTGGTGGATTTGACCGCGGAGGACGTGGTGGCGGTCGTGGTGGTGGCAGAGGTGGCCGTGGAGGTTTCGGTGATCGTGGTGGACGAGGAGGTGGCCGTGGCGGTGGTCGCGGTGGAAGCACCAACCGTGGTGGATTTGGTGACTTTGCTGGAAAGAAGCAGACTTTTGCTTAGACACTTGCTGTCGTTGGATGTTAGCTGCCGCACCATTGTTCATTCCTTGCTGGATACATGTGGATATGTCCCGTTGGCTTTGTGGGTTGTGGGCTCTTTTGACTTCTCTGCTTCTTAGCAGTTGTGGGCTTTTGAGATATAACTTGTGGGCTTTGACATGACACTTTGGGCATTTGAGTTGTTGGCTTGTGGCTGTCCCTTGTCGGTTCTGCAAAACACACTGCGGAGCGAATACTTTTTGATGCATTCTGTGGGCGTTTGGGTTGACTTTGATAATTGTGGGCTTTGAACATGTCCCGAAGTCCAAATGAATCTTCTTATGTTGTCCTCATTAGGTAAACATCTTGGAGTGGATGGAGCTTCTTGTGGGCTTTCGAGGATACTTAATGATCTTGTCGTGCTTTGGGTTGGAGTGGTGGTGGTAAAAAGTCCCTTGTTGATTAGTTACGATTCTTATGATGGCCCTATGCCACGATGCGATTGCTCGTATCTGGGGTTATGACCTGTACTTTATCTGGTGAAGTCCTTGCTAGCATTGTTGATTAGATAGCTTCATTCTAGCAAAAAATTCTTTCTACTATAAGTCTTTTGTGAAATTCTATTGCTCTAGCGCTGTCTACATTGTATTCTACATTGGATCGTGGCTATCTTCCACCTGTGATAAACAAGAAACGTAGTTGTATTTTAAAAATCACAGTTCTTTAAGTTTACTAAGACATACCATCCACAAGACTTAATGCTTATTACCTTATTTTATATCTCAATTGTTGCTAAATGCGTACTAGGTACAGCTTTCTAATGCGCTTTCTCAACTAAAGAAGGGCCATTTAACTGCGATCTTGAAACCCAATTCCCCACCACTGCAGAGGAAACAAGCATACTCGGGTAACTCGCGTACGAAGCATTTCCACGCCGCAAATTAATGTCAGCTTATCACCGGTTGTCAGCTTGACCCTCGTCCTTCGTTAATGAGACCAACCACAACAAACATATCGGGAAGAATACAAGTGACCGATACGCAGGGAGAATATATATACGTACAACGTTGCACAAGAAAATATTTAAGAATTTCATCGTCTGAACATGTGCTTTCTACCGTTACACTACTTATTGCCTGTTTGAGAGCCGGTTGAGAACATGATTACCGGCACCTGGACAAGCTTCGGTGATGTTGACCGATCACAGTTGGTTCGAATTTTGATTGCTGGCCTGACGGGGATTGTGACCACAGTACGCACTTGACTTCCGTTCTTCAGGTTCAGTTACTGGCAAATTAACCTACGACCTGTAGAGCATCGTTTATTCCATCTGGCAAGCAATCTATAACGTTTACTTCCACCCTCTAAGTAGATTCCCCGGCCCCAAATCATGGGCAGCTTCTCGCTTCCCCAGAGAAAAAGCCATGGTATCGGGAAGGATCCATTACGTTCTCAAAGATCTCCACAACCAATACGGCGATGTCGTTCGAACCGGTCGCGATGAAATTTCATTTACATCCGCAGCAGCGTTCAAAGACATTCATACCAGATACGGACCTTGGAAGACGGCATTCCCAAAAGATCCTGACCTTTACGTTGTACCAGCGAGCGGCCACCACAGCATCCTCAGCGTGAAGAACGATGCGGATCACTCCCGCTATCGACGACTGCTCTCTCATGCGTTCTCAGAGAAATCACTTCAAGAACAAGCCCCCCTAATCAAAACCTACATCGACCTCTTCATTTCCCGTCTGCACTCCAACGCCAGCAAAGGGCCGCAGGACATGGTCAAATGGTTCAACTTCACGACCTTCGACATCATTGGGGATCTCTCCCTCGGAGAATCGTTCGAATGTCTCGAGAAACAGGAGTACCATCCTTGGATCGAGTTTCTGTTCAAGGCATTCAAAACGGTCTCGATCCTCACGTCTTTCAAGCGGTTTCCGTGGTTCAACAAGGTGTTTATGTGGATGCTGCCGAGGAGCTTGAGGGAGGCGAGGACGAGAAATATGATGTTTACCAGGGAGAAGGTGTTGAAACGGATTAAAGAGGGGACGGGCCGGCCGGATTTCATGACGAATGTGTTGAAGCATAATGATAAAGAGGTATGTATATTTTTTGTGAATGTGTGAGGTGCAAAATGGAATTACTGATGCAGATAGACTGGCATGAGCGTCAACGAAATCGTCTCGACATTCGGCCTTCTCATCCTAGCAGGCAGCGAAACAACGGCGACACTTCTCTCAGCAGCGACTTATCTCATTCTCAAGCACCCAGAGGTTTTAGACAAGATGGTGGCTGAAGTCCGAAGCACCTTCAAAACCGAAGACGAAATCACCCAAGTCAGCGTCAACAAACTAACCTACCAAATCGCCGTGCTGGAAGAAAGTCTGCGCGTCCACCCTCCCGCGCCCTTTGGATTTCCGCGTATAGTACCCGGCGAGAAAGGACAGTTTGTTGCGGGGCAGTGGGTGCCGAAGGGGGTATGTATATCTTTGATTCCGCTTTGTTTCTAATTTGTGTGCTGATGGGAATAGACTGTAGTGTGGACGTCGACTTGGGTTAGTCACACGCAGGAGGCTAATTTCAGGGATGCGGATAAATTCATTCCTGAACGCTTTTTGGGCGATGCGAGGTTTAAGGGGGATAATCGAGGGGCGTTTCAGCCGTTTAGTTTGGGGCCGAGGAATTGTATTGGGACTAAGTAAGTTCAATGATTATTCTTATAGCTCGTCTGGTTTGGACCCTCTTAAAGAAGTCGCTAACACTTTTCACTTCAAAGTCTCGCATACGCCGAAATGCGTCTCATCATGGCTCGCTTACTCTGGAATTTCGATCTCGAGCTTGATGAGAGGAGTCGAAGGTGGCAGGATCATATGAAGATATTCATTTTATGGGAGAAACCTGCTTTGTATGTTAAATTGAAGCCTGTTGTACGGTGATAGATGCTGGTGTTTCGGGAGGCTGGGTGAGGGAAGGTTGTAGGAGCGAGGGGGAGGGGGTAACGGATGGAAAGGTGGTGGGTTGTATATGAATGGATAGGAGAATATATTAAAATTAGAGTAGACTAAAGGTTAATCAGTTATTCGGCTGCGTTTGAAATTTGTTACGTTTGAATGAGGTATTTTTATTTTGTCCCTCGTTACTGTGATTTAACAATATGTCAAGCAGTGTTCATGATTAACCGTCCACCATCCAAAATGTATAAATGCTCTCATCTCATCTCTTCTTCACTTCCTTCATCCATCACTTTTCAACATCACATTTCTCGGACTCTTATATATACCAAACCAAAGACGTTCCATCACTTCCACAACACCTATACTCAAACACCAGCCGAAAACCTCCCAAAATGCCAGTAAGTCCCTTCCCTTCCAGCCTTCCTCACTCCATTCCCCACTTCCCTTCCCCATTTCCCACCCCTATCTGGCTTTCATATCTCCAAATCTCGGACTGATACCCCCAGCCCCAAACCCAAGCAGAAATCGACGCCGAAATAGCCGCTCTCTCCGCCGAGATCGCAGCTCAAGAAGCAGAAGCCGAGCGTGCTGCGGAGGAAGAGCGACGGTATGCTGAGGAGGATGCTAAGAAAGCTGCTAGGTTCTCCTCTGATTCCAAAGATGTGAAGGAAGAGGGGGTACAGGAAGATGTTAAAGGGGAGAAAAAAGAGGAGATAGGTTATTATGAGAGTGAAGACCGTGCACCGGTTGAGATTCAGGAGCGTTTGAGGTTTCCGTATCCGGCTTATAGTGATGTTGTTTTTGGGAAGAGAGGGTAGGGTGGGTAAGAGGAGTGGAGGATGAGGGATGGGCGATAGCGAATGTTACTGAGGGGTGAAGCGATGACGGGTCGAGGGTAGTGCGGCGGTGATGTTTTTGTTATTTAATGGATACGTGGATTTTGAGATTGTCGACGAATGATGAAGTGATGATGTGGTTTGATGGTGAATGTAAATTCTGTTTAGGGAGATAGTTGTAAGTGAACTATTGACTTCCGGTCCACCGGTGTATCACAAGACTTATGTGACACCCGCCGAGTGTATGAATATCAGACACTGATTCTCCAATACTCTTGCTGTTACTGTTATATCTAACGTTTGAATAGAGTAAATACGAAATATTTACTCAAATAAGTTGTGTCACCCGAGTTTAGACATACTTTCCCCAAGTTATTTTAACGAGGTGAGCCGGCAGACTTGGTGGTCCGTCGTTATACTACCCATAGTGAACATGAAGACCACAATCAAGTCTTTGCTCTCCGGGTAAAAATTCTGTTTTGAATTGGTCTCAAACCAGTATTGTCACAGTATCGTGATGATGGGCTCGGGTTTATCAAGGGGACGTTCTGCTTCTTTTCGGTTCGCGTCTATTCGAACACTCCTTTCCTGTCTTTTTGGCCCTCCGCCAATGTCTGTAAATCTGACAGGACATCCCAGGAAGGTAGAAAAGTAATATTGTCCAAACTACCATGTTTATTCAATCCTTTTAAGTAATTATTTATCATTGTCACTGTTATAAAGGCCAATGATATATTACCGAAGGGCCATTAATTTGAAGAGTCGTTCACTAAAGTCGTTAATTAAGTAGTGTCTGTCAACTATGAAGTATACTGTTGCTCATAATAAGAGAGTTGTGTTGAATCTGAAAAGTCAACATTGGGCCTTATCCCATTAGAAATCCTAGGATATCTCCGCTAAACGGAAACCAATACCAAATACCACTACTACCATTTCGTCGTGATGATAGTATTCTTTCCACAGCGCCACGTCTATCGCTCCCATTTTGCACGGAACCACACTTCAAAGTCCATCGCATCGACACGCTCTTTATTACACAAGTATTTGTTTCTCACCTTGTCAATCTGAAGTTCTTGAGAAAGGCTACGTAAAAATGCCCCTTGATACCAAGCTCGTGATGACTCTGATAAGGGACTCAACTGCTGAGTGTTCCAGCTTCTGAATCCTTCTATGAATCTATTCACGGCATAACGAACGGGAACTCGCTCTTTGCCGCGAATAAGCTTCACTCTTTCCATCATCTCGTCCAATTCTTTTACGCGGGCCGCTCGTTTCAAGGCTGCCTTCTGCTCGTCCTCGTGCAATCTTGTCTGGTACTTCGTCCAGCAGTCTTCGCAATAAGACCTAAGATTGTAGCCCGGAACACCTTTACGATCCCAAGTGTAAATGGATGACTGATGCGCGGTAGGTAGGATGTGGCAGACTTCGCAAATAGGTTTTCGCCTCACGTTTGAGCACTCGGAACAATCACAAGGACGTCCAAAATCGCATGCGCTACGAAACGCAAGACCCTCATGGAAAGCTCTGGTTCTTATATTAGGCTGTATCGTGGCAACTCGTCTTATAGGTTTTTGGAGGTGTTTCGCTGCAGCGAAACCGAGGACAAGTCGTTTGAGCATTGTGAAGCGCTGAGAAAGGGGCCCACGGTGACGATTATGGGTGTCGCTCGGGATTTTCAATTGTCCTCTAATGGTTTTTCTTAGCTGGAGAGAACACTGAGCAATGGATAGGATGCTGTAATAAGACATACCTCTGGGGTTGTTGCTGGATTCAAACAACAATTGCGAAAATTCGAGAGATTGCGGAATCCAGGCGGACGTCAGTTTGCTTGTGATGCAAGGGATGGCGGAAACGATGTACTTAAGCGGTTCTCACACTTGCAATAGAGTTCCACCAGTTACTTAATTGTCAGGCAAAGGGGTTTGAAGAAGGTGATTTTAATCAAGAAGCCGTAACATAACCTATTCAGTAAAGACTAACCCAAGGGCAGGGAGGGGTATTGACATTATAGTCTGTCACTTTTGGAGTAATATGACAGATCAAGTGGACTGCACGAGGCCGATTATTGGAGAAACCTCTAAGGTTAAGCCTTGACACTTTGTAAAAAACTAGAAGTGCATAGTCTTCAACAGACACTGTTGAATTGCGAAGATGACGGAACAACCCAGTTATAATAATTATGGAAATCGAATTATCAGTACTCGATATTCGACCGGCATGTTCAGCCTTTTCGATGGAGATACTACAGTATATTTCCTCAAATAAATTGAGTAAACTTGCCGCTATCTCAACCCAAAAGAGTTTCCCGCCAGATTTGCAGTATAAGAGGATTTATGCCACTGCGACCACATGATCCAATATCCACCTAAAAAAAAACAGCCACAAGGGCCAGTATTCGCATCGCCTATATGGCCTTGTTTGTAGGGAAGGCATGGTGATCCGCTCGTGGTTGGCCGTTTGCAACGCACTTGGTCGTGGTTATGCAAGCATGAGTAAATCCGTCGATGGCTGGTAGCAAACATGTCTTCGTTTGCAAGCTGCCTTGTTTGCCACTAGGCCATGGACCATGCTTGCTCTTTAGGGAGTTCCTCACATTCCCTTTGCACCCTCGCGCCAAGAGGATTCCGAACCTCGAAAGAGCGACGTAGCTCTATGATGCTTTATAGAGGCTGGGGTTCGATATTTCGAATTGGCCCACGGACACTCGAGCCGAATAACATGTAGGTTCCAATGTTCGAGACCTCCTGAGCTATTCATGAAGCTCTTGTAATTTCTTAATTCAATTCGTTAGTACTTTCTCATGGCCACATACACGAGGAAGTCCACTAACAAATTTCCAATCCTGCTCTTCGCTTATTCCTTCTGTCATCATACAACTGATCCCTTCTGGCCGCCTCCTCGATAGATGTTGATGAGCGACGCAAGTCCAATGAGGAAAATGGAGCCGAGTAAGACGGCAACAATGATGAGAAAGACCTCCATGTTGAAATGATGACAATTGAAGTCCGGTTCTGCGATATGTTTTGAAGCCTGAGAATTGATACCCCGGATATCCTTTCGTGATTGCGTGCTGATTTCGAAGAGAACTAAACGTTAACCAAATTTACTGAGGGGAAATCCAATCATATGTATAGGGATATTCCGACACGAGGTAGCGAATCGAAAAAAGTAAGCAGTATGTATGCAACCCTCGAGTATCTGACAGAAAGCTGCAGCCTATCGAACCAACGACGGCACTGCCCCCTCGATGTCCCTGGCTAAGAGCTTGCCGAACGAAACAAAGACCTGACAAGCCTTGGAAGCCGCGTAACTTCAACTCATCGGCTTCCTCGGGGACGGAAAGTTATGTGCTCAAGACCGCTGGGCTACTTGGCTGGTGTTGTGCCGTGATAGAATGGCAGTTGAAAATGCTGGGGCTCCAATGAGGAAACGCGCCGGATACGATCGTATCGTATTGCTTTCCGAGAATGGTCCAAGAAGTAAAATAAAAAACTTAAAGAAGAAGAAATTTTGAAACGAAGAGGGGTTTCAGAAAGCCGGAAGGGGTGGCAGTTCGTGACTTGTCAGCTCTGGAATGTGAGAGTTCGTCATTCACTGCCAACCTCAATTGAACCGGGCAGAAGCCCCGAACACAGCAACGGGCTTCCTGTAACCTGGTGAATGCTCCCAAAGACGAATTTTCCCTTCGTCATTCTCTTGACAGCTTCATGATATACTTGGACCGAAACAGCCATTGATGCATATCTCATGAGAATGTTCCCGATTTCCATCCACCTTAACAAGAATTTCGGCGAAAAGCCTTGTCAAAAGATTCCAGAATTTTCGCCCTCAAAATCGTGAACGCGCATCGCAAATCTTGTCAAGACCAATTCAGTATGCAAAGACAAATCCAATATTCGTATCGTTGAAAGAATGCGCGTACCTGTTGTACAAAGTATCGTATCGAGGTCCGGATTTGCCGAGCAGAATTCAGGGGCTGGGGAAGCGCTACGTTGGTTGACAAGCATTGGCAAAATACATACAAATGCCGCGACTCATCACTACGAGCGTCACATCTCTTATACTGTAGTATTGTTATTATTAAATTATTCTCTACATCTTTACCCCACCTAGAAATAATGATAATGATGTTAGATTACATATCTGTGATAGTGTGATAATATATACAAGCGACAGAGTCATGGTGTCCCGTCAACTTTACCTACACCACCAACCAAGCCGACCCAAAAAAACATCCCTAAACACAGCATCATCATCACATAAGCACTTCTCCCAGCAGCACTAGTATCCTCTCCCCCTTCAGTCGCATTTCCACCAGCAGCAGGACCACCAGCACCCGATCCATCACTCGAACCCACCTCACCCATCCCACCCCAAGCACACGGCTTACCTTTCCACGCAACATCATACACATGTTCCCACAGCGCAACCGGATCCCGCACAGTGCGCGCTGTATAAAAGATCTTACAATCCGCCGGCTCAAAGATGAATTGCCTAGGAACACCAGCCTCGTCATTCGCAGGGATACTATCCCTCAGATTAATGCTGTAGGATTGCAAATCGTTGATAGATCCTAGAGGCAGCGGACGAAAACCTGGAAGAATGTCTCTGTAGGTATTTGCTGCAGGTTCTGGAATGTAAGGACGAACTTCGGCGTAATCGATGTACGCGCTTCCGAGAATTAAGGACTGATATGGATATGCTTGGGAGCCTTTGGTGCCGCCAACTGCTTGCATGGGTGCTTTTTGTGGCCGGCCGCCAACGGCTATGGTTTTGACGTTGGCTTGGTTTGTTAGAAAGTTTGCTAGAATGGAGCATGCTGATGATCTGTTAGTTATCGAGTCATATGAAGTGAATTTGTTGCTAATTACCAGAAGCACAAATTCCGTCAGTCAACAGAACGATGTTCTGGGCCTCAAACGGCTGTGGCATCTCTGCTCCATTTGCATATCCGTAAGGAACAAACCCACCCAAAGTTTCGTCGAAAAGCGTGTTATTCAACGGCAATCTACCGATTGCTGTGAAGTTGTCTCCTTTGTCCTCCACAGGTGGAAAGTAGGGTATTTCGCCAGATGTCCAGCCTGTGAAGTTCTGTAGTTCGGCATCAAGAGCGCTCCGATAATTAAATGGGGAAAACAAAGCGGTTGTTTTAAGCTGTGCAAATAGTGCACTGTCGGTCGAGTTGATAGTGAGAAGCTCCTCAGGAACATTACCCCATGTTTCGCCGTATATCTCTGCGGCTGGGTTTACACGTAAGCGTGAGCGGCCTTCGGGTTGAATATTTGGAAATAGGCGATTGAACTACGAATGTGAGCTTTTGTCACAATACTTCAAATGAGATAACACATCGAGGTTACTTACAAGATCATATGGCAAAATGGGGTTTCCTCCAGGATTGCCGCTCACGTCGATAATGAGTTTCGTTTTGTTCGCCGTTGTACAAGCACTGATGAAATCCATCACTGCATCGACGAAAGTATCGGGAGCTTCGAGTGGTGGAGCGGTACTATTGAGGAATGAGGAAATATACAACACCGCCGTGTCCTGATATTCTGTTTCATTCAAAAAGTACCCCGCCACTTGGTTGTTCACATCCTTCGCCACGGGATAGTACGGATAGCCAAGTAGCGTTGGAACGATGGCACCTGTGGCCACAGTCCTATTCGGTGTTGTTTTTGGGCTCGCTGGGACTGAGGGATCCGTAGCGCTCGACTGGGACTGCAAGTCTAGTTGTGCAGGATTGATGCAATAAATTTGAGTAAATGACTCCCCATCCACAACATTACTGGACCAAAGTGCCGCAGTGGTTATTGCATAATTCTCATACGAGATTGTTGATTCGTTACTATATGTAATGTTCGTTACGTCATTGATGGACTTGTAGATATTGGGCAACGTGAATGATCCGTGGAAGCCACTATGACTTGTCAGCGCTGAACTCCATTAGGCTTGGGAGAGAAAGACCCGGAAACTTGACCTCTACCAAAGCTCCAAAATACAGAGTTCCATGCCGCATCTGGATCAGCTGGATAATCGATGGAGAAATGTTCTAGATATTGCGTAACATTCTGTCCGTCGATGAGATCTACCGAAGACACAGAGCTCGATGCCCCTGTAGCAATGTCGCCTTAGAATCATTAGTTTGGCTCATGTCGAGGAAATCTACTATCTTACCAACCATATATATTGAAGGTGCGTCGGTTCCATCTTCAGAGACTGAAACAAAGCTGATGATAGTTTCACGGCCTCTCTGGTACCCTATTGGGGTTCTGGTACAGAGTCCTAAACCCAAATGTCCTTCATGAGCTGATGCAACTAAATTGTGCAAGGCTAAGTCCAAAGCATATTGACTAGAGAGACCACCAGACGAAATCTCGTTGGAAATCTCATCGAGACCTCCGAGAAGATCTACTGGTGGATAGAAGTATTTTCCCGGGGGATCTGAAAGGTTGTTAGTGGATTTCCAAGCAAGGTTCGCATGATTGTTACCTTTTAAGTATGCTAGTGTTGATTGAAATTGTATGTATTTTTTCAATTCTGTAACATAATCAAGGGCGAGTGTAATATTAATGGATGATGAATCTAAGCACGCACGTGCAAGAGACGGTTCGAAGAAGTATGCGCGGTCCAAATCTGCTAATTCTTAGATGGAGGGACAAAACAATGTTTGGTAAAATACTTGACTGGTTGCTGTAGAACTCAACGACACGTTCCGTAATTTGTCCACACGGACTGGTCGTGTTCTGAGATAGCGCATCGGAAATGATTCCCAAAACGACCGTTGCAGTTCTAATGATGTTACGCATTTCGCAGTCTAGATTCAACGAATGAACTCTTCAATATCTTTTGCCAACGAGTAGACTTCCAGGGGCTTGATCGAACCTAAATATCGTCGAAAAGGTCATAGTGTCTATGGTCTGTCTAGGCACGGTACCACTTTTGACGCTCTCCCCACAGTTCGCAATGCATGAGAGACTCAGAGAGCCTCATGTTCTCCACATCTGAAGCAAATTCACTGGAGTAGTTCCGAACAAGAATTGCCAAGCGGCTTAATAGTTTGGCCAGAGATCAAAACATATATCCTGACATACGGCATTGTTCGACAAGAATGACCCCAGACATGAAATAAATAGATGACAATCCGTTCGAAACGTCGTCCCATCCCACCGTTGGGTGCGAAATGCGTGTAGTTAGCCACGCTAGTATGTTTGTTGTGGACGAGCCAAGATACTAAATATCCTCCGTTGACGTAAAAAGTGGAGCATCGACTTGACAAACCAGCGAGAGTTGCCACGATCTTTTTAGCTAAGAGAGCCAAGTTCGTATCAAATGATAGCGAAGACGTTGCCGTGGTACCTGACAACAGAAACTCTTGATTCCATGAACAAACATTCAACCGAAGCGATAATCTCTAGTAAGAAGTCGTTTGACCTCATCTATGGAAAGAACACTAGGGGGCTTAGTGATCAATTGCGACAGGAAACGGAATTGAAGAGCTAATTGGCATCTATGATTCCCAATAAGCATTCGCTCGGGTCTTCTGTCTTTCAACAACAGCAGCATTTTGGCGATACTTGGGAAATGGAAGCTCCTCTTGGCAGGCGCAGTGGCCGATGCATCCCGTAGGCACTACAATTATTAGCTTCAGAGTTCCAAGGCTGCCAGTGGGGAAACTTTTGCCTCTTACTCAAAGTTATTCGCCGGTTTTGATCCAGTGTCCCAGTAGAGGATAATCGGGTATGGTGAAGAACTTTAATGGGATACGGAGCGCGACTTCACTAAACCGTAAAATACATGTCTAACGAACTTGTTGGTTTACACAATCGATCAGATATTCGATGCGCACTATTTCGCATTGGAAATTCCATGCCTAACTGTCTCGTCAGTGTCGCAGAAAGTTATTGCTGGACTTATGCTCGTAAGTGAAATCTGTTAGTCGATCATGAAATTGATAGAATGCGCTAGGATGGTACAGAAAACATGGGACTTTTACCGAAACTCCTTTAATTTCTGCGAGGACGCTCGACTGACAGATATTCGGCTTGACAGTTGTGGATTTGAAAAGGATTAAACCCTCGAGAACTTTTCACACGGCAGCTGAAAGGCAAGATTAATAGGTCATTAGAGTTATTTCTTGTTCGCCATATTACATTCAATTGTGAAAGCTTTAAGCAATTGCTTTTCGAAACCATGTTAGCCACGTATCTCCCAAGGACATGTCAGAAAATTATACAACTTACAGAAAAGGTATGATCCGCCATCGATCCAAACACAGCATCTTTTCCAAGTTTCGCCGCCGTGATCCGCGGACTTGAAATACCAAATGCAATCCTCGTAAGCAGTCTTGGATCATCCCTATCCGGCATTGCGTCCAGAACAGCTTGTAACAACCCTTGATGCATTTTAGCTGGAGGTGGTTCATGAGGTACCACAGCAGTATGCGTTAGACACCACTGACAGTGCCCACATTCCGCCTTGCCATTAGGCAAACTGTCTCCAAAGTGCTCAGCCAAGGATCGTGAAAAGCACTTTGTATCTGTAACAAGAGCTAACATCTCCTCAGCACGCGCCAGAGCGTCTTCTTCCCTCTTCTCCATGATCGTGTAAATCTGGTCTGCCAGTTTCTTGATATCCGTAGGAGTTCTCGGTAAACGGCCAACCACCTTGTAGGCGTTCAATACCCCTGAGGGCTTCAACACGAGGTCTTTACTTTCATTGAAATCATTTAGTTTCCGTACGATATCCATTCGTGGGGTACCTGTTGATGCAACAGCTTTGTCCATATCGAGATGATAAAGCTTGGATGCCTTCTTCCCGAATTGCTTGATTGCCTTTGCAGCAGGTGAATTGTCTCCGGCGATGCGACGATGGTAGCCCTCTTCGACAGTATAAGAGTACTTCGTGTACACTGGGGTCGTTGCTCTAATTAAGTGGTGATTTAGCTCCAATTGAGCGTAGATATTGGATAAGGTAGTGGGACGGATATCAAAATCTTTGCCCTGCTGGTAGTGATTGCGCCTTAATTCCGCTCCAACAGGTAAGGCAGCTGTCTCTTTGTCGAAAATGTCGCCCAATAGTCTGTGCACTGATGACTTTGAAGGCAAATCCCCTCTCGCGAACAGTTCCCGTAGGTGGAGGTCCTCGCTACAAATGTAGAACATGCAGTTGCTAATCTCTCCATCTCTGCCAGCTCTTCCAATTTCCTGGCTATATGATTCGAGGCTGCTAGGTATATTACAGTGAATAACGTTGCGAATATTGGCTTTATCAATTCCCATTCCGAAAGCGATAGTCGCCACGATGACAAGGTTGTTTTCTTTCATGAATTCCTCTTGTACTTTTGTCTTCAATGCGGTATCCATTCCTGCGTGAAACGACTTCGCCTCGAACCCTTGTCTTCGCAGGTCAGCTGCAAGCGCTTCGGTCTGTTTTTGCAGGGTGACATAGACAATCGACGGTCCAGGATTGTCATGGAGAAATGCATATAGTTCAGGTGCCAATTCTTCCTTCGTCCTGCCAGTTTTTGCAAGAAGTTTAAGATTCGGACGATATGTAGATGTTCGAAAAAGGCCCTCGGACTCATCAATGTTGAAAGCTTTGCATATGTCTGAAGCAACTCTTGGAGTCGCGGTCGCAGTTAAACATATGACTCTCTCCGCTCGAATTTCTTGGGCGAATCTTGATACTTCTACTGATCGTTAGCGAAATATATAAAGACAGGAACTTGAACGTGCTCAGATAATCTGGACGAAAGGCATGGCCCCATTCAGAAATGCAATGCGCCTCGTCCACAGCCAGAAGCCGAACCCCGCCTCGTACATGTTTCATCTGCTCCACGAATCCTTCATTGTTCAGTCGCTCGGGCGCGCAGTATAGCAATTTCAGCTCTCCATTGCGGAGCATATCGCAAGTGTGAAGATATTCTTCTCTACTCTTCGTTGAATCTAGCGTCGCAGCTTTAATTCCGCGTCTTACCAATGCGTCAACCTGATCCTTCATCAAGGCTATCAGCGGAGAGACAACCAGCGTGATCCCTCCGTCTGCCGCATGCCGTGTCCCTTCTATCTTGTCTAGCTCTGAGAACAAGAGGGCGGGTATTTGGAAACACAAGCTTTTACCACCACCTGTCGGGAAGACCACCGTCGCAGACCCACCTCGCAATAGTCTAGCAATTACTCGCTCCTGCATCAATCGAAAGGACTTCATCTGGAAGCTCTCTGTGAGCACTTGAACTGCTAGAGCAGACAGCTTCGGGTTAACAGCCAGTCTCTTCGCGGGAGGGGTTTCAACATCTGATATTCTTCGTTTCCGGCCGCCATTGCTGCCAAAGCTCTCGACTATAGCAATGCATTCGGCCTCGTCGCCAGAACTAAGACCAAAGTCTTCCTCTTCTTCAGCCGTGGAAGGCATTGCGGACGGATACTAGCGAAAGCGGAGGGATGCAAACTTATTCGTGGGCTTCAATCTGCTGGTAGGAATTGTAGCTAAAAAAAAACGCATTTATCATCTGTAAAGAAAATAGTCAGTCCTCGACCAGCCCAAGAAACGAGATGTTGGCTTTGAGAGGGGAGTATGGACTTGCCTGTGGTCCGATGCCTCCGAATACAGTGCACTACACTAATAGGCACGAATGACTGTGGGGGCCAACTTACTTAATGGTCGGTGGATTGAATTGAAAGCATCGATCGTGGCGCCGACGACAGTGTCGAAGTCGTTTGAAGCTACTTAGTATGCTACACGAGCCTGGCGCGTGATCACGTGGAGTTAACCAACTCGAGTGATTGGCTTTGCTCCCATTTCTTTGTCGTCGGCATAAAACGTTCGCAGTCTACCTTCCATCGTCGTTCGCGTCCAATTACAACTATGGCTTGCAGCACAAAGGCCACATGCTCTACATTAATGATGGAGGCACACGACGATGCTTTGCAGACGACTCTGCATCAATATCTCAAAGTCATAAGCTATGAACTCCGCGAATTGGCGCACGAAAAAGGAGGTGCCAGAGGGCACACAAGAGTGTAAAGATATCTCGCGGTACAAAACCGTATACCAGACATTGAGGAAGGATTCAAAAGACGGGCACACGAGGAGCACCCGGGCTACGCAATGGAGGCAATCGGGCGAGCAGGATGAGCAACCTACCCCAAGAGGTGTTGGCTGGGGAGCGATTCCACAATATCCAGGAAGGAAATCAAGCTATCCAGGGGATCGAGCTCCGTCCAGCAGGAGATTTTCCGCGCCTACGGTGAGGCCAGCAGTGCCAGTTACGAGGGATCCTTTGGCAGACCGATGCATTGAGGAAGGTCGCCGAATATATATGGGCAATATGCCATACGATGCAACATTGGAAGACATACACACCTTGATTGTAGACGTGGCTCATGCCCTTCAAGACATCAGCATGTCTGTTGACCCAATGACGGGTAAGAATCCTTCGTACTGCTTCATCGATTTTGTCACAGAAGCAGATGCGCATCGAGCCATTCAACAGTACAACGGAGTTGAGTTCCTGGATCGGCAGCTCAGAGTCAAACCTGCAGTAAAGCAAGGATCTGGCACTCGGAGATACCACATCGGAGACGGGAGTATAGGACAGTTTAACTGTAGCGAAGACACGGGTCTTTTTGTTGGAAACAAAGATTCTAGCCCATATGCATTCAATCATTGGCGTCGGATGGACTCGAGGCTTGACGTCGAACAGTTAAACAATTCTGCTCAGGAGGAGTGCCGTCGTCTGTATGTTGGAGGGCCTCCAAGATTCCCCAATCAAGCAACCACCAACCAGCAAATTATTGAGCTGTTTGAAGGCTATGATCTCCAAATTGTCAGCAAGTTGATTTCACCTCATGAATCTGTCAACCAGCATCTTGGCAACCACTACTATTGCTTTGTCGATTTGGGATCGAAAGAAGACGCCGAGAAGGCTGTGGCGGCGCTGGATGGAATCGAGAAGTGGAACTGGAACATCATAGTTCGTCATTCTTCAGGTCGTTCAGGCAAGATCCGCGAGCGGCAGCGGGTGTATCTAGACGGACTTCCATACGTCGACACAGAGGAGGAAAAGGTCCATTTGATCAGCGAGATCGAGCAACTTCTTGGGCCATACGGGAGCCCGAGAGTCGTAGCAGGATCTTTACCGACCCTCGGCAAGACAGCAAAACTGGTTCACCAAATCGGTGTTATTGTTTCGTTGAATTTGAAACCCCAACAGAGGCGGATGCGGCAATTCGAGCATTGTCGAGCACAGGGAACTTGGGTCGGTCTATTACGATGAATGCCAAGCTTAGGGGCGTGCTGGAAGATTGATCTGTTGCTCTGCGGTAGTTGATCGATATGCATTGCCAAGCTAGTGCGAATGATCGTTTAGCCAATGGAAATGAACCTTTTGTGTGCAAGAGTTGTGATTACAATAAAAAATGTTTTCAGTTTCAATCTGACAATCTTTTGCAACGGCCTCGTTTGACTTATGCTAGAAATCTCTGTCGGAATGATCGTGTTGGGCACTTTTTAATCACCTCGATTTATAGCCATCACTAGAACTTAGATTGTTTGAAACCTTGTAAGCTTCAAAGTCGAACGTCGTGACCAGATTGGATATGTTTCAGTAGTGTCTGTTCAATTGTCAGGTTCCAAAGGGCCACTCCCTAATCCAAATTTCCTTCTCTGTCTCGTTCGTCGCATACTCTTCGATGACAGCATCTCTGACTTGCGTCAACGCCCTAACGGCCTCGTCATAGAGCTCATGTTTGATAGCGCCCTCATTGGGAAACAACGGGCCAACAGCGTCTTTCACACGATCCATAGTCTGGAAAGCTTTCCTCCACGCCTCAAAATCAGCCAGAATTTCCTGCATCTCCTCTGGTGAGAAAGTAAATGGATATGGCTCCTTCGGAGAGCTAGGAAGATTGTGCCATGTGTTTTTGAGGTCAATGACATGATTCATAAAGCTAATATCGCCGTCCAATAGCATATTTCGTGCCACAACTAGTAAGGTATACGCATCTGTTTGTTGGAAATCGAGCGCGGCGTAGATACGTTGGTCGTCACGGTGAGCCCAGTTGTTATACACAGCACACAACGTCCTTTCCCAAAATTCGGACATCACCCATCTTTTTTCTTCAGGCTCCATATCTTTCGTGTCCGGCATCACAGGTCGTTCAATTCCGGTAAATGCTGGCCCCTGATAGTCGATGATCTGGGGATGTTGGGCTTGAAAATACAGCGGTGCTATGTCAGTCGACTGCCAATCTATTATGCTAAGAATCGTACTAGGGTCTTCGGGGTCCACAAATACATTTCCAACGTGGAGATCGGTGTGCCAGAGGCATGGTGAGCCGATGGAAGAGAGTTCTGGGGGGGAAGAAGCAACGGAACGAGCTTAAGATAGTACTCAAGTACCTTCAGCTTTTTCTCTTTTGATGGAGTGTAGGTTCCTGGACCGCTGAGAATAATAGGTGATTTGGGTAGGTGGGGCAGCTGTTGAGTTGCAGCAATTTCTCGTAGTCCAACTGCGGTGTGGTATTTATCGATTGTGTCCCCTGTGGATACATGTTAGCCGCGGTTTTTGTAGTCAAATTGAGCAGGAGCGTCTACATGGCCCTCTGTCAAACTCGACGTTTATTTTACCATAGTCCACATAATCTCGGCCAGTAGCTGGACCGACAGCGAACTTTTCATTCATGACCTCAATACCGTTTGCGTCAGTATACAAACACTCTCTGTTAGTCTCTATATCATCCGTGTAATACAGACTTCCAAATTTTCGAAACGAAACGGACGACCAAGAAGAATTGAGTTTGAAGATGTTCCTGACGAGCGTGCTTCGATTCTTCATTTTCATCCTGGGCCACACGGATTGAAGTGAAACGCCGGGTGCCTTTTCCATAATGATGTATTCGGCGCCGACGGAATTTCCCTGTGCTTTTGAACTCCATGCTAGGACTTTGGGGACGGGAGTTCCCAGTGTTTTCCGAACCTTCTCGCGTCAGTCAAGGTCTTCGGATGAGGATAGGAACTAAAGACCTACAAAATCCATCGTAGCAACCTCACTAGCAGTAGTGAAATGCGATCTCCCAGCATTTGGACTCGGCACCTTAGCTACGACTTGTCGGCCATCATCCATAGTAAGAAGCATTGCTCGATTAAATTGGCCATCGGGATACTTTTCAATACTGACACATGATTGCGCTCCTATGGAGTCCGTGGCGATCCGCGCTAGCTCGTTTACATTGAAGTAACGAGAACGTTCAGCTAGTTCTTGTTTCTCGTTAACGAGAAAACGGCGGCGGGTGTATGTGAAGAGGTCGTTGGTATGTGGTAGGTTCTGGGGTTGTTAGTGGGGTTGTGGCAGCGATGATGGTGGGAGACTTGCTTGGAAGTGCGGACTTGAAAGATTGGGCTCTACTCTTGTTCTCGAGACCAATCTCTCCCGCTATGAAGATGCATTTTCGGTCATTGCTCAAAATTCCAATTCCTCTTTCACAAAGTCGCCATCCCACTGAGCGTCTGCGCATGACCGTGCTCACTGCTCAACGTCCCGCTGAAGACCAAGAAGTATAAAATCTCACTTCTTATTACCGGCGCTCATTTCATAGTCAAAGAGACTATAACAGTTAATGTTAGAACATCATGGCTCTCTGTGGCTCGCGTCGTTGTTCGGCGAATGTCTGTTTGGGTCTGTTCAGGGGACGTTCGGCTGCCTACAACGCTAAGGCCCACTAATCGGTTATTTACAGGGGCGCGAAAATAGGCTGTCAAATTTTCCGGGCGCGAAGCAATAACAACGACAACAACGACAACAGTGCTACAACAACTGGAGATATCATGTATCGACTGCACCGACACTAAAACTTGAATGTCAAAAACCTTTCACGGCGACATCAATTGTCTTTACTATGCCAACAATGCTATCATGAGAAGTGATCACCCCCCAGAATTCATCATCGCTGACACAACGTTGTAACACTCGAAGCTATATGGGAAGAAATGTAAACAATTCCTGGGCTTCCTCTGATAGAGTCACGATAATCCTGGGGGAGATTCTGTCAACGATAAGATACAATTTCTCACCTTATTAATCACATTCGTGGCCAAGCTTCAGACCGACTTTTAGTTTTCATTCTCTCCAGATGCCCGCTACATCTAACTTACCACCACGAAGTATGAGTGCAATCGCTCCTAGAGCACATAAGCGCCCTTTTTATCTGACTCTTTGGCTATATCAAATACAAGTTGTAAAATCTCGACACCACGGTATCAGTTACAAAAAATCCCCAAATACGTCCTCGAAATACCCAAGAACGCCGAACACCCAAGAAAAGCTTTTCCACTTCAATAACTTCTATAAACATCATACAAAATTCCACTTATCATCTTCTAGTGGCCACCAGCTGCGACAGGAGCAGCTACAGGAGCAGGTGTCATGGCGATAGCTGGGTCAGAAACTACTGTAGCAGAAACTGCGGGAACTGCGGGAACTGCAGGAACTGGAGCTTTTGGGCCACCTGGAACAGCCTTCTGGATATTCACGGTTCCTGGATTTGCTTGGATATAACGAGAATTGTACTTGAGAGTTCTCTTGACCTCGTTGTAGGTCTGGACGTCGACTGTAAGGACCTGGGTGCTGACGAGCCATTCTACACCTTCAGTGCAAGGAGGAGTAGTTAGGGATCCAAGGTACCTGCGGTTTGTCAGTAAAAGACAGATGTAAGAATTTTTGAGTTTTTAAGATCAACACACCTGAATACTTGGCCCTCGCTGAATCTTTTAGCAAGCTCGGTCAGATCCAAGTCGGCTATCTGCGCAACAGAATTTGGAGCCTCCACTTGAGCAATCTGACCCAGTGTGACGTTGAGCAAAGGATAGTTCTCACAACCGACTTCAATCATGAAGCCAAGTACCGCGAGTTTTGGTTTATCGCCTGCGTTTCTTTAGCTGACTTACTCATCATAGAGGAGTTCATTTTGTTTAACATACCCTTGGTCTTGTGAACAAAGTGGACCTCGATTGGAAACATCTCCCCCTCGATGTGATGCTCGCTTGGAACATGGAAATGAAATTGAGCCAGGTAGTACTCTTCACCCTTGAGTTGAAGAGTGTTGTCCTTGGTCACAGCATCTACCTGAACTTGGGCGGTATGATGAGTGTTCGAGAACTTAACATTGGCCACCTTTCCGTACTTCAGAGGATATCCAGATGCCGCCTCGACCTTTGCGACTTGCTGGTTAAGATCGATAGGTGTTTGATTCAATCCTTCGCCACAAGCTTTGTTGGCCTCAGGGTCCATATTGTACCAAGCCATCGGTCCATCGGTCGCCCCATACGCCCACAAAGGACCTTCCGGTGCAGTCCCATTTCCTGGTGCTGGTGCCTCACGCTTGGTCATATGGCCAAGCTCGGTACAAGCTTGAGCTGCTACAATAAGCGCAGATGCAACGAGGGTATTCGATAACAACATGTTGAGCGGTCTGTAAGAATTGAAGAAAATGTCAAGAGAATTGCAAAAAGTAAGTACAGAAATGAGAATAGAACGCTTGATTGTTTCGATAATGAAGCATCATCATCGTGGCGTGCGATGACTATATACCAGGAGACAATGATTGCAAACTCGTCTCTTCCTTTGCCAAGTCGATATTGACTGAAGTTATTGGGGAGTGATCATATTATGTTGGGTGGCCGAGTCCAAACCGTCAGGAACTATACAGTTGTTACACGCTGCTATTCTTGGTCCGTATAAGTACAACACAACTTTCGCGATTCCCTCACGAATACCAGTACGTGGGAGACATGGGGAGAAATACAAGCAAATGTAGCGACCGAGTACGTAAGCGAGGAAAACCCAACGGGTGGGAATTTTCCAGGAGCAGGCGCACATCATCTGATGTTGTTGCTGCGGTTGCAAGGTTGTTCCCTTAGCTTTTACCGAGACTGCTGACGGCGAACTTGGCGGTTTATTGGGTTGGTTCGTGTATTCCTTTGCGCTGAGGATGGTGATGTGGAAGGGGTGGCGGCGCAGTTACAACAACCATCCTACAGGCTTACGAAGCCCCAAATCTCAGGTGAGCGTTGATGCGACGATATGAAAGAAAAGCAACAGCATCCAGTGTCGCAGAAAGTTGGTTTGTTTACTCCGGTGATCGTGAGTGATTTTCGGCGTGGAATGGAAAATGGGATACATGTTGGCGCGAGGAATGTCGGCGAATTATAGCCATAAAAAACTAATAAACTCAGCGTGAATCGATTGGTCACTTCATACAGTACAAGTACTTCTGCCATTACAGCGGTCTGATCTATTTATCTCAACTACCAACTCGAGTTAGCCTCTATTCGACAAAATGGGCGGGTGGATTAAAAAGCTGAGTAAGGCACTCAAGAACATTGATCCAACCAACAAGGACTCCACCATTCGTGATGAGGCATCAAGATTCAGTAACAGCGTACGCCAGCCTCTATGGGAACTCTCTGCATGGTTTGATTTTCCCGACGATGTTGCGGCTGCTACTCGAGCCTACATTGTAGACCTAGACAAGCAGGCGAAAGACAAATACAAGCCTCTGCCACCGTGGCTACGAATGGTGTTGGATGACTTGGACGCCTACCCGATCGAGATCAACAACATTTTTTACGCGGAGGGTATCGATACCAAACATGGAAATTCAATCACAATCGGAGCGATCATTTACTTTCCGCGCGCAATCAATCTTGATGACAAGATTAATCACTCGAGGGAGGACCTTTGCACGATGCTTCATGTCCTCGAGCACGTTGTCCAGTATAAAAGAGAAGGCGGAGTAGGGGCGCTTCTTCACAAATACTTTCTTCAGCCGCTGGTCAGCGCTGTCGCTCACGGCTCTTCTGCAATCAACATTCATGGTAATGAAGAGCTCGAAAAGGATGCAGAGAATAAAGCTAGTGGCCTGATCGAACGAGTCACTGTGGCAGCAAATGATATTCCCGTCGAGTATCCAGCAGCGGTAGTGGTAAATTCAACAGCTGGTGGCGGTGGGGGCGGAGACAGACCTTCGACTTCAGGACGCGCAATGGAAACGGAATAGTTCTAGAGTCTTGAGAGTAACGCGTAGCTGGACAATACATGTCAGTAGATCTTCATTTCTTGCATCTTGTTGTCTCACTAACAGGTTGCAGAAATGATACAAACACTCGAATCGCGATGTTGTCAAAAGGAAGAAAGGAGTCGCAGCTTATGGTTGAGATTCTTTTGAACAATAAAACTTACTTTTGGTAGCAAGATTAGTCTCTTTGGTTTTTTGAAGAAGTTGCGAAGATTCTCCTGGCGGAGAACTTCAACGGTTCTGATCAAAAAGCCAACAAGTCTGAGTCCACATTTTCGCCTTAACTTTGATGATTTACTCAAGTATAATATGCTGTATTTGGTCTTCATCCAAATTTTACTGCACTTTCTTAGTTATTGAGTCATTGTGTATTTTCTTTCTTTTGCTTTTTAGAATCGAAACTCTAATTTTCTTTTAAACAATGAAAACCGAATTACAATTCAAGATTTTTCCTATGTATGACGATAATATACTTGACACGAGTGGTAGAGTGACCACTGAATAAGTCATGTATAAAATAAGCAACACCCAATCCACCTTCTGCCTTGCCGAAGAATCGACTACTTTCTTCCGGGCTATAAATGATTCTAAGCCAAGAAGCACTAGGCAACACTTAGATTGCACAAAATCGCACTTTGCATTGCTTGAACGCTGCTTAGGTATCAACTCATTCCATAACAGTCTGTGTTCAAAGGTTCTCGCTTAAATCTTACTCTGCCCGACAAACAAAACCTGAGGTGGTTGACGATCCGACAGCTGATATAATTTCGCTTCAGCCTAATAAGACTTGGTTCAGGTATCTACCATCTATTGATTTGCAAAGGATTTTGTCATCTTTGCTTGGTAAATCCTCGAAATTGGAATACCGAGCAAAAAAGCACTTCGTCTAGATATATAATGTATCGTGGATATTTCCCTTTCTCTTCCCTCTCTGTAGTATCGGTCTAGCTTCATATCATTGACTTCTGCTTTGCATTTTTGTCGCATCATATCTATTGTGAACTATGGTCTCATCAACGATGCTCGTAGTGGGAATTTCTCTTCTCGCATGCGTAAATGGTCTGGCTGCACAAGACTTAAAGAGAATGGAGTCCTCGCTCCGCTCAGTCGACATCAGTTACGACAATACCGAATCTGACCAAAGCGTAAGTTTCTTCAATTCTGCCAAATCAATAGACGCGAACACCGAGAAATAACAACTCATTTCAATATGTTCAGCATTGACGAGAGATTAGGAGAATTGCCTCGCACCACGGAGAATGGCTACAGACACCTTGTGCAAAACTTGCGTGTCTCCTCGTCACGAAAAGTCGGAAAATATCAGCCGTAACACGACCGTCATATCTACTTCTAGGAGCAATTCTCCAACTTCAACAATTCATAAAACCATGAGCTCGACGGTGAAAGTGTGTGGACAATCCATCTCAGCTTGTCCTCCAGGTAGCGTTACCACGAGACAAATACCTCTTCAAACGACAGCCACAGCAAAGAACTCGAAAGTGAAAAGCGTCGCTTCCCTACTGCTCCCTTCGGGTTGCATCAATAGTAGTAGATCTATTTCAAGTTGCCGACCTTGTCAGACGGAAAGACCACGCAAATCAACTCGGTCGAGATCAAAAACAAGTAGCCAAAGTCATATTCTTACAGCTGTAGGGTCTGGCCCTGCAATAACTCTTGCAACTTCGACTAGCTCTATGCTATCACCTTCTTCGTCACCCATACAGGCGAATCATGGAACAGTGAACGGGATATCGATGGGTTTGCCGATGGTGTTTGGTGCGGGTGCTTTCATTTTGTTCTTGTAAAAGTCTTTGATGTTGGACTATATACCGTTCTGTTAGAGAGCATAGAAGGCGATGATAAAAGTGTTTTTGGTTCTAGAATCATGACTGGTCAAAGGACCGCGTGGGGGCCGGAATGCGAGGGTTCTGGATTTGTTTATCGAATATCCGTGTAGATTATGATAGAAGAGATTCATGTCAGAAATAATGGAAAAGCGCCGTATAACATGAACGCCTCCAAGAATCAACCTAATTTCGGCCCATTCGACTATACATTGTTGACCCCTTCATATTTTTCCTCAAAGTCTCAACCAACCCAACCCCCTCCGAACCCATGTCAACCTTCTCCATTATCTTTCCTGTACACCATCACATTAGAATACATCACAGGGGTAAATATTTGAGAATCACATACCTAGACCAATTGGAGGCATGTTACCATAGATAGTCTCCCAGCAACCTTTTGGTGAATAGTATGTTTCGTGAAAAATACCCATGTAACGGTACTTTCCTGCATTATAGGCGTTTCTACCTAGATTATGAGCTGCTGATGTTGCAAACTTTTGCAGGCCTTCCAGGTCTTTCCAGTACGACAACCAGAATGCTGTGACACCCTGGGAATCGGATGTATCGAACAACGTTGCACTTCTTCCAAGATCTGCACAAAATCTTTAGAGCGTCAAATACAAAAAGGCAGTCGTGTTTTACTCACAGCTCCATTCATCGCTGTTAGCTTCAGCTTCTTTCCACATATCTTTGAACACTTTGTCGATTTCTGGACTGCCAGGAGCGAGTTTTCCGAGAGGACTAAAACAGGTCAGAAAATTCTTGGCCTCTTATTGATTGTCGTCTCGCAGGATGACTTACTGATTAATTCTCGCACCCAACAAAAACATCACTACTCCGTCCGATGTTGCTGTTTTCTTCGATCCCTCGCTTGGTTCAGAAAACTGGGTGGACCAACGACCGAATCGGATGCCCTTAAAGCTGCCAGTGAATATGTTACGGCACGCAATCCAGACACGAATGACGAGTTGCAAAAGATAAATTAGAGGTAGCCAAAAGGCCAAGTTCATAGGCATTAATGTCTGGCTGAGCAGCTGTAGACCAGCGCCCAACGCTAGCCATGTTGCGACTGAGAAATCGGTGGTTTCCAACAGGTCGCCGAAGTCGTCTTTGAAATTCAGGTATAAGGCGCGAAGAAAAGTCATATTGATCTCCTTGCGAACCCAGATTGCTGCTGTAAGCTTGGTGAGTTTGATGATGATTCAGATCGTTGCGTGCGGGGAAACGTGGCGAGAGATAAATCACGAAGTGAGAGTGATATCGTTGGATGACGTTGGAAAACTCTGTTGGCCAAGAAATATCATAGTGATTATCAAACAAACCTCGTATGTATTGCCAATAATTGGTAGGCACAAAATGACTTCATTCACCTGGGCGTGTTGGCCCATCTCGCTTAATGTTTGTACTCCCTTCTGTGAGGTTGGTGGGCACACAATTCACCCAGATGCATCCATTTAACCGATCCATACAAGTAGTGAATCCAAAAATATTGGCTTACGACCAACAGTTGGACGTGTTGAAGGAATTAATCCATCGTATCTGCAAACCAACTGAGAGGTTACAGGAGGCGGGAAAAGGATGTTCTTCATGAAAATACCCACCAGCCTCAAGCTTGAATTTTGGTCATCTCCAAAAATTCTTGCTAGACCCAGTGTGGCCACAACCATACACTTGGGGTCAAATTCTTCACATTTGACAATACAATGGGCGGCTACTTAGGTTTCATGTACCGTCAACTTACCTACACCCCAAAACCACTTCCTCAAGATACGTCCATCTCCGGCAACACAATCCTCGTCACCGGCGCCAACATAGGCCTAGGCTACGAAGCCGCTCGCCATCTCGCTTCTCACAGCCCATCGCGTCTCATTCTTGCAGTACGCAATATCACCACAGGAGAAGCTACAAAAGAAGCAATCTCCAAAGCCTCACCAGATTGCAATATCGAGGTGTGGCCTTTGGATTACGATTCCTATGACAGTATAATAGCATTTAGCAAGAGAGCGGCGACACTTGAGCGTCTCGATTATGTTCTTCTGAATGCTGGTGTAAAACAAGTGACATACACGACCGCTAGTTCGGGCCACGAGACGAACATTCAGATTAATCATATCTCAACATCCTTACTCTCACTATTGCTCCTTCCCATCCTTCAAGCGACTGCGAGGAAAACCAATAAGCCATCCCGCCTCACCCTCGTATCAAGCGAAGGCCATTTCTGGACTCCCTTCAAAGAACGTACCGCACCTAGCATCCTGACGCGTATGGACGAGAAAGAAACGTTTAGGGATGAGATGGAGCGGTATAACACGTCGAAATTGTTGAATGTGTTATGGGTACGCGAGCTTGCCAGGAAGGTGGATGGGGCAGAGGTGCTGATCAATACATTGAATCCTGGTTTCTGTCATAGTGGCATTCATCGTAATGGGGGTGGTATGATTAATTTGTTCTTGTGGTTGCTTGGGTGGACGACGGAGCAGGGTGGGTATTGTTTGGCGGATGCGTTGGTGGGACATGGAGATTCTCATGGGAAGTATATTAGTGAGCAGAAGATTACTGAGTATGTTCTCCCTCCTGGTATGGTTTACGGTTACGATGAATGCTGATGTTCCACGTACAGGCCATCCAACTTTGTTCTGTCGGAAGAAGGTGAGGTAGCGCAGAGGAGAATATGGGATGAGACGGTTGATTTGTTGAGAAAGGAGGCACCAAAATCAGATATCGTGATCCCATGATTTGGATGCATTGTTGCATAATAGTAGGATACTAAATAATTCGTGGCATCCCAAGATTAATGGCAACGGCTTCCGCTTTTGGTTGGTTCTTATCAATCTACGAACCACCAGCAAGCTAGTCAACGTGCAAAGCTCTTGCAGAGATTGGGGCACATACTATCAACAAGTAGCACAGAGCATGACGAAACAGTAATGAACATACAAAAGATGTCAAGGCACCCCATCAAACCACTTATCCCCCAGCAATTCCCTCGCAGTAGGCCGATCTCTCGAATCGAACTTCATAACCCTCAGCAAAAACTCTCTATCCTCTTCCGTCAAACACTCATCCTCAATATACTTAAAAGACTTCCCTTTGTTATTATCAATAATCCATTGAGTTGCAGCCGCCAAGACAGTCCATCTTTCCGTATCCTTCATCGGCATAATTTCAATGAAGGATTTAGGCGTGGGACCGAAGTAAACAAGCTGCTTTATGATGATGTGGATGATGTACCCTGAGTCGTCGGAAGTGGCGTCTGAAGGGTCAGGCTTAAACATTTGCCAGTTGAGACCCCAGATGAGACTTATAAGCTGGGTAATCATGAGCGACATTCAATTGGTAGTCCGGGGACGTCGCAAATGAGTATGAAATGAGCATTACTTACTGTTGCACCATAGGACCAAATGTCAGTTGATTGGCCCCATCTAAGCTGCAGCATGGCTTCAGGACTTCTGAAAATGGCGGCTCCCACATGAGGGCCGTCTAATCCGATCTTGAGATACTCCTTGGGATCAACACGAAGGACATCACCGAAATCGCCTAGCCGAACATCGCTGAAACGAGATGCTCCAGTGCCGTAATTTACGAAGATGTTGTCTGGCTTGATATCTAGATACAGCTTGTAAGCCATAGGCCGGTTCACATAAGAATTTCTGGTTCTCTGAGCGTACCAGTGTGTGTATAACCCGCTTCGTGTAAAGCCGCAATCGCTTGCAGCACTCTCTTCGCCACAAACTTCACATCCGCAGGTTCCAATGTTTTGAGATGTGATGCATGCAGCACATCAGCATCTAGATGTTGCAAAATTAAACACGGAGGATGCATGACCTCGTCGATCAGCTGCCGAATTGAGGCATGACCATGAAATCGTTTTAGAATTTGTCTCTCATTTTCAAGTCGTCCTTGTGGGGCTGTTTTGACGATGAATTTTCCTGCCTGGATGGTGCCGCTTCTGTGACTCTCAGTAATGAGATGATCAAGTTTGGAAGTAGACTCACGTCGCAGTCCAAACATCTTTCACTATCTGAGCGCCGACTAGATAAGTTCCAATTTTTCCTTCGAGTCGCTGGCCAATCTTTATGGCAGCAGCCATGATCAACTTTCCCGTTGCATCGAGAAGATCGTGTAACAATTTAAATCAAAATTTATGTTGAAGAAAGGATATAAGATTTTGTCGGAGGGGAGAATGTGTATTTGCGGACGATTTTCGGAAGTCCACCACAACGGGACAAGTCACGTGCGAACATTCAGGGGTTGGCTTCCATGTTGCTTTGAACAAAACCAAAGATGTCGTCCATCTAAAGATACAACCCTATCTTTGGCTCTACACACCAAATATCCTCTGAAACGTGAAGAGTTTAGAACGAGCTTAATTTGAGTGGGACGAGTCCCCTTTTTTCACAATTACTCTTCTTCTTTCCGCTTATCATCTTCCTCAAGGAGTGCAATCAGATCCGCCTTCTTTGCCGTTGCCTTATGAGTAATACCTCGATCACGACATATTCTTTCGAGCCCACTCATATACAGCCCAGTATAATCGAGGACTCCAGTATCAAGCCATTTCAGCATCCCGGCTTTGGTGCCCGAACCACCTGGCATGCCCCTTCGGTCACAGATCTCGCGGAGGTTTCTTTCATCTCTTGAAGCCCAATGAGAGTCACTCCAGTCATAGTCACAAGTAGGAAAGGCTGGTCGATCAGTCTTTGCTTGCTCTCCTTCTCTGTAAATTTTGTCTTCTCGTCCATGCCACTGGAAGTCGGCCTTCTTCCAATCCTTTTCGAGAACAACTGGGTGACCAACTCGTTCCTCGAGTTCTGCTTTCTTGGAGTCGAAATCTGCTTGCAATTCTTTCCGCCTCTTAGGATCAAGGGGGGTTTTATTGTAGGGGTTGCCTTCACTTTCGTCTAGCATTGAGTCGAGAACCTCTAATCTGACCCAAAGTTTCATATCCCCATAGTTAGCAGCATCACGATCAAGCGCATCATTGGCAATCAACCGCTCAATCTTGTTAGCTTTGGTTCCCGAGGCAGCATATTTACTATGACGACCTCTCAACAAATCGCTGATCTCATCTGACGTGAGTTGGTCATAATTTGGAGGATTCCGTTGAAGCAGAGTGATCATTTCTTCTCTTGTGCAATTATCTGGTAGTCCGCGGTCGCGGAGAATGACTTGCAACTTGCTGTTGTCTTTGGTTGTATAGTCTATTCCATCATCAACACGGCTTTCTTCTTCATCCCCCGAGACTGATTCATCAGGTGGTAAAATTTCATCAGTGACGTGTACGAGAAGGTGCGGGTTGAACAGTGTCCATTCTCCGGCTGTCCATAAAGGCTCTGAAGATTTAGTGTCCGTTTGGCATGTTGGCTGGTCTTCATCGGTGGGTTCTTCCTCATCTGTATGCTCGTCTTGTTCCAGGGCCTTCGAAATTCGCTGCATGATCAAAGATGCCCTGGCTGAAAGCTTTGTTTCTCGCTCAATCGTTAACTTTGCAGAGACTGGCCTATCCACTTTACGTGACAATAATGCTTCTATTTTACTCCGTTCTTTCTCGGCAGACAAGATTTCCTGATCAAATTCTTTCACATCTTCATCTAGAAGTGCTTCTATCATTTCTTCTCTATCTTCTGGAACATAACAAACTTTCTCTTCTAATAGCGCTTTTAATTCCGCATCGTCCGAATTCTCGTAGGCATTCTCTTCAAGGATTGCCTCTCTCTCGTTGGAGAATTCTGTGATAGACTCGTCGAGCATAAAGAGTTTCTCAAATATCATTTTCTCCACATCATTGCCCGTATCTCGGTCAATTTCATCGTTTAGCATGACGCTTGCAATCTTAATAGCTTTTTTGCCATCTACATTCCCAGGTGCCCGCCGCTGTCTGAGAATTTGGGTGAGTTCAGCACTTGTCCTCAGCCCGTAATTCGCGGGATTTTCTTCCAGTCGCTTGATCATCTCCTCTCGTGTACCCTCAGTTGACAGTTGTCGATCGCGAAGAATGGTCACAAGCTTCTCGTGATCCTTCGTATAGTAATTGATGCCTCTTTTATCGATGCTATTGAGGACTCGCAATGTATTCTTGTATGTCATCGATGATTGGTTTTTCTGGACCGCGGATGGCTCCATGACCACTCGTTCTTCGGAAACCGGTTCCCCATCTTGCTCGGCCTTTCTTAATCGCTTGGCCAGTATCTGCTTAGATCCAGTATGCGGTATGTTCTTTGCCTTTGCCTCCTTGACCAAATCAGTCTTCCACATGGACTCATAATCTTTGTTGGCTTTGGGCGATTCCGTTTCTTTCGTCCGCTTGCTCTGGGACTTTAACGCGTTAGGATCGACTTCGGCTAGTGGTCGCTTTGTGCGCGGCATATTGGGCTGGGTGATGAGGTTATGGATGAACGATTGTTTGGCACAATATGAAGAATAAGGTTTGTATTTGGAACCGTGAATCTGTTGATAGAAAAGGAGAGGGTTGCTGGTTGTTGTTGTCATTAACACCGTTTTAGTCTCGCCGTGCGACGCGACTGATCGGCAAATGACGTCGACCAGCCAAAGAGCGCGAGGAGCTGGGCCTCCCCTCTTCCCCGCCTTTTCCTCCCCTTTTCCTTGTCGCTTCTGCTGAAAGCGTATTTGCTAGTTTGTTTTATTTTACTTTGCTTTGTTTTCGTTTGAAAAGATCAACACTGTCACGCTGTTTGTTTACTTTTCCTATGGCGTCGATTCCTCATAATTAATAAAATATGTGGTCGTTGACAGATAGTTATTTTAATTCGGAATTTAGGGCACCTGCCTTCCCGAAATCATTTTCATACGAAGGACTATTCGAGAATCAGTTGTAGCCGAGTATAACTATTGTGGGGTAGTTAAATATGTACTTCAGTACGAGTTCCCTTTAACCCTTGCTTGTGTGTTGGCTCACTGGCTCAGCCTGCATTCATTTCGAGTGACCCAATCGGATCGAACAGCCTGCGCTTTCCAACATTCTTGTTGGACACGATACTTGTACAGCAGTACAGGAGCTACGGAGCAACTTTTATAACTTTGGGCGAACCTCCCATTGTGCCAAACCGAAGAGCCCTTGAAGCTACCGCTGTTACCACCCAATAGGACTCCCGCCACGAACTTTCCTTCTCAGCGCGATATTGGAGACCTCAATCATGGCTAAAGAAATCAGACTTTGCGCATATGAAGAGACGCCAGACGTGGTTCCGGAGTCTTCATCGCCTTTCAAGTTCACCAGCCTTTCGCGAGAGATTCGTGACCAGATTTACGTATGGGCACTTGTCGCCCCATCTCCAATCATCGTTTGGAAAGGTCAATGGGGCACAGATACCGACAAGACCAGGCGCTTACATTCTTACACAACGTTCACAGATGTTGTCCAAATTCGTAAAGAAACTCACAGACGATGGATTGATCCTTCTGCCACAAAACACAGCCTTGCAGAATGTTCGACTAATTTATTCTTCTGTAATAAGCAGATTGGAGAAGAAGCCGCCAAAGTGTTCTACCGAAAGAATGTGTTTGCCTTCCTCGGAGATCACAATTGGGACCCTATTGTCTCTTGGCTTACAATGATCAATAATCGAAACCGAAATCATCTTGCGACGCTAGAATTTAAAGCGTATCGCCCCGAAGAAGTCTGGCAGCGTCCGAACGGCGAGCGGGATACCCGCGAAGAAGATTCTAGAGAACCCGATTACCCTCGTAATCCGCATCTTCATTTCAGTACTCCTATCAAGTACGGATTAGTTGAAATCATCAATCCTGCAATTGAAGAAATCTTCCAATTACTTGGGCAGCAAAAAACATCTACACATAAAGTCACGATTAACTTTAAGTTGAGATATAATTATCCAGGATGTGGATGGGTTGTTGAAGAAGGTGATCACTATCCGCAAGATGGCTGGTGCAGTATGGACTTACCAAATCTGGTGGAAAAGTTCAGAACGCTCTATTCGCCCAAGTCACTTGTAGACGTGATTTGGACCGGGAAATGTCCAAAAGAGATTGTGGGAAGGGGAGACAGGGATTACACTCGGACGTCTATTGAAGTCCATCTTGAAAATATGAAGAACAAAGGCTGGGAAGTCGAAATATCGCCAATGGAAGGGGACAACTGGGAATGGGCTCTTTACGATAAGTACGATGCCGAGGACAAGCATATTCCGAGTATGGTGCTGAGAAGAATGCCCCTCAAAGAGCCCTTGATAGGCGATGATCCGAACCCATGGGCAGGCGCGTTGAGAAGGCTCAGTTCCGAGGAATACGAGCTTGAAAAGACCAATCATTATTATGATTGACAGATACCTCCTTCGACGTTTAGAAAACACGGATCCGAGTTTTCAAACACCAGCTGCCAAAGTACCTGATGAGAGGCCTTCCATAACCACGAACAGATTAAATCGGTTATATTGTTCCATTGTCTGAGCAATTGCAACTGGGCGATTGGGACTGAACGGTTCATTGTGTGGCAGACATCCCGCGCACATCCGTCAAATGAGTACAGCTTATCCATGGATTTGTTTTTAAAGATTGATTTCATTTTAGCCGGGTAAGGGGCATTGTTAGGTACAAGTTGTATACAGCAATGAATTGTTCAGATGCTATTAGAACGAGAAGATAAGCCCAAGTGTAAATTTCAAATGCTGCAAAAAATTAGGCACGCCTGCACGCCTATTGTAAATACAAGTACACAGCCAAAAACCCTCTTGGCCACCCGTAGCGCACACAAATTGGGAACATCCATAACTCCAAGGTCCGTCCCTCGTAATTTCCTCAATCCTCGTTTGTTCCTCAATCCTCGTTTGAACATTGCTCAAGAAACCCCGGCCTCTAATGTAATTCCTAGGTAGATGCAATCCCCATAGAGGTCAACATGGTTGCACAGCCTGGATTCTTGTTCGCTTGGTTGTCTCTGCATGGGTAAAGGTATTGTGCTCTTGGGTAAGCCAAAGATGGACGCCCGTAAACGGCTACATATTTGTATTTGCCGTCTGCGTCCGCTCCAACCTCGTCGATCATTTTTGCAACAGCGTAATCCTCCGCATGCCTATTTGAATTTGCTCCGGAGCCGTGGTAAGCTCTGTTGAACTCAGCATTACTCGCCAACACTCTTGTTATCAAAGCTCTTTGGTCGCCGTGAGGTACTGTATTCGAAATTTCAGCCTACGATCTTCTAAAGACAACGGGCACCAACATGAAGGTTCATTGAACTCTCCAGTTACTTGCGACGTCGATTCGTTGGATGCCTCAGCATAGAGTAATTAGAATAGACTGAGTATATCACTGACCTGTTCCACCCCAACATCCCGCACCCTCCACGCAAACCACTGCCATAATTTTCACAGGGTCTTGCCCATTTTGCTTTGGAATTTGCTCATACCATGTCTTCGCCCGCCTTCTCGCATAATCTGCCACGGAATTTCTTGGGAGACCTGGGAGGGGATTGTTACCAACATAATCGTCGAAGGTGCCTTCGCGTTGATGTACAACTGCTGGCACTACTCGTCTCGATAGCTGCTTGGTTTCCGAGGTCGACTTGACTTCGGCTACAGGTTTCGCAATGACCAAATGACTGGAGATCGTAGCTGCCAGAAGGAGAAAAGAAGAGATTTGAGGTAGAAAATACATTTTGATAGAAGTTGTATGAAATTGTCAATGAAAAGTTAAGATGTTATGAACTGGAAAATAAAATATCGAAATGAGACTATTCAAATATATATACATTTTCCAACTCTCTGTTTTAGGCATATCTGACGATTGTGATCCTGCGCTGGAAGTCTATAGATAGGGAATATGTGCTGTACGTTCGTGTTCCTTCCCCAGTGTAGGTCAGCATACCGATATTCCAACTGATAGTTCCTGTACGTTCCTATTTCTTGCCTAAACTAAGTCATGAGAGCGTCACGATATTCCCGCTCATAGTTTTGGTTTTTGTTTGCATTCCTGTTCTCGGCTGTGGTGTTGTTATTGGACGTATCGTCTCGGTTATTTTCCTGTTATTGGATGCATCGTGTCGGTTGTTTCCCAGTCATTGGACGTATCGTGCAAAGGAATTAACAGTATGTGCCAACCGTGGTAGAATCGTCAATTCGATCATCAGCTTTACCATACCGCATGGCGCATGTGAATCCGTGGGCGTTCGTCTCGAGCGGGATTTGAATTGTATCCAGGTAGTACTTCGTAGCGACGCATTGAGGTGATAGTGACAGTGCACATGCCACATCATGAAAGAAAAAGGGGAAATCACAACCCGACTTCGACCGATAGTCGATCACCACTCGTGGCTGGAGCTCTGACCGAGTATTACTTTGCATGACATGAAAAACAGCATTACCAAGCCAGTTCAGTGCATGAAAATTGGATGGTGATAGGGCAGGTAAAGTCCGCAATGCCTCTAATAGAAAGTATCCTAGAGGTCCCTTGTCCAAATGTTGAATATGAGTGGCGCCAGACATTCTCGAGTACCGCGAACCCCAACACCCTTGATTAAACCCTTCGATGGTTGACATTAGCTGGTGTAGTATCTATCCGAGGGCAAATACATGGCATCCCTCTTCGAAGGAGATCTTTTGCCTCCAATACGAGAGCTCCTCAAAATGTGTCAGACATTTGCCTTTCATTATCTCTTTTAATGAGCCGGTTGCGATGATGTTAGCAGACATATTGATGTGGAATAAAAGAACACCTTGGTTCCTAATTGATTACTCCAAGTCGCTATCTGAAGTATATCAGGATGCTGTCAAATATTTCATCAACCGGGATCGGAATTTCGCTATTCTAGCTGCCTTACTCACGCACCGCAGTACGGTATCAGATGAAGATTTGCCATACTGGGTGCGAGATTGGCGCGTCCCCCTTGAACAAATTTCTGTTAGTAAACCCTGGGACTCCCTCTTTTAAAGATGGCAGCCGGCGGATTCTAATTTAGAGCCTCAGTCGTTTAATGAGAAAGATCTTCTTCGCGCTCACGGCTACATCATGTGCACTGTTACTCGGGGCCATGAACATTCTGCCTGTGACATTAACATGATTTTCACACTTCCGCAACTCAATGACGAAGAAGACGAGGAATATATGGAAGCGAGGCGGGAAGGGAGAGTGCCTCTACGTGAAGCACCATTCGACCCCCGACAACACAAGACCAAAACTGGCATCACAAATACCGGAACGAGCTGTTAAGTTACTGCAAAGACTTCTCTGGGAGATTACGTAGCAGTATTTCTTGGGAGCAAGCTACCTTTTGTACTTCGCCCAACCGACCCAAATATCGATCCGCAGTTGCAAGGCTCTACTATTGAAGCGAGTATCATTGGGCCTTGCGTTGTACCAGAGGTAATGTTCGGTATGGTCGTCAAGAAAGCGCGAGAGCACGAGACTCTTCCTACAGATTTCCTTTTAGTATAAAGTGATCTATGCGAACTGAATAGAAGCAGAAATTAAAATCTCTGTACCAGTGTCCTGGATTCAAACTGTCAAGTTGGAGCACGAAAATTTGCATTGGGATAGAAAACACAGTGGGTAGCTCAACGATCGGGAAGCATGTTTGCAGAAATTTCAGAACGAGTGTTCGAGAGCGAATGTCACGATGTTCATTACTGTTTGTCTCCAACATATAGTTTTTTCAGCTCCAGCCTGGATCAGGACTTCGGCCAGATATCACAATCAGCCGCTATCATGCCTAATTATCACCCTTCACATGATCTTTTTTCCTTTCCACCAATACACACTACATCCAGCCAAATAATACTCTTCACTGAGGCAGTGCTAAGATATATATTGCAGAGGCTTGTGGAAATGACTAAGATTGGATCAAAACGTTCGACGATGGCGCAGCACATCGCAGGCTGAAAGCGGGGATGTTACACAAGAAACAAGAGCCTCTCAGATTAAATATTTATCTTACCAAGAGCTCGTCAACCATTCCTTTCTTTTGTTTCGAGGTTTTCGCAGCCGACTGTGGTTGCAGCACTTACAAAGTCGAAGTCAGGATGTTTCAAACCAGGTCTAACTCTGCGGGCCCTTCATCAGGCTGGACTTCACGCATTTTCGTTTTGTATGTTTTATTTACAACTGCTTTCCTCGGCTGGGTGAGCTTCTTGATCACAATCAAGGCGAAATCTTTCAATCCTCAATGCGACTTCGACACTTCTATTGACTGGTTTTGGGATACTCCTGAAAGTTTTGACGAGGCCTGTGTGAGATTCGATGTCACAAGATACTCACTCGCAATTACAGCTGCGGTAGTAGCATTCATTCAGTCTTGTGTGCAATGTTACTTCTTGAGACGACAAAAAGTGAATCCGGTTGAGATGGTGGTTGCGCATACGATCATCATGATTTTTGCAGGTGTCACTCTGGCATTGAGGCATTTTGGGGCAGTCCTTACGCTTAGGGGAGAGGAGGTACGGGGCAGGGAGTATTCAGTAGCCTTGGGAGCAGGCTTGGCTGCTAATTTGTAAGTGTATTCGAGTATAACGTATCTTACCCCTGCTTCAACTAAGAGTCGGTTGAGTTCCACGAAGTAACGTGAGGGTTCTAACCATTGATGTTGCAGGTTTTTCTCGTTCATGACCATTGTTTGGTCAGTCATAATCTGGACTAAAAGGAATTACTACGGAGGATCTCCTTTCAATACTTCTGCCATACAACCACCACAGTCACAACATTGGCCAACTTCTAACACCAATCAACACTGGTAGCCGACTAATGAAGATAAGGTTCGAGAATTTTATGGTCACATGTTGATTCTGCGCGTAATTTGATGCACGCATTTAGTGATTCGACACATATCTAAGATGGATACGCGAGATCTTTTGTTACCTCCTCAATGATAGGGTTGGTTTAGAGTTTCATGAAAGTAGTGATGTCGATACAGCTTTTTGAATTATAAAGAAACTTCTAATTTCAGAAGACATCTAAGTTGTCTTTCGGGATTCGGTTGTTCTATGGCCTAAGGAAGTTCATTAGTATAACATCTATATCCTGTACCTCATTGAGGATCGTCTCTCTGGTGAGCTGGATATCAAGTTATTATGCTGTCTTGTTTTGGGAACAGAAAATTAGCCATTGCATGCTAGATGTTGCGACTCAACTCAAATACCGCTCATAATCTTTAAAGATTATTACGAAGGTTAAGAATTGATTGGTTAGGGTGCCGATCAGTCGCTACCCGGTGTCCAGGTATGGACATTCGAATTCAACCTGAAGAAGAGGAGTCAAATTGGATACTGTTACGAAACGTTGCTACCACAGGCATTCCTGCTCACATGCCTTTCTCACACATACACTTCTTCATCATTATGGTATTGTTACCTGAGGCTGTGCAAAAGGATAAATCATAGAAGTTTTGGTAAATGATTGGATTAGATCAAAACGTTCAATCATGGCGCAGCATACCAGCATCATCTTGGCTCTGCGCGGGGATGTCACGCAAAAGACGAGGCTCTCACAGCCCGTTCGCGTGCCTGTCAACAACTCTTATACTCCTTCGTGTCTCTCTATCATCAGATTCCCAGAGCCAATTCCAAAGTCATAATCAAGATGTTCCTCAGAATGCGATCCTCAATCTCCCCCCTCCCCAGCGTAACATCTCACATCTTCATACCCTATGTTATCTTCACCACCGCGTTTTTCGGCTGGGTATGTTACTTAACCAGCATCAGATCAGAGTTCTACCCCATTCGCTACGGGCTCGCCATGACTACCGCCATAGTAGCTTGGTTACAGTCTTGTCTGCAGTGTCGGTTCATGAAATGGAAGAAAATCAATCCACTGGAGATGGTGGTTGTGCATACCATTGTTATGGTATGTGCGGCTGCGACGCTGGGCGTGGACAGGTTTGGAGAGGTACTTACGTTGAGGGGGAATAATGTGACGGGAAGGGAGTACTCGCTGGCGTTGGCGGCGGGATTGGCTGGCTGTTTGTGAGTTGTTTTGGCTTCTTATACACTTAATTTCATTGCCTTTGCTGAGCTTTAAACGTTTAAGTGAAGCAAACCCATGAATTCTAACCATCTTTCTCACAGATCATCATCCTTCCTCCTACTTCTATGGACCGTCATAATCTGGAACATGAATAAATACAACAGAGGAACCGCGTTTAACGCACCGCAACCACAACAATGGCCAAATCCTCAAACACATCAGCAGTGGCAAACAACACAGCAACCAATGCCTCAGGGAATTTACGGTCCACCGCAATATAGTCAGCATAATATGACCCCGGTCCCAGGTCAGACGTATACTTATGATGGAACGAAGTTCGTGGCCGCATCTTTTGTAAATGAAATGGGTGTGGGGGATAATGTAAATGGATTGCCTGCATATATGGGTGGGAGTGGGAGATAGGATAGGGAAATCTGAATGGATAACGGAGTTTGGTAATGGTATTTTGGAGGGTATTGAGCTGGATATACTGGATAATAACTGTACATTTTCTACGCTCTATTGTGATGGGACTTTTGGTCGGTTGGACTCGGAGATGACAATGCCAGTTTAGTGACAAACTAGGCATTGCTCACAAACCTGGATATTTATCAGCTGTTGGCATGATATTTAATCTTTGAAAGGCTACTAGAATCTGAGATATTGATATTCTGTTACAAAAACAATCGCACAGTCGGACACTTCGGACACTTCTCATCCTTGGCTTTTCTATCAGCATTGTACATCATGTACTGAGTTTACTTACATTAATGCCACAACGTGATGCTTTACGATTGATTTTACCTAGATTGAAATGGGAACGTAGCGGTTCGTAAATAATTAATTGAAAAAATTAAACCACTAAATATTTGCTTGATCAACGAGGACTTGTGACCTTTAATATAGAGTGATAACTGATTCTATTTCACCTATAAATCAAAAAAAAATTGCCCCGCTTAATTAAGCTTATAAAGTCCCAAGAAATGTTCACGACCCACTATTGACAGGTAGTCTTTTAATTGAATCATCTCATACCAGATGAAATGGTCTTTTGCTGAACAATTTCAAATGAGGGTATTAAAAATTATTTTTCGAGAATAATAAACAGAATTTTCCGAGCTGGGTTGACCTGATTGAACAAATATTCAACGCTCATTACCATGTTTTAGTGCCGAAGAGGCAATACAGAACATCTGTCCAGAAGAATGGACGCCCGCTTCCCCGGAGCGAGCCTAAATCTGCCATTATGGCCCGGGCTAGTGGGGGCGGATCTAGACCAATTCTAAACCTGCCAAGGCGCATGTCTCTGAACCCCTCCAAGCTCAACATTGGTCTTCAGCTCAGCTCCAGGTCTCCAAGTGGAACCTTTGTATATATTATATTTCTCTAAGTATGTCCTTGTACATCTGTATCATTTGTTCGGAGCCCATCCCCGCCGCAAAAGCTCGAATACAATGTCAAGAATGTACTTCGTATGACCTTTGCGCTAGTTGCTTCGTGGTGGGTAAAGCTAGCCTGGCGCATCGGGTATCTCACGATACCGTTCTCTTTGCGACTTCAGGTCACAACTTTGCGAATCTCAGCAAGTTGAAGCAGCCTTCAGTGCCTATCACGAACCCTCTTGTGAGAAGGAGACCTCTTATCGCGCCCCCTTCCCTTCCTCCCCGGCACCAGTCCAGCTCTTTACCATCTCATTCAGGACTACCCCCTACACCTCAAGTCACACAGCCAGTCTTGCAAGAACCCATATACCAACCGACAGCTACTCAAGCCGAGCCACAGTATCAAGCAGTACCTCCTCCAGGTGCCTATACACCATCTCCTTCCTATCAAGTCGATACACCGACACACCAAGTACCAAACCAAACCAACAATCAGCATGTCCAAAATGCTCCTCCTCCAGCGCATCTATCAGGGAACCCATATTCGATTCCCCTTCAACCCATCAACACGACACCACAGCCTTCCATTCAACCGCCATTACCTACTCCACCCCTCGCGGAGAACCCTTATGCCAATCCCCCTCTCCAGCAATCCTCCACCGGAGACCGATTTTATACTCCAACTCAAGCTGTGCTAGGGACGCCAACACAATGGCAGACATTACAAACGGCCGGAACGCCATCCCCCTTTCTAAGGACTATGTTGACTGCGGTCTTTGACCGGATAGACACAGCACGGACTGGATTTCTATCCCCGGAACAATATTCAGGGTACCTTGATGTGCAGCAATACCGACTTGAGGAAGACGTTTGTACGTGACAAGTAGCCATATATAGTGAGCAAAGCTAATTAGATTGCACAGGGAAGAAGAACCTACTCCAGCGACCCGGCTACAACCCACAAGACCTCGCAGATTTCGAACTCCGCCTCACATACGAGAACTTTGGCATCGACCATCGACTCCAAACGCGCAACATTGCTCCGTCCCAGATGCCACCTCTATCGGAGGGGAAAATGCCGATGCTCACGCCTATCGGCTTTATAGAGCTCACCTTCATTGAGCTCTTCTCCGACGCGACACCATTAGGTTTGAGCAGGATGAATATGATATTGCGACATTATGGGGTTTGGAGAGAGTTAGGCGATATACCGAGGAATCTTTGGCCGGCGACGCCGCCACAAGAACTGGTAGAGCGTGTTCGGAGAATGAGTGCGGCTGCGAGAAATCGTACGCAGGAACTTATTGATGCAAATAAGGTGAAATTGCAGTTGCAAGCACAAGGAAGGCAGAATGCGATTGATCTGCTGGATCCACCTGGGACACGATATTATTATCAGTATTAAGGAAGGGTTTCAATGTTGTGAATCTGTCCCAAGGTCAACCGAACAAGCAGTATATTATTTAGTATATAACCTGATGTGAGTGTGGATTGCGTTTGGACGATGATACCCTGGCTGTTATATATAACGATATAAACATTATAGTCCTTCTAAGCTGAACATCAATTTAATGTACGAAAATCTGCTTAGCCTGCCATGACACTTTCCATCCACGGATACACTGAGGCATTCGCCGCTGGATAACCCATGTGCAGGGCCTTTTGGAAGAATCTGAAGCAAGGTTAGCCAAGGCAAGACGTTGATATTTATGTCGCACATACCTTGCTTCTTTGGGGGTTCCGTACTCAAAAGGCAGCATGGAGTCTTCAATTGGCATGAGACCATCGTCAACGCCCTAAATTGTCAGTGCGTGTCCTAGAGGTGACGTGTGCTCACTCACGTTGATGAAGAGCAGCCTGGTCGAAGGTTTATCCAAAATCCCCGTCTCGAGCAGAGAGAATTTGCTCGCCGCCTCGTCCATATACTTCTCATAATCCGTGTAACCATGTTTAAGCGAAATGGCCGGTCCCAATCTATCGAATCAGCTTTCTTCTTACGAGTCACACACGGGTACTTACGCAAACGGGTACTCATGCCCATCAGCCTTCTCCAACCATTCTCTCTTGAAGAAGTAATGCGTTCCAGCACCTTGAGCAACACTGCCTCTAAGCGCCTCTCGATGTGTGTGAGCAATCCTCGCAGCATAATACCCACCAGTACTCAACCCCCACACCATAACCCTCTTCATATCAAAAGACCCGCTCTTCCCCATCCACCCCAGCAGACTCGTCCACAACCGATCCGTACTCTCTGGATCACTTGGATCAGCCGGACAATCCGCCGTGCCTGGAACCTCTACAATCACACTCCCCCAACCTCTCTTCAGAAACTCATCACTGCGTTGCGTGTTATCAGGACGATACCCATCAAGTCCCGTGAACAACATAACCACAGGCGCTTTCTCCCCTCCCTTCCTCGCCGCCTCTGGCACGCGGATGTACACGGGTATCACATCCCTATCCGCTCCTTGCTTATCTGCAAACGGCACATCCACCTCTTCCATCGGCACCTCCCAGTTCTTGCCAGCTCGCATATATACATCCTTCTGCGCCTCCCACGCTTTCCATTTCACTGCCGAACTCACCTCCGGGAACGCAGTGATGTGTGGGAAGCGAGCGATGCGGTAGAGACATGCGGCGCGGAGGTACAGTTCTGATGCTGCGGTGTGGTTTTTGTAGGCGGCGAGGTCGTCGGCTTGACGTGTGAGCTTTTCGGCGATGGGGAAGAAGGCTTCGGTGTAGGCGTCGCCGTAGCCGTCGTTTATGTTGTTCTAGAGATTTGTTAGCGAGGTTAAGTGAGGGAAAGGGTTGGGTGAGTAGGTACCTTGATGAGATGTTCGAAGACGGGTTCGAAATCTTCGAATTGGCCGTCGTGGAATGGGTAGACGCTTTTGCTACACTGAGGAGTGTCAGTAAATCTGGACTGTAGGTTTTCGGGGTACTTACTGGGAACTTCCATTTTGTCTCCCATAACGCTTTGATGCCATCGTGGTGGGGCATTCGTGCTTCGAATTTGTCTCCTAGGATCCAACTTGTTTTCTTTTCTGTTGTTTTATGGCCATTGGTGGCTCCATTCATTTTTGTCCCGTTTTGCGCCATGTTGAGTGAGTCTCTGAGATTTGTTTCGCCGTCTGCTTCGTATATCCGCACTAAGTTTTTATGTAAATTGAATTTCGAAGGTGATATCACTATACTGGAAGGATGAGAAAATCAATTGTCACTTCTTTGCTTCGTTGGATTAATACTCGAGAGTAATTATGGGCAGATCAAGTCCTGTGGTGTTATTATTATCTCACGCTTCCACCGCGGATGTCCGACACTCGGGCCCGGACAACGTAAATACTCTTGCACGACAGACGAATAGAATTTGACATCTCAAACGTTTACGAGGGTAGGCTAAATTCAATTAAGTCAATTAGGCCAATGATTCATACTGTCTTGGTTTGATGGTAGCACAATGGGCTCAGAGGTTGATATCTCGCTTAAAGTTCTCGCTTCGGACTCCTTTTCGGAGTTGCGAATCGTATATCCCCTGCTACACGAGTTCGATATTGGACTATTCAGGAGTACAGTGACCTAAGGATTTTGTTGTGTGAACAGACGAGATGCGAAGAGTTGTCAGTCACTGACGAAGAAATTTGGGACGAAGCTTCGGAATCAAGCGATAGTCGGTCGTTCTACTGTTTTCATCCCCCAATTGCTCCGCTTAATATTTATTCGCGTAATTCTCTTCATATATGACAATAAGATATCATTAGAGGACTTGTATAGGGCTGATACGGAATTCATAGCCTAGCACAACAATCTTGTTTAAACAAGGGCTCATTCAAGTCACTATCCTTGCTTCAGATTTATCTAACGTATCTGGGTTTTCTCACGGAACCAAGGTCAAATTTTCTGCTCTGATCACTTCATGCTTTTCGTACTCAAAAATTGTGTATTTTATTACGAACTTACTAGGGATTAGCGAACAAGCAAGGGGGGTTCGAGGGAGGGGTTTCGCGGCACCGACGTCATCATGTTGATCAGTCGCGTCGCACTAGAATCAACAAAGTAAATAAACATTTCCTCAATCAATTCTGAATATCTCATCGTGAAGTATCTAATAGGAAACTTTTTCTCAAACTGCTCAATTGAATACAGAAGTCCGCTCTACAATTAAAATTAATCAACCGAATGTCAAATAGCGATGCCTCGTTCCAAGAGACCATTATCCGAGGTTGATGCCAACGCGTCGCAAGCCAGTCCCACAAGCCAGTCCCATAAACCCAAAGAAAAATAAGAATGATCGAATGGAACCAAAGCCCAAACCCAAACCAAAGAAACGGAAGTTCCGTCTATGTCACTATGCGCGAGCGTTAGGGCCGCCAATCGCGGGTTATTGGGAGCCACTCATAAAGTCTCTAGTGGAAGCGGAGCAGGAAGGAGAAGATGAAGAGGATTCATCAACACAACAACAAGAACACTCTTCACCACCACAAGCCAAGACTCCCTCACCCGTTTTATTCAAGTTACGTTTTGGGGCTCATAGTCAGGACGGGATAGACTACGAAACTAAAGACAATGGAAAGCTACGCACGATCCTTCCTGACAGGGACTTGGAACCAGCCACTACACGTGAAGAAATGATTGCACAACTGAATTCCTGTCCGGCAAACTACCACACCAAAAACAAAGACCTCACAATAATGCTTCATCGACGCAAGCTCGACAAAGTTGATTATGGAGGGAATGCAGACAAGATTCATAGGTTGGTGCTTGATGACGATGTGGACCGAGATACTGGAGATCAGGGAGAATCTGAACTGTATGCTCACATTTGGGCATTCAACTGGATTATGAAGAGGCTTGTTGCCGAACAGGAGAAGCTTATAAAAAAGTCGCCATACATAGATAAGGATGACAACGAACTTCGATCGCTGTTACAGGGAAGGCAATCGCCACTGATGTGGGATGAGCCAGTAAGAACGTCGAATACCAGACCTGCGATGTTGAAAAGGCTTATAGACCAGCACTATGATGGTCTTCAAAAAGATCTTGATGATGCAGAAGCCGAGCGTGATACTTTGATGACGGATTTGGAAGAGCGAATCGGTCACACTGTGGATGTGGATGAAGCCCTCGCAAGAGAAGAACAACAGCGAAAGGATCAGTGGAAGAATTTACCAATTATCGACCCTCAAGTCCCACCAATGATGTTTCCAAACAGAATGCCTGACGGACAAGAAGTTGACTATACGAAGTATAAAACGGCGGAACTCGTCGACATGGCCAAAAAAGAGCACATCCCTTACGGAGGATCAAGAGATGATTTAATATACCGCCTAAGCAAGTCGCGAAAAGAAGCTCTAATCGCCCAGGCACAGAGTAGCGCTAGCGGTAGCAACATCATCTCTCCAAACCCACTTTACAAAGATGCACGTACGTCACTCAGCGAAGATGGGATAAACTATAACACGAAGGACAACTCAAAACTAATCAGACTCGTCCAGGATCGTGGTCTCGAGCTACCTAAAACTCGCATCGAAATGATTGAACTACTCGAGAAAAACCCTGCGAATTATGAGGCTAAGACGAAGAAAGTGCTGTCTCAGATGTTGTCAAATCGTCTTGTGAGGAGGGTGAAAGGCGATAAGCAGTATTTGGTTCAGCTGTTGGAGCGGAACGATGATGTTGATCGCGATACGGGGAATATTGAGGAGGGTGCTAAGTATGGGAAGTTGCTCGCTATGAGATTGGCTGGTAGTGCGATACTTGAAAAGAAAGAGGAGTTGGAGGAGAATAATCCGTTTGAATCATGTACGGATGAAGAGCTTCAAAAGCTGATGGTGAATTGGAAGTTGGAGAGTTCAGATAACAGCAAGGTCATGATTGAACGATTGCGGGAACACCAGGAAATGGCTTTTCAGAAGGAGTTTGAGAGACAAGAGAAGAATTATGATGCGGTTCTTGATAGGTTTGCGATTAGAATGGGGAGAGATGTATGTCCTGTCAAGACTTATGCGATTGAGTCTCAGTTAGGACCGATTCGTTGGCTTGAGTGGGAGATGTGGCTGTAGTAGGAAGTTGATTTTCCAGACTACAAATTTAGTATCTAGATAGAGATAAACAAGAAGCGAGTTTTAACAAAGGGCGGGCCGACAATGTGATTCGGAATGAGAATTTATGCGGTTTACTGACGAGTAAGCGATTTCGACTCGGAAGGCAGCGTACTGTACGGTTCAGGTAACATGATTATTCGCTTAATTATCACATTAACAATGCTGTATACAAATGACTGATTTGTCTATGTCTTGTCTCGTTAGTCAAGTGAGTAATGAAGTACATATACTTCCACTTCCGACTTAGGGAATAGTGAAGCAGGGCTCGGTCGGCAACCGATGTATGACTCCCGCAAAAGGAAAAATGAATCGATAACATCTTGACCAAAAAGCCAGTAATCCCATTATTTGGTCACTGTCACAAACAAACAATCTCGAGACTCCGGTTGCGTCTATCACTGTGTTTTGGCCTAGCCAGTATCCTTTTACCAACTGAATAGAATACTTCGGAGCGCTAGTTTTAGGTCTTACTCATTCATTCCAACGCCTGAGAATACTAGAATTGTAGTCGAGTGGATTGGCATCCGCAACATGTTTCTAAAGACTATTTCCCTGGTGGGGTTTTTATGTTTGCTGTGTGCTAAGGCGGCTATCTTGATTCCAAGGAGTGATCCTCCACCCCCAGGAACTGTAACGATTCCTCCAACCACGACGTTCGTGGTAATGGCGTAAGTACTCAAGATCTTATCAATTACATATATTGATAGATTTTAGAGAAATGGTAACACCTACAACGCCACTAGTATTCTCAACCTTCACAAAGTACCTACTCACCGGCCGTCGAGTTACATAAATTAACACTCTATAGACCCGACGTATTAGTAACGAAAGTCACTACAGTACCAGCAGAGCAACCGTTTGCGAGTTGGCTTGCTAATGCCATACCTATCATGCCCGACATTCCCGTCATATCCAATCTTGTGGGCGTCAAACCAACCATTCCAAGCTCATCGCTAAGCCCAACAGCTCCACCTACAACCTCTTCTAAAATCTCATCAAGTACAGCCGTCAAAACTTCTTCCACAGGTTCTTCAAGCTTAACAAGTTCATCTCGAACCACCGCTTCTAGCTCCTCAAATGGAGGTCCAATGTCTTCTTCAACAACTTCTACTATGCGGTTAAATTCAACAACAGCGGCAAGCACGTAAGTTCTCGTGAATACTTATAGTTATAATCTAACTTTTCATAGACCTGATATCCCAACACGTATCATTTGCGTACTTCCTCCCCCAGAGCCTTCAAACGATTATTTGAACACAAGCGCAACACCCCAAACTGTCCCATGTCCCAAACCAAGCCCAATCACAGACACATCTTCAAGTTTAGTAATGTGGAATACGACCGCTTAGGTACACCTTCCCCTTCAGCTCAACCCCTTCGATACTGACTGCCCACAGTCTCAATACGGCCTTACAAACCACCACTACCCCTTCAATCCTCTCTGAAACCAAGCCCACATAATCTGTCATGCCCACCACGCGATCCTCTGACAATCTTAACCCGATATCTTCCTCCTCTCGAAAGAGCAAAAGTTTCACTCCATAATCAACGTTGTAACCGCAAGTATCGGGTCCGAGATGGAAAAATAGTAGGCAGCTCGTTACCGCAGCTGACAATGATGTGGGATCCCCGAGTATCGGGTCTCAAATTATAAAGATAATTTCATAAATTAGTCGCGTTGTTGGGAATGCGAGAGTGTTTTTGAGAAGTATAGAAGGTTAGCCGAGAACGGTGGCATGGGATCAAAGGTCCGGATACCACGACTGCAGCTCCAATAACCCCCACAAGTAAACCAATCTCCTAGCTACTAGAGTTGAGTTCATATAGCGTTTTGATCTAATTTCACGAAATTGAAATTTTGTTTGTTTCTGTGTGTCTTAAAATTAGTCTTCTGAGTTACAGTGTGTTTGCTTCCAAAAGAAATTCAGTCACGTCTGCCAGGATGGGAGTCACTCACAAAGCGTGACCCATAATATGATATTTTTGACCTCGATAGAGGATTTGCGCTTTCAAAAATTTGCGGAAGTGAGTTAGTGGGTGTTGGCATCGAGGTGAGCAAGGATTCATTGTGACTTCCCGATATATCATTTTCATATATTCAGTGCTTAAAGCAACAAATCGATTGTTTGCTACAAGTCATTCACAAGCAATATTCCCAGTCATTTCATTCAACCTATTTTGCTTATAATGCTTCCCAACATCTCAAAAGTACTTTCATCCAGGAGATTGACATAAATTGAAGTCATAATACTCAGCACGACACATTTGTTCTCAGATCCAGTGATATTAACATCAACATCAACTATCCTTTCAGTATGTGGTTAAATGCTATTACCTTGTTATTGGCATACCCGAAGTATGCAAGATCTGAAAGCTTGAATCCAGGATGTGTAAATCCTGAATTGCATGAAGCTTCTCAAACTTCATCCTCAATTTCGTCGCAGTACAACGAAACCTCACGTGGACGTCCGACAACTACTGCAGCTCCATACGCATTCTCAAACTCGTCAACATTAGGACTGTAAGTTCTCCCTCCCACAAAACATTATCAAAACTAACATCTATCAAAGAAAGTTCCGCGATGATTCATGATGTGTGCACGCATTGGACCCTAGAAAGCTCAAATGATCATTTAAGCCCGAGTTTCAGACCCGTCGCAACATTTCCTTGCAGCTCAGGCGCTTCTGCTCATTCCTACTCAGCCTTAACAACACCAACTGCCCCGCTGAATATTACTGTGTAAGTAGCTTCTCACTCGCACTCACAATCCCCAACTCCTCCTTCCCATTTTTCAAACTAACAACCCACCAGCCCCAGCACGACATTCCAAACCCTCACAACTACCACCCTTTCCCATGATAGCCCCTACAATCACACCTCCACAGACCAGATTTCAAGCTTCTCAGTCAATGTGACAGCGAGTTTCGAATCTGAGAGGATTCGAGTCACTTCAGAAATGTCGAGTTTGTCATGGGTGTGGTCTTCTATGACGGCGCATAAATATGATGAGAAGAGTTCTACAACGTCCTCTTCTAATCCACCCTCGACTTCTACAACATCTGCTTCGACAGCATCTTCTTCGACAACGTCTGCTTCGACGACCACCACCTCGCTGTCAGGCATCACATTGACTTCCACCACAGCTACTTCGAGCAATAGTCATACAACCACAATAAAGCAAGCAGATACTTATACTAAGGGTCAGATAAGGTGATGTAGGTTGTATGGATGCTTGAGGTGTGAGAAGACTTGATTTGAGTAGGAAAGTAAAGGAATAGGAAAGTATTGTATGGAAAAGAATTTTGAGTGTTGGTTTTATAAATAGATTGCCTTGAGGAGTTTAGTGTCTTCGTAATTAGGGATCTCTGTAGTTCAAATTCATATGTTGGCGTTTTATGGAAAGAATGAGACTTAAAGTTCGTCCAGATCCCATTGTGAAAGGTATAATAAAAGCTGAAGAATATCCATTTATTGTATATTTTAATGTTCCTCAACTTCGCAACTTACCAGCGTTCTAAGAAAGACTAATGAGAATCGAATAACAGACGAAGAAACCACTCCCTCAAAATCCAATCCGCCATACAATACTCCAAGGGCACCCAACCTAAGCGACCTCCTTTCCAGACCCCTCACGTGACACTCTTCTTCCTTTTAACTTCCCACGTTTTGATCTTCAAATGATCACTAAACACAGCGTCCAACATCCCAAACGCATCACCACTTTCCTCCAGTACCTCAAGAAAGTTCCGATGATTCAGATCGCAAAATAAATTCCACAAATCAGATGGGCGGGTTTTGACGCGCTGGGGTTTGGGCCAAGAGGTTTTGGAAACGCGATGTGTCGAAGCTTCGAAATATTGGCAGATGATTGTCGGAACTCGAGTACGAGGACTCGTAACCAGAATGCCTGTCAGAACTAAACGCTGCGACGACTTGGCGGTTGTTTCTGGGTGCTTTGGGACGTATTTTTGTGGGTGGGAGTGTTGAGAAGTTTGATGGGAGGTGGCGAGAGGTGGTGATTAATGGATTGACTAGGGGAGCATCAACGCAGCAGTAGGATGAAACATTTTGGGAATTATAAACTAAATTCTAACATAAGTAAGTACCATGCGTTCGCAGCGTTCAACGGCCGCAGTTCATCATCATCAACACAGACCAAAGACAGACCAAAAAGCATCCCCTGAACCCACTCCACTTTCACGCCAAGTCCAAAAAACCATCAACTTCAGACGATCCACAAAAGACGTGCAGACCCTATTTCCAAACACAACATACCAACTTGGCAGATTTCATCTCAAGATGGTGCGATCCCCAAAATCTGGGCATGTACAAACCGAGAATTGCTTGCGGAACCACGAGGCCCACGAGCGTTTAGGCTAGCAGATTTGCGAAACTGCTTGGCAGCCGTCCCAAAATACCATCAGATGTCGACGATTGTTTGTATGTATTCAGAACCTATATAACGCCTCATCAATCCTTCGAGTTTTTCTCTCATCATCAATCATTCATTCTCATTCTCTTCAACATCAGCTGTGCTGTCTAATTCCCTCTTTCATTTCACCAACTACACAGCAGCGCTGTTTATTCCACGTCCATTCCCTACCAACCAAATCCACCACTCTTTTCAGAAAACCCAATTTTTCAACATGCATTTCTCCGCCGCTTTCACTTTGGCCATCGCCACCCTTGCCGTTGCCGCTCCGCTTAAACCACGTGGAGTCCTCGGCACAGCTACATACGACGAGCTTTCCATTTCCGGTGGTGTAGCTGGTGATGGAGAGGCTGAGGCACTTGCTAAGCTGCCAATTGACGTTAATGATCTCGCGAATGTGGATGCGGCCGATCTTGCGTTCTTGGGAGATGTGAACGATATTGCGAATGATGCCGAGGTGTCGGTTTTCAACCCGGCGATTGAGGCGGCGACTGGGGATGAGAAGGTTGCTCTTCAGGTATGTTTCTAGACCTGCGTTGATCGATATGGATGCTAACAAATCGCAGAACGGCAAGACCAAGAACAAGATCTTGAAGCTTACCGCTACTAAGCTCGAGTTGATGGCAAAGGCTGCTCAGGGTGAAGATACCGCTGCCAAGCTTGCTGCCGAGCAGAAGAAGTTGGACAACAACATCGCTGCGGATAAGAAGGCGGCTGGAGGAGCAAGCACTGCTTTGACCTTTGATGCTACTGCTGGTGGTAACTGTAAGTTTTGATATCTTCTTTTTACTACATAGGCTTTGATGCCATTGGTTCTTAAAATTTACAGAAGCTGATATTATCTATAGAAAGCAACTTCTCCATTTGAATCTGCCGTTACCGCTAGTACCGAAGTTGGAAGCGGTTGAAGATGAAGATGGCAATTGGATCTTCAAACCTACATTTCTGGACGACAATCTTTGAGAACAAGCTGTGAAAAGCAAGTGTCTGAGACAGGTCAAACAACGTGGATTAGTTTCTAGAGAATGGAATTATAGATGATTGTCACTGTGATGTTTAAAATTACTCGTGATACGTGAAACAAAATTTGTCCTCAAGGTCCAGTTGGTCTGGCACAAAGCAATCGTGAGATGTCATGTTAGCTTTGTTTATGATATTGACGGTTTTGATCAAAGAATTGATACCCTTAGCCTATGCTGACTATTTCTGGTTCAATCAAACAAATTAAGCAGGAACTCTGACATTTTCACAGGTGTAATGTTGTTGTTACGACTAATCTAATTTCGGCTAATATAGCAGTTCTTTTTTCAGATACGTGCTCACTCACAACTAAGTCAACTTTTACATCTATAGTTTTGTATTTAAACTTTTAATATTTATATCCAGAAAGAACGAATGTAGTTCAATGCCAATCAGCACTAACTCATCCCACCCTACATCAATAGTCCTCCAAATCCATTCTAGCATTATCAAGAACGTCAAGATACTCCCCTACGTGCAGGATCCAGTCCACCTCTTCATACCGCGGTCCTATCGGCTCCTTACTTGGAAACCACCAGTTCTCCCTCTCATACTCCTTCCGACAATACGGACAACTAAAGCCCCAGTCCTTGAACTCGCACTTTTGTAAACACCTACTCCCAAAAATGTGTCCACAGGGCAGCTTGACCGCATCCTCTTGCCATGTTTCCTCATCCAGCACCGTCGGCTTGCCTAGAGGGCAATAGCAAATAACGCAATCCCCCTTACCTTCTTCTAGATCCTCCACCTTGACGGGCTCAAAGACTTTAGGGTATTTCATACGGTCAGGGTATTCCCATCTTAGACCATAGGCATGCCTCTTCGCCACGAGGTCCTCGAACGCTACACAAAATGCCGTGAACAAATCAAGATCTTTTTGTTCAGCATCGTTCCACAGTCTGTCCGCCCCATTATACCATCCCGACTTCAGCTCTAGTGCTTTAATGACCATCCGACTATTGAAAAGCGCAGACAGATCCCAAAGGTGAGCCTCCAGCTCGGCATGGTCCTCTGGTGAGATACACGAAGTTGTGGCCGGCATCTCGAAGAACGAGCTATTGTGTGGGATGGTAGCGAGGGCTTTCAGAAGCTCACGGGCTCGGCGTTCCTTTTGGGCTCGCTCTTGCACAGGATTGGGCAGGTCTGACAGGGGTGATGAGGCTTCGAGATAACAGTTGATGTTTCCAATGCAGCCTTGAAAGGATCCTGTGTCGTGAATGTTGTACATCTTGATTGACTCTTCACATTCACATACAGCTCCTAGTTGATTTGATGTCATGGAAGCGCATGTAGGGTGGAATATGGCTCGTTGGTGATGAGATTCATTGATCAGACATTCAGAAGAAAAGATATAGAGACGACACATTTTGGCTATGAATCTTTGTGTGGCCGTCAATAAAAGGTTTTGTTGTACAGTTCCCAGTCTTAGAACCAGTCAATGATTTTATGGCTTTAGGTTCTTCTTGTTCGTATGCCCATTGTTTGCTTAGATATCATTTCATTGTCGTCAGAGATAGGGTTCCTCAATAGGCACTTTCTCAATGAAGTAAAAATAAATAAAGGATCACTTTCAATCAATGAGATGAATAAAGGACCCTGATTCTTGTTCAACACATAGTCCAATTCCCTGTCAACGAGTAAGTTTAAAACCCTTTATTACTAGAAAAGTAATTCTGAAATAACTCCAACATTAGATGAGAAGATCCATGAAATTTTGAATGTCTTCATTTTTGAAATAATTATACTCTGCATATACATAATCACAAGATATAACTCTACTTTGAGGGGTGCAAGCTTAAGGGTGCTATTAAGCGCTGGAAGGGATAACCTACCTAGTTTAGGCTAGTCTAGTAATTTTCAATTTAACTAAACTTCTACTCTCAAGTACTATAAATCCTAAACTAAAAACTCTTAGTTACATATCGCTCAGCCTTTCCTAAGATATCTAAAAGATTTACAACTAACTAAATACTATAAAGTTAGAACAAATCCCTCTATACACTATGATTCGTCACCTCCAGCGTACCCAGCTTCATTCAAACACCAATCTACAAGTCCCACCCAATCCACCTCCACAAACCCCGGGCCCACCCTATCTTCCCCTTCCTCCCCTGGAAACTTATACTCCCCCCTGGGGAACCTGCTTCGACAATACGGGCATCGAACCCCCCAAGCACGGAATTCACATCTCGCGACACAGGTTGCCCCAAAAACATGTCCGCAAGGGAGCTTGACCGCCTCTTCCTGCCACGTCCCCGTATCTAAGACCGTGACTTTTCCAAGCGGACAATAGCAAATAACACAATCCTTTTTTGTTTCATCTAGATCGTCGGGTTTGACCAGCTCAAGAAGTCGAGGTCGTTCCTCCCCGGGGATATCCCATCTCAGTCTATACTCGAACAGATCCGTCCCAAATAAAATGATTTTGTTACAGAATTGCTGGTATAATTCGAAGTCGCGTTCCTCAGCATCAGTCCATGAAACAAAAGCCCATAAAACATCAGTCGATTCTGTCGTTGACGACTTCAGTTCTTGTGCTCTAAGCATCATCCGTCTCTGGAGGTAGCCACTCAACATCATATAGTACATGTGCATTTCGTGGAGACGCTGCCTTGATATATACGTCCCACGATCGTTCGGTTGGACATAACGCCCCTCGTGCTCCGGTAGGGAAAAGAACGAACTGTCTCGCGGGATGGCGCCGAGGGCATCTAATATTTTGCGGGCCCAGCAATCGTTTTGCTCTAGTGAGAACGGTGTTAGGGACGTGCCAGGGAGAGGTGAAGATGCTTGGAGGAAACACTTGATATTTCCAATGCAGCCTCGAAAAGTTTGCTCGTCAGGCAAGCCGGAGTAGTGAGTTTCTTCTTCGCATTCGCATACGGCACCTGGTTCAAGCCCTTTCATGCGGTCGCATTTGGCTTGGACAACATTCTTTCCCCAATGAGCATGCCCCTCGATCAGGCATTTATAAATAAATGAGTAGGTATTACACATTTTGATAGTGGTTTTGATGTATCTATCGGCTTGAATGACTAGTCGCTCATCTGTTGGCTTTCTGTTTGGATTTCGATATCGTTCTCATCGAAATCTATGCACATTCCAGAAGAAGGTTCTATATATAGCTGTTTGGTCCAGTGAATGCCTTGAATCGTCCTTAATTCGCATTCACCACTTGCCGACTAGGGTGTGTTAATGGAAACCCGGTACAAGGGCCATATTTCAATGATAGATTCTAGAAAACACAATGGTTAGTGGTATCCAGTTTGAATCGTAACACAATGGTCAAGTGCCTCTATTATACAGCCTCGACGTAAGTTTATAGTAAATGGATGATTAAAATGGTACACGAGATTGTAGATGAATTTTGAATAATTATTTTTTGGTTGTATTATCAGTCTATCCCAGATGTATAGCTGTATTTATGTTAGTTTGTCAGATCAATTCGTCTGAGTCATTATCAACCTGTCCCTGGCCTGGATCGCCCCGGCATCGATATCTTCAGTTAACATAGTACATATGCACCATGCTTTGGATTCGCCAAATTAGCCCGTGATCGGAATTTCAGAGTCTACTATTGCTTGTCGCTGAGGTGCTGGTATGCCACATCATGAATGATTCCAGGAACATATGAGTACGATGTAATCGACCATTGTCGCAATATTTCGTGAATGTTCTTGGACACCAAGATGTTCGACGAGTCTAATGTACCGTCAAATTCTGGCGATAGCTCGAAGGGCACATGATTCCGGGTGGTAATCGACCGGTCTCGTGTTATATCGAAAGTGTTCGCTGGGTTAAGAAGGATTCAATGAAGCTCTAAGATATTTTCGGGCTTGAAAGGGTTTTGATGAACCTAATATAGCGTCCAAATTTGGCGACCGCTCGAGAGGGATATGAGTTTGGGCGACGATCAAGAATTGTCGCTGTGTTTGAAGAATCTCTTGGGCAGAGAAAGACTTCAATGTTTCCGATGTGTCGAGACAAAGCGGCCACTGAACGTGGATCCGTTGTCGAGAGTCGAATCGCTGCACATCCTCACCGTACGATCTCCTGCTCCTTCAATCAGGGATGACCCGTGGTATCATAGTGTATTAATTAATCGTTGCAACAAAAAGCTAGCAGCATCTTGTTGCAAACAAACTCGTATTTCATTTCATGGTGCCTTCTGCCTCTGGAATGTTGTTTTCGTATGTGTCGAGTGGCCAGTTCGCCGGACAACGCGACTCTTCGATCGTGTCTCCATCTTATGTGCGCTGGAAATCTTGGAAGATGTCGTGTTGGGTCTCGATGGCCTAATATATCGCTTTATGATTCGTGTGGTATGGGAATAGCCGTGTTTGTGCGCAGGATTCGGGGTTACATATCCTGAAAACAATGTCAGTACGGTCGGGAAACATCGTCGCAATATACCTACGTCTCCTTCGACGTGGTGGAAGTCCAGTTGCACTATCAGAGTCGGATTCCAACGTGGAGCGACGAGAAGGGATTCGGGGAATGCCTTTGCCGCTGGATCTTCGCTGAAAAGAATGATCCAGCAACGGTCGGACACTGTGAGAATACCGCGGTGAGGCCTGCCATGCTGCTTGGTGACGAGGTTCCGGAGTTGGTGATCGAGATATTGTTGGTGGTGGTTCGACGAATTCCATCACTCCTTCAAAGTACGCTGAGAGTCTGCTGCTTCGCGAGCCCGCCCTTTCATTCAACCGTCGTTCGACCCAGCCGATGTCGATGTCGTCGTCGTAGGGTCCCCTCATCCCCAGTGCACTGTCGTGATGATCCGTCGTGTCCATGATTTATCGTATCCCGTGTGAAGATACGATAAACCGTGTGAGTCCGGTGAAGTTGTGGTTTCTCGGTGAGATGAGATTGATTGAGGCGATCGAAGAGAGGTTGGGGGCGTTGGTCTGGCATCGTGACAGAAAGAGGGCACACGGCCTTTGTGGTGGGCGGATTCATCGTGAGACTAAACCGTTTTGGATACTAGTGTCGTTGTTCGGGTCAGGTGATCTGGATTCATCGCCTCAGCCCCCCTTCCCGCTGCTCAGCCCGAAGCGAGACATCGACGATACATATAGGCAGCTGCCCCCTCGAGTCATTTTCAACCTTAAATATACTTAAATGGATATTTCTCCAACCATTTTCATGCATAAAATACCTTATTATCTGTTACTCATATGTGCTGCTGCATTCCTTCCCACGTAAACATTTCCTCGCTTCCTGGCTGACGGATCCGCCTGGAGATTCCTCATTCAAGATTCGGTTCCTATGAGCGACTCGGCATCATGGATTTCTACAGAACCGTCAACCCGCGTTAAGCAAGAACGGGAACTGGAGAGTCTGGCAGTCAGCCATACTCTCCAGTCCCGTCTTTCTTATGGATCTGATACCAAAGATCCGCTTGCAAAGCAGCTAGAGGAGGAAGGCACTTTTGCAAGACTGGTACCACAGAATAAATATTCCCGGGAAGCGTTTCGCAGGCTGGTTGAGCTCAGCAGAGATGATGATCCGGCCACTAAACATCATAAGCAATTCCTTCATGTCGATAGACGTAAGAATATCGACCCTTTGGAGAGTGAAGACTGTTTTATCTTCTCGCTTGGCTTGCTTCCCGAGTTCCCTCAAATCGGCTGGAGAATCGGAAAAGGTAGAATGGGCCGTCCTAACATGACTGTGGACATTCGCATTCACGAGGGAGAAGGAATGGCTGGAGTGCACGCCCTTTTCTCTTGGGTAAAGGGTGGAGGTGGCTTCTTCCTCATCGCGAATAATGAGCGTCAAGTTCCAGTTATCCTCAATGGCGAATTACTGCGACAGTCGCAGCGACTGATTCCATATCGGAATTCTATCACCCTAGGAGAATGTAATTTCAGTCTCCAATTCCAGGAACGCTCACCAGATCAAGAAGCGCAGTTCCAAGTTGAGCTCTCTCAATACTATCTCAAAGTGCTAAACGAGAATGCACCATTGCTATTGCCAACTCCTTCAGGCCACGAGGTTACTATCGGAAATTGGATCGTGAGAAATCCGATAGCCAGTGGTAGTTATGGTCGAGTGTCTGTAGTCTCTCACAGAACCACTGGGAAACCTGCTGCTGCAAAAGAGCTGTGGAGAACGCGTCGTAACTATCACTCCGTGGATCGTGAAGTTGCAATAGCGAAGCATCTCCAGAAATACCCTCATGTTTGTAACCCCCTACGCAACATTTACAACAACTAATATCGGACAGCCGCGACTTGGTATACCATTTGAGTTCTACCACAAGCAGATAGTAGACAAATCAGAAATGATTCGATACGCAAAACTGCTCGACGAGAATTGGACTCCTGGACTTTCCGACACGATTGATCTGCACATATTATACAGTCCTCTATCCACAAGCAACTTCACAGCTCTGATCAAATCCAAAGCGTCGTTGGATACTCGAACCCATCTTTTTGCTCAAGTCTTGGACGGTCTTGCATTCCTCCACAGTCTTAACATCTCACATCGGGACATCAAACCAGGGAATCTCACCGTCAGATCCTACGACCCGCCAGATGCACAAATCATAGATTTCGGCTGTGCGACCAAAGAGCGCAAAACATTCTACGACAAACCAGGAACGATCCCGTACCTCGCGCCTGAGCAAAGAGAAGGTCAATACCACGAAAAAAGCGTCGATTACTGGGCAAGCGCCTTAGTCGGCTTAGAGCTGGTCAATCTTAGATCTGTTCCAGCACGGGTGACTGAAGACAATTATCGCGAATTGATGAACTCGCTTGCCCGAAGAGTGGCTCATCCTCTTGTTAGTGCGTGCAAAGATATGCTCAAGATAGAGCCGGCTCAGAGGATGACTGCGGCGGAGGCTCTGGACAAACATTTGTCGGCGTATCAAACGGATCCGATTAAGGGACGAAAGAGAGTCGGTGATCAGGTTACTAATTCTTCATCTAAGGAGATTCGCACGACATGATTTGTAATTTCATCAGTCGACGACAAACTTTTTGTTACCAATATTCCTTGCTCCTTGGTGCACCCAGGGAGACGACCGCTTACGACGGCTACTAGTCAAGGATGGGATCCTAAATTGCAACAAAGGTTTCATCTCAATGATAACGATCGTAATGATACTGGCCTTTCACCTGAAGCAAGCCCAACAAGCATATCGCCATCGGGCCAAATCATACATCTTACTTTCGATATATTGAGAAACTCAAAGCGAAGTCATTTAGTACAACCACTCCATAACGACGATAGTCTCAGCTCATCAACAGGCTATTGTAATCGCGATTAATAATTCTATCGCTGTTTATGGGTTGACATCTTTTCCTGTACAGCTATACATTTTTGCGACTGGAAGACGGCTCTTGTCAAAATTTCAACAGGAATCACAAATCTCTAGCACACGACTTGAAAAGGAAATAGCTGCAAGATCCTACACTCGGTCTATGTTCACGTTTTCGACATTGTATTTCTACTTGGGTATCTCATCAGGTTGGTAAGCGGTCGAAATAGCATATCGGCTATAACGGTACGGGCCGAGAATGATGTAATGACAAACAGAAAGCCGGAGGATGCCCAGGTGCATTACAATTAATCAGTGGGGATAAGGAAATCGAACATCATCATTCGCTAAAGAGGTATACTATTCCCACTCTTGGTCACATCACGACTAACGAGCTTGCTATTAGTGACTACACATGTCATGTACAAACTATAAACATCATATAGAATTGGATACATACAATCTACACTTATAAAACTCAAATCACCACTCATAATACACACATATACACTCATAGAACTCCAATCTTAATCACACCCAACCACCACCATGGCAGACCTAGACATCAATAACATCTTCGGAGTCAAAGGCATCGTAGCAGTAATAACAGGCGGCGGCTCAGGACTCGGCCTCTACATCGCCAAGGCCCTCGACGCCAACGGCGCCAAAGCCGTCTACATAATCGGACGTCGCAAAGCCACGCTCGACGAAGCCGTCAAGCAAGCCAAAAATGGCACTATCATCCCCATCGTCGGCGACGTAACATCCAAAGACTCCCTCGCCGCCGCCGCCGCCCAAATCGAGCGCGAACAGGGCTACATCAACATCCTCTTCGCCAACTCGGGCATCATCGGCATCCAAACCCCCTCCCTCGGCCTCCCAACCGATCGCAAGGCCACGATCCAAGAACTACAAGCCGCGCACTGGAAACCGGAAATCGAGGAATTCACTAACCCGTTCAACGTCAACGTCTCCGCAGCTTTCTACACCACCCTCGCTTTCCTGACCCTCCTCGACGCTGGAAACGCAAAGGGCAACATCACCCAGAAATCATCCGTGGTCATCACATCCAGCATAGCAGGCTACACGCGCACGCAACACGTCGGGCTCTCCTACTCATTCAGCAAAGCCGCCGCAACTCACATGATCAAAACGCTCGCGACGCTGTTGACGCCGTATAAGATCCGTGTGAACGGGATTGCGCCGGGGATGTTCCCGAGCGAGATGACGGCTGATATGAAGGCGCTTCAGGGCGAGGATCCGCGGGAGGAGGGCGCGGTGGAGAAGGGCGTGATTCCGATGGAGAGGTGTGGACGCGAGGAGGAGATTGCGGGGACGGCGGTGTATTTGGCGAGTAAGGCCGGGGCGTATTTGAGTGGGTGTGTGGTTGTGCCGGATGGGGGGAGGATGGGGGGGATTAGTAATAGTTATTAGAGGGTCAGATAGTGTAAAAATGTGTAGCGTGATGAATTGATCAAATTTGGATGCATGTTTTGGAACAGGGAAACTACTTCTTCGTACGCCCGGAAATCGAGAACTCAAATACATTTCCAGAGATCCTCCTTTGCTTTTCTCCTTCTTTTTGCGTACTCTCTTCGATATAAGACCTACCCATCCTCACACCCCCACTAACTCACCAACCTAACCATCTAATCAGTATCCTACAACACCACTCCCTATCCATTAAGTAAACATACCACCACCAAAGAAGCCTATTGAAAAATTAAAAACACAAAAACTCTTTTAAACATACCAGCTCGTAGTGACCAACCCCGCAATACCGTTAAAACCCGGCACATCAAACACCCCAAACATAGCGGACTTGAAATTACACAAAACATATCGTCCACTTTTCCTTTTCGGCGTTTACTTATTCTCGCCGTGATTGTATTTTGTTGAAGTCATGTAAAGTTGAATTCGTTGTCTTGTTAAGGGGATGAGAGATAACTTTTCGAACCCTTTTTGTAGCTGATGGGGTGTATAACGGGTGGATTAGTGGCTTGGATTGGGTTGAGCGATTCGAATTGCTGGGTTGAGTCAGAGTGAGCTGTTTTGCGAGATGGGAATGTGGCTTTAATTTGACGTACACGTTCAATTCTCCAGAGTTACGGTTGGGTTGCAGTTTTTTCGGTAGGCCTGTTGTTGCTCAGCGCTCAGTTCCTAGGTACGTCGTGTTTAAAACAGGTTCGAGCTTCTTGTATTGAGACACGATCCTCTCTGCTTCTTCGAAATTCCCCTTTGCTTTCTCCTGGGGTTGTGATAACTCGGACCTTGGAATTACTAAATATTCAGCCATTTCTTGTAATTGACGGCGTGATGACAGTGTAGAAACCACGGTAGGCGGTGAGAAGTGCCCAACTTCGGAGGTTCTTGAGAGAAAATGCGCCGAACATATCTGAGAATGCAATTCTGCTAGCTCGACTTTTCCCCCTTAGTACTCCTGTCTACCCAGGCTCCCAACAGTAGCACTTTCTGCTTTCTTGCGATTTGTTATGACGGAGAAAGTAGGAAATTTAGCCATGGCTGGACGGTTTTTGGTGACTTCGCCAAGGTAAGAGCTTTGAAAATCTACTTCTTCGCTTTGATGTAGAGATAACCCCATTGTTTGTTCCCATTTCAGAGATCTCAGCAGGAACGTTCATCTGAGAAGTGGAAGAGATATCTAACATAGCCGAGTAGCGTCTTTTACATTCCAAAGTCGAAGAATGTTGAGAACCATAAATGGATTCGAACCCAGCACAGGCTCTTTCATAGAGTGTCAAAGCTTCTTCATACTCTTCTTTCTTCTCAAATAACCAAGCCAAATAATACACACCATTGATCGTGACTTGGTGCGTCTTACCAAGCATACATTCACAGGTCTGGATGTTCTGACGGAGCAAATGCTCTACTTCAGCGTCAAACTTTTGAGATATGATTACCCAGCAAAGTCTATTTATAGCATCTAACGTTCCCCTGTGTGTATTGCCGAGTATCTCTCTAGAGACTTCGACAGTATGACGGAACATCAATTCTGCTTCTGCGTACTTTTCTTGCCCACTAAGCGCAAAAGCGAGGTTTCCCTTGCACTCGAGCGTACTCGGGTGTTTCTCACCGAATACCTCTTCGCAGAGCTGAAGACTATTGCGGATTATAGGCTCTGCTTCAGCATTCTTGTCTTGATTTAACAAGACAAATGCAAGAGCGGTTGCGGTTTCTATAGTAGTTTCGTGTTTATTGCCAAGTTCAATTCTAGAGATCTCGAGATTTTGGCGGACCATAGTCTCTGCCTCAGCGAAATTTCCTTGCATACTGAGTACTTTAGCAAGTTTATTCGTGGTCCACAGCGTTTCTGGGTGCGTATTCCCGAGAACCTCTAGGAAAGTTTTACTAGTCCTTCGGAATTGGATCTCTGATTCAGCCAGGTTTCCATCGCTTTCGTACATCCAAGCGAGACTGTTCACAGTCGTTAGCGCATCTAGGTGTTTCTCGCCAAGTTCACTCTCTCTTATCATTAGAGCATTGTTGGATTGTCGATAAGCCGCTTCTGATCTTCCTTGATTGTAATCATAGGTTGCGAGATTTTCAAGCAGTTCAGCTTGCTGAACGCGAACTGCTTTATGAGCATACTCATGTTTGGCAACGGACTTTGCGTGTAGATAGAGAGTTTCGCATTCCTCCCATGTTCCGTAATACCCATGTGGGAATGTTTTAGCCATCAGCTCTAGAGATCTCTCTTGCCACTCTGTTTTTTTATGCCGTAAACTCAACCACCTCAGTGTCGACAGCTGTACAAGTCGATGAATTTCAAAGCTCGATCCCCCTTTTTCGGCCCGGATGAATGAGTACGCTTGCAATGTTCCTAGAGCCTTATTGAAATCAATACTCCGATATTCTATATGACTTAAAAGAGTCTTTGGAATCGCTTGGCGGTCAAGCTGAACCGTGAGTGATAGTAAGTCGGCTGCTCCAGGAAATTGTTTTGCAATCTGATCAAAGGAAAGCTTCCATGTCCTTGCGACAGAATTCTCACTATCTGGATATCTTCGGGGGTCTGGTAGGCTTTCGTCCATGTAGTCCTGCAAGTCAGAGTCGCTGGCTTCAAGCTCCTTGATGTATGATTCGACCGTCATACTGTTCTCTCGTATGAACGCAGCAGCTTGAGTGATCGCCAATGGGATATTTCCAAGTATCTCATTAAGGCAATGGAAATCTGCACTACTTGTGTCCTCTGATCTTGGTATTTTTGATACTAACAGTTGCTCGGCATCTTTTGGAGGCAATACGTCGATTGTGATTTCCTCTTCTTGATCGCTCAAGCGTTGGCCAATTCTTTTGTCGCGAGTGGTAGTGATCATAAAACAATTCTCATTTCGAGGAAGCAAATTGCCAATGTATGGATGATTGGGTTTGTTTGCCGTTGAATCCAATTCGAAAAAGAGGTCAATATCATCTGCATTGTCTAGGATGAGTAGCCAGGACCCATTCTCTAGTGTATTCAGCCAGTCCCGAACAAGAACAAGAGTGTCACTCTGGGGATCTTCGGTCCCAGGTATAGACATTTGCTTCGCGATCTCTCTATATGCTTGCTCAAATTGATCAAAAGAGCTTGTATGTATCCAAAATACATGGCTTTCTGGGTAACGGTGTTTCCATATGTAGCAGTACTCGATCGCGATCTGGGATTTCCTGCCCGATATTAGTAAGACAAGCGTTTGGCAGGTTGAAACTCACCCAATGCCGCCGATTCCGCAGATTGCTATTCGCCGCCTCGTATCAAGTTGCTTTGTCATTTCCTGTATGACATCTACTCGGCCAATAAATTTTGGATCGCGAACAAAGGGAACAGTGAACTTTGGTTCCTTCTTAGCAGCCAAATCGTCGAGCTTATCGACCCCATTTCCCTCAACACTTCTGCCGACCTCTTCTCGAAGCCTCCGAAACGCGTTCTCTCGCCCTTCCCCGTAAATAAGCGGCAAAAATATATTGCACATTCCCAAAAGAGAATATGCCATATCTTCTTCGTGCTTGGTTTCCCTTTTGGCCGTCCATGCCACCCGCTCATCAAGGCTGAACTTCTTCGGGTCATATCTACGAAGAGCTTCAACTGGAATTCCTGTTCTTTCGTGAATCAATCGCTCCAGGGAAAACTTGTCGCCAATCCACCTATAATCAGTGGAGAAGAAATCGACAGATGATGGAGCAAGAAGCTCTTGAAGCGTCCAGCCCCGCGTGAACCATTTCGCAGTCCGAAATTTCGATTCGATCGCGATTTTACACTCGCTTGCGTCTTCATCACCTGGCATCGAAACATCCGCGAGATAAACATAGCACTTTACTGCGTTCTTGTACCATAGAAACATGGAGTTGATAGACTTTTGAAGTTCCACCGGGTCGCCTTTGTTGATACAGCAAGTATCCACCCAAATATATTCAAGGCTGTCACGCCTAGCCTGCTCTCCACAGAACTGGATCTTTCGATACCCGGCCTTGGACTTCCCTGAGCCGTCCATTACCTCTTTGTACGTAATTTCTTGGTCATCATCTCCCCATGTATGGGACAATATCGCATAAGGAGGGATATCTTTGAAAAGATCTTTGGTCAGGCTGAGGTCGCCATCAGCTGTGCACTCCAGAAGCCGCATTTCGGAGCTCAATTCGCGAATTTCTGCGGAAACCAGAAAGAAGAGAGCACACTAAACATATTATCAAATCCCAGATTGAGAGGATGTGACGAAGAGATCTCGATCATGGATATTGCTTGAGGTGTTGTAGAGAATAAGTTGAAGACAACTGGAGACGCGCAAGTAATCATCCGTGAGGCTGAAGCGTCGAGGCGTTCAACTGGCAGCTCTTCATGCAAGACGATTGGCTACATTACCCCAACACCATCTACAGCCTATTTTCCAACCGCCATTCACCACCGCGAGGAGGTGTCCACTCCCTTGCCCCATTGCAGTTGAAGTTGTTTTAGCAATTTGAGCCATTGCGAAAAGAGGTGAGTCGAAGAAATGGCCGAGCCATGAGCGCAGAGAAGCGATAGAGTTAGAAGGTATTCCCTTCAACATTGGACAAGCCACCTGTATTGCGGTTTTTCAGATAATTGGGCGATGTCACTTCTTGAGAACTGAAGTTGGCACTTGCGATGAAATCGACCTGTCACATAAAGACAAGAGATAATTTTTAACATATTCCATTCATATATTAAAGAAATGGTACTGAATATAAGAAGCTTCCCAAATTCTCAAGCATAACTTTACTACCTGAACTCCGCTGGTCATGAGAACAACAATTTGCGCCAGCCCAAAACCGTTCCTCAAAGCAGTTACATCTCGTCCTTTTTTTGACATCCTATTTTTCCCCTTGATCCGGAGGATCTACATACGAGCAATCGACTGCAGTACAAGTGTCGGTACTTGGAACTGTACGAGTTATGGAACCGTGCATGATAAGGTAATACCTGGAGCAAGTGATCTTGTAATCAGTCGACCAATGCTGACGACTAGCACCAGTAATACAACCCGAGTTGATTGTGTACTTTCCTGGTGCACAATTTGGGTTGGCACCTTGGGGAGGGACCGGAACAGGAGCGCAAGTAAGCAAGACATGCGCGACGTTGACTTGATATCCAGAGTCCAGATCATATGCAATACGAACTGTTCCAGCCGTAGTACCTTTAGAAACAGTTGCAGTGCCAACGTGAGTTCCCTTAGTCACATCATTACCTCCTGCACCAACGATCAGCTCGGCTGTGTAACCCTTGTCCACTTGATCTTGCCCGAGCCCAAAGAACCATCCCCATCGTTGGCATCCTAGTCGGTTGAGGTACCAAGGGCATGATGATGAACAGTCGCGAGAGCATATGGAATTATAGGCGAAGGCGGTACCGAATCCGCACTCCTTTGTGGTTGGAGGTGGTGGAGTGATTGTTGGACAACAGCAGGACTTTGTGCAAACTGGAGGACAAGTGAAGGCGACTGTAACTCCATTGCCCAATTTTTGGAAGTTTGGGCTATCGGACTTCCAACTCCCCAGCAGGTGTTCCCGTCCGTAATGGAAGCATGGGCAGCAATTCTGATGGACTTGTCGCAAAGACTGGTGACAGGTGGGGAAAAGACGTCAAGAACTTTGCTCACAGCCACCCAGCAATCGGCTGTTTGGTTGGAATTCGTAAGTGAGCAATACTTGTTGAAAGTGAATTGACCGGGGGCAGATGCTGTGAGATTAACATCATCGATCTGTAGATGGACTTCATTGAAGGTTGTAGTAACAACGTTTTCGTATGCAACATGGATGCACTTTCCATCAGTGGTGGTAGGACAGTCTCTAACGGTGACAGTAACCGTAGACGTCTTGGCTCCGTACTTTCCGCATCGAAGTTCTGTTTTTGTATTGGCTGTGAGAATGTTTTCCGTCGTTTGGCAGCAGGTTTTGGTACTACAGGTATTGGTAGTGCGGCGAAAGAGGGAGCGTTTAGATGGGTTTGCACAGCATGCAAAGTCTTTAGAACATTCATCTGATGGTGGTGGCATCTCAGTAGCTTGAGCAATTGACGTAAAGCCCAAAACTGCCAAAGAGGCAATGCTGAAAAATGAACGCATTTTGAGTGATTATCCCAAGTGTAATTAAGTGAGGGATAAGGTAGAAAATGAGGAATTTTTGCTGAAATTGCATCAATTAATACCCAAGGTCAGAGTCTAAACTTAAGCCTCTGTTTCCCCCCTCAACTCCTCTCATAAAGATAAAGTTCGGGGCTGCGAAGCCATTCAAGCCGTTTAAGCCAAAATTCCCGGCGAAGTAGGCTCATCTGATTACTATACATTGTGATTCGATTCCCCGTACCGATGTAGCAGTTGAAAATACTGATTTAACCATTGTAGGTTTTGGCACAAAGCAAAAATGTTGAAAGTTGTCAGCGTTGAAATATTTTATGGCGTGTCAATCAGCTCGCTTAGCCGGTGGGCAGTGCTGGAGGACGACATGAACAAAGAGTTCTAGAATTTCATGACAGATAACCGAGATCCACATAATCTAATGACTGCAATTGTGGTGGCAAAATAAGCTCTTTATCGGCTTGGCTTAAGCCACTGCCAAAAAGTCGGGTTTCTTCAGCATCCTTAGAAATGATACAATTGTAACACCTCAGACAAGACTGGAAGAACAAGACCTAGCAACGGATAAAGGTCTCGTTCCCTTCAAGAGGGAAGAGTTACGCACTGTAAGCCTTAATTTGGTTTCAATGTTGACGTCCATCTCATTCTCCACTAGCGAACAAAGCAATACAGAACTTAAGCTGTTCACTGGTGGCTATGTAAATTGACGGTAACCTGCACTGCCGGTGAAAATTACCATATCTGGACAAGGCGCTGAGATTGAGATCCCGACAAAGCTTTCAAGACAACGCAGTATATACCGCAGTATGTGTCAAGGCCGAGACCAAACAGCCCAAATATGAAGAAAGGAGGTCATGGTGGTGTGAGCTGAATGAATGAATGAGCGCATACGAGGGTTTTACCAATCGAGTTCATTAAGCCATCCCGACGCCTTTCCACCAGAAGCAACTCGTTCGAGGAATTTCTCTGTTCTAGTCACCTTGATCCCAAAAGACTCCTCCAATCGAGATGTGTTCAAATTATCCTCACCGGCATTCGCCGCAGTCATGATATCGTTTCAAAGACGTACCAATGACACCTCAGTATTAGTACTGTCATCGTATAATGTCCAGGCCAGGAGAGTACCGTAGTCAGGCACGAGACTAGGATCATATCCCTAAGGTTAATCAGTCGGTATCGATCCAAAGATCCCTCGAATATCACGATCTGCTGCTTCGTATTTCACTCCCCACGAACGACATCCACACCACTTTTGAACCCTGTACTGACGCTGATCAATCTTCCGCTTGGATATTATATACAGATCGCTTGTAATATCTACACTTCAGGTGCTTGATACTAACATGGAAGCGAAGGCGAGGGGGTGGATCACGTTTCACTTTGTCATGTGACAGTTTACTCTCCTTTTGGCCCGCCCGTTCATCCAATATGATTACACAACTATTATTCTTTTAAGTGTAACTGATCAACATGGTAGTCACCGAGTGAACTATCGATCATTGGTGCTCCTATACTTCTCACGTAAAATTGCTTGCTAACAACACTTGCCTAAATTATATATCCGGGTGCCCATGTGACTGAATGAGGGTTTAGCCATCAAATTCTACCAACAGACATATTCACTATTGAGCCAAGTGAGATGAGAAGGTATTATAAGAATGTCGTTGTTTCTGCTGTAAATTTTCATGATTTAGCTAGTGAGTCCATCCATGCTTGCTACCCAAATATTGGAATACTTCACTCATCGTAATTTCAAAATACAGAATTTCTCAGCGACATGAATTTTAAAATGAGGCTGGCTATTATTATATCCATCTTTTCTCTCAGTACTCTATCTCTCTCAGCAGTCTTTGCTCAGAGTTCGCAGTTCGCCCTCGTCGTACTTTCCGACAGCAAGACCTACAATGGCACGACTCTTATTCCATGCCAGAAAGGCAAACAAGGTCCCTGTAATACAAGTCAAACATTTTGATTTCGAAGGCAAAACTAATGACTGTTAGATCCCGGGCTCTGTCCACTGGCACAGCTTCGCTACCCAATTTCTGACCTTGAAGCTGCCTTCAACTTGAACAACACCTCAAGCCAAACTCGTAATACCGGCTTTCTCACCTACGAATTGAAAAACAGACAAACTTCAAACGGTATCGCTGATGTAAAAGCACCCATGGCGTTCAATAACAAGGGTTCCTATCAAGTTCCCGTTTTTGGATACGCAAGTTTCGACACTGCTTCCAAGGTTTCTTTCAATGAGAAGAATTATCTTGGGACCATGGAGGGTTCGAGCGTAAAGTACGATAAGTGGTACGTTTGCGACATTGATGGAGGATTGATTTATCCAAGCATCGTATGGAGTTCTGGGTCAGCGACGCCGCCGCTTTCTTCTTGCGTGAAAGTGAATATTTTGAGGGTATCTTAGTCTCGTTAAGTGTGAAGGTTGTATTTACGAAAATTAGCGGCTTTTTTTATGTTGTAGGCAAAGTCATCTTCAAACACCATGAATTTACTCAGAACGCAAGACTATAAATATACTACAGTGAATTATCTCAAAGGTTTCCCTTCTGAACTTCCAATCTCCAGCACCTAATGGCAAGTTTATCCGCCAATCTTCCCACCAGCACCCGGTCCCCCTATGAATGCATAACTCCCTCTCTTTGTTCCACTCAAGAAGTGCGACTCGTGCGTATATCTCGAAGTATCCGAATCCCTCCACGGCCCATTGAAAGGCTTGCTAACATTCTGAGGGTTCGTATAAGCAATATTGAAAATATATCCCGCTTTTCCGTAGCCTTTGTTAGCAAACTCGCCACTGCCCATATCCGTCGTCGTAAGGGTTTCTTCGTTATTGGTGACCTCGCCATAAAAGTAGATCGTATCCGACCCACCAGCCAGAGTCGACGATGCTGGATCACTGCTTGGGGTACTGAAAAGCGAGCCGGGGTAGTATCCTATCCACTTATCCTCTACCGCAAGCCACCAATTGCCTTTGTGGAGGTTGTACTCGATTTTGAGATCGTTTTGGGCTCCGCCGTCGATACTGAGAGGGGTGAAAACTGAGCCAGGATGGATCGTTGGGTCAACTTGAACCCAACCCGTGAAGTCGGTGTTCCATCCACCTTGGTTGTTGCCTTCCTGGACGTAGTTATTGCTAGTGTAGTAGGTGAAGAGATGTGGTTGAGCGACTTGCTGCTTCCAGTTGATCCATCCAGCCTCTACTGTTTGTGTTCCAGGGAAGGGAGGAAATCTGCCAGCCTGAATATTGACATCATGTCTGGTAACAGCTGTCTGTAGCAGTGAGAAATCCGCGTCGCTTTGTGTGTAGGGAGCAAACATGCTAAATGTGCCGGTACCACCGATGTTGGTCACTGTCTGGTTGGCTTGACAATACCAGTGTACGCCAGCATTCTGACGTTTCGAAAATTGGATTTCTGGCAAAACTTTCTTAGGAGCATTGGTAAGATAGTCCAGGTTTGTGCGGGACACTGGAACAGTGCCTGCAGGTCCCAATTCGGCTCCAGCTTGCTCAAGCTCTGCAGTAGGTCGTGGTCCCTCTCGCGGTGTTCGAGGTGGTGGTAGCTCTGCGATTTTTCCTTGAGAGTCAAGAGCGACCCAGTCAATCGTTTGGGTATCGGTAGTGGTCGTCTTGACTATGTTCAAGCCGGCTCGCGTCTTTAGGGTCTTTTCCACATGTTGATTGCCACGATTTGTAGGTGTAGCAGTACTGTCAACTATAAAAGCTGAAAATGCAAATGCAGATAATAACTGATTCTGTGAAGGGAGTAACATGGTGGAAGTTGATCAGTGGGAAAGATGCAATTGACTTGGTAGTACAAACACAATTTCTTCTCCGGAGCAGCAGTTTCACGCTTTCATATACCAGTGAGAAGATAAATGCATTTCCAATCTCTGAGGCTACAAGAAAGAACAGTAAGCTTACTTTGTCCCTATCATGCTGCTTCGAGCAACACGAGAGAGAAGCCTAGTTACGCCTCCTGCTCATGATACCATTTTCGGCCATACGAAAAATCACTCGTACTGCAGCAGTCTTTTCAGGACAGGCGATGCTTTTGTATGATTGCAGCTTACACAATTCCATGAAAATCATGCTGTTCTTCTGTGAGCTCATTGGCTAGCGATTGACCGTGTTTCTACAATCTCACGTATGCGGCTCAGCAGCATGCATGATGCAACTCTCAAATTTGAGCGCATGAGATAGACCTTTCGGTGTTACTATTTGTGTGAGATAGCGAACGCGCTGGCAATTTCAAAGTCCTGTTGTTCGGATTTTTAGCCCGCCGATATGTTGGGCTCGATCATAAGTCGCAGCGCCTCTTACTCAATGGTCTGACAGCCCTCGAGGAAGCACAAACATCCAATGTCGCCTCTCAATAAACTTTCAGGGTTTTTTCTATCGATCAATATTATCTGCTGTGTAAACCCACAAGGAATTAATGGAACTGCTGCCTATAACCCAATCTCCTGGAATAAGATGTGCAGATATTTATTACTTCCACATCTGCAACAAAACGGTTATCGGCGATGGTTGGCAGGGTCAAGAAGCACATGGCGAGTACGAGCTGCATAATGTGGCTGACGGATGTCAGATTATGGTCCCCCGTTGGTGTTGCTGTCGGGTTTGCTGGTTACCAACGGCACGGTGAGTTTTCGTCCCAAAAAAGCCACACGAGTGGCTAGGATGATGATAAGCGAGCCCTCCAACACTGACAGTCGGGAAAGAGTACTAGATATTAAGTATGATAGTATCATGGAAGATGAGAAGTCTTGTTTTCAAAGGTAGCTTTGATTTCCAATTATAGCATCAAGAGCTCTCCATCAAATCGTGTACGATTTAGACGTGTGTCAACTTACAACCAAACTTCCGTATGTTGAATTTTTATTTCAAGCATCACCAGAATCATCGTTCGATTAGGGCCATATTTTCTTTCGGCGTATAAATCATATTTTTCAAAGGGGGACTTTCCAATTGGCAGAACTCATTTCTCACCGGAAAAAAGATCCTTTGAATGTCACGCCCACGTTCTGATCCTCTTGCATGTTGACATGCCGTTCTGTGTACGCTTGCCCTTTTACAGACGGCCATTGATGCCTAGATTGAATGTCGATTGTGTAGAGATATTCGTATCTAACACGCTTTCCTCGAATGGAACATCGTGCTTCAACTCCTTAGTCGCCGTGAACGATCGTCTCTGATAGCACGACAAACACCTTCAATCTCTCCTCAAATCAATCTCCCCACCCAACACCTTCCTCGGCCACTCCATAACCCATCTCAACTTCTTCGGCAGCAACTCACAAATCCCTCTTACATCACGATTAATAGCTTCATATTCTCCCGTACCATGAATCCACCACGCATAATCCAACGCACTTAGAAGAACCAGCATTCTCGCCATCAGAGCCATGGCAAGCGGGTCGTGTTGTTCCAACATGTCAAGATATCCCGGCTGGCATCTCACGGCCATGAAACCGACGAAGCGCTGAAGCGTTTTGGTATCGGCGCCGGAGAAGAAGGAGCGGTAGTGGTGGAGTACGAAATCTCGAGCTTCTATATAAATATTCTTGCGGTCTTCTGTCATTTTTTGGACGTTGAATGCGTCTAGCAATATCGATAGATCGTACTCTAAATTTCTAAGTTGTGTTTGGGCGAACTTGGATAGCTTCTCTTCTGGCAGCACGAAGGGAATAGCTTCATCTCCAATCCAGCCATATCCTTTCTGGCCAAGGAGTACATCATTATCCCTAAAGATGACTCGGCCTCCTTCTAGCATCTTCATTGCTTGAAGTGGAAAAACATATGCTTGGTCAGGCTGCGGCTGATGTGCCAGCAACCAGTACATATGCGAAAGCAGAACCGATGAGAGCCAAAGCTGTTCCGAAACACCCTTTTCGGGGTTTGTTAAAGTCTGGCGATGTTTTACTAGTGATCGATCCAAGTAACGTCTCAAAGCAATCGCTATGTCAGAGTCGTTGTGTGAGTGGGCGTGCAGGTGGAGAGCGGAGAGCGCTAGCATGGGGTTTAATAGTAGTTCAGATTCAAAGGCAAGTTGTGGTATAGTCCGCTGCCATGCTTCTCTGGATGCACCATTACAGCCTGGCATAGTAAAGCTTACCACTGAACTATAATGGTACATTAAGCGAAGCTCTAAAGTCCGCCATCGGCTGGTGTCTGATATGGAGCTTGGATGTAAGCTTAGTGATGGGATATGTGCTACTATGATTGGTTGTGGGACTGAATGTATAGCTGGATCTTTAGCGAGTTGATTTAGAGTGTTTCTTTCAGGTTTATGAATGTGTTTCCCAGGGGATTCTGTGGTCCAGTGACAATGCTGGATATTTACATATCGTCGGCGGCAATTTGAGCAGACAGGCTTTATCTCGTCACACTAGACTTGGTTAGTAGGTTCGATCCAATGAATGGACTCTTCTTGCTTATACCTTCACTTTGCGTACTCTGCAGTCTCGACATCCAGATCGAGACTTTCTGAGCGAAGGGCCACGTCGGAAGGAACCACTGGCGGAATGCATCAGGGAACAATCCTTGGACTTCACCTGATCAATAATTAAGATAGCGAAGATGCGAGGTTGCGATGTTCCGAGGCTTGAAAACTGAATTATCGGAGGTGATGTCCACCTTGTTTCGAATTGGTAAGCAGCATAAGCAGTGGGAGGAGCAACTGACTTCGTGGCCAGCCAATCATGTTTCTATGCGAACTTCCGAGGGAACATTGCGCTAACTTGATGTAGACTGTGGATGACCCACTCCAATATACTTGATATCCAATTTTGAACAAAGGCTTGTGGTGTAAAATCAGATCGAGATGCTTCAGTAGAGATACATTGGCCGTGCCAGGATTCCTTGTGCACAGGATTTCTAGTACTTTCCACTCTGAGCTGCAATACAATCAAGGGAGTCCTCAGGTTGTTCTTATGCTGGCGAGGAAGTATAAAGCTCCAGAATGCCTCGTCTCTATGCAGAATTGTTATCAAGCTCTCAGTACTTTGCAATAAACAGCCAAACTCCGTAAATCACTCCCTGAAGACTTTACTTCGACAACAAAAGCAACCGAGAAAATGAAAAACATCCTTGCTGTCTTTGGAGCAACTGGTATACAAGGCGGTTCAATCATCAACCATGTATTAAACGACCCAGAGTTATCTCAAATTTACGAGATCCGTGCCATCACTCGAGATACGACCTCAGACAAAGCCAAGAAGCTCAAGGAGAAGGTCACCGTCGTCGAAGGCGACGTGTTTGACCCAGCTTCTCTCGCAACAGCTTTGAATGGTGCTCATACCATCTTCGCCATGACAACACCCTCGTTCACTCCCGACGCTGTTGAAATCGAGTCCAACAGTGCAAAGACAATTGCCGACGTCGCCGTACAGAAAGGAGCTCAGTACATCATCTTCAGCACCCTACCCTCAGTCACTGAGCTCTCCGGTGGCAAATACACCCATGTCACCCCGTTCGACGCCAAAGCTGTGGCCGAGAAATACATTCGAAGTCTTCCCATCAAGAGCGCCTTTGTCTCGTACGGATTCTTCATGGAGAATTTCCATACCCAACCCTTCTTGGGTCCTCAAAAGACTTCCGATGGCACTTGGGTTCTGGCCCGGCATATCTCTTCGAAGCACAAGGTACCATACATCGACGCTACCGGAGACGCAGGAAAATTCGTTGGTGCTATCCTCGCCGAACCGGAAAAGTATGCAGGCAAAACATTCTGTGCCGCGCAGGCATTGTATAGCTTCGATGAAATAGTCGCTATTTTGTCCAAGACTACAGGCAAAACTGTCGTGTACAAGCAGATCTCGCTTGACGACTTCGAGAAGAGCCTACCGTTTGCGCCTGTTCTGTTTTCGGAGGGGCTCAGCTTTCTGGAGGAGTTTGGAGGATACTTTGGTCCTCTTACTGATGAGTTGGTTACTTGGGCTGCAGGGAACATCAAAGGAAGACTTACGACCCTTGAGGAATTCCTGAGGGCAAACCCACTTCAGCTTGTGTGAAGGCAACAGGTTGATAGCTTGATACCGAGTGGGCTTTAAAGCCCGCTAAGGGACACAGGAGCACATGGAGTGCCTTAGGAACATCAAATTCGCGTAATAGAATGCGAATATTATTCTTCCTTTTGATCTCGTGAATCGGTGTGGTGATGTGTCTGCGTCAATCTTTCTCATGTTTTGACAACAAATTATTTTGCTCCAGGTTGTTGTGATAGCGATTTACTGAGCATACATAATTAGTCAGATTGTCGTGTGGCTAAGAGACGCTGCTATCGTAGGAGTTGACTTGAATTCGCTCATCTGTGCGGTGTGACGTTGAATCGTGATAGAGCTTCTGTAGTTTGATTTCTGTAGATATAGCGGATTACACAGATAACTAGATTTCATATCTGTCAAATTTGCACTTTGGCTTCAACGAAAGCCGTCACAATACTATCCATTTCCCAATGAATAGCAAGGTTCATAGCCTCGCTCGCCCAGGGAACGTTTATATCTATCCCTCGTTCTAGCAAAAGTCTTACCATTGGCTCGTGCCCACCTCTTACAGCTTCGTGGAGGGGCGTACCTATTACCGGCGACCTCATACCTGTAAAAATCCGTGGGCCATGTTCTTCGATTCCAACCAACATATGCTCCACATTGATGTCGCCTGGGTAGTCTAGTAACAGGCGTGCGACATCCACATGGCCGTTTTCAGCAGCAATAGATAATGCTTGTGTTTCTCGGTTAACCCCATTTTCTAAGAGTAGTCGGACAATTGATGGACGACCGCGAGTGGCTGCAATCTCTAGAACTAAAAGACCGTAGTCACAGTCTGAATAGTCATGGTGAAGTTCTGTGTTGATGTTGACACCAATATCCAGCATCCACTGGATAATATGTTCCTGGTTGCCTCGAATGCCGCCACGTAGAATTGAGTGACGCATCAGCTCGGTTTCTAACGGCACATATCCATCCCACTCAGGGCGTTGCACAAGATATTGAATTACATCTTGATGTCCGGCTTCTGCTGCACTTTGAATTGCATCCCGCAATACGGGTTTGTGTAATGTGGTCGTTCGGTCATCATTACCTCCCAGGACCATGCTTGGATGGTCCAACAGTAGTTTGATGAGTTCGAAATGACCAGTGCGACTTGCTCTGTCGAGTGGTGCATTCGTGGTTTTTTCTGACCAGAAATGGGTGCCGATATTTATGTATGCTCCACTGTCTAGAAGCAATCTCACTACATCGAGATGTCCTTGCATAACAGCATACACCAAAGGAGGTCTATAGTAGCTGCTATGGGTGTTCGGGTCGGCTCCTTCACTCAACAGGTGTCGGAGCATTTGAAGATTACCTAGGAAAGCAACAGCGATTAGTGCGTCAAGTAACACAAGCTGACTTATCTCCCCAGCGGATACGATGTAGTCATCGTATTCATCGCGGCAACCAGTACTGTCGGCAACAGCTAGAGCATACACAACATCCGTGTATCGAAGAGGGGAACACAGGGGCTGCAATTTATGACTCTCTTGTACGAGAAAGGCTGCTGCATCTTTTATCCTCGCAATGCTGATGTCTGGAGGAGTGAGGCGATGTTCTAGACGGTATCTTAAGATATCAACAGATAAGGGTCTTGAAATCACGTCGTGATGTCGAAGGATTTCGAGTCCCTTTTGACTGCCAAAATCCACGATTCCTGGCTTGGCTATGACTGACATGATCCCCTGCGAGAACCGCCCTACGAAAACATCAGTCCCATTCCAAATGCTGAACAGACGAGACAACTGACGGTTGACAAGTCGGATGCGGAGAGCATGTCTAAAGCCAACGACGCCAACTGTGACGACAAATCTTTCCAAGATGTCATGCAATAATTCCAAGGGGAGATCCATGAGACGTATCCGAGTCATCGCTGCGTAGTCTCCAGGAATCTCGTGATCGGGACTTGGTACTCGTACTCCGGTCTGGAACTTCGCTGCCAAATTAAGGTTCCAGTGGAACTTCCCCAAGCGCTCTCCGTCCTCAAGTCTTTGACAGCTGCAGAGGCTCGTCTGATTTCGGCATGAACCCCCGTTTTTGATGAGTTTGTGATGCACAGAGGGAGGTGGGGGGCTCGATGAGAAGGGAGGAGTTTGAGATTTATCTTGGCAACTTTGAAGAAGGGAAAGTGGTGATCCCGTCCGAACAAAGGGAAAGCAGCGCTGTCGCTTACATAAAATTACACGTGTAATTCACCTCATTCACGGCTAGCAAACGAGCTTTCAAGTTGGATCTAATTCTAAAAGAGCTTCCAAGAACATGAACATGAAGAACGCTCTTCCCTCGCCCTCTGAAGCTTCTTAGCAGTTTAAAATAAACGTAAATATTGCACGATGAATTTATGGTTATTCCTTCTCGCCAACGCACGAGCCCCTTAAATGTACCTCAGCAACATCCGAGCACGAACGACTGGGCAAACCCCGGCATTGTCAGCCGCAAAAGCTCTCGCCTTTCCCCACGACACTTCTTCGCTCCTTCAAAACAACGACAATTCGTCAAAGGGAACGAGATGCAATCCTCACAGCTAACAACAACATGCACAAAACCGGAGATATGTACTTGTCTATACAGTTGCGTCAACATGTGCTGTCGCGGAGCCTCTTGTGACGTCCGATATTCCTCCTCATTCCTTTTTGTTTGCGAACGTGGGTATGCAACCGTGAACCCCCCCAGTTTCAGACTGAGGCTCTTCGAGTATCAGGCCAGCGATCCCCAACTAACGCCAATCTGGACACGCCGTCACCATTATGGCATGTTGTCATTCGTCCCAACACTCTTCAGACGGCGCTCCCCTCAATTCTGCCATGGTTAGGGCAGTTGATGGCCCCTGTTGGTGTTTAACCTTCTCTCCAGAGCTAATTTCAGGAGTCGGCACAGCCTTGAGCATCATGGATTTTGTGTCACTGAACTCTTTTCCATGCAGAATTGTGCACGATGTTGTGTGGGTATCCTCGCCACGCTGCTCAAGCATTTCTGCTTCCTTGTAATTCTCGATGATTTACTGGGAGATCGCCGTTCCGAGACCTCTGAGCGGCATTCTCCCTTCTGTATGGATGGAGCGTGAATGTTTCGAGGCTACATTCGAGATCAGGGTTGTATTGAAGTTTCGAAGACCCGTCCTTCTCTAGCGGTAGCTCAGTGCGATCCAATATATACTCCCAAGCCCTTTCGTTTTGTCGATCATCTGCATCTTCACATTCTTTTCATTGCGTTGTTGTTGTTTTCCTTACGACTTTAATTCGTATACTGGTTCTTCGTTCATTACTGCTGGCCAGCATTACATTCTAACCTTCGTTCTTATTATATCATCATCATCTTCTTTCATCGCTATTAACATATTTCAAAATGCAGTTCTCAACACTCTCCGCCCTTGTGGTGGGATTTTCAGCTCTCGCATCGGCGACATTTTCGAGTCCAAAGGCGGGGGAGCAATGGCAAGTGGGAAAGGAACAGACACTATCATGGGACAACACGGGCATGTCGGGATTGATGGATTGCAAGATTATACCGGCTGGAGCTGTGGACACCTCAATAGTAATCGCTGAGGTTTTCAGTCAAATCGACATTGTAAGCACGGGAGGATCATACAAATGGACGCCAGACGCTTCGCTCATTTCACAATCCGTCACTATCGTTATTATCGACTCCCTAAACCAGTACCACTACTCAGAAAGCTTCACTCTTATCGTTGCTGAGACCACCATCGTAAACATCGGAGGCCAAGAAAACTACAACAATGGAAAAGTAAGTGACTATGCACTCAGGTGTTATAGACGATTACTAACAATCTATAGGATTACACTTCAACCTGGGAAGTTGTCCAAACCACTGAACATGTCACAATGGTGGAGACAATCAAGACTCTGGAATCATCCGTCGTTACCGAGACCGTCCAACAGACCGAACACGTTACTTACACCGAGACGAAAGAAAGCGTAGTTCATGTTACTTCCACTGCTGTTGAGACGAACTTGGTCCACGTTACTGCTACTGCCACCGAGGTAACTGACATCACTTCAACCGCCGTCGAGACCTCCATCGCTATCGAGACTTCGGTTCAGCTCGAAGAGTCACTTGTCCTCCACACCTCAGAAGTTCTTCAAACAAACTTGGTACACATTACCTCGGAGGTTGTTCAGACCAACCTCGTCCACATTACATCTGAGATCTTCGAAACCAACTTGGTTCACCTTACTTCAGAAGTTACCGAGACCAACGAGGTCACAGAGACCAACCTCGTTCATATCACTTCCGAGGTCCTCCAGACAAACGTCGTACAGCTTACAGCTGAAGTTACTGAGACCGAGACCAACTTGGTACACATCACATCTGAAGTCCTACAAACGAACTTGGTCCATGTTACTGCGACTGCCACCGAAACTCAAATCGCTGTCGAAACCTCTGTCCAATTCGAGAAGTCTCTCGTCCTTGAAACCTCGATCGCCCTCGAAAAATCTATCGTTCTCGAGAAGTCTGTCGTCCTTGAGACCTCTGTCGCGCTCGAAACAAGTCTAGTGCACGTCACAGCAACTGCTACAGAAACCCAACAAAGCCTTGTGCTTCAGTCCAGCGTCGTGTTCCTCACAGAAACCAAAGAAAGCTTAGTACTTAAGGAGAGCACCAACTTAGTAGAAGTCACCCAAGTCGCACTTGAGACCAGTCTTGTTCACGTTACTGCCACTGCTACTGAGGTCAAGGAAAGCATTGTGTTGAAGGAAAGTTTGGTGCAAGTCACTCAAACTGCAACTGAGCTTCAACAGAGTGTGCTCCATGTTACCGCCACCGCAACCGAACTCGCACTTCAGACTTCAGTGGTTTTAGAGTCGTCCGTGGTCGTTGCAACTTCGTACGTCGTCATGACTTCTGTGCAAGTCGTGACTAGCACGGCTGTCGAGAAGATCTCTTCTCACGTCATCGTGACCGTCACCACAACCTTGACTGAGGGGGCTTCATGCACAACAACTGAAGGAGGTCTTGTTACTTCGCTCTTCACGAGTTTGAGCACTTCAGTCGGAAATGGAGAAGGTGTTCTCACCAACCAGATTACCCTGACCGAGACACATGGAGCCAGCGCGGCTGTGGAGACAAACAGAATCACGTTGACGGAATCTCACTCTGGAAGCAGCGTGATCGACACCACGTTCACAAGCATTAGCATTGCAAGCCCAACGTTATCCGTCAGTCTTGAGACTAGCATCAGCATCGCGCCTCCAATCGCAACCGGTATTGCCGAAACAACATTTGCTCCATCGCTCACTTTATCAACCACCACTACACCAACACCATTCTTTGGTGTCAGCAATACGACAATGATCTTACCATCCGGGACAGGTAGCTTCTCAGCACAACCAGTCTTCGCCAACGCCGCATCATCAGTAAGCACCAACAGCCTGCTAGCCGGAGGTCTCGTCACTCTCCTTTCCGCATTTTTCCTATGAAGTAGTCGACCATAAGTCAGGATTCCAAATCTGTTTATAGCGTTCCAAGTTCAATTCCTAGAATGATGCACCCAGAGAAGAGAACAAGGAGACCCTTTTTATTTTGTAATATTATTTTAATTCGCCCCCAGGGCCGGGACGGTCGAACCGTCGTTGTAGAGGAAAGCTGCGCTCTCAGTACATCTGGGCCATTTGGGGGCAGCTCCGGAAGCTTTTAAACACATATACCGTATACATATATATGAGGGCACATCAATCAGAGGACCGAGGGCCTAGAATTTTTCGGCTATGGGAGTTTCTTAGACGGCAATAGGCTAATGAAGACATGATACCCTTTAAATGAGAACATTTACTTTTGCTGGTCGTCTAACATAATCTTTGACATGATTTTTCTCCAATGTTGACATGGACTAGTGGTTGCACCGATGGAGAATGGCGTCTTCCCGATTACACAATTTGAAGATCTTTATGTTCGGCCGAACTTTCCGGCTCCCACATGCCAGACCTAGCGGCGGTCCACCACAATAGGGCTGGGTGGTGATAGCAAGGAATTGATTGCACTAAACTCTATTCCAACATTGTATGAACCTCTCCTCTCTAGCTTCCTCACGTCGCGGGGTATCACAGTTTTGCTTTTCAACTTCATTCCAGTTTGAGACTCCAAGTCACGTTTCGATGTCTTACACCTCAAACCCCTCGGTCAGCCCCTGACATCAGACGCAATAAACAATAATTCACCCGTCGTATTGCGCGTATCTCAACCATTGCACCGCTTTCCATATTTGACTCACAGTTCTCCCTTCTGTAAACCCGAAAACCCGTTCCGACAGTCTGGCTCGATGACTCTGACCACATCATCTTCTTCAACAGGAAATAGTGGGGAATGTAAGCAAGCCAGCATGCCATTCGTGCGCGCGTATCTTGTAGGATACTGGTCTCGCAAGTAGCCTTTCACCACGATTGCTTACGTATTTATCCACCTGTAGATGTGATTCTTGCTTATGGCTAAGTCCACATCCTGAGCTCATTCTTCTTATTTGTTTAGCTCCTCAATTCCAAGCATGCAATTATACGTACAGCATTAACAAACCCATCCAATAACACCGCGCAAATCACTCGACTCGGTCGAATGCGGTCGAAGCCCCCAATCGTTAATTACAGCCTTTCTAATCAACACGCTCCCAAACTCACAATTTTAGCCGCAACGTAGCACAACCACGCCAATCACGCAGGCGGCTCAAAACGCCTTGCAGCATATCTTGCAACACGTCGAACCCAGCCAGTCAGCGCGATACCTCATCTACAGCTTATGGCATCAGACCAGGGCCCAACCGGAGTCCGGGCCCTGCTCGTTCATCTCCTTCGGGACATCGCCGCTACGAGGGTTTCGGGCTTTGTGCTTTGTGCTTATCCCCAGCTGAGGGCTGACTGAGCGGTAGCCTTGTGAGGTAAGGGATGTACCAATTACATCCAGGCGTGCACGTTGTGGTCGTTTCCCTGGAGTTAGCGGATCTAGCTCTACGTGCTCGCGTTGGGGTGAGTCCGAGCCGTATCTTACACGCGGACCCACTGGTGGTTGTATAAGTATATCCTGTATCTTTCGTTTTTGTGTTTTGGAGCGTGGTCAGGAAAATTACTTCTCTTCAATCTCTTTTCCAGGGTCTGCAGGCGATTTCTCGGCTCACCCCCTTTCCTTGACGCGAGTTTTGAAAGGTCAACAATACGAAATAGGGATCATGGCTGTCTCGACCGAGAAGCAGGAGGTTGCGGTAGATGTGGCTGCTCATTCGAAGGAAACTGGAGATACACTTGGAGTTCCAGCGACAGATGTTCCAAATGTGTCGGGGAATACCTCGATCACTGGAACGGATATTGAGGTTGAGAAACAGGAAGCTGGACCAGTTGAAGAGGTCCCGCCTCGAGATATCAAAGGCATCAAATGGGGAATAGTCGTCGCTGCTATTCTTAGTTCGACATTCCTTTTCGCTTTAGATAACACTATCGTCGCTGTTATCCAGCCAGTTGTTGTGACGCATTTCGATTCCGTTGGGAAACTGACCTGGCTTTCCGTTTCATTCTTGATCGGTGCCGCCTCTACCAATTTGATTTGGGGAAAGATTTTTGGGCAATTCAACGCAAAATGGATGTACATCTTCTGCGTCTTTCTCTTTGAGCTTGGATCCGCTGTGTGTGGAGCAGCTCCCACCATGGATGCACTTATCATTGGAAGAGCCATCTGCGGTGTTGGAGGAGCCGGAATGTATGTCGGTGTCATGACGCTTCTCTCAGTTACAACTACCCTTCATGAACGTCCTATGTACGTGGGAGGTACCGGTCTCACCTGGGGTCTCGGTACAGTTCTCGGTCCCATCATCGGGGGGGCTTTCGTCGAGAGCTCAGCGGGGTAAGTCAAACCGTCCAAATCTTCCTTCAAAAACTTACAATCCATAGCTGGAGATACGCCTTCTACATTAACTTGTTCGTGGGAGCCCTCTGCGCTCCCGTCTACATCTTCATGCTCCCCAACGCCGACCCCCGCCCAGGCGTCTCCATGAAAAACCGCCTCCGCGAGATGGACGTCCTGGGCGGCTTCCTCGTCATCGCCGCCTTTGTCCTCGGCGTCATGGCCGTCTCCATGGGCGGTATCGAATGGCCGTGGAACAGCGGAAAGGTAATCGGGATGTTCGTCGCGTCCGGTATCCTCTTCATCCTGCTCGGTTTCCAACAAGTCTACACGATCTTCACCACCGTCGACCGCCGTATCTTCCCCGTCCAATTCTTCCGCTCTCGCACAGTGCTTATCCTCTTCGCTATGACCTCAGCTGGTGGAACGGCGATTTTCATTCCCATTTATATGATCCCGGTGTTCTTCCAATTCGTGCATAATGATTCGGCGCTTGAGGCGGGCGTGAGATTGTTGCCGTTTATTATGCTTATGATCTTTGCTGTTATTAGTAATGGTGCTATCATGTCGGCGACTGGGTATTATATGCCTTGGTATACGGCGGGTGGTACATTCGTCATTATTGGAGGTGCGTTGCTATATACAGTCGACATCGACACTTCTACAGCAGCTATCTACGGCTACACCATCCTCGTAGGCTTTGGGGACGGGTTATTCGCTCAAGCTTCCTTCTCAGTCGCTCAAGCAGTCGTATCGCCAGCAGACGTAGCTTCAGCAGTTGGCTTCATCACTTGCGCACAAACATCCGGCGTCACCATCGCACTCGCAATTGCAAACTCCATATTCTTGAACGGCGCACAAGATAACATCGCCAAAGTACTTCCAGACGTTCCAACTGCAACGATTCAAGCAGCTATTGCCGGCGCTGGAAGCGAGTTCGTGAAGGGTCTTAGCGATAAGTTGAAGCGAGAGGTTCTCGTTGCTATCGTGGACGCGATGAGCAAGACGTATATCTTGGTTCTCACTGCTGGTGCTTTGGTTCTCGTGTTGAGTTTGGGCATGAAGAGGGAGAAGTTGTTTTTGGCTGCTGGGCATGCTGGATGAGCGGTTTCTGAATCAGTAGGGGGTATCATAATTTTTGTACGAGATGTGGCGACTAGATTGGATACCGGTACAATGGCGTTGGTGATACACATAGCGTGGGTTTGAAACTTTGAAAGGTGTTCATGTGAATAGACATAGAGCCATCCACTCCATAGATAAAATTAATCTTATTATTTCTCCTACTCAAACATTTCCACAACTTGTACTTCCAAGTTTCCGTTTTGCAGCAACTTCTGTTCGACGCCTAGTTCGGACTTCTACTTTGATGAGCTGTGCTACAAATCAGGTACTCACTGAAAGACTACCCAGCGTATTTCACTAAAACAAACGTATCATTACATCCGTTCTACCATCCAAACCCATGCTTCCATCTCAACTCTACTTCACCCACTATCACATATGCCAAGATCCTTCCTCTCCAGGCCGCTTCAACACCCCAACATCAACCCAACGCACCATCCACCTAACTCCACCAACTAACCCCCCATTCCCCTCCCATTCCGCGCCCAAACATCCAAGTCCTCCCAAGAACCCTCTCACCTCATCCCTTGACATCAAACTCCCCTCAAACCCAGCTCTCTCTATCTCCGAGCCCGACCATAATCTGCATCTCTATCGCCGACCCCTCTATCTCCGAACCTAGTACCATATCCACGAGTAACCCCGAACCCCCCCTCTACTTCCTTTTCTGGCAAGTAAATCTACGTAAACAAATAAGCTCTTGTGTCCTTGGCAGGAAATATCAGCGCTCTCACCTAATCTTAAAACTCACCTCATCTCGTGGTCCCAGGACCAAAGACCATTGCAGCAGGAGTACGGCCAGCCTAGTTCTGAGAGCTGAGAAGATTTGGGTGCTTGTGAGGTGGAGCTGACACGTGGAGGGTTTTGAGCGAGTGATACGAGAATATCTTAGATTGTGGCTGGCAGACCAAGTCGTAGGTAAGAAAGAAATTAATGGACGTCTTTGCACAGTTGCACTCAGGAGCGACTGGTGTGCAAGTCTCGTACTTTAATCGAGTATGGGGTAAAGTTAGTCGTTAGGACAAGCTGCTAAATTTCTACCACACAATTCATAGCTTTCTCTAAATCAATTACGATATTTCTATGGGTATATAAACAACCTATCATCATCAACAATCACAACGCTTTTATCTTTTTCCCCACCTGAGATCGATCCAAAAACCCACTCTCCACAACCAAAGTGAAGAAACACCATAGATAGCAAATTCCAAATCCCACCGCGCCGATTCCAACATTAACCACAACCCACAAATCCGGTTTTCCATTCGGTGGGCTGAGGAATGACTCAGCAACATGCCATACCGCCATTGCGAGATAAAATCCCAGATGAAGAGTCGTAGTCGCGAGGCCAGTCCACGTTGCCTTGCCTTCCGTTTTATATACTGAAAATGAGGTTGGTGGGAGTCCTAGGAGATATGCCCAGAGAAGAGAGAGCACGTAGTAAGGGACGCGCAGGTCGACACGTTGAAGGAGCGGGAACATCGTCCACACTCCAAGGAGATTTCCAAAACCGACCCAGGCTCTGGTGTTCTTGCTTAATCCCTGTTTCCCGGCCAAGAGTGCAGTCATTGGCATTAAAGGAAGTAGAACGCTCTTTTCGTGGACCTGGAAGCTGAAAAGAAAGAAGCCCCAGGCTGATGTTGCTAGTGCAAGTGGTAGTAGTTCTTTTCGCGGTTTGACGAATATGACAAAGCATGCTGGCGTTATTGCTGCTAGGGTAAATAGTAACGAAGTCCTTTGAAGTATCTCGGATGGGTATTGTTTTAGCTTGATAAATACGTTTGCCGCGCACCAAAAATTGGCCACTTTATCCTCAAAGAGACCTCTTGCGAAAGGAAACACCCGATGAACCAGTTGTGCCATCTGCTGAACGATTGGGTAATACCAAGCGTGATAATCGAGGCGAAAGGAGTATTGTGTGAAAATCGGCAAAGGTGCTTTATGACCATGAAGGTCTGGTCGGGCTTCGACCCCACGCTGAGCATCGTATAAGGATCCTAGAATGATAGGAAGAAGCAGCACAGCAAAAGAGGCTGCCGTGACGCGTGCAATTCCTAAGAAACGAGGAAAGTTGAGGCGCGGAAATAGACACACCCCAAGTAGATATGCAAACATTGGAGGAGCGTAGTATAATGCCATTTGCTTGAAACCAAGGGCCATGACGAAAAATACACAGCTCCACATGAACCTACCAGCCAGAATACTTGACATACTTGCGAGGACGAATCCGAGCATGACCGTATTGTACTGGAAGTGTACATGATCAATCAGAATAGTACCCGGTTGCATCAGAATAGCCGTGAGAGCCACTGCAGCGCTCCAAGTATTTACGCCTTGTAATTTGCTAAGCCGTCGTACAAATATGACAGCAGCTGGTACGTATATGAGGTATTCGGAGACAATGACCGTTGCTCTCATGAAAACCTTCAATGAGGGATCATCTGTACCGCGGGAGGTATGTAGCTCAAACCACGATCGATCAATCAGTCCTCCAATTTTGCCCAGGATCCAACTGTGATATGCGGTCAAAGGAGGGTAGTCCAAACCCCACCATTCCAAATCGTGGAAATACCATTGTGATATAGGAAGCTTCGTAGTTATTTCCATCCAATGTCGTTGTGCTTCGTAGTCTCCATGCATCGGTGGATTCTGGTATCCTGAGAATTGTCAATTTGTGCCGTCTTCAGAGCCAGACACGTATGCTCTTACCAGAATATCCCCACAGTCCAGCCGCCCATCTGAACAATCCAGCAGCCATGAGTATTAGTGGGAGAATTTCCCATTGTGACAAAGAGCTCCTGGCGGGCCATAGCAGAGCTCCAAGAGGATACGATGGTTTGCTGGAGGAGGATGCTCGTCCGGACCCTGATGTGGATATCAGGGGAGCTGGTTCAGTGCCATTTCCAGAGCTTTTGACCTTCCGCCGCGGCTTGTGAGGAGATGGCGCTGGACCTGCCATAAGGATTTCACCAAAGAAATGAGATTGAAGCTTTTGATGGCGACCCGGAGAACATTTGGTGTACAGATTATAGATTGTAAAAGACAGAAACAACGGCGGTTATGAAATTTGACGCGGGGAGACGCGACAGATGGTCAAAGCTTCGAAATGGGAGCTACAGTCTGTCACGTGATATTTTTCGCTTCGTGTGACAACTTCGCTCGAGAAACTTTCTAAACTTTCAACAACATCATCATCGTCATCTATCAATAGGAATACCTACCGTAGGTACATGTCGAAGTTTTGACACGTTGCAAGTGCATCATCATCTCTTTTGCCTCGACGTGTTTTCATGATTCCCCGTATTTTGAATTCTTTCTTACTTTAGTCCTACGTCCGCGGCGTTTCAACAAAACTTTAAGCGGCGTTTTGTGCCTGGTCGTTTCAATGCTCATGCTGATAATCTTTTCGAATACTTGCTGTACTCATAACACTTGTCGCAGTGTTTCATATTCGCATCGTTGCTTCCTTCAGTGTTAGATTAGGATTCTCGATCAAGTGCTCGGGAATTCGCAATGTTGTGCTTTGCATCCTATTATCTTTCATTCTGCTGCCCTTCCAGGTCGCCAGCAGATACGTTCCAAACCACCTACATATCCCAGCGTGTTGCGAGCTGCTTGCGAATCCAAATCCAATGGTCTTCATCCTCATGCTCCAGTGTCGAACGCGTGCTGGCGGCAGAATAGGGCGAGAAATGTGCTTTCCTCGCCCTAAACTTTGTCAGCATTGCAGCATGACACGACCAATACCTGTCTGCTATTCGTCAAATGAGGGAAGCCACGCATACGGCCACGATGAAGATCTGCTGTACTCCTGCACAGCTTTCAGGCACACGCAAAACTCTATCTTGATTGGATTAACCTAGAACTACTCCTCAGCTCCAGACCGAGACTGCTGTCAGTTAAAAGTGGGTCCCCCCCTTCGGTTGAGGGCTCCACTTTTTCCGACTCCTATGCTGCACCTTCTTGAGATATCGAACGCGACTCTATAACTCTCAGGCTGTCCCCTCTGTCTTTGTCATCATTTTGTCATCAAACTCACGCTATTCATATATAAAGGCAGTCGGTCAGACATCAGGCCGTCGGTGAGATATTCCTCCGCCTCTCCAAATCGCCCTTTCAACCCCGGATTTACCACAACATGGCTGGCTTCGGCTATTGTTCGAATGAGGACCTCTTGGGTATAGATCCATCTTTATCTGAATCATCTGATTCATGGTCTCACCAAGCTTTTCCATTCCCGCAGTTCACTGCAGAAGACGATCTGTTGGCACTTGAAGTTTCAGCCCTGCCAGTACATTCGGACCCCATCTCAGTAATCAATAATTGGCCATTGATGCAAGATCATGATTCTCTATTCCCAGATCGGCGGTGCCTCTCCGATGAGCAACAAAATTCCAAGTTAATTTCTTCTGCATCGTGGTTTACATGGGATGTATGTGGAACTTCACCAGTGGAACATGATACAACAGTTCCGCACTGCGTTCCCTACCCTGAATGGTAAGTGGTTCCTTATCCTGTTTCTGATTTGTTCAATGGAAGAGGCTCATTATACTAGGTCCCATATTGGACTTACAACTGGGGTATTTTCGAGCTTTATGTGGTTGCAAAACCAAAAGTAAGTGTGGTTTCACAAACTATATTCCATCGCCATTTTGTTTTGAGGGGAGAGACATTGACGAACTTTCAGTCAACCCCATAATTCCATGTCTTCTGGTGCAAGCTCACATATAGCTCAACACTCTTTATCAAATGCATCTGCATCTTCATCTCCAAATACCTCTGAGGATAGCATAAGCTTTCACGGTTCCATTTCCACGGAATCTGATAAGCAATGCAATGAGTGCAATATCTTGTTCCCAACAAAAACGGCACTATACCAGCACTCAAAAGTCACAAACCATTCACCACATATTTGCCTCTGCGGCAAGGGATTCTCTCGACTCGACGTACTAGAAAGACATATACAATCAAGAACCTCGCCTGAAAGTACTTTTCCATGTCCTCACTGCCACAAATACAGAGGCACCACAGCCTTTCGTCGTCGCGATCATCTGACCCAACATCTCAAGGGCTATCATCACATGGAATCTCTTGACACCGACAAGCCATCCTCGGCCTCGCACAGTGAACATTCAAATCATCATGCGAGAAAAAGAAAAGAGCAGTCGATTTTGTGTACACATAAGAGCTGCAGTGATGGTCCCAAGGCAGCCAGTAGTCAGTTGCGTACTCGAAGTCAATTGACACAGCACTTGCGGGAAGTTCACAATGAAAGTCTATTTCCATGTGATGAACCTCGTTGTTCCAGAGTAGGAGGCAGAGGGTTCTTTCGCAGAAGAGACTTGATCAAGCACGCGAAGGAACATGAGATCCAACGGACAACGATATGAAACTCCTGCATTGGTTTAACTTTATATTATCAGTCTCGGGCATTGTTCTACGACATTCAATTGTCTGAAAATCAATGAGAGCACTAAACCTTACAAACTTATCGTTAGTACGATAACAGGCTTTTGAGCCCTACCTGCGCGATGTTTTGAGCACAAAAAGATGCTTTCTGTCCGAACAAAACCGCGGTCTGAAGGCTAGCCGATCGTGGTCACACATGTAAATCAAAAAGTCAAAAGGTAAGCTCATGATGCCTTTGTTGTTAGTGTTTTCACTTTACTGACAAAACCAAAAGGGACACCACCTTGCTTCAAGGTTACTGCTCTGTATCTTCTACACACTAGCATACATTAGCGGGACGACTTAGCATTCACTTAGGTTTCAAGGGCTCAACACCGAGCAGAGGTTTGCTTTACTTAAACAAAAGCTTTCGGTCCGGTGTCGAAACTCGGTATTTGTCACTTACCAGACGCCATTTTCCATACAATTAGTAGAGCAATTATCAGACCGCGCAAAAGCAATAGGTAGAACTGCTTGATGTCGACTGTCCCATCTGGTGGCTCTTGATTGTTCTCCTCAAAACTGAAAAAGAGAAGACAACAAATCACTATAAAAAGGAGGATTTGCGCCATTTTAATGGTTAGTCAGGGACGTATGGTACCATCGGGGCAAGAATGAAGAGATCTTTTTCAAAATCCCATTAGTCACAAGCTTTACAGCCGAGATAACAAAGGCTTCGTATCTCGAGCTAAATCCTGGGGTCAAATTCGTCAACGTGGGTAGAGTTATTAATGGGCAGGCTTCGCACGATAAATACTATCATAGTTCTCACAAGGTTTCGAATGAATTTATACTGATCTCAAAATCCCCGCGGCTTCGTGGAGAGACTGAAGTCCGTTAGGTAGACCTTAGTTGGCCTTGCGAGGCGGAAAGGGGGGACACTCGATTAGTCCTCTTTCTTCCTCGATAAGCCAAAAATCGTGCCTATATTCAGATACGTCTGCTATACAGTTTAGTGCCACGCCATCATAGACCATTCAATTCAATATCTTAACATCCCAGAACCAAGATAACAACTCTATCTCAACCACAAATATCAACTCACCATCACCTCAACTCTTCCCCTTCCCCTCACGTTCTTCTTTTTTGTGTCCTCTTCATCACTCCCCAAAACCTCCAATATCTCAATTCCTTTACTAAACGCCAACCCACCATTTTCCAATTCAAAGTTCAATACCACACCATCACACCCTCCCAGTCTCTCCCTTCCATATTCCACACGCAAAACTAACCATCTTTCACCCATCTCTCCACAAGAAAATATCACCTCACAAAACACCATCATCATTCACAACCCCAAATTCCCCCCTTAGAAATAATTTTATTCACAAGCCTCTCACTCTTCCTCTCCCCATCCCCCTCTCTATCCCCATCCCCCTCTCTATCCCCATTCCCAGTCCAAAACAACTTTCCTCCACCAACGATCAGACTCCAAACTCCAAACTCCAAACACCACAAAGCATAATTCCCCAAACCCCCAAACCTGGTAAGCATAGCGAAACAAGCTATTCCAGTATCAGATCTACAACGATCATGTCTTAGATTTGTGTCTGTGGGTTTGGACGGATTGTTTGGTGTTTGATGGTGATCTTTGGGGGGGAAGTTTATGCGAAACTACTGTAGATCGGTGTTGGGCGGAGCGTGTTTTTGGGTTGCTAGGAAACAAATGTAATAATAGGAGGAAGGCATGTAATGATGAGCATCCAAACTATGTGATATATGTTATAATTTTACTTTATTTCGTTCGCTACTTGTAAATATACCTTCCGCCATCTTCGGCGCCTTTGCAATTCTTTGCGTGGGAGTTTGAAAAAGTCAAGCTCCAAATTACTTCATCGTTCACTACATCTTCCGTCCCCCACAGACAGTTCATTGCGATTCACTGCCAGCTAACCACACAACAATTAAGCTGTTCTCCCACGCCCCCAACAATCGTCCAGGTCAACCAATATGGTTTCCAGCAGCCAACCCTCTCAGATCGACCGCGGTGACATTAAACCCGACATCCCCCACCACCAAGCCCAGCCATCAGGAGAGAAAAATCTCGATCCCTAGCCAGCGCTTGCGGACAAGCCATATACGCCTGGGTAATATCCCTCCGGCGACACGCTCAGTTATAATCATAAAGTTCATCCCATATAAATCAATCCTTCACGCATGGTAAAAAGTATCATGTCTCGGCGAATCCGCACCCGTCCTCTCATCTCTAATCTCCGTCATCGCGAACAGCGCCGGGAGCGGCGAGATCGGTAGCGGCCAATCTTTCTCCATATTATCCGTTGCGCTCCTTGGGGTGAGGAGTTCCATGCCCACGGGCTCAAGCGCCGGTAACTCGACCGGTGGGATGATTTCCGTGTTTGCCATCTCCTTGGGGACGACGCAGTCGCCGTGTAACATAGCTTTGTCGGCGTCGTCTGAGGGCGGTGGTGGTGGTGGTGGGCGGGTGGATTCTTGGTCTTCGTCGGGGATTTCTTTTATGTTTCCTAATTCCCATTCTTCGCGGATGTGTTTCCGGCGTGTGCAGTAGATTACTACGAATACGGTTGCCATTCCTAATATTGATCCTATTACGGGTCCTGCGATCCAACTTTGACTTAGTTTTGGTCCTGGCCCTACGGCTGCGGTGCTCGTTGATGTGTTCGTGGCTGCTGGCGAGCCGGTGCTCGTAGCGGATCCAGAGGTGGTATCTGCTACTTGGGAGGCTACCGAACCATTAGTGGAGAAGCTAACAGAGCTCTAGTTGAACTTACCACTATCGACACTATTGGTGGCTGCCGGTGTTATCGTTGAGGAAGAAGTCTCGGTTTTCGTCGCCAGCGCAGCATAGCTCGATATCCTCGCTACTTGCGAGGCGATGGCAGACACTTCAGCCTTCACTGGACTGTCGTCGCAACGGTCGAGTTGAGCAGATAAAGTACTAATGACTTCGTCGAGTAAAGGGACAGTGCCATTGTATATCGAGTAATATAAAACACAGGTTTGACAGGCACCGCAATTGGCGAGAAACGGCGAGCCCGTCACACAGGACGTTGCGTTGTCGAAAGCTATTATATTATCTTTGCAAGTAGCTTTGTAACGTCAGCATTTATTTGGGCGGAAAAGACAGAGGTAAAGATGAACTCACGACACTGAGGTTGACAATAGTCCTGAGGAATAATCACTTGTCGCAATGCCAGAGCAGCCGCGACGACTCGAGGCAAGAGCATTGTTCGAGCAATCTCACGATGCCCATCCACCGATTAAAAGTCCGATGTCTTAGAGACAACGTCAGAGAGACGGGTGAGAAGGTACATGATTAGTAGAGAAAGAGGCTGAAAAAAGGACGGGTGGTCTCCGTCTTGACCAGAAGAAGGTGTGCGGAGCGTTACCGGTTTCGAGCTGGCGATTGTACTGGGTGGGTTGAAAGGGAAACGGAGAAATCCAAGCAGTGAATGCAAAGCTCAGATTCTGCCTCATGCGTCCATTGAACAAACGTCGCGCTGCCCACTCTTCGCGCGATCTGCTTGTGCTGTTTCGTTCGATGGGGGGACAAAGTGCTGAAAAGGGCTGGAGAACAGCATGGTTTGGGAACAGCAGGTCCACTGCAATAAGGTGTGAGGCCTGGATGAAGGTCGCCGATTGTCGTGGGCCACTGGGATTGTCATTGGCTCCCCAATCTGAAGCTGGAACCACCGTGGAGCGGGGGACATTGTCCGGGGCTGTTATTGGGCGGGGATCTAGGGAGAGACATGGGAGCACAGGCAATAACAACGCATGGAAATGGTAATTTAATCCTCCAAGCTTGCCCTGAAAAGTTTGGACCAGTCTGAGTGTGAATTCAGGGCCAGTGTTCAGAAGAACCGTTGCTTGACTAACCCGTCCCGTTGATACGATCGAGATGTCTGAGAAAGTACACCGTTGGGCGTACATCCGGGGAAGAGTACAAAAAGATGCAAGCAGGAAGCCTCTTCTTCGCGATCCGGAGAGCTGCAAAGGAAGGCTGCAGATGATGTTCACTCAAGGTTGAGTTTAATCTCGATGCAGTTAGAGAAATCGGTTGTCGGTTTTCCACAACGCCAGAAAGGGATGAAGACCGGCTAATAGTGAAGAGAGTGGGTTGAGAATGGATCTGATGGAGTGAGAGTTCACCGAGGTGTGCCCTCGATTGTCAACTTGGCAGTCTTGAAATGCCTAGACCTCTTTGTTCGGAGGTACGAGTACAACACAACCTCTTCGTACACATGTACCTTTACTGCAGATATCACCCCGAAGGAGTACAGCAAAAGATACGGAGTTTGTCCGTTTGTTTACGGCTGGTTCGCTTAACTTCACAGCGTAGAATCCTTCTGATTTTAGGACGAAGAAGATGATCTTTGGCTAAGAGATTTAAGGACTGACTTTGATCATTCTACGATCATAGCTCTTCTCAAATCGCCAGCCAAATCCCCAAAAACCGCAACGCCCACAACCAGAAATCTGCGGATCGCATGATGTTGCACTGGGATCAACCCTTCGCGGACCCCAATTTGACCCCTGAAACAAGCTGGGGGTGCTCCCCGCAACTAGCGAATGTCTCTCGCTTCTGGCGGCTTGACCATTTTGACAACACCGCTGGCCTCCATCGTCTCCTTTCATCTCATGATTTTCAATATTCAGCTGCACAAAAGACGATAATGGACGCCACCGCAAGGGTTGTTTGCTCACTGATCGCACACACACGTTGACACGAGGCGTTCATCCGTAATGCTTGGCTTCAGCCAACGGTGAGAAGACGAATCGCAACTATTTCCTGAACCAAGAGGGTGGGTTCGCGATGTCTCTGCCCCCGAGAAGCAATATCATCGTACATCTTGGGTTTTGATGTGCTTCGAGTACATTCCAGTATCTTGGTCATCTAATTCACTCTTCATTTGCGATTGGGTTTGGCAAATTTCGAGTCAGTTTTCATTCCAGTAATCGAGTAGCTGACTTCAATACTATGCAGTCTCGCGGCGCACAAGGATGATAACAGTCGAACAGATTACATTTTCCAATTGAAGCGATTAAATAGAAAATCTTCTATCATATGAAGATTATTAAAAACCCAATATAGGATATCCTCCTAGGTCAAGAAGAGGATATCATGTTTCGACTGACGTTCTACAACGTCCCGTTTCGTCAAAGTATCACAAGATTCCGACAACTTGCTTTTATCCAGCGGATGTGAGACCTTCCGTCGTACCATTCTCCAATGGAAATGTCCCATCTCTTATCGATTACACTTACATCGCTGGGACTCAAATACGTGTTCTCACTCACTCTCAGAAAATACAGAGAAGTGATGCTCCGTTTTGAAGCTCGATTCGGAATCGCCGAGACTTGAAATCATATCATGGCCCCCAATTCGCGGAATCGAAGAAACCATTCAACTGCCGAGGCCTAGACCAGAAGATGCGTGACAGTAATGTTACCCCCACATTGGTGCTGTTGATGCAGGTGGGGAGATATCACGTTCTGTTTACAGTAGACACATCCTTCGGTCCTTCTGAGGATGCGATTTGGTTGAGTGTCAAGCAGTACTGATACCTACTTTCCATCAGCATGGGAGCCGCATTCAGCCATCTCGGTGTTCATTACCCGATTGAACGCGCCACACGTCCTGGTGTGGTGTTCTCAAACAGCACTTGATAAACTAGTACATCGACAGTTTTTGCGAACTTTCGACATACATATTGGATCGATTTGATTCCCTTCGCTGAGGGGCCTTTGGAGGAGCTGATCACGTAGCTAACAATATTGCTTTCCAAAAGATCAATGACGCTTACAACAAGCCATTCTGACACCACAACTCTCAATCTATGAGTAGTCTTGATCAGTTTCACATTTCACCACACATCGTCCGAACCCCATCGACAACAAAAACCAATGTGGTGTTGAACATGTTAGAGGATGTACTCTGGAGTTCTGCAAGGAGTCATGACACAAAATTACACCCGTTTCGAAGCAACGCCATGATCGTCCGCTATGTAACATTCTTGAATCAGAGTTCGCTAAAACACCCCCAATGCTCGTCTTCAGCTCAGCCCTATCAGGTGGCGTGTAGTACTACCAACTTTGTGATCTTGGCTCTGGATGTGCAACCCGTTCTCGAGAATCTTGACTCCCAAACTACACATATTTGCAATAACAACATCCCCCAAATCTCCCACCATCTCCCCAACTCCTCACAAAATTCCATTTCAACCTCATGTAGTACAAACGAAAATTTGTCTCACCAAGACGATACCCGAAAATCAATTTCCCAGACCGTGGGAAATAAGCGTGACAATCATGAGGACGCCACAAAAAGCAAAGTGCTTGTGCATCTGTGCTTTTTTGTCGGGAATCTACGGTTGTATGTACCGGACTTGGGGGAATGAGGATGGATGGGGACGAGGTTTTCTGGATGTGTTGGATGTGGATTGTGGAAGAGATTTGTAGAGTTGTGAGTTGGGGAGGGAGGCTTGGGGAGAAGCATGGGGAATGGGAGGGTGAGATGTACTTTTCCTAGCTAATAATATGGTATTTTCGTGAAAGCGATACACTCGATAACACTCATTCCGCAATACTTCTCAAACGTAGTATTTTCTGCCTGTTGAAGAGTCTACCCAGAGGGTTCGAGATTATCAAAGTACTGAGGAGTTCAAATGTGCAGCAAGAGTTGAAGATTTTAGAATCTGGATCTCTATCCCCCCCTAGACGAGATTCAATCGTTGAAAGGAGAAAATCATGAGATGCATCCAGCTAGATCTAGAGGGCTTTTTCTTCCCGTGTAGAAGCTTCGCGCCGGCTTCCGATATTGAACACGCTACTTGTTGAACAAATGGTCTAGGATATATGTACTTCAACCTGAGCATGGTTTGAGATGAGGTTCGAAAGATATCAGTTTATTTTATTTATCATGAATGGTATCATTTATCTGATTCAATATAATACATGTCGAGAGTATTTTGGAACCTGTTATGTCCACCAGAAGCGTGATAACATGTGCTTATTGGTCCCTACTCCAGATAACAAATGTTCCAAGGTCCATCTGGCACATCCTCCCAATCTTCCGGTATTAAACCCTCCTCAGCCCACTTTTTACACAGATCTCTTGCCCAGAATTCGACGCAATTTCTGTTTCTTCGATCTAGATGTTGCACGCAACGCCTTGCAACATTCAGCGCGCTATCCCACACAAAGCAGAAGTTAGTTTCAAACATACTAATTGGGGGGATTGGGTTAGCGATTTCAACATACCAGCGTTTCAAGACACCAAGATCCTCTAACCGGCGATGGTCCCAAATTACATATCCCCATCTTCGCAGGCCCTCAATTTCTTGCTCATCTAGATAATAACCATTGCGTTTACGAGCCTCTTTAACCCAAGATAATATAACCGTGTCATTCTTTTCACCAGCATGCTCTGATTCGGTCAAGTCAATTTCTGGATTTCGGGTTTGAGCACGTTTCCATGCTAGGAGTATACACAAGCACCTAGACATCGTCATCTGCGGGATGTCTGTGTTACCGGCAACTTCACGCCTTTCCTCGGAATTAGAAGCAGAGAACATCCTACTAAGCATATGTAGGCCTCGTGTAATACAATCTTCCTGCCATAAATCTAGTCCTTGAGGGTACATACGGTGTGAAAAGAACCAGTCGTTTGATTCCCACCTACTCAGCGGGTCTTGATGAAATGGATGTGGCTCAAGAGTCTGGTATTCTTCCATGAAGTCGTCTTCGAATTGATTGACAAACATTCTAAGCCGTTCTAGAAAGAAGATTCGCAAACATAAAACTGCTTCTCTCTGTCCTGCAGTCATTTTCCCGAGGAAATTTGCAGCTTGAGCTTCAAGGTCCATCAATATGGGGGCAGGACGTGACGAGGGAAACAAGAGTCCATAAAGTTCGAGGTTGTAGAAAGCTCGTGATAATCGTGCCCTTTCTGGATCCGTCAACGAATACGTGACTGGGGTAGTGCTTGAAGAGGTGTCAGGACGAAGATATTCCTCGATGATCTCGAGCCGTTCAGCAACGAATTCTCCCATAAACTTTTCGACAAGTCTATGGAAACGTAGCAGGGCGATGGAAGTTTGCAAAGAAAAGTGTTCTACTGGCAGAGGTAAATCATCGGGGAAATTATTCAAAGTCTCTTCAACTTGGTTGCAATCTAAGTTTTCCCCTCGTACCTTTCCTCTTTCATGTACTTCGAGGGCGAGGGGTAAAAGTTCATAGGAGATATAGTTGCGGGCCATCTCAGAGATAATGCGTGTCCGGAATTGTTTAAAGACTTGGAAGAATCTTGGAGATGCTGTGATAAGACTGAACAGACACTTGGGATCGGTGGTATGTTGTAGTATCTCGCATTGTATTTCGGCCGGGAGACTTTCAAATCCGAAGGAGGGTGAGTTAACCAGATCTGTTGGGCCGGAGGAAGACACTTGGGTCGACGAGCCAGTGGCTATGCATGACGGGACCATAGTAGTTGATGTTCTATCCTATCGAGAGATAAAAATTAGCTAACAAAACGTTCAAGATTGTGGGTGAATGACCCGTGACCATGGTGTAAGGAGTATGGACATAAGGAATAACGAAGCAAACCACCCAGTTTTAGCGGCTAGATACTACTATAGCCTTAAACTCACCTGACAGCTTTGTGGTCGCTTACGACTTGGTTGGCAATGAACTTGTGGAGGTTGCAACGCGATCTTTATGAGGTCGCTGCTGGTCCTCGCTTAATTTAGCGCTTCCACGAGACCTTCCATCGAGGGCTACAATAAAGTGAATTGCTTTTCATGTAACTTTCCGTAAAGTGAATATCTGTCACCTAAATTTCCTGAAAACTATCTATTCTGCCTTAGCGCTCGGAATGTGATGCCCAACATCCCAACCACTTCACCTCAAGCGCCCCATGGCATTGAAAAATGTAGGTCAATAAATAAAGTATCACAGATTTTCACGGATTTTGTGAAGTGAATTCATTTGGCTCGTTGATGTCTTGCGACACATTCAAAGAGTACATAGTAAGTATTTCATATCTTGCATATGATAACTTTGCTGTTACTCAAGATAGACAGCAGACCAACTAACGGAAAAGCAGACGCAACAATCGTTATATGTTAAAAGCAGTAAGTTGCTTAGATATATTACGTACTATTAGCAAGACCTTAAGTCAGCCTTGATGGTGGGTTTGTGTGTTCAATGAACAAAATGCTCAGCGACAATAACTTGGCAGTAATGGGGTATGGGGTTATCTCCTGTCATTAAGAACACCTGAATATATCTTATTGAAGTTACATCTGTTAAAATAGATGCAGATAAGTTGGCAAAATTGCGTTTCATTGTCATCTATCCTCTCGCTCCAGAAGACATGTGGTGGAAGGGATTTGATATATGATTAAACAGGAAAGGAGCAAGAGCGTATGTAGATTGATATCGAAAGATTGTATATATCTCATTCAATTCCTGCTAAGTGGTGTGCCCTGTTTCGCAAGGTTGATAGAAGTTGACTGGCTTTTTTCTCTTTTGAGGTTCGGGAACTATTACTTATTGATCTCTGGTTATTACCATTAAAATTTAGGGTACTAAAACGCACATACGGTGTTTATCAAGTGTTGCAATCATATTCTATAACTGAAGCTGTGATATCACATTACACAATGAATCTGCCCTCGTATATGACAGGGGCATGGTCCTCTAAACAAAGGCGAAAGTCGTAGGAATGAGTACCAAAAGATAGGCGCTTTGACGTTGTCAATTCAGTGTTGTTTTGCCATGTTCCAGCGCTCACACCCCATTAAGCACAGTATCTTCCCATTGTGGTTTTGTCATGGTCATAATACAAATTTGTAGAGTTGAAAGCACAACTGATGGAAGAATTACGATAAAACCTATTGCCATCCCTGGAAGCATTTCCACCTTTTTCTTACTGTGACTCTGCCTAAGAAGCATTTTAAATCATCGTAAATACAGATTTCTCAATGATATCGACCTCACCGGTTGTGTCTCCCAGAGATGACATCACGTGCATCCGTTACCAAGGCGAGTGGAAGATATCTCCACGGATGCAACGTTCAGAAGACGTGAAAGCGTATGGTATTCAAGCTTTGATCGCATAATCTGTTGCACGTCGCAAAATACGCCCAGCCAGCCTAAATAAATTGGCACAATCTGGTGGTTTTGGGCTTGGGACGAGCTATGGACTTCTCCGCGATGCCGGAGTCGGGCTTTGTTTTCTCGGCAATTGTTGAGAGGGGTTGAGGCTGGCCAAATTGGGCCGAAACATGGTATTTCTCCATCTTGTCAATCGTTGGTACAATATACCAAGACGATTTCTGATCTTTCTTGTAACAGTATTTCAAACTTGTAGAAAAGAAGCATGTTTGGCGATTTCTGGGACGTCAATACAACCCCGATGGATCCCCGAGCGTTTTCATTTTCTTCAAATTTTGCAAAACGTGATCATCAGATACGAGATTTTTTTATAATATAAATGTGCTTTCCCCTCTCGCTTGAGTGATTCTAGAGAATGCTGACGGTTCACAGTATTTCACATGCGAACGCTGCGGTACCGAAGCTTTAGGCATTCAAAAACGCTTCCCCGGTACATACTTTGTACCACTTAAGGGTTGCCTTCGCTTACCACCTCGTTTTGAAGGTAACTTCTAACTTATACTATTGTTTTATCTTATGTTTGTTTCCGGGCCGGAAATTGCTGTCCTAAGAATAATTCGATACTTATTAGCTTGTGTACCCTGAAATCCCGGCGATGGTAACACCATCCTTACGATCCAAGGCCACAGTCGCACATGAACCGAAAACTTTGCCAATTCCGAGTAACAGACTCGTGGAATCTGTTTGACGCCGGATAAAGAGCCTGGAAACCAGTGTTTCCAGAAGTTTGACGACACGCCATACCCCACAAAGTGCAATTCATAGTTGATCGCGGAGATTTTTTTATTCGTTGCGTGGCTAAAACAAGAAGAATTCGTCGTTTCGGTTAAAATGAATAAGTCACCAGGTCCCAAATTTGCTTCGGATACGGGCCGGTGTACCTCTATGGATACTTACGAAGTAATGGAAGGTAGCTTTTCCTCCGTCGGAATAGATTCAAGAGCTTGCCGTAGCAAGTGTGGAGGATGTTCAAATGATAAAACTCCGTGATCGTGGAGAAGCTCCAGGGAAAACTGTTAACTTGCTCACGTCCCTTCATTTGCAATTATTTTGATCACTCCTTTTTTCTCCTTCAGAGCCTTGCAAGATGCTTTTTCCAGCAGCTACCCTTCTTACTTTCCTTCCACTGATTCTACAAGCCTCAGCGCAGTCAAGCGGAAAAACAACCCGTTACTGGGACTGTTGCAAAGCGTCATGCGGATGGAAAGGCAAAACCACCCTCGCATCTGGTTCAACCCCCGTCGGTTCTTGCGATAAACAAGATAAACCTCTCACAGATTTCGAGGCGGTTTCAGGTTGCAACAATGGAGGAGCATATATGTGCTCGAACCAAAGTCCTTGGGCTGTGAGCGAGACTTTGGCATATGGATTCGCAGCAACCTCACTTTCGGGTGGGACTGAGAGCTCGTGGTGTTGTGCTTGTTATGAGTTGACTTTCACGAGTGGTGCTGTGAAGGGGAAGAAGATGATTGTGCAGTCTACTAATACTGGTAGTGATCTGGGCAACAATCATTTTGATCTTGCGGTAAGATTACATGTGATCCATCTTATGAAATAGGAATACTTAGCTAATTTTGAATTTTGTTAGATGCCCGGTGGAGGGTTTGGTATTTTCAATGGGTGCACCGCTGAGTGGGGAAATCCATCAACAGGTTGGGGAGCACAATATGGCGGAATCTCATCTCGATCGCAATGTGACGCCTTCCCAGCAGCCCTCAAAGCAGGGTGTTACTGGCGATATGACTGGTTTGGCAACTCAGACAATCCAGATATTACATTCAAGCAGGTTACTTGTCCTGCAGCTCTTACAGCTAAAACGGGTATGTACCTCTAATCCAGCTGCCTTCCATGCTTTGCTTCAGCACTAACAGTCATCTCAAATAGGTTGTGTAAGAAACGGAGAAATCCCAACAGGCCCAGACAATGTGCCTACATGGAGTCAAGGCTCTAGTACACCAACAGCTACTTCCACATCAACTAGTACCTCGAAAGCTACATCAAGCTCAACAAGCACTTTCAAAGCTACAACAAGCTCAACAACCACTTCTGTTGGTGCAGGTAGCACTCCACCAGCAAGTGGAGGCACGGTTCAGCAATATGGACAGTGTGGTGGAAAGACATATAGCGGGCCTACAGCATGTGTGGCTCCATATACATGCAAGTTCTTAGGGGAATATTACTCGCAATGCATATAGATATGGACGCTTCTCGGTAGTACATCAGGGGTTGTTCACTGGAAATGATTACTATGGCGCTCGAAAATTTGATTGGTCCATGACCAGAATCGTCGTTAGTTCAATCTCCATAGTCTCGAAATGCCTTCGTAACGTCCAAATGGCTTTTATTGATAACCAGAGTCACCGATGACAATGAAAGACAATGATAAAAAGGCATCTCTCGCTTAATTTCAGGAGCTTGATCTTTATCGATCATTTCATCTTGTAACCTAGAAACCTCTGCTCGTAGGCAGCAATCATAACCCTTCTAGTAAGATTGTCAACGACCGGATAATTCTGATATTCTCTCGAATAAGCAGAATCAACACAAGCCCTGAAATTCTCTGAGTGGATCTTTTGGTGTTTATGAAGAAAAATAGTAACAGGAAACAGGAAATCCGTAATCGAGTATAATGGGTAACTTTTGGCCGTTGGCCATAAAAAGACCTAGACGAACCATAAAAGAATGGTTATATCAGAATCTTCGAGGCAGCATCAAAAATCCAATATCTGCAGTGTCCGAATTTAGATAATTTTACTATCTTGGATAGTTTGTAATCCAACACTAGCTTTGGAACAACTCCACATGCTCGATCCTGTACATACATAATCACGATAGATTACTACAAACATCTCGTCGACCCCAAGTCAACATATACTCGGTGTGGAGTGCTTTTAAAACGCGAAGTGAGAATGAACTTGAACACTCCTTTACCCCCAACCTCGAGATCAATACAACATCGCCACTAAAGACACAAGAGAAACAATCTCCACATACAAACAAAACAACTGTTCCCATTATCAGGCATCTTCCGACCCACTGGACTCATGAAGACCCCCTAATCCCATCCGGAGAATTACAACGCAAATCCCCTCCCTCGCCACGAGGAACAAAGATCCACAAACAGGATTCAGGTACCCAAACCACGAGCTCGGTAGATCCAAAATATGTACGTCGCTGAATAACGTCAAACATAAAGATGGGGATAGTGGGGAAGTGAAATGCGCAGTCACTGGATGTTTGGCCCCCAAACGTGGTAAGTCCTGTTGCAAAGTATCCCAATGTCCCCGCAAGTTTTGGGGGACTTGGAAAACTATGCTTATTTCATAACGAGGCTCAGGATCAATACCAAAGAGGCTATGAACGAACCTCGTGTAACACCAAAATAGCAACCTCCATTTTACGAAAAAGAAAGATAGGCTGTGAAGTCATCATAACTTCGACGCCGCATCCGCCCCCATATACCAACTAAAATGTCATTGGTCAGAATTTCATTCTTATCTCAGCCATCCTCGCATTTTTGATTCGCCAATTCGAATATTTTTTCGAAGATCAGTAATTCCCGTGCCTCAATCCTTCGACACCACGTTCTTGACACGCTAGGTACCGAGTAAGGAATCATCTCCACCTTTTACAGAGGAGTCGTCTTGACGGACTTGCCCGTGATGATCTCGGAAACAAATTGCCTAGATGAGAAGAGGAATACACGGGACGTATGTTCTTACTTCCTTCTCGGCTTGCGATGGGATGTTTCATTTCTTTAAGCTTATGTGGCTGGATTCGTGGTTCATGGGGAAGTGAGTGGTTAGTGGTGGAGATGAATGAGGTTTTTGGTGCCTGGCAAGCAAGATGTGAGGGAGGATTTGGAAGTGAAGAACGGGCGAGGGAAGGATCTGATTAGATAGCGGTTGGTGGCTGGTAGGTTGGATTAAGTAATATTGGCGTTGATTCTGATTTGAGCACGCTTTCCGCGTAAAGGATCTGGTATAAGAGTTTGCTGTTGTCGCCTTGAGGATATGACTTAAAAAAGATGCAAGACTGGAAGAGTCGATGTGATGAGGTCCAAGAGGGTGTAGCTGAGTATGGAGGCGCAGAATGAACTTCTACAGCTCTGTCTTTGTACTTGTTTCAGCCTGACCATTTTGCTTCTGTGCTAAGAGAGGAGATAACATGAAAAATGCTACCTTTCGGCAGTGAGGTGTAAAAGGGCCAGAATACGCACCTGTAATTGCTTAACTGTGTCTCAGCCTCACCGTTCACATCCCCGCTCACTGGTCTCTTAACATCTCAACATGAAGAAACTGCCTCTCCGCAAGAGGAGTGCAAAAGGGCAAACCCCCGCGTCACTAGCTCACCTCCCCGTCTCAGCCTTATTTTCTCAAATCTTCAGCAAACAATGTAACCATATATGCTAAAAAGCTTGATATGCAAGCCATGTGTGAAGTGGTGGAGGCTCTGTACTGCATGTGCGACTCGCTTTATTGTTTTGAAATTTCCTCGTTCGTGGGAGCCAATGAGGGCTTTCACGGATGCGGCCAGGCTCATGGGGTTCTTAATGAGTATAGTAATAGGTAAAAATGTGGATTTCGGTACATTTCGAGCCTGGATGGGATAGGTGATGTTGAAGTTAATCTCAAGGCACCAAAGCCCGAATCATATCTCCGATGAAATCGATCCGCTGCATCAAATGCTACCAATCATAAAAAACCGCTGTGTTGGACTCAATGCAATGTGCTGAGTAACCCCAACTTTATCCCCGACAAATCGTCAATTACCAGATACATCACCGAATATGGAATTTCTCAAAGTAGAAATAGGTGGATCGGATATTGATAGGTTGGTGATGTGGTACAAAAATTGCATTGTGGTTTTTACTGGCTGGAATAAAGATTGAAGCAGAATGTGAAAGTAAAATGCATGGGAAGGTACGTATGTGGGAGAGGTAAATGCAATGCAATGACATACATCAGAGGATAAAGCGATGAGAGTCGTTTGAGGGGGAAGGGGGAGAAGGGAAGTATATAATGGGGTGAGAGTTGAAAGTGTTTGGAGAAGAATACAAACGCAACAAACATTTGTCGTATATCATCTTCCTAATTTCAAATCATATTCAGAAGCTTAAAAACATGTCCGGCTTCGAGTTTGCAGTAATCAAATCTTCTCCGTCCAAGGAATATGTCGAAACGACAACCACTCGTCCAGCACTTACCGGCGATGAAGTATACATCGAGATAACGCATTCGGGAGTCTGTGGAACAGATCAACACTTTCGCGGTGTCGATATGGTATTAGGCCATGAAGGGATTGGTGTCATCAAAGCTATTGGTCCTGATGTGAAGTCTTTGAAAGTGTGAGTGCCTCCATACTCCAAGTCAAAACGAACCTAACACCGAGGTAGAGGAGACAGAGCAGGCTGGGGCTGGACAACAGAAGTCTGTGGTGTCTGCGAACAATGCGTAGAAGGGCACTACGCCTACTGCCCATTCAGGAAGGAATTCGGATCTCAAGCTTCAGACCAAGGCTCATTCGCTCACGGAGCCGTCTGGAAAGAACCACTCATCTACAAACTCCCTGACGCACTACCATCTGACGTCGCTGCACCACTAATGTGCGCTGGCATCACAGTCTACAGCCCTCTCGCCGAATTCGGACTCAAAAGCTCAGATGTTGTAGGTGTAGTAGGAATTGGCGGACTAGGCCACTTAGCCATTCAATTCGCCAATAAAATGGGCTGTGAAGTGGTAGCCTTGAGCCAGACGGATTCTAAGAAAGAAGAAGCCATGAAACTGGGAGCTCATCATTTCATTGCCACAAAAGGCGTCGCCGAGCTTTCCAGCCCGAAGAAGATAAATCATCTCCTAGTGACGACGTCGCAGATGCCAGACTGGGCTCAGTACGCGTCGATTTTGCATCCACGAGTGCAGATCTTTCCGCTGACGGTGACGGATTTTGAGGCGAATCTTAGCTGTAATTATATGCGGTTTTTGCTGAATGGGTGGAAGATCATTGGGAATGTTGGGGCGCCGAAGATTGTGTTTGCGCAGATGTTGGAGTTTGCTGCGTTGCATGGGATTAGGCCTGTGATTGAGAAGTTTCCATTGAGTAAACAGGGGGTGATTGATGCGATGCAGAAGCTTGATGATGGGAAGATGAGATATCGTGGGGTTCTGTATGCTGAGGGAGTTTAGAGTAGCTTGGAATTTGGAAAGCGACGGGAGAGAGTCTGAGGTGTCACAAGGCTCTGACTTCTCCATTGTCTTGCAGGAGGAAGAGGATCCTTGAGGGGCGAGAAAATGGAGTAACAAAACAAAACAAAAATGAGGCTCAAAGTGATTTAAAAAATGTCTGACGATTTACATGTGGAGTTTATCAAAATAGAAGTTACTGATGAATAACTCCCGCTGCCGAAGATGATGGGCAGAACTTGAAGATTTCTTGCCTTGATCGTCGTCTCGGTGTCTCCTAAAAATGTATCGGATCAGGTATCAGCCCGTCGTGATCAGAGGTGCAGCTCGTTTCCACGAGCAAATCTTGTGATAGAACAAGCGACCAGCATATCATGAGGATTCTTTGTAACATCCGGAAAGACACAAACGAACACCAGTGGCAAAAGCTCATGTACATCTGACAACGAATCTATGGGAAGGAATCTCGCACTTCGCTTCGCCAGATTGGTGGTTTTCGAGAGGCACGCTTGTACCTTCCTGCAGCCGTTGAAACAACAACAAATACAACCGATAAGCCGAGAGGAACAATCAGATCTTGATAAGATGATAATCTCGGTGGGATGTGCATCTCGTTCGAAAAGGGTAGGTAGCTGAGAAGAAAGGTAGGAGCTGATGAGAAAGTAGGATCAACACGACATAACTCAATATGGAATGCGCGAGAGTTCAACCGTCTTACAACAGCTCCTGAAAACTGGTCAAGATAGACGAAGATTCAAGAGTTGAGCTTTTGGCAATCGACTGGGGCCGAAAATAACGAGGCATACTGGATCAATACATGTACCGCGATAGTGTGTCTCTCGTAGAATCGGAGATGCGTCCTGGGTCATCATATCGTCTTCCAGCCTTCTTCTTTTTAGCGGGACTGGGTAAGTCCCGAAGTCTTTATTTGGATCCCACGAGGTTGAAGACGGCCGACGGCAGGGGAAGTGACGAGCACAGAAGTTGACGATGCGCAGCGATGTCAATCCTCTTCTCCACACCAGAGCGGTTAAGCGAATAGGATAAATATAGCGACAGCAGTACGCTCGTTGCGCGGGAGCCAGTTAGCGTACCGTAAGGTCGGAAGGAGGATGCAGCTCTGTAAAAGTGGTGTGAGATCTTTTGTTTGCTGCTCAATTGCTCCTGATCAGTAGTAATTTTGACGTTTGACCTTAATGGCATGGGCTTCAAAAAACCCGACAATTCCTCTAACATTAGAAAACGCTCAGATCTTCAAAGATAGGGACATCCCACGCTATTTGACGTGAATTACGCTTTAACCGCGCATACCCACGGCTGCAATCGCGGCCGCCCACTAACTGGAGCACGCTATGAGGCTCTAATTAAGTGCTGACACAGCCTGGAAGTTCAAGTCCCACAGCGTCTAGTGATGGAGGCGAAGCGAAATAGCGATAGTCACGGCGTACTGATACGATGTGGATTTTTTGATTGGGGAGCTAGAAGATAAATGGCTTTTCGTGAATGAAATTACGCGGCGTGGATGAATACGCTCCGATGCGAATAATGGAAAGTTCTTACGGCTTTGGTGGGTTGCATTGCAGAGCAAGATTGAGATGGGACTTAAAGTTGTATTTCCTCGAGATATGGGAAATACCACCATAACGTACAAATCAGTTGACTAAGAAAGGAATAAGAAACGAGCGATTTACAACACCCGCGGTATTCAGTCGCAACAATTGTAAGGGTTCGCGGGCAACTGCAGACGAAAGTCGCACGATCCAACACAACACAGGGATGAGACTTTGAAATTGTACCATATTGGAATGGAACTTGGGAAGCTTCAGAATGTTGGGGTTGGCTCACCAGTTGGTTGTTTGTTTTGCTTACTGTATTCGACAACAATGGGTTGTTTGTCTCTTGGGGTCGAAGGTCGCAAAGACTTAGATCATGATCCAGAACTCGATATTCGAGCCTCATGATCTTCATTTCCAAGAGCATCATCGTGGCAGACAGCGCTAAAAGAATGCACTGAAAATAATGAATGTTCCACTGTGGATGAAGCAAAGAACATGCCCTGTGGCTGACCGAGTGAGAGTGACAGAAGAAGCTCCGAACATGCCGTTTTTTCCTTCACAGCCCCTCCCCTTATCCCCCATCTCTAACCGCTAATCGCTTAGTGCACTCTCCTCAGGAATATTTCGAGATCATCAGGAAGATTAGAGTAATCAAATTATGTCTTTCTTTGCAAAGTCTAACTGTCAGCAAACATACCTGGTCTTTCCATTCCTTCCCAACAAAGACCACGTTCTCGCTTCACCAAGAAAATGGTCAACTCAAGGTCGCATAGAATTCCTCCCCTCCAAATCTTCCCCGCAACCTTCAAAATGTAGATTAGATCTGGCCTGTGCAGTCACCTGTGCACGAATATTCGCGATATTGAAAACTATTCACCCAACCGCCATGCTTGTATGTTACCTGCAGACCTCCTTGCCATTCCTTGAGCTCTCTCACCACAAAGGCACGGACAACGCCTTCTTACGGTCCTTGAGCTTCCTGAGAGTACCAACCGGGCAATTGTTTGCTCAGTCTCGGCGCTCTCATGTCACCATTCCGCCGGGCTTGTCGAGATTGATCGCTTGTCGTCTCCGCTCTCCAGCCTGAGCCCAGGGTTAGCGAGGCTGTGCATGGGGTATTTATGTACATCACTGGGAAGTAAACAAGGAGCAGACAGGACCAAGACAAATCGGACGACACCGCACGGCTCTGTGACCAGGGGAGAGAGCTGCCGATGAACTTCCTCTCACCGGACTGCGAATCCCATCTCTTCCCACCCACACCTTTTTTCCCATTCTTTGTCCAGGGACCTGCTGGAGGTACTGCAAGCTACTCAGTCTGTACTGAAGCTGCTCGCACGAAGCTCTCCTCTGATAGCCTGGAGTGTACGACCAGCTGCTGCAAAACAACCCCTCACAGGAGGATTGAACTGCACAAGCGAGCACGATATGAGGTGTCTCCTTGGCCGGGCTTTCCAGACTGCCTCTATTCCAAAACAATCAGGATGCAGGTAATACACGGAGCAACCAGAATGGCCGTAACGAGAGAGCAGACAATGTCTCTTTCTGTCTGCTGAAAGTCCCCAACTCGCGCTGTTGAGACATAGCCGTTGGTTGTCATCCTGAGTGGCTGAATGCAGGAACTTCCCAGCTATTCATCAGGCCCACCATGAAGTGAGAATAGGTCAGAAGTACTTCGTACTTCGTACCAAGGGATATTTTGGTCTGGCTAGTCATCCCACCCCAGTAACCCACCTACTTATGGAGCTCACCTTGGTGCTACCATGCCGCAAAGAAATGGCATACTAAGTGTCGTACAGTACTCCGGCCCCCTGGCAAAGTACCCATCTTGAGCGGGCTACCTGTGTCCCGCCCTAAAGGTTACCACGTTTCTGCCTCGATATTCCTCATCGGGTCCTGGCAGTGCTGGCCAGCCGTGCATACACTTCTCCACAGAACGGCAACACCAACACCCATCATACTTGTATGATTCGAATCCTCGCCGGCTAGTTTCACCTCATCCTTTACGTGAGCTTCCCCAACGTTGACACATAAGGAGGGCACCATGCCCTCGACTGACGATCTGACTGAGCGAGCTAATGAATGTCCGTCTGGAAAGATTTGGTATGAATGTTCTGTCGCCTCGCCAAATTCAGGTTACAGAGGTTGCTGCGAAATCGATGCTTGTCAATCAAAAGGATGTCTCGTAATGTCACAGTCGTCGACTAGCTCAACATCAAGTTTAACTGTTGTTACATTGTCCGTTATACCTCAAGCACCGGCAGCGACGACACCGGTTCATACAACTCCAATACCTCTCGCCGCTATGAGTACTACACAACCAGCAGTGGCCACTCAGTCGGCCGACACCGCTGGCAAATCACCAAATAATACACCTATTATTGTAGGAATAGTCTGTGGCATAGTTGCCGCTTCAATAATTACAACTTTGATCTGGTTTTTCCTAAGAAGAAGGAAACAGAGGGCGGGACGTCATTCAATACCCACATTCGAAGTAAAGGAAGGGAAGGAATATGCTATGGCCAGGCAGAATTCGGATTATGAGGGAACACATCTTCGACCAGGAGATGGACGAGGTATGAAGATTATCTAGTGCTTCGAGCATCATATACTTACAAAACCAGGCTATAATACACCCTCCGAGCAACCAAGTTTCCGAAGTCTCTCCCCAATGGAAGAAGAAGTCGAAGTCGACGCTCGCCTTTCCCTCCCCTCCCAAGCCGCCAAACCCTTAGAAAAAGAAGCCAAAACCCCAACTCAAACTCACCCAGCATACCAACCCATTCCCGCCGTATCACCAGACACACCCACCTGGACAACCCAAACCGAAACCCCAATTTCCCCACCGACACCCTACACTCCCCAACAATCCGCCCACCCCGCCTACCACGTCCACAAACTCTCCCAGCACCCAGCTTTTAACCCACGATCCTCCCCTCCAAGATCGCAACCTCCAATGTGGAAACACCCCGCCTTCCGTCCAACAAGCAATACACCACAGCTCGACTCCACCCCCGTCCGCCCCATCCCTCGCGCCTCCATCTCCTCAACCTCAACTTCCACCCCCGAACTCCCCGCACAGCTCCCAAAGAACCTTGCCGCCACGGGCTCCTCAAGCATGTTCTCACGCTTCAACACCTCAAAATCCCCACGAGACTTTCTCTCGCGCGACGCAAGCACAAAAACAAGTCTAAGCACCTACACCATCCCCATCGGTCTCGGCGTCGTAGATGCCTCTCCCACCATAACACCATTCTCTCCTCCACCTCCAACCCCTCAAGCGGCCTCGCGACCACAATCTCCGCCGCCGCCGATGAAAGCGAATATGAATGCCAGAGAAGACCACGTTATGATGTGGGATTCGTACGGCGCGGGCAATATATCCGGAATTGGAGGGGTGGGACCGAGTAATAGTACGAGGAGTGAACGGAGTCGGCGGCAGAGGGAGATTGAGCAGGGAGTGGTTGCGCGGGAGGAGAGAGTGATGTGGAGTGCGAAGGGGAAGGAGAGGAGAGTGGAGAGTGGGAGGGAGAGTGTGCCCGAGACGCCGTTGAGTGCTTATAGGATGAGTTGGATGGAGAGGGATAGTTGGATACGACGATAATACGCCTTTCCTTCTCACGATATCCCTCTCTATCTCCTTCTGTATCATCACTCTTCGCGTCGGTACTGGTTAAGATACCCATATATACACAGCTCGCGCTGATTTTCGTTTTTGTTTTGCATAGCATGGGAGTTTTGTTTTGGGTTGCATATACGGGATAGGAAAGGGGTTTAACCGAGGGGTGTATAAGACTTACCAACAGTGTCTCTCTATTACAATAATTTAGTGTTAAGAAATAAGAACAAAGTTATATCTAATTCTAAACCAATTGTATAGTAGCTATCTTCGCCTCAACTTTGCCGCATTATCATGTGACGACTTTACATTATCAAAAATGCGAGTGTGGGTTAGCGGCGGCCTATAATGTTTACCAAAACCAATAAGTTTCTACTTTTCTCAGATATCGATTCGAATTCCCGAACTTGTAGAATCCTGTTTCCCCCCAGTTTTGGTTTCTATCACCAACAGCTGAGGCAATCATAGTCCACCAACATCCTGCAGGCTGTCGCTCTATCAGTCATGGCAGCAGACTACACCAGGAAGCAGCTGCACACTCTTCCATCAGAAACCCTTCAGCAAATAGCACACTATCTCTACAATTCGCATGGACCAAGTCTTAACTGTTTTGCATTAGTAAACAAATCTTGTCACGATGCTACTCTTCCCGTACTCTTTCAACATGTCTATCTCACAATTAGCAACCCGGAAGATTTACACCGCGACGTTAATGCCCTTTCAAGTGTTCTCATTCGTACGAACTCGGCCGGCCACGTCCGATGTTTTAGCATTGAAGGAGAATTGAGGGTACCTGACGAATTGAGCAGCGAGGAGAGTGAGTACGAGAGTCGCGATTATGCCAAATCAATGGGCCACGACGAAATTCTAGGCAGCGATATGTTGACTGACCAGAGGCTCTCGAAACACTTTGTGGTTAGCGAGGATGTGATCGAAAGATGTTCCAATGAGGATATAGCATGGGCCCCAGCCGCCGAGTTCATCAGCACACTACCCTATCTCACAACTCTAATCTACGATTGTAAAAATCAGTTTCCTCCTAGCCTTCTTGACGCCCTTCATAATTTTCAGCCTCAATGTAGATTACACCATCTTACCTTTCGGTTTCGATCGTTACTCCGAGGGATTCCGGAACCGTATGAAATGGCTCTAGCTACGTCTCCTTGTTTGTATAAAGTCAAGGTGGAATGGAGTTGGCGAGATTCGAACTTGGACGACGATTCTAATCTAGAAGCTATTATGGAGCTTGCTGCTGGTCTTGCTCCTCATCTGAGAGAGGTTGAGGTTTTAAATAATAGACCACATGAGCAGGCGAGTCGGCGGTACTTCGACCGCCCACGAAAGGCAGTATGTGAACCACTTTTCGTCCTCGTGTTTTATCTCCTTATATCGGTGGGCGAGGGTATACTTGAGCTCCAGATAATACTCTGACCCCAGAGTAGTTGATAAAAGAGTTAAGAGTATACTGATTTTGTTCTAGTGGACAGGTCTTCCAGGTTTCGTCCGAGGATCTATAGGCTCCTTGACGTCGCTTTCCCTAACAGGGAAGCTAAAGTCGTGGAGTATGACTTCTGAGATTCGGGCATGGGCACAACACACAGACTTCGGGCGTCTCGTTCATCTGAGACTAGGTGGAGATTACGGCCTTGATGACTATTCCAGATTACACGGCGAGACGATCCACACGATTGCGCAGGAATTTACATTCCCACAACTCAAAACACTTCAGATCGGTATAGATCGGGTGGACATGTCAAGGGAAAAACCTGAATATAGCGACAACGTTAGCCACTTCTTCAAGTTGCTCGAGCCGCTTGAGGAGCTTTCAGTATCCGGCTCCTTTGATGTCAAGATCTTAGATGCTATTATATCCCGACACGGCCAAACGTTGAAGAAGCTAGCTATACGTCCAGGTGAAGGGGAATGGGGTCCAAGCAATCTCCCACGTCGATTAATACTACCCTTTACGTTTACAGAAGAACATATCTTACAAATTGATACCGGGTGTCCGGTATTAGATCATCTAGCTCTCGTGGTTAAGCGTACACATTCCGATGCCGTCGAAGCTAATATCTACAAATCCTTTGGACAAATAAGAAGCTTAAGATCTCTCTTCCTAACCTTAGACTGCTCTGAGTGGCGGGTGACTCGCGACCCCGATTCACAGAGAGATCCCTTGTTTGACGCCTTCGATCGCGAAACTTACCCAAGATTCGACTTTCTAACGAAAGGCTCTCTACGTAAAATGCTCTCAAATTGCGCAGTGGATGAGACGCTCGCAAGGTCGATCTGGGAAACTATCAACCGGAACAAATTAGGTCTAAAGCTAGAGTATCTAAAATTGTGGACCACAGGCGGTGGTCATTGGGGAAACGGTAGCAGCAGCGGTGGAATATCAAAGGTTGTAGAGCATCTGAGTCGCTCGTGGTTGATTGAGCGAAGGATTCGAGATGATGAAAGACATGTTATCGATCTCAAGGAGCTAGGTCAGAGAGCTAGAGAGGCTCGCGATGATGCTGACCGAAATGGCTATTTGCGAAATGTGCGAGCGGGAGAGGATGTACTGAAGAAGCTTCAGGATGTTGAAGAAGAGAGTCCGACTCTTCAGGTACTACGTCGCGTTTGGCCCCGTACTGAGGAGGGTATGGATTGGCGAGATGACTGGTCGAGTTTGCCTTTACAGGTCTAAGGACTATACAAGGGAGGTGTTAGGCCAATGGTAGGTGGTATGCTGTCTATGAAACGAGTGATCTCGGCCATTCTGGTGATTTACATCCTACGAATAAGATGGAAACTAACAAAACAAAAGCGAAGATAGGTTACATACTACCAAGCAGCATTAGATATAGGGACCTAGTCTTCTTCCAATTAGTCTCCCTGTCTTGAATTTTACCACTTCACAACATACCACTGTGACACCTACTTTCCTCTAAGTCCTCGATCTCCGTTTACAGTTCAAAGACTACATCCTTAATAGACTGTCGTCGAGACAAGCGATTCGACACGTCGACCTTGTCACAAATTCTTAAAAGTCTTCAAAGTTTTTACAAGAAGATACTCATAAAGCAGAAAACAGATCCCCATAAATCTAATTTCCGAAGTCCGAATTACCTAAGTTTACAGCCCCCACGTGTCCAACAACCCAAAGCAAAACAAAACGAATTAGTATACTCAGTGCTCAAGTGCTCCTTCCTTTCTAGGCCAAGCACTGTTATTGAGATCTTCGCTATAGTTTTCTCCTCCAGAAGGAAAGATATTAGTTCCCAAAATCCAGTAGAGGAGCTGTACTTTATCTACACAAAGTGTTTTTACTCCGGCTCTTCTGGTTCCCTTTTAACTTTATTTTTCCCTTTCCTTTAGTGGAATCTTTACGTGGGAGGCTCTACCTCCTGCGTTCTGGCGACGGTCTGATTAGGAACCACTATTGAACTCTTACTCAGACAGATCCACCGCCGTCCAGGTTTCTTACCCTCTAATTTTCAATTCCCAAAAGCCATTACGCTCCTTAGTTATCCTGATAAGATCCAATCTACGTCCCAGCATTTTCTCATTCTCTTTAACAGAGTCAAGCCCGGACGTAGTGATCATTCCCGCGGAATTGTGATCTCAACAAACACGTCCCTCTAAAATCAATACAAGCCTCCAAATCCATTCCACACCATCCTCCACCCTCCACACAAAAACAAAAGCCAAACCCACAAACCATCAAATCTCAACAACTAAATAATCAAGAAAGTATATTCAAGAGAAAAAGGTATTCCATTGCAAATTAATCTAAGGCCCATAAACGCCCAAAACCCCATCCCATCCCAACCCCTCTCTCACAACGCATACCGACGCCTAAGAAATGCGTGATTTTTTTGTGTCATGTCCTGAACGCCTGTTCTTTCTTCCACCTCCCATTTTCTCTTTCCACGTATCACACCTCTCAACCCTACCTCGCGATATCATTCTCGCCCCCCACCTAGTTTCCATATCCCATCAACTTATTAATATCATCCAGCAACACCTGTAACTCCTCGTCCGTGATCTTATCCTGTAGACTTGGGATCAGGGTTTTTGCTTCTTCGGCTTCGTCGCAGCAGAGGGATCCTAGTTAAACGTTAACCATTTTCCTGTGATTCTACCATGTCTCTCCTTCAAAAATGCCTCTCCCTTGACAACACCTACGTGCCTGACGGTTGTAATTTCTAACAGGAGAAGGGGGAACTACCTAATTGCGCGCGCTCAAACTTCGCCAACCCTTTCTGGGCGGTTAAGAGTCTTTCTACTGCTTCGACGTTTTCTTTGCGGCGGAAACGGGCGAAGTGTTCGAGGTAGTCGGTGGTTTTTTGGAGGATTCTGTGGGAGTAAACTGATTAGCTTTGGTTCTAAGCTTGCTGGCTGGAGAAGGAGAGGGGATAGGGTGAGGAGGGTGGTAGCCCTGAGGAGAAGCACGTGGAGCTGAGATGTGGACGCTTGAGGGAGGATGGTCTGGTGGATGGCATTCGAGAGGAGGCCGTAGGAGGTTTCCTGGGGGTTTGATCGCGAGAATCCCTCTTGGTCCTAACCAGCTCCCTCTATTCAGACCTCCCAAACCCTCCAAGTATATCCTCTCTCTTCATCCCCATCTCCCATCCCCATCCACCCTCTCTCTTCCCCTTCCCCATTCCCCCATTCCCCCATCCCATACACCCTCTCCCCTCCCCTCCAATAAACCAAAGAAATCTATCTCCCACTCACTCAGTCTCATTAACATTCTTCCGATCATTCTTCCTCTTCGCAACCAGCGCATTAATAACCAACGCCGCCTCACTATGCGTCAACGCATCCACATCCTGAAACTCCCCCAGATGCAACACCGCAGACGCTTCCTCGTTTCCCTGTGGTTCTTCGCGCGAGCGCGACGTGGCTGCGTAGGTGGCGGACATGTTTGCTTGAGGGTTGTGGAGTTGCGGTTGTGAGGATTGGGAATGGAAAGTTGTAGGGTGGTGGGGTGGAGAGGTCTAGACGAGACGAGGCGTTTGGCGTGGAGTGAACTTCTATAGGTATGTGATGCGCCGACTTCGACAACGAATTCCGCAATTCGAAATTGAACTCCAAAGAAGTACTTGGAGATAGAATTGGACGATCTACAGCTCCCAAACTCACTTTCTACCCTCACAATCTGCTGGATCAAGCGGTGAAGATGTTCGAAACCCCCGAAAGCAGACAAAGGCACAATGGCTAACAAAGCACGCATCCAGGGTCGTCTACGCACTTATCATAATCAATAAAGCGGGGGGTCTTGTGTATCAGAGGGATTTCGCGGAGGGCTTGAATAAATTGAGTATTAATGATTATTTGGTGCTGGCTGGGACGTTTCACGGGTATGTTTCCCCCTCCTCTATCATCCCCCAAAACATCACATTCTCCCCCATATCTCCTCTCCCTCTCCTTCCCCTTCTCTTCTCAAGCTAACACCTCCCCAGCGTCCACGCAATCTCAACCCGTCTCTCCCCCCTCCCCCCCTCACACGCCCCAGGCAGCCGCCCCGACCCCCCCTCCGGCATCGAAGTGCTAGAAACCGAGAACTTCCGCCTGCAATGCTTCAGCACGCTGACAGGCACGAAGTTCCTGCTGTTCGTGGAGCCGCAGCAGCCGAATGTGGATAAGATCATGGGGGCGATCTACGGGTTATACGCGGATTATGTGATGAAGAATCCGTTTTATAGTTTGGAGATGCCGATTAGGAGTGAGGGGTGGGAGAGGAGGTTGGTTAGGGAGGTGAGGGGGGTTAATAGTCGGTGAAGGGGGAGGGGATGAGATAGGCATTGAAAGGACTGGGAAGATTGAGGATATATGGGGGACAGAGTCCGGGTTGAAGAAGATACCTGTCGAGAGCATTGGGAACAAGAGGGTCTGGAGTCGAAGAGAGCGTTGGGGGATTGTAATGAGCCGATTGTGTTTATGGGCTCTCGATGTGAGGAACGCATCGGTAGTTTTGATGCTCTCGAGGGTATATTCAGAGAAGCAACTACAGGCCAAAGGAGTAGATTCAGAGTGTTGGGTATTGTGTCGCTCAGAGACGTCAACTCTTTCACGATTGTAGGGAGGGTTTCAGCACAGCTGAGGAATACGGTTATAGAAGGCTAAAAGTGCCAGAGCAAACGGCCCACGATACCATTCCATGGCATCATCTATTGGTACATCCCAACGCCATCGGCAATGCTATACTTCCGAACACCACCTATGCCGTATCCATTTTATCCCCATCATCCTTATCATCCTTTTTGTCGTCCTTTGACCCGCTAGCCTCGCCGTCTTTATTCAGTAATGGCTGTGACGCCTCGTCTTCTTCCTTAATTTCCGGTAACGCAGCCTTTGCATCTGCATCCGCCTTCTCCTTGTTCTGTTTGTCCACTCTTGCTTTCTCCTCCTCCATAGACATACGCAACGCAAGAGCCAATTCTGGGTCCACACTTGGGTCGATCCCAAACTCGAAATCACCACCACCACCTCCCGCAGCAGCATCCCCCATACCGCCTGATGCTCCTGCTCCATCACCATTCAATATTGGGGTGGTAATAAGTTGGTCGCTGAGAAGCCCTGGTCCTGGTTGGATGATTGATAAATATGATCCTTCCGAGCTCTTCACTGTCTCGTTGAATGAGGTAAGCTTTTTGGTTGTGTCCTCGTCCAATTCGCCAAACGCTACAAAGTCAATGTTGACACCAATCTTCTTCATCTTCTTCGCTAACTTGACAAGAGTCTTTTCGTCTTCTGGAATGGCGCTGCATGTGAAAACGATGATGCGCTGCCGCTGCGACTTGTTTTGTCTGTGTTTGAGTGCCAACTATCCCAATCAGTCTGCTGTCTAGATCCCTTTAGGGTTATAATGTACATACCCCCGCGATCTGAATCCCCGTAGCCAGGTGGCTCTCTCCTCGAATCTTTGCTTTCGTTCGATGCAATCCTTCCAGAATCTTTCCATGATCTGTTGTCAGAGTGACCAGTACCTCCGGACCTTTCCCACCCATACTCATGAGTCCTACCGACGATTCTGGATTCCCCTGCGTAATTGCGGAGAAGATGAGGGATACAGCATCGGACTGCGCTTCGAATCGTGTTGGTGTGTAATCTCCATTTCGACTGCTCTCAGAGTTGTCCACCACTATCATTACTGCTTCGAGACCCATGGCTGCTGATTTATCTTTCGCAGACAGTTATAGTCGATTCGAATGGCGTCGTAGAGTTTGGTTTGGATGGAAGCGGCGAGTATAAGTGGTGTGGCAGATACTGTGGAAAGGTGATGGCAATCAGTGATGGTGTTGATGTTCAGGTAGCTTTGCCTGCGTGGACTGCGTCCCTGGCCGTGACACCCATGTAGCTTTGAGCCTGTTCGGGGTTAGCAGCCCGGCATTCTAGCGATGCGGCTCTGATGCGCTTTTGTTTACTTTGAGATTCACAAGACATCGCGACTGAGAACTACCACGTTACAAAATCGATTTTTGAATTCGAGTAGATAATTCGGTGTTGGATCTCACTCGATCAACCCTACTGCCACCTCTCCTCATCTCATCCACAAAACTCGAATCAACGCAATGGCACCGACGCGATCCAAGAAGCGCAAGTCGACCGAATCGACAAACAGCTCTGCTGAAATGTCCAACTTTCCAGCTCCACCCCAAATGATACCAACAAAAAGTCAGAGTCCGATGAGAACTCCAACGCATAGAAGTCCTGCCAAAAAGGCGAGAACTGGGATCACAATGGGACAGAAGCAAGCCCTCATGGACAACCTGCAACTAGAAAGTAAGAATAGAGATTCGGTTTTCGTCGCGTCATACAGCTTCTAATCTACGATTAGTTACGGAGCGGGCCAGAAAACTAAGGGCCCAGTACATGTTACAGGCCCAGGGGCTGCGAACGCGTATTGAAATTCGCGTCAATCGGATTCCAATGGCATTGAGAACAGCAAAGATGGGGGACTTGTACGCAAAGTACAGTGAGATTGCGGTCAAGAATACGCAGAAGAGTCCTCAGAGAATTGAGAAAGCTGCTTCACCATACAAAAATCGAATGGAGGATATACGAGAAAACAGTCGGGCTAGCCCCTCCCCGCAAAAACCAAAGAAGCGCGTCAGGTATGAGTTCACTCTATTATGTACATATTAAAGGCTAACACAAATAGTGACGAAATGTCAATTGACAAAGAGAACGAAGATATTGAAAACCCGAAGAAGAGAGTTCGTGGAGGTCCTGCCCCACCACAGAGAGTAGCATCCAGATCGCAAATCCAGCCGTCACAAGTGTTATCACCCAGATCAGCCAATTCGCGTACACTACCACGATCACCAATCCGGCAAGCAGTCCCAATGAAATCTGGTCTCGCCCGCCCAGTATCACCACTCAAACCAACAGCTCCAGTACCATCAGGCGGGGCAGCAGGTATCCTCACGAATATGGTCGAGAAAGCAAAAGCAACACGCGGTGCGGGAGCTAGAAAGGCAGCTGAGCCAAAAACAACCACAACAGCAGCTGGAAGAGCGAAAAGGACCGCTGCTCCACCACCACCTGTTATGCGAACTGCGAGGGGCAGAGCTAGTACGATTAGTGATTCGAGTGAGGGGAGTAACACGACTGTGGTTCGGAAGCCGGTGGCAGCGAAGAAAGAGCCCGTGAAGAGAACGGTCATGGGGACGTTGAGGGGGATGGGAGGAGCTACTAAGAAGGCTGCAGCTGCGAAACCTGCGGCGGCTGCTGCTACTGGGACTAGGGTTTTGAGGAAGAGGAATTGAGAGTGTTTTTGGGTATTGGTATGGGGGTTTTGGTTTTGGTTGTTAGCGGTTGGAGTTTTGGGTTGCATAGGGATTATGAAGAAATGCAAGTAAATCATCTAAGATCCGTGGGTTTTGAAGTGATGTGAGGGTTACGGTGTTAGAGCTTTCTGTCTTTCCTATATGTCATGTGCTGGATTCAATGCCTCGAGAACATTTTGTTTATGTTGATGGAACCAACGCGGCGTGGTTTTCTATGATAACGAAGCATCTATATTGGGCTTTCGCATCGTTGGTATCATCAGATGAGCATACCCTGTAAAGCATTTAGTTCCGAATTCTCCCCATCCAAGAAACATATATGTGTATTAACTTCCGCTGAGGACATGTTTATATTAAAGACACCTCTTACTGCATAAAGCTAATGTATCCTCCATGGAAAGATAATCTCTCATTTTATTTGAGTGAATATCCCATGTTGTCTCTTTTGATGTGGGGAAATATGTCTATCGAGGAAGGAATGTTTGGGGGTGGTTTTCTACCTCGAGGGTTGTAGACAGACGTCCACAGGTAACAGTGGCTTGAAATAAGAAATATACGATTTACAGAGACAAATGACATTGTTACGCTATAGCACATAGAGAATATTTCTCAATATGTTCTAAGTTGTAGTTAGACAAGGCAATCACATTGTGGTATTGCTTCATGGTAAATCCGTCAAATTCTGCCTTGACATCGCGAAATTTGATATATCACCACAACTTGATGCCCTCATCCACCACCACCACTATTCTACAAATCCTACGGCCCTGCTGATGCCTTTTTCTTCTTGTCCTCGATTAATTCGATGTTGTCCTCGGGAATAACATCATACTTCTCCAACAAAAACTCCTCAATCTCCTCGCTCACATCCCCCTGCACCACGATCTCCTCCCCGCCACTCGGCACCTTACTCACACTACTCCCCGTCGCAAACTTCTTCCCAAACTCCTTCGCTACCTTCTTGTTATCCAGTCCGAACGCCTCGAGCCCCGACACCGCCGTCACGTATTTCCGCTTGTTGCGCTCGATCCGCTTGATGAGCACTTTGGAGCTGGAGATCTGCTGTGCTTGTTTTGCTTCGAGCGCTTCGGCTTTGAGGGCTTTCTTGTGCGCGTCTTTTTCGGCGCGTTTGCGCGCGTCGACGGAGAGGGTTGAGGTTGCGGCGGCGAGAGCGTCTGAGATGTGTTAGATTGGGGAGGGGAGGGGGAGGGGAGTGTGGACCTTCAGACCAGAGGCGGTCGTACATGTCTTCGTCGTGTTTTTGGAGCCATTCTTGACATTTCTTTACGGTGCCGCCGAATTCGCAGTACTACTTCCTCGTCTTGTTAGGGGATGGGTATGCTTGTTTGAATGGTTGGAGGGGTGTACCTCTGGTGGTAATGAACAGACTCGAGGGATGTTAGTAGATGTGGCGGAGATGGACGACGATATGGCTTACCTCCGCAGTATGTTACTATTCTGGATTGAGGCTCTGTTGGGGCTTCTGCTGTGTCTGCCATTGTGATAGATAGCTTGTTTATATCTTGTGCTGAGATGTGGTTGGTGATGGTGTTGTGATGTGGGATGCTGGATGGAGGGGTCGAGAAGTTGCGAGACCAAATCGCGGGGCATTTGACGCTAAAATTTACGCGACATGATTGTCACTTCGACGACATTTCTTCGAGCTTCAATCTTTCATCAACTTTAAACAATCCGCGCCCAGTTATTCATTAATATCTCCAATTTACGAATCCTGTAGCTCTATGACCTTCTAGGAGTCTCTGATATGCGTGCGTTTTATCCTTCTTCTTGCTCTCTATATCTGTTTCTCACGGTGTTTATGTATCCGTCACATAGGTCTCTCCCTGATTATCCTTTGGGTACATCTCACTAACTGGTCATAGGTTATTGCTTTTAGCTTTGCTGGCATTTCTTGACGATGAATTTACCGACGATCATGTCTTCACTTCGCTGTCATCAAACTACTCGATCCCGTCGATACTCCCCATAGCTTGGAAGCTCTCTTTTGATTCCTCGTCCACCTAATCTCGTGGGACTTCTGACTAGTAGTGAACGCTGTTGGAAATGTTGTCGCTGCGCAGTCGCTATTCCTAGCATATTTCTTCTCAATGGAGGCATGGACAGTATGCTCAAGTCAATACAATTCCCTCGAAGTCTTGGGAAACTTTGGCGTGCCGTCAGGCTTTCTTGCCTACATGTTTCAAAAGTCTCTGCTAGTCCTTATCACGAATACTCTGGTACATTTTGATCCGCCGTTTTCTGGCTGGCCTCGTATCTCAGAAAGGTGACATTATGTAAAGCGCGGACAAGCATTTGTTTAGCTTCTCGTCCCAATTTTCCTATTCAGATTTGTTACATGAACTGCTGCAATGAGCTTCGATGATCTGAACATGTCTTTCATTGTTTCGTCGTTTCATCGTTTCAAATATGGTATCTCTTCTACACAAGTGTCGCTGAAGCACGCGATGATACTTTTAATGCTTCAGTCATCTACTGCAGTCTTCAACTGCTCCTAATGGCTTCTACACCAATTCACAGTGCTGCATTAGTCGCCTTCATCATAAGGGAGATCACTGTAGCCTCCTGATACATCAAAATCTTCGCTGATACGCGGGCCTTTTTGTGGATTCTCTTTATTTTTCTCACAACTAATATATTTTCATTCTTGAAGGATTCGTCTTCAGATCATATGATTTTCACCGAATGTAAACCATCCCGACACAAGTAGTGCGCACACAGGTGCTCTGGCTGGTTGTCATAGGATGTCATGATGTGGTGGATGTGGGATCTTAGAGCGCTTGCCCCCGTGCATCCAAGTCCTATCCGACGAAAGGTAGCTCGCTCTTGATCAACCGCCTCCAGCAACAGGACATAGAATATTTTTTTATTCTTGTATTTCGCTGGCATGCAATACAGAGTCCCGTCTGCGTTCTGCTTATCAAAATCGTGGTGGAAATGATCGAAAGCAACTTCGGGCTGCCGTTCCCGCCCTCTTCTTCCGTTGATAGCCAAAGGCACTCCACCGACGACCATAACCCAAATGTTAGCAGGCCGACCGGGCTCAGAATTATCAGGGTTGCGCAATAGCTTCAGAGTCTTGAGCATACCCCGCAGACGCAACCATCCTCCAGGCACCAAACCAGCGTTGCTGTGCATTGAATAACTCAATTTAAGATCTTCAACTTCAATCAACATATCTTCTGGCTCAACGTCTACCCTCCCAGGCCTAACTCTTTTATTCGTGGCCATCCATGACCAACTCGGCGAACGGTATGATTCCGATCCAGTCTGAATGTCTTCGTCCGATGCCATGGGTTTATCTATCAAACCCCATAGCAGTTCACGCTCCAAGTAGCGACGCCACATTCCAACTACATACTCGTCATCGAGAATGTTAGCCATCACCTTCGCTATAGCAGAAAGAGCTACCACTTTGTCGCTAGGAAAAGTGAGTTTACAAGCTGTGTAAGCCTGAACTATGGTGATCCAAATCTCGTACCCGGCAAGACTACCTTGAGTCAAGCTTTCTGACGAACTCCCATGAAAAATACTTTTAAACGGCCTAAGAGGTGAGACAAAGTCCCGTGGCAGACCGTTGGGATAGATCTCTGCAGCATCCTTCTCACGACATTCCCACAGTACTTGATTTGCACCAAAGTGCAAAAGACGTGGGGACAGAAGCCGTTCTTGGAGGACCCAGGCCCGAGTGTTTATTCGAGCATTGGAACATTCATCCTTCCAGAAATATGAGTCCCGAGTGTGGTAAGGGGTGCAGAGACTACCAACTTCGAGGTTCAAAATTTCTGGGCGAGCGAGGCTAGGGTCCCTAGAATAAAATATGGAATGGTTACTATCTGGGGCATCGGCTGCAGATATGTTGCAAAACGTATTCAGGTACACGTCGCTCATAAGTGTGATTTCGTGCCGCCAATCCGTGGAATCGTCACCTTGCTGAATGATACAAAGAGAGTCAATCCACAGATATCTAATCCCCAGGACTCTCACAATATATACAGCATCTTGGTATAGCTTGGGTAGACTCAATAGCGCGATCTCATCGCTGAGTTGGGAGTAGTTCTCTGTTGTCAGCCTAAGACAATTAGCAAGACCCCAACAATGGCTTAGTGTCATGTATGGCCCGCTCAGACGGGTATTACGGCTCTCAATCACACGACAGCACCCTTCTAAGGTCGTGGACTTCCCACAGTCAAGTAGACGTGTTGGATACCATCTTGTCCTCTTCTCGAGTATGCTACATCGGGGATGGTTTGCTGTGCAGTCTGCAATCCATTTCTGAGCGAGGGTCAGCGTGCTGGCTGATTTTGTGCTCGGAGAAAGATCGTCAATTTCTCCGTGTGTCATGGCTCTTAAGGAGCCTGCAAAAATGTTAGTTTCGACCTTCCCTCACATCTCTTAGCTTTTAATATGTACATACCCTTGAAAGACTGCAAAAATTCACTACATCCATAATATCTTGCTTGTCCTGACAAACATTGGACGACAATTTTCAAATGATACGTCTCTGGATAGAACTTTTCTAAAGATATTACTGAAAATCCAGATTCACCTGACGCTGACTCAATTTCCATCTTATCCTCGTCGATAGAAAAGGCTGAAACCAGAACCTTTTGTTCGGCGGAGAGTGAGTTCCACAGCCTTTGGCACATGTAGCAGCCTATCTCGATAGAGTGCTGCAGGCTGGCGTATGTGCGGTGATGGGTCTTGCGGACGGTTCGTTCATCCTCCCCTAGCTTTGGGAGATCTTGACAGACGGTACATAACATTGTTTGTGTGTGTTTTTCTGTTTTTTGTTGTATAAGGTTTGTTGTATGAATTGGATTAACTTGAGAGACTTTGAAAGCATACCTAGGTAGTGCTGTTGTGTTGGCGGTGAGCGTATGAGGATGGGTGAGGCTGTGGCTGAGTCGTGAGATTTATCCGCGTGGTGTTGGATTGGTTGATTTTCTGTTGGAGTGCCTAGTCTTACGCCTTGTAAGGGGATGAAATTCAGAAGTCTCAGATATTTTGCAAGATGTGCTTTATGATGTTTGTGTTTTTTGGGGGGGTTTCGTGCTGGAATTGTTCATTTCTCTTGAGCAGTGCTTAGCTTTTTGTTATCTCGAAAACATAGTGGCATGGTTCACATGCTCTCTTCATTAAGCATCGTTCTTCACAGAAGTTTTTCTATCTCTGTCGCTGCACTTACATCTTGAATTAACATGTTGATCAGTGAGTATGCATCCTTACCGGATATCAAGAGAATTTCACGTCACACAATCGAATATATCCTACGAACTTGTTTAAATAATGCATTGCTTGACGTTCGGCTGCTAATGACATCCAAGAGGTCTACAGTTTAGGGACTTTGAAGTACTTGTTTTTACCTAGAGCTTTGGACAGTGTGGGTGACAAAGTGACTGGGTGGCCATTTATCTTCTGCATGTTACGTGCTTCAGTCTCCAAACATAGCGGTCTCATTATGGGACCTCGTGATGCTTCGAATTGCATCTTAGAACCTTTGATTCTGAGGAGATATGCATCAAGTATTTATTGTGGTTCTGTTTTGGCTGTTGAAATATACCCTTGATTTTTACTCTCTCTGCCTCTTTCAAAAACGGTTGTCTTTTTTTCACGGCTTTTATCCAGGATCCGCCCATCTACTCTTTACTTGGTCTGTTCGTGAAGATCAGCTAGGGAGTCTCTTTCGGTACAGCCAAAGCCTATGCTCATGAAATTTATCTTTATGAAGTAGTTTGACAGCAAAGCATTTATCCTTTGGTCTTTGTTGATGACGAGTTCCCGTAGAAGTTCGTGGCGTGTTTTCTTTTCGAGGTGTTTCTGAGGTAGTAAACCTTTAGAGCTTAACACGGCTTGTGAACCCTAATGTGACAACGAATTGCCGTCTTGGAATTGTATAATTGCATTATTTCTGAGCCAACTCGCATTGATTAGTATAGAATTGATGGATTGATGACATGCATGTTGCGAAGTGTCGAGACTCGATGCTCGCTAAGGGACGGCGTCAGAGGCAGCTCACAACTTGTCACTTTGAGAACACTTGATCCCTTCAAGATCCTTTACATGGTCATGATACTAAACCTCACGTCATAGCATCGTTGAGCCTAGATGATGTCCCTAGACCCCTGAGTATTAAATTGCGCGTCGTCACATGATATACTATCTGCGTCCACGATAAAAACACTACAGATACGATTTTTGGTCAAGGGAATAGAGATAACTCCGGAGAGAATTAGATTTTCAAATTGACTCAAATGTGCTCAAGTATACTGAGAAATATGGTCTCGTATCCCTGCTCTCCGTTTTGTCTCCGAGTAAAGTGGCCGCAATTCGGAAACATTTGCAGATATGTCTCCGGGTCGTGGAAATGCGCTTTACACCTATAAAAAGCGGTTTCTTCTACACTTTATTGCTCAATAGAAGTACAGAGTACTTTAAACAGAGAATCATTCTCAGAGAAGCCCTTAACATTACACTTCTACCTCAAGTTTTCCACTTTCGACATTTCAGTCATTGCAATGTCGGCCGATAATCTAGGAGAGCTGAATCGCAAGCATATGAAGTGAGATAAGAGAGTTGCCCAACATATTGGTCTCGCTGATAGCTCAATAGTGACGTTGGCGAATCTGCCTTTAAGCAGCAATGGATCGTTGATCTGGGTAACCAAATCACTGCGTACATACTCGCACATCTCGAATGGCTTGGTACCCCTCCCAACAAGACAGAAAAGCCGATGAAACTCCTCGACTACGCTTGTGGTAATGGGTTGATCTCCAAAGTACGTCCACTTCCAACACCACTTTGACTCGAGCTGATCAAATATCCTAGGCACTACTCCCTCACGTCTCAACCATCCGCGGCATCGACGTATCCGACAAAATGGTCGACCTCTACAACTCACCCGCTCGCACAAACAACGCCGACATGTCCGCCATCCAAGCTGACCTCCTCGCCCCAACCGACGCCATGCTCGACGCACTGATAAAAGGCGAATACAGTGACTTCGATATCGCCGTAACTTCAATGGCACTCCACCACTTCGCAGACCCCCAACTCATGCTGACAAAACTCGTTGAGCGGTTAGCTATAGGGGGCAGGATTCTGGTTATCGACTGGGCGAACGAGGCGGTGGCTGATTGGCCTGCGGAGGGGGTATTGAAGGAAGCGGGGTTGGGGGACGTGAGGCATACGTTGAATGATAGTGTATTTACGGAGAAGAGTGTTGTTGAGCTGTTGAAGGGTGCGGGGTGTAGAGAGGCGGAGTTTGTGCTGTGTCCGGAGACTTCGAAGTTACCTGGGGTGTTTGGGGAGAAGAGGTTGTTTTTTGGGTTGGGGACGAAGTAGGAGTGATCGACTTTAAGTCGATATACAACGCTCTCCAGATCTCTAGCCTCTACCAAATACCCGTCTTCTCAGTCAAGATTTCACAATTTGACGTTTTGAGTGTTTGCGGTGAGCAACATGAGGATATCCCAAGAACAAGTAGACTAAACAGGCCTTTTCAACATCCATTCACATTAAAGCCGATATCTCTAACTCAATCGCATCGCTAATGGTACATACAACTCATAGAAATTCGTAAATGAGCCTGGATCTCAACCTCTCATATCCGACCCATGCATCGCCTTCGCAGAAACCCTAACACTTCCCGCTAATTCATCCACGCTTTTCGACGACATTTTATCGAGTTCGACAGTATACGACTGCTCATACAAGATCCCTTCCATATCATCATTCGCAAAGCTTGCCAACTTGCTGCTCGAATTCCCCCGCTTGCGATTGTCCGTGTTTGCTGCATAGCCGCTCGCGTAGTTCTTTGCGCTCGTACCGGCGCTCGAGCCAAATGCCTTGGGGAATGTGCGGACGAGGAGGATTCGAATGGATGGCATGCATGCGCATATGATGCCGACGTTGATCTCGATGTCGGACCAGATTGCGGCGCCGTAGTTATCCCAGGTTGGATTTTGAGACTTGGCAAAGTGGACAAGTGATTGTAGACGGATGATTGAGACGACAGTGACGCTGTTTGAGTTAGTACAAGGCTTTAGTACGTGGAACTGTTTAGCTTACAATGTGCCAACTGTAAACATCATAGCGACCCCGATCTTCTTCTTCCAGTGGAGTTGCAAACTGTAGATCTGCGAGAGAGGAATTGCGAGCATCCATATATCCAGGAGAATGCTGATGGAGGCATTCGCCCATGCCATTGCATTGTTGTGATAGCATACCCCTGATTGTTCTCCATCCCATTTCGTCCAGAAAAAGCTGACTGGAGCGCATTGAAAGATCCCTAGGAAGACGAAGGTTATGCCGTACACGATATTGACACCAATTGTTGCTAGGATGGTCCACTTCATCTTCTTCTGAGGAAAGATGCGTAGGAAAAAGCACAGAAGTGAGAGTTTGATAGTCACGACCTGGGAGAAGTAGAGAACTTCCATGATATAGAAATAGAACCCAAACTTCGTGATGTCGTCAAAGGGGACTTTCCACTACAACGTGCGGTCAGTTTCATGTCAAAGTCTCACTATCTTTGCTTAACACTGTACTTACAACATCTTTTCCTATTCCGGATTTGGCTAGGTACTGGCCAGCAATTACAGAGGAGGGTATACCAGACACGAAGGTGAATAAAATGATATAATCGTCCCAATACCAGTCCGATTTTGTGACAAATTTGGAAAGAATTCGAAGTCCAATGGTCACACCAGACAGCACACCCATCGTTGTGTAGATATTGCTGTAGGTAGTAGACATATCACGTACTGGATGATTACAGAGAATTGAGGTGGCATTTTGTGCTTCTGGTAGGCAGTTAGGAAAGCCGTAGCAACGCAAGGACTTCAGTGAAGCTTACTGAGGGCTTCCCTAGTCGTACAACTTGCCTCAACGCAAGTAGCAATATCGGCTTGTAGTGGTGCGTTCGAACACACACATGGCGTATCCGTCAGAGAGCATGTCGAATTAGTTACATGACCGATCAGACAGGTGAGCTGTAGATCGTTAGTGCTGGTCTTAAGATCGAGGACCGAAAAGAGAATATACTTACAGCGCATTGTGGTGTCGTCGCCAGAAGCTCCTGAGCGCTCTGAGCGATTCCCGTTGACACGAATGCCAGAACGAGGAGACCGACGAAACCCTTCATTCTCTACACCAGCACAGATACCGTAGAAGATCGAACAGGGAAGGCTATCGGACGCGTTCGAATGCCACCGATCTGGAAAACATGCAGACTTATGAAATTCGACAATCCCGACCAGGAGATTACATAGGGATCTTGAAGCACATTTGTGGACTTCCAGCTGGGGTTCGAATGGTCTTCTTAAGAGATGAACCTGGTGGGACCGGAGAACCTGCTCTGTCGAGGGTGGTGAGTTTTCATGCCGAACACAGTGAATGTGGTCTCAGCTTTTCTGTGGTACCTTACTGGGAATAAAAATCCCCGGCAGATCATTTGAACGTCTTCTTCCAATCAAGATTCTGATATCTTTAAAACGGAGACACTTTCACCAGGGCACACCTGTCACAGTTTTAGAAAACCAATATAAAATGGGGAAGCCACATACTGGGGACGCACCCTGATGGAAGTTAATGATGATCGCATCCCCCTCTCGCAAGGCCAATCATACTAACGGCTCCAGAAATTAGCACAATTCATAGGTCATCCAAACTATACTGCGGGCCGGCTGGTGGGACACTCCTCTTAATGGTGGGGGAGGAGAGAGCATTATTGTGAAACATCCTTGAGAACGGAAAGGAGGTGTCAATGCGAACTACTAGTTTGCCCTACTAGGAGGGCACTAATGTCGGCACGCAACCGATCCATTGATAAGAAGTGGCTTATGGAACGATTATTAAGTAAGACAACGAATAGCGATTCAACGACGATTCATACATCTCGTACTCTCAACTGCATTATCTTTTAATGAAGTCGTGAGCCAAGTGTTGTCTTTCATTGCGAGTCAGTGATGTTTTTGTCGTCGAGGTTGTCAGAAATAACCGAGTTTTCCCAGTGGCTTGGCGAAACGTTTGAAGCAGCTGTTTCTGGGTGAGATGCCGAAGATGGCGGTTTTGGGGCCGGTAGGTGGCTTGCCTATTGAGGTATGGAACCCCCGAAGAAGGATTGCAAGGAAGATGTCCTTGAAGAAGGCAGTTAGGAGGCTATTAGAGTTTGGCTTTGTCCTTTTGGGAGGTGAAAATGCGAGCCTTGCGAGGAGAAGGTTTGCCTGCTTCAGTGGTGCAGCAACATTATAAAACCTGGGGTTCATCATCTGCCGATGTTACTCTACTCATGTAACGAACTATTTTACCAATGCTGACGACTGTACTCATTAAGGTTCTGATAGTGACGAATTTGCTCATAGCAGTCAAACATTGGCATCAAGCCACGCTTTGATAACGTTGGGATTGATCACCATATCGGCAATAATGTGCCAAGTCGTGGTAACATTTACATTGCACAATCCCGCTCTCTACGCCGCAACGTGTTCAGGTTGCTTTGCAGGTCGGAAATGTTCGGTATATGTTTGCGTCCGATCACTACGCCGCATCGTAACATCCTGAGTCTGGAAGAACTGATCGCCTAAAGCTGAATGCTCCACATTATCGCCAGGGGAATCAACCCGAAAGGTACCACCGGATTGGCAACCAAACTCTATAAAGTTCGGTGCATGATTGCCACGCGATGGGTTCTCAACAGGACCCTGAAGGTATTATTTGTGCGGTTAGAAGTAGAAAGTCAACATTGGCAAGATCCAAGGGTCTCTTCGCAGTGCTTAAGCGAGGTATCTGCTATATCAAGCCTTTTGACCGAAGAAGATAACAACTTTTGCTTTGTCGACGCGAGGCGCAGATACGCTCAGAGCCTTCATGTTTCTGTAGTCTAACCCTATTTGTGGTGAATTGCCACAACTCTGGCAACATGTCGGCTATTGATTTACTACACCGTAGTCCACTCGAGCCTCGTTGCGGAACAAGTTGACCATTTCTAGTAAAAGCTTCGAGCAACAAAACCATCTTTTACGAAGACAATGCATTTTAGAGTTCACCACTGACTGAATGACAGTGAATATTCTTACGCACATGCTCCATAAAGCCCATGGGGTAGCGAAACTTAGAAAAGCCCAGGCGGAGGATTACAGGGTCTGGTGGAGATAGCCGTTGGCTCTGGAACCGGAGTAGATTGACAGAATTTGTGGACTTTTAATATAAATCTTAGAATCCGGATCTGAACGCGTTCAACAGAGTAAGATACGAGCACTTGGAAATTGTGGTTGCCACAATAATCTGTGACAGATATTCGGATAGGGGCCGGTGGTCTTGTTGCATGGTCAGGCTGACTGGAAGTTGATAGCAGGGCGCAGCTTTGAGCTCGAGAGATTCGATTCCAGGCTTCGATGAGTCTTATCGTGTGACGAACCTTACACTTCGGTATTGTTGCTCCCTGCGCAAACGCGCCGCGAACGTTCCAGTAAATGGGTATCATTGAGTCTTTTTCCTGCAGGTCCTTGCTTTGAGACTGTGTGTTGAATTATGGTTCCTGGCGAGTTCTCAACCCTTTTCTCGACAACTTACATTACATTTTATAACAGACACTTTCACCTTTTATCCATTTTATCCATTTTACAACCTTTGGATCTATTGGAGGCATTCAGCCGCTGATTTGCGCAACTAGTATTTAGAGAGAACATCGGATTTCATAAAGTTGTTGAGAGTATGCCACCTTACAATGGCGAGATGACATTTATACACCGAACCATGGGATTCTACACAGCTTCATTTGCCGAGACAGTCTTATCTCGTAGAGTCATAGTAGAAAGAATGCCCAAGTCTTGAAGTGCTCTCGTCTAACAGCCCCAGCAAGTTATTTGCAATGGCCGAGCTAGGACAGTCGAATATCTCTTTCGATCGTCCAATAAAATTGACCGCTCTGTGATGGGAAAGAGAATGGATATCATGTGCCAAGAAAGAGGTTCACGGCGCACATTGACCTTGTCTTTGCGAGTTTTTCGGCAATTGAATTTAGTGATCTGGACCGGAGAAAGCAGGCAGTCTTTACGCAGACAGTTTGTATCAATCATTTCGAGTGAACTATTTTGGAAGTGCTTCGGCTCATACAGCCGGTACTGGTAGGTTCTTGAGAATATCAACTTCGTGATAGGAAATAGACTTAGGAGCGAGCATATATTCGAAGTCGAACCCAGAGGATGATCGACAAATTCTTTGGATCTTCTATACTATCCCTGTCTATCAACTTGTTGAGGCTCACAGACAACAAAATAAAAAGGGCTCGCGACTTTTGGCCATATTTGGCGAAGTTTCTAACCAAAAGGGAAGTGCAAATATGGGGTCGCCATTAGACTTTCGAAAAGTATAGTTTTCATGCTTTAATCAAACAGTAACTCGAATATACTTCCACCGTCAGCATGATGGAAAGAACGAAACGATCATTGATCTCACGGAGTCAAGCGACGTTCTGCCTTTGAATTGAGCTGATTTATGTTCACCAAAACTTAGAATACTGGTGTTTACTAACGTGAGAAACGAGTTTCAATGATTATTCATAGCTCAAACTTGCTTAAATATCGTAGAGTTTCACTAATTAGGAAATCTAGTTCTTGCTATTGTTTAATGTCATGAATTGAGATTTTTGTATTTTCACGGACAACACAATATGGTATGTGTTCTCAGCGCTTAGATCATGAGGGATCGCACAGAGAGTTAGGTATATTGCCACCAAAAGTAGATGTGGAAAGATACCTGTTACCAAGATTTTAACGAATTCTCAACATCAATCACACCACGACACAGGGCCCAAGCGAGCAAGTTTTGGGATGTCGTGTTTCCTGTAAACATACATTTAAGGAGACCACTTCCCGAATAGATGACGGTCATGTCCCAATTTCTCCCGTTCCTCATCCTGAATTTGTTTGAAGTATTTCCGTGACTGCCTTGGTAAAAGGGAGATATATGATCACGAGACCACAGGTTGACTACTTGACCCTCACCAAATCTTTACAGCACTTCAACACAACACCATCTCAATCAATAAACTTATCAACCTTTTCTCAATCCATTAGACCTCCACTATCAAGGCTTATACACCCTCCTAGCACTCAAGAAAAAGCCTAAACAGCTCATTAGTGTAGGCACCAAGCACGTGTTCACGCCCGACTGAAAAGGGGCTCAAAACGAGCACGTGTTGTCGGCCACCGAATCCTTCTCCAATGACAGAGTCCCAAGAATCATTGCGGGGACTTTGTATTGTCTCTTGTAGAGTTTCGGATCGATTTCTCCATTATCAGAGTTGTGATGGTCGAACAGCGGGTTAGGCAGTCTTCATGCCAGACTTCGAGAAGCCTCGCTTAATTGTTTGGCGTCGACTCCGCCTCTGAGGCGGGATAACCGTTAGTACTACCACCTACGATCAGATGCATTCTGGAAAGCGGAGCTTAAGCCTATGAGCGAATTTTTTTGATGGTCAGTTATTGAAGTTTGTAGTATTCCCTTACCCATAGGGTCCTGTGTAGAAAGCCGTAGCTATGCTCGATGTTTCACCGAAGGTTGTAATGAAGCCTTGCTTCTCTCACTCAAGTGGCTGTGTTGATTTTAACGACTAAGTCCATAACTGGTAAAGTAAGAATTGATTCGCTATACTGAGCACATGTTCACAAGCGGGGTCATAAGATAGGATTCTTATATCCTGTGTCCGAAAGTATATACTACTTCATTGTATTAATTCATTGTCGTGAATTGTCTCAACTAACAACGCTTCATCCCCGTCCTTACAAATTCACGAAATGGCAACCGTATCTTCCATGCCAGGTAGTTGGTCCTGGGATGCTGTAGCTGCTATCGAATCAGTTCACGAGAATTACCGGCCAGTATCAACAACGCGCTCTATCAACTTTTCCAAGAAATTACTTCCAGTTCCTGACGCAGCAACATCATGGACTTTAGCATCCTCATCAAATTCCAATGAAGAGCAATTATTTAGTCTGAAGAGAAACAGCAGAACACGATCGACAAATCACTTAGCATTCAAGTCAATGACTGCAAACATGTCTGATACCACGGATGTTGACTGGAAACGTTATGATCCACCAGCAGAACTCCTCAATCATCCCGACAACACATCTGAAGAGATCCAAGGGCTCTTACAATCCTCGATTGATGCTTTGCAAGCAAGACATTTAGAAGAGTCTCGAGAACTAGAAGCTGCGGCACGAGCCAGCAAACCACTAGGAAGATCTCGACGCGTGTCTGGAAGACCAAGAGCCGAGGTAAACAACAATGCTTTTACTTGTCAAAATTTAGCTAATGTCTTGTTTCTTTAGTCGACATTAGGCGCTGGTTTAGATCAACTTGCATACTCCGAGGAAGAGCGTACCAGTATGGGTAGTGCCTCTTCAGTTCACTCCAATGACTCTGGGTATGGATCACGAAGAGACAGTAAGGGTAATTCTACGGGATCATCCCCGAGGGAGGATAAGTCGTTCCTATCTGGCTTGGCTTCGAAATTCAAGCATCGAAAAGAATCGCGAAGTCCTTTGAGAAGGCTTGGTGAAATGACAAGTGTTCTCACTTTGTCAAAAACAAACACAAACGAAGGTTTTGACGCCGCCGACACATCATTGACTAAGTAATTTACTTGTATCCAAAGAGTTAAACATAGTGACTAACGATTTTAGTGAGTGTGTGTCTTGTCTCGACGACTTTCCACAAGTCAAAATGGTAAAGTTGACCTGCCACAGTTATTGCGGAGATTGCTTCCAAAGACTTATCAAGTAAGTTTGCCTCACATCTCGGTAATACCACTCTCCCCAAGCATCCTAACAGGAATTAGGAACGCAATGGAAGCAGAAGCCCAATGGCCCGTAAAATGCTGTCTCAACCCCATTCCCTACGCCACCATACGACCCCATCTCGACACCAAAACCACACAAGCATATCAAATCCGCCTCGACGAATGGTCCATCCCCGCAGGCGACCGAGTCTACTGCTCCTCACCCACCTGCAGCACGTTCATCCCGTCACGCGACCACATTACCAACAAGAACATCGCAACCTGTCACAAATGCCGGCAAAGCACATGCGTGATATGTCGCGGCGCCGCGCACAGAAACACAGAATGCCAACAAGACCCCGCTGTCATCGCAACGAACCGTCTCGCCGAGCTCGAGGGCTGGAAGAGATGTTACAGCTGTCAAGCGCTTGTTGAGCATAATACGGGGTGCAGACACATGACGTGTCGCTGCAAAGCGCAATTCTGCTATATATGCTCGGCGCGCTGGCGGACCTGCGAGTGTACGGATGCGGAATTGACGGTGTTGCAAACGGAGGCGACGAGGAGACGAATGCAAGAGGCTTCGCGGGTGGCGAGGAATAGGGAGTTTGAGGAGGAGGAGAGGAGGAATGTGCAGCTTGTTGAGGAGTTTATTGCGCGAGAGAATGCGGCTGCGGAGGCGAAACGGACTGAGGAAGAGAAAGTTCGAAGACTGGAGGAAGAGGCGAGACGAGCGAGTCTAAGGGATCAATTTCAAGATTTGGCCGTCGAGTTGGAGGATTTGCATGTTTACCAGCGCATCCAGATTCAATCTCGCCAGCAATACGAAGCCAAAGTGCTTGATAAGCAGTTCAGCGCTCAGCTCACCTCTTTAAAGAGTACTCAGTCGGCCGAGAGTGCGAAATTGGATTCTGAAACTAGTGCCAAACTGCAAGAGTTGGAAACCCAGTTCATGGCCGAATACACTTCCCGGGTCATCGAGGAAAACCGGGCTGAAGCCGAGCTCATCATGGAGCTTCAAGAACGATCGCAAGGCCAAAAAGGAATGGAATATACGATTCGCAAATCCAGAGGTGAGTTGAGGAGGGAGCAGGAGGATAAACATCAGGTGTGGGATCTTGAGCGACGGGACAAGACCAGATATCTAGAGGAACGAGTAGAGTGGTGGAAAGATGACGTGGCAAAGAAACACAAGAATGAAAAGAAGCAGTTAGAGGAACGATGGGAACTTGAAAAGGTGGAAGTAGAAAATAAGGTTGATGCTACCCAGAGATGGGTGGAGGAGGTGATTGCGGAGAGGCGTGGCAGACTGAGAGATCTGGAAGCAGAGGTATTGGGGGATGCTCAGATTCGTATTATAGGCCCGCAGTCGACGTCGAGAAATTAGAATAGCTCCACTGGGATAAATACTGAGTATAAAATCGTTAGTCGACACCCCAAAAAAAACTGTCCCATTGAATTAACAACGTCAGCTTCGCTTGTTCTTCAGATATACCGTGGGGAAGATGGTTTGTTAACCCTATTTTCGGTGGATGAAATTATAAGCCCTGATATTATCTGATAAGAACTCGGAAGACTCTAGAATTCCACACAAGATATATAGCTGATTGAGCTGTGAACGTAAAACATAGATTTCACTGTCAACTAGCAAAGTCAAACTATCATCTCGCTTTCAATGGAACGTCTCTCGACTAGATGATCATTTTGATACTGCGTACCTTGTTCTAATAAATTCACAGCGCCTCATTCTCTTTTAGCTTGTGTAATTGGACGACGACCTCGGACCAGGTAGTAATGCAGGCGTTCTTCATGCAAGCCAGGCAAGCTCAGCCTCATCTGCCAGCGTCAAAACTTGAACACCCACCTTCAAAGATCTTAAGTCTGCACTTTGATCGTTATTTCGGCATATTTGATGTTCTACCTTCTTGTGTTAATATATCAACAAATGAATCATGGCTGAAGCGATAGCAGCAATCTCTATCGCGGCCAACATCGTCCAATTCGTTGACTTCACTGCCAAGATCCTCAGTGCCAGCCACAGAATCAAAGGTTCGGGATTTAGAGATAATGACTGGATGGCAATTGTCGTGAAAGACTTGCAAAAGGTGTCGAGTGGACTCAAATCTCCGCTGGTACAGGAGAATGGAAGGTTTCCGACCGACAACGACATGGAATTGCTTCATCTCGCCAAACAGTGCGATGAGATCGCTTCCGACTTACTTACGACATTAAAGAGTCTTGAAATTAACGTGAAAAATCTTGCTGATAGGAGTGATGTAACGCGCCAAAAGTCTAAACGCGTCCATGTGGCTTGGGCAAATTTTCGTACAGCTTTGAAGACGGTGTGGAAAGAAGACGAGATTATTCAGCTGGAGAAAAGGATTGAGTCATTCCGACAGCAACTCATACTTCGAATCTTGGTGTCATTGAGGTCGGTTTCCGGTCTTATTTGAATTTGCATCGAGTTGGATCGAAGCAGATTTCGTTAGCCATTGCACAGTACTCAGTGCAGGCTGACCAGCGTTGCAAAAGCCCCTACTAACACATGCGTAGAGATGAGATCAAAGAATCACAACCTGCTCAAGCTGAACCGCAAAACAATGTGCATATTCTTGACAAGCCTGCACTCGGTGTTGGAGAACAATTCTTGGGATATATCGAAGAGAGCAAGCGCTGGCAGACAGACTTGATCAATGCAATCCACCAACATTCATCGACTGCGGGAGAAAGAAGCGTAGAGACCGTCACTGCAATCGATCTGAAGCGAGACGAACGACTGTGGAAACAGATCTTAGAAAGGCTGAGATTCGCGGAGATGACTGACCGTCGAGATCGAATCGTCGAGGCGCATAATAAAACCTTCAGATGGATTTTTGACGCCCCTGGTTCTGCCGAGAATATGGCCACCGTTTGGCCTAGTTTCTCGGACTGGCTAAGAAATGGATCTGGGCTCTACTGGATCGCCGGCAAAGCTGGCTCTGGCAAGTCCACGTTGATGAAGTATATTTATGATAACACTCGCACTGTTCAGCTCCTTCAAGAATGGTGTGGCGAGTCCGACTTGACTGTTGCATCCTTCTACTTTTGGAACTCTGGAGTTGATATGCAGATGTCAGAGATGGGACTTCTGCGATCGATCCTGCTACAATTGCTCACGAAGCACAAGGAATTTATTCCTCGACTGTTCCCAGGACGTTGGGAGGCATATGTACTTTTTGGTAATGATCCAAGTTCCTGGTCTCTCAGAGAGTTGAGAAAAGCATTAAGTCTTTTGAGCCATGAGGCTCCGGATGCCACCAAATTTTGCTTTTTTGTAGACGGGCTTGACGAGTTTGATGGAGACCACTCGGAGCTTAATGACCTTTTCAAGACTCTAGCGTCCTTTTCCCACATCAAAGTATGCGTTTCTAGTCGGCCATGGAACGTGTTTGAGGACGATTTCGGTGTCAAGTCGTGCCTAATGTTGCAAGATCTCACCTACCAAGACATCAAGCTTTTCGTTGACTCTAGATTCGACGAAGATCATGGGTTTTCTGAACTCGAGATTCGGGAGCCAAGTTATGCTGCTGAACTTAAAGAATCTGTTGCTAGGAAGGCCGAAGGTGTGTTTCTATGGGTCTCTCTTGTAGTCAGGTCTCTACTCGCTGGGATGGTGAACGGCGACCGAGTCTGTGATCTCGAAAGGCGACTTGACTTACTCCCCCCGAACCTTGGTGATTTATACGAAAAGATGCTGCAAAGCCTTGATCCTTTTTATTACGCGCATGCTTCGCAGCTATTCCAGATGGCTCACGAAGCATCACCTCCGTTAAGCTTGTTAACATATTCATTTGCGGATGAGGAGCCAGATTTCGTGTTCAAGTGTCCAGTACGATGCTTGACTGAGAAGGAACAGTTTCTGAGGCTCGATGTAATGAGGAAGAGGATAAACAGCCGATGCAAAGGGTTGCTTGAGGTTCCCCGAGGATATCTTGATTCGCACCACGACACAACGCAAAGTTCCGAATTCCAGTCCGGGAACTTCTCCAATGGCCGTGGGAAGGGACCTGTCAAGAATATGACAGTTCAGTACCTGCATAGAACCGTCAAGGATTTCTTAGCACGACCAGACGTCTGGAATTCATTGTTAAAAGCGTCTCCTCTAGGGTTTAAACCTCGTCTCAGTATCTGCAGAGGATTAGTGGCACAATTCAAACATATGGACCCGGAGATCTTAGAGCATGAGTCCTTCTGGACAGGAATTAAGTCTTGCATTAAATATGCAAAGCCATATCATGACCTAACAGGAAACTTTGTGCTCTTATTGAAAGATCTGGATAATTCTGCGTCAAAACTTGCAGAATCATGCCGGGAAGATGGGTCCAGTTTCCTTTCACGGTCTTTTGAAAAGACAATGTCTACTGTTGAAATTAAAACTCCGTATCCGCACTGGACATCAACCTTTTCTGGCTATAAGGAAGATAAAGGGCTGACGTTTCTTTCACTAGCAGTACAGCTCAACCTGCAGTATTTCGTGAAAGCCGAAGTAAATCGTTCATGTCTTGTGATGCAGGACTCTGGCCTCTGGCCGCTGTTGCACGATGCTGTGACGTACGACAAACAGCTCATGGAATTTTTCGATATACGCTGGTTTCCAAATCCCGAAATGCTAAAGATACTCCTAGTTAGAGGAGCCAACCCGAATTGGACTAGGCGGCATGACGGGACTGGGAGTATCTTCGAGCACTTACTAGAGATTTATACTTCTGCAAAATCTTCAAATTCCATTGGTGCGAGCAAAACATTTCATATAATCGGGCGTTCTGTAGATGAAAAGGCAGAAGCGTATGGGTATTGTATAAAGAAGTTCATTGAGTATGGAGCAACATCACCTAAGTACTCAGTGGAATGCTCTCCAACCCGCTGTGAGGGAGCCCTAGTCAAAATAGTTCCAAAGAGGAGTCTGATCCAATCGTGGTTTGGACCTGGAAAGCAGTAAAGCCCTACAAAGCGTTCACGCAATTAGGAGTCCTTAAAAATAATGGCGGTCAGCACTCGATCCTTCTAAACTGACATGAGGGAAATCTTCTGTATGACACTTACAGAATCGACTGCTTAGCTGGTTGGAGATATCTGCCTCGCGAGCACGAATTATCTGAAACGTCCGGCTTCTGCTTTGTCTTCACAAACTTTTCGTCTATCGCAGCCCTCGAGGGAGCAGTTCGTTTCGAATACTTCTGGGTGCGAGCTGGTTGAAGACGATACGATACGATACGATGCGTTACCCAAAGGAAGGAAGGGAAGGACAAGCGAAAGTAGTGGCCAGAAGTAATCACGTGATGACTTTGCAATCCGTATTCATACTCCATTTGACAGTCTTACAGGTGGGCTTGTATTTTAATGGATTTTTCTTTAGAAGAAGTAGGAGCGATATTAAATACTCTATATTTTGCCTGTATAAAATCTGAATTGATCATGTATTGTTATTGATATACAGTTCTCTCGCCAATTGCGTGCAACCCAAACAGGCAGGTTTAGCGACCAAAATAATCTTCTACAACTTTGATATCCACCTCGCAAAACATCCAGATCTCCCAACCACCCCAAGACCCCGGTGGTCTCCAACAACCTAATCATGGCAGGCCCAAAAACAATATACATAGTCCGCCACGCCCAAGGCGAACACAACGTCTCGGATCTCCAGCCGCAGGTACCTTCCTCTCCTCCCCCACCACCACCCCGCCCAACTAACAGACTCCCAGGGAAACTCCAACGTCAAAGATCCCATTCTCACGCCCCTCGGCCGCGAACAATGTCAACTCCTCCGCGCTCTCTTCACACACCACGACGATGTAGAAATAGTAATGGCATCCGGCCTCCGGCGAACGATTCAGACAGCAGTGACAGCCTTTGCGCCTACACTTGCTCGGCCAGAGGTACCATTGCTGCTTGCGCCGATGGCGCAGGAGATTAGTGCGAAGCCATGTGATACGGGGACTGATGCTGCGGAGCTGGAGAGAGGGATGGACGAGGTGTTGAGGGATGTAGATGTGAAGTTTGAGCATGTGGGACGGATTGATTATTCGCTTTTGGAGGAGGGGTGGAATGGGAAGGTAAGAATATATTTCCCCCGCCGAAGAATAATACTCTTGCTGATGAGATACACAGCAAGGAATTTACGAAGCCTCTCTCTCCGCAGTAACAAAACGCGCCGCCGCGCTGCGACAATGGCTTTACAACCGCCCCGAAACCACAATCGTACTCGTCACACACGGAGCATTTATACATCATTTAACAGAAGATTGGGCGGGCATGGTGCCGCCCAAGGGAACCGCATATAAGACGACGGAGTTTAGGGCTTTTACTTTTGATGAGACGTCGAGTGAGAAGGAAGCGCATTTGGTAGAGATTGGAGGGAGTCCGAGGGTAGAGAAGAGGCCGTTGGGGGCCCACGCTCATGATATCACGGGGATTGAAGAGGCGGATTTTTCGTAGGTGGGAGTAATGTGGGTAGATGGTGTTTGGCGCATAGAGAGATTCCCATGGTATATAGATTTAGAATTATTATTTAGAGAAGAGTATAAGACAGATAGAACCGAAACACAAAAACTCCCATAAACTCTCCAAAAAAAAAAAGGGTCAACGTTGATAACTTGTCACCATGCAATAGTATCCAAAAATTCAACTCCCCTCCAAAACCCCAAAAACAAATCCCCCTCTCTTCCTAAACAAAATTCCCAAAAAAATCAAGAATCAAAAAACCATCTAGGTTCTACCCGGGCTCGAACTGGGGACTCAAGAATGATCTCTGACGCGTATCAGAATCTTGCGTGCTAACCTCTACACTATAGAACCATTAACCTAAGAGCGGAGACTCTCGTGTTGTGATTGGTTGCAGCATTTTTTGCGTTCATGGTTTATAAAACCTGTACAGCGATGCAGACGACAACAATGAGAAAAGAGAATTTGGTGGGGGAATGCGAGTGGTGGGGTCCGATGTGCCGACTCTTTGCCGGGTTGATTTTTGGGAAACCGAAAATAACAATTTTCGCAGTAGACTGATGCAAAATCGCGGTGTTTTCTATACAAGAGACAATTGAAAATTCAAAATTGGGCATAATAAGAATAGGAAGAATCGTATAAAATCGTAGTCCTGTTAGCATTAGCATTTAGGCTAAGCATTCCGATCGCGCTTGCCACTCGCATACGACCGACGGTAAATCGCAGGAAAGATGGAAAATGTAAAAAACGAGAGTCTAGAACTTGGGGACTATTGTAGATATTGAAATTAAGTATTTACGGTAAGTGGCTTCGTGCACGAGTTTCCAAGAGTAAAGTTTAAATCGTCCTAAAAGTACAGAGGGTTTCTCCTACGAATAAAGCCTCTTGCAAAAATCTTGGAATTGCGGATGAAGCTTCAAACCCAACTCCGCCAAAAGAAATTCCACAAATGCGTTCCATCCCCAAATAATCTGAAAAAAATGAATGCAAAAAAAGGAAGAGGTCCTACTGAGACTCGAACTCAGGTCCCAGGTATTTTTTGTTTCAAAAACCCATGTGCTAACCGACTACACTATAGGACCTTGTATCTTTGATTTGATTCGTTGAGCACAATTTGCCCAAAAATATCTATGTACTACAAACTTTTTAATAGTGCTGAAATGCCACAAATCCACGTCTTGCAATAACCAAGGCATCTGGATGAGGTACGGACATACGAATATGACGAAAAGTGATTTGGGTTCAAGGGTATTTAGGATTATATTTAGGATTTATCTCGTGGAATTTTGCTTTTATCCGGACGTGGAACTACATTGATTGGGTGGACTCGCTTGGGTGGGGGAAGCAGGCCGCGGGCAGCTTGTTTTCGAACACAAAACTCGCGCGTTCTTCACACCTCAACATCTAACTTTCACAACTATTCGCGCGCGACGATTACGATTTATAATACACCATATGTCATGGCTATTGTAAAGATATACCGCGTTCTACATCACGACAGTCGAGATCCCGCTGTTTGGCTTCACCAAAAGGATCGTCACTTCCGATTAGTGGCCATGAGATGCTCTTACACGGCAAAGCAGTTGGAGGGAGATTCGGCTTGAGAAAGAGACCGGTCTCGAATTCAATTGTCCGACTCGGTTTCTACGAACAGACATGCCCAGCGAGTACGAGACTTCATAGGAGTCAGACGACTGCAATTGCAAAAGTCGACTGTCGATGTCGTGACGGTGGGTGGACAGCTCAGGAAAGTATGTCCCCCGTGCACTAATACGTACAATGATGTGCGGGATAGCTTAGAACATGCTCTACGAATCTCTTCTAAACACTGCTTGAGCTTATTTCTCTCATGAAGAGGCTCGGTGTCAAGAGTAGACGTTATTTGACTCTTCGGTTTTCCCGACTGGCAAAGAAAACCCCCGTGGTACACCCAACTCGATATAATCTCACTAAGCTTTACAAAGCTACATATCGATAAGGCATGCATCAATCGTACGAAAGAATCTCCTGATAACAGTCTCCATTCTATTACTGTTCTCTCGACTCGAGTTAGACGAGCTCTTGCCTGCTGCTTATTGGTGCTGTTGGATCACACCTGTGCAATTGCAGCAGCTTCCCTGGGCTTGTACATGCACGTACATTATCGTCTGGATCCAATTCGGGACCTGCATGAATGTTTCTTTTTCTACGATTTCCTTTCCATTGGAGAATCACATTACAGTCACATCAAAGTTCGTGGTCTCCTAAGCGCTTTCCGGTATATATGATTCCACTTCCTCAGGGGAGCCCCGGCTACCCGCAGCCGGCAGATGGACCGTTTATGTTGGAGCACATCTGCTTTACGCCTCAACTGGGTATATTCCCGAAATCACATCACTTTTTATGCGGGGACTTCGCAAGAGTTTTCGATGTTTTTGTTGTTGTTTGCCAACTTACCAACTGCCAAGTGGCTATTTTTGCTGACCCAATACCGTTCATGACGACGAGCCAAGCAGTAAGAAATACTACCTCGGCCGGGTTACATTTTATCGCGCAATCGAATGTGTGCTTTTCTTAGATCGTTATCTGCATGCACTTTTGTCTTGTCACCTCTCATCGTGAAAGTCTCACGTTTACAACATTGGCAAGCTGCAGGTGGTCTGAAGCGAGTCAGCCTCTACATCCGGTCATGTTTGTATAAGTCTAGTAATGTACTTTCATGTGCAATTACATCGTCCGGGCCTCCTTCATAATAGTCCTGGAATAGCGAAATACTTCCATGGATGTATGGATGATCATTACCCCAATGCTCTTCTTCGATTCCATCAGAATGTACCATCCGCTGCGGGCATGCGGTTGTACATCCCAAATTCCCATTTGAAGCTTCCTGGCCTGGGCCCTTGTTCATTATGTACATTTGTTTCTAGCTAGACCCTACCCTAGCACAACGTGATGCTTGTATCCGAAGGATCCCGTCTACCAGTTTACTTGGGCACTTCAACTTAGTGGCTGCAAGATGACTGTATCCAATAGTATTAGGAAGCTCCCTAGAAATGCCTCGGCCGTGTAGTCGGTGTCAACTGATGATTGCTACTTACCAACCCCTTGGCATATCTCAAATATTTAGAAAGCCGCTTGGCTCCGCGTCACCGGAGCCCTCCATGGATTTTTGGAGCCTTCTTTATCGACCGGTCAGGAGCATAATCTCAGCGTCTCCACTATCTTGGTATTTCCAAGGCGTGGGGTGATCGATTCGTCTACGTGTGTGGATGGATGATAAATGATGTTACCTCATTGGTTGCTAGTAGCTAGTCTATCATAACATGCTTTGTGTAACGAAGAATTTGAGAATCTATATATGCCTTCGATCCCGTGTATTTGGACTACCAAGCACATTTCACTTCTATAGTACCGTCTATTTGAATTTCATTTAGATCGCTATGCGTTACGTGTGGAATCTCGTGGCTATTGCCAGCATAGTGTCGGCTGCTTGCCCGTACATGGACGGCGAGCCAGCACTGAAAGGCAGATCAGAAGGCTCGAATGAACAGTTTCTTGATCAATTCACGGTCGACGACTCTGATTCCTATCTTACATCAGATGTTGGAGGTCCGATCTCGGATGATCACAGTCTCAAAGCTGGGGAGAGAGGTCCAACGCTTCTCGAAGATTTCATCTTCAGACAAAAGATTCAGCATTTCGATCATGAGCGTGTAAGTTGATTTCAGAAAAGCACTGCTGAAATCCAAGCTAATCATTGCAGGTGCCAGAACGTGCTGTCCACGCTCGAGGAGCAGGTAAGCATCTGAGAAAAATGTATTATGTAATTATTCTAACATTAATAATAGGTGCCCATGGGACGTTCACTTCTTACGGAGATTTCGGCAATATCACTGCTGCATCATTTCTAAACTCCACAGGGAAAGAAACGCCAGTCTTCATCCGCTTTTCTACAGTGGCCGGAAGTAGGGGAAGTGCGGATAGTGTAAGAGACGTGCACGGGTTCGCTGTCAGATTCTACACCGATGAGGGAAATTTCGGTACGTACACATCCCAAGGAGTTACTGCCCCACTAATACTCTTCTAAGATATTGTTGGTAATAACATCCCGGTTTTCTTCATTCAAGACGCCATTCTGTTCCCGGACCTCATCCATGCCGTAAAACCATCACCTGAAAAGGAAATTCCGCAAGCCGCAACGGCTCATGACAGTGCATGGGACTTCTTTTCTCAACAGCCAAGTGCATTGCATACCCTCTTCTGGGCTATGTCTGGTAATGGCATTCCGAGATCTTACCGTCATATGGATGGTTTTGGAATCCACACTTTCAGATTCGTTACTGCCTCGGGTACTTCACAATTTGTGAAGTTCCATTTTAAGACCAAGCAAGGAAAAGCAAGTTTGGTTTGGGAGGAGGCTCAAATACTTGCCGGAAAGAATGCGGATTATCATCGTGATGATCTGTGGGAAGCTATTGAATCCGGCAATGGGCCGGAGTGGGAATTTGGAGTTCAGATTTTTGATGAGAAGACCGCTGAGAGTTTTCCATTTGATGTCTTAGATCCAGTAGGTTGAGTCTACACATTGAATGATACATACTAATGAAGTCAATTAGACCAAGATCGTTCCAGAAGAGCTCGTTCCATTTACTCCACTTGGATTGTTGAAGTTGGACAGAAATCCACGAAACTATTTCGCCGAAACAGAGCAAGTCATGTTCCAACCTGGTCACCTTGTTAGAGGTGTAGACTTCAGCGAAGATCCACTTCTTCAAGGACGTATCTACTCCTACCTAGACACCCAACTAAACCGTCACGGCGGCCCCAACTTCGAACAACTCCCCATCAACCGTCCCCACGTCCCAGTCCACAACAACAACCGCGACGGCGCCGGCCAAAACTACATCCACCTCAACACGGCCGCCTACTCCCCCAACACCCTCAACGCCGGCTCCCCCAAACAAGCCAACCAAACCGTCGGCAACGGCTTCTTCACCACCCCCGGCCGCACCGTGACCGGCAACCTCGTCCGCAAAACCTCTCCCACATTCGCAGACGTCTGGTCGCAAACCCGTCTCTTCTACAACTCCCTCATCCCCGTCGAGCAACAGTTCCTCATCAACGCAATCCGCTTCGAGACCGCCCAGCTCAAATCCTCCATCGTCAAATCAAACGTCCTGATCCAACTTAACCGCGTGAGTCATGATATCGCCGTTCGTGTTGCTGCCGCCATCGGTATGACTGCTCCTGACGCGGACCCGAGCTTTTATAATGATAATAAAACGGCGTTTGTGTCTATCTTCAACACCACGCTCCCAACCATCGCGGGCTTCAAAATCGCTGTCCTAGCGTCTGTGTCCAGCCCCGGTTCTTTGACTCAAGCCGCGGAATTAGCCACCGCATTCGCGCCCTCCAAAGTCACTGTCGCGGTCATAGCCGAGCGTCTCGTGCCCGGCGTGAATGCTACGTATAGCGCTGCTGACGCCTCCACATTCGACGGCGTTATCGTCGCTTCCGGCGCGGAATCACTATTCGGAACAAACGCTACGGCATCAACGTTCTTTCCTGCGGGACGCCCCGCGCAGATCCTGGGGGATGCGTATCGATGGGGGAAACCCGTGGGCGTGCTGGGAACTGCAAGTGGTGTGCTCGCTGCGGTGGGTGTGCCACGGGGAGATGGAGTGTACGTTGGGGATGGACATGCCACCGGTTTTGTAAGCGGGTTTGAGGGAGGGCTGGGGGTTTTCAAGTTTGTGGGGAGGTTTGCTTTGGATTCTTAGGGGAGGTGGTTTAGATTCATGTTTATAATTGTGATTATGAGGAAATGATGCTGGGATTGATAGATCTTTCACTAGAGACTTGGTACATATTCAACATGCCCTTTAAAAGTCAAACAACATTCCCAGGGACTTGGTGCAATTACGAAGTATGATGGTTACTCAGTACACCTTCTACGTGGACGAGCTGGATCGTACACCACTATGCCCAAATATCTCATTGGCATATAAAGAACTAACTTCTCAGACTTTCAACGACTGCGCGACAACGCGCGCAGCCGCTCGCGATGGCTTGAATTCTGAGGTAGTGATGCACGTCTACCGGGGGGCTTTTACGTCGCTTGGGGGAGGATATCAGTCATACCAGCCCCAAAACACAAATGATCACGAAACTAGGAAATTGTGCGGACTGTCGGGGGGCTTTGTACTGGCTGGTGGAGAGGTGCGTGATGTCTAGGTGTGGTGAGGTTGAGGGGAAGTGTCTGGGTGGGCAGGCAAGGTACTTGCATTTCAAAACCCAAAGTATCTTTTTCATTTTCTCGAAACATTATTCAAGACTTTTCCAATTACCCCGTTTAAAAAAGCAACACTTTTGGAAAAACTCTATCGCTCTCTACGATCTACTCATCGTCCCGTTTTTTCACCCTCACCCTCTACCTACCCATGACTCTTTCCCTCAGGCTTCTCCCTCATCATCTTTTTCCCCTTCAACATCAGGTTTATCCCTACACTTACAATCTCCGCCGTCTACAAACCCGAATTCACATGCTAACGTACAAACCGGCTTGGGCCCCTCCTTACACTTGCACTCTCCATTGTCCACGAAACCGAACTCGCAAAACATCTTACACATCGGTTTCGGCGTTTCCGTCGGCTTGGACTTCTTCGTTGTTTCCGTCTTTTTCGATGTTTTGGGCTTCTCCGTCTCTTTAGCCTTGGTAGTTGACTTCGTCTTCGTCCTCGTCGCCGTTTTCGTCTTGGTAGTCCTCGTCCTCACAACCTCTTCCTTCCTACAAGCACAAGTACCAGGTACAATGCCATTCTCACAAACTACCGCACACGGCGGCTTGCCCACCCTCTTCACCAACGGCACCACATCCCCCTCCGGCTCAAACCCCGGCCTCCACTTACACGCACACTCTCCCGTCGACGGATCCAGCACCGGGCGTTGCTCAGCAATACACAGGACCAGCGCACAGGCGTTGGGCGTACTACTATCGGTTGGCAACGCCATCTCCGTCGTCGTAGCTGGTTGGGGCGGACATATACACGTCGCGTTGTTCCTATCCACCGACGTCTCCATACCCGTCCCACACCAACCATCCGGACACAAAGCCGGCTCAACGACAATAGGTTCGCAACTACACGCCCTAGTGGTTTGGTTAAACACCGGACTCGAAGTGGCGATGCAGATGAGATCCGGACACTCGGTATCGCATGTACAGCTTTGCGTCTCGGGGTGATACACCACATGCGTGCCCCTTATACAGTTCAACAACGGACAAGACCTTGGTATCTCATTAAGCAATTTACAGATACAACTCTGGCTTTTCTTATCATAAACCGGCGATGAGCCGGAACCGCAGAACAGGAATGAGCAGTCTGGTGGTGGCGGGCCAGGAACGCAGACACAGCGTTTCTTCTCGGGATCGAAGACGGGATGGGTGGATGCTGTGCACTTGGTGGTTGAACATGACTGATCCGGTTCGCAAGTGCAGGATTTGGTTTTCGGGTTGTAGACGGCGTGATAGCCGTCTTTGCAGCGGATGTTCGGACAGGTTTTCGGGTCTGGCACCTCGTCTTTTACGCAGGTGCATTTCTTGGTTTTGGGGTTGTAGACCAGGTGTGTTCCTTCTTTACACTTGATATTCGGACAAGTCGCCGGATCAACTTCATCCTTCACACAATCACACTTCTTCGTCTTCGGATTATACACCGGATGAAAACCTTCCTTACACTTGACACCCGGACAAGTCGTCGGATCAACCTCATCCTTCACACAATCACACTTCTTAGTTTTCGGGTTATACACCGGATGGTACCCCTCTTTACACTTAACAAGCGGACATTCCGGCGGCGGTTTACAGACGCATGTCTTAGTAACCGGATCGAAGACAGCTGGTGTGTTATCCGGGGCGCAGAGACGGGATTGGCAAGGGCTGGGCGTTGGTGAAGGGACTGACAACAAGATTAGAAAGGATGGAGTTTGGGGTGAGGAGACGTACGTATGAAAGAGGTGGAATTGAAGGGGTCGACTGCTAGGGGGTTTGGTATAGCTGCTACGCCGAGGATGGGGAGGAGGAGGAATTTGGAAAGCATGATTGCGTTGGGGACGGAAGAAGGTGTGAGAGGGGGGATTCCATCTTATGTATACTGAGATATGTGCGACTGAAAATATGAAGGGGTCTATAAGGCTGATCTTGTCGGTATGCGAAAAAGAAGAATGTGAACGTAGTGCGGGATGTCCCTAGGAATGCGGGGATGGAGAAATCGTATGTTGATGCTTAAAGCGAGCGTTACTCGAATGAATTCTGTGCAGCGAGGAAACGTGGTTTGAATGTTTCTCTTTGGATTTACCCATCCCGAGAGACGAGATACAGATTACACGACCGTAGGGCCAAAATCGGGGATGTAACAGTTGCAGACAATAGCTGCAGTTGAGGTTGCACCGAGAACTCGTCGGCTCAGGGCATCCGAGACCCAATTTGATAATTCGTATCACGTAGAAAGTTTTTGCGACTGGTCATAATATCAGCATAAAGACAAATCGGATCATTTGATGGAATGTATATGTCTCATGGTAATGCCTTGAGCTGGCCCGGAGACGAAACGATAGTCTCGGTTTACCAAAGGCAAGGATATTTGGTGATATGTACAGAATAATCATCTGACAGCTTGATAGCTGGTATATCCGACATCATGTTACAATTGCAACTCCCACAAAAACCGAAAAGGGTATCAAATCGAGTAAACCATTCACTTAATGACCATAAACCCAACGCCACCTTCCCTCGCCTCCTTGGCGGCTCTTTTCATGGCTTGTTCTTCTGTATCGGTCCATTTAACACTCAATTCGTCCCACTTTTTAGTTCGGTATTCGCGTTTGAATTGGGCGTGCATGTTCGATAGTCTGCTCATTTCTCTGGGATCACCGGAACCACTGTACACGATGAAGGCGGTGCATGGCGGTAACCCATCATATATCTTCTGAATACGTTTGACAAGGTCTGTGATCGCATCGGAGACCGATTTGCTAGGATAATGGTCAGTAAAAGGTATGTAGAAGTGAAACCCGGATTATGGTCTTGTGTAAAACATACCTAGATTTAGGAGGGGTAGTTCCATCACTTTCAGGCTGGTTTTGCGTTGCAGGTGGTTTCTCGCCAACAGCGGTATTCGCAGTTGTGACAGTAGTCCTGGCTGCGTCATTAGTGACTAGCTTGTTTTCATTCCACCATCCTTTGATGGCTTCCAATTCTCGAAGTCGTGCCCACACAAAATCTACTCCTCCACCGGGAATTTCCTTTCCGTCCGGGTCACCTTTGACTGCTCGCAAGACACCTTCTGCTACATCGTCATCACCTTTACATCCAATCTGAAAAGATGCAGATGAGCCTGGACCTTTCTTTGGGTCGCCCCAGTCGATAGCAGCAGTGGATTTGCCGCCTACGTTGCTTGGAATTGCAGCGCCTCCTTGATTCTTGTATCTGACGCCAGTTCTAGCCACCCTCTTGAAAATATTCTCGCCTTGCAAGTCATTACTACCCCACTGAGGTCCCTTTTCACACTTTTGCTTTACCAGGTCGAGACATGTTCTCGCATCTTCAATCGAATCATGACCAGCTCCTGGGCCTGTAGTCCCGTGACCTTTCTGGATTGCTCGATTCAAGTATTTCTGTGCCAACCATTTGAGCGAAGACTTAAGAGGTGGACCACGGGGATGAGGATAGAGAATTGCGGTGTCCAGAATGTAAGGATGTGTGATTTTGAGCGCGTTGAGATCTGAATTCAAAGAGTGGCCAATAAGTATTGTCCGTGGGTGTAAAATCTTCGACAGCTTCTTCTGGATATCCTCCAAAGTAGTGGTCACATTAGCAAGCATCTTTTCTGTGATTCCGGAGTATCTAATATTATGTTAGCTGAGTATAAATGAAAACCACATAGGATAATCACTGTGTCAGATAATTGACGATTGGCTTTTCCGGTTTGACCAATTCGTCCAAGATTACTGAGCCATCCCAGCCCACGATGGAAATACGAGTGAGAGAAAATTCCTTGTCGCCCGTCATACACATTTCACAGTCCATAGCAAGCAATTCTCGACCTGCTGTAAGGCTTCCAGCTTCTATATCTTTCTCAGGAGCGTCACCATCATCCCAATGCTGGACTTCAGTGTCGATCCATCCATGTTTGGTTGAGGTGTTGTGAGCATTACGGTAAACTTCCCATGACTGCTTTTCAGAGTGAGTGGAGTAAGAGGCAGGATGAACAACATATTCATTTTCCAAGAGCTCTTCAGGGCTATGGACGAACTCTGTGACCCTGGTGCGAGAATTCTTCCATCCGGGGGGTGTCTTTGCAGGACGAGCTCCTTTTCTCGAATTATCCCTATTCCTGTCTTCCTTATCCTTGGGTAACGGCGCGGTAAGCATTGCATGTAATGGCGAATGCATCTTGCCCATTTTGTCGTCACCTGGCGTCTTCACTGGCCATACAAGTGGAAACATCTTGGCGAGTGGCTTCAATGGCTCAGATAGCTCCTCCTCGTCGAGCGACCGTGGATAATATTCGTCGGGAGAAGTATAATTGCTCTGCCTACCTCTGTGGTCTCGAGTTTCCGTTTCATTCTCAACCTTTTTTGGGTTGAACATGGAATTCTCGAGTCCAGGAATCATCAAGACTACCACCTTTCGAATACTTGGCCGATGCGTCACGGATATGAACTGAGGCGCATTTCCATCTGCAAGTATGTATAACACCAAGCCCTGTATATCGCTGATTTTGATCTGAGATTGCAGTCGCGAACTTTTCGAAAATTCTAGCCTGGGGTAGTTGGAAGAATCCTTCTTCGGTATTTTCTTGCTCTGTTTCTTGGTACGTCCATTCTCGATCGTATGCCACTCATTGGGATTTTCATCTTCTGTAGGTTCTCGACTCCGTCGCGAAATGGAATCTGGACTCGGACGGCTTGCAGATGTCAGATTAAACTCTGGCAAGTCTAGCTGGCGAAGTGATGGCGTCTTTTTCATACCATGATGTTCATCAGTGGAAGGTGAAAGTTTGCTACGCTTCTTGCCAGATTCCTCATCGTCACTTGACTGTGGTAAACTGCGTTTTCGATCTCGACGACTGCTGGAGACGGTTTCGAGAAGCGCATCGAATGCATATGGACTTGAATCGGGGACCGAAGACATGGTGCTCTCTTCGTGAGACATTGGAGTGATGCAGTTGTTTGTCGCAAAGAACCTTGGTCGATTTCTCTGCCCGAAATTTCGAGCCTGTCCAGGCACGCGAGGCTAGCCGCTAGTGCAAGGCTACGAGCCGAGTGGTTCTTCGTCTGTACAACAACTTCCTCACCTGTTCTCATTGTTTGATTTCGGTATATAATATATCCTCATTCCGTAATTGACGGTAGCCCACGTTCGTTGTCGAAATCCCACAGCGTGGTGGCCATAAAACATTGTAGTTTTACATGCGCGCGGCGAACAATCGCGACTCCAGCGACACCATTCACGTTTGTTCTCAGCTCACAATTTGGTTTAAATAGCCACCAGCATACGCCGAGATTTGTCAATTGCGCTTATAATTATCCTGCGACTGCGGTGCGCGTGTAGCTCAGTGAATTTCGGCCGCGTCTCCATTTGGGGTCTGTCATCGCAATTCACCAACCCGTCCGATCGGATCTTCCTTGCTCTCCAAGATGGAAGGCGTGATATGTTACTGCCAAGAGTGCCGACAAGAATTGGGGAAATTCCGGAATTCCTGGAACAGCATTGGGAAGACTTATCATAGTCCTGTGTATCCCATGTTGGCATATACACATGGATTCGAAGCAAGTGGTGATATATTCCCAGGTGCAGCGGGCACTCCTGTTGGAGATAGGTAAGTCCCAAACCACCAAATTGAGTCTGGCGATTCACCATGCTGACTAGTATTTATTAGCTTCTTGCAAGATCTGAAATGTAAAAAGTGCAAAACTCTTCTGGGATTCCGATGCGACCAGGCCCCAGAAGGCCATGTGTTAGCCAAGTAAGCACTACATGCTCGATGTTGCGAACGTCCTTCGACTACGAGCTAATTGATATAGAGATCAGTTGATTCTAAGATTATCGTCCATGTCAGTGATTTCTGAGTCGACAGGTCTCAATGCTAGTATATCTGTAGAGAAAAAGATTCTTCTCGCAGAGGAAACGCCCAAAAAGTCTTCATCACGTCGAGCGTCCACGCTTCAACCGACTGCTCGTGGGAAGTCTGAAGGCCGTCACGAGAAATCTGGCACGCAATTGCGAACAGACATGCGACCGCCACCTAACATGGAAATCAATCAGTCAGGAATTTCAAGTTTCGAAAAGTGGGCACGAAACGCCATCGAATCTCAGAAAAATGACCTCGATCGTATCTCTGAGACGCTGAAAAGTTTGGAAACTGAAATGAGTAGTTTTCAAATCTTCATGAAGGATGTTCGCCTTGAAATGCAACAGAGCCGAAAGGCACGAAATGATTTCTATGAAGATCGCATGGTTCTCCGCAAGCTCGTTCAGGATGTGAGCAGTTTAGAGAGCAGACTCAAGATTGTTGGGACCTTGACGGAAGAACGATCAAAAAGTGGCGAATCAGTCAGGCGGGATATCGACATTTTGATATCTGACCTACAGCAGGTGATGAATAAAGCTTATGAGGTGGATGATGTAAAGAATGGACTGCTCCAATTTTATAATCGACTAGCTAGTTGTGAGGAATCAACAGCTCAAGTTATGGCTAAGTTGCCTCACGATTTGGATGTCAGCGACATAAAGCGTCAATTGGAAAGATTTCAAGCTCAAATTGAGATTTTTGAGCAGAGTCAGACAAATTCTCATCCAAAGCTTCCTTCCACAACTGAAGCGACTGAAAAGGTTGTCAAACGTCGATCAGATGTACGCGTTCCGCGTGTAGAGATTCTTGTTCCAGCAAGGGAAACTCCAATCCAGCACCCAGAAACATCAAAGTCACAGCCCGAAAGTTCTCACGAAGAAGTTGTGCCCGCCCTCACTGCCCCCAAGCGTAAACGCGCTGAGACCTTGATTGGAGCCGACGAAGAAAGTGTCGGACAACCGCAGTTACAGAGAAGGAAGACACGTCGTTCTGGACGTGGACGAGTTGAGGAGCCAGCCGGGAATAGTGATGAGATTCAAGCAGAAGATGCTCCCTCAACAGCCCAGATCGTGGAAGCACCACCACCAATGCAAACTGCCTTACCCAACTCGCACAATCAACCAACGACCACCAACGACACACTCAATCCGCCAGCGCATCCACAAAACCCTCCCTTAGAACAACCTCCTCAACAACCCGCTCAAAACCCAACCCTCCTCACAGCCCCCCCAAACCGCAGACACTCCCTCCGCAACCCCCCAACCACCACCACTACATTGACTCCGAAGCCTCAACCCCCCAAACGCCCACACACAGCACCCAAACCACCATCCCACGACGCCATCCTCCCCTCCATAGAACGCGAAGACCCAGAACCGATTCCCCGCGTGACGAGACGTTCGGAAATGAAGACGGCGATGGAAGTGATTGATTTAACGACGGAGGAGGTGGGGAGAGAGAAAGAGGTTGCGAGAGAGAAGGAAACGGGGAAAGGGAAGGGGAAAGGGAAGAAAACGTATCAGTGTAACACTTGTAGCAGTGTTTTTGCGTTTCCGGGGGGGTTGGCTTATGTAAGTTTTGATTCCAATTTTCTGTTGATGTGGTTGCTTGGAAGGAGAGGGGGCTGATTTTAATAGCATAAACGGACGGCGAAGTGCTCAGGTGAAAGTGCTGGTGGTGGTTCGGGTTCAGGTAGTAAGGAAGAGGAGGAAAGAAAACGAGCAAAATTACTAGAGAGAGAGAAGGCTGTTAGAGAGGCTTTGGAGAGGGGGATGTAAAGATAAGATCGAGACTGCTATTAATGTTGGAATGAATACCATTGTTGTCACATATAAGAGTAGTCTTTCGCGTCAAGCCGTGCACGACAACGACGGGCGAAAAGCTCTTAACCTCTTTACCAGGCTACTGACTCTAGATTCGGGATGTTGTGTTATAAAAGCTAAAGAGTTTAAAGATTTGGATTTGTATAATCCGTAATAGCAATGTAGATGTAAAGCTCAACAACACCCCTCACAACCTAACCCCCCATCTTGCCCCAAGCCCCAACCATCCCATTTCTCGACCGTCCGTCTTTAAAATCAGAATTATACAACACATCCTCCCGTCTTCCACTCTCAACCCTCAACCCCCTTATACCCAACCTATTACTTAAACGTATATCAACAAAAAACCCACCCCTAGAAACTTCCCTAAGTAGTCCCTAGTTACAAACTATACAATCGACTCCGAGGAGCGATAGGCTATATAGGTATAAGTAGAAGACTTTACCAGTAGAAGACTTGAACTGACAAGTACTTTATCCCGGACTAAGAAACGTTCTTCGTGTAACGGTGTAAGTGATGGGAGTCGGGGTTTTATCTATTATATTAGATTCCGCTAGGTATAGATATTTATTATCTATTTAGTTCGAAACCGCGAATTTTATTTACGAATTAGTTGGTTACTTAGATTAAATTTTATGCCTATTTGTAAGGTATAAAGGGTTTGGTGGTGGTGAGGGTTTTTGGTGTAAGGCTTACCTTATCCCCTATCCCATCCCCTATTCCCTATCATCCATCACCATCCCCCATCTACCCCCCCTCATCCATCCATTCTCACTCTCCCCCTCACACATCACCATCCCCCATCACAATCCCTCATCCCCCATCCCCCATCCCCTATCCCCTATCATCCCCCAACCCAACACACTATACCTGCAAAACCCTAAACCTTTAATATTCTTATAACGTCTACTTTATAACCCTACCTAGCCCATTAGATAAAACCTCACCTCTCACCTCACACCTCACTTATACCTTATACCTCACACCTCACACCACATAAAACCCTCTTAGAAGAATTTTTTTCTTGTCAATAATAAATATCCATTACACGCTACTCTACCCCCCTCTCCCCCCCCCTCTCCTCTATTCTACTCCCCTACACCCTCCCCTCAAATTTATTAAGATAAAAAAACACACACACACACCCAACCCCGCTAAAAATGCCATCCATAGACACCTAACCTAACCTACTCCCCGTGCACCCCGTTTAAACGCTACAAAGACACTTTACAACCCCCCACCCCCCCTAAAAAAACTCCGCTAAAAATGCATGAAATGATTAACCTTCTTTCCAACGCCATCCGACACTACTGCTTTTACAACCCATCCCCCTCACAGCCTTCATCCTCTTCGCTCAATATTCTCCGGCGAAACAGCCGCACTAGGCGTCGGCGACGGCTCTGGCTTCGGCAACGGGATATCACCATACGGCGCGGCGGGTAAAATCTGCCCCCTCATATCGCCCTTGGCCAACTGTCCATTAATCGCGGCATCCACCAGCGCCTGGAAGACTTCATTCCTCATATCCACCCACTCGCCCGTCTGCCATCCCCAGCCCGTGGTATCCTGTTCGGGCGGCGCCTCAGGATGCGCGGTGAAATAGTGCAAGCTCCGCATCTTCGCGAGGTTGCGGAAGCCGCCGTAGAGGACTCCAGGCGCCTGGATCTCCGCGAGGGAGGACTCTTCGGGGAGCCAGAAGATGTTGGTGAGGCCTGCGCCGGTGAGACCTACCAGCACGGAGGTCTGGCGCATGAGGAGGATCTGCTCGCGGAAGGTGAGGGTGGCGAAGTCGACGACGTTGATGTTGACGCCGGTTGGCCAGCGGGATTTGAGGTCTGCGACCATGGCGTCTTGATTGCGGAGCTTGCGGCGGCCTTTGCGGTCGATGATTGTGACGTTGGTGACGCTGATGTGGTCTTTTTCGGATTTATGCTTCTGCGCGTCGATGTTGAGGAAGCGGTAGACGCGTTTGAGGAATGCTTCCACGAGGAAGGTGGAGTGGCAGTCGGCTTCTTCCCAGGTGTAGGCCCAGAAGGGGGAGGAGGACGAGTAGAGGGGGAGGATGACGGTGCCGAGACAGGTGGGTGGTTGGTCTCGCTGCTGGATTGGTTTTCCGTTTCCTACCATCTTCCATAATTCGTCGGCTGGGCTCATGTCTCCTTGATCGCTTTCTGTGAACATGACTTGGATGTTCGCTACATCGGCTGGGGTGAGGTATGGCTTATTCGTTTTCTGGTTGACAGCCATCACATATGCGTCGATTGAAAGTTGTGCCTGCCAGACCTCCAACATTTTATGCCAAACATTGTCGTGGTTCTCCCTTTTTACCAGCAAATATACCTTCCCATCACTTGTCGTCGTATCACATGTCTTTCCCTCGCCCATATCCACAACCTCATCATTGGCCGTGTAATTCCAAGATTGCATCTGCGCTGCCACTCCTGTATCGAAAAATCCAATTGGCATGCCTTCCACCGGATTGAGATTCCTCATTGCCTCTGCCATCTCTGGCGTCGCCTTTTCGCGCTCAGCCGTGAAGTTTCGCATCTGACAATGAACCGCAGTATGCTTATGCGGCTCCTGACGCGTGGCATCAATCAACACGCCTGAAGCTACACAGAACGGCTCAGCCCTATGCGTTCGAAAACACTCAAACTCCCCTCGCGATGGCCCCTCGCAATATGGTTCATGATGTGAAGCAAGATGTTCCAGATACAGCTGACTGAACAGATTCCGACACTCCTGATCATCCTTACTCTCGACAAAATAATCTGTCGGATAATTGATATTCTGCTTCGTCACCCGATGGATGTCGTGGAAGGAGGGGTCGAGATTGTCGAGTGGTACCGTGTCCATATCATGGACGATTCCCGTGTGGCCCAACAGGGTATTTCGATTTTCTGGGTCGGTAACATTCTGAACTGCGTTCGTAACATCCGGAACCCCATTCGCAACCTCGTGAGGTGTACTCGTAGCATCGTGAACCGCATCCGCAACCTCGATCGCTACGTCCGTCACATTAACACTACTATCCTTCTCGCCCTTACTCCCCTGGATATGCAACGACCGATACGACTCCTGAAGCGTAGCAAAATTGGTGTACAGGTAAGCGAGCGCGAGCAGAGCCACGACTAGCATCAGGGAGCGCGGATAGCGTAGACTGGTGTGGACCCGCATCATCTTGACTCTCTCTCCAACGAACAATATATCGATACAAATTCAGAAATCCAAAAAACGAGGACCGACAGCGACAATAAGCATACTCCTGAGAAAATAGAAAAGAAAGGAGGACGGACGGGCCCAGAGAAGAGGCGTTTTTTTGCGGCAAGGGGCGCTCCTGCCGAAATCATGAGCTGAGGGAGGGATGGGATGGGTTCCAGCGGGATTGCTGACATGTTGTCAGCACATGGCTGACATTGAACCTCTCAGCATTCAGCAAGCCGCCGGGATGGGGCGGAAAGCGTGTTGGAGGGAAATGCAACGAACTCTATTTATCTCCCGATACGAGGAAACCGCGTTCCTTGGTGGGAGATATGGGGACGAGATTGCTGGGGATGAGATGTGTGAGATGTACTTCGTATCGGGATTTTGGTTGGGAGGGTCTGTTTGTGAGTTTGTTTTTTGCGTATAGAAAGATATGAAGGGGTTGTTTATAAGAGGGTTTGGGGACGAGCTGAACTGTAGGGTTGCATTGAAGTTATTCAGCCCTACAGGTTCAGGACACCTCAGTCCTTTCGCCTTCGTATTCATATTACCTATAAAAGCCAGAGTCGCAAAGGCTTACCCCCTGATATCCCATCCAGGATATCATGTTAAGCGGTCTCGTTACACTTGACAAGCGAGTTCATTTGTTCGAGAAACCTTTCATGAGCCTTTGATCGAGTGCCGGCGTGAATACCTCTCTCGTAGGTACTCGTGTCAAGTACGATAGACGCTGCGGCTCGCTCGGTAACGAACTCGTCAAGAAAAGTATGTCAGACGTCTCGTAAAGCTGTGGGTTTCTGAATCCTTTCGAAGCTTGTCTGTGCCTTCCTCACCCAATCTCCGCATCCCATTTGCCAAAGCGAGTCGTCGGAGTGCAGACATACGTACGTTTCCCTTCATGTTTGTCCATTTTCGGAAACTTCTTGCAACGCATATGTTATCTTACACGCTTGATTATAATTCTGATAGTTTTCAAGTTCGTCTCATGCGTTCAAATGTCAGAGTACCGCTCAATATTTCTGTTCATGATCTATGACATGAAGCATGTCCTGTCTTTCATATTTCTAAGAATGCTCGTGCTGTCATAGAATTATATAGGGACTTCGTGTTGCGAGTTACTGTCTTTTCGGTGTTTGATATTCCTCGACTTGTGCAATCCTTGAAATCTCAACACATGCCCAGAACTCACAGCTCGTCTGCCTTGAGATTGCAATTATATATGTCTAAGTCCGATTCTTGGCTCGATTTTGTTTTGGCCAGTCTATTATCTGGCAAAGGCTGTACTTGGCACTTCTGTGGAGGGGTATTCTGATTTTTTCCTTGAATCGCATCTTTGTGCTAAAAGTGCGATCTTGCAGCAGGCTTTGGCACTACAAAGCTATCTTCAAGTGAAGACAAATTACACTTCAGCTTGAATACGAACGCTGAGCAATCGGAGTACCAGTAAGGAACTACGAGGGCACTCTTGTGAGAGCTCTTTAATGCAAGCGGTTGATAGGGAATAGCCGTATGTTTGGATTGCACTCGACCATGAGAGATCTTTCCCTTGTGATAAATGATTACTGGAGTTTACAATGTAAGTCATTTCACGACTTAAATAGCTGATAGAAAATCTCAGATTGTGGACGGAAAGATACCAGTTCTGACAAACGGTCCGAAATGTCACTAGTTGTCTCTCAAATAGTTTATTTACAACCAATACGTTACTTCCAGTAAATTTTTCTTATACGTTCATGGAGGCATTCACAATTGATAGCATACATCAATGATCTTTTATTCTTCATCTGAAATTTGATACGGAAATAATCTCCCAGTTCATTCGTGAGGCTATTTTTGAACTGCCCCGCTTTTTCAGTCAAAGTCCGGAACGGGAACGACACCTGCAGAAACAAGGATGAGCTTCCGAATATCGCGAGGCTGGTAACTGGCGCAACATCACAATGACCTTCCAAGTTGTCGCAAATGTTACTCACGATGCGCAAATATAAATATTCGCTCCTATTTTGATCCCTTGGCAGGGCTAGACAGGTTACGGCTGATAGCCTCCATTAAATATTTTCATATCGCCTTTGCCAACCATGTTCAACACACCCAAGAAGCCCCGCGGTGGATACTCTGGGAACTACCAAAAGAATGCGCCGCTCAAAGGTCTATTTAAGGACGGAATATGGCTGTGTATGTTTGACACTATTCCCCACCATAAAACCTGTGCTAATGAACCATTTGTAGGTAATTGCGATCCAAGACTCCCAGCATCGCATTTCCAAGTCAAAAAAGAGGGGCCGAATAAAGGGAAATGGTTCTACACTTGTCAAGAATCGAAGGAATCGGGGTGTGGGTTCTTCCTCTGGGATGATGCGGCGGTTGGGAGGGAGAAGCAGGTCGTGATGAAAAATTCACGATCGGAAGTCGATGGGATACGCACGCCGGCCGATGCATCAAGAGACGAAAGGGATAATCGGGGACAGGATACGGTTAAAAGCAAGTTCAGCCAAGAGACGACGACCGAGGAAGAAGATGGAGATGAATTCGGAGACTTCCCATTCTCACCAGAGGATGTAGCTAGTGTAATGAAAGTCGCAGAACTGGCTTCTGCGCCGAAATCTCCAGAGACTCCGAGCAAGAAACCGACGAACATGTTTGCTACACCTGCGCCGAAGAGGAAATGGGATGAGGCAGGCCTACTCACACCATCTACTGGGGGAACGAAAGGGAAGAGTCTATTCGGAACCCCGGCGAGGAGACTCAATGGTGGTATGTGGGACGGAAACGAGCCATTTGGATCCAAAAACACAACACCAACACGGAATCGGTTCAGAGACCCCACAGATCCTGAAAGCCAAGAAAACTACGACATCACCGCCGAAGTGATGGATATCTTGCAAGACCAAAAAATGGACGAAGAAACGAATTCGAATCTCCGGCAATTACTCAGTAAACATGCGCTCAAAATCGCCGGGGTGGTGAGAAATCGCGATATCTCAAGAGCTGCGTTGAAGACGAAGGATTTGAAGATTGCGGAACTCCAGCAGCGGATTACGGCGTTGGAGAGGGAGAGGGAGATGGATAAGACGGTGATTAAACATTTTAAGAATGATATGTCGCAGAGTGTGGCGAGTAGGAAGGGGAGGGGGAGGGGGAAGTCGTGAGGAGGGAGGGATTTATTTCCGGTTGAATTTTCATCTTGCCTCAAACAGGTTCTGGCAAGCTGCTTCGAACGAACGAACGTATGATGCTTGATTGCAGGATTGCTCTCGGAAAAGACTGTAGCTTAGACTGACTCCCCCAGTATGTCTGTTCGAAATTCGACACGACGCAGAGATAACAACTCCGAACCGACGTGTGAAGAAACCTCGATACGACTACACCAACGAACTGCCAAACCAAGACGCCAAAATTCAACATCCTACACCCTCGGCGCCCCCCCCAACACCTCCCTCGCTTCCTCCCCCAAAATCCCATCCTGGATCAAAGCATCAACCCACTCCCTCAACCAATCCTGGCAATTCTCTCCCTTCAAACAACACGTCAGTCCAGAAATTAAATCAACTAGACAGTGGTACCTACGGCAAATAAATCCAGCGGCTTCTTACTCACCCCAGGGGCCTTCACCTCCTTGGCCTTAGCGTCAAGCTGTGACAACCACTTCTCATCTATAGAGCCGAGGGAGATTTTGAGAGGCGGTTTTGGTTCGGAAGAAGGGTTGTAAAAGGTTTTGTGCTCGACGGTGTAGCCGGTGAGGGGGGTGCCGAGGGCTTGGAAAAGATCGCCGAGCGAGCTTGTGGAGGAGGTGGAATTGGTGGGAGAGGAGGAATCGGTGGGAGAGGAGGGGATGAACATGGACCAGTGGGCTGGGACGGGAGTTTTGGTGTGTTCGCGGAAGATCAGGAGGAAGGTCTCGCGGGACATGGTGGTGGGGACTGAGGAGGTTGAGGGGGGTGCTGGTTTAGGTGGAGGTATACGACAGATGATCGTGGATTGAAATACGTTTTTGTTGCCAGGCGAGAAAGATCGTGGGAGAGATAAGTATATACTTTTCTCGGAAGACGCAGGCTTGCTGCAGTCGGATGCTCTACTCGGTGTGCTCCATCTCGTGATGCTGACACGTTCTTGCTTCTACGACAGTTGCCTCGTAGGCGGCTGTTTTGATCTATGGTTCTAATGCTGGTCGGTCGACCGCGGCCGCTTTGTTGAGTTTCCGACTACAGCTTTTAAGTTCATGTTTTTCTCAAATGTGAGAAGTTGATGAGGAATAAGAATACAATACTGATGAAGTGGCTTCGTTGAGATAAACTCGTAGATACTGGATAGTGTAATATAACTATCCGGTCAAATAATAATCAACATACTAACGAACTAGAAGTTGCTTGAGGGCTTTTTTGGAGCAAGCTTGTGCTATTGTGGGTTTCTGCGGCTTGCTTAAAGTTAAGAGAGATACAACGGAAACATTGATGAATATCGATACGCAGAAAACTTACTACTTTCCCGGAAACGAGTGAGTAGAGTCGATGTCGACTGAGTTAGTAGGAGTTCGAGTCCCTAGGTAGGTCTCCTATTGGCTATCGAAGCGAAGGGTTGTTTTGTTGGTTTTCGCTTCCCCTGAGCATTTCCCGGTCTGCGAAGCTACAGCGCTTAAGTTGTGTGAAAATACAGCTAACATCAAACTGTGAAAATGTGTTTACATATAGCTGTGCTAGCATAACCATTCATCTGAGTCTCAAAATGACTAAACCCCTGCTCGCCGTCACCAAATATGCCTTCACAGCCGTAGCTGCTACGGTAGGGCTTTACGCATGTCTCCTTGGTCTACTTACCACCGCTTTCGTCCAAAGCCACGTAATATACCTACACAAGATCCAGATGCCATGGTTCAAAGACCTCGACACCCCCGAACTTTTCGGCTTCCTCCATAACCAGGTCACGCCTTTTTCGATCCCAACGCTAAACAACGAGTCTCTATACGCCTGGCACGTTATACCGCCCGGACTATACCGGCAGCATGAAGCGAGGTTGGTCCAGAAATCGGCTGGGAGGATTGAAGATATCACTTCACGCACTGGTTTTCAGCTGCTTAAATCCGACCCCAAAGCACTCCTAGTCATCCATTTCCACGGCGCTGCAGGCACCGTCGCATCTGGCTATCGCCCGCCCAATTATCGTGCTCTTTCAGCCGGCGCCCCAGACAGAATCCACGTCCTAACATTCGACTACCGTGGATTCGGACGCAGTTCCAACGCCATGCCATCTGAACCGGGCGTCATCGCCGACAGCATCGCCGTGCTGGAATGGGCCATCGACGTAGCTGGGATCCCAGCGGCGCGGATTCTCATCTTCGGACAGTCATTAGGAACGGCCGTGAGTCTAGCCGTCTCAGAACACTTTGCGTCGCGCGATCAGCCGGTGGTGTTTGCTGGTATAGTGCTAGTTGCGCCGTTTGTGGATGCGGCTGCGTTAGCAGCGACATATAGGATCGCGGGTGTGATCCCGATCACTTCGCCCTTAGCTAAATTTCCGAGGGCTTTTAGGGCGTTGGGGGAGATGATTGGGGATAAGTGGGTGAGTCGGGATCGGATTGCGAGGTTTGTTAGGATTGCTGAGGCAGGGGGGATGAGATATCGGATTACGTTTGTTCATGCGGAGGATGATTGGGATGTTCCTTCTCATCATTCTCAGACGCTGTTTTGGCATGCCGTTAATGCTACGACGGCTACGGGGATTGGTAGAGAGGAGCTTGATCGTGTTAAAGTGTCTAAGATGGTGGATTTGGGTGCTGCGGGGACGGTGATGGAGTGGAAGAGTGAGAATGGGTTTGTTCGAGAGGAGATTTTGAAGTCGGGGTTGCATGATGTGATTATGGGTAATTCGGTTGTCACGTTGGCTGTTTCGAGGATTTTTGGGTCTGTTGGTTTGATCTGATCTAATGCTTCCTTTCCCTTGGATTTCGGAATTTATCGAAAACGGCTTTCGCCTCAATGTATGGCCTCTTGAATTGGTTGGTTAGTCGGACGTGCCACTAGAACTGGACTTAATATCTGCTAATCAGGTTCTCTGTAGTAAGCTACTTACCAATTAAGGCGCTCATTAAATTTAGTATTAATAGTATTAATGTTAGATGAGAATAAACGAGAAGACGAACCCGAAAACACGATTAGGACATCGTTTTGGAATTACATATAAAGTAATTGATCATTTAATCGTACTTAGTAAGGTATATTTAGAAGCAGAGGCCTAGTTTCCTGCTCGTCCGCTCGAGTAGGAAATAAAGTTAATTCGGCCTAATTTTACTAAGACTTATATACCCTCGCTTTTCTTCATTTTCGAACACCACATGGATTTAGCGAATTCCTGCATTGGTGAGTAAAATACTACAACCGTTACAGAACTAACAAAGCTCAGGCAGCAGACTGCTGGAGCGAAACTGGAAAGAGACCGTGTAGTAGTAATTGTAAAGTTTTAGTGTCAAATAAAACTAACGACACAGACAATCCATATAATGTTAGGTCTACAGTGTGATAATTTCTTCCGTACTATTTGTGTCTAGGTATTTGGGCACTCTGATTAATAAGCGAGATTACCACCGCTTCCAGATTGTTTCGCTTGTAAACAAACAGTTCAACTTCATCCAGCTAGTCACTTCCTAACAACTTGTAACAAAACACCTGATATCGGACCACTCATTACCTCTCCTCCCTATAATTTAAACCATTATCATCCATCATCTCCATGTCTTCCCCAAATCCCAAAGTCGATGTCCAGGAGCGTCACAAGATTTCCGTCAGAACACTCCCATCAGAAAACCCAACCATCTTCAAAGAATCCACCTTCTTCACACGAAACGGCCCAGGAACCTCCCTCCCATCCCCCATCGAGGTTCGCAGTTTACAACGCACGTCAAATTACAGACCTATTGTATTCCCATCGCTCGGCCTATTAGTAAAATACGGGCCTAATATCACTATCGCAGAAGGCCAGTGTTTGTGGGTTCTACGACGTCTGATCCCAGTACCTGAAGTGTATGGCTGGTGTGAAGATAACGGTGAGGTGTTTATTTACCAGGAACTCATCGAAGGGGTAACGCTAGAGAAACGATGGCCTGAGCTGTCACTTGAAGACCGAGTTTCTGTGTGTGAACAGCTGAAAGGGATGGTAGGAGCGCTGCGTAGTCTGCGACAAGATCCGGAAGATCGGTTTCTAGGTGCGTGCTTTATTCCTTGACTTCCTCTTCACGAACATGATAATTGACCTCGGATAAAGGTCATATAAACCGCACACCACTCCTAGACATCGTATTCACAGACACCACAAAACCACCCGCCGGACCCTTCACAAGAGTCAAAGCCTTCCACGACTGGCTATCCTGGATGACAAAACGAGGTATGGAGATACATTGGCCAGACCCTTCGCTGATCCCGGATCCATATCGAGATTTAATGCCAGATAACTCCCTAATCACGTTTACGCATGCAGATCTGCATCCAAGTAATATCATGGTATCCGTCGAGTCTCCTTGTAAAGTCATAGCTATCATTGACTGGCATCAATCGGGGTGGTACCCGGATTACTGGGAGTACTGTAAGGTTCTCTTTACGGTGGAGGTCGGAGGTGAATGGGCGGTGGAATATATACCACGATTTTTGGAGGTTGCGGAGTGTCTTGATAGTTGGTGCTATTATCCCCAGACTCTCGGTTATTGAATGTGCATTGAAATCGGTCTTAAGAGGTGAGCCCGAGGAAGCTGACTTTAAAACTATAGCTTATTTAGCTTCTTAAAATACCTAGAGACTATATTTTATAATAGAACTAGTAAGGTATATAAGAGAATGTTTATATCGATATATACCTAAGATATCCCGCTCTAGATAAATAAATATATAGTATTAAAGGGCTATAGTATAAGATTCTATACTCTAATCTTTATAAGTTAACTAATTGATTACATTATTAGTAACAAAAAGGTCGCGAAGACTGAAATTTATTACATGTAGAAGTAAAAGTCTATAACTTAGTAAAGACGACACTCCTAACAAAGTTGCAGTTAAAAATTACATCTAAGACATAGAAATACCCTTATACCATTTCAGTACGATAATAATTTCAACAATGCATTACTGTAACTTTTTTCTCCCTCACTTCCCTCCCGAGTCCCAACCTCCACTACAAGGTAATACAACTAAATTCATTAACGATATCCGTCTTCCACACAATCCGCATCAACTTAAGCCAAAAATCCTATTCTCTAATCCAACCACCCTAACAACCCATCATTTGAAACCCCCCACCTACCTACTAAAACCTCAGTATCCCATAAACACAAGACCACCCTCCCTATCAAACCACACTCCTGAGTCCCCACCTAACCTAACCAAACTCTACAAACTCTCCAAACAAAACCAACAACACCTATCCACCCAAACGACATCCCAAACCACCTCCCCACCCTCTCCTCTCTTCAAAAAAATCCCTCCACCACAAACGACATAAAAGACACTCCCAGTAATCTTTCTACAAAACCAACAAAAGACCACCTAGTATCCCCATCAACCTAAACAACCCCCTACCAATAACCCCACTAACCCCCCCACCCCCCCAAAACCCAACAATCTAAGCCAACTACCCCCCTCTCAATCCTTATAAAACAAACCTCACCCTGAATTCAAATAACATGAATAAAAGTTATACTGTATATTTCGAAATTAATTCACAAAAAAATAAGTCTCACCAGCTCGAGCGTGAATGAATTAACAAAATACAGTTTGCCGTCTCAATACTTGCCGTAGCTGTAGTCGAAGCACTAGTAGGTATTTCCCCACAATCCAAGCACCGTAGAACTCGACGTAGGTGAGTTGTACTGCAAAATTTAGGCTCCTCTGAACAAAGCGATATCAACCTAACAACCCCACTAACGAAGTTCACAAAAATCCTCTCTCAAAAGCCGACAATGTCATGACATAAATCTTGTTTCATCTATTATCAACAAAGTAGAAGTATCTATCAGATCATCTACCCCAATCTATCCATCTATCCACCCAAGCGAAAATATCTACAATAAATCCCTCTCGAGCAAATCTAAATCAATCTATAACCCCACCCCACCCCAAAAACGCCCGCTAATCTTCACAAACCCTCTCTGATCTCAAATATGCACACCACCATCACAATATATACACCGAAATCGGCCTCTTCAGCATCTACCGATGTTTCGCCCCGGCGATACTATCCGTCGCCGCCCTCCTCGGTTTAAAAGCCATAGGCAGCTCCCCCCTCTCCAGCGCACTATCCCTCGACACAGCCTGCGGACTCACGATTCCGGATCTAGGATCAATCCTCGAACTACTCGCGGTGCCCGCTCTCGGACGCCCATAAGAATCCTTCTCCGGATCAAAATTCATCGTGTTCGTGCCCGTGCTCGGGCCCGAGATCTCGGGAATGCCAGGCATCGTGCCGAAGTCTCGAGTGCCGGCTTCAAGCTCGTCGAGATCGGTGCCTTCTTCTTGATTGAGCTTGCTCTTGTTGCGACCGAAGAAGCGGTTTCGGTGCGTGCGCTGGGAGTTGGCGCTGGTTACGCGGCCGAAGCTGTCGCGACTTGAGGTTTTGCCGAGGGAGCCGCCGTCGTCGCTGGGTCTGCCGTCTCGAGATCCATTGCGACCTGGTCCTGGGGAGGGAGAGGTGGTGGTGATGATTGGCATTCGTGGTGTTGGGTCGTCGTAGACGTCGCCGAAATCAGCACCGGAAGAAATTGCCGACATACCAAGTGAGAAATCAACACGCTTACTCAATTGACCCAGAGATTCTCCACGACCTCTTCCGCCAACTGAAACTGAGCCGTTTCTATTGCGTAGAATGGACGGATGTTGTTTGAAAGACCCAGTTGCGGAGTCAGCTTGGGGAACGAATGGTGGATCGACGCCCATCTCTTGACCTTGATCCGGCCCAGGCTGTTGAGAATTGACAGAGCCTCCAGCAGTTGGGAAAGCACCTTGAAGATGCATAGGCCATTCTGGAGCGGCACCAGCCAGCTTCATGCGTGGTCCTTCAATGTTGAGCTCTTGCATGGTGACCATCAAGGCGCAGATGAACTTGTTTCGTCGTTGTAGACGAAGAAGCTCATTTTGCCAATTAGACTTGTAGAAGAAAACGACATTCAACGTAACCGAGTAAGCTTCGTATACCTCTCTCAACTCGGTGAGAATATTCTTTTGGTATTCACGATTCTCAGAGCCGACAAACTCGAGAAGACGTTCGCGGAGAGAGTCGATTTGCTCAAGTGTAGTTCCAAATTTGATAGTGACCGGTACAGCTTCAGCCAAACCTCCAGATCGACGTTGATTGAGAATAAACAGAGTGTTAAGGTAACTGTTTGGAGCTTGAACCACGTGTCCTTCCATCTTTTTGAATTCTGTGTACAGAAGTGCAATTTCCTTAACGAAATAATCATCTCCCTTCATTTGTGCTCCGGTATTACCATAAATGGTAACTCGATCTCCGACATCGAACGGATGCTTGACGAAGACGAAGATACAAGACTGAAGGAATTCCTGTGCAGTGGCGGAGAACAACCAGGAGAGTGCGAGTACCGAAGATCCGAGTGATGTCAACACCCCGGAAGCCGAAGTGGAAATGATCGAGACGAAAACAAGAATAGTGATGATGGCCACAATAAACATGAAAATATCGTCGAGTTTTGAAACAACCGAGTCGAGATCCTTCAGAGAAGCAGTAATAGCTTTTCGCTCTCGTCCAATCTCTACACACACAGCCTCTAACTCTTCCATTGATATATCGCCATTCAGATCTTTATCAAACATGGTGAATGCTGCATTAGCCTCATCATCATTATCAAATGCTGGTTTCAAGTCGTCGGAGAGAACGGTTTCTGCTTCTTCGCCTTGAACAAAAGTTCGATACAAACGTCGAGCAAGTACTTGAGCGCCTCCTGTGGAACTGAGTAATTGAAGAATGCTAAACGAGTTAGTACTATAGAAATATGTATATAAACCAAAACTTACACTTGATGTGGATGAGTACTAGTCGCGACTTGCTTGCCAGTAAAATCCCCAGCAACCTTTCCTGCAACGTCACCAACCTTGTTGAATGCTTGACGTGCATTCTTCTGTGCTTTGATGGCATATTGCATTGGAGTTCGAGCACCAGCCGTAGAATTTGTTGCTCCACCAACCTCGAATTCAGAATCCTCCATTGCAATCTTCTCCTTGGAATATACATAGAGCTTTACTAAGCTCGATATTTGAAACTTGTTAATTTCGATTCTGTCGGCATATGTTCGAAGATGGAAACTGATAGCAATGAGTTGAATGATGATCTTTTCGAAAAAGTTCAACGAAGCTGCTACAAGGCCAGCAATGATCACCTTGTTAACGATAGTTTCCCAATTTTTGGTGGTCTTATCTCCATTGACATGGTGGTTTTTCATTGTAGGAAGGAAAGAAATTTCGATAGCCAGCCACCAAAAGAAGAGAGTCGCAGCAACCTCAAGTTGTTTACCCATATCCCTCCATTTCTTTGCGTTGTTTGTGAATACGCTAGCAATGAGTCCTAGAGGATAGGGAATGCATTTCGCAATAATCTTGGGAAGCTATTAGTATGTAATTTGGTAGGATAGAAATTTGGACCTACTCTCGCTGCCCAAAGCGTCAACCATACAACTTCCAGCCAAATACCAAACCAGAACAGCCTAACTCCACCGACATTTGCGTCTCGAAATACCAAGCGTCCAACCAAAACCGGAACCAAAAGCACCAGGGTCAGAGGTGTGATGTAGAAAAAGTATCGGATCAAAAAGCTCGACTGATGAATTTTCTTGAAAACTTTGGCAAAATTGGTGGTTGGGTGTGCCGGTGGTCTATACACTTTGGTCTGCTCATGTATAGGCGTAGTACCAACATCAAAATCATCTTGTGGTTCGGCATTGGTCCGCGACCTCGATCGGTTTCTAGACATATTCTTGGACATCTCGTCTTGCATAGATTTCTCTGCATTCGACACCACCCGCTCGGCCCGCAGCATTTCAAGATCATCATTGAGTCGACGGGATTGCTCTCGTTGTGCAGATGGCGACATTGGTGAGTTATCTCGTGCACCTATACCTAGATGATCGTCTCCCTTGAGGTAACTCGTCGTAACACGGAGGTGGTTGTGATCGGGATAGTCATCAGTTCGCTCGCCATGGAGTGTGCCATCTTCGTCTGAGGACCGCCTATCTGTTTCTCCAACAATTGAGGGATGCTGTGTCTGTATCTGCGGTTGTGTCTGTGGTAATGTGGATGGCTGATTGGGCTGAAAGGCAGGAAAGGAGAACTGCTCCTTTTCTGTAACGGGTGTAGACATTATGTTGGCGTGTTGAAGAAAATATCGGGTATGGAAAAGTTTAATCGCGGTGCTGGAAATTTCGTGCTAATTTCGTTTCAAACAAAGAAACGAACCGCACAGCAGATTGTTGACAAAGGAACACGGTGTAGGAAATTCGAAGATAAATTGATTCGATCTCGAAGAAGTGTGGCGGAGAAGTTTAATTCCTTTGTTGTTGTTGGAACTGCCAACGAATCCTTCTACTGATAAGGACTGATTGGAGGATATACAGTCGAACGCGTTGGAGGATTCGGATGTAGCGACTGTGGTATTTTCGAAACAATAATATATCAATTGAAAGAGAATTGGTTCTGATATGTGCTTCGAAATGGAAAGGTAGATCTAAAGACTAGACCATCGTATACTGGTTGTGGAGGGGAAGAGAAGGACGACGAAGCGGACGTGGAGGTTGCGGTGGAAGCAGATATCTCGGTCGTTTCCCTATAATGTACACGGTGGTCTGTTAGAATTGTTGGATGGTTGGGTCGAAAGAATCCTGATCTTTCCTGTGGGAGATGCAGGTAGAAGTGGGTGTGGACGCATCTGGCTGTCGACGGTGGATTTCTGTTCGTTCAGTCTTGCGCCCAAAGCTCCTCCACTGACCCACCACGGAAGACGACCCCTTGGCTACCACATAAAGCCTGCAACGGTCGTCCCAACGCCTCGCTGCCGCCGCCATGTCTGCACTTGAATTGCTTTTGATTATTATTATTAGATTTTCACTGTACATTCAAACGATTGATTGGTTTATAATTCCTATAAATTTAAAATCTCTTTCTCTGCATGTTTCGCTTGATACAAAATCCCCGAGTGCTATCTTCCACTCTGATGGCGTGTGGACTTTGCCAAGCAACTCTATACGACTCGTAGCGCTACGTCATTTGAACTAAACTTTTCACATTTTCTCCAATTCTTTTTATAGATCATAGGGCGAACATCCGGTGGCAGTTATGAAAGCTTTCATCGGGTATCCTGAAGATTCAACAAGTGAGAAAGCAAAATTCCCTTCAATACAGAAGCAACAGAACACAATATCGTATTTTCATATTCCTAAAGGATCAAAATGCAGAATCTAAACTTTTCCTTATCGTAATCCTTGTCCGCCCCTGAATCCTCATCTTTTTTGTGCCTGCTTACGAGGCATAACAACCAATGGATGAAGCCACGGTGAACGCAACCGAGAAACACAAGATTGTCCCTTGTTTCACAAGTCGATCCAAATGACGCGCAATCTGAAGGGGGGTCTGCCAATGTTAGATTCTCGAGTCCAAGAGATCGTGATCGGAGGGGATATGGAAAGGCCGTAGCTCTTTGCACGATTGTCGAACTTCAAAAGACATACGTGGGATGTGAAGATACAGACATGCCAACGAGTCCAGATCAAAGTACACGCAACCCTTTTCGAACCGTGGAGAACATATGGATACGGCCTCCAGTTTTATTCGCACATCATTTGGTCTAGAATTGCCTCGCATTTTAAAAGAATACGAGGGTGAAGATCTCACCCGAGGTTTCCGCGCTGCTGTAAACTAAGCCTTAGCTAAGTAGTCGATTAAGAGTCGGTTTCGGTGTAAGGCATAAGTCCGCTAGTTTATCCCATTGTTCGTGCATGCAGTTTGCCTCGATCAGATATAGTTGTACAAGCGAGAGTTGATGTTCTTTTGCAATGGAGGAATTAGAGTACTAAAAGCAGATTGTAACTCCTACCCATGCTTTAAATTGCAATCTAGTAATGTGATTTCCTCCATTAGGTTTGTTTTCACCAGCTAATTTCTGATAAAATACTGCCCAGCTCTATTCCTGCGAGTAGCTTCCTTTGGGGTCATATTCCTATGTCAACAAACCCCCTTTTTCGCTCGCTTACTCGACGGCACCCCTCGAACTACACCGTGAGTAAAAACATCTAGATATCAGCATCAGGCCATATCAACATGAATCATTTACGGTGCTATGATGACCCCATATTGTCGAAATTGTACAACTCAAATTCGAATTCACTTTCCCTAAAGTCTAAATACAACGTAGCAAGAATGCTATGACGACGCCTTCGTAGTCTTGTAAATACGAGTATTTTGATGTGTAACACGCCTTCGAATATTCTTCCGTTTTTTCAGCCAAAGACCCTAGCAACGTGGCATTCTATGCACAGAATAACTCGGAATATGTAGTGCTAAGGAACAATGCATATTCGAGCTGGACAACATGGCAGCCACCTGAGCACAACCTAATGGGGTGACAAAAACGTTTGAAACGGAAAAGATGCATATCGGAATACGAAGACCGTATGTAGACTGAAAATATTTCGTTGAAGATTGAAAATAAAGAGAACTTATTATTTCCCACCACAAGAAATTGATGAGAGTAAACAGAACGTCCTCTCTCGCCAATAAGTCCCCTGATTTAAGCTGGCGCACGGACTCTTCAAAGCGCGACTCCAGACCTCGAACGACGAGCTCAGCACAAATCTCCAAACAAGAAACAACACCACGAGCTGGCCACTGTATATTTCCTCAGCCTATACCCCAATGTGCTTCGTACCCACGATAATTCCCCACCTCTACGCCCACCATTGACAATAACCAACCCAGCCTCCTCACGCCAAATAACCACAATCATGGATCAAGCCGACATCCCCTCCCTCCTCTCGCGCCTGAACAGCGACGAAGACGCCATGCGCAAAATGGCCGTCTTCAAACTGCAATCCTCAATCAACGACCCCGCCTTCGCAGACCTCTTCATCTCCTCAGGCGGGCTCACCATTCTCCGCCGTCTCATCATGAGCACCGGCGGCAACACCCTCGCATACTCGCTGCAATCGCTCACCCGGCTCCTCGAGGTAGACATGGGATGGGAGATATTCGAATCGTCAGGGAGTGGCGAGCTGGTAGAACGCGTGGTAGAATTGATTGTCACACATCCTCTGGTTAATATCCTGCGCGGCGCAATGAGTATCTTGGTTGCGATTGTGTCGCATTCGCAGAGTGATAGCGGGGCGTCGATGAGGACGCCTGGGGCTTTTGGGTTTCGTGCGCTGAAACCTGCGGTTGCGGTTTTTCCGCAGTTCTTTGAGATGGTGGTTAGTCAGTTGAATAGTGCGGATCATGCGTTGTGCGCCAATGCGCTGATGTTGCTGAATGCACTGATGAGGGATGCTATATCGAGTGAGAAGGATGGGCCGAAGACTGGAGGGACAGTGGAGGAATGGCCGAAGTTTATAAAGAGATTACAGGATTTGGGGGTTATTAAGGCGGTTTATGTTTTGATGCAGAGTAGTGCGTTGCAGGATTTGGCTCATCCGTTATTGGAATTTCAGGCACTGACAAAGGTTTTGTTGAAGAAGTGGAGGGATGTTAATGTGGATTTGGAGAGACCGGAACATCGAAGGGCGCTGAAGGGAATACATCTTGCAAGCGCACCGGAGAAGAAAGACAAAGAGTCTACTGTTAATGGGACGAGAACGGAAGAATTGGCGGAAGGTGGTTCAGGAAATGCAAGAAAGGGAAGCAGGAAACACAATCCTGAGAAATGGCGAAGACTCGGCTTCGAGACAGAAAGTCCAGCATGGGAATTTGACCCAACCGGATTTTTGGGTATGATGGACTTGACAGATTATGTGAGGAAAGAGGAAGACAACTTCCAGAAAATGCTTCTGGAGCAATCAACACGACCATTACACGAGAGATGTCCTATCGCCACAGCAAGTCTCGCTTGCACAGCCATTCTATACGAACACTTTGAAGTCGAAAAATCCGACGTTGAAGACGCCAAAAGCTATCTCGTCCTCGACGGAATGAAAAACTACGACAAAATATTCCGTCCCCTCCTCCTCCAATGGTCACGCCTCCACACAGCAAGTCTCCACGCCTTCTTCCGCCTCTGGAAATCCACCGGCGCCGAACGAGAAGACTTCGACAAAGTCGCCGAGCTCGTGCGCATCCTTATCGACCAAGTCGTCGGCCTGGCCCCTCGCACAAAAGACATGCTCGAAATCGAAGAAGAGCTCTCGGAATTCGAGTACTCCCGCCTCCGCGAAATGCAAATGGAACTCCTCGAGCTCTCCTTCGAAGACGAATGGGGCCAACACCTCCACCAGGTCCGCGACGAACTCAAACACGAAGCCCTCCAATTCGTCAAGGAACAACGCATCCGCTGTCTCCTCTCCGGCGCCTGGTTTCCTCGCACCACGCTCAAACCAACTATCGAAAATCCCAGACCCTGGCGCTACATCAAACTCTCACATAACCGTCGCTACCTCCATTACGCGGATTTCGATACCCAGACCACCCAAAACCCAACTCTAGACGCCCTACTCGATAAAATAGACCTCTCCACCATCTCCTCCGTCATCTCCAACGTCTCCGCCACCGACGAATCCTCCTCCATCTCCAGCACCTCCACCCTAAAAACCACATCCCATTCCCACGCCCCGCCGCAGTCAACCACGAAAATCACCATCAACACCACCGTCGAAGGCGGCGAGCGCGCGATCCTGACGCTCATGCCCGCCACTCATTCCCTAGCGTCCGAGTGGCTCGATGGGCTGCTCATGCTGCTGAATCAGACGCCGATTACGGCGGAGACGAATCGGCTGGTGGGACTCGTGGGCGAGTATGGACTGAAGATCCGACTGCTGAATGTTAGGATGGGGGAGGGGGAGGGGTATGCGGAGGGGAGGGGCGTGGTGCCGAGTCGGGAGGGGTTGGATGAGGATTATTTTTATGAGGTGTAGTAGGAGGTGGTGGAGATTTTAGAGGTGGTGTGGGTTTGGGGAAGAGTTTGGATTTTTGTGAGATCGGGAGATAGTGAGCGTTTTGATACCCTTGTGTTTTGATGTTAGTTCGTAACTAGTATATTACTACCTATTCATCTTCTCTATCCAACGTGACAGTTCCTCCTCCCTATTTCTTTCCCTTGACACCCCATCCCAACATCTCATTACTGCTAACTTTAGGAAAGTATTATTCCACAAGGTGTAAGGCGACAGTGTGGACTCGACAGGTGGTACTTAGCTAAAGACAGAGCTCCGATTTCTTTGCCACGCCTTCCACCTTCAACTGGCACCGCTTAAAGTGGATGGATCTGTGGCGATCAACCTTTCTTGGACTACCTAAAGTTGCTAACTCGTCGGCTTTATACTAAAGTTTCCATATAAGGAGTCAATTACTCTATACACGTCCGTCAAATACGTCAATTGCGCAATGATCCGTCGCTAGTAGACGATTAAATCATCTGAGGGGACATGAGCGTAAGGCTGCCATTTGAAGGGATAGAGGTCTACGTTGAAACTCTGTTTGTATGATTTCGTATTGCGATATGTGACTAGTACGTTACTCCCATCTACCAACATATGTGTCTCCATACTTCTCTTAGATACGAGTTTCCCTCACTTTCTCACCTCCCGTCCATCCTCAATCGTTTTTCGCAAATGACGACGAATACACGTTCTAAGCGCGAAAAGCATATCTCTATCACGTCATGAAATCAGAGTCTCTCTTGGCGGACAACGAATAGACACTTCTTACACCACCTCGCCACACCACCTCCACCCAAAGGTACAACCCCCCAAACCCGTCGTTCCTGTAACCACGACAAACTTGAATCTCACTCGAAGCACCACCCTCACTACATCCAAACTTAGAAATATCGCTTATATCGTATCAAGATGTGGGAAATGAAAACCCGGAATTAGGAGTGTTTTGAGAGGGTAGATAATGCTTTCTCTTTCCTTTACCGCCTTAGTTGCAAGTAGAAGGATAGGACGATCAGAATATGATATATCTAGAACGTTGTAGCGCATGTCCCATTCCGCCAACCAGCAGATTTTAAAAGTAAAAATTTAGAAAGTCTTTACAGTTGTAATATTACAGGGTATAAGTAGAGAGGTGATTTGATAAAGGATACAAATACTGACAAGATTATCTTGTCGCTGTAGCAGATGATTTAAGCCAGAGGGGTGTAGATAATCTATCTGACAGAAGCACCGGTGTGAGTGTTAGTATATAGATAGATAGGTAAAGGTCGTTTCCTTATTACCATTAAATCCACCACCCTACATACGAGGCCTTCTACAAATAAGTGCTCTTCTACCTTCAACCCGACGTCTGTCTACCACCTACCACCTTCTCACGGCACAAACCCAACACAAAAAAGCCACATACCCCATGGGGATCCCATCCAGAGCCTTATCCAGACCCCATACGCCACAGATGTAGACCCAATATGGAATACCCCGGCCCTCACAAAGAGTTGCATAGCTTGAGGACCGACAACTTAGCTTTCCTCCCATCTACCAACCAAAAAAGTCTAGACCAAACCCTACTTCTCCAGCCCACCATCACACAACCCCTCCCGAGCGCTATTCTCATTTCCACGCACACGAAAGTACTCAGTCTTCACACACTCGTACCAAAGCAGTAACTCTCCTCCGCCTTCACACACCCTACACCAAGATACCTCCGCTACACACCAAAACCCCCAATACAGCACTCCACACGGAATGCAACGCTCGACGGAGAAACAAATATACGACTCGGCGAGCGGACCGAGACGCCTCAAATCTTTGTGATCCGGAATCTGCGATGTGGCGTACCATAAACCCCCATCCCCTTTGAAAGCCAAACTCATATTCGAGATATCCGATATGTACATATTCAAAGTAGCTGTCATATCAGCGGGATATTACACACGAAGCTGTCAAATCTAAATACTCCCAGAGATAAATGCTTAATATCTGATATCACTCCCCAAATCAAAACCGCATCAGCTTAAATAAAAGATATCTGGGATCCTCGAGTGGCGTACAAACATTAGCCAGTTCAATTGGTGGATCCCCTCCATTCAGCCTCATGTACGCGAGAAACGTGGAGTGGATTAGCCGCGAGGGCACCACATGACACCTCAAAATTGTTCCGCATACGAGTGTTGCATAGGCGGGATGTGCCTAGTGAGATCTCATGCAGGGAGCTCGGTAGTCGGGTTGTGTGGAGAAATATTATTGGGGAAGTGAAGAGGTGGTTATGTGGAAACTTTGATTGGCGTATATACTCAATTGAGATAGATAGAATTGCAGTGGTATATGGTAATAATATTTAGCATAGAATGGAATGTATATACAAATATCTAGTGGTATATTGGTACCTCTAGACGTGGTTTTGCTGACCCTAATTCATTTTATGTAGTCGTTTATTCATAAAAGCGTTTATGAGCACTAAAGACAAGTCAGTTGATGCATTCCAGTAATTCAAGAAATTTGTGTACCTTTGATAAGTCTTTATTGATAACCTTGCAAGTGAATGGTTTCGCGCAAACCATGGCACCTGTATACTTAGCTCCACCACATTGGCCACCCTTGTTAACGGCTCTGAGGGCAGGTAAAGCCTTGATGAGCTCGGCAGCACGCTCAGCAGCAACGACGATCAAGCCAGATGGGTTGGTAGATGGCATTCCAGGGAAGATACTGGCGTCTACAACGAACATGTTGTCGGTACCGTAGATTTTGGTGTTTGTGTCGACGACTGAGGTTCCGCCAGTGAGACCACTGTCGGTACCTAGCTTGGCAGTACCCATCCAATGATTTGAACGACGAGCACCAACATTGCTGTACGTCAATGGGATCTAAAATATATTAGCAACTGCTACCACGGAGACGTAAAATGATGCTTACTGTCTTGAGGTAATCAGCACCAGTCTGGTTAAGGGTTGGTGCTAACCAAGTGAGACCTGGAATGGTCTTCAAGGCACTCTTCATGCTGTCAAGGGCCATGGCGACTGTTGCAAGATCATTTGCATCACCATATGGAAGTGTCGAAACAACCATGTTCAATCCCTTGTTGATCGTAGTCTGACCTCGGGAAACAGATCCACGTCCGAGGTACAAGCTCAAAGTCATAGTATTACCGTTGTCAAAACCACCAGAGCCTTCAACTCTGGATGTCCATTGGAACTGTCGGACGATGCCATCCGGTCCCTTGATCTCCTCCCACATCATTGGACCAATATTTGGCGCAGCTTGAGTAAGTGGACCGATTCTTTTTGTAAGATAATCAACCTTGTCCTTTTCGATAGGTGTATTCCAAGCCGCGGGCCAGTCATAGTAGGAGACATTAGGGTGAGAGATGACTGTATCAGTGTTAAGATGGTCATTCAGACTCTTTCCAACAGGGAGATTGAGCCAGTTTGCTGAGTTCGACATAACCTTGGCATCTGCACTAGTAGCAACAATATCAAGTTGATCTTTTGGACCAATGCCACTTCGGAAAAGGATTTTAGTTGTTCCAAAAGTTCCAGCTGCGAGGATGACCCGACCGGTAACTGGGGTGAGCTGGACAGTTCCATAGCGACCGCCATTGTTAGCAGGAGAAACGTCTAAGCTGACTGCGTGTCCTCCAATGCGTGTGATACGCTCGACACTAGTGTTCAACCACATTTGGAAGTTCTTTCTGCCTGCAGCAGTGACAAGGTAGGTTGCCATTGGTCCACCTCGCTCTCCATGGGAGGACATATATGGTGTATGAGCATAGGTTCGGTTCTTCTTCTCTGGCACATTATTGGCAGTTACACTAGTCCATTTAGCATTATCTAACCCTTGTCGGATAGTGTCGAATCCGGATTGCACATAGAGCTTGCCATCCAAAGATGGATGGTCTGTGCCTGGAATCCTGGAAAAGACCCTGTTTGTGGCAGGTAACATATCTTTTGCTTTCCAGCCGGCAGGGAAGTTGTAATCCCAATCAGATGGGTTGGCCTAAGATTATCAGTGAAGGAACAATGATTTTAAGTGGCATGAGCTTTACCTTCCACCAGAGTCCAGCATTGACAGCAGCACCACCACCAAGAACGCATCCTGCCATTTGATCCATATCAGTGCAGGCGACACCTGGTGAGCCACCATTCCAGATTCTGTTGCATTCTCCGGGAATATCGAACCAGGTCAGATTCTGGCCATCTAGCCAGCCACTCTCTGGTCGCAAAGCTGAGGAGGTTAGCATGTATAGGACCTTGAAGTAGCATCGCACTTACTTCCACCCCATCGTGCAGATGAAGCAATTCCCTTCTCAATAAGAAGTACGGACTTTCCAGTTTCCGACAATTTGTCCGCAATAGGGATTCCAGCAGCTCCACCACCAATGACTATGTAGTCATAGCTGGTGGCTGTTGGAACTGGGACTGAGGAGTATGGTACGGCAGTTGGAGTAGTGGTGGGTACGGTTCCGGTAGGTACTGATGTCGCCAATGCAGCCCACTTGGAGTAATCCGTATGAGTTGCAGAACTGACGACGACCTTGAATACACCTTGTCCATTGTCATGCTGTCCAAAATCAGACATCGCATCTGCTTTTACGGCTGCCGACTCAAGCGCCTGTCCCCATCCTTGGATGAACTCTCCAGCAGAGGTCGAAGTATTGAATTCAGACTGGGTAGGATCGTCAAAGATCAAACATCTCTCGCACTTGTATACCAAGGTGAAATGAGTGGCGTTGACTTTAGAGAATATCTGGGTCAATTTTGCGGTTCCTTTGTAGGCAATAGGTAATTGGTAAGATCTGGATTACAGATTAGCTTTGTTGCTTGAGCATTTGAGGATACTGACGGTGAGTAACGGAATGATGTGACAACTTCGTCACCATTTCCAGTTGGCCAGGCGAGAATCATGAGATGATTGGGCATAGATGCACTCATGTCGCCCTGTAGAACACCAGTCCATCCATTTCCATTAGGTGTGGATCCCACCTATTGGATTAGCATACCGTCCGTCTGCCTTTTGCTGGGCAAGAAAACCTACAATCAAACCAACATAATCATAGAAATCTACAGTTGTAGCACTTGGTGGCAAAGCAATACCGAATGTATAGCCTCCGATGGAAGCTTGAGAGAAACCTGACGGGTCCACTCCATCTGGTTCATAACTTGTATAGAAAGTAATATTCGTGTTTGGCTCCGTAAAGGTTCCATGTTGAGCAAAATCTTGAGCGAGCACAGAAGAAACAGCTATGAACGTGTTAGACACTATGAGCTCAAAAGATGATGGAAAGCTCACAGAAAAGAAGAGAACCAAGAACTCCAGTAGAAAGGTTAGTTAGCTTCATGTTGACGGCAGCACAACTGATCAATTGAGTCGGAGCTGTAGACAGGAAAGCTGAGCTTACACAGATGGGATACTGAGCAAGTTATAGCTTTTTTTCTTTCGACCTTCGGCTGAACCAACCAACACCTTGCTCTCAATACCTCAATCACCATTGGATACACCAGACGAGGAATATAAGCATGGGGAAGATGATTTATTATGCGGGGATATGTACATGGTGCATGCTAAGGCTCAATAGCGAACCTGGGGATCTGTATGAAATCCAAACGTTTTAACGGGGGGGAAATTACCCGTTTAGTGTTAATGAAGGACGATGAGAAATGAATGAGTCTCTTGCGGGTGAGCCAGCCGGGTCAACGTGACCGGTGGAGAAGTGCATAGCTTTGATTTTAATTTGCATGGCATTCAGGCTCATCGGCGCTCACTCTCCGCACTCGCGAAATAGTTCAACCGACCGCTGATCCTGGACGATTGGTCGAGTAAGATCAAGAATCCCAAGGCCCACGAGGACGACAGACGAGGATGGTAATATGAGAGTGAGATGCAAAGGACGGATTATCTACTCCCAACCCGACACTTGTCCTGGGAATTTGCAAGTCATATGGAATGATTGGAGGTGATGTTGGTCAGATGCGTGAGATAAAGAGAAAAGAGGCGAGGTACCTGCAGGTCGAGGGGTACGAAGTTCAAGGTGTCGGAATATGTGTAGAGCCTCCCAGCAGTTTCTTGCGAGGATAGAGAAATTCCAAATATCCAAAGAAAAGGTAAACTTCCGCCAATAACTCCCAAAATGAAACTTTCCATGGGCTTGGAATCTTGGATATGCAAATGAGTAGCTTCGGATGTTGTGTTTGGGAGAAGAAATGTCAGAAAGTGAGATGGAACAAACAGCGAGGGGAACCTGGAAGAACTGTTTATCCTTCCGAAAATCACATGAGACTCAATCACGTGTTGTCTTGTACAGCTGTCCAAAGGTTCTCAGTCTTTCAGACCTGGCTGGCAATCCAACACTTTTCATTTTGTTTCAACTTTTTTTTAAGTATATAATTTTTCTGGTCGTTGTTCAGTTACATGAAGTCAGGCATGTCATCTGGCGATGGCAAAATCTTTAGCATTCTTCGAGCAAGACGTCTAGAAATATCTGCCGACAAGGGGGACTTCATTGGGTTGAGCAAAAGGTTTGTTCAACTAGATAACATTTGATTGAACAGAAAACAAGGAAACCAGGAATTTTCTGGGTATGATGAGGAGCAAATCTATACGTTTGTTGGAAGATTTGAAATTGTTAGCTTAACAAGTCTTTCTGAAGAGGGGTACCAGTCCTTGATTGACCCTGAACATTGCAACATTACACCACCTAGTATTGTATTTTGCAAGCTTGAATATGATTCACAACATAGTGTAAAAGCTGAATTGATATTCAAGGAGTAAAGCATAACGAAAGAATCCAATCACTGTCGAACTTTGTATCAATCAGATTGTCATTTATCAAAGAGAGAAGTCAGACTTGTAAGCACGGGTTACGTTTGTTGTTATGTTGGTGCTTTGTGAGATGTGCTTAAGCTTCTCGCAAAGCACCTAGACACAGAAGCCTAGTACGGATGTTAGCAACCAATTCGTGTCCTGTGAATTAATATGAAGTATCCCAAGTCATCTTGAATTTCATTATCAATTGCCTCTTTAGCTAAGAAAATCAATAGTTTCCGACGATGAAACTTGTCACTCGTGCTCGAAAAATTTGACTTCCGCGACCCTCAATCATACCCAGTCCATTCTGCTCCGCATGGATATAGAGAATGTTAGAAGGCATTTTGGATTGAGGAGGAAATGAGTTCTAGATTGTTTGATTCTCTTCTTCCTTTACTTCCACGTGATTCGATCCGATGGTCCATAGTCACGTGAAATCTCCTGTCAACTGTCGCCTCGGCACTTCAGTCGGCTCGGTCGGCAATAAACGGAAGGCGCACAAAAGCACTCGAGGCTGCAAACTTGTAAGCACGAAAGAGGAACCATCTCATTGGCCGATTTGTCTACTAGAGCATTTTACATCTCGACATCGATGAGGTCGCGAAATCGCCTCCAAACATCCGATTAAATAGTGTCTCGTCCCCTTATCTCCCCTCTACACCTGGTGCTCTTCTCTCTTCAATATGTCTTCAATCGCTATGCGGAGGTTCGCAGCTGGTCCTTCGGTGAGTAGAATATCTACAATGTTATGGTCAATATCGCAAATGGCATGACTGATGGCTAATCCACTGTTTGCAGGTTTCGAGGGCACTGAAGAACCAGACCAGAACATTTTCCTCAACGCGTCCTGCTGGTATGTACTTCGATCTTTGGTGTACAAATGATGGGCATAGCTTACGGATTGGCAGCGCGGATAATAACACATGCGCCTTTGCGAGCGAAGGAAGCAAGTCCATTCCTCAGCAATAAATATCCAGTGGTGGTATGTAGATTCGATGAAGCCAATGTCTCGGTTCTAATGTGTTACTAGGACCACGAGTACGATGCCATCGTCGTCGGTGCTGGTGGAGCAGGTCTGCGAGCAGCCTTCGGTCTTGCCGAGGCAGGTTTCAACACGGCGTGTATATCCAAGCTCTTCCCAACTCGAAGTCACACAGTAGCAGCACAAGGAGGAATCAATGCGGCGCTGGGTAACATGCACGAGGACGACTGGAGGTGGCACATGTACGACACCGTCAAAGGTTCAGATTGGTTAGGAGATCAGGATGCTATTCACTATATGACAAGGGAGGCGCCACAGTCCGTCATCGAATTGGAAAATTATGGTTGCCCCTTCTCAAGAACGGAAGATGGAAAGATGTAGGTTCATACATGTTGGTTAGGAAGATGTAAACTGACGATGCTAGCTACCAACGTGCGTTCGGAGGACAATCGCAGAAATTTGGCAAAGGTGGACAGGCCTACCGATGCTGCGCTGCTGCGGATCGAACTGGACACGCTCTCCTTCACACCCTATACGGTCAATCTCTCAGACATAACACCAACTACTTCATCGAATACTTCGCTCTCGATCTGATTATGGAGGATGGCGAGTGCAAGGGTGTTATTGCTTACAACCAAGAAGATGGAACCCTCCACCGATTCCGAGCACACAACACCGTTCTAGCAACTGGAGGTTACGGACGTGCCTATTTCAGTTGCACATCTGCACACACGTGCACTGGTGACGGAATGGCTATGGTTGCCCGTGCCGGTCTTCCTAACCAGGATCTCGAGTTCGTTCAATTCCACCCAACTGGTATTTATGGTGCTGGATGCTTGATTACCGAAGGAGCTCGTGGAGAGGGTGGATATCTCCTCAACTCTGAGGGTGAGCGGTTTATGGAACGTTATGCACCAACTGCCAAGGATTTGGCCAGTCGAGATGTCGTTTCCCGATCAATGACTATGGAGATCCGTGAAGGCCGTGGTGTTGGCCCTGATAAGGACCATCTATACCTGCAACTCAGTCACTTGCCACCAGATGTTCTCCACGAACGTCTTCCAGGTATCTCTGAGACTGCCTCTATCTTCTCTGGTGTCGATGTTCGAAAGCAGCCAATTCCAGTTCTTCCAACCGTTCACTACAACATGGGTGGTATCCCAACCAAATATACTGGTGAGGTTCTCACTGTGGATGGTGAAGGCAAGGACAAGGTCGTCCCAGGTCTTTTTGCATGTGGTGAGGCTGCTTGTGTCTCGGTTCACGGTGCCAACCGTCTTGGAGCCAACTCGCTGCTCGATTTGATCGTCTTCGGTCGTGCTGTATCGCACACTGTTCGGGATAACTTCGAGCCTGGTATGCCACACAAGGAGATCAGCGCTGATGCTGGTGCCGAGTCTATCAGTGTCCTTGACCAGATCCGTACTGCCGACGGACCAAAGTCTACACACGAGATTCGTCTTGCTATGCAAAAGGTTATGCAGACAGATGTCAGTGTTTTCAGAACCCAAGAAAGTTTGGATGAGGGTGTCAGCAAGATCAATGCTGTTGACCAGACCTTCAAGGATGTTGGCACCAAGGACAGAAGCATGATCTGGAATTCTGACTTGGTCGAGACACTCGAATTAAGAAACTTGTTGACCTGCGCGTAAGTACCCGCTCTCACTTTCGGAAGCAATCATCACTAACAAATTTCAGTGTTCAAACCGCAGAGTCAGCAGCAGCTAGAACCGAATCCCGTGGAGCTCACGCACGTGAGGATTTCCCAGAAAGAGACGACAAGGAATGGATGAAGCACACATTATCTTACCAGAAGAAGCCCCAAGGAAAGACCAACCTCTCATACCGAAGTGTGGTCGGTACCACCCTAGACGAGAATGAGTGCAAGGCGGTCCCACCATTCAAGCGTGTATACTAGACGAACTTTTTTATTTTTTCATCGCGAGCAACGTTTTGAGGGTGGAGTGGTAGAGACCTGAGCAGATATTAATCGGCTAGAAGATAAATGATGAGCGGTCTAGCGTGCATACTTTGAGTGTTTTGGGATGGGGCAGGGAAACGCATTATGGTGTTTTGCTTGCTTGCTTTGTTGTATCGTAGGGTTGTAAGTAGAGGAAATTGATTATTGAAAGCAACTAGTTCACATTACCGTTTCACCTAGTGTCTAAAAATTTCGACCGAAGAGCGAGGACTAACCAAGTCCAATCAGAAGAAGTCCAATAACTCTAAGGTACATTTGAAGCTCTTAGGATACATTTTACTGACGCAAAAACTCAGTCTGATGGGTGATATGCCTTTCTTGACAGCCAAACAGCTTGATGCGCTTTTGTGATAGCTCCTAAGTCGTATACCAATTGATGGCAGAGCTCCCGACATAGCGGGTTATAAACTGTAACGGTACACGGCTTCATGATGCTCTTCAATTCATTCTGAATCATTCATCGAGCTCCGTCTCTCGTTCATCCAGGTCATGAGCCTCCTCGGCAGTCATTCGTCGTGCCCTGCTTATCGTGCCGTATAGCACAGTTGCATGAAAATATAATAATGCCTTTCCAAAAGCCACTCCATTTTCCATATCACGTTTAGCTCTCAAGAAAAGGTCTCTTTTGGTCTCAGGTCTTCCGTTCAGCGCACTTCGAAAGTTTCCCCGCCTAATATCTTGGGCCAATTCCTGAGTTACCTTCGAAAATATTTGCCCACTCTGTTTCATTTCTAGTGAGAAAGTAGACCATGCATAGTTCCAGGGCCCCTTCGAGCCAGTCGGATCATACGCTCCAGGTGCGAGAGGTCCATTTTGGTAGAGAACTTGAATTGCTTTGGAAATGCGCCTGTGCTGCTGGAAGTTGTTTGCGAAGCCTTCAAGGTTTAAAGTACGTATTACCTTATGGTTGTCTAAGGACATGGATTAATATAGCTTTCCCCTATCGCGAGATACATGATCACAAGAGACTCACTGAATGCTCCTGGGGCTTGGACTCGGAATCCATTCTCCCAGCTACTTACATGCGTCTGCATATCAGCAGGATCCTTAGATGCCCAGTCAGCAATCTGTCTCTTCGTGCCAACAAAGACGGAGGAGTCCCGTCTCGTCATGACCACACGATCTACCATCGAAAGTGCGAAAACCTGGCAATTCTTCTCGAATAGGTCGTAGACTGGCATTTGTTTGATCAACCATTCTGCTATCAAACGAACTTCAGACGGCGAGTAGTCTGTACAGCCAACCTCGTAAACGACTAACGGCGGTCTTCCCTTCATGGTTGATGAGTTTTCGGAGTATGGATCTTCGGTTTTCAGCACGACGTTCTCCGGTTTATCGACGCCTAAACTGCTTTGGAATTTGGCACCCGACTGCAGACCTGGTACTGACAAGTGATAGAATTGGCCATGTGAAAAGACCGACCAATGCGAGAAAGATATCGGCCAGCCTTCGTGAGGCACACATGCTAAATACACGTGCTGAAAAGACTCTGGTGCTTCGGGCAGTTCGTCGTGAAGCTGGTTAAGTAACATGAGCCTCGAAAGCTCCCCTCCGTTATCCCATGCGACAGGAAAGCCGAGCAAATCGAAGAACTTATCTCGAATTGAGAATGTTGAAGTTTCGAATAGGTCCTTCAAAGTTCGTGGATGGGGCGCGGAAAGGCCCTCGATAACAGAGTTGGCAAATCCGCTTTGGGTATCCATAGCTAGTAATTCAGCCAGCCCCGCAATGTTACCACCTGGGACGACGTCGCAGTCATGAAGGTAGATAGAGAAACAAAGCTGCAAATATGCGATGTTCTGGTGGTTGAACTATAATAACTGGCAGCTCTAAGGTAGCCTTCTTAACACAGCCCCCACATCCCTACCTGCAGCGGCGTCACACACAGTGACATAGCCACGACAGTATAGCGGCATAAAGCGAATCTGCCCGAATCTGCCCTTGGGGTAGAAGTGTATTAGTCGACTCTCTATACTTTTCAGGCAAATATCTACAGTGAAACATCTATATAAACATTCTTACAATAATTTTGTCTTATATACAAGGACAACTTCTTAATTTTCTTAGTATGTTATATAATTACTTTATAAGTACTAGGCTGAGTAAAAATTTTGAGTTAAATATTATTATTCGAGTAATATATACTCTTATATTTCTTTAGATAAAATTAAATCTTTACATATTTTAGTTTAGCGTTATAGAGTTCTTGCTAACCTCGATCGTCATAAGATTTACCGCTGTTAGGATTCCATAATAACAATAGTATGACAGTTCATGACGTTTTCTTGAACCTACATGCGGTAGTCTATATTCTCAGCACCTTTGACGTCAGAAATGAGCTAGCCTTTAAATTTCTTATGTGTTGGCGATATGGGCCAAGCGATCCGGCTGTCGTAACAGCAATGATATGTATCTAATTCACATCAGCGGCGTTCTTCTATACAGCTTGGGTCAGATACGAAAGTTAAGCAGGGATCAGTAGTTAATCTCAGTAAGAGGCCAAGCCCTGAGCCTGGAGAGCTCGAAATAGTATAGGAAACCTCACGTACAAGCGAAGTCTACATATTTCCGCTTTCATTTCTACCCTCTTCAGTTTTGCTCTGTGCAGTTTCGCTTTTCGTGATACAACTCTCCTTCTTTCCGCTCTCCTCATCATCGCTACCAGACCACCCATCGAATCACTGACGTCCACTATCACAAAATCCATACCCTCATGTACCTCCCTCTGATCGAGCAAACTCTTTCAGCTAAGCCCCATCATAACCACCACCGAATCAAGTTTTAGCACATCCCCCCCGCTGGACCCATCATCCCCGGATTGGTCGCCATCATGACATTCAAATTATTCATATTATTCATGTTGATATTATTCATGGCGTTCATGTTATTCACGTTGTTCATACTGTTCATGTTGTTCATGTTGTTCATATTGTTTACTCCCAGCGCATTCACAGCGGCAGCTTTCCGGGCCATGGTATTCCGGAGAGTGCTGTACTGACTCCAAAGTGGTTCGTCGAGCTGCTGGAACTGCATTCCAGGCGGCTGGTGGGATTCTGGAATGGAATGGAGAGTGTACCAGTTCCCGCTATCCTTCTGGGATGTTCGCCAGCTGCGTATATCGGCAACGAGCTGCTCGGCTGGCTGACGGGTTTTAGTCTGTGGTAATATCCACGACTTGCGTTCTGGTTTCAAGAAACCGAATTGGTCAAATGCTGTGGCGATAGTAGCAATCACGAAAGTGTTATTGTTGACGAGCTTGTTGTCGAGTAAGATGTCGACGACCTCTTCAGCGTTATCACACGTCAAATTGAGGCCCCGGAAGAGCATCACTACAAGACACACGCCTTCATCAGTAACCTTATTAGCGTTGCGTGAAGCTTTTGCGAGTTTCGACACGCATATCTCAATGAACAGCTTCTGGGCAGAGACATCGTAGTGCGATATGATCCGTGGACCCATCTTTGGATCCTCGAGGGCCATCAGCCCGAATACATGGTCCAATGCATTTTGACATTCGGTATACTGAAAATTGAAGGCTAGCTGAAAGATATCGGTCCCAGGAAAATACGTCTTGCTCCTGCTGAAAAGACCCTGAGGTTTTTGATTCTGCTTCCAGAAATATAGTAGGAAAGACCGGGGGATGCCGTCTAGCTGTCCTAATTTCTTTCTTTTGTTCTTCTGCATTATGCTCATGAAGTAATAGTTCAGTGGCGTCGAAAAGAATGAGTCGCCGCTCATATGATCCGGGCCACAATAAACAACGATGGAGCGCGCGAGTAGGAATTCCTGGACGATCCAGGTGCGGTTCCAGTAATCTCGTGAGAGCAGACTCGTCCAGGCATCAAGTCTCTCATTATCATCTTTAAAAACTCGGACGGCAGCCGATACCCAGTCCTGAAAACCGGCTCCAGCAAAGATCTTCTGGCTATGCTCGTCGTGCTCGCCGAGCCAGACAAGCACTTTCTTCGCGCGCGGGTAGATCTCACTCATCATCGCGACCTGATGACCCTTTTCGCCCACGTCTTGCTGATTGATACAAAGAGCATCTATGTAGAGTTCTTGGGCGTTTTGGCTGGATGCCCGGAAGCGTTTCAGGAACAGGAAAAGGTTGTCACGGATGGTGAAAGGGGTCTTGTCGACGAGGATCTGAGAATTGTTGGAGGATTCTGGGCCCCATTGATAGGAGAGAGCGTCAAATTTTGGTTTATCTTCCAAGTTGACGTGTCGTAGCGTTGTTTCTATGGGTGCGGAATAGGCGCCTGGGAGGAGTCTAAGGACGCGGAATTGACGCGGAGTAAGTGGTTGGTATGAATGCGTAGACATTTGGATCTGAATCTGGGAAGAGTCAAGGGGTTTCTTTTGGAGCAGCGTTAGGATTTCCGATGGCCTTTATTCTGCCAGAAGGTCGTCTGGTTCAACAGGGGCATTTTGCGCCCCCAAATGAACCCTGAAGGACCATGTCCGTTATGGATTTCCCCCATGCTTATTCATTTGTAAGAAGAATGTAACACTATTCCCAAAATCTGTGGCTACAGCTCTTTTGATGTGCTGAATGGTTGTCATACTGTTGGTGTGATGCTGGAAAAAGGTAAAATATCAAGTTGGGTGTAGACCTAAAGGGGCGAAATTTCTGTTGTAATTTTCATTGACGCATTTTCAATATTTCTTAGATATAACTTGTTACGCCTTCCCAGGAGTGTTTTTGTTACTTCAATTACGGAAAAGAAGAAAATTAAAGTAACGACTTATAGCTATTTGTTTTATTAAAATAGTACTAAGGGCTGATCACGTGATGTTAAAACGTGATCTCAATACTTACTTAATCCGCCGAAGTCCTGGCCGAGTTTTATGGAATCACAAAACAACATGAGCCTCAACCACACCAAACGGATCAAGGATCCGTTACTTGGGCATGGCCTCGTCTCGACCGAGGCTCTCGAGCCGGGGGATAGGATTATCCAAATTAAAGACCCCTATCTCATCGTAGTAGAAAAGGACGCCCTTGACAGGGTTTGCTCCTACTGCCTCGCCGAAAACGATATCTCGGCCTTAAAACGCTGCACAGGATGTAAAATTGTGCGTTACTGCTCGTCAACATGTCAGAAATCGGACTGGAAACTCATACACAAAAGCGAATGTCCAGTTCTCGGCAAACTTCCTGGACTTCCACCAACACCGGTACGGGCGCTGTATCAAGCACTGGTGCGGTATTCGAAATCTGGAGATTTGGATGAGAGATCGAAGGGTCTCGAAAGCCATATTGATGAGTTGAAGAAAGATCAGAGGAGATGGGAGGATATGTTTTTGCAGGCGAGAGCTGCTGTTGAGTTTTCTAAGAGTCCTCCGGCGAAGATGGAAATGTGTACAAGATTACTGTGTATCGTAAGTCAAGGCCATCAGATCATAAGAGATTATCTAATGATGTATAAGATGGCAACCAACGCGTTTAGAGCAACTCTACCAGACGACACTCCAATCGGATTGTGCTACGAACCCACTCTTGCTCTCGCTAATCATTCTTGCACTCCAAATGCATATATCATGTTCGATGGCCGGAGTATCTCACTAATAGCTCTAGATTCCATTGAGCAAGACGAGCAGTTGTTTATTTCCTATGTGGATTTCACCCAGAGCCGGGATCTTCGAAGGGCAGAATTACGCCAACGATATTTTTTCCAGTGCGAATGCAAGAAATGTACTGATGACTTAAACCCATATCAAATTCTCATTCAAACCCCAGTCGCTCCATCGCCAAAATTCGATCTTTTCGTGGATCGGAAATCTCTAGTAGATCATGCTAGGTCAAGAACCACCACTCTTACTCACCTAGATACTTCAACACTCACTCAATCCTCTCAGAAGGTTTATACGATATTGGACCAAACCCGCTCAACCGCATCTCCTCAAGCAAAGCTCAATCTCCTTAAACAGGGCCTCCACTTCCTATCTCAGTTCCACACCAACGCCCTCCACGCACTCCCACCTTACCCAACCCTCCTCGACGAAGTTTACCTCCTTTACATAGACACTTCGTATCTTCCTGCCGCTCTCATCCTTTTACTCTTCACATTCCTCAACTGCGATGTGTACAACTGGCCACAACCACACCATCCTGTACGCGTCACTCGCTTGTTCACCATAGCACGGTTGTTGAAATACGCAGCATCACTACAACTTGAAGATCTGACATCGAGTTTGCCCACAGTACCGTCTGAGGTCTTGCAAAGTGTGGATTTCATAGATGCGGTACACGTAGTTCTTGTTTTAGTCGATGACCTTGGAAGGAAAAGTCATGGAGCAGACTCTAGATTTATGGTACAGGTCGCTGAGGAATTGAAAGAGGTTGAGGAGGTGCAGAGACTCAGAGGGGATTCGGGGAGGGCGATTCGAGGATGGCAAAGTGGCAATTCTAACGAGAGTATGAAGGTTGTGGAGAGTGTGCTTAGCGGTCTACGTCTTTTGGCGGGATATGCGGTGAATGTTGTAAAGAGTTTGGAAGTTTGAGAGCCGAGTGTCTTATGTAAGTTTCAGCAGGTCGCTTTTGGTCCTAGCTCAGAACTATAACAACATGAGAATTTAGTATTAATCCGTACTTTACAGCTCAAGCCGAACATAAAAAATTGGTCTTTCAAGACTACTCCCTTATCCTTGGTGCTAAATTAGGTCTGCTATTCAAATCCAGCAAAACAGAACTGTGCGTTACATACTCTGGGAAGACCTTGATCCAATTTCGAGCGTAGACTTGATCAAGTCGGTGTTTCGGTGTGAGATATCCTCTCTATCTATGATTTTGTACCACCTGTGCAATTATTGACACGCACACCTTGACATAGTGCGACGATGCAAAATGCTAGAATATCAGACTAGTTGATGTTTGTAAAAAGACCGGGTAATGGGGAATACTAGGCTTTGATCTTGGACTTGCTACATAATCTTAAAGAAGGTTATCTGAGGGGCTTTTGCTCGCAACATATTTGCCATTAAGAAACATTTACTTTTTGATCCAGACGACCTGAGCGTTACACCAACCTTTGAGCCCATCCAGTCCCGACTCGACACCAATCCCACTGTTTTTGTGGCCACCAAACGCAGCCTGTGGACCGACTTCAAAATGTGCGTTGACCCAGACAGTACCAGCTTCCAACCGCCTTGTGAGACGCTCAGCAGCAACGATATCCTTACTCCAGACGGAGCCACCTAGTCCCATGGAAGAAGCATTGGCACGACGTATCACGTCTTCCTCGTCAGACCACTTGAGAATCGGTACAATGGGTCCAAACTGCTCTTCAACCACAAGTTTGGAGTCCTCTGGCGGGTTGTCGATTACGGTGGGAGGTAGGTAAAACCCGGAACCCGATTGAGAGCTTGCGGCTTCACCCCCGTATGCCACTTTCAAATCCTGCTTTGAAACCTGGCTATATAGCTCCAGCAGCTTCGCATATTGCATGCTATTCTGAATCGGCCCGAGTACCGCTTCAGCATCGGACGGACCACCGCTCTTGAGACTTTTAACAAATTCGACGATAGCTGCTATAAAGGCGTCGTATATGGCTTCGTGCACATAGACACGTTTGATACAGAAACAAACCTGACCGGAGTGAAAGTAGGCCATGGTCGCTACCTAAGATTTCAGTCGAGTTAGCAATATCCTCTTTTACAAGATCTTTTCAGTAGACAATCCTCACTTTGGGAACGGTCATTGCCAGATCAGCGTCGGGCATAACAATAGCTGCATCATTGCCACCAAGTTCCAGAGTCACGCGCTTCAAAGTACTGGCGCAAGCTTGCATAACCTTCTTTCCAGTCGCCACCGATCCTGTGAAGCTGATCTTCGCTACCCCTGGGTGGGCGGTCAGGAGAGGACCGAGGTCTTCGTCGCCGCTGAGAACATTGAACACTCCCTTGGGGAAGATCTTCGCTCCAAGTTCTCCTAGTTTTAAGGCGGTATAAGGACTGTATGGCGATGGCTTCCAGATAAAAGTATTCCCAGTGAGAAGCGCGGAAACGAGCTTGATAATTCCAAGCAGCATGGGGAAGTTCCAAGGGACAATGCCGACTCCTACTCCGATTGGAATGTAGCGCTGTACGATCCGTCGCTGAGAATTGAAGAACGGTTAGCAGCGTCTTTGGTCCGAGAGACCAGGGAGAAAAAAGTTATTGCAAAACAATAGCGAACGAACGTACCTCATCCGTATCTTCAATTTGCTCCTCAGTCAATCTAAACTTAAGCGTCTCATGAATCTGGTGGCTAAGCAGATATAATTCTATACCGACACCTTGTGGCGGCTTGCCTGCCTCCTTTCCGAGTAATTGGGCGAACTCTTGCTGATGAGCATCGATCGCATCGACAAACGTAGTCAAGTAAACGGCTCGTTCATCTTGTGAGAGATCACGCCATGAAGGGAACGCTGCTTGAGCTGCGGCGACGGCGCGGTCTACATCTTGCTGCGTCGAGACAGGAACTTCAGCGAGAAGCTCCTCGTTGCTGGGATCGACTGCCCTACGGGTTTTGGCTGTCGGTACGAGCTCATTGTCGATGATGTTGTAGAAAGACTTTTGTGAGAGTTAGCTTGGACTGGAGGAAATCTTCAGGGAGTTGCTTGGATCTACCTCGAAGTTATCAAGCTTGTACGCGGATGTTGTCGACATTATTTCCAAAAGATTCTCTCGAACTTGTGGAAAGATAGAGATCTATCGAGCAACTTTCTTGTCACTCAGACCGTTGATAAAGACGGAATAAGCAGATCTGATTATCATGATCGAGGCCGGAAGTTTTATAGAGTTTACATTCATTATGTTAGCCAATATCGCTCTATGCTCGTGCCTGAAGCTGGCAGGATTCATTCGCAGTATACTGTCCAGTGACTGCGCGCATGAAAACCAACACGAAAGCGCAACATGTGTATATTTCGGGTGAAGGTCAAATCGCGTAAGTGCTGACTGCAGTTGGGTTACCTGCAGCCACTCAACAGCCATGCCGCTTCTTAACTGGGTAGTGGGTGATATTGTGCAGGAAGTGGTAGTGGCCTGTCTGTGCCCTCACTATGGGCGGCTTGTGCACACAGTATTAGACATGATGGTACAGGTTTCCCAGAATTCTCGTCGTCATGGTTTGCACTACCCGAAATATTACTTCAAAGATCATCTCTGGAAGTAGTACTTAGAACTGTCTTTTATCTTGCCAGTGCTCTTCTATATCTTCTTAATCAGCTAATATTCTGATTGACGTGTCTAGTTTACGGACAAAATTTGGTTCTTGGACCAAATCTCAGACAGGGCTAACCCACCGCCATCCATAGTCTTTGGTTCGGACATAAGTACAACACTCGCTTAGGTCTGGTGTTGGAATGAACCTTCCAACAAAGTTCCAACAAGCGTGTGATACCCAGGCGAGGTGATCGAGCAGTGAGTCCAGCCTGCCGTACACTCATCCAATCACAATAGTGTTCCAACGCGGACAAGAACAGCTGTTACTTAACTCCTTCTCGCGGGGAAACTCATCAAGCTTTAGTTTCTTTCGACTTCATTAAGCTACAAATCCATTCTTCGACGATGGGTTGTATCCACCATTGGATTGAATTCAAGGAGGCCTTGATACGTCTAGCTATTGCCTCTACTGCCGTAATCCTCATCGCTATCCTCATATACAACTGGAGAAAGAAACCCATCGTCTCGTTCTTCCTTCGCCTACTGTTTGTAGTATGGACTCTTTTATTTTCGATCTTCAATTTGTTGACAGGCGGAGAACAAGAGGAGCCTTTGGAAGAAGATGAAAAGTATGATATCAACACAGCACCATATTCGTATGTCTGTACTAATTCGTCCGTAGACCCTACCATGTGCTGGCAACATAACACCCGACCGATGATGATCCCCAAGACCTAGCACCTCCCAGAAAATAAAACGCCACATTACCATTAATATTCTAGCGACACCAATGATATCCTTGAGGGAAAGGGCTGGCAAAAGCATCGTATAAATGTCATCGACTAGACGTCGCCTTAAGTAGCTCGATTTAATCAAAAACATATCTGAGACCATTCTACTGAACATACATTGGCAGTTTTCTTCCATTCCTGTCTTTGAAATCGAAGCGACAGTGGGCCATTTTGTAGTTCAATGGTTCAGTCCCGTCGAGACTCGTTTCGCAGATACCATGCAAATATGCGATTTTTCGGATTGGGGAAAGTACGTCTGACTTCATTGATGCGCCACGCTACCAGAAATAAGACTAAAATTCAAATAATTGCACACTTATTTGGTTCTCGGCTGCACAAACCAGGTAAAAGTACACTCTCTTAATTTTAAAAACGTAAGGAAAGAGTTGAACTTAGAGCTCGGATGACAAGATAGCTAGTTCGTCTACCAACACTCACGAGTCGTATACAGAATTTAAGTTTTAGGTTGGTTTGTTGTTCAGAGAGGCCATTTTTTCTAGTTATTCGTTATACTTTCCTTCTCTATCAAGAAATTTAATTATCTGTTTTAAATTACTCACCATAGTGGTTCCGTACACGTCTACACAATGTCGAATTTCATGACAGAAATAAATTCCACTTAGTGCTGTAAAGACAAAATTTAAAACATAAACAATTCATAATTAACGTCTCTTCGAAAATCCTAGAAATAATACAGATGATTTATACCATTTAGACACCACCACCACAACAACACCAAATTCATAAATTCATTATCTCGTTCCGTATCCGTCCCTTTTCAACCACATTTCTCAATTCCGCCTTCCTCCATCCCAGCCTTAGTACCCGTTGTCATCCTTAAAAGTTGTAGCTCCTACGCTTACCTCCACCTTCTCACTACTGAGTGACATTTCAATGACAGTTCTACTAGAAAGTAGGCGTAGTAGAAACCGAATAACGCAACTGAAAACCTCTCACTATGGTTACTAGATAATCTCAACTGTCTTCGTCTCGACTTCTTGAAAAAGCTGTAAACCTCCACCCTTTGCATAATATGAGTAGAACAAGCCTACACGATAATATTTGCCTGGTTTCGTAGAAGCTGGATATATGATGAGGCCGTAAGCATCACGAGGTGCTTTGTCGTCATCTTCAATATCCTTCTGGCCGCGAGGTCTACGGCTGCCAAGAAGAACAAGCTCGAAGCCTTTATTCATGGAGTCAAATGTAGAACATGAACCGCGGTTGGAAAGATGCGGCGTGTTCCAGTCTTGAACACAGGTAGCTAAGTAAGTCTTGCTGTCCCCGTATGCCACTTCATCATAACTCCATTCACCAACAGACATTGCGGTGTAGATATCGCGGTGCTCATGCCTAAGCGTAGACGGCAGTTTGCTGACTATACTATTAATTCGAAGTACTCCTTCAGATACGTTACCAAAGTTGTTGTCGCCTTGTAGTCTCACCCAAGGGACAATACTGCATTCCTGCCGGCACGGCATAGTCCTTGGGTCGTATAGTGGCATGTAAACACCAGCGCTACCATTCATAGCAGAGTTATGAGACCACGACCAAGTGGGAGCACTTCCTGACTCTTCCTCTTCCAAATCCCGTAAGTGGTTTTCGAAATCTAGTTGGGACTTCCAATTTCGCACCCACATGAGAGCTCGGAATAGGTCAGCCTTCCACAAGCCGGCGACATAGTCGCTCTTCGGGACTTTGAGGAGATGACAAAACTTTGCTGCGAGCCCTGAGAGTGCAGGCAAGCAGTCTGTGAGCACGGTAAGTGAGTCGGGACCACGCCGCTGACTGAATTCGTGTATAAATCCGGTTACCCAGATCTTATACAGTCTGTCGGTATCTGCGTTCGATTCATCCATATACCGAGACAGTTTAGACCCCTTGTAATAATGAACAGAACTGTTGTAGTTGTAAATCTCGGCTATCATGGGACACTCAAATTGTAGGCTCAATTTGCCAAACATGAGCGTGCGCGTTGATAAAAGATGCTCCTGAAAAGTCCAGCCTCGCCGAGACCACGATGAGAACTGTTTACCGTATAGAGATGTTGGCCAATCCGCCATATCACTGTCGATCTTCACCACAAATTGTTGTATGCTGTGTGTGCCATGCATGGTCGCATTGATTTTGGATTGGAAAGGAATATATATTCGAGGAAGGAGATCACTGTTACCCAGAAATCCTTCGTTACAATTATTCGAAGAGCTCGCACATATTGTGGGTTGTGCGTTACCGTAGATGAGATCCATCACTGAGCAATTTTTCTGCCAGTCTGAAGCGTCATATTCATCCTGAAGTATGCATAGCGTATCAACCCACAGGTAGTCAACAGATAGGGCCCTGGAGACGTGTACCGCGTCTTTGATCGCTAGAGTCAATTCTTCCTCCTGAATTGATAGACATCTTTGCTGCAAATTCGCTGAAGTGGTCTTTGGCTGATGGATTACGTCGTCCTTTGTGCCCCAGACATAGCTCAGCGCCGTATACTTCGGGCATATGCTATTGGAGGAGCGCTTAACTAGCTCTTTCTGCAAGACAAGCCTCAATAGACCTTCACGAACGTCCAAAAGTCTTGGAGGAAAAAAGGTAGGATCTAAACTTGAGTTTTTTGGATGCTGATGGCTAGCGCAGTCTTTTAAGTTACGTATCACCCAATCTATGGAGCCACGGTCAAGGGTGAAATTGTCCCTGATGGGGGAGTGGATAGCCACTGGATGGCAGAACCTAGAATCCAGTATTATTTAGACAAAATCTCAATTGAGGAACGAATTGTTTATACTTACCGGTGCCACTTTGGATCGGAATGCTTATAGGTAGCGAGTGCCTTCTGTTGACTGTGAGATAATTTAGTCGATTGATCCTCCGAGTCTTACACTCTTTTACCTAAAATGCCAGTGAATATTTGTTTACTCACAATTTATGTCCGCTACCATCCAAGTAAGACTGAAGCATACGTCTGTATTACGGTATCTTCTCCAAACTAAGGACAACGTGACAGAGATAGGAGACCGTACTCTGACTATCCCCCTCCTCTTTAAACAATCTGAAAATTCGCTAGATAAAATCGCATGTCTCATGAATTCGCAAAAACTACAGCCTTCTCGCGCGGACCATGTCAAATATGGAAGATCCGGGTAGTCGTCAGTAAGTAAAAACTCGAGATGAAGCGGCTTCCAATTTGCACCTTGACAGAGGCCAAGACGTTTTTCATCAGCGAAAGAAATTTCAATATGGTCGTCTATCTTCGAATCGTCGAAAGATAGAACCTGGCATTTGCCGCAGAGCTGGGCGACACGAACACCATCATTCTGGAGAGTGTCAGCTGAGCCTGACATGTATGTATTGACACTGATGACATCCGGGTTTGTTGCGGCAACCTCTACCAAATTTCATCCAATCCTTAATGATGTTACACCGATGTTGAGAGAAGAACAGTCGCTATTAAGGTTTTGAGCGCTCGAGACGAAATAAGACGTCAGCTCGTCACGTGCCATCACGCAGTCATGTTAATTCTACTTTATCACACTCTGTTTGTTTTGCTTGAAGACAGTTCTCTCATTTGCATTTAGAGTTTAGTCTCGTAAGTAGTAGAACTGTAGAACAGAATTAAGGTTTTAGAATTATGTGTGTAATACTTTTTCATCGTCTACCACTACCTCTACTAAGTTGGAAATTTAGTGAGAAGCTTATATCTAAATTTTAATTATATAGAGTAGGTAATTTGTGAAAAGTAAACATATTTATATCAATAAATGATCACAAAATAGTAGAGATAAAGAACTTCAGTAACAAACTTGACAAAGATAAATACCAAGACACAAAATTTGAAAGGTTTAAGGCCAATCATCTTCCCGTCAGTTAAACAAATCTGTTCAGAGCTGTTATGTTTTTCGATTATTGTTTTCCCAGATGAAGTAATCTCATACCCGAAGGAGTACTCCCACAGCCTTCAATTTAGCTTATTCCCGGTATATATTAGTATTAGGCCGTGATTGAGGATTCGCTTAAGCGACTGTTCGAAGTTATGTACGAGGTAATTTTCTGTCAACATCATTAAAGGTTTTACTTTAATCCGCTACAATAGAAAAGACTCGAGTGACACATGGGCGAGATACGATAGGACTTTTCTGGTGTGCGCATGAGACATTGTGTGAGGTGTTGCTTGGGAGGCTGGAGAGAAGACTAAATGAGACGTATGAATAAGATAAGATGGCTGATACCCTCTGATTGAAAGATTGGAGTCAAGGCTGTAGATTTAAGATTTTTACCGAGAGTATCGTCAATAGTATACTGTTATTCGATCTCTCTTGCTTCTCGAACGCATTGGAATTGAGAACACCGAACTAGGTCCGAGACATACCGCCGTATTCTTCAACAATATTCAGACGACCACAACCATCTTGCAGGAATACTTGTACCAGTCTTTAAGGGTCTTCTCCAACGTTGTCTAAATAAGTTTGTTAAACCCGTCCCTAGCAAGTGGAGAGGGGTAAGCAACCTGCATGACGACTAGCTTAAACCCTCGCACTACCCCCCTTTCTCGCTTAGCTCCCCTAGTCGGTCCAGTACTTGTACCTATTAGACTACAGCTAGGAGAGTAAGCAAACTATAGATAGAACGGAAGCATCGCTTTCTCTAATATTCAAGAATCTGGATATTTTCCATTGTTACATTTATTGTTGCATTGGGACTGACTGCCGACCTTAAGCCCGATGGCATCATCGCTGCCGACGCCGAAGGGCGAACTTGGGGTTCAGTTGGATCGTATGCCGCAACAAGAGGGTGTACGGACGGCAGATGATGATTGGACGGGACGAAGTGATGCAGTTGAGAGAAGGAGATTGCAGAATCGGATTCATCAGAGGGCTTTTCGTAAGTGTATATTTTTCTAGTGACGTATTTAACGAATTCAAGGAATATAGCGTAGATTAGTATAGAGGTCACTTGTTCATATAGCGTTATATTCTACATGGTGATTTATTTATACTAACCGACCACCAGGAAAAAAGAAAACCGACAAAAGGCGACTAGAACGAGCAGGTGCTCTAGGCTCCTCAAGCGCCTCAGAGGCCTACAGAATAGAAGACATATCCTCTACTGCCACACCAACAGCATACACAACAACCACCTCAACATCCACAACCACCAAAACCACAACAATCCCAATCCACTCAACCCAGCCCCCAAACAACTCAACAACCATCTACGCCTCCCTCCAAAACAAACCAGACACCCTCAAAACCCCCGTAAAATGGGCAGACCTAAGTCCCGCCCAAGCAAACCAAGTCCTCCACCGCTTCGACAACTACATGCGGCAACAAGCCCTCATCGCCTCACCTCGGACAGACCTGCTACTAACATTGATCCAATACAACGTGTTCCGGGCGCTCGTAAGCAACACGCACGCTTTAGGCGTGGGCTTTGAATGGCTGGAGGGTGAAGCAACGTCGAGTTTCTACACGGACACATGGAATTCCGTAGATTGTCCAGCGGTATTACGACCTACGCAGTTACAGCGAACAGTGGAACATCATCCTTGGATTGATCTCTTCCCGTTCCCGGCGCTGCGAGATAATATCTTGCGACAAGGCGAAGAATTCGATGATGATGAATTGTGTTATAATCTCGTAGAGGTGTGTCATGCGCCGAGTGAGCGTAGCGGGTTGATCGTCTGGGGTGAGCCGTCGGAGCCGCGGAACTGGGAAGTGAGCGAGGGGTTTTTGGAGAGGTTTGCGTGGGTGCTGGGAGGGTGCTGGGAGTTGAGGGATAGTACTAATTATTGGAGGGAGAAGAGGGGGGAGGAGTTGTTGTGGTTTAGTGTTACATTGCCTGCTGAGCCGTAGGTGGGAGTGAGGAGATGGTATTAAGATATTTGTATTTTTCATATGTTCTATTTTGTGTCTAAGGTTTTCAGATCGTGATTCGTGGTTTTAACATAAGTACAGTTGAAGCATATTTCGGTTACGCCCTAACTCTGACAGGTTTTGGTGTGGATGTCGTGACTGGTGTGCGCATTGTTGCGGGAGCGGACCCTCGAGTGGCGATGTTAGGGATCTTCTTGGTGGTGGTAGTCGAAACAGGAGGAGCTGTTCCGTTGACTTCCCGAATTCTACCCTCTAGAGCAATATTGACTGGTGTTTGCGCAAGGATGTATTGCGTGAGGACGAAATCTTGGGTATCGAGAATTGCAAACTCGGTCCTTTTGAGGAAGATATTGTCACCGCCTAAGAGATGTTAGGATATTTTTTTCATAATAGCAAAGGTTGTTACATACCACCAGCAAGGAAGTCGAGAGTGATAACAGTGTAGTTCTTAGTGAAAGAGAGCGGTCCATCAAACAAATCCACGCTGACTAGTCTGCTACCGACAGCATTGCGAGGATTAAAAGTGATATTAACGCCCTTACTAACTTGAATAGCCGAAGTCACAGCTGCACCGTTGAACTGGTTGACTTTCGACACGGCTCCTTCAAGAGTCTTCCAAAGCTCCTGTCCTGAGATGTTGATCTCCACAATTGCGTTTCCGAATGGGAATGAAGTAAGAACTTCTCCACGAGTAATATTTCCCTCATCAATGGTAGCTCTAATACCACCGGCATTGATCAGTGCAAAGGCGACGGAAGGATTTTGCGGTTGTCGGTAGGCCAACATAGCATCAGTCATGAAGTCTCCGAGAAGACATTCTTTCTGTTGACATGTCGTCTGATCGAGCACGACATTGGAGAATCCAACGACTTCAGCTGCGAAAGCCTCGAATGGTTCACGCCATTTCTTGATTTGCGCCTGCAGAGCTAGGTCTTGGGCTGTGGTGTTGTCGAGATGGATCGGAGCACCGTGATAGGCGAGGATCTTGCCTGCTGGAGAATAGGTCACATCAATGTAACCGAGATACTCACCCCAACCTGTGACATGTTACTTCAAAATATTCCAAAAATACGTTGCCAGGAAACTTACGGTAAGCGGTGACAATGAAGACCTCATCACCATCCAAGTTGGTAGCAATAGTAGGGTATTTGCCAACAGCGCCAGCAAAATCACCTAGAGGAGTATGACTATGTCCTCCCATGATCAATTGAAGACCAGAAACTGCGGCTGCAAGCTTTTTGTCCTCGTCATACCCAATATGCGTAATAGCCGCAATGCGGGTAATGTTTGTGGTGGACTTAATGTGATTAATGGTGTTTTGTACAGCAGACACAACATTGGTGAACTTTGTGTTAGGGCCTGGTGACGAGATCGATGGAGTGGTGTCAGTTGTGACACCAATGACAGCAAGTCCGTACTCCTCATAGATGTGATATGGCTTGATTGTAGCATTAAGGACCGGATGATCCGAGACAATATTTGCGGAGATGATTGGAAACGTGAGATTTTGAAGGAAAGCTCCAAGTTTGTCGTCTCCGCCGTCGAATTCGTGGTTACCAAGCGTCATACCATCGAAACCGAGCTGATTGAGTGTTTCGGCAATCTTCTCACCACCGTAGTAGCTGTAGAATAGCGTGCCCTAGATGATGTCAGCACTGCCAACCAGAATCAATTGACATTGGAAAATACCTGGAACTCGTCTCCAACGTTCAAAAACAAGCTGTCTGGATGTCCCGGTCTGGTATCCTTGAGCATCTGAGATACTCGAGCATATCCACCAAAACATCCTTTGGTAGGATCCGGGCAGTCGACACCACTTGAACGGAACTCGTCAAGATGTGCGTGGACATCATTGATATGGTAGAAAGCTTCAATGTGTCAGTACGAAATACTGAACAAGTTCAATCAAGAAATGCCTACAAATATTGTAATTTCCCTGATCATCAATGAACCTCTTTCCCATCCGTTTGCTCACCAACACGTCCTCAGCAGCAACCAAGCTGGAAGCCCCAACCAGCAATCCAGCGGAAACAAGGGATTGCGAGAACTTCATGATGTCGATGACTTCAAAAAATTGACAGAGAAATAAAAGCGTCGCAAGACAACAAACTTACAATCGCGAATGGATAAGATTTTGTACCCTTGGCTTTGCCACAATCCTTTGTCTGCCCCTCTCAGGGTCTAAAAAGCTTGAGCAGCTCTGGATAGCAATCTACTTGGCAGTCCAGGTCGCCAAGTCCGTGATAGGCATCACATGTGGTGATTCTGTGGTATCTGGATGACAGCCAAGAATGCAATACCACTTGGCATACATTCAGAAAGAGTCTGGAAAACCTCAGAGGCACTTTAAGGCAGAGTGCAGACAACGTGCAGATATCTTTTGTTGCGCAGAGTCGGGGGACGCGAACGGAAAGGGGAAGGTTCAGGTACCGAGGTGCCAAGCGAATGTTTACCTTCCAAAAGGGGCTAGACAATCTACATAACAACCTCGCTCTCCGTCCCAACCACCAGTTCTCTCTCCATATTATAAAGTCTTGGGAGAAGGGATTCAAGCTGATGGTTATCATGATCTGCTGCTATTGAGTGGAATAGTAATGTTCTTTACCAAGACCACGGCACCATCCGGCGGTCCCGCCAATAGCAATTGATAGGAATCGACCGTTTGCCGCATAGCGATTCATCTCAGCTTCATCCTAGCCTCAACCCGCATCCTCCAACACCTTCCCCAGTGAGAAAGGTTCGCGACGGCCGATTGTTTGCCCCTCAGCAGCCGCCACTGCCGCCAAGGCTCAGGTATCGGTGGTGAGCTGCCGAGGGACCTGGAGAACGTGGTATCATTGGGGGAATGAGGATGGGCATGCGCAAGGCTACGAGCTGTAGCGGAGGGGAGGGGTGAGAGCTGATGATGTTCTTATGCTTGGGAAGTCCCGGTGTTTTCATTTCTTGAAATTTTTTGAAGCTATCTCTATACTCTCTATACCGTTGAGGCATTCACTTGACCTCTTGTAATCATGAAGTTTTCTCCTCTTGTTGCCAGCGTTTACGCTGCTCTTCAACTTTCACTTTCTTCCGCTCTCACAATAAGCGAGATCAATGGACATAAATATCTTTCTCCATATGCCGGACAGAATGTGACTGCTGTCAAAGGACTTGTCACTGCAAAAGGACCAAGGTTAGCATTCTTCTATACCATGTTTCAAAATTCAAATGGCTTTCTGGTGAAAAGCTAGATATCAATTGTAGATTTTGGGATTTTGAGTTGCTCGAGAAAAGCTACTAACAGAACTCACAAATAGTGGTTTCTGGATCAAATCAACAACACTAGACTTAGACCCCCGATCCTCAAACTCAATCTACGTATTCAGCAGTTCAGCAGGCCGAAACCTCACCGTAGGAGACATAATCACCCTCGATGCAACCGTCCTCGAATATCGCTCTTCCTCAGCATATATCTACCTAACCGAGCTCACCACTCCCTCCAACGTTGTCCGTATCTCAAGCGGCAACAAAGTAACCCCAATAGTAATCGGAGAATGGCTACTCAAATGGCCACCGACCGAGCAATTCTCCTCCCTAGACAACTGGGACGTCTTTGGTCTTCCAAACAACGCTAGTCAACTATCGGTCAAGAACCCAAGTTTGAATCCATTAATCTACGGCTTAGATTTCTGGGAGAGTTTAAGTGGTGAACTGGTTACCGTCAAAAGACCAAAGGCCGTAGCGAAACCAAGTAGTTTTGGTGATACCTGGGTGACTGGCTCTTGGAGAGTATCTGGACGGAATAAGCGAGGTGGTTTGACTTCCACAGATCGAGGTACTTACCCTATTTATATACACAAACACACCTTCTAATAGATCTCAGATTCCAACCCCGAAGCAATCCTCATAGGCTCCCCCCTCGACGGAACCCCCAACCCAAAAACCACCCGTCTCGGCGACGACCTTGCTGAAATCACTGGTATCGTCACCCAGGCATTCGGATACTACCGCATTCTCCCCCTCACAGCCCTCAGCGTCACCGGCTCCCAATCCCCAGACGTAGCACCGGTCACAACTTTCACCTCCGGCGGTTCCTGCAGTAAACTTACCATCGGCTCCTACAACGTCGAAAACCTAACTCCGAAATCCTCATACCTGCCTTCGATAGCAAGTCACATAGTAAACTACCTGAAAACACCTGATCTAGTATTCCTCCAAGAGATTCAAGATGATAACGGCGCTACCAACAACGGCGGTACGTCTCCTTTATCCTGTCCAAATCTCGCTTACTGATTGACATAGTCGTATCATCCAACCTCACCCTCTCAACCCTCATCGCCTCCATCTACAACCAATCCGGCACCACCTACGCCTACACCTACATATCCCCCATCAATCTCGCCGACGGCGGCGAACCCGGTGGTAACATCCGCGTCGCGTACCTGTACAAACCCACTCTCCTTCGTCTCTCGCCCGGAGCTCAAATTGGCGGCTCACTCGACGCCAACGTCGTCCTCCCCGGGCCATCCCTTCAATACAACCCTGGACGCATCGAGCCCTCAAACGCAGCATGGACGGCGTCCCGAAAACCGTTGGCGGCCCAGTGGGAGACGCTGGATGGGAAGAATAAGTTCTTCACTGTGAATGTGCATTTTGGATCCAAGGGCGGGAGTAGCTCGATTGAAGGCGATTATAGACCGCCCGTAAACGGTGGGATTGAGGATCGTGAAGCTCAGGCTAACGTTACAGCCGTATGTCCAACCACCACCCACCACCCATTACATCCCGTCAACTAACCCAAATTCTAGACATTCATCTCCCGCATCCTCGCCCTCGACCCCTCAGCCCGTATAATCGCGTCCGGAGATTTCAACGAATTCGCATTCGTCTCGCCCATAGAAACATTCCAATCCATCTCCAAACTACAAGATCTAGACGTCGTAGCGGGGATCCCGGAGGTGGAGCGGTATAGTTATCTCTTCGACATGAATTGTCAGGAGCTGGATCACATGTTTGTGAGTCCTGCGATTGCGAAAAAGAAGGGGAGGGGAGGCGTGGAGTTTGAGCATGTGCATGTGAATACGTGGAGTAGCGTTGCCGGGCAGATTAGCGATCATGATCCTGCGGTTGCGAGGTTGGATTTGTGTCAGTGATGAGGTAGAAGTCTTTTTAATGGGTGATGGGGCTGGGAAAATAAAGGGTTATTTATGAGATAATGAATTTATAAACGCTTATGTATTTAATGTTCTGTGACCCTCTTTTGAATCTGAACGAGGAATGTTCTATGTACTCTATTCCCTAACGCCAAATAACCGCTTTGTAAGCCGATGGCCTTTTGAAACCTTGAAATCTTTTGTTTGCCAGTTGAGGAGCGATGCTCACTAGCCTTAAAACGGAAGCAACACACTATCCGCTACGAAAACTCCATGGTATAACGCCAACGCCCGCTTGATGTATGCAAACCCCAACCTCCATGCAAAGTATACTCAAAATGCTAGTCACTGGGCCACGTCCCTTAGATAAAATCCTATTTGTCAACTGATGTGAAAATACCCTTTCAAAGCGTCAAAAATGATAAAGATGAATGCTGAACTTGGGGCGCTCCTCGCAACCGTCATGCCGCAACCCCTATACAGTCCTTTTAATCCGTATTGTTTCCATAGTGTGGCAGCCTCTTGTGAGAAAGAAGGTGATAAAGAACCTGGAGTGACAGAGCTGGTTTGCATTCGAGATTTTACCGTGTCCGCTGGGTAGAACAGAAAGTTGTATGACATCCCTGCTGTAGCACCAGCTATTGCTTGCTGCCACAGAGGAAGTGGTAATAGTTCTGTGCTGCTTGCTGCAGAGTTCTGGCTTGATTTGGCGTTCCATTTATGAAACAGGAGAGTCACGGTCTCCTTGCTGCCGAACCATGCTGCAGAACCACCAGTTTCTCGAATCAAGGTTCCCATTTGACCATTCCAAAAGCCTCTCAACCCATGGTGACGAAACACTTCTCGAATGACAGACAATGGTGTGGGAGCTTTGTGTACCATTCCATCCGTGCTGGCTGTTGCTGGTACTTGGATCCTGCACTTGACGAGCTCGACTGGAGTGAGGACAAGAGAAGTAAAAGCTCCAGCAAATGCACCCGTGAGAAATAAAGCCGACAAAGGAAGTGGCTTTTCCCGATTGTATAGACCAGCTGAAAATGCTACTTCTCGTCCAACGCGTTCCCAAAAAAACAGACTACTGGTCTCTAGAGCTGCCCCAACAAGCGGAGCACTTATGCCGCGATAGAGCCCGATTATCCCATCGCTTCGAAGGCCCTGCTTGAAGCAATCAACTGGTCCTCTATATCGTAGTGGTAGGTGGTCTGGCTGTGATTGTAGGCGAACTTTCACCGTGTCGAATGGATATTCGATATACTTGCCAGCGATACCAGCGATCTAGATTGTTAGTGGTAGTTTTGTTAATTGTCAGCCGTAACTTACAGAACCAAACGTTATATCCTCCAACGCCTCCATAACAGCTTCTTTCCCCTTCATCTCTCCAATTGGAGAGGGGGATGAGAGAGGCGTTGTCTCGGTAGCAAGTGACATTGTATATGGTGCAGCAAACGCTTCTTTGTTGTTTGTGTGCTTTGGGCTGCGAGACCACTGATCTACGTCTGTCTGCGAGACAACGCCGTCACAGATATTGTGTGCGATTCAATAAAGTCGTCTTTGAATGTAGAGAGACTCCGGAGAATTCGATTATGTTGGTTTGTGAATAGATGAAGCTCGGCTGGCAGGTAGTCGTACTGGTGCTTTACTTTGTGCCACTGCGGGAGAACCGTATTCCGAGAGCGAGGTATTAGAACGAATCGATTTTGAGATTTGAGGCAGAGAGATGTAACCGGGACTTTTGCGTGTCTAAATCTCCATCCAGCTGGCAAGGGGGAATCCAGAACTAAAGGGAACACGAGTGGGTGCTAATGCCGGTATCGCGGGGCTATCGAGGAAGCATTTCGACAGGCGGTCTGGGAGAAGGGGTCGTTTTCGTACGCCTCAGAACGCCGCATTCGTGATAAGCTTACTCGGGGGTTTTTTGATCCAATGAGCGATTTACAGAGTATGCTGGGTAAAATCCAAGAAAGTGTCCGCAGAGAGCTTGAGGATCATTACGGTTTTGTATGTTTTGCCAGACGACCGATTTTGAAAAATGGAGACAGGGAGGGGAGAAAAATGTTGTGACGCTATTTGCGGGTCGGCTTTGTTCGAGACCGGGGCAGATTTAGCGTAGATCTAATCTGATCAGATAAGGATTCCTCCAATTTTCGAGAACTTTTTCCAGCCGATAACCTTGCGGGGCATCGACACTTCTACACCACCCCACCACCAGTCTATTCGAATAAGTGGTCAGCCTCATCATGTCTACTGATGTAGCTGCTAGCACTCCTGTGCCACAGGCAGAAACTGTGCAGCCTCAAGGGATGCGCAAAAATGGTAAGTCGAATTGCTCGATGTATCGACTATCTCTCTGATTTTCTCAGGCAAGCAGTGGCATGAACCAAAAGCCGCCTTCCGACCTAAAGCTGGAAATTCCACATACGAAAAGCGCCAGGAAGAGCGCAAGGCCATGGCAGCTACTAAGGCGAAGGAGAAGGAGATGAAGGACGAGAAAGAAGAAGAGAGACAGGTATATCTACCGTCAGAGTTGCGATTCGGGACTAGGAACTGACTTAGTATCACAGAGAAGGATCACCGCGCTAAAAGAGAAACGCGTAAAGAAGGAAGAGAAAGCTCGGTACGAGAAAATGGCAGAGACGATGCATAAGAAGAGGGTTGAGAGATTAAAGCGCAAAGAGAAGAGGAATAAGATGTTGAAGTCGTGATCATTTCTGCGATTGTTAATGCAAAGCATGGTTGGCGTCATGGAATAGGACTTGGGCGTTTACGAAGCATGGAACACAAGGTCAAATGTCTATACAGGCCTGATACCCATCACATTATAACATTATTCCTGATAGTATCATTCACCAGGTCCTTTGTTTCCCTCGCATGGAACCTTGTCGCTTGTCAGCAGTTCTCAAGCACATTCCTGGCGGTGAAAGAGACCGTATAATTCGTGCAACACGAGGCTACCTGCGCAATAGTCGATTGATCTGTCATTTAACAGATTGTATGTGATTGACAATTGATTACAACCGCCAATGTCCGACCTCAACGAAGCATCACGGCTCAAGCGCCGCCACATGCAAACTGCACATCTTGCACTAAGGGCCCGCCTTAATCGTCGGAGTCTGGAGCTACTGACCCCGGATGGCAGCTCCTTTACCTTCCCTCACTCGGAGCGACCCAAGTCTTTTGTGGAGGGAACAACAATGTCCAGAAATCATTTACCTCCACTAGAAACGTCGAGCCCTAACTCCAAAGTATCATCTAATCCGTTGTCACCTACCCGTCGACACCAAGTTCAACGATCAGTCTCCGAGTTCTCGGCATTTCCTAAGCTCCACCGACCGCATAACCATCACCACCACCACCATCACACAGGTCGACATCATAAGGATGATGTTGCCCAGAGTGCGGGTCCGAACTTGCAGCTCAATGGTGAGGCGGTAACCTCGCAAAGTGAGAATGCGACGCCGAATGACAGTCGAGATGTGAGTCGCAGAACGAGTGTCCTCGGCTCTGGATGGGAAGATGGTCAAAGAGAGAGAGAGAATATGGTTGTTCGAGAAGGACAGGTTGCCGAAGAGAAGCAAAAGGGGTCTCAGCGTGCAATGTAGGGAAATGACGATTTGAAATCAACAAAGACTGACATACCCAGGGAACTGCGGAATTCTATCTTGGACCTGAACACATTATCCAACAGCACCACTCGAAGGCTCGACAATACATACTATTCCGTTCTCGAAAAACTGTCTACACTACAGAACACTATTCTGTCGATGCAAGAAATTGCTGGCATGACGAAGAGCATCAATGAGGAATTCAAGGCTGAGAGTCAAGAAATCGTTCGCGATGTCCAAGGACAACTGGACGCTTTTGGTGGATTTAAGAATCAGGAGAAGAGGATATCTGCGCTTCAAGAAAGGGTCACAGTCGGAAGGAACAAGATAGGGACACTAGGAGAGAGGGTCGATATCATCCGTGAACGAGTTGAAAGTTGGGAGAAAGCAGAGTTCGAATGGCAAGAGAGAACACGACGACGCTTCAGGATCTTATGGATGATCATGTCTGCCGCGGCGGTGATCTTAATCGCGCTGATTCTATTTCAGTATACTCCTGCGCGGACGCCTACGAATGGATATACAAAGGGCATGAATACCTCTTCTATACCGGATTTTGAGAAGTTGGAAAACGAGACACTTCGGCTCAAGAATCATACGGCCAAGATATTGGAAGGACTACGGACAGGCGAAGACGAAAGATTGAAAGAAGATCCAAGATTAAAGCTCTTCGACGAACTTTGAGACTTCTTGCAACGGTGCCAAGATGTACCAAGATATCATATTGCGCCTTCACGGTACGGCAAGATCCTTCATCCCACAATAAAGACCCTACAGCATCAGCTGAGTCTAGGCTGGAAATAATGCCTAGGCGCCCAGGAAATAAGTTTGAGGACCGACAAATTAGAGTCGGCAGGGTCACTTGGTTCACTCAGTATTCCTTGAATTTCTTGTGATGACACGACAAGTACCTATTGCCACATGCATATGCCGGTTACCGGCACATGAAAAATGGAGGTGATGAAAGAACGAGACCGATCCATATGCTACCTAGGTAGAGTACGAAAGTGCTAGATGGTAGGGCTCTTAGTGTCTCTAAATGTATTGGAACCAGACTCGTTCGGTAATCAGTTGTATACTCGTAAGATCTTTGCCAGATCATGTATCGCTTTTCGAGTAGTAATAGAGGAATAGTCTAGTAGTTTTAACGGCTCAAAGGACAACTAATCAAAAGAGTAGTCTAGAAAAATAAGTATCATCATTAACGTCCAAAGTTAGCACGAGATGTGGTGTTCGCGCAGTTGTCGATTCGCGGTTAGAAGACAAGGCTTAGGTGATGACGAAGTCTCTTGCTTGCAACTCTCGTCGCGAACTATGAGCGCGCACCCCTGCAGAATCATCATCAGCTGCGAAGTCACGGAGAACAAATCAGTCTAGATTACTTGAGTAGTTCCGTCGAAGGTGTCGCAATAAAATACTCATCTATTCCCACTAATCTTCGACTTTCCTGTTTCTGCTTCTTCCATTCTTGACGTTATTCACAACATCTCTCAGTCCTGCCTCTCGTTGCGAATAAGCACAACTTAATAACTCAAACACCCCGCCCTACCCCGCTACCTACGTAAGATAGACTGCGGCGACCTGTGCAAGCCACATTATTCGCCGTCTCAGCTTTGTACGAAACAATCAGCCTTTCGCGGAAGATAGTTTTGCCTGATAATTTGCGGTGCATCAACAGCCTCAAGTAGCGAACGCTCCCTCACGACGTGTGGTTGGACTGTTGGAAACATCGGGCTCCAAACGACAACATGACGACGAATGGAACCAGCACTGCTGGGCCACTGGCAAAAGGAGAGCAGACATTGACCGGGAAACAAGAGCACTGTACGCCAGAACTTTTACGCTGCTTTGTTTACGTTACTAATCGCCATTGCAGACCTCAAACGCGAGCTTATTTCTCAGCAAGTCAAATGGGAAATCACAGAGTTAAATTCTCCTACGGCGTTGGAACGATTCGGCGCGCCGTTCAAATCTGATCACGGCGAGGTCTCTCCTTTGGATTCTGATCTGCCGATCTTGCGGTACATATTCGTGCATCATGTCAGGGAATTCCCGTTCCTGGATAAGGCGAAGGAGAAGGAGTTTTGGCAGGATAAATTACAAGTGGTGAGTTTGCGAAGCTGATAGCTGAGTGAATGGACAAATGCTGAAGGGTGGTTGTGACAGTTCCTGCAATCGTTTGCGAATAAACACATTTCCTCCTCCGAAGATAGACTTGAAGAGACGAAGCGGCGGAAGCTATCTATAAAATCCCAGAAGTTGGTGGAGCTGATGATGGTATCTGGTATACCTACGGCTTCTGGGTATGAGGAACGGATTAGATTCTCGGAACTCGAGGTTGTGGATGCTGGGGCGATAGATCATGGGGTCTTGTCTACGTTGCCAGAAGGACATTATATGAATGGTTGGGATGTGAATGTTGCTGGTGTGAGAACGGTCTCGGTGAAGAGAAACGTTAGATATCATAAACATGCGGTATGTCAGAGAACACGACACATGGGGGGTAACGAGCTGACCAGTTGCAGGAATTCATTCTTAGAGTCAAGAGGAAAAATGATCTGGAATTTTTCGTTGGGAGAAGATATGGCGATTTTAGCAGGTTACACAAGAAATTGCGGACTGAATTACCTGGAAAGGTTCTCCCATCATTACCGAGAAAGAATAAGCAGAGTTCTACAGCTTCGAATCTGCTGGGTGCTGCGTTGGGGAAGGATGATGACAGTGATGCCTCATCAGTGTCGTCTCTTTCTACTGTTGGGACAGCAGGCATTGATGGTAGCATGAGAAATCTCACTGTAAAAGGTATGTCATAGCTATGATTGTGTTATTGAACCCATACTAATCACTCTCAAGACCATCGACGAAGCACTTCCGGAGCTAGTCTCAGAGGCTCGCCGAGAGCATCTACAGACGGAAAAAGATCCCCGCCATCAGATGTAAGTAACATAAATGCTTAGGGGTGTCATGTGGTACTGACTCTAGCAGACCGTAACTTTGTGGAGGGAAAACCAGAGAATCTCACTAAGAGCATTTCTCAGAACCCTTCTTGCGAACCCACAGATCGCAAACACAAAAGCGATGACCGAATTTCTTACTCTTACCCCCATTCTACCTACGGATGCAGATGTAATTGATATTGCCCGCCGAAAGGCTATGGATTCAAAGCGAGTCGAGGAACAGAAGAAATTTTATGAAGTCGCGAGAAAGCGTGCAGCTGAACTAGATGTGTATATGGAGCAGTAAGCATTCCGTGTCTGGGAAAAAGGTTAAATCTAACACTTTTTAGATTCCGTCGCGATATCGTCGAGCAAAACGGTCTTACCAAGCTATTCCAAGAAATTAAGGACAAAGAGAAGATCCAAGATCTAAGTTTACAATATCAGAAGTTTGCTGAATGGCTACGTATTGAGGTTGCCGCCACTTTATACCACTTGTTCTTGGCAGAAGACAACTCCCCAGAGCTTTTCGCTCAGATGAAAAAGATTCATTCCATGATTCCATATACCCTCATCAAGACCGCTATCCGGATAGCAAACCCGGCAGCGGTCATGGCTAGCGTTCTTGATATCTTCCTTGCGCGGCCGCTTGGTTCGAAATCGCTGATGCAAAGAATTTTCTCATATACGTTAAATGACGGTATTAGGAGCTATCAAAAGTCCGTTGAATCGTTATACAACAAAATAGAAGAACCAGTCTTCTGCGACAAATTGAAGCTATTTTGCTACTCCGACGAGAACACGAAAAACGTCATTCGTAACGAATCGGAAACCGAAGGCGTGGACTTAATAATAGCAATCTTGAGATCTGAAGACCTTGAGCCGGCTTTGAATGGGGCTCAAATCGGCAAAATCTATAATGCTTGGGTGGCCTGGAATAACGCGGTGGATAATGTCGACGAGGAAATGAAGCAAGGAGCTCAACTGTTCTCATACTTGAAGCAGCTACTCAAGCTCTATACGAGGCAAAGGGATAAGGAAATGATGTTGAGTATGATTGAGGAGCCTGTTACGTTACAGCTGCTTAAAGATCTCTTTACCATATTCTATGAGCCACTCGTCAGGGTGTACAAATCGGCGAACGTTTACAACAGTGTTACGGACTTTGCAGTCTTTATGGACGATGTGATACAGGTAAGCTCGCCGATTTCTCTCGACAGTGACTTCACTAACTCTCTCAGACTGTGGATAAATGTAGAGAACAAGACGTCTCAGCAGACCCGAACCAAACAGTCCAAGCATTCATCGACCTTTGCCAGCGTCACGAACACAATTTTTATAAATTCGTCCACGAAGTTCACACTCACGATAACGGGCTCTTCACACAACTCATGGGATGGATAGAAGGTATTCTCGAATTCCTCCGTCACGGTCCCAAAGCCGGCAAATTAGACATCAACGCCCTCTTCGCGGGCGCCGTCAGCGTCGGCCAAGTCAACAAAGACGTCGCCATCGACGAAATCAACAAACTCATCTCCTGGCAAGAAGCCCGCAAGAAATGGCACCAAGACAAAACCCGCCAGAAGATGGCCGCTGAAGGCACCGGCGCGGCCGTCGACCCTGTTCCCGGGGCTCACGCCTTCAACACGGCGGACTTCGGCATCGATCAGATGGATCTCCAGGAGATTAACTATGATGAGGATGAGGATAGTAGCGACGAGGAGGGAGATGACGAGTTGGATCCGATCGAGGCGGAGAGGAAGAGGAGGGCAAGGAAACAGGACCATCTTAGACGGAGTGCGGGCGAGCCCGAGAAACCGGTTGTTGGGGAGGTTAATCATTTGAGGGAGAGCTTTTTGGTTATGCTTAGGATGGTGCTTGCTGAGTAGAGAGGGTCCTGGGAAAGGGATGGGTTGGGTTGGGCTGGGAAGCGGTTATGGGCGGGATGGGATGGGTTAGGCTGGGCTTGTGAAGCGGTTATAGGTGGTGGCATGGGTTAGGATATAAGACGCGAGTACCGTATTGCGTGCTCTTAGCGTAGGTCAATTATAGCGGGATTTATAATCTTTATCTCACTTGGGCTTTTCGGTCGTGTGTTGTAGGTTACATTGTGAACCTAGTGTTCGAAGACTGAGCGCTTGTTACCACTGACCTTCAATCTTTTCCCCCAAAACCCCTCGAGAATCTCGCTTAACAGCAGCTCCTGAACTCATATCCCTCCCCTCCCATCATCTCTCGCCTCCCCCCTCTCACCTCTTTTCCCGTCTCTTGCACCCCCCCCTTCTCACCTCCTACACACCATCTACAATACCTACCCTACACCCTACTCACCCCTAAAACACAAACGATCTTGAAAATTGTCAGAGCCGAGTACGTTGTTTCAGTCGAAGATACGGTAATAATGCTCTGTCTGCGTAGGAGTGGGAGTGGGAGTGCATGGCTGCATAGCAGGAGAGAATTTTAGACCATGTGGAGATCTGTATGTCATGGAATGGGATGACGAATGTACGGGAAATGTGGTTGAGAGAGAGGGTTCACGCGTTTTGATGGAATGGAGAGGGGTATAACTGATTTGAAACGTCAGCCATCAATATCGAGATGCTCGGAAAGTGTACATTAGTATAATCCGGCTCCGAAAATGAGATGCTGCGGGAAGCCATATCACAGCTGGACATTATACTCTCAAAACAAAAGGTGTCTTCTTGATGCATTAATTCTACCTGTAACACCCATGCTGCGCCTGCTATGTTGTACATTGCCCCAATTTCATACATCCATCTAATTGTACTGCATGTAGGTAGCAGTAGAATTAAACTTCAAGTTACCCTTGATAACCTTGTCGACAGCGCTCAAGAAATCCTTCTCGGTTGCAACCTTCCGTCGGGCACGGATAGCAAACATACCAGCCTCGGTACACACACTTCTTAACTCGGCACCGGTTGAGTTGGGGCAAAGACGTGAGATCAGTTCCCATCTGATGTCTCGCTCCACGGACATACTCTTGGCGTGAATTCGGAGGATGTTCGCTCGTCCGTCCAGGTCGGGTAAGGAGAATTCGATTTTTCTGTCGATACGTCCGGGTCTCATGAGAGCTGGATCAAGTGTCGAAGGTCTGTTGGTGGCAAACATGACCTTGATGTTACCTCGAGCATCGAAACCGTCCAACTGTGTAATCAACTCCAACATAGTTCTTTGGACTTCATTGTCTCCACCAGCTCCATCATCAACACGAGCACCTCCAATAGCATCAATTTCATCGAAGAAAATAATGCATGCCTTTTTCGTCCGGGCCATTTCGAAAAGTTCTCTGACCATCCTCGCACCCTCTCCTACGTATTTCTGAACCAACTCACTACCAATAACTCTGATAAATGTAGCGTCTGTTCTGTTTGCAACGGCTCGAGCGCAAAGAGTCTTTCCAGTTCCTGGAGGGCCGTATAGAAGCGCTCCTTTTGGTGGATCAATACCGAGATTTACGAATCGTTCTGGCGATAGAAGTGGCATTTCGACAACTTCTCGGAGCTTTTCCACCTGTTCCTTGCAACCTCCTACATCACCATATGTAACATCTGGCTTCTCCTCGACTGTCATCATTGTAACGCTGGCATCGATCTTTGGCGGTAAAGGCAATAGAATCTGGTACTTGTTTCGGTCGACACTGTTCCATATTAGCACAGCTAAGCATATAACCACTTCAAGCTTACCCAACACGCATTCCCTCCTCGATATCTGTTGGACTGACACGATCCCCGAGGTTCACCACGAACTTTGCTATCTGCTTAACGTTGATAACATATTTGCTCTTCTCGGTATCCTTGTCATCTTGAATGATTTTTGTACATCTCGCGACCTGTAATGGTTGTTCTTCTGACATTCGCTGTCGGTCGGCGGCAATATCCCAAAGATGAGGTGGAGCTAAACCGGTATCTGACTCCTTGACACCAATCTTATCATTGACGCTATTCTGTCTCTCTTTTATCTGCTGTTCGAGCTTCCTCAGACCGGCGGCGTATGGGGCTGCGCCATATGTTTTGAGCACCTGGATATCCCTAAATCCTATTAACAACCAAATCAAAGCTCCATGAACTGGCGACCTACTCATCAGTCAAAGGTGTGATCTTCTTCTCTTCTATCTCGTCATCTGCGAATTTCTTCGTATACTTCTGCCAATCTGCTCCAGTAGCGCTAGCTATATAAATGTTAGCTTCGAAGAATCATAAGGATTGATAAACGTACGCATTCTGTCTGATGGCGGCAATTGACTGTGATGGTTTAGAGAATTCAGTTGCCAAAGTTTCGAATTTGAAGGGGGCGGAGTGGTAAATGAAGTTAGTTTCTATGCGCGAATGAAGAGAGAGGATGTGCAGATAGAAATCCTAGAATTGAAGATTGAGGTTGAAGTGTTTATGGTACAAGGCAAGCTTCCTGACGACGCATCTGAGCGCGACCGAGCTGACATAACTCCGAAGTCGCCTAATCTATCAGGCACCAAAGAAGCTCATGGCAAAATGATTTTCTACGACGCGGTTCACAAGGCAGTAAAACGCGACAGCTTGAGAAATACCCTTTCAAAAGCGTCAAACAACTTTTTACACTCTTTGATACCTTTGAAATTTAGTAAAGATGGCGAATACCCAAGTCGCTGGAAATTCCGGCAATGCAGCTTTCAAGGTATACAAATTTGGAATCTATTTACAAGTTTAGTATGGCTGACCCTCGATCAGGACAAGGAGAAGCCTATGGCTGTTCGCACAGCTAACATCGTTGCAGCCAGAGGTACGTTGGACTCTTGAAGTGCTATAAATTTAAAAAGCTAATGTATAATAGCTGTCGCCGATGCTGTCAGAACATCTTTAGGTCCTCGAGGAAGTAAGAAATAGCTGTACACTGGGTCTGCGAGCAAAAACTTATAAAATTACAGTGGACAAAATGATTCAGGATGGCAAAGGACAGACAATCGTAAGAAACTGCCGGTGGCTCGACGAGGACCATGTCTAATTGTTCTAGATCACAAATGATGGTAATACCATGTTAAAGAGCATGGCAGTTATGCACCCTTCAGCGAAAATGTTGGTCGATTTATCATCTGCTCAAGATGTAGAAGCTGGAGATGGGACGACATCAGTTGTGGTTATTGCAGGAAGTTTATTAGGAGCTGCAGATCGATTACTGGGAAAAGGAATCCACCCATCAGTCATCGCAGAATCATTCCAGAGAGCAGCAGCCGCAGCTGTTCAAGTTCTCCACGATATGTCACATCCAGTCTCTCTCACAGATACCTCGATTCTTTTACAAGCCGCTACAACATCCCTTTCCTCCAAAATCGTTTCACAACATTCAGGGTTACTCGCTCCAATGGCAGTAAATGCTGTCACAAAAACTATCGACATTAAGACTGCTGATAATGTCGATTTAAAGAATATTAGAATAGTAAAGAAGGTTGGAGGAACTATTGAGGACAGTGAGATGGTGGAAGGAGTGGTTTTAACACAGCCCGTAGTCAAGAACGGTGGTGGTCCAGTGAGAATGGAAAAGGCGCGGATAGGACTGATTCAGTTCCAACTGAGTCCGCCCAAACCAGATGTAAAAACCATGGACTTCCTTCGAAAACAGTCACTAACATTATAACAGATGGAAAACCAGATTGTGGTCAACGACTACAGACAAATGGACAAAATCCTAAAAGAAGAGCGAACATATCTCCTCAACATGGTCAAAAAGATCAAGAAGGCGAAGTGTAATGTCCTCTTCATCCAAAAATCTATCCTCAGAGACGCCGTCAACGACCTATCCCTCCACTTCCTCGCCAAACTCAACATCCTCTGCATCAAAGACATCGAAAGAGACGAAGTCGAATTTATCTGCAAATCCACCGGTTGCAAACCAATTGCGGACATCGACTCCTTCAGCGAAGACAAACTCGGTAGCGCCGACCTCATCGAGGAAGTCCAATCCAGCGGGAGCCGTATCGTCAAAGTAACCGGTACCAAGAGCGCCGGCAAAACCGTCAGCATCGTCTGCCGCGGCGCCAACACCCTCATCCTCGACGAAGCCGAACGCAGTCTCCACGACGCCCTGTGCGTCATCCGCTGCCTCGTCAAGAAGAAAGCCCTCATCGCCGGCGGCGGCGCGCCCGAAATCGAAATCGCATCCCAGATCGCGCGCCAGAGCCGCGCTCTCAAAGGCACCGAAGCAATCTGCTGGAAAGCCTTTGCCGACGCCATGGAAGTGATCCCGACCACACTGGCCGAGAACGCAGGATTGAACAGCATCAAAGTGGTCACGGAGCTGCGTCACAAACACGCGAATGGCGAGAAGAACGCTGGTGTGAGTATTAAGAGTGGAGGCGTGAAAGTGGATATCGCGGATGAGAATGTGTTGCAGCCGTTGTTGGTTAGTACTAGTGCGATTCAGCTGGCGAGTGAGACGGTCAAGATGATTTTGAGGATTGATGATATTGCGTTGAGTAGATAAAAAGAATATGTGATGAGGGATTGAGATTAGCGAGGGTGAGGATGGGATGTAGAATAATGCTGTGTAGCAATACCCAAGTTAGTCGTACAAGACCTGGACGGTTTTTCATGTGATATCAGAGCTTATGTGAAGACCATACAACATTAGCAGTCCTTAAAACCACTACATCAGAATTCTGCAGGTTACATCACACGAAATACCCCCCGTTATCATTGAAAAGAATCCAAGGACTGGGTGAAAATCTTCATAACCAGACACCTAGCTACGCAAAACCGCTCAGTTAGAAACCAACTAACTTCCATTTTCATCATCATAACGTTCATCTCTCTTATACGGTACCTAACCTCGCTAACATCAATTCGCTTAAATCTTCACTCAACATCACCTCACATCACATACCCAACCTCTCGCAACCCTCTCCCCTTTTCCCCTCACCAGCTCCCCTCACGCCTAATCTAATACTCCTCACCCCCCTCCTCAGGCTCCAAACTATCCGCAGCAACCTCCTCATAATCCTTCTCCAGCGCCGCCAAATCCTCTCTCGCCTCACTAAACTCGCCCTCCTCCATGCCCTCGCCCACATACCAATGCACAAACGCGCGCTTACTATACATGAGATCGAACTTATGATCGAGTCTACTCCACGCCTCCGCGATGGCCGTCGTGTTCGACAGCATACTAACTGAACGATCGACTGAAGCGAGCGCGCCATCGCCAGGCGCGGTCGAGGGAACGGAAATGGGTTTTTGGTAGTTGATGCCGAGCTTGAATCCGGTGGGACACCATTCCACGAGGTTGAATGAGGACTTGGCTTTCAGGGCTGCGACGGCAGCGTTGGTGTCGCGCGGGACGACGTCGCCGCGGTAGAGGAGGGCGACGGCCATGTATTTCCCGTTACGAGGGTCGCAGACTACCATTTGGTTGTTTGGTTCGAAGCACCTGGTATTCGGTTAGTGAGAGCAAAGGTGAGTGGGGAGGGGGGCGTACTGAAGGGTAAGTTCTTGTGTTTTGAAACTCTCGTGGGAACTTCGTGCCGCGGAGATGACGGGTGCGTATGAGATGAGTGGGTAATGGATTCTAGGATACGGGACGAGGTTCGTTTGGAACTCATTTAAATCGACGTTCAACGCGCCATCAAAACGAAGAGAACTAGTGATACTACTGACAACCTGGGCAATCAGGCGGTTGAGATGTTCGAAGCTGGGACGAGGGATATCCAGGTTTCGACGGCAGATATCGTAGACGGCCTCATTATCGACAAGGAACGTGCAGTCGGAGTTTTCGATGGTGGAGTGGGTGCTGAGGACGGCGTTGTAGGGCTCGACGACGGCAGTGGAAACGCGGGGAGCTGGGTAGACGGCGAATTCAAGTTTAGATTTCTTGCCGTAGTCGGTGGAGAGACGTTCGAGGAGGAGGGAGCCAAAGCCTGAGCCGGTTCCGCCGCCGAAGGAGTGAAAGATTAGGAATCCTTGGAGGGAGGAGCAGTTGTCCTGTTATATATTAGTACCTTTCCGTTGGAACCCATGCGTTTCTAAAAGAATGCTTCATGTGGGAGATAACAAAACTAACCAAAACACGTCTAATCTTATCCAACGTCCCATCCAAAATCTCCTTGCCCACCGTATAATGCCCCCTCGCATAATTATTCGCCGCGTCCTCCTTCCCACTAATCAACAGTTCCGGATGGAACAGCTGGCGATAATCACCCGTGCGAATCTCATCAATCGGCGACGGATCTAGATCCACGAAGATCGATCGGGGCACGTATTTCCCACTGCTAGTCTCCGTGAAGACGGTGTCGAGCTCGCCGGAATCGTGGAGGGCTTGGGCTTCTGGGTCAGGACGACCGTCTTTTTTGAGACCGTGCTCGAGGAGGTAGCTGGATGGTTGTTAGGAATGATAGTTTGGGTGGAAAGGGGGAAGTACAGTTCCCAAGCGCTGTTACCCAGTTGGGTGCCAGCTTGGCCGATATGGAGATGGAGGATCTGAGGATATAATGTTAGCTTGTTTGTGCTTGCTATACCGCCATTACACGCGCCGGGTAAACAAACCTCGCCTCTAGTCATGATTGCTGCAGAACTGCTGTCGATTTATTTTGTATGGGAGAAAGATGCAGAAGCGACGAGTTATGCTCGTTGCAAGGTCCAATCTACGCGGAAAGGTGTCTCTGAAGAGCAATTGATTTAATGTTTTGATGGGAGGTCTGCAGTTGGAGTTTCGGATATGGTAGTGGGGGATAGGTGGGGACGCAAGTGATCCGAGGGGTCAATACAAAAAGCGGTGAGGAAGTGTGATGCCCCTGAATTCACTTCATCAGGGTCGACGACTGATGGTGCCGGACGAATCATGTGGAATGTGTGGGGAACAGGAGTGCTAGCTGAATGTTTGGTGCATAAGCCACGGTGGTTGATATCAGACACAGCTGGAAAGTCCTATCAAACACCGAAGTTCATTAGTCTGTTTGCTCGGTATCGTGAACTCTTTCACATCTAAGGACAGTATATGTTTTCTATACTGCAATTTATATTGACCTTGCTATGATACATTACAATGACCAAATCATACCTCTACAAGCCATCACCATGAACACAGACTGTGTTTTCCACCCGACGCCAATTTTGTTCACAATATCACAGCCCTTTGAATGTCGGATTGTGCCCCTCAATAATTGAGTTCGCCAGATCCACCACCAGCAACAGCGTCTAGATCTTCATAAGATTTGAGACTTCTACCCGCAACTGCTTCTCTAGGTCCTACTGCGGCACCGCCAGCAGCTCCATCACCCCATCTGCCACCACTACCTCCCATGGAACCTCCACGGCGAGCTCCTGGTGGAGGGCTGAGTCTACCACCACCATTCTCTCCATACCGCTGACCTCGCTGTGAGCGATCGTATGGGTTGGTTCTGGAGTTGTTCTGGAATTGTCGACCACCCCGGCGATCTGGGCCACCACCACGGCCAGCCCCAGCAGGCCAACCAAGACCAGGCATGCCACCATTGGCCAAGAAATTTGGAAAGTTTCCTGGAGGAAATCCGGGCATGGATGGAAGACCTCCTATCCCAAAGTTCTGAAGGTTGAAACCACGCGGGGTGCCAGCAGGCATATGTCCATTGGCAGGCGGGAAATGACCGTTGCTGTTGGCATCTGATCTTGATGGAGCTATGTGGGACGGGTCAATAACGTAAGTGTTGACAAGTTCAAACTAAGAGATGTTAGCGGCGGCAATGATTTGATTTCAGGGGACTAACGTCTTTCTTCAAACCCTCGAGCCATTCCGGATGACGCTTCTCCACGTGTTTTCGCCAGAAGTGCTCTTCCTTGAACAACTTTGTACATTCAGGCACACGACAACGGAACTTGTGCTCGTCCTCCTGTTTTACATATTTGATCAGATCCTCTTTGAGCGCATCCTCAATTGGTTTACCACCAAGCTTGCGTATATCAACCGACTCAGGCTCCAATATCTGCATAATTTTGTCCTCGAAAGTCTTGACCCAATTAAAAGCACGCGAAAGTTGCTGCTCAGACTTGGAGGTCGGATTATTGCGAGAGAATTTGCGTTCGCCGTCAGGAAATGTTGCTTCCATATCAACATCCTCTTGGTCACGCCCCTTTTTGCCGGGGAAAGCTTCACCTGCAGCACTAGCTCTCGCTGCTTCTTTTCCAGCAGTTGTTAAAGTGTTACGAGGCCGTCTCAAATGACCGCCAGGGCATTTTCTGGTAAGTTCGTGGATTGAGTCGCTCTCGAAGACACAGAAGAAACAGAAATTGTAAACTCGGCGAAGATATTCAACCATGAGATCAAGTTGCTTCTTCTTGACAAGAAGCTCTTCGTCGTCAACTTCTTCATCAAAAGCACCCTCATCCTCGTCTTCATCTTCTTCGCCTTCTTCAACTTCCATTTCCGCATCAAGATCACCGGGATCACGTTCCTTCTTGACCTTCTTATCTGGAGCTGGAGCGGTTACTGGCGGTAACAGCCGACCAGAGCTTCTCAGGTCCTCTACTCGTTCCTCGATCTTTAATACAGCATTGAAATCCGAACCAAAGTCTTCCTCATATTTACTCACAAGGCGCTGGGCCAACTCAAGGTCTTTTTCAATCCTTTCAGGAGCGGAAAATAAATCCCAAAGAGCCTTTTTACGAGGCAAGCTGGGTGGTACATGAACACCAACATGGCAGGTGAAATCTCCACGAGCTTCGTCTTTGACAGTCTTGCCGTTGATTGCTTCGAGGGCTTTTTCAGCTGTACTGAGTGGTACGGCAGGAACGGGGATGACATCTCCTTCTTCATCTTTCATCTCTGGTCGGTCGACGATTGGTACAGAGTCAGGTGCGGGGTGAAGCATAACCCAACCAATACGATGAAAGCGCTTGCTTGGATTTGGATCACTCAAGCTTAGCCACTTGAAGCCACCTTCGTCCTCGCCCAAGTGCTCTTTGCAAAATGCTTCTAAATTCTGACGGGTAACATGTGGCGCAATGGTCTTGATGAGAAGGGTTGGTTGAAAAGCATTTTCGTCTCTGATGTCGCTACCTCGAGTTGGTACCAAGTCACCAATACCGAGAACCTCATTGGTCGCTGTCGCTTCACCTTCTTCTTTCTCAACAACACCTCCAAGTCCATTACTTTCACTTTTTGGAATACCCTCTAAGGAATATTCGTCAAAAGTTCCAGATTCCAGATCTTGCTCCCATAGACTATAATTGCCGCGACGGAACTCGTTCAACTGAACCCGCAAAGCATCTCGGGTTTCTGGAAAATAGCGTTCTTGGAACCACTGCTCAGCCTTGTGTTCTTGCACGAAGTTTCGCGCCATCTTAGCTTGAAGTTCTTCCTTGTACGCATCATATGCGACCTGAATCCGTGCCTTCTCCTTGTCGCGGTCTTCTTGAGAATCGCGAGGTCGTAGTGGTTCTCCGCGACGGCCAGACCTTGCACGCTCTTTATCTTCCTTAATCTTCTCATTTGTTCGCCACCACTCTGCGAAGTAGGAAAATCCCACTTGAAATGCTAACGAGGCTGGATCCGCCAATGGATTTTGTGTGATAGCAGGACTTGAGTCTTGGCCAGGAACATATCGGTCGATATTTGCCGGGCCAGGAGACGGGCGTCGACGCTCGTCGCGATCTCGCTCTGATCGGTCTCCTCGGTCCCTTCTGTCACCACCTCTAGAGCCATAATCGTCGCGTGATGTGCGACTTGATGGCTCGTAACGGTCGACGGCTGCTGGTGAACGGGATCGATCCCGTGTTCGCCGTCTGTCTGCGCCTGTAAACGAGTAAGTATGAGCTTAATACTACGTAAAATAAAATCCTCGATTACATGTCCACATAGAAATCGATTTGAAAATGAGCCAGCCTTGTAGATCCATACATTCCACAGGTTCATTGAAGCACGAGCGAAAGACGTAGGGTAGAGCATAGCATACCTGGAGAACGGCCACGATAGAACTTGTCGCGCGACTCAGGACGCTGTTCAGTCCTATAGGTATCGTCACGTCCACTCCAATTGCTCCTCTCTGTCGGCGAGCGAGCGAGCGGAGGCTCTCTGTAACCGGGATACGCGTCCATTTTAGTGATTCGAATTTGACTTGCGATCGTCGCACATGAGTGTTACCCAATGGTGATTGCGATGGTGATGCCGTGCTGGTTTTGTGGTGTTGTAGGTCGCTAAAACACAGTTTGCTCGCTATCAAGTGATGTCTCGCGATTGCCCGGGCGAAGTGAGGACAACGAGGCTGCTGCTGTTTGGCGACATGATTGCCTGTCAGAGGAATGTTTCTTCAAATAAACAAAAGAATAAGACTGAGTATTGAGCGCGAGGGTCTGGGAATGGAGGTAGCAGAAAAAGTAAGGGTAGAAAGGTTGTCAGCGCCTATGCATGGCGATTGAACGACGTCTCCCAGCTGAGGGATTGAGGTGATCGTAAATGATCAGAAAGAGAATGGTTGGGGGGATTCTGGCAATGAAGTGTTCAAAAAGGGTAGAATAGTGTAGAAAGGATAGACGAACAAGATTGAGGTTGTTGATACGCTCTGATCACAGATTGAGCGGATTCCACTCGAGAGACAGATGAGCTGTCGTGAGGTTGTGGATGTGCAAGTGGAGGCCAGCGCTGAGCGACGGGAGCTGAGCTTGCGCGTGGCCTAGCTCGGGATCGGATGTTGGAGCGGTGTCGGAGTTGTTTACGGCGCGGCCCTTTTTCCTAGACCGCTTCTGCCGCGTCTCGGGACGGGAGTCCGAGAGACTGAATTCAGGTTTCTAACACAAGCAAGTACTTTGCCGGTTCAACAGCTGGTCGGTCAGAGACAGCAAAATAATTAGATACGAGGCACAAAGCATATCATTTGTTTCGGCTGCGAAGAACCTTGGAAAAAAGCTATCCCATTGACTCAACCAACACGGCAGGTACCAGATTCATGAACTCTCCTTCAGTATGCAGGCACCCGCGAATACTATCGATTCTTGCTGGTGACTGTATCCCGTTCTCGCCATGGATTTGTTATTTTCACTCACTTAATCCAGTTACCGGACGCCAGGAAGGTTCATTACCGAGCTAAAGCCTTCGTGGTATCAATCCCCAAAAACTGAACTGAGTCCTATGCTCAACATGCTCGAAATCCAAAGGCGGCAAGACCGTCAGGAGCAAATAAAATTATTTGTATATCCTCAACGAAACGTATCAACCACCTGCTCACAAGTGAGACCAGAAGTAGTCTATGAAGAGAAGCTCAATCAGTCCTACCAACCTTACAAGGCCTAACCATCCAATGAAACTTCTGTTTCCTCCTCCCCTCCCACTTCTCAGGAAACTTCGTCTCAAAAGTATCAACATACACAAACCCCTCACTCTCATACAGCCCCCTCCCAGGATCAGTCGACTCCACCACAGCCGTCAAACCAATATCATCAGCAAGCAGCGTGCCCCATTGAACCAACATCCGACCGACTCCTCGTCGTTGATACTCTGGATCAACAGTCAAAAGATCCAGACCTACTACCATAAGCTCCGCTCTCCTTGATGAAAGAGGGTAAAATAACTTACACATCACATTCCCCTTCAACTCCCCAATAGCCCTCCGTCTAGGCACCAAATACTCTCTATACATCACCCTCGCAAACTCCTTCTCCTCCTCATTCTCCCACCAGTCCCCATCCAAATCCGCCTCCTCCGGAATATGATCATCATAAATATTCCACTTCGCAACGGCTACTATCTTCCCTGACGCCGTGTCCACGACTTTCAGGAAATTACAACACGGATCAGTGTTTTTGACGGCGAGGAGACGTTCGGTGCTGCGCTTCCTGCCCTCTGGTGTTGAGTGCGCTGGGTAGACAGCTTCGATGTAGGGGTGTTGGTTGCCGAATGTGGTGCTGATGATTTCGAAGGTGCGGGACATGTCGGTGTCAGAGGAGGGAAGGAGGTGGAAGGGCATTTTGAGGGTGAGAGTCGAATTCTTACGTAGGTAAGATAAATGAGATAGGTGAGACGAGAGGTTTTTCTATCATTTGACTGAGATATCCAAATGAGCGGGAGATCTAGGTCGATATAAGTAGGCGAGAGTAAGTGGAAGAAGTCGAGTAAGCTGCATGTTGGTTGATGTTGGCTTGTGGTGTGATCTTTCAAGGTTTGTTTATCCTGCGTATGAAATCTTGAGATTCACTCTTTTGTTGTTGAATACTTAACCGTTTAATTTCTTCTTACATTCTGCTTATGAGTTACTGACGTGTCATCTAAAGGACTTCTGTTGACTAAATCCACGGCTCGTTATAGCTCTTCGTGAAGTGGCGTTCACCACCACGTGTGAAATAAAAGGCTTAGAAGGGAGATAGCTTTTGACCTTTGAGTACACATGGCTGTTGAACAAATCAGAATCAGTATATACCTCTTTCAACGTGGTATACACTATGAGATCATGACAAAATTGGATTATCGCTAGACCTCTGGAGCTTGTATAAACTAAAGCGATGTTTAAAGATGTTAGTGAAGTCGCCATCATCTCGCATATAGATAGCTACTCGCATATAGATAGCTACAGTATTATATAAATTTACATTTAAGAACCTAGCAACTACAATCACAGCCACCATCCCCTCCACCGCTACCAGTTTTGTTGCCTCCACCAGAGCCGCCTCCCTGTGCAGCACTGAAACCTCCAACGTTGCTAGTTTTATTATTTCCACTAGAGCCCGCACCAGAGTGCGCATTACCAGAAGCTCCACCGGAATGATTATTGCTACCTCCTCCCTGTGGAACAGCCTCCATTGGCTTCTGCTGCTCATACACAATAACTGTACCGCCGGCAGCCCCACCAATCACCCCCACCAGAGTCATCTGTAGATGGAGCTGGTACGCTCTAATATTCTCATCTGGAGCAATCTCTTGCAGTTTGAGATATTGCGTCTCGACATTATCCGCAAACCAATGGTAGTCGAGTGCGCAACCCTCAGGTTGATGAATGATCATCCTCACAAACCGCTTCAGGAAGCTTTGGCAATCGTTGAAACCGAGAACGTAAATGCCAAAAGCCGAAATGGCGGCTTCACATTGGGCATCGACGTCGCGTTCGCTCAAAGTGGTCCATCCAATCTGGCAGACGTAGTAGTCCTGGACATGTGGCTTGCCTTCGGCGGTCAGACTTGCGTCGCGCACTTGCATCATTTCATCTTCCAGTGACCATGGCACAATGTTGGCCTGGTACTTGAAAGAAGGTACTACGGAGCCGACGAGTCGGCCGTTTGGTAGCATATCTTTGTACTTCTCTCTGCTTGGTAGACGTAGTTCATACTTCTTGCCGTAGGTGAAAATTGCCCAGTGGTAGAGGTGTCCATCGTGGATCCTACGCGAAAACCAGACGTTCTCGCCTTTAGAAGAGTCTTGTTCTTGAGCCTTGCGTCGTTGAACTTCTTCTTCCAGTTTCCGCCGGTGCTCTTCGTCTTTGGCTCTGGCTTTTGCTTCGAATCCTGTGAGTATGCTCGGCATTTGTGCTTAGTTTGACCTTCGTGAGAGATGTAAAAGGAGTTCAAGAAAGGCAAGAAGAAATGGAAATGCTGCCCCCAAAGTTTTAATAACCACAAGCCTTTTATGACGTATTCTCAGCCTTGCATGCAATAAGGAAGAAAGTCATCCCCTTACCGCTCCTTGTCACACTGATGTGCTTATTGTGCTGCGTGGGTTTCAAAAGACTCAATCTATTGCCCGACCTGCATCCGCAGTCTAATTTGAGACGAAGAAGGAAACATCTCAAGATCCTCACCCCAGCTCCAGAAGTAGGGGTACTTATTGGATAGAATATACGACCATCCGTGTTATATCATTGGTCGCGAAGAACGGAGCGAAGACAGTTTTGGCAACTTTGGAGAAACTGTACATACACGTGACTTGTTTCCCCAGCTCTCTCCCCGCAATGCCTCTTCGGGTTAGATGGAATTGAGTTGTTACTGGACTTAGCGAGGACGCTTTGACACCTTTGAATCCATTGACATTTGACGTTTGACGCTCAAGACGCAAAGGATACCGTTACTCTTGTTTTTCAGTGTCCCGTTGCCCACACACGGCGTACAGAGTAGGTAGCATCTGGCAGGGCTGCTCAATGACGTGACGTCATCAAAAACTGGCAGGGGAGTCTATCGCCAATATTGGGGGCTGCCAGTAATTGAAGAGGCGGTGATCAGCCTACCTACTGAAGTGTGCTTTTGTCTCTCCCCAAATTGTGAAATAGTTACAGACTTTCTCAAACCAGACTTACAGAACTAGGCCACCCTCATCAGCCAAGACTTGGTGCTTTACCTAGGTAGTTGCCTTAGCGGCCTTTAAGGGATGGAATATCTTTCGAGTGAAGCGACTGTGACGCCCACCAAGCCAGTTCCATTTAGTCCTGAGAACTCTTTATTTCGCCTTCCCAACGCAAAAGAGAAAGCTAAGAGAAACGATGCCTATACGAAGGAAGCAACAGACTGTATCGTGTTACCAGCTCAATTCTACTCTAGCGGCACGCTACAGAGCTTAACTCTCGAGCATGGCGTAGACGCTTTCTTAGCTATCGAAATAGACGTATCCCGTCTGAACCAGATCCACCAGCATCTCTGGATGGTGGGCCAAGCAGGTCCTGGTCGGCCGCTTCACCAACATATCGTCTATGGCCGGAAGATTGCTTGTACAGAACAGACTGACCTCCACCTGCTTTGGGAGGATTCAAGGCTTTTCGTCAAACCTTGCCCCGATTACCTCTTATCATATGGGTTCTGGGAACGTCATTTATGCCATAAATCCGAGCTATGGGGGACTGCTGTCGGGCTCCTCCTGTCATACACATGGCTCGTTCAACACCGGTCTGATTTGAGAATTGCCCATGCTGAAGGCATCCTGCCGGAGTCAATAACGTGGGAGCGCTGGACGGCCTTTACAGCCTCTTTGGCCCAAACGATGGAAGCCGAAGGTGTTGACAATATCAACCCGCGATTTCGATACGGGAATTTACGACTCTCGCGTGTCAACTGGATATATCGTATATCCGCTCGATCACGTACAGGCCACGCCCTTATCAATGGCTTCTTCAATATTTATCCCAGCTACACTAGCTTTCTTGCCCGCAACACCGCACCTATTACTGTCGCGGCTGTATACCTTGCTTTGATTCTGACTGCGATGCAGGTGGGACTGGCTACGCATCGTTTAGGGGAAAGCCAGACTTTTCAAAATGTGTCGCTGTTCGCCACTTTACTTGCCATTATCGGTCCATTGAGTATATTAGTGGTGCTGGTGGTATTTGTCATGAGCTATATATTTGTTTGGAATTTGTTTCGTACGATGTTGCAGCAGAGGGGATGGAAGGTGAAATGAATGAATACAGCGACTCGAAAGAAATAGAGGATGAAGGGAGACTAAGGGACTTGGAAGGACAAGTTCTATGGTGAAGAGCCAAGAAAAGAGTGAGGAAATAACACACTAGCAGTAGAAGTCGCTTCAGAGCTGTGACAGCATCATTTATGAAGTGCTCTTTTCTTGTCTTCTAAACTTATCCCAGAGCATGTCTCCAGACACATGTCAACAATTCCAACTTTCCATAGCCACGATATGGACTATTTCTAAGTATCCAGAAGTCAGGATCCATTACTGGCAATTATTCGAAGTAATTGACGCCATACCCATCTAGGACTAGTCCTTACGACACTCCGAATACAGTGGATGATTGAATTTGACTAGCCTCACTATTAGCTTTACTTTTCTCAATCATTCTTTATCCTATTGTCATTAGGTAAAGAGACTTGTTAATTCTGGAGTAAGTATTTCAATGAGTCCCTGCTATTAGCAATTCGCGGCGTTTCGCGTTTCATGTCAAAGCCGACGTCATGCGAGCGACAATAACGCGGGGAGAGCTCCAATCACCCCATCACGTGCCAGTGAGCTGTAACATCCCATCCGACATCACCCCATCCGACTTGTCCCTCCTTTATCTACGAACATCCTCAAAGATCAATCCAATACCATCCAAACAGTCACGAAAATGACCACCTTCATCCCCTCCATCACGATTCCTGCGGCGATCTTCGCCAATCCAGCAACCTCTGTGTTGTTGCCAATTGCACTGGGCACTGCAGTCGGATACTCTTGCAGACGTAAGTACACAAAGACATTCCAGCTACACCAGCTACAGTTCACGATATCCACAATCTTACCACCAAACGACAATCACCTACACCATTCCATGTCTCTGCATAGTCACACAATCTAACTCATACCCTCCAGCCAAAGAAACCCAAAAAACCTACCTCGCACTCAAACAACCTCCCTTCCGCCCACCCCCAGAGGTCTTCGGTCCAGCATGGACCCTCCTCTACGGCCTAATGGGCTACTCCGCCTATCGCGCCTACACCGTAGGAATGAACCCATTCTCCTCCGCCGAAAAGCACGTCCTGACCAAACACGGAGCGACTCTCTACTCCATCCAACTCGGTCTCAACCTTATCTGGATGCCACTTTTCTTTGTCGCCAAACGCCCGATTGAAGCCACCGTCGACATCATCGCGCTCACCGGTGTCACTGGATACTTGACTTATCTCTGGGGCCAGGTTGATACTGTGGCTGGGCTGGCACTTGCGCCGTATTTGGGATGGTTGGGCTTTGCTACTTATCTTACTGTTGGTGTGGGATATTTGAATAATTGGGATTTGAAGGATAAGGAGGTTCCGAAAGCTCCTGCGGCGGATACTAAGTATGTCAATGAAAAGAAGTAAATGCGGAAAGTGGAAATGCTCTTACGAAGACTGGGCTGGAAGATACCAATGGGATGGAAAGAATTATGCGATGTATGTTATAGTGAGTGGGATATCGTGGGATTGATGCGATCGCTTCGGAAGCAGAATGGTTTACTTGATCCTAGAAAACTCAAAAAATGAAAAAAAGAACATTACCTATGGTGCGACTCAACTATTGTCAGGATCTTTCCTATTGATTGCATACTTCCAACCATTTCTATCAAGTTATGAATTTTTTCCCCTCACTCCGAAAAGTTCGTCATAACTATTCTTAACTACTTTAACAAAACAAAACCACACTTACAGCTCGAAAACCCACTTTTCATCACCACCAAACCCGAAACTCCTCCTTAAAACCCCGAATCGTCTAGACTCCATCGCTCTCGTGGGACATTGGCCCTGATGGGTCTTGCACATCATCGCTGGATCGACATCGCATTCGCTAGTTCCATGTGAGTAGAGTGTTGTCATGGATCGACTTGAGTGATGTAGAGGGGGGAGAAAAGAAAAGGGTTGGTGGTTTTGTGGTGTGTGAATGTTCTGTGAAGAGGGGGTGTTTGCTGCCGAATTTGTTGTTGCTGCCGATTCCGCGCTTTCTTAGGGCTCTTAAATTTGAGAGCACTCGAAATAGAAGAAGGACCACTCGAGACCCATCCCATGTTAAATTCGAGTTCCCAGGCCTTGATAGCTTTTTCTGTACAAGCGACCGGCGTCAAAGTCGTGGAGGGGTGCGTGTCTCTCGTGTTGGAATATTCATTCGTAGTATTGTTCAGATTTTTCGATAATAATGATAATAAAGAAGGGGTCTTGGGGTCTTTTGGAAAGTAAGTGAATATAAAGATAGTGTGTTTTGAGTGCGGAGGGGTTTGTTATCGATTTTGATGTTGTTGCCGAAATAAGGTATGTTGAGATGTATGAGATGAGATTGAAATTTGTCATTAGGAGAGAAGTGCTTAGAATGAGAGATTGAATCTCTATCACATATATTACCTAGGGATCGCTATATAATCAAGTCGTGAAGCAGGAGTAGGCCGTAGGGAAGTCCTCTTGTCATAGCATAGATATTACAAAATTAGAAAACAAAGTTATGTTAAATAACTCATTCCGTCTATTGGTTGCTGGTTACCTCCAGAAGCTTTCAGCTAAGCTTTTAGGATTTCCTGCCGGGTGTCGCGTCGGTTGGTTATTTGTTAGATGATGTTGGATTCCAACAGTTGGCATCTAACCTGCTCACCAACATCATTTCTACTACGGAAAGTTCAACATCGTCCATCCCAACGCCACAACTAGAGGTCAAATTGTATCGACCTAGGTTATCTTCGGCGAGATCATGACATCAAAAATCAAGATGCAACTTTTTCAGTCAATGTCTCATCTCACTGTTGGCCAGTATGCAATACTCGTATTCGGCGCTGTAAGTCACATGAAACATTTTCCACTCAAACTATTGATCAAGCAAGAGCTCAACGTATTTAGATGTCCGTCTACGCTTCCTTCCGGTGTATTTACTTTACATATTTCCACCCAGCCTCGAAGTTCCCAGGACCGAGAATCGCAGCTATATCAAATGTGTGGTACGCATACCATTGGTGAGTAACCTAATCGATGATTTTAATCTTCTCTGACGATGTCAGGATCACCGGTAAATATCCAATGGCGATCGAAAATGCGTTCAAAAAATACGGTAGGAGGATCTTTTCCTGAGATCTGTGATTTGGTGAGACTGCTGACAGAACGACAGGTGATGTTGTTCGGATTGCTCCCAATGAGGTGGTGTTTATCACTCCGCAAGCTCTAACAGGTGTTTTTCCCAGCTGAAAAATATCCCACCGCTATCTGGCATCAAATCTGATTCAAATCTAGACATCTATGGTTCGCATTCCAAACACATTGAGAAGTTTCTTAAAGCAGATTTCATCTCTCTTGGTGATGGGGATCAGGTATACAATCATTTTCTACTTTTCATCTCATATGATAGTCCAAAATTATTATGTCGTTATACCTTTAATTATATTATGAAAGAGTTTCCTGCTGAAACTTACTTATTTTTGTTCTGTAAAATAGGGCATCACTTGGGAGAAAGATCCCATCAAACATCGCCACACAGCCAAGAAGCTCTCACCAGCTTTCAGTGCTAAGTCCATTAAAGCAAAGGAATCGACCATACACAAATATGTGGATCTTTTCGTCCAGAAAATGAAGAAAATTGGCCAAAACGAGCAAGGTGTAGAGCTCAAGATTGTAAGTCTTGTAGTCACAAAGCCTGATTATGTTTGAAGTGACTGATCGTCAATTTCTAGTGGACAGACTGGGTTTCGATGGACATCTCTGCCGAATTATCATATAGCAGAGAATTGGAGCAAGTGGAAAAGAGTAAAGAGCCTTCCAAGACATATTCTTTATTCGTAACCTGTACTTACAAGATACTATAGTGTCGAGCTCAGCCTTTCTCCACGCGCTATGGGGTGTAAACTTCTTCGTCAACGTGCATCAAATCCTCAAAAAGTTCCCCCTCTCAGTGCCACTACAGTTCCTTTTTGTTCCGCCTTCTGCACTTATTAGTGAGTTGCAAGCTAGAAAATTAAATCGAGAGACGCTTGAGTGGCGCATTGAGCATCGTGGGGGACTTGAGCACCTTGATCATGTCGAACAGCTGCTATCTGCAGAGGCTCCTCCACCTACAGGGCAAGAGAGAAAAGCTCTTGAGGTAGTTTCTGGCCAGCTACTTATCGCTGGTTACCTACCAGTGGCAAGTCAATTCTTATGCACGATCATGTTCGGATTGCAAGAGCCGGACATTCACAGACTGCTAGTCCGGGAAATAAGGGAAAGCTTCGCTAGATATGAAGATATTACGGCAGAAGCTTTGGCTCCGCTGAAGTTTCTACATGGCTCAATCATGGAAACTTTGCGTTTCACGTTTGTTGAGGGAGGTAATCAAACCATTTTCATTAAGAGTCTCTGGACAACTCTCAGAATTTCCTTCAAAGTTTCACGAATCACCCAAAATAAATAAACACTAATCTATTCCAGGTGGACTTCCGCGAGTGAGCCCAGGTGCAATTGTTGATGGAAGATATATTGAGAAAGGGGTCAGTATCATCACATTCCAAAATCAGTAGCTTCGCTAACCTTCCAATTTCAGCTTCAAGTGCAATACGGTCACTTTGCTTTCACACGCAGCCCTCGGTACTTCCATGAGCCGCGTAGCTATAGGCCTCAACACTGGCTACCTAAAGATCATCCTCACTGGAACGCCGCATTTGAGAACGACGCAACAAGCCATTACTATCCTTTTGGATTGGGTCCTAGACAGTGCATTGGAAGTAAGTGAAAGCCCAACACCCTTCTCACGCACTTGCATTTTTGAAGCCCGTGCTAATAACTTCCCAGTGGAACTGGCCTGGCGGGAGATGAGAATCTTCGTTGCTAAGGTTCTGTGGAGCTTTGACGTGGAGATGGTATCGGATCATAAGATCGTATATGAGAGGGATTTCAAGATGCATAGGATGTGGGAGAAGCCTGAGTTCTGGGTGCGTTTTCATCCTGTTGATAGATCAGATTGAAACTGTAAATATGATAACGAGAAGAAGATTTGGTATTATAGGGTATTATACCCAAAACAGGAAAAATTGCTAGCTTTAAGGGGCTTTCTTCTTAAAATGTAACAACCACATGGTAGACGTAGAGAAGAACGGCCTACTTGATATTCCAGACAAAGTATCGTTGCTTGAACGTTTTTCATGGAGTGAACCGAGGTGTTAACAAATGATCTCCCTGAGAGAGAAACCCTAGCAAACTAGCCTGATTTGTGATTCTAGCAAATAAATTTTCGCTAATGTTGAGCTTGCTGCCGATTCCGTTCTTGTCATCGAATACGTTTGTCATTACTCAAAAGGAGTCCAAACCAAACAAGAAAATAACTTCTAGGTTATCCACACGTCAAGCGAAGGACTACAGTTTTAGCCACAATGATGAACTTGACCTAGTTGTTGCCCTGCGTGATAACGTGACGTATTCCGGTTTTTCCTGACTCTAATCAGATGGCTGATATCTATCTCGCTAGAAAATGATGAGCCACAATGTGTTGGACTTGTCCCAATGTATTCCTGTTAAGAATGCACTTTGAAACCCACAGATTTCAGTTAAGACAATGTGAAGTTTTGTTTTAAGGATGGAACTGAGAGGCTGCTGGAGATGTCTGTTGACAGATTGATTTGCTGTGCTTTGGGAGATGGTGTTGCGAAATTTTGTCAGTGGATAGTATTAGAGGACGCTGGGTTGCACCGGAAATGTGGTATTAGAAACCCATAGCTGAGATTTTATCCGAATCTTTAAATTTGATGCAGAGTACTAGGCCAGAAATCAGGAATTCAGGTCTATGATAATTCCTGCAATTAGAAGTCATTCCAAGTTTTCAACTAGAGCCAACCCTTTTTACCCAGCAACATTGAAAGAGAGACAACTTAAATTTATCTAGTGTTTTGTCGACATAATGAAGTCATATAAAAGGCTACAGTGCGTAGATAGATTAAAGGTTTTTCATATTCCTCGAACACTTACTGGTTGCTGGTGGTATATTTGAGAGGATAATGAATGGTTATCTTTAGAAGATGTGGCACCAAATTTTTCGTGACGAGAGTGAGTTCGTCCTGATACCTCTACATAGTTTGTTCTTTATTAATCTTGGTCTCTAGTCATCTGATATTGGCGACTCTATGAAGATACTCAAGTAACACTACGTTAGTACCAAAGCTTTAGAAACTTACACAATATAGTGATTGACATGCACCAGAAAAGCAAATGTTTAACATCGCATACGCATTTCCTCTAAGACACAAAAATACCTCCTTCCCTTCAAATCCCTCACCCCATCAGCCCTATCTCACTCTTACAAACCACAACCCCCAACCTCACACATCCTTAATAATCCCCGCTGCTTTACCCCAACTCGCTTAACCTCCCTCCCCCTAGTATCTCACCTGCATCGGTAGCACATCCCAATCCGCATAAGCCTAACGCAGAAACACGCGAGAAGCATTCTATCCGGATAATATCCCGATCGCCACAGCGTGGTAAATAGGAATCAAGGTGAGTTAGCCGGAGCCCAGCCAGCCAGGCTTCGAGAATATCTGCAGCCGTTTGGCATTGGGAAAATAGTAGCGAAATATAGAGCTGGGATGTGTAGTATTCATTTTTCGATTCCCCGAGGCAGAAGTTGGACACATTTTTGAGGAAGAGGAAGGAAGTATGGAGATGTAAACTTGACGAGTCTACCTCTGGGTTTGGAGAAGATGATTACTGTGCCCTCGGCAGGATTCGTCTTGCGTGCGATCGATCGTCATCCAACCCGTTAAAGAGTTCCCGAGGGATGATGAGTCGTTGAGATACGAATGCGTACGTAAAGGAAGGGCTCGGTTCGGTATATGTAACGGTTGGATATGTGGGAGGGAGGACCGGGTAATGATGTGGTTATGTGGCGAGATTATCTGAGAGCCGAAAAGGTAGGTCGTTTTGGGTTGATGGCGATTCGTGGTGGGTGGTATTGTTGAAGGGATAGTGGTTATGGGTGTGGGGTAAATGGAGGGGTTGTTGGTGTGGTGTGGTGAGGTTTGTGAAACGAGAGGTTGGATGAGAGGTGGTGGTGTGGATGGCTGACGAATGTATGAGTTCTGGAAGAGTGAGTTGATAATTAAGGAAGGTGCAGGAGGTTGTGGAATATCTTTTTCTGCACGGTGGCTTGGACTTTAGTGAGTGAAGATTGGATATCCAGACTGCAGTGCTTTTAAGGAAACCGCATATTCAAATAAGCCCCTGATGAACTACCGAATTGAGGACGTAGATCCACTCGAATAATCTTATTCACCGATGCTAATATGCTTTTACCTCCTTCACCAATCGTACAACTCCACTTGACCAAATGGGTATATCCCGAAACATGAAAGAAATACTCCGCTAGAAATGCACACGTTGCTCCCTCCAATGAATGTTGGACGCCGATACTAACCTCGCCTTGCTTTATGGCTGGCTTCTTGACGCGTATCCCATGCTTCCCACCAAATAATAATGCCACCTAGCCTTTCTTTCTAATTTCAACCGACTTGCTCAACGATGTATCCAGCCATTCTGGTAGAGAACCTGCATCTCATTGATCAAGCACTCTCTACCCGGCTCCTCTCGAGTCTCACCTTCTTTCCTTCCATCCTTTTTCCATTCCTCTACCCTATTGCTCATCACACTCTCCTTCCCTATCACAGCTAACCAGCCAAACCACCGACCAATGCGGTTCCCCCAGCGTCCCCAGAAGAGTTCACTTAGTCCTGGCCACCGACCTCTTCTCACAGCACTACCCTCTGGGCCTCGAGAGCGGGAAATTGTGTTGGCTATGGCCTCATCCCGCAAGGCGACAGAGTCAGGGATGAGCTGATTTGGATTGACAAGAGGATATGTTGATTCATTAAACGTGACGCGAACATTAGGGTTCATCCAGATGCCTTTTTTAGCGCGGAGTGGATTGTCTGAATGGATGAGACAACACTCGCTCCCCTCAACGTGCCATTTTGCAAGTGAATCGGGGATACCTCGAAATTGGAGAGGAGTCTGAGGCGAAGATGACAGACCTCGGGCTTTGAGTCCATGATTGCTCATTCCTCCTTGTGCTTGAGAGTGAGCGTTAGGATCCCGGCCAGCTTCCGAGATGGGGTCATGGGTTTCATAGTATGATGAATCTGGTTCTGCAGAACGTTGATAGAATGGCGAAGCATCAAAGGCGACGACACCATTCCAGCATGATTGGACCGGGATAGGAGCCAACTTGGAAAGAGCACTGAGAGACTTGGATGAGGAGAAGTAAGGATAAGTTCCCGATAAAGTCTCATGACCTGAAGAATCTCGGAGAGCGAAGGTATCGTAGTAATAGTTTGCACTTCTCGAAAAGTCCAGAGCACAGGCAGCTGCGTAATTGCCATCGCGAGTTGACAGAAGGGTAGCGATGTCTTCATTCTATTATTAATTAGCTTGGTTCAGCAACAAAGTGATGTTTGGCTATAGGAAGCGACCCCGTGACCATCCCCCCTTGATGGATAAACCTACCGTAAATATAACATCATTAATCCACAACAGCCTATCCCACTTCTGGTCCTCATTTTCGACAAGCGGTTCCATCGCTTTGTTTCTCAATGCTGCCAGATGCGGTATCCTTCTCTTTTCCCAACCATCCGTTCCATTCCCGGTAAAAATCCACCCCTGTCTCTTGCCCTCCTCGGGCGTTGTCTCCAGCATTTCAACCTGCTTCACAGCATCTTCACCAAGAATGATCCTATTGTCCACCCCTATTTTATCCAACTCCGTTTTCAAATCGATTAAAGCCCCTTTGGTATTCTCTAAACTCCCACTTTCCACAATGGACACGTATACATTTTGCGGTCCAAGGAAAGTGCATAAGCTCACTAGCGCAGTATTCCAATACAATCTCAGCATGTACTCGCTATTCCTCGCAATACTGGCAATGAATATCTTCTTCCCGACAAGTGAAGGTGAGAGTTTGTCCGTTCTCTTTGGTTGCGGCTGAGAGTAAAGGATATATAGCGTGTCGAAGAGGAATGTCACCAACAAAAAGATGGAAGCACGCTTACGGTAACGCCGGAATTGTCGTGGAAAGAGCATTGCTTTTCTTGAGTTCTAATGTGAAGAGATTCCACGGTTTGATTGGGAATAGGTTCTGTTTTCGAGCCGTAGGAGGATGCCATGTCATGTGTGACCTCCCTCGAGTGGTGAGAAGTCAGACTTGTTAGTCTTGTCGGACAAGCCGGAAGCGACTGACTGCTGCAGTTAGCTTTGCGTAATTGGGATATTAAACGCTGAAGTTGATGGTTTTCGTTGAAGATAGAAAGGAACGTGTAGTCTTCGAAATGAGATTGAAGTCAGCATCAAAAACGCTTTCAGACTCCTTTTCCAGCGGCCAAGTCGTTGGCATTATTGGCATTGTAGTGAGTGCTCGTATTGGGGGAAGGGGTGAGTGTGGCTGAGAGCCGAGGCGCGGCCTGTGAGCAGCTGGAATTTCAGGCTGCCCTGGGGGTCAGCGTCAAGGCACCTCAAATCAGGTGATCATTTCAACACTTTTAATTCTTCAGCATTTTTCTAATGTTGTCTAATGAAAATGTTTGAAAAACAACTTATCGTTCAAAGCTGGTCGCTTTGGCAGTAAATTCTTGTATGGCCAGTATCAAGTGGCTGCCAATGTACTAAGCGAACCAGTCACGTAGAATCAGACACTTATCCACCACAATTCCAAAGGAAAGTTCCAATGCCATGTTGAGAAAAGAAGCATAAGTAAAGTGAGGATGCAAGAGCACTGCTCTTGAAAATCTGTTTTAGAGTTTAAGCTTGTGTAATCAGTTAATAATATATCTTGAGGAAATCCCAAGTAAGCGAGGTTTAAAACGTAACTTAAGACGAACAAACCAGATCGTATGTAAAGCAAAGGTTATTATGACTAAAAGGTAATCAGATCAGTTATCGAGATATGATGGGATCCGATTAAGCCAACATCATTCTTTGCCCCCAAGATCTAGAAGCATTTCAAGAAACTTGAACTTTTGCCAACCAGAATGGGGCTTGTAAAACACAGTAATATGTCTTCAAAGTACAAGACAAAAAGGAAGAAGATAAGATCAAGGCGTGAATAAATGGCGACACTGACAATTGATTTTGGAATCAAATGCTGCTTTTCCAATGAAAATACATGTTCACAAGTTTCAAGGAATACTGAGAGGAAAGATATCCATTGATTATATCTTCACACACTTCATTGAAGATACATAAGTTCAAAATATTTAAAAATCCATCCACCATCGAGACTCAAGAAAAAGACTAACCCAGTACAAGAGAAACAACCTTTCTAGAAGCCGTTAAACTAGCACAATGTACCATAGGAAACCTCCGACCATCCCCAACTACCTCAACGCTAAATTTGCCGATTCGATCTCCAAGTCTCAGCGGGGAAAGGAAGACCGCATCCAGCATGTCACAGAATTGACGAACGGTTCTTCTACCATGGTTCGCGCGCACCATGTACCTGTCTTGTGCGTGGACCCGTAGCACGAAAGGTAGGATGAGAATCCCCCGGCGGGAGATGTGCAGGTGTGAGATAGATTGTGAAAGAAGCGTGATAAATTGGATGATGGGATGGGGGTCTGGAAGTTTGGTAGATGTGATCTGGGCATGGTTTTGGTATGAATGGTCTGAGCAATCTTCTTCAAGACGAAAGGTCTTCAATAAAGTGTACAAAGAAAGAAAGCATACCAACCGACCGAACAAGCTCATTCCCCCATCCCAACGACCCAAGATCCCCTCCCCCAGACCACTAACCCGCATAATCTACGTACCACCCTCCCCCCCCTTCGGCAACACAGCCTGCAACGGAGCGTCCAAGGCTCGCGGCATCAAAAACCATATCACCATGTCGGGTACCTACACCCGGGCCGAGAGCTGGACATTCAGGCTATTGGGGACCTGAAACCTGCGTACAGAATCGGCGGTTGAAGTGGAGTGGCTAAAGCGTGTTTGTTTCTCGTGCCTGAAGGGAAGGGACATGTCGTGCGCCTATCGGGGATTAGAGAGGTTGAAAGGGTTTTGTGTAACAGCTGGCTGGTTTTGTGAGCTGAGCAACCTTTTCAAAACGAGTTTTTCATATTCGTTTTGTTTAAATAGATGTGAATGAATCGTAATACCATTCCTTATTTCAATGTTAGTGGTGATATATCAGATGTACTCGCACAGACCTCGATATCAAGAAGTCAACTCCACAGATTGACACACAATGATCTCCCCGGATTCCCAACACATCTTCTAGAAGTGGAGACCTGTGCGAGAAGAACCACGAACTTAGTGTTCATATAAAACCGGCGGTAAATCGAGTTCCGCCAACATGTCGTCTCAAAAATCATGATCTTACTCCATCCTCGGAAGCGCGATACCAGATGCAATACACGCTCCAAATTCTCTCGGTGCATTCAAAAAGAAAGGCCGCTTCAACAATCTGGTAACGAACATCTCGCTGCCCTGTCCCCCGGAGGGATTATGACAAGTGACAGGGTTGTAGATGTACGACCCCAGTGGACATCACACAGTGAGAACCGGCGACGCTTGACCTTTTTAGGGAGGAGATGGTTGTTTGAAACGAAAGAAAGTAGGATATTAGATGTGTGTTTGAAAGTTGAAAGAGAGACGTTGTAGGTGATATTGGAGTACTCGTACTAAAAGACTTTGTTTCGCTTGCCATCCAAAAGGGTATTTAGTATCTCAACCTCAATTAACTCGATCCACCAACCCCTCAGACATCTCGACGATCGATACCAGTCCCCCGTAAGCAATCAAGATCACATTTCTACACCCAGCATTCCACATCTAAACCCCGCAGATCTTCAACAACAGATTCTTCAACACAAGTCTCCATGTTTCACTGACAAGAATGTCCATCACAATGTCTTGCTTACCGGAGATTTTGTTCATTGTGTCAGTCGATCTTCACTACTTCAAGTCTAGTTCTCTGTCAGAGACGCTACGGAAAACACCCTGTGGTCAAAAGCAGCGGCGCACACGTGCGGAAGTTTATTATTTGCAGATGTGTTTGTGTTTGGAATACCGTAGTGTAGATGTTTAAATCAATGGCAGACGTTACAGAGTTGTGTAAGACGGGACGAAAGAGTACAAACGTTTTGTTGCTTGCTTGGTTCAGCTGTCAAAAGGAATTTGAATTTCGAGTCAGTAGTCGACATATCGTTATGCGTACGAAAACCTCAAGCTCCAAAGCATGTGTAGTGGTTTGCCAGATCCACCACATCTGAATCCACCGATCTGGAAACCCAATAATGGGATGCACAATAACCTCTTGTATTCTCACTAGCGAGAAATACGGTACTTACTAAAGAACATGCGTGGAGTGAAGATCAGAATGCACGCTGCAAGTAAAAATGCAACCCCTTGCCTATGTGACTTTGTTTTTCCCTTACCAAGACGATTACACAAGCCCGATAGGCTCGATGGTAGGATTGCAGGTCCTTTCGCGGGGTGCCTGCCCTGTCTTCAGATGAAGAAGTTGGAGTGTCCTCTTCAGTTCTCGGCCTTTGGGTCTAGCGGGATTCGAGGAGGATTTCGGGAGGCCTAAAGAGGTAGCGAGTCCTATTCAGGGCGGGCATGAGCCACGAGGGCGATCAGGGCACTGCGACAGATCAGTCGATGTACCGAGGACGGACGTTCCGTAGGACGAGGAGCACATGTTCTGAGTGGCAATTCTCCTCGAAGATACAAGATGAGATGGGGGATGGTTGTATCTTCGCCTCCTTTGCTCATACCGTCCTCCGCAATTCTTGTTGCTCCTTTTCAGAAGCCTGCTCAACGCTAGCCAGGTCGGTTGCGTGATGGTTGCCCATTGAGCTTAGTTCCAGATGGAGTCAGATTCAGCGGGAGAGACATGTGGGTGAAGCCCCTCCATGTCCATCATGGCAGCCAAACCCCAGCGATTTAACCTTGTAACGCCGTGCCTTCTGCCGCTCTCTCCATTTAGTTCCCTGTCCTTCTTGTGCTACTTGTTCTCCTTGTCTCGCTTGTCAACTGAAGCGTCGCTGCTCGCCGGCGGCTTGTCCCACAGTCGACCTCGCTGCCGATGGTTGGTTGATGCTCCAGGCATTGGCCGGACATACACTGGAGAGCGCTGCTTAAGCGTGCTTCTGTTGCTTAGACTGCTCCTCCCACGCTATTCTCGTGTCACAGAGGATCTCTTTAGCATACAATACTGTACTGTACTCATCCAGCAGTGTTCTTCCAAAACGACTGCACAAAACAACCGTGGCCGTGGCCTGTCCTCCGTCTGATCAACCTCTCACCTGGTCGTCGAGCAGACTTCGCCTGGTGGCGTGGGCGTCGTTGCTCACAGAAACGCTGCAATTCATCTGCATCTGCTCGTGGTGGCCTGGCTCTGGCTGTTGTCCATCCTCGTACATCGCGAGGGTCAGTCTTGGGCTTCGGCCCCTCTCCCTCCCCCCTGCCTTCACTCGCGTGGTTCTTTCTCCCGCTGCTCTTTAATACACCTTCGCTCCTCGCTGGGCGCAGAGGAAGAGACCACGGTACTTTGTGTTCTGTCTTACTTTGCAAGCGTCCCTTCTTCAACTGATTGTCTCCGACTTACGCTCACGCTCCGTGCTACTCTGACCATCGTCTGGTTTAAGTCGCGGACGGCTCGCCTATGTTACCATTGACACAGCGATAAAACGACGACCGCGGGTGACATTATTCTAGAAGAAAGTGATAGACTTTGGAAATCGTGGAGACGCTTCAGCAATCAGCACACTCGCTCTTTCTAAAATTGAGTTTGGCCAATCACGCCTGCAATCGCTCCCCAGACTTACTCGACCCTACTCGACCCTACCCTACTCGGCCCCCCTGGAACGCCAAATTCAACCCGCCCAACACTCAACCGCAGCAGTGCAGTTTGCAGTCCACCAGCACGACTTCTGGCTCCCGGTTTAGTCGACAACTCAGTTTATATCTGCAGATTCATCTCTTCCACACCATCTTTACCCATACCCATGCCTTGGTCTCGACGACTTTGACCCTTTATCTCAGTATCCTTTCTTGCATCCGCTTCTCGCCGTCTTGCATTCTCCAATTGCTCTCTGCTAGAGCGCATCGCCACGAGTGCTCCTGCGACGCTTGCCAGTCCGACTCGGAATCCCCTCACCCCTTCGACGGTTTGCGCTCCTCCGGGAACGACAACCTCCACGATGGACCAACACAAATCCGGCCACCAGGCCGTGAAGCCGCCTACCACGATCTCCAGTATGTTGAATGAGCCCTCGGTTTACAGGGAACCAAGCAGCGGGGACAGCGCTTATGCCTCACAAAACAATTCGAAGCGTAAGCAGCATGGTCTTTCGTCTCTGTTGCCGTTGCAGTCGAAGAAACAGATGATTAACAATTGCATACAGACTCGAGCCTATCCAACACGCACAACGGTATCAATACGCATCACATGGGGTCAGACCATAATCATGCGGAGAAAACACCTTCGCCAGTGTTCAATGGCATCTCCCCTCACCCCCTCAGTTCCCCGACAGGAGCCATGAGCGTCGCATCCATCGTGTCGCCAACCATACCCGAACGTCGAGAGCAGATAGCACACAACAGATTGAGCGACAATAGACTGAGCGTTCAGACGATAGACTCGGCGTTGCACAACGGGTCGATCAATGGGGACTCGCGACGTGAGTCCGTAGACAGCCGTTTGGGAGCCAACTTCGGAGACATGCGTCTGTCTGGTGCCTCACCATATGCATCCAACAATCAATCAACAACCTCATTACAGAGTACGCTTGCACAGCAAAGAAATCCTGGCGCTACCGATAGACCCCACTTGGGACTTCGATATTCGGATCAATTCTCTCCACGGTCATCACGATTCTCGCAGGCCAGCGACCCTGTATCGCCTTCACGAGGAATATTGACATCAAAAACGGCGCCTCCGATTCATGGTCCTCCTTCACGAGAGATTGCCGAGGCCCCTCATGCGATTCCCGGTCAAGCCTGGGCGTTGGATTTCCATGCTGATCCCTCAGAGGCGGATGCCCATGTTAACCGAAATGGAACGTCTTTCTTTGATAATGACTCTCGAAGGAACTCATTCACCGACTCGATCGCAAGCAGTGCGTATACAACAGAATCACGTCTTCCGCAGGGGCAACGAAGACTCGATGACCAGTCAGACCTGAACCACCGCCTGTCGAGGGCTTCGTCAGAGCTCCAGGTCTCCACCCACCATCATTCACTTCAACATCGACAAGTAGCCGAGCTGCAGGGTGAAGGCACATCCCCTGGTGGGAGTCAGCCATACTCTCGCACTCCAGAGTTGAGAGTGTCACACAAACTGGCGGAGCGTAAACGACGTACTGAGATGAAAGACCTGTTCGACCAACTGCGTGATCTTATGCCTCAAGAACGTGGATCTAAAGCATCGAAATGGGAAATTCTAACAAAAGGTGTGCTACAATGAAGACACATATGAACAGAACCATGCTAACTTTGTACCAGCCATCTCTGAATATGGAAGAGCGATGACTGATATCAGCAGGCTGACCGTTAAGATTCGCTCAGTGGAACAAGAACTCGAGACTTCTCGACGCGAAGCAGCTGCATTGAGGCTGGAAAACAGTCAACTGCGTGGAGAGCTGGCTTCTTTTGCTAATTCCCATCGACCTGCTCCTCAACCACAAATGAACAATGACTATCCACCACAAAACAACAACATGTACGGTGGAAGCCAAGCAGATCGGAACCCACGTCACGGACACGATCCATATGTTGTCAGATCAGCGGAACAACTACCACCAATCCGAAACGCCATCAGCGGCCATCCTCAAGCACCAGAAGCAATGAGTGGAATCCAATATCAAAACTCGTATCGTCCTGGAGTCGACCACTTCTGAGCGCCTATATCTTTTTCCACATTAGGACAAGCAATGGAAAGCTCGTCTTTGCAGCGATAGAAGCAAGTTCTAGTAATGACCTAACATTGGCCTGCTCGAGCATATTGTTGCGACTTCGCTTCCCCCTTTAATATGCACACGTGGATGTTCCGTTCGCAGGGGCATTGTACGTTCTCTGGCCTGTTGGTGCCAATGCATTCAACACATATATCAACAAAAGACCCCTTCGGTTCACGCTCACGCGACGCGTCAAGCGATAGATACCGTCGACTAAATTCTGAATATCAGACCCTGGAGGCGCTTCAATTATCTCTCTTTCTCATTACCTCCGCTCTCATTTGGATATGTTATACGACACGGCTTGTCAGCTTTCTTGTGTTAATAGGAGTTTATTCTCTGTGTCTGTAGGAATATTCGTTTCTTTTGTTCGCCAATCATTTCAGGAGTATACGCTCCAACCATCATCTGGCAACCACGCTTTCTTTTTCGGCTACTTCTTCTTTGAAGATAAGATATAAATACAAAAAACCTGGGCACGGGAGGAGGATTATTTGATGGCATGCATCTCTGGATAGGGTCAAGGGATCTGACGAACATGTTGGCGTGTGCCTCGAATGATATGGATAAAAAAGCATGGATCGGGATGGTTCGCTGGCGTTTGATATACCCGCACTGGTTTCATTGGGTTTCGTTGCTTCCCCAGCTCTGCTCTAACTATGAGTGAGGTTATGGAATCGGGGTGGGAACCCGGTTGGGTGCAATAAGAATATTATTATTGGTTTCCGATGTGTAGGAAGGGCTTTACTGTAGCAACATCATAGACGAGGGTTGCGTAGATTACAGCGAGGGATATTAGCCATTTATATTTAAATGATTTCAGAATCTATGTATTTGTGCGTATGTATTTTGTCTGTTTGGAATTCGTGTCGAGGATGTGGGATGTTACTCTAGATAATATAGATTAAGGAGTTCCTGAATGATCTATCTATGGATTGGACAATGTATCCTAAACAAAGAGCAAGCTTTGCTAGACAACCAGGATGCAAACGTACTCGGTCTGAAAGTGGTTGAAGTATTAACTTTTGTCCTGTTCAGCTCACGCATAAAATAACCTTGTATTTTATGATGAATAGTTTCCCATAAGAAGGCATGCTTCGAAGAAAGAGCAGTGAACACGCTTTGCATTTTCCAGGGACGATTGGATGGTATCAATTTAGATACTCGTGATTTGAAAGTTTATAGTGAATAGGAGAAGAAGGCTAATGTTGGTGAGAGGGTGGTATTACTGTAGGGTCAATTGACAGTTGGAATATTATAATTAAAATATAAGTGTCACAGGATTCAGTATTGTATTTATTAGACTTTTAAAGAAAGTGTGTAATATGTTAGCACAGTTTTATGATGTCGAGCAGTGGCTATTACAAGTATATCTATTAGTTCAAAATCGAGGGAAAAGACTTTCTTTGGAAATTTTGTGTGATTTATGAAGAGAACTTCTACATCATACAAAAGTCCAATTCGCTGTTACGAGCCATTAATGTGCCCGCCGAGTGCTACTCATCCCAATTGTCAGTCGTTGACAGTTTGAGGTCCGAGGACGTCAGGAGGTTTCCGCGATGTGAAGTTCCCAATCGGGGCTAGTGGCACGCTAGGTTAGTGCAATTTCTGCATCACCTCTCGAAAAAAGTTCCTTTGCGAAACAGAGTATCATCAACCCAAACCACAACATTCGAACTCCTTACACTTGTTCAATTCCACCTCACATCATCATCATGTAAGTTCCACTGCTTCTTACCACGTTTTCACAATACTAATAGGATGAAAGGCATTTCGTTCGTCGTGCCGCAGCTCGCGCTGCCTCATCCGCCTCCTCCTCCCTCATCTCCCAATCTCGCGCCATCAACACAAGTTCTCCTTCATTCCTCCTCAGGTCGAAGTTCCAGGCTACCAGCATTGCTCCATCTGCTTTCCGAAAATACAGCAATGATGTAGCTCCAGCTGCTGATAATGAACAATCTGCCGTCAAGCAAGCTACTGAGTCTGCCTTTGGCGATGAAGGTTCTGACTTTGGAGAGAACCCCTCTGCTTACGGCGAGAGAGCCCCACGGGAACAACAAGACCGGTCATCTTTTGATAGAGGAGGATACCGAGGTGGACGTGACGATCGCCGTCAAGCCGCTCCTCGCCCTCCCCGAGATGACCTCACCCTTGAGCCTACCGATACTGTCTACGTGGGCAACCTCCTCTTCGAGGTTACCGGTGCCGATCTCGAGAGAGAATTTGGTGAATTTGGTACCGTCAAGTCTGCGACTATTGCCACTGACGCTCGCCAATTGAGTAAAGGGTAATTTCTACAACACCAGAAAATGATGACCTCAGCTAATATTCGATCCAGTTTTGGTTACGTCCAGTTCGAAAATGTCGAGCAAGCAAAGGCTGCTATTGAAGCCAAGCATGAGACTCAATTTGAAGGACGCCGCATGATCGTCAACTATATGGCCAAGAGAACCAACACTGGTGCTAGAAATCCACCTGCAAAGACCCTGTTCATCGGAAACCTTGCCTTTGAGATGTCGGACAAAGATCTCAATAACCTCTTCCGCGATGTTCGAAATGTTGTCGATGTCCGCGTCGCCATTGACAGACGTACTGGACAACCAAGAGGTTTCGCACACGCAGACTTCACCGATATGGAGAGTGCTGTCAAGGGATTTGAGGCTCTCAACGGAAAGGAGGTGTATGGCCGAACCTTGAGACTCGATTACAGTTCTGACGCGAGAGAACCAAGAAGACCTCGCAGCGATTCAGGTGAGGGACGCTATTAGATCGCACAGAGGTGACGATGATGTATTGCATGGATGGGAGGCATTTCATCGAGGTGAGATGGCTTGGGGTTTGTAACAAAAATTGTGCCTTAGATGTGGGCTGAAGCTTATGCTTGTCTGGGTTCTCAGATGTTGTCTTAACACTTCCTTGTATTTGTTCATCTTGTTGTAAAATAGGGGTGTTTTGGCTAGGCGTAGGGCATTGTTCCACAATCGAGGCACATACTCCGCTCATAGCAATGTTGGGATGGGATAGGAATTTCTTTGCATGTAGACACGTATTACTAGATTAATTGAGAAGAGTAGCGAAGAATCATGATATTCACTCGCAATAGCCTTATATATTTGTTTACCATCTGTGACATGAAGTTATACGAATAACGCACTATGACTGCCAAATATATTCGCCCTGTGATATGTTTTGACCGTTTCATCTCACCTCAAAGAAATACACGAATCTCAAACATGTGAAATATTCATGTGTTGCCACGCACCACCTCCACCCAACGGCAAATTTCGGGGTTCACCTCGGCCCAACCGCTGTCATTGATTTACAATGGCGGCTTGCGGGCCCCTCAAAAGCTTCCCCACATTCTGCATAGGAACCTCTCAACTCACTATTTGTACTTCCTTCCTTTTCATCATCAAGACGGGGGTTTTTCTTGTATGATATTGAGGCTTCTTTTTTGGCATATAGCATTTCTTCTTTTAGAAGGCAGATTTGGAACGATAGAAGCGACGGACGAAGTACCCGAACGAAGCATCGAAGACAGTACCAGCGAACGAAGTCAACGGAACGAACTACGAAAAGAATCAGATCATGTCTTTCCTAGGCGGAGCAGAGTGTTCGACGGCGGGCAATCCTCTCAGCCAGTTCACGAAACATACGCAGGATGATAAGAGTTTGCAGAGGGATCGCCTGGTGGGGAGGGCGAATGGGGGAGGGTTGCAAGGTATGAGGTCGAATGGGGTGATGGGGAGGGGGGATGAGGTGAGTTTGCTGTTTTTATGTGTTATTAAGTGTTTGGTGAGGAGGGAGGATGGGAGGAGGGGGTGCTGTTATACCTTTGCAGACTGGAATCTGTGGGAGTTTGTTATACTGCCTCCACGGCAGTGGCCCTCGGAGAGCCAGCGGAGCGTCATTTGGGAGTAGGACGTTCGCTAATTTGGAATTGGTGTAGATGATGAATGAGTTTATGCAACACAATGGACAAGTTCCGCCGGAAGCGTTTATGCAGCAAAACGCGGGTCTGCAGAATCAGCAGATGCGATCGGGTTCCGCGTCGCCTGGTCTGGGTAACTGGGCGCAAGAGTTTAATCCTGGGATGGATGAGCAGGCGCGGATGGAGGCTTCGTTCCAGGTTCCTAAGGGCGCGGCTTTTAGTGCGGCGGACTTTGCGCGGTTTCAGCAGATGGGGCAGAATGCTAGGACGGCGAGTCCGTTGGGACAGCAGAATGGGAGTCAGTATTCTGGGTATCAGGGGAGACAGATGGGTATGGGGATGGGGATGGGAGGTATGGGCATGGGAATGGGTATGATGAATAGACCACAGTTCCAGGGTGCTCAGAATATGCAGCAGGATAAAGGAAAGGGCAAGTTGGTGGAGCTTGACAATGAACATTGGGAGGAACAGTTCAAGCAGATGGATTTACAGGGCCAGGAACTTGATGAGAGTATGGCTGGGGAGGCAGAGCTCAATGAGATGGACAGGTCAGTCCTTGAATCCGAAACCAATGAATTTGGTGATTTCGAGTCTATTTGGAAAGGAATACAAGCTGAAAATGAAGCCGCTAGACAATTAGCTGAAGAAGAGAACATGGCGAGCGAGATTTGGGGGAACGGTGGCGATGTTGATACCTGGGATAATTTCGACGGCATGCGAACACATTCGGCTCCTTTTCGCGATCCTAATCTGGGAGAATACATGTTTGAGGAGGAGAATATATTTAGGGAGATTGGGAACCCTTTTGAAGAGGGTGTGAGGATTATGCAAGAGGGTGGGAATTTGTCGTTGGCTGCTCTGGCTTTTGAAGCTGCTGTGCAGAAAGATCCACAGCATATCGAAGCTTGGGTGCAATTAGGATCTGCTCAAGCACAAAACGAGAAAGAGACACCGGCGATACGAGCCTTGGAACAGGCTATGAAATCAGATCCCAACAACCTCACAGCTCTTATGGGTCTAGCAGTCAGCTACACAAACGAAGGCTACGACTCCACCGCCTACCGCACCCTCGAACGCTGGCTCTCAATAAAATACCCCTCCATCATCTCTCCTGCCGACCTCTCCAACGACGCCGAAGTGGGCTTCACAGACCGTCACCTTCTCCACGAAAAGGTCACCAGCCTCTTCATCCGCGCCGCCCAGCTCTCTCCCGATGGCGAACACATGGATCCAGACGTCCAAGTCGGCCTCGGGGTCCTCTTCTACGGCGACGAGGAATACGATAAAGCAGTCGACTGTTTCTCCGCTGCCCTCGCCAGTACAGAATCCGGAACCACAAACCAACGCGAACAGCTCCATCTCCTCTGGAACCGTCTCGGCGCTACCCTCGCCAACTCAGGCCGCTCCGAGGAAGCCATCGCAGCTTACGAAAAAGCTCTCACGCTACGCACAAATTTCGTGCGCGCACGTTACAATCTCGGCGTCTCCTGCATCAACATCGGCTGTTACGAAGAGGCGGCCTCGCATCTCCTCGGCGCGTTGGCGATGCATAAGGTCGTGGAGAACGAGGGACGCGAGAAGGCGAGGGATATTCTGGGAGGTGAGGGTGTCACCGAGGACGAGCTGGAACGCATGGTGCAGCAGAATCAGAGTACGAATCTTTATGATACGCTCAGGCGGGTGTTTAGTCAGATGGGGAGACGCGATCTCGCGGAGAAGGTGGTGGTGGGGATGGATGTTGAGGGGTTTAGGGGGGATTTTGATTTTTAGATGAATATGAGAAATGGTTTTGGCGAACAAAGTCATGGTTTTGATTTGTTGGTGTGATATTGTGATATGGTGATTGTGAAGTGGCTGCTAAATTGTGAAGTGTCAGCTGCCAGGAAAAACTCTGGTTAACGAGACTTGCTGTGGAAAGCATCAAATCTATTACATACTTAGCGCCCCTGTTTTCAAAGAGCGAACGGCTAACAGTCATCATTTAACGACATTTCCCATTCTTGCACAACCGTTTGTGGCCAAGATAAGAGCTGAAGCAGTGCAACATAAAACTCCCAGAACAAGAGCTGGAAAACGGCCATTAACAAATACCTGAAATATAGGCTACATAGATTATGTGTAACTGCGATTAGAAGTATGAATACTTTGGTAGTATTAGTTTTTGCAAACGAGCTTTTAGAATCTGGGAGAGTCAAGAGCATTACTGGATTGTAGGATGAGAAAGTGGAGATCTTGGCACGGGTAACATAGGATTTTTACACCCGTCTTAGGAGTCAAAATTCTCAGACAGTTATCGACCTAAAGCACGCATATTGGTGCTTATAGGTGGCTTCCGAGGACCGACATATGTTGAGTTTTCGCAGTTTTGGTGGTTGATGGCGGATACTGTCTTGAGATTTAATACCCCGTATATTTTAATGCTACGAGAGTACCAAAATTCGCGTTGTCCTGTTATGTTTGATATGGATAAATTGGGTGGTGAAGATGGTTTCGGTGACAACCTCTCCTCTCAACCACCGAAACCCTCTCCTCTCAACAACCATACTCCAAACACCAACACCAACAACGACAGCACAAACACATCTAAACACCATCGCAGCTTCTCTCAACACCTCCCATCTCTCCAACACTTCTGGTACTGGGACAGGAAACGTCATCAGCACTCCCGATGGTGATCTATTAAAGATAGAGCTAGAGGATGCTTGTGTTATTAAGCCTTATATTCTAAAATAGGAAACGTAGAGACTCGATTGGCAGGCGCATATTGGGAACTCATATTAAAGGCGTATAGTTTCTAGAGATACTATTTCGGGGAAGTGTTATATAAGGGGTATTGCGGGAGTATAGGAAATGTTATTTTAGTTTGAGATATCTAGATGTTGTTATAGCTGCTTTTCAAGTAAGGTAATAAATATATTAAACTTTCGATTTAATTTTCAAAAGATTTATAGTAATTTCACCCACGATAATTTAGAATACTAAAAGTAGGCATTTTCTGTAATTTGACTCTTTAAATAATCTACTATAGAAAAATTTTATATACCTATAATTTAATTTTGCAACTTAAGTAATACACATCCGAGCTTCTATCCTATTTCCTCTTAAGTAGTACTTCGATATTTAATAAAGTAGAACGAAAATACGAAGTTGAAATTTTTTTTCTATAATATCGTATTTCTAACGCTCGATTAGCAATTGCAAAAATTAAAACCAAGGGATAAACATTCGAAAACAAACTAATTTTCGGTAACAAATTCCCTTAATTTATTCCTAAGTATCTTTTCTAAAATATAACCCTTTATTATAATATAACTCTAAATAAGTCTTAAGTATAGTTTAATAATTCGTTTACGTATAATTCTTCTACATTTCTCTATAAGTAGTTAACTCGAAAGGTGAAATTAGTAGTTTTATTTACGAGATGAATATAATGAATTAATAGTTAGATAAAGTACGACTTTCCGAGTTATAATAGTACTAGTTAAGAGAAGTAGTAGAAAGATTATTGTATTTATCTAGTGTATCTATAGGCGGAGAGTAAGGCGCTATTATTTGGGAATTTTAAAAGGTCGGAAATTCGGGGCTTAGGAAATATATAAGAGTTTCTATTTATTTCTTACTTTGTTGTGTCGTTCCAAAATTCGTGAGGCGTATATAGCAAGTCGTAAAGCGTAAATAAAAAGCACTTTTCTAATCCACCTACCTGCAAGCTGTTAAGAAACCTACTCCTTAACCCTACTCGATCTTCTCTAAACACAAGCAATACAATCTACAAAACCCCCTCACATTCTTTCCAAGGAACGGCAAGTCACAACAACTCGGAACAGATCAATATCATGTCCTGCCCATTATCTAGAAACGCACCGAACATACTCGCAATAAACAGAATACCTCCCTACTCAACTTCATTCTTCTTACGACTTACTATTCACCTCCCCTTAAACTTTCACCCAAGCATTCACTTAATCGAAAATGAATTCGGCGACAAACCCAAAATCAGCGACAAACCTCCGCTCCTCACATCTTTATCCCTAATTCATTCCCACTCCTTAACATTCCTTGTCACCCTATACCGAGTCTACACATCTCAGTATCGTAGATTTTAATCGTCATATTTAGTGACTGAAGCATTAAAGTCCGAAAAATACGCTGTTTGACATTTTGAACAGGTTCTTGAGGAGGAAGCGCTGTAACCTATCTGCTATTATATAATACACTTTCCCGAGCTTTTAAGCTTTCGTTGAATTTAGACATTCCTGACTCCCTTTGGAGTAAGCTTTCACGATAGTCGATGTATTTAGTTATTTAACATATTCTATAAGAGGGGGTTTGAATATTCAATTTTGTGTATAGTCGCACAACCACCTGAATCCTATTCTGAAAAGCTACTCGTAATGAAAATTAATTCCCTAAAACATACACTAACAAACTCCCATCCTGATTTTCCCCTTCCCTACTACTCTCCCCTCCTCCCTTCCTTCATAACCCCCAAAACTACCGAATCAAATCCTCAAGACAGCTATCTATTGAACATGGAATAGAGACTAAAAGAAGACATAATTCCAAAAACCGAAAGAAGTAATCCAAGTTAAGAGGATTACCAAGGAAACATATCTACCTCTCCACCTCTCCACCTCTCCCTGCACCAGCTCACCTAACACCTAGTACAACCAAGTTGCAACGAAAATCGGTAACAAATACACAATCGGTGACGCACTATTCTTCATATCCTCGAATATACACTTTTGAAATCTGACATTCCGTTTAAGATCTCAACGTACAATCCCATCCGAGCACCCAGCCCTTTACCATCCAACGAACCAACAGCCGTCATTCCTCCACAGTCAGAGATAAGGCTCTCGTAGTTGACGAGTGTAGGTGCTTATGAGGTCTAGTATAATCTATTAGGTAGTTTTGAATAGTAGAGTTACAGATAACAAGAGAGTGCCGAATTGGATTTGATGGAACTGCGCTTCCAAAGTTCTAACCACAAAATGACGAATTCAATCCAGTCAAGAGAGGTATTCAGGAGAAATCAATTCAGAATACACACCTACAGAACAACTAGCTAAATGTCAACTTGCTCAAAAGCTTTTGCGCCTTTCCTCCCTCAGTATTCTCCCGTTCTCCTTCTCAAACCCCCTCTTTGCTCCTCAATCTTCTTCCCTCCTCTCCTTCTCAAACTCTCCCCTCGACTCTCAAATAAAATCCCTAAACGCCCCTGCTGAACAGCCAGCTTCAATATCTCAAGGTAATCGCTAACGCCATGATTGAAAAGAAAAAAAACCTAAAAAAAATGACCTATTAAAAAAGAAAATCAAAATCAAAGGCATAAGTGCCTAGCTCTCAAGGAGCCACCTTTCAGAATCAAGTTAACGCAAAAACTCCTAAAATCCCCCCCTCTCTCAAAATATCATAAACTCCCCCTTTCCACCCCCAAACTCACCTCACCCCTTCCCTCGAATTCTCACTCCACTCCTTAACAGGCGAGCGTTCCGAGATCGAATCCCGAAACGTGACATGTTTATCCGTACTCTGCTCTCTGACTTCATATCGTTCCGGAGAATTACGTGGCCGACCTCTATCAGCATCGTTTCTGCTCTCACGATATTCTTGGGAAGAATTTCGAGTGCTGACAGGTTCGCGACGACGAGAGTCGGTGGGTGAGGGCATACGCTGTCTCTCCGACGTACCGTTGGCATAAGGTTGTGAATCCGCAGTGAATTGACTTTCAGATCCAACCGTATACTCAGATCGCGAGCGCGAATCTTTTCTGCGACGAGAAGCTCGAGATGGTGCGGGTGGAGTTGGTGCTGGTGGTAAGATATCACGATCTACTCCAAAGAAAGTCAGCATTCACTCCAAGACCCTTCACAGGTTGAAACTCACCAGTCCTATACGTCACATCCGTATCCGCAAGCGACGGATCAACAAAACTATCCTTCCTATACCCCTTCCTCGCCGTCTCATACCTCGGTTGTGACAAAGACCGTTCCCTCGCCCAATCATCCCGATAATACCTCTCGGCATCATCTCTCTTCTCAAACTCTCTCCGCTCATACCGATCTCCAAGGACAGCTCTGTCAGTGTACTCCTGCAACTTCTCCTCTTCTGCCCTTTTCTTAGGGCGATACACGTATTCCTCCTTCACGACGATGACTTGATCATCGTTTTTGGGATTCAAAACGTGGGGAAGTCCCCAGTGGTTTGCGGACATTCTGCGTTCACGGCGGCGGCGGCGGCGGGATTCTTGGGATCGGAGGGAGATGCTTGATGTGTCGTCGACATTGCTTTCTCTGGGGCAGCGTTGGTCTAAGTCGGTGGCTTTGGTGGCACCCCAGCTACCTACTAGATTGAGTGTTTCATCGGCGGGATCTTTGTAATACCAGTCTGCGGAGTGATCGGGTGCTGATTCTTGAGATTGTCCGCTGAAGGTGTTGTCAAAGTAGTCATTATCATCGTCGTCGTTGAAATAGACAGGAACCTTGTTAGTACCGGGTTGAGAATTATTGTAATCAAAACCCTCCCCAAATCGTCTAGGTTGAGTGTAACTCCCCATCATATGATCATTTTCAGATCGGGATTTAACTCTCTCCAGAGGCGATGATGGACGTTCATAATCATATGGAGCTGGAACATAACGATACGAAGGTCCTGGTGATGAAGTCTGACTACATCTTGTAGCACAGGTGTCATCATACTGGTCGGCATATCGAAATGTCGAAGTTGGTCGCAGTTTAACGTAGCTTTTGTTTGGAGACGGCATACCAATCTCACTTCGAATTCTGTCGGATCTGGAACGTCGAATGGGTATTCCTCTGCGTCCTCGCTCGTTTTCTTCTGCATAGTGACCTTCTATATCTGTGGCAATATCATCCTCGGATGAATATTGGGATTGTGGATTGGATCGTCGTCGACCTCGATCACGTTCTTCATCAGAGAAGATGGTAAAACCGTCGTCATCAGGAATATACGCTGATCGTTCCTGACAAGTGGTCAGTTCAGCTCAGTTGGGTCAGTAGAAGTGGTTGATTTACCCTGCTGTAGCTGAATCTTCGAATACGCACTGAAGATCGGGATTTTTCTTTCCGACTGGAACTCGGTTCGCGCTTCTGGTGTGCGGTATCAGCTCTTATCCAACGATATCAAGAGCCAGTATGAAGTACCTTGGATTTCTTCCTCCGTTTATCCTTACTCTTGCGTTTCGATCTTGAGGTCTTTCTTTCCAGTTCTGCCTCGCTATCAGAGCTCTCTGAACAGCTGACATCCCTTTGACATCTTCGGCACGTATCAGGAGCTGGTTCTTTACCAGGGATAATCGGATTTTTTTGTTGATACCTCCTCGACCGTATTCTCTGACAATTGGCACATATGTGCTTGGTGATTGTAATGGTGGTCTTGGATCCTGTAGTTTTCGCGCTCTCTTCAGAAAGATTCGATGTCTCCTTCGCCAGAGTAGGAGCCACGAATTGGTGAAAATGACCGTCAATGGCTTGCAGACGAGCGATTCCATCTGGCGTCAGAGGCGGGACATTTGGAAGATCCGAGTAGGTAACTGGTCGTTGGTAGGTACAGCACGGGACCGGTGTCGAGGCTGGAGGATAGATCGGTTGTAAATTCTGGCCTTGAGCATACGGGTACGGCTGCGGAGGAAATGGTTGTTGTGGAATTGGAGCAGAATGCGGCGGTGGAGGACCTGGTACATACGGGATACCTCCGATCATCAAAGGTTCTGGTGGTGTCACTGAGATCGATTTCGCTCTCTTTCGAGCAGCAGTCACACCAAAAGCTTCTCCTAGCAGACTGATTGCTTTGGGAGGAGTATATTTTGGTTTGGCGCGTGCCATTACAAGCTTTCCATTGACCTTTGTCAAGTAGGGAACGCCCGGTGGTGCTTTCTTTTTTGAAAGACTGGAACCCTCGCTGGGAGGGGGTTGATATCTATTCGAATACTTAGCAATAAATCCATGATCAAAGCAAACTGTGATTCAAGATCGGGGTCGTGGAAACCTACACTGAAAGCATCTTGAAGAAAATGAACGAGTGAAGTTGGAGATTATAAAAAGGTGAATGGCGACATTGGAGGACAATAACAAGCAAACGCGAGCCACGCGACAATAGAAAGAAAAGCACAATAGGCAGCCACAATTGTAGGCCAATTTGAAATAAAGCGAAAGGAGCGTGGTGTTGGATAATCGTCGCAGTGAGAGAGCAGCCAGACAGCGCGGAGAACTACAATTGAGTTACAGGACGCAAATACAAGAGCGACCAGAAGATGCAGAAGGAAAGACGATGCACGACCAGCCACGGGTTTTATGAGGCCGCGGCAACGGATAGACGCTGGAGGGAGACATCAGACGATACCCCTGCTCTCAGAGCGAAAGTGTGCCTTTAGGAGGGCCTCACCTTCGATTTGGAGAGGTGGGCGCCGGTATGGTCCGCAACCGAATACTCGAGTGAATTTAAAGATAGATGGGAACGTTCTTGGCGCAAAACTAAGGCCATTTGACACTTCGGCAGGGTAGCTAATTCATATGGCCCTCGACATGGGACGATTAGGATTTCGGCGGGACAATACGGATCTGCTTATTTTTGGCGTCTCTCTTCAGCATCACTTCCATCCCAGGATATCTTGGATGGAGAACACTGAACCACATGGAAATCGACTATAGGAGCGGAGTGAATGCTATACAACGTCATCAATTATTTCCATATCAAGCACAAAAGGTCCATTTATGAATACATTTCTAACACAAAAGATTTGCAGGCTTGTTTTGTTGGCGCCAAGGTATGATACAAATAAATTTTCCCATCCTTTTATTCCACACGTAATACTTTTGGTCCTCTCCTCTTCGTGGACTTCTTCTTCTTGTTACCCTTTTCGAATGATGCGGCAGCAGCATGGTCTCTTCCAACGTTGTCAAGGTCTTTGACCTTGTAAATTCTAATAATCCAGTTTTCACTGGTGAAAGCCTCATTCATAGTGCTGAGCGTAGGACCCTGATCGGGCATCTTAACACCACGGACTCGATCTTGGCATTGTCCAGGAGGGAAGAGTGTATTGTAGTTGTAGTAAGACATCTTGTACCTGTTTAGGTGTTAGCGAAATAAAGTTTATAAAACAAAGCCATCACTTACATCAAGCTCTTCTTCATCGTCTCAGTGGCGCCCTCATCCACTCGGTACTCGCCACGATCAGTGAAGAAATCACGCTCCTTGACTTCTTCAGGCCAGATACCTTCAGCAATTCGGACCATCCACAAGAACTTGTTGATATCGTCTCCAGAATAACCCAGAAGACCTCCAAATACAACAAGAACATAATCGACTTCGTGTTGGCGCATAATAGGATAGCTGACTTCCTCACTCGAACTCATCGCTTTACCGACAGTTGCAATATGGGTGTTATTCCAGGTGTTGTTGTCAACAAGTGTTGGTCTATCAGCCATACCACCAATTTGATAACCGTAATCCCACCATGACATGATCTTGGCGTCCTCCTTGGTGTTTTGGCGAAGCCATTGGTATGCCTCACGGTAATCGTCGATGATGTGTTGACTTCCGTCGGGCATTCTGCTTGCAAGGACAACGGATGGAGAAGAGTAGGCATTTGAGGTAACCCATGTGCAGTGAAGAACAAAAAGTAACAAGTAAGCTGTCAAGGCACTGACGACGGAATTCTTGGAGAATTGTGTGTAGATACCTACGAGCGGCTGGCGCATAGATCGTAGGCCATCGGTCTTAGCAGCCTTTTTGGCTGCTGCGGGAGTGCCATTTGCTGTTGCATCGGCTGAAGCGTCTGTTGGTGCCTCGGGAGATTTAATCGTAAGATAGGTGTCTAACAAATGGGATAACGCCAAGGCGGCCGCCACACAGACGATAGGGGTAAGTGTGAGCATCAATCTAACCATAACACCAGAAAAGTAACTGGCAAGAATAGCGTAGACAACGACGAAGACCTGCTCATCATCAAGCTTCTGGAAGCAGAGGTAGACACCTGCAGGGAAGAGCCAGATAAGAAGGTTCAGATCGAAAAAGAATGCTGGCCATGCTGTTGGCTGATGTTCGGAGACAGAGGCGATAATTGGGATATGAATCTTGGCATATCCGGTATCCCAGAGTGAGTAGAATCGACCGGTCCATGGGGCAATAACACCGGAAACTGTCAAAAGGACAAGACCACCAAAAGCGATCACGAAGACAGCTAGAACGAAGCCTCTGAGAAGAGTAGCAAATTGCTTGCTTGGTACTCCTGAACGGACGAACTCGACAAATCCAATCAACTGTAGAAGTCCAAAAACACCTACTACTGTAAGCATGTGCTGCCAAATAAAGATAAGACAACTTACCGAGGGCAGACATATGCTCGCTACTGCGGATTGGCAAGAATCCAACGAAAGGAATCTGCATACTCGCAAGCGTGCCAAGAGCGTACCAGGTGCAATAGCTGACATAGAGTCTTGGACCAAACCGACCCATGCAGACGAGGACAAAGACGTGTAACGGAATCAAGTTGGTGATGAAAACATATCCGCCCCAAGCGGAAACCATGTAACCGTAGAAGAGCGCACATAGAGCACCCCACATTGCTGATCCAAGCTTAAGGGCCTTGATCCAGAGGTAAAAGGTAAATACAAGAAGGAAGATGGCAATTGCCTCGTTATCGTAGCTGCCGGCAACTGAACGCGAGATATAACCAGGTGCGATACCCATGAAAGCGGCTGCGAGAAGTCCAGCTGAAGGAGACGTGGACATTTCGTTGGTGAAAAGGTAAGTTGCAAATGCTGTCAAGCCCGAGAATCCTGGCGCAAGAAGCACACAGATATTTCGAATATCGACTGGAATCGTAATGGCTCGTAGAGCATGGTAGATAGCACCACTGGTCACCATGAGACCTGGATATAGAGTTCCTCCTGTAACTCTTCCAAGTGGATGCCATGTTCGGTCATCAAACCAATCCCAAAAGTCGTAGAAGCCATTTGCGACTAAGTATTTCGTCGCTCTGAAGTTGAACCACGGATCGACTGCATTTTGTTAGTATGTGTTGATTTGCACAATTTGCTGAGGCTCGAGGGGGTGCAATCGCGGATTCTGGGACGAGGCTACTAACATTCGTGGATAATACTTTCGAATCCTATAGAATTTAGTTAGCAGAATTCTAGAAACATTTTGAATACTCTGAGTTTCCAGAAGACCCTACAGAGCGTGGCAGGCGCAAGCAATGGGCTGTTTGATAGCTTATTGTGGAGTACGTACGAATAACAGAAAACAGCCGACTGGCAACGGCCGCAGCTGCAATTAAGCAGAGAATTGACAGTCGTAGAATTCCTCTAGTATTCCTCCCCGTGTTACCCTTAAGAAAGGGCTCAACTATGGAGTCCGACATCGTGGTTGTTGTTTGAATGGTGTCGTGAACGACGTGTATATCTGTTCTGATGTGGCTCTTGTCGAAAGCTCTAGTATGCAGCTGCAGGGGTTGGGTCTAGTGCACGTCGGACGTCGCGGATAAATATTATCTCCGATGCCTCTCCTTTGGCTTGTGGAGCTGGATTAGGATAACTGAATTACAGAAAAGAACGAGAGAGTTATATATTACTTTACTTTGTACTTCAGTGAAAAGTATTGTCCCGTATTTCTCATTGAATAGAGTAAATTAATTTCCAGTATCCGTTACTTGGGCAAGCCATCGTGTCCTTGGAACATACTTCTCTTGTTTATCACTCAGAGCGAATGGTACCTCTTGACAATTGCATGTTTAGGTTGCTGTTGCTGAATATTATTTCCTTGAACATGAACTAGGCCGTTGACTTGAGCTGGCAAACTAGAACAGATAGCTAGAAATAAACCAACGTAACCTTCTCCTATATGCCTCATGAAGTTAACTTAGTTAGGTGACTAGCAGGAAGTGCGTGGTAGCTTGTTCCTACACAAATATGAAAGTTCCATCTCATCTAACGTTCAAAATCCTCATTTCAAAGTCTATCATACCTACAGAATGCAATAGGGAATTAGTTATCTTTGCAATCCATGCAATGTTGTCTGTTCAGAGGCTGTAATGTCCAGATAGTGCTTGAAATCGGGTGGAGTAACGAAAGAAGGAAAACATAAGTAAGCAATTTTCGCAAGACAAACCAGTAAAGCCGAGCATAACACATGATGTATGAACAGTTCGATTAGAGAACTTCCTTCGTCTTTTTTTCCACTATGAGTACAATGTACAAAAAATATGCTGATTGACGTCTAAGACTTTTACGAACGATGACATGTTTCATGTCAAAACCAGCTGGCGATATAATTCTCCCATCTGGCAATGCCTTCTATCTTCACCCATCATTACATTCATACACTCTCCCATATCCGTCCCTCTACTTGTTCTCGGCCGCCACGGTGTTCAGGAATGCTTCTAGGTCGAATCTTGGGTTCTCTGGATCTCGGATAACTATTCAACGTTTGTCAGCTTGCTTTTCTCCTGATTGTAATTTTCCAGCCCCCAGCTATGGTCTTCTCGGAGTACAAAACTCAGGTTTTCCATCAAGTCATGGGTTGGGCACAACGTACTGTCTCCTTCTGACGTTTTCGAACTTGGTGGCAGCTTGCTCTTTGAATATTCGGCTTTTGCTTGCTCAATTAACTTCTGCTTGTGTTCGTATTGTCTGTCGATCGCAGCCAACTTTGCTGCTGTTGTGAGCTTGGCTTGGTGGTAAACACCATACAGGATACCGCTACCCAAGGCTGACCACCGAAGGATCTGGGAATACAAAGTCAGCTATGATGACCCAATTGACATGATAAAATGCTATAGAGAGCAAGAAACTGCAGACACGTTTCTGCGCGGAACATTTGACTGACATTTACTCCTGTTGAAGCCATTGTTGATTGGGCGTTGTATGGGGGCTTCGGGGAAGATTCGATCGAAGGAGCTGTGTCGCAAGGTATCAATTGACAGATTGTCGCAACCGTTGGAGCTGATGGGGGTGGTTGAGAGCTGTCAAAGCTTGGTGAGGTTCAAGTAAAGATCTTGTGAGCTGGGGATTGGCGTTCCGGGAATTTCCACCGAATCATAATCACGTGCCCAGGTTTATTGACTGCCGGGGGTTGATGCGCGGTCTTGGGGACGCGAAACCACTTCATTCGGAAACGAAATGTTTGGAATAAAACTTTCAATCACCAGGGAGAAACATTACGTCGATTTGCCTGCTATAGCCTTTTACAGTACCCGGCGCAACTGACACCTCTATGAAAAGGGTACAACATTCGCCAATACTCTCGAGTTCGATCACAACGTACCTCCTATTCTGTCCCCCATAGATATGGGTAGGACATCGCAATCATGATGCAACAACGAAGAGATGAGATATTAGCGAAGAAAGCTAAGCTTGCGGAGCTCAAGAGGCAGAGGGAGTTGCGGACATCAAGTGCGACACATAATAGAGCGAGCATTGGGAACGCTAGTGAGGTAAGAATAGGCTTCGAATGTTATAGTTTCAACTCTTGTCCTAATGCTGAACAGATTCTGTCGCCGCCGCCGCCGAAGCAGGATATCGATGAATATGTCAACAAAGTACTGAGCGATCATAGACGGCCAGGGTCAATCGGTCCCCGTGGATCAGGCTCGCCAGTTGGAAAGGGAAGCCGACCACACAGCGTCCTCAGTGCTGGCCAGCTTAGCAACGAGAATTCCGAATCTGGAGATACATCAAGTAATCTCCCACAAACTACTTCTATATCAACACAAACCTTGTCTACAGTCCCTTTATCCACAGTTTACGAATTTGCGCCGTCGCCCGTCAAGGAGGTCTTCTCGTACAGCAAAGGCGTGCAAACGAACGACGAATGGTTGCCGACAGCCAAACCTAAAACATATGATGATTCCGATGACTCGGATTCTGGTACGCCGGTCACGTCGACACCTAATAAGCGATTGAGCAGGAGAGAGCGGACGAGAGAGGAGGAACTTCGTGAAAATATCAGGAAGGAAATTGAGGAGGAACTACGGCTTTCGCGAGATGTCAATATTGACGGTCCTCTAAAATCACCTTCACAAAAACAAGCCAACTTTCCAGCGCGGGCTCTAACCAACGAGGAGCTCAATGCTGTTACATCCTCAGATGACTTTATGGACTTTGTCGAACGCTCTAGCAAAGTTATTGAAAGGGCTCTAGACCAGGAATACGACATCTTAGCCGACTACGCACTCAGCGGAGGAGCCATTGGGGAAGACGACGACGAATATACGGGCGGTAAAGGTCGCCGGAAAGTAAAGGAGGTGGCACAATTTTATGATGAGAGATGGTCGAAAAAGCGGATGATCAGCGCAATCGACTTCTCCCCAAAATTCCCGGAGCTTGTTTTAGCCGCGTATACCAAAAATCCATCTGCTCCTCATGATCCTGACGGGCTTGTGCAAGTATGGAACACCCACTTACACGACAGGCCAGAGTTTGTTTTCCACGCGCAATCCGATGTGTTAGCAGCAAAGTTCTCTCCGTTTCATCCTAACCTCATCATAGGAGGAGCCTACAGTGGGCAAGTCCTTCTATGGGACACAAGGGCGAAATCTGCGCCTGTCCAGAAGACACCCCTGACAGGCTCGGGCCATACACATCCAGTATACTCGGTGGATATAGTTGGAACACAGAATGCAAACAACATCATCTCGTGTTCCACCGATGGTGTTGTGTGTGGCTGGACGGTTGATATGCTTGCGCAACCTCAAGAATTATTAGCTCTTACTACCCCGCCACCAGCCAAAATTGAAGATATAAGTCCAACATGCATGGCCTTTCCACAAACGGATCCTACCTATTTCCTTGTCGGCTCGGAAGAAGGCACTATATATCCATGCCATCGTTACGATCGAGCGGGCGCTAAGGCTGGTGTTGACCAGAGAGTCAGCTACCGAGGTCATGCGGCACCTGTTATGTCTATGGACTTTCACCCCGCTCGTGGACCAGTTGATCTGGGAGACCTGGTCCTCACCAGCTCACTTGACTGGAGCGTCAAATTGTGGAAAGTGCGCGCTCCGGCTGCGACATCGACCACAGGCACTACCGGTGAAGGGCACTCGGTTGCGCCAATTCTGGATTTCATGCGAGAAGATGTCGTGTACGATGCAGCTTGGTCGCCTATTAAACCTGGAGTTTTTGCTCTTGTAGATGGAGCAGGTAGTCTTGAGGTTTGGGACATTACAGTAGATACCGAAGTACCTCTGACCAAGGTCCAGCCCAGTGGAAGAAAGGGAGGTCGAAGTATGCTCTCCAAAAGTCTAAATCGCGTAGCCTGGGACCAAACGGAAGGCAAGAGGATTGCTACAGGCGGTATAGATGGCGCTGTAACAGTATTCGAAGTAGGACCTGATCTCGGCGGCAAAGAAAGCGCTCGCAACGAGGAGTGGACAAATGTAAAGAAGCTATTGGCCAGGTTGGAGTCTCAAGGACCCGTTGCAAATGGAGTCAACGGACTGTAATATTTCTAGTATGATGCTACTGCATTGGCGTTGGTTGCATATACCCCAAGTTCTCATCACCAGCAAATTGGCCACTTTCAGAAGAGCTATTTTAACCTACTCGTTTTCTCATTTTCCTCGCTTCGCGACCTAGGGGTTTTACGACAATGTCTTATTCTGCGCCGCTGTGCCATGTACTGTCCCGCCCCCGTTTGAGAATCCTCGCTTACGACCATCCTCTGCATGTTTCCAACTGTTCGAATCGCACTCACGACACAACTGTCGTATCCACTCAGTCTGATGATCACAATCCAGAGGTTGTAAAATTAATTTTTCGGTACCTAGCTTGGTAACAAAGCTTAGTTCAGCCTTATAGTAGTGACATCTCGTGATTTGCCATGATCCTGCTACACGGAGGCTCCGGTTTTTTGTTGGTGTACCGGAAGGATGGCTGTTGGGTTACACCGTCAGGTGATTTTCAAACCATTTTATGCGATGCTCGCGTTGTCCGACAATATGGAATTCAAGAAGAGCTCCAGAAGTACGAAGATCGGCCATTATTTAGATTAGGAGAGTTTTGCAACTTTCACACCCTTGGTAGAGCAGAGCGTGGCGTTCGAGTTCACTTCCTAGAAAGGCTTAGACACGACCAAAGTGGCTTCAGTATAATGCCTTCAAGATACCGAAAGTAGCCCCTTTCATGGAGTCGTGGAGTCAAAATTCCACGACTAGAATTCGCTTAACTTAGAGTTTAGGAGTAGAACCTCGAAACGGGAATAGCCTCAAACACAGCTTAGGTTTGTGATTTGTCGCCTTACCGTAAAAATGGGACAATTTATGCGAATGTAATTTGTTGAGCCTTGGAAAACCAGTGGGATACACACAAAACTTATTATCTATTATGGAGCAGCTTAATACCGAATCCCATGTTCTACTCCACCATGGGTGCAAAAGTTGCAAAACTCTCCTATTATTCACATGGTTTCGAAGGAGAGGCTGAGGCTGGTACGGCAGAACAGCAAACTCTATTTTGAAGTTGGGTACATATATCTCCATTTCAATCTCCCTCTAAAAGTTCTCTTCCATTCCGAACTTCCATTCTTTTTCTGCGATACTTCCTGTTTTTCAACTTCATTCTAATAATTCTTCTTCTACACACTCTTTTAAACTCAATAGGCTGATCCTATAACAACATGCATTTCTCAACACTTATCATCGTCGCCGTCTCTCTCGTTGCCACAAATGCAACTCCACTCCCCAAAAGTAATGGTGTAGCTGCTTTGGACAGCTCAGTGAGTACCAGAGGGCTGGAAACCGACGCCTCGGTCTATGTCTTGGAGGAAAGAGATGCATCAAGTGAGCTACTGCGACGAAAGGGTGCAAAAGCTCCGAAGATTCCAAAGCCTGCGAAGCCAGTGACCGCTCCTGAACCTCCAAAGGCACCAGAACCCGCGAAGCCAGTCACTGCCCCAGAGCCCCCAAAGGCGCCAGAACCTGCAAAAGTTCCAGAAACTCCAAGCACTCCGGAACCAGCAAAGGTGCCAGAACCTGCTAAAGTCCCAGCGACACAAAATGCACCAGATGCTCCCAAACCAACTCAACCCGCTCAAGAGGCACCAAAGGCAACTCAATCAGCTCAGGAACCACCGAAAGCAACACAGTCTGCTCAGGACGCCCAAACAGCTTCAGCCGCTCCGCCAGCTCAGAACACTCAATCCGCTCAAGACGGTAAGACAGCTTCGGTTGTTCCACCAGCAACTCAGTCCGCTCAAGATACTGCGGCAGTTGTCAACACTCAATCTGCTGTAAACACGCAATCCGCCCAGGATCCTCAGTCGGCTTCTGCCGCTCCACCAGCAACTCAGTCTGCTCAAGATGCTTCGGCAGCTATCAACACTCAATCCGCTGTGGATACTCAATCTGCTGTCGACACCCAATCCGCTGTGGACACTCAATCTGCCGTCAACACTCAATCCGCCCAAGACTCTCAGACAGCTTCGGCCGCGCCAGCAACTCAAACCGTTCCAGCAATCTCGTCAGCTGCCACTGCTCAGACAGCTTCGGCTCCTGCTGCGACTCAGTCCAAAACCGGAGTCGCAAATGGTCTTGAAGTGGTAGGAGAATCTCTTGAAGCCGCGGCCGCGGCCGCTCAACTGGCAGCTTTGGCGCAAGCGCAAGCAGCGGCTCAAGGTACCGTTGCAGATACTACCGTAGCTGAACCCGCGGCTACTACTCAGGTTCCTGTCGAGACTGGCATTTTTGTAAGTTTTACGTCTTTGTCCAATAATTATCATGGCTAATATGTGCCTCAGGCCAATTCTACTGTAGCTGCCGGTACCTTATCAGCTGCTGTGGAGCCCGTTGCAGTACCAACTGCTACATTGTTGTAATAAACGGACTATTATCGCGAGCGAATAGATCCGAAAGACATTTCTGTTTCATTTAATATTTCACAAATTGTATGATAGAGCTCGAATTGTGTTTTTTCGGTTGTGCTCCAGGGTCAAAAATTTGTCAGATTAACAAAAAGTATAGGCCTCTTTCCTATTGCGTTATATACTCTCGGCTGTTCTGGATATATCAGGAAAGGGAATGAAAAATTTCTTTATATTCTGTATAGTAACAATGTTAGATAGAAAGCTTTATGGATACATGGGAGAGCTTCGTCATGGAAGGAATACAGAATATTCACGGTGAATTCGGAGCAAGCGATTTCTCTCGAGTATACAAACGTCTTATTTATTAGATCTATTTACTGTCTTTGAAGATTACGTGGCTGAACCTTTCATAATGGGGTTAATAGTGATCTCGCTTATTTTCAGGGGCCAGTCCGACCATGCCAGGATGAAGAGGGATTGAGTTGGCTGGTTTGCAAACCAAGGGGAAAAGAAATGTGTGAAATGTTCTACACTCAATGGTACAATTCCTAATACTAACTCATAAAATAAAGACAGGAAGATTGTACTGGGCGTGGTTTCCACTGGAGGGACATTCGCCCGGGAACAACGCAACCTCACCACTTCAATTTACTCAAGGAGTTAAAAGCAAAATTCGTAACATGGCAATGACTTCGTTCAACATCGCTTTATCTGCGAAGAATAATTATTTATCCTCAAATCCTTCGCAAGTTAGCAACCGCTTCGTTTGATCTACTGCCGACATGTCACACATTTCGTTTCATCACTCTCGCTTCACTCTTCACTTGTAATCCAGAAGCTCTATCGAATGACTTTTAGAACTTTAAATATATCCCGGTTTCGCCCCACTATTTATATGACGTGCATCGTACGATTAAGTAGGGTTCTTGGAACAATAAGGAAAGTGAAAACAAGCGATAGATATAATTTTGCTAGCTGAGAAGATGGACAGGTTTTTCATTCAACTACTAGTTTAATAAATTCAACTCTTTCTTTTACGGAGGGAAGTGACTGTGTTCTATCGAAGCGCTACAGCGTTGTCCCATTATAAAAAGCTGTCGCAGGATTATAACACGCCCTCCTTATTGCACCTTCAAAAAGGCTCCGAATTCCATCAACATCATATACAGATGCAATAGCGAGCTGAAGCTGTATTTTGGACTGTTCACCGTGAAGAGACCCAGAGCTGATACGACTACTAGTCAGTTCTATTCTTGACATCAGGCTTGGGAACTTACGTATTGCTGATTTGTAGATTAGGAACTACATCACTGAAGAACGGACGTAGTGGTGCGACGGTGATTACACCTTGTTCATATAGGTCATTGGTGGCGGCTGTTGCGGCTGTGTCCAAACCTCCGTGTCAAACGCCAATGATTACGTTTTCCCTACGAGTATCAGTGATATTCTCCATCCATTACTCTAAATTTGGGAAGCTTACTTGCAGCTATCAGCAGCAGCAGCGTGTAACAAATTCGCATCAAAACCCTCTGTCAACAGTCAAATTTCCAAATTTATACCCAGACAAAGCGTCTTCTTTCACTTTTCTATGCCAATCAAGCTTCAAAGCTAGTGGATTAATTTGAGGACATCACGCCAGCAACTCAGGTTTAACGGGAAGTTTTGTTTTCGATTTCGGCCGGAATGTAGAGTTTAAAGTCAATGGTGGGATGTGAAGACCAGTATTGCAGCATGATCAGGCATAATTATCTTCCGCACTATAGCGACTTCGGCATGATCTTTTGAAAAAGACAAATAGCTGAACAAGAGTAGTAAATGTAAATTATGGTGTGGGGTTACAATAAAGAGTTATTCTCAAAGCAGGGTCAAAGCTTGGACGTTCTGAACTCAACAGTCACCTGTGAGCCCGTGTGTAAACTTCAAATTGCTAAATTGAGAAACGGATCTTGTTAAAGAAACTCTTGTAGCTCCAATGCGTGTATTGAGATAAGATCTCGGAGCTAAAAGCTACCGATTCCTCTCATCCAAAGTCGAGAATGACTTTATTCTCCCCCTAGGTGATCTTGATCAAGAACGGCCGGCATTTGCAATCTCCTCGAGTCGCCTTTGTTCGTCTTCGTCGAAATCAAAACCACTCAATTCCTAATGGGGCACTATAGTACATCCGGGCTGATCACTTAACTCTAATCCACCTTGCTCAATCCAATCGGCGCTCAACCCCTCTGCGACCTGTGTCCAATCGATGTTGCTCCCTTTAAACCCCTGTCCAATCCAAGAAGCAACAACTACCAATCCTAGTGTCGATGGCTCGCCGTATTCCGGAAGTTCACTGAAATTGAACTTCAAGCCCCCCTCCATCTCTTCGACGTCCAGAATGTGCCCGTAAAACTCCAATGGAAATTCTACCCGAGCATTTCCGAAAGCTTTCAACTTGTTGAAAATTCTTGTGTCCCACCACTTTCTGTATCCAGTTATCTGGTCTTGTCCCCATGCCTCTTCAATGAATTGCTGCCAGTATCCTCTACACATGTTGCGACCCCTGCGGGGGATTTTGAGTACAGATCGAATACCGCTATCGCTCGGCGTTGCAGTACCGGTGTCTTCGCTGATTTCGATGCAATGCCAATTCGGATCCTGTACTTCATTCTGCAAGTCTAAGTTCTTTAGTTGAAATGCTGACGACCGGATGGGCCCTGAGTAGTGTGTTACTCGATGAGTTATAGAAGGTTGACCGGCAAGAATAGGGTCGTCGTTTAGCAGTCTGAAAGAGAAATCACTGTGGGTGAAGTTCAACAATCTTTCTTTCTCAGTGCTCTCAACTGATGCTGTATCTGACATTGGCCATACATCTGTCATTTTGGGTGTTACGGGATGCTTTGTGTTTTGGGTGATTTGTGTATTGGGTGAAGTGACTGTCTTGAAGTGGACGAGAGGGGAGCAATATGGGATCATTTATAGGTTAAGAGAACGTGGGACAATTTTTTGCCAGTTTGCTAACTTGATGATATGACTCTTAGCTTTGTTGTAATTTTTTGATGCATGAAGAAGTTTATTGAGAACTGAGATGGTTGTCCGTGTGGAAAGCCCTGCTCTATTCGTGGCCTTTATTCCAGACATCACGCACCTGCGTATTCCACCCTTCATGTGAGCTTTCAGCCATGATCTAAGCTGAAACAACTAGCTCTCAATTTTTGTTTCCCAAACATGGATACAACAATCTTCTTTTAAAAGAAATAGGGGGGAAATGGTTCAGCAAACGCTCTTTGAAGTTGTTTTAGAGTTTTCTTTCAGAGTTTGTTTTCACGACTTATCGCATTATTTCCTCCTTAACTTGAAAGAGAAAGGACATTGATAGAAATTCTGACACGCTTGATTGAAATCCATTGAAAGCGATTCTTCTCGTGCAAGTAGCATCATTAGACATTTTTGTCTTTTACACCACTACGATTTCGGCATAATTTTTCCAAGATAGGCAAGCCTTCTATTGGGAGTAGTGAAAGTAGGTTATGTTCTGGGATATTTCATGAGTTATTTATGTGCCGAGGCTTTATCTCTGTGGAAGTACGTCCGTTAATGAGTCCGCGTCAATTCAGTTTCCTGATGTATCCTCGAAATTTAAATTCTCGAACTACAGTGAAACACAGAAACTTAACCCCTCTTATACTATAACATAAAACTGAGAAATGACTTTCTTCTCCCAGAACCTTTATTCCAAAAATTTGTGATTCACGTTCGTCCCCTAACACGAAGGCTATCGCAGTCTGAACTAGAATGCAGCTTTGTTCTTCCATCAGATCTTCCTAATCCGCATAAGGATCCAGGTAGCTAGCCCATTCTCTTATCAAATCCTTCGCTTTGTCTGTATCACCTTCCCCGACCAACTCAGAGCTTAAACCCTCAGCAACCTGGTTCCAATCGACAATTCTCGCCCCGCCTTCTGCTTCCGTCCAGCGAGCAATGTGATCAAGTGTCTCCCTCGATAATTGTCCATAAGTCGGAAAACGATATAAAGTCCATATTCGCACTACTCCTATCGTGTTGTTTGTGACCGTGAACCCGTACCACTTTATATGATCATATTTTAATACAGGGATCTGACATTGCTTGAGCTTCTCAAGAATATGGGAAGCTGACCAATAAAGTGGCGAAACATCACTGGTAGGGCTTGAAACGTGATACTTGAACGCTCGGAGGACATACTTCTGCCAGGTTTCACTCTTCATATTGCGGATTCCACGAGGGATTATGAGACGACATCTCACAACGTCGTCCCAACCTTCGCCATTCAGCGCTTCTCGTATCTCAATACGCTGCCAATATTTTTGTTGTTCTTGATGTTGGAAGTCTAGGTTTCTTAGGTAAAAGATAGAAGATAGAATGGATCCTGAGGTGTGTCTTACTAGCTGACCTATAGTGGATCCGCCCTCGAGAATAGGATCTTCGTTTAGTAAACTGTAGTCAAAGTTACTTCGAGTGAAGTTTAGAAATCTTTGCTCTGTGAGACTTTTGACTGAAGCTCTGTCTGCCATTGATCGAATATGTGCAATCGGTTCTTGTCGAAAGTTATCTAGTTAGATTGCAATGATGAGGAGGAGAAAGAGGACAGTGACTGACGTATTTATAGATTGAAATATGGTGGTGCCATAGCTTTTAAGTGTTATTAGTTGAGAATCTGCGTCTCTGCTTTGTTTGTATGGCTTTTTAGTATTTAGGAAGTGGTATTGTTTGCGAGTGGAAACAGGCCACTTCCGCTCAGGGACCTTTAAGCAAGACATCGCCAGCGTGCCCATCAAACCTTAATGAGTAGCAAACACTGTCAGAAGTTACTATGTGAGCCATACTGGATGTTGGATATTTGACATCCAAACAATAAATATAAGTAGTCATCTTTCAAAGTGATATAACAGCAAAATATTGTGGCAAACATCCTTTCAAGTGCTTTTTAGCACTTATCATTTCTCGATTTATCGTATTCTTTCTGCTTATCTACATGAGAAAAGAATTTGAAGAAAGTCCTGATATAAGGTGAGTATTCTAAAATTGTTGGGATTCATCTTGTGTGATTAGCCACATCTGTGGAAATAGGGGCGAATATGATTAAGCGAGAGGCTATTTTAAGGAACGTAGGAACATAGAAAACTCTAATACGAAAATGTTGGGAGTAACAAATGTGCGTAAGATGAAAATTATTAGGTATGGAGTTCATTTTGAAGCAGGTTTATTGATGACCTTGAAATGAAAAACTCAGGGTGAGTTTTTCATGGATTTACTCGTAATCATCAATCTGAACGCAGACATATTCAAAGTCCTCTTGTGATTGTCTTGTTTAAATTGAGGTAAAACTCATTGCGATAGATCTTCTTTTGCTGCGATTTCGTCCTAATTCTGTCTGACTGGATTTTCCTCTGGACGCCCTATGAGAAGCGTCTCACCCTGAGTCACCAAAAGTCCACACTCCCCCTATCCGAAGTTTCACTGCATCTCTGAAAGAAATAAACCAGCAATCTCATTTGACCCTCTGCTTGACTTTATTCTCCGCAGCTTCAACATCTTCGAGGTTCGCTATCCGAATCTTCAGCGGCATAGTTGCTTTCCAATCCGACTGCCACCTCATGCCAATCAAGTAACATACCCTCTGTTTTTTCCCAAACAGCGATAACATCCGGCATCGCCGTCTCTTCTTCACCATAATTTGAAAGCTTACTCAACGTATACTCCACTTTGGACCCAGCTGTTATGAGATCCACAGCATATCCGTAGAGCTCCACATGGTCACATATTCCGGTCATCTCAAGATCTCCCAAGTAATTGAGGACAGTCGTAACATCCCACTCCAATTGATAGCCGTATGTTTCCTGACCTTCAGTGTCATCTTTAAAAGCATCTGTGAGAAAAACTTTCCACTCGTCGTCATCTACAGTTCGAATTCCGCGGGGAACTAATACGGTAGCTCGGATGTCGTGGTCACTTGCTGGCTGTGTTCCAACTCTTTCTCTTATCTGAATACAATGCCAATACCTATCATGCGAGGTCCCTTGAATGTCGAGCTTGTGGATGATGAAGGTAGATGATCCGAAGGGATTGTCAGGATGCTTTACTTCTTGTGTTGCACTTTGCTCATCGTGTAGAATGGGGTCCTCATTAAGCAAGGTGAAATCAACGATTTTCAGGAAGTTCTCGAATCTTTCGAAAATAGTAGTGTCCATCTCGACTTCTGAACCTGTGATTGTGCTTATGTTGTAGAAGATTGCTGTTGGAGAGTGTTGCTTGGGAGTTGATGATGGGGAAGAAAGAGGGGAGGAATTTTGGGCTATTTGTACACTGAGTTATCTGCATTTACGTATTAGTCACTGGAGGTTGAGGTTGTGAATCTTCGTCTGCTAGGATGTATATGCATGAAAGGACTTTTTCAAAAAAGATCGTCTTTCCAGGGGTGATTGCACTTTTCTGTCCGCATATGACTGAGCTATAGATCTATACAATGACAGCAAACTCAGTACGGGAGGTTGGACTCATAAAGCTTAGTTCCGAGTCGGACTTCCAATCTTTCAGTTGGTATGGTGTAAAATATCCTTTCAAAGGTAGGCAAACAAGAAATGCAAACACTTTTTTTTTCTCTTCTTAGTGCTGCTTTTCACATTGTCTTCCATATTAGACCGATATCAAGCTAACTTTCAAGCTTCAAGAAAAGATATCTTAGATTCACATAAAGGAATTTCCGTTATACAATCGGTGGTGCAAATAGGGGTAACGGCGCTTAAGCGAGGTGCGCAGCCCCAACTGAAAAAAGGCAGGAACATATCATCATGCTCCAACAAAAGCGTTTGAAAGTCGAGATAGATCAATGAAATGTCAGTGACTAAGGTTCTTCGTGTGAAGGCATGGGTTATCGAAGTCGCATTACAACGGTCCAATCTACTTCTACAGGCTGAGTGGTGCGCTTTAGAGCATGATTGCTTGCAATTTCTGAGAGAACTAGAAATCAAAGAAACCCCCGTCGGCGTTCTATATGTAAAAATTTAAAGATATCTACCAAGTTTCCTCTTCATCCGGCATCTTCTACTATTTGGATACACAGACCAAACATCATGGCACACAACATCAGTACAGGCGAAGTCAACAGGCCGGGAGATGCGGAAGCCCGCGAGAGATTCAAGAACTTTATCGAAAAACTCTCAATTGAGGAGCTACAAGACGAGCCAATATTTTGCGGCAAAGAGATCTTGGCATTTCCGACGTTCCTTCCCAATGGGACACGAGAAGCTTTGTTTGTGGTCTCCGAGCAGGATTTGGGAAATGTTGTACGCGATCCGCATTGGCATTCGATCGTGGTGGCAGAGACTTTTCCTCTTTTCGATGACGAAACACTCAATCATGTTCCTAGAATGCAAATTCTCATGCCCCGTGGACGTAGAGATATGACTGCGGAAGAATGGCAAAAGTTCCTTCTTGGCGCTTTCGATGACTATCACGGTACACCTCGTCGTCGAACGAAACTAGAATGGAAAGATTCTCAAGTTATTGAAAAGCTTGGTGAGCTAGAGATGGGCCTGGAGGGTGAGCTAGACATGTATGGCTTTCGAATCGAAAAGGAACTTATTGAAGATGGCGACCGGTACATATTCAGCAAGCTTCCAGTCCTCGGGGCCCCCTTAGAGATTGTTGCGGATTTTGTCACGTATAAAGCGCAAATTGCGTGGATTGAGATTGTGTATGGTCTATTGCAGAATTTGGAACAAAGACAACTTGGGGCAGGAAGTGCTGGGAGTGGGCTTTCAGATGGGAATTAGATTGATTTGGAAGATCTGATGGAAGCAATGAGCTCATGTGCAAAGTAGGAGCAGGAATTACTGGAGCTTTAGGTCAGAGATTAGCTGTTCATTCTGAGTTCAGATACCGCTAGAGATGTAAGAATTGGCTTTTACCTGAATCTCTTGTGTCTACCTCAATATTTAACCTTGACTACGTCTTAACATCATATTGCATCTCGCTTCTTCTAATTTACGTCGCCCTCCCGTCAAGTTTCGCCCTCGCCTTCACCAAATGGACCACCACCAGTACCTGCCGGACCCACTTCATTCACTGACCTCACCTTTTCAAATATATAATTACAAAATCGCATATTTGCTCCAACCAATAGTTAAGAAGCTTGATAATTCTACCTTTGCCCTTGCTGCTCTTGTTAATTCGAAGTGGCTCTGTTGTGCCCCCCCTTTAATTCTTCGGATAGGGGGGGAGGTAGCGGAGAGCGAGAAGTGTGTTGCGGCACACATTACTGGGAATTAACAAAAAGCAGCAATCCCGAAAGGGGTTGCGTAAGTCTTGCCGTTTTTTTCTACTGGAAATGGATGTTCGATGTTTTCTTTTGGTAATTTTGCCCGTTATTGTTGACATGACTTTTTTGATCTACCGAGGTTTTGACGAAGGATGAGATTGTAGCAGAGAAAGTAAGTCTATCAGTGATACGTAAGTTTTTGTAGGTTGGAATTAGTACAGAGACATGCAGGTGGTGATCAAGTGAAATCTTTCTAATTTGTGATTCTTCAAGATCGAATATCTAATATTTATAAATTTTTGCGTGCTTGCGGATGTTCGTTTCCAAAATTCAATTAGATCTTCACAGTAGAAAACAATAATTGCAAGTTCAACTTAACTAATTTTGTGTTGTTAACTAGCTTCAGCCTGACACGTTCTGACATCAACTGCAACCAAATTCCTTCAACGTTTCGAATGTAATCCAAGACATCCCAGCATCTGCCTCCAACCCTCACCAATAAACAGGGTTTCCATCATTGGCTAAACTCATGTCAAATCCTCGTGCAACCTCAGCAGCCGTATGTGGCTAAACACTGTCATAGTAACGCTCGTTCGTGACATAACAAGCCATAGTAGCTGGTATGTCAGTGAATGGATGGTCTGGAAAGCTCTCAAGTCTGATAGTGCGCTTCCCGTTGGAGTCACTGACATTCAACTCATGGCTATACAGCTGAACGTTGGGATATAAATCGATGTTCGTCGTTTGAAGCGTTGCAACAACATTTCTGGCGGACCATCTCAGTGCCGTGCTGTGGAAACCTGCAGCGTTCGCCGCAAATTCTTTTTCGTCATAGGCGGTGATGAGAAAATCTCGCAATCCGCTATGACTCATATCTCGGCGGCCACGAGGGATTAGGATTATGGCCCGAGTTGGAAACGACGTTATTGCATTTGGGTCATCAGGAACTTCTTCCTCGCGGATTTCGACGCGATGCCAGTACCTGACACCAGGTAGACCTAAACTGTCTGCAATAAGTTTGAAATCCCATGCCTGAGTACGGTCATCGTTGTACACTCTGTATTTCTGGGAAGTGCCTACACCTGGAAGAACATCCTTGTTTGTCAACCATTCGTGAGGGAAGTTGTTAGCGAAGTCTATGAACCTCTGGCGTTCTGGTGTATCTGACATCGTGACTTTTTAGGTCGCAATGACTGATATACGTCGGAAATTGGTAAGATCTTTGATTCCAGTTGCCAGGATCTTGGTCTGGCTAACGAGTGGACTGAGTGTTGAATTTATATCCAAGAAAGTAAGTTAACAATCATTTCTCGTGTGTCTGTCTGAGCTTTTCAAACTTTTACTTCGAAGTTTTCTTCTTGCTCATTCAGACGTGTGTTGCAAAAAAGAACTATGACAGAGTTTGCCAGAAAATTGAATTGTTATGGTAAATGCATTCACCAACGAAATATAAAGTAGCAATCAATGGTGACTGCAAGTGTGAAAATCCATCTTCGCGATTATTTGTGCTCACAATTAATCTTTTAAAGAAGTAGACAATTCCTGCACAATAGTAAATATTACGACTCATGACAAAGCACCTCCTTCGTCGTAGCTAACTACAGAATATGGCGCGTTCAGCCGTTAAATGAGAATGAATTCCTTCCCCTTATCGACTATTCTCGAAACCATCCAACCACGATTTGTTCACACTTCCCAATCACAAACGTACCCATTGGCCATCAAACTCGCTTCCAGTTTCTTTGCAATCACAACCGGAGAGTGTGGTATGAAAACCCACTTGGAAGTCCTCCAACGGGTAACCCATTGAGCAACAACAGTCGGCTTTGCACCCGACGCAGGTTCTGGAAACCTCTCAAGACTAATAACTAGCGCCTCTTCAACCTTTCTGGCGTTCAATTCATATCCATAGAGCTTAGAGCCGGGCTTCAACCAAAGAACCGACAGTGCGATCTTTTTAATAACGTCCAAGGGTTCCATGTTGGACCACGAGTATTCAGAATCTGCTAGATCTTGCTTTACCCAATGATCGAATGCTTCGACAAGTTTCGCGCCTATCATACCCATCTCTCTGAGACCACGGGGAATTCGAAATCGGGCGCGTATGGGAAGCTCTGAAGTGATTGGTGCAGCATAATCTGGGTATAGGTCAAATTTTCCTAGGCGTAGTTCAATGTGGTGCCAGTACTCGTCTAGAGGACGGGCATTTTGCAAATCTAAGTTGATTAGGGAGAGGTACCAGTCATACTCCAGGTATTTCGGAAGCAGCAATAGTTGGGGAGGTTGAGAGCCGTCTCCTGCTCTAGGAATGCCCTCTTCAAGTAACAGCTCGTGAGGAAATTGTGCAGCGAAGTCTTGAAATTGCTGGCGATATGGTGTATCCGTCATAATTCTTCTTGTAAATAGTAGTTCTTTGATGTATACGATGTCCTGGTGAGATGTGCAATGTCGGACTTAGGATTTACTCTGGACGATCAAGAGATGGAATGTTTTATTTATACACAAGAAGCAAGTAAAGAGTTTTCTTGCCTCTAGCTATTCTTTCAACCTCATTTCTTTCAAAATTCTCCTTTACTTAACAGAAGTAGCATAGCAGATGAATTTATGAACGTGTTTGCTAATTAAAATTACTTTGTCATGGTAATCTCTATTCATTCACCAAAGGACTTTGTTGTAACAGTTAGTGGTGACCACAATAGTAAAACACACCCTCAACAAAAAGTTCCTCCAAGCAAATTTCAACAAAAAGCTGCAAACAAAATCTACGACATGCATGAATAGAACATTTGTTTCCACACATTTGACGCATAAATGAAACAATACTTTATCCCCAAATCCATTTGTTGCACAACCGCCAAAAACTACACAAAGAACAAGACATCAAACACATACAAAAAATGACAGATTCCATCGAACGTCAGAGATTCACAAAATTCACAGAGAGCTTTCGATGGGGATATTTCGAGCTAGAGCCTATACTCGGCGGAGTCACTCGCACATGTATGTTCAACGATTGGGACGCCCCTGACGAGCTGGCACGATTCGACGTGATCTTAAAGAGCGATATGGAAGATCGATATTGGCAATGCATCGAAATCCAAGAAAAACAACGAACTACTCACGCAGTAAAAACCGTCGTTCGAGCACGACTCATACTCCCTCGACACGGTCGAAGCACGCTCGAAGCACGGGAAGATTGGAAAGAAATCCTGCTCAAGGCTTTCGATCACCAGATGAATTGGGCAAAGAATGATGGGTTCAGAGTCAGATGGGATGTCGATTATGTGCTCAAGGCGATGGCGAAGTTGGGGCCTGCAGGAGAGGACCCGGTGCTTGAGAAGCCGGCTTGGACGGAGTTGTTGGGGTATGCGATTAAGATTGATGGTTCTCCTGACGAGGCGACTTTTAGTTTGGGAAGGCTGCCAGAATATGGTTCACCAGAGACTCAATTGCCGGTTGTGCTGGTGACTTATACGGCGCATATTGCGAATTGGAAGGAACTTTCTTGGCCGGATATTGCGGAGGAACTGAGGAATACGATAGAAAGTATGATTGGTAGATCATTATAAAGGGATTGTAGAGCTATGTATGATGGATTGAGTCAGTTCTGAAAACGGGTTATTTTAAGGCTTGGTTGGGTACCTCCGACTTTGAATCTCTACGGCGTACTAATTGGAGGTTAAATCTTTTGGGATTATAAATAAAGAGCTTCAGACGATCTTCGGAGAAGAAAGTTATGCACAGAGTAGAACTTGAAGATAAGTGTACTTGAAGACTAGGCCTAGAATACAGAAGATTGTGCATATAGCCCAAGTCATATCTCGCGTTAGCGATGGTTGTCACTATTGTGAGTTAAGCGAGAAACGCGCGATTTTCATGATTCACCAGACGGAGAAATTTGCATGATTCTTCCCAAATATTAGTCAAAAATTCAGGTTAAACCGAAGATAAAAATCAGCCTTTACAGTGAACAAGATGAGGCCTAGAAAACCTGCGCATAAGAGAATGACTGGCCCAAATTTTGCCATACTAACCACTTAATAAAATACCTCAACTTCCACCGTATTTGAAATTAAGAAGCCAAAATTTAAGAAAGCCGCACGTACCATCACATAACTCAACATGATATATTCCCAAGACAAAGCGGCATACAAAAACGAGTTCCTAGAATTCCTCAAAACAGACATCATCGACTCCTGGTTCCAAAACGGGCCAAAGCTATTCTACAACTACGGCAAGACCCGGCAAATATCAAGTACCAGGACTGCACGCTTCAAAATAGAGACTGATAGTCTCCGCGATCCAGGCTGGTTGAATGTCCAGGTGCTGGATTACGAATACGAAGAAGTCGATGTGGAAAATGGATTTTTCCCGGGTTTCGAGGAGGAAATTTCGCGTAGAGTTCGAGCGGAAATATGGGCACCGTATCCGAATCCGAATAAGTGTGTAAGATGGATTTATGATGAGAATTTGAAAGCTGCATTTTTAAGGTCTTTTGAGAATATGTGGCCGTTGGGGTATTCGAGAGAGCAGCTTGTGTTGAGGATGGATCCCCGGCAGGCTGTTGACAGGATTCGGAGTACGGACTTGGGGGAGACGCCGAAGAGGATTTTGGAAGGGGGGTTTGAGATTAGAACCACTGTCTTCAGGAGGGTGGAGGGAGTGTTGGAGGGGAGTGTGAAGGTTTTGGAGTTGCCTGTTAGAGATGTTGATGGGAAGTTGCCTAAGGAGGTGGTGGTTGTGGAGTGGGATGCGTCTGAGGATAGGACTGCGTTGGATGGGAATCTTAATGAGAGGGTTGTTGAGGGGTTGAGGATTAAGTTGTCTTTGAGGCGGTTGATGACGAAAAATAGATTAGAGGTGGAAAAGGAATGAAAAGGCAAATGGGTGAGGTGCAGCAAGTCATCTTGTCGGCGAAATTACCATTTCAAGGCTGTTTAAAACACCTGCTGAAGGAAATGAAGCGATATTTAAGTAGGATAGCCGAAAAGTTGCGAGCAAATGGCAGAAATACGTTATTGCCCTTTGACATATATGTCTCTTCTTTCTCTTCTCACTTCTGCAGATTTGATACCATGTAACACGTTGAAGAATATGTTAGCCGAAGAATGAGACAAGTGGAACGATATTACTCGCCGCAAAATGAGTGACTCAGGTATTGCCAAAGTTGCATCACTCAAAGAGATAGATGGCCCTCAAAGTCACAAGGTTGGAGTTGACTGTCAGAAAAGGTCTACTAATCTTTCAAACAGGCAGCGGCTTTGTCATTCAGCGAATGATTCACTTCAAATTTGCCGAGCCAGTTGAGTGTACCTATGTAGAAACTCGGTGTTTCTACAACAAATGATTCATCTTAGTAACAGCAAAGAATACTCTCAGAGTAAAAATCACAACTGGAACATAAATCGATATCCAAATCATCGAGTAGGTTCCGCAGGTGCCTACCTAGGTAAGGGGACCAACGCCACCCCCACAAGCGCCACATATAGTCCGATCGGCCCGAAGCATCCGATCTACCGCCGCCACACCCAGAGTCTGTGCTCCTGACGATCTGACGATGCCTTCTAAATCCCGCCGTCAACCCACCAAACCTGCCAAACCACAACCAAACCAGAAGAAGATGACGCCTGGCCTGACCCTCGATACCACAACACCCGCACCACCTTCACTTCTTCAACAGCCCTCAACAGCAGTAACATCGCATACACCATCCCCTTTGCGCCAGCAAAGTCCGCTCGAAAGACCACCCGTCTCACCACTCACCCCAACCAAAGAAAAGGAATCCCCGTCTGCGCAACCGCCGCGACAGACATATACACATCCGACGCAGCAGCCACAGGTCGCAATACCGCTGCCTCCGCTCGAACCCATCGTATTTGAAGATAATCCCGATGTCATAGCCCTGAAATCTACGATTGCGATTCTCCAAATCCAAGCACGGAATGCGACAGCCGATATAAGAACGCTGAAGAAAGTAAAAGAGCGCGCGGTGCAGAATCCAAAGGAGTTTACGGATGCGCTTGTGAATGGAGAATTAGGGGGGCAGGGGCCTAGTGTGCCTATGTACCATGACTACGATTCCGAGGATTCAGAAGATGAAAAGCCTGAGGGCGGCGAGGAGGGAAACAGGAAATGGCCGACTTTGCCAAAGGCGCAGAATGTAGTGAGGTGTCCGCCGATAAACTGGACGCAGTATGCGGTGGCCGGAGAGTCGTTAGACAAGCTCCATAACGATCAGGTCGCGAGACCGAATGAGGGGATGCCGCGGAAGACTGGCGCAAATGGGGAGCTAGTGTTTCAAGGCGATGGGTTGAAGAGGGCCACAGATTTTGGAATTGCGGCGCCGTATAGTCCGTTGACGGATAGGCTTGATAAGAAGCCGAAAAAGAAATGAGGGCGTTGGGCTTGGGAAGTGTATTTGATAGCATTTGTTAGGCGTCTAGGATGATTTATGAGGCTATGAGGTATGATAGATGGGGCATGAAATGGTGTTGGTGGCAAGCTCGGAAAAAGCAAAGCTGTATTTGCAATTTAGCAAGCTGAAATGATTACATTGAGGATGATGAATTCCTTCCTGCTGAGCTGTCAGTCCTCTATTCCACCAGTGTCAATTGCTCCTCCTTACAAGCACACGAAGTTGTCTGAACCAACAAAACACTCACTCACCCCACAACACATTCCCAACAACCTCCAAATTACAACTGATCCTGCATATACCTTACAACGATTTACTCAACGATTCCACGCCTCGGAACTGAATTTCACCTCAACAATGTGATACAGAGCCTCCCCCCGCCTTCATCACCCACTACGCGAAGCCTTCCTATTCCAGAATTTAAGCGAGTGACATGTGGGTCCTGAAGCTATACGTGATGCAGGTCCTTAAGGACTAGACCAGGACTGTCCATGTTTATATAACAATAACTTGATCCGTAGTTTACTTTCCTACTTAATAACAGTGTACAATCCCTTTTTCCTAACTCCATCTTTCTTGTCCTCATAACCCGAGATAATTTCAAAATCTCACTCACACTTCCCACTCACACTTCCAACTACACAAAATGAGCTTCCACATTACCGAAATAGCTATACTTGCTATATCATACCTGCTCTACAAACTCACAAAATTCCACCTCTCATCCCGCGCCTTCCATTCCTTTGCCGTAAAAAACAACTGTCTCCCCCCACCAACCCAACACACCACCCTCCCCTACGGCCTTGAACGCTACCTAATCCTCTTCACCGGCTTCAAAGGTCCTTATCCCTCCTCATTCCCCCCTCTCCACCCCAAAACTAAACCCCCCCAGGCATCGACATCCTCGAAACCTTAATCCGTCCCCGCTTCGCTAACACCCACACCATCGCCATCCCCTCCCTAAAACGCCATCTCTCCACCGTCTCGCCCGAGAACATCAAAACCATCCTCGGCACCTCCTTCGCGGACTACTCACTCGGTGCCTCCCGCGCCGCGAACCTGGGTGATTTGATCGGCCATGGGATTTTCACCGCTGATGGCGAATCATGGACGCGGTTTCGGGCGCAACTGAAGCCGCAGTTTACGCGGGGCCAGATTGGGGATTTGGAGGTTGCGGAGAGACATTTGGGGGGTCTGTGGGCGGGGCTAGAAAGGGAGGCGGATGGGGGATGGGAACGTGGGGATCTGGGGAAGGGACTGAGGAGGTGGACGTTGGATGTTAGTATGGAGTTTTTGTTTGGCGTTGGTTCTGGGAGTCAGGTTGGGGATGGGGAAAGTGAGAAGAAAGTGAGGTTTGCGGAGGCGATGGTGGTTGCGCAGGAGACTATTATTGTGAGGTTGAGGTTGGGCAAGTGGTATTGGCTTGTGAGTCCGAAGAGGTTTAGGATGGCTTGTAAGACTGTGAAGGAGTTTACGGGGGAGTGTGTTGATAGGGTGCTTGCTCCGGGATATAAGCCTGTGGGAGATGCGAAGAAATTCGTTTTGATGGAGGAGTTGGCGAGGCAGACCGAGGATAGGACGGAGATTCGGGATCAGTGTTTGCATTTGCTGTTGGCGGGGAGAGATACTACTGCCGCGTTGTTGGGTTGGTGTATTGTGCTTCTTTCGAGACATCCGACTGAGTTCGAAAAACTGAGGACGACAGTTTTGGCGCAATTCGGAACTTCGAGCGCGCCGAAACAGGAGTTGACTTTTGAATCTCTCAAGACGTGTAAGGAGCTTACGCATCTCGAGTATGAGACACTAAGACTTTACCCGATCGTGCCTCTGAATTCGCGAGTTGCGATACGAAATACAGTGCTGCCGAACGGAGGGGGACCTAAAGGAGACTCGCCGGTAGCGGTAAGAAAGGGTACGACGGTGGGATATTCCACCTATGTGATGCATAGAAGACATGATATTTGGGGCGAGGATGCGGATGAGTTTCGACCTGCGAGGTGGGAGGGGCGGAAGTTGGGTTGGGAGTATATTCCTTTTAGCGGCGGAGCGAGAGTTTGTATTGGTCGTAAGTTGTGCCTTTTACTCATATCAGATCATGAGGATTTTGCACTTTCGGAAACAGAAATCATGCTAACGATTGTGTAGAACAATATGCGTTGAATGAAGTGTCATTTGTTCTTGTGAGGCTTCTTCAGCGGTATGATAAGATCGAGAGTCTGGACGATGGGCCGATAGTGAAGCAAGTAACGATGACTCTTTCTCCTGCGAATGTCAGCGTTAGGATGCACAGAGCAGATGCTTGAAGGTCGTGATTGGGAAAGTGGACGGCATTAGCGCTTAAAAGGTGATGATTGAAATGTTAGTGAGGGTATTGTCCAGCCGAATGAAAAAGGCGGGAACAAATAATGGCTTGGATTTACAACTCTTGGATATAGAGGCTCAACATGGTATATTCAACTTTACTTTCTTCCAATAAGTTTCCACGCTGCTCGTGCCTATTTCTTTTCGAGAACTTGCTCGAATAAACCAATTAATCGCTTAACCTCATCCACTGCGACTTGTGAGCGAGAATCTATTATCCAATGTGAACAGAATATACTCACCAGTATTATAGTGTACCATACTGACTCTAACGACTCCATCATAACCCAATCCAAGGACGTCCTCCAGTAATCTCACACTATACATACCACCCCATCTGATGGCCATCTCACCATTACTCAACTCCTCAACCTTATCCACAACATCCTTACTCTTCCATCCAGCAACGGTAAAACTTATCGTTGCAACTCTTAGCTTTGTGTCCGCGCTCTTCTCGCCGTAGATAGTGACATCTTTTCGGCTGTTCAGATAGTCGAGAAGTAGAGTTTGCAGTTCGCCTTCGTGCTTTTCAATGGCGGACCACGTCTCTTTGGGGGAGGCTCCGATGTAGGCAACGACAGCGGGAATAGCGGCTGTAAGTTCGTAAGACGAACCGGCGAGACCGAGTTTGTGCTGTAGAGTGGCGTGAGGGTTGAAGTAATGACCCAAGGATTTTGTAGTTGACATTCCTAGAGGAGAAGCGTAGAGCATGGCAATATGAGGACCATAAACCTGGATCACATGAGATGAGACAAGGAGTAGATACGGCTAGAACGTACCTTGTACCAAGAGAAACAGTAAAAGTCAACACCAAGATCCTGCATGTCAAGATGGCGATGGGGCGAGTAAGCTACTCCGTCGACACATAAGACGGCGTCCTTAATCTTGTGAACCTCCGCAGCTATCGCTTTGATATCATGAATCGTCCCTAGAACATTAGAAGCGTGAGTACAAGTTACGAGGACGGTCTTGTCTGTCAAAAGCTCGGGCAAATCGGAAGCGAGAAGCTTTGGATTCTCTTTTGACTTTGGTGTCCACCATTTGATTTTCAAACTTAGACGATCAGCGAGATCCAGCCAAGCTGCAATATTGGCTTCGTGATCAATGGACGAGATGACTAATTCTGAGCCTGCTGGGAACTTGAATGCGAATGAGAGATTGCGGAAAAGTTGAGTAGTTGATGACCCAAGCACTATGACTTATCAATGCTGTGTAAACTAAGAGGCATGGATGAAAGTACCAATGTTTTCGGTAGGAGAATTGATGTACTTTGCTGCAGCTTCATAACCTTCTGCATAGAGTTGACTTGACTTGACAGATGTGGGGTACGTGGCTCCCAGTTGCACATTTGTTTTGGTAAGATAATTAGTAATTCTAATTGACAATTAGCGAGGAAGAAAGGAAACTTGTGTATCTCACGCTTCGACCACCGAGCCTAGAGTTTGACTTCCTCCTGCATTCTCAAAGAAGACTTGGTTCTGTTTTAATGCGGGGAACGCTTCGCGTGCGCTCTGGATGTTGAAAGTGCTCATGGCAAAGGGTATGCTTTAAACAGAATCGGCTTATATCAACAAGAAATGAGGTTATAAGACAATGCAAAATTGTATGATCTATCTCATTTCTTGCTGTCTCCGACTCATAGTCGAGTTCTGTCAAGATCAGAGTAAAATGGGGGTGATGGATAGTGTGGGCCCTAATTGGTTTGGCTGGATGCTAGACTGCTAACGAGGATCTGGAAGGTGTCTACCAGTGGACAAATAACTGGCAGGTCGAAACACAGCATCTGACCAATTGGATCGGATAGATGTCGTACATGATGACCGTGTTCTGCCCAAAATACTCTGTGACATTCATGGCATGTCGAAATCTGCTGAGATCGAAAGGCTATCAATTCGAAGGTAGCTGACACCAGCTCCTTTGTCCCACATAGAGGGTATGAAGTGTCTCTTTGAGTGCTTCCGTTGCAGGAAAGTAAAATGATTTTCCGTCCAATGAAAAAGACAATATTTATAGACGCTCTTCATGTACGCATCCCACAAAGACATTGTACACAGATCTCCATTGGCACAACATCAATCCGCATCTGTAGCGGCCCGCAACATCCTTAGACTCTCCGGCCTGAGAACAGTCAAACAGCGAAGCGGCCTCAGGGGAAAACCAAGATAGAAACAGCTGAACTTTCAGCAAACAAAAAGTGAAGCCAATCCAATTGAACATCGACTACGATGCAAGGCCACTTTCTCAACAACCCGACTCGTCGCTCTTCGCGCCGACCTCCAGTCGCGCAACACGAGGGCCAAAAAGCAACATTCTCGACGCGTTCAGTACGTTGCATAAAACACACTTTTGAGGGTGTCATGCAACACCAGGACCCCAAATGATTTCGGTGGACGATAAAGAAAAGAGAAGCGCTTGGATGCATATACGCGGTTAGAATTTCAATAAATGGTGTTTGCTCGTTGCCAGTGAGAAGCGATAATTTCATGCGCCCCTATGCGACCAGATTCAGGGACGAATGCTTCACCGCCTTGGGGATTGGGCAGTAAAAATTGATAGATATCGGATGTTGGAGCAGCCCACCAAAGTGTAATCACCATTTTTGGGAGTTTATTACCACGAATTTTGTCAATTATACGGGATTCGGTGAAGATGAAGAGGAAGGCTGAATCGCAATCGAGTAGCCAGAATGGCAAGAGTATCCTGAAGAAGCGATCGAAGACAAGTATGATTTCTCGTTCCCTCGCACTTTCAGCGCATTTTCTAACGAGTGGCAGTACTATCCGAGGAAGAAATCCAGAAGAGTTTCCGCAAAGGCCTCTTCGAGAAAGATGTGCTCAAGAAATACACGAAATCATACGCCGATTCCGAGCCATACAAGCACAGTGTAATCAGCTCTTTAATTGACGATAAACTCCTTCGCGCGGTTCGAGACGAAATTCGAGAAAATGTTCACTTTACCCCAAAGGAAACCGATATTTACAAAATCCATCAATCGGGTGATCTCGCCAACCTCGATGGATTGGAGGATGGTGCGCTCGATAAATTGCCTTCGCTGTTGCGATTGAGAGATGCTATGTATTCGAGCTCTTTCCGGAAATATGTTGCTGCGATTACGGGGTCGGGGGAATTGAGTGGGAGGAAGACGGACATGGCTATTAATGTCTACACACCTGGATGCCATTTGTTGTGTCACGATGATGTAATTGGCAGTCGAAAAGTCAGTTATATTCTATACTTGACGGATCCAGATCTGCCTTGGAAAGAGGAATGGGGTGGAGCATTGCGATTGTTTCCTACCAAGACTTTCAAGGACGATGAAGGGGAGACGACCAAGACGCCAAGTCCCGATTTCACCAAGGTCATTCCGCCTGCTTGGAACCAATTGAGTTTCTTTGCAGTACAACCTGGAGAGAGTTTCCATGATGTTGAGGAAGTTTATCATGCCGAAAGTAAGGAGCAATTGGAGAAGGATGGAGGTCGTATTCGAATGGCTATCAGTGGTTGGTTTCATATTCCACAGATTGGCGAGGAGGGATATGTTGAAGGTGCGGAGGAGAAATGGGGAAAGAATAGCAGTTTGATGCAATTGCAAGGCAACCCGGATCGATACGATTTTCCACAATCGAAACCAGTTGAGGTGGAGGAGTGGAAGGAAGATGAAGGGAAGGTGTTTGAAGCGTCAGATCTTGACTTTTTACTCAAGTATATGGCACCAACATACTTGACGCCGGATACGTTGGAGCAGGTCGCTGAGCAATTCATGCAGCTATCTAGTGTCACATTGGATGGGCTTTTATCGAAGAAGTACTCAGAGAAGGTTCGGCAATATATCGAACAGGAGGAGGCATCCACTTTACCCGACAGCAGCGACGAGATTGAAAAAGGGGCTTGGAGAGTTGCTAGGCCTCCACACAAGCATCGATTTCTCTACCAGCAACCCAAAACAATACCTAAGAAGGGTAAGGGCAAAGAAAAGGAACGGAATCCTATCGAAGAGCTCCTCAATGTATTCGTCCCCAGTCCACAATTCCGAAAATGGTTGGAGTTGGCTACGCAAACCACGATTACGAGCCAAGACATCTTAGCACGACGATTTCGAAAGGGTCTTGATTATGCTCTGGCTACAGGTCATGATGGCGATGCAAGATTGGAATTTAGTTTGGGCCTGACACCTACACCGGGTTGGGGTGCTGACGATGATGACGAGGAGGAGGAGGAGGAAGGAGAAGAGGAGGAAGACGAAGAGGATGATGATGAGGAGATTCCTGCCGAGAAGTCGAATGGTTCTAAATCTAAGAATAAGGGCAAAGGGAAAGAGATTGAGAAAACAGAACCCAGATCCAAATCGAAGGGTAAAGGGAAGGAAAAGACAGACAAGGAGGTCGCGACAGAAAAAGAATTAGAAGCGGAGGCAGTAGAGAAAGAAGAGGAAGATGATGTTGGTGGTCATGAAGTCTACATGGCGGGTGACGATGATGACACCGATGCAGATGCTGCGATTTATAAAGCATCAACAGGCGAGGAAGACGACAACGTTCTCTTCACCATGCCAGCCTCTTGGAATAAGATGAGCATTGTTCTTCGAGACAGTGGTGTCTTAAAGTTCGTCAAATACGTTAGCAAAAGCGCCAAAGGAGATCGATGGGATCTTGGTGGTGTTTTTGAATTGAAGGAAGAAGAAGATGATGAGAGTACCGGTGAGCAGGACACCAGTCAGGAGACCGGGCTTTCTCTCGAGGATATGGTGGTGAGTGAGGAAGAGGAGTTTAATGGCTTTCCACCGTCTGATGATAGTGATTCGGATTGAAAGATGAATATGAATATTGAATGATCAGCTTAGTATGCAGCGATGACTTTTGAGGGCTTCCGATATATCATTCCCAGAAGAGGGTACAGCACGACAAACGACATTTCAAGTGCGACATCTCAACAAGTAAGTCACCCCATAATATTCCAGAAGTATGACATGTCAAAAATAGAAGAAAATTTCATTTTTTCTAGATTATTCAACATGCAGTAGACTGACTCGAATAGGAAATCTTATCTTGGATGAGATTCTGCAGGTGGATAAGATAAGGACATGTGTTGAAAATACGTATGATTTTTATACAAATCTGGCAATTGTTACCATATCTAAATAGCAGTAACTTTCACAATATCAAAGGATATAAAGATGAACACAAATCTTGTCCCAAGTACTTCTTGTATTTCGTAACAACACCTCGGATGCACCATGTAGATCACTCAGCCCCACCAGTGACGATATGCGGGGAAATCTTCCTCAAACGCACATTAAAAATCTGCCTCTCATCTGCGCTTGCGCCTTGTGTCAATCTCATGAATCAAGCTCAGATCAACAGTTTTTAGCTAAAGCTTATTACCACACAGCTTGTCCCGGCGCGACATATTGTGTGCCTACGGATGTGTGTGATACCGAAAAACTGGTGGCTGATGCAGGTGATGCATGTGTACGCCCGTGGGTGGATATAAGAGCTGCGCTGAGCCCTGTTAAATTGTGACGCTGGGTTTTTTCCTTTTTGGTTGAGAGATATCGGGTGAGGCTGAATGTGTTATTGAGGTATTTATTTCTACATATATAAATTGAATATCCGGGATTGACCTTTCTAGAACGTTTTTTTAATCTTTGTTTCACTACGAGTAAGTAGGGCTGAAGAACGCCTCAACGTCACCACTCAACCTTTACCTCAAGATAAAAGTTCAACACCATCATCACCATCATCACCATCACCACTACCAAAGTAAAGAAAGAGGAGAAAGGCAGCAAAAATGCCACGCTTCACCTCCCGCCGCTCAACCACCTCCACCACTCCCCCCCGCCGAACCTCAAACCCCAATATCCTGCCCTACCGCGACCAAAACAACCGCGTCGCATACACCTCCACATCCACCACCACCGAAGCCTCCCACACACTCGAACCCATCCCTACATACGACTCAGACGCCGAACCCCTCATAAGCTCCTCCATATCGACAAACTCAGGGAATGCACTACTCCCAGCCAGCGCAGGCGAGGGGTTAGAAGGGAAGGGATTGAGTAACGAGGAGATAGAATGTTTCACAGCGACAGGCCGACCGATGCCGAGGTTTACACCGGCGCCGTTTATGAGCATGGCCACGGATATGTATAGTCTGCCCCAACTGCTGCCGGTGAGGTATACGGATGATAGTGTTATTCCTGCGATTGTTGTGGGGGTTGTGCCGGGTTCTTCTCCTTCCTCCACCGATCCATCTTCCGCCAACCCTATCGAGCCATCATCTACCGAACCTCCAGCCTCGCCGCCCAGGAAAAAGAGCATATTTGATAAGTTCAAGCGCAAAGCTAGTGTTGATACTGAGAAGGGGATTACGAAGGTGGTATACATGCCGAGGAGGGAGTACATGAAGTTCTTCGCCAGAGATCTAAAGGGTGAGTATGTTGGCACCGAGCCGTATAGAAGATGGAGCGAGGGCGAGCTGGATGAGGTGTTTAGGGGGTTTCAGCCTAAAGTTCAGAAGAAAGCGGGGTATAGGGTTCCTAGCTAGATGGTTGGGGATGGAGGTTGGGGGGGAGGGCCATAGAGAGGAGTTGAAATTGGAACGGGATTTGATGACGAGAAATGAATGGTGCGGGATAGATGATTGAATGAACAAGCTGGATAGGTTGGCATTGATATCAGTCTGCTTAGCAGCGTTTACTTGGTTATGGAAGGGAGATTTCTGAGAGAGGGTAACAGCAAGAGAGGACCCGCAGTGAGAGAAAGGAGTTTCAGCAATCAGATATACAAGCGGGATAGGAGTGGAATTTAGTTTAATGTTATTTAACAGGCTTTAGGTTTTAGTTGGTTGGGGAGTTTATTAGATACCCCATTTGAGCAATTCATATGATCATTTGATCTCTTCGACATAGACTTCCGCTCGCAACATGTGAACTTATATGTGAGAAGAAACGAGCCAACACCTTTAACCTGGCAGAAACAACAGGTTGCGGTGCGCAAATGTGGGATTAAATTAGCAATATTGTCTATGGCTTTCAGTTAGATGTGCAGCGACCAACGACATATTTTCGTTGGGAATATAATTATCATTTGATAATACGACACGATGTTTCGAACGAGACCAAGGAACATACCGCTAAGAGATAGTTTGAATTTGAAACGGGTACTGACCTTGCAAATCCAAAGAGTCATCATACTTGATCCGCGAGGGAGAATATGGGGTTTTAGCCTCAGGGTTCCTTGAGGTAGATCACTGACAGAGAGAAAAACCCGCGGCCTCTGCTTGTTAACATACTTTTTACTTCTTAATCTAGAATTTCGCAGTAGGTAGTTTATACGATGCTGTTAAGATGTGCGGTCTTTCGTTTCCTTAACAAACTTGTTTTGCAACTCTGAAAATTTGCTTTTTTCTTTTGCCGTCTGTGAAGGGATCCAGAATCATCATATATTTGGAGAAGAAATAAGCAGACCTTGCGTATCAGCATATACCGGTTATCCTAGAAATAAAATCTATCTACTAATGTACAAATTACGACTAACCACCCAATCAAGCAAGCCTTATCCACCTCTCAAATTCACATCGTGACTCCACTGAATCTCAAAAGCAAAACCTACCTAAAATTCCAAGCGTTTTCTTAGCTGGACCGAATATAAACCCATCATATTCCCCTCCTGAAATATGAACCTTCTTGTTAAAGATACCCAATAAAACTGTACCCAAGATCTTTCTTTTCCTACAATTGTCTTGTTAGAAATACTCCATCCAACGACCTACCACCTATACTCTCCATCAATCCTTATGACGTTAGAATTCTAGCCCTCCCAATTTGACAAGAAGTGTTGAAGCGTAAGATCTACGCTTTCTTCGTACCTGAACTGTCATTTACGCCTTGTTTAGATCATCCATCTCAAGCGATTTCTGAAGCAGACAATTTCTAGTGCTTCAGATTTCAATTGCCGCTGGGCCCTTTACAAGGAGTGATCGTGAAGTTACAGATGGGTAAATTCCAATAATCCACACATTCAAACTCGACTCCACATATCCAATGTCTAAATAATATATACAACCCTCCCCTTCCACCCCTTCACGCTCTCGCCCCCCTCTTCCTAACCCCAACCAAACACTCCAACGGCTTCCTCAAAAACCCCTCTCTAGTCTCAAGCCTCTCCGTATAAAGCTCAAACTCATACCTGCCCACCGCCGTCCCCACAATAAGCGCGAGTTCCATCTCCGCCACGTTTCTGCCCACACAACTCCTTGGTCCGTAACTGAACGGTATAAACGCCGTTTTCTGTCGCTCCGTCAGCCTATCCCAGCGCTCTGGTTTGAACTCCTCGACGTCGGGGCCCCAGATCTCGGGGGAGTGGTGGATGGTATAGGACGGGACCGAGAGGACGGTGTAGGCGGGGAAATGCTGGCCTAGGAGCGTGATGCCTGGGCCTGGGGGGACGACGCGGGGGAGACCGAGGGCGGAGGTGGAGTGGATGCGCATTGTTTCCTGGATGACGTTGTGGAGATATGGCAGGTCTTTGACCATTTCAAAGGACGGGACATCAATATCTTCTGGAATAGCAGCATCTAATTCCTTTTGCAATTTCTGTAACACGCCTGGCGTTTTGAGGATCCAGTAGAGGATCGCGCAGGAGGTGTTGGATGTAGTATCCGAACCCGCGATGAGCTGCGTGAGTGCTTCGGCCGTGAGTTCTTGTCGACCCATGGGTTTTCCATTTTCGTCTTTTCCTTCCATGAGACGCGCGAGCAGGTCGACGCGGCCGGGGTCGGATTTGCCGTCGAGTCGCTGAGAGACCCGGGCTACTGCTATACCGGCTAGATTCTGTACTGCTGCTAAGCCCTGGGAGAAGAAGGGGTCGGGGAGGTATTTCGCCCATGGTTTGAGTCCTGGGAGACATCCTAGTGTTCCTGAGACTTCACCACGACGATTCAGGACTTCTACGGCTGGAGCGTAGGTTACGGGACTTTCGGGCGTCATTCGGATTTCTGTGATGTCTTTTCCTTTCTCTAACATCCCAAATGGTTGGCCAAATGCCAGATCCCCGATCATGTCAAAAGCGAGGTAGTTGAACCAGTGTAGACTGTCGATTTTGGCGAACCCGCCATGCGCGTTTTGGGATAGGGTGTCCCATTGTTTGACAAACATGTCGAGGTTTTGATGCATGTAGGTCTCGAATTGGGCGATGCTTTTGGTTGAGAAGGTATGCGATACGGTTTTCCGCTTCCGTGTATGTTCTGCGCGGTCGCGCGTGTTGAAGAGACCACGGGTGATGGAGACGAAGACATCGTAGAAATCGCTGTATAATATCAGTCTCTGATTCTGGTACATCAATTGGCAGCCTACGATTTCAAGAACCCATTTCCATGGCCGTAGATGGCGTTTATGGCGGATTCGTCAGCGACACTGACATGATTCGGTTGTATCCTAACTAGTTTTCCATATTTCTTGTGTGCTTCGTCGACACTTTGATATCGTTTCCCCTGTCGTGCTTGGAGGAGAAGCCACAAATTTGAGAATTTAGCAGCTGATGGACCTGGGACATTGCGTATACCAGTGTTGGAGGTGAGGTAAGGGACGAGGTAGTAAAGAATGACCGCAACGGGAATTGCCCATGGAGTGAGGATGAAGTCGGTGACGGCCATTTTACCTGGCGAGGATCGACGCAGGGGATAAAATATGGTGGATATATAGATGTTTATATTTTGCTCAATGTATATACATATTAGTTGGATTAAAATCTGGGAAAGACTGTTTAATTATACTTCTCACATGTTTGAGACTTGGAAATGCCGTTTCTCGTGTCCGACGTTGAATCGTTTTCACCCCGCAATGAGGAGCTTCGAGACCAAGCTAACCCGACCCCGGATTGTTGAGGGGAACCAATCAGAAAACTGATGTAGTAAGAGAGGAAGCTAGTGATTTAAGGTGACTTCAACTTCTAGTGCTGGTTGTATATTTTTGAATTAAACATTATCTTCCAATCTCTACAGCTTCAATCAACAATTCATATTGTGTCCAGAAATAAAAACTACCTCACTAAGAAACACAAAAGAATATTTGAAAACAGACTGGACTTTTGAAGGTAAAATCACATCGAAAGTACGTCCTCATTCGGTGATCCCTCGGACTTGGCCCAAAGAAGCCCTCCTTTCGAAGCCAGAAACCCATCGTCAGAACCACATTTCAACTACCTCTATTCAAAGCCGAACCGTCAGCGGGCCCGCCGTCACCGTAATCATCTTCGTTCTCCTGTGACGTGCAGCAAGAACGGAATAAAAGCGCTGTCGTGTACGCAGCTTGACGTTTGAAGTTGTACGAGACGTGGAGCACTGCATGATGTTGTGAGCTGGTGATGAATTTCCGAGATATGTCCTTGGGAATTTTTGATCGAGGGTGTGGTGGTAGATAATTGGTGTTGTGAGGATATGTGTTATGTTCTTTTCTACAGTATATTCATCTTAATCATATTCACATTTCTATCGCTTCGTCACATCTTACACCCTCACAGCTTACCTCTCCGCTTATCAACAGCCTCTCTCAATTTAGCAATTACCTCAGACGGATCATTCGCTCCAAAAACAGCACTTCCCGCGACGATAACATTGGCACCCGCATCAGCAGCTTGATCAATAGTTCCTGGCCCCAGACCTCCGTCTACCTCAATATTTAAGTCGGGATATCGTTTTCGAAGTTCCGCAACCTTTGGCAATTCCGACGCCATGAACTTTTGTCCTCCAAATCCGGGATGAACCGTCATTACTAGAACCATCTGCGATTGTCAGCTCACCTCCTCAATGGCAGACAAAGAGAACAGAGGCGTACGTCTGGTTTATCCTCACTCTCCAAAATATCCCATAGTACATCCACGCTTGTATCAGGCTTAATCGCAATACCAGCCAACATCCCACAATCATGGATATATCTGATTAGCTCTTTAGGATTCGTCTTCTTGTCACTCGTCGCCTCGGGACTTTCTGCAGCTGTACTCGAGATCGCGGCTTCATAATGGAAACAATATAAATCGCAGCCCGCTTTCTGGAATTCTTTTACCCATTTCTTCGGCTATCCAATAATCAGCATAACTTTCACAAACACTGATAAGAAATGTTACCTCTGCAATCATCATATGACAATCAAAAGTCCCCTTCCCGTGTTTCTCGGTAGGTTTCGCGACATGACTTCGAATCTTCGTAACAATCGGCGCACCGAATGTGATGTTGGGTACGAAATGACCGTCCATGATATCAACTATTCTCCAATCCTAATTAGCCCTTTCCCACATCGAATATCACAGTCTATCATTTTACATACCATGAAGCCAATCCGCACCCTGAGCAATAGTATTCGAGCATTCCTTCCCTAGATCCGCGAAATCGGCGGACAGGATTGAAGGTGCTATGATAGCTCGAGGAGACATTTGTGCAACGTGTGTGTGTATGATTCCAAAAGTTTGAGTAATTATGTGAAGAGCGATTCCGTGTGTAACTTTTGTGAGATGTTGTGTTTGCGAAGTGGTCGGGATTTGCGGAGGGGCAGAGACGTCAAGATGCGTCGAGTGGTTGGTGGGGGTGAGGTCGGGCACGTGTTTGGTGGGGTAGTTGAGAGTCGAGAGCTTCTCCGTGGTGTTATCTGGACTTTGTTTTTTGCTGCAGTCTGCTTTGTATTTTAATTTGGGTAACCGTTTGGAGACTGTAGAAATCTCGAGAAATGAAATTGTGGAAAGTAGTGAGAAAGGCAAGTGGTTGAGTAATACTTTCTGGTACGTGTACAGCACAGACATGGCCAGCTGATGTGAATCTAACATATAAATCTGACATGTCAGAGTTGACAACAAAAATACCGCTATGGATGAATGAAAAGTACTTCTCTTGACTGAATCACTCATTATTCAGAGTGGTGGAGGAATAAGCATCCACTAGTCCAACCTAATAGACTGTAGCATAACCTTATTCACCATATAGAAAATATTTCTTACTATACTTTCAAGTGCTTGGATTTGAGTATTGAACGGATTCAGAGGTGGAAAAGTCCTGGACTCCGAATAGGTGGTCATCATGGAAAAAGCACGTACAGCGTGTGACTTCCAACCAGATGGATAGATACCTAGTAGCAAACTCCAGGAATTCGTTATGATCTCGAGATATTCCCAATAATGCAGAAGCTATTCGTGTGTTGTAGCAAAACAGATTTCCAAGGTATATAATTGTAAAGTCGGTTATACCAGTGAATGCTAGCAAGCTGGATACCAACTCATCAATATGTAGTCCACAGGGCCACCTGTCTCTCGTCGTAGAATAAGAGTCTGTAAAACTGATACTGACATTAATAAACTTGGTAGAGCTTACCAACAGTACGCCAACACTATAATACTAAACTCTCGGATTCCATGGACACCCATCCAGGGTTATCCCAATTCATTTAGATTGGAGAAGTCAAATCGAGGAATACTCGCGATCATCAAATCCTCGGCTTTCACGGCTGAAATTTACTTGTATCATCGGAGGCAAAATATCGGTTCGCTGTGTAGCGCTTCGGGCCAGTGGCAACATCAATAAATCGCGCCTTGGACTCTTGGTGGCTTGGACGTTGACGGGCTGTGCCGTTGCGGTCGAGAAGCGGTTGAAAAAATCACCAGTCGATGGCAAATTCCAGATCGAGGTCGAAAACAGAACTTCAGTAATGATTTGTCCAAGATGCCGAGGTGTATCATCTTCACCTGATGTCCAAAAAACGTGATCGATGACATAGATATCTTCCTCGATGCTTTCATGCGATGCACGGAAGACATGGAAACAATTCATGCTGGTGCCTTGCTTCTTACCCCATACCAAACTCAAGATATTCAGGGGTCGAGTTTGGTGGTGTCAATTCCGAAATTTGTGTGAAGGGAACAGGGGAGAAATTTCACACCACCATCGCTTTGACTGGTGGAGGAGCTTCAAGTCGAGCAGGCCGAGATTACTTGGCACGTGATTGGGCGACAACGAGAGGGGAAAGCTTCCAAGGTCCCCATAAAATGTAAGCGCAGGGTTCACAGCAACGCCCGGTCGTCGTATTTTTAAATAACACACCCACGCCTCAGGAGGTCTGTTTCGTTCGCTCCTCTTCTGCTTTCGTCGACACTCTTCAACTTCGAAACCGTCGCTGTCACTCGTTGCACGTTCACTCTTTCAACCAGATCAAACTTCTTTCTTCAACAACTAATACACCTTCTAATACCACATTTCTGTATTACTCCAGTAAGTAACCCCACCGTTCGCATCGCGTGTCGAGTCGCGACGTTTGGTCGCATTCGTCCAACATCGACGGGTGTCACTCGGATGCATTTGGACCATGTGGCAGAGCTAATTCTTTGTCCTCCAGAAAGAAAACTCATCCTAAATCTCCGAACATCTTCGAATAATACCATCAAAATGCAATTCTCAACCGCCCTCATTGCCGCCGTCGCCTTTGGCTTCGCAAACGCCGTTTCTTTCACAAACTCGGCCTTCAACGGTATTACAGCTGGACAACCAATTGAGTTGACCTGGACCGATGCTTCGGGACCAGTTACCATCACCTTGAAGAACGGTGCTTCCACCGACCTCCAGACCGTCAGCGTTGTTGCCAGTATGTTAAAAGCGAATCTTTCGAAAATATATTTGCTAATCATTCACAGGCGGACAAACTGGTAGCTCATTCACATGGAGCGTCCCATCTACCCTCACCCAGGACACCTATGCTCTTGAGATTACCGACTCTTCGGCCACACCAAACTACAGCCCTCAATTCGAGCTCATCGGTGGAGCACCTGCTACTTCATCTGCTGCTTCGTCAATCTCAGCATCCGCTTCTTCTGCCTCAAGCTCTGTCGCTTCATCCATCAGCTCCGTCACATCATCTCTCTCATCCGTCGCATCTTCCATCTCATCCTCCCTCTCTACAGCAACTGCTAGCTCCACCACCAGCAGCGATGCTTCATCCACCACCGCAGCCACCAACGGCACCACCACCACTGGATCATCTACATCCACTCGTGCATCCAGCACTGGAAGCCGAACCAGCACTACTAGCCCAACTACCACCGCAGTTGTACCAAACTCCAACTCAGCCGCTGATATCGCTTCCCCACTCGCATTGGTATTCTTGACCTTTGCAGCTATCCTCTCATTCAACTAGAATGGTCTGATTCTGTAATCTGTTCTTGATTTCTTACTTTGCTTGGGTTATATTCATGTGGGTGTTTTGTATTCAATTACGGACCAAGGACTGGGGGTCGTGTATGTACGGCATCGGGGTTTCGAGCATTTATGGGAGGCGCATAATCAAAAAGATGTCGTGGGAGAGCTTTCAATGCGGGTCGGTGGGAGCGGGTTTACATTGTATACATTTCATGAAGCATAGTAGTAATTAATCCAAACATAGCGAAAATGAACCTCTCGTTTCTGTGACAGATCTTGTTGGCAAAGATTTTCGCGAACGCGTACCATCGTGTCACATCCTGCAGCCTTTTCTCGTATCTGACTGTGTGCCAGCCATAAACCCGGTCGTATGGCGCATGAATTGCCTGACGCCATGCAGCCTCTAGGTTTCTGCGCAGGCTGCTATGCGCGCATACTGGGAGAGGGAAGGTGAATGATTCTATCCGTCGAAGCGGGGAGGATTAGTGCTACATTTTATATCTATTAAAGAAGAGACACATCACTTTGAAAATATGTCGACTTTATTACCTAGTGATCTGGCGACTGGAGGTACGAAAGGCGATCTTGGACGTAAGACGTCTCGATGTCGAGATCTCAAATTCGTCGGTTTATCAATTGCACTGTTGAAGCTCGATTAGTGCTCTAATATAGCATCGCTTGTTCTGGAATGAGGCCTTGCAACGAACGACCTCGCCCGCGGACGTGCTGTGGCGTTTTTGGGGGGTTTATGAGGAAGTGAGGTCGGCTGGATTTTAGTTTTTGGTGTTGGGATTGGGGATGTAGGTAGGTGGGGTGTGTAAGGCAGGTTGATGCGAGGATGTGTATTAGGGGGATGAAGATAGAGGTTGGGTGTTACCATCGCTGGACAGCACAGCAGACTCCATTACTGAAGAAGTCTCAAATCGCTCGATGAGCAAGCTTCAACTCCTTCGTAATCTCTAGAAAAGCGCCGTCTTTCTGATACAACTTCGACTGGGAGAAACCCATAATCTAACTAAGTCTAGGGATTTGCAGTTCGAAAGACGAAGTGCTTATAAGGAGAGAAATCGTGGTACGGTCTGAGGTCGGACGAGTCGCCTTTTTCAGATACAACTAGCAAGTTGATGAGTCAATGCATTACGTTGGTTATTGCTCTTTTCCTGCGGCATTCTCATCAGATCTTGGAGTTACCTTGCCCACCTCGTTGGAAATAGGCTAGCGCGGCCTTTACAGTCATACTAGGTAGATAGTGTGAGTAGCTCATCCTTTAAACTAATCGGTAATTACCAGAAAGAGAAAGCTGTTCGTTCTTTGACCAATTCGTACTTCGACTAGCAGATAGTTGCCAAAAAAGGCAAGTAAGTCGTACTTATATCTAAGATCTAGGATCAGCACTGACACGAGAACCATCCAGTAGATGAATGTTAGAATGTATCAACATCTCAATCCAGCAGCTGACTTGTTCTTATACCTGATACCGTCATATAAAACAAAGCCAATGCCACAGCAGATTCCAATCCCCCAGCAATCCCAACCCATCAACTTAACACTTCAACCTCCCCGTCCCCAACTTCCCCACCACAACCAGAACCACAACAATGCAACTTCACCTCACCCCCCTCATCCTCCTCCTCCTCCCCTCAACCCTCGCCGCAACCCTCTCCCCCCGCGACCAAAAACTCTCCATAAACGTCTACTCGGACAACAAATGCGCAAACTACCTCGAGACCTACAAAAACGCCGGCGAAGTATCGAAAATCGTCACTTTACCTTACGAAGTACGTTTTTTCTCCCATTTGTGCTCTGCCCTCTTTACATCCATCTCTTCCCTCTTCAACCACTCATCTACTAACCTCCCCAGGGCGTCGGCAGTTTCATCATCACCCAAGGCGCCTCGACCTACACGTGCGACAACGGGAACGCAAATCACTACGTCGCCTTCTTTTTTAATAGTAACACGGGCGGCCCGACGTGTAATGGGGCGGTGGGACTGTTGAGTCCGGTTGCGTGTGATAGTGAGGGGTGTCAGGAACTGAATGAGCGGGCGAGTAGTATGGCTATTTGTTTGGGGGTTGGGAGTTAGATGGCTGTATATGGAGTTTCGGAAATGGTAGGTTGGAAGGATTTGAAGGGTGGTTTCTTAGGGTGGGTGGAGAGTTGTTGGGTTGGTTGTTCTTTTCAAGTCGCTCTTTATGAAATGTTGGTGCAGTTTTCAGATATACGGGGAATGAGTAATTGGGATTTTCTGCTTTCCTATACCTAACAATGAAATTGATTCAGGTAATTGTGTGCTTCAGTTACTTAAAATATTTGCTTGATTGAATCCGTAAAAAGGCCCTTGAAGGCATTAAGTTAGAAATTTTTCTGTTAAAACTTAATATAGATGATAGGCCACAAGCTTGATTGAATACAGCGGAGTCAACTAGAGTGGTAATAGTGTAGAATGACAAGCAGCTGCGCGGATTTACTTGACGTCTGAGAGAAAGTGAAATATACGCTTTATGTTCACGTATAGAAAAGCGACTTCTTAATAACTTGAGAACAGCGTACTTAGTTCACAAATATTAAGACAACTTAAAAAGCGCGGAGATAGGTCATGAGCTTATAACTTACTTAATCGAAACGCAACGGAAATAGTGCTGTTATTCCAAGGCTCCACGCTGACACTGTGAAGTTGATAATCCAATTTTAAATGTCGGTTTCGTGGATTGCAATATAATCAGTGCTGTACTCAAAGCTCTCTTCTATCAGCCGAATAGAAGTACGACTTCTCATCCACTGGCAAAGTGTTAGTTTTCTGGGTTGTTGGATGGTGAGCTTTTCCTGTATGTTAGGAGAACACAGGAGATGACATGGCAGAGTTGGCAACGCACACACTCTACAAGTCTCTCAATGTAGAGCGACGATTTTACACAACAGGGAGCTCTGTTGGTGTGGACAGTGGAAGTTACCACTCTTATCTTACAGACTATTTCGGTTAAAATATAAACCGAGAATACACCTAAGGCGGACTGAAGTTTTCAATGGTTTTCGCAGGATATAATGATCCCAATTAGGAAAGGCCGAAACACATCTTCTTCTTTTGTCTTAAATGAATGTAATTAAGCCACTTAGCATTAACTTGCAACCTAGCGAAGAATACATCTAACGAGAGTTTAAATCTGTTAATTTAAGCCTCAATATAAAGTTCCAGATCATATCTGGTACTTTAAGCTGAGTCATAGAGGAAGAAACACAGGAAAGTACCGCTGAGATATAAGTGATCTAAGGTCACGTGGTTTTGTGAGCGTTCATCGCATCGGCACTTCTTCTCATAGATTCAACCTCGTATTCATAGTGCGAGATATTCAATTATCTCAAACCAATCGGCAGATAGATAATCATTATATCATTCTCGTCTATCTCTTTGACCCAAAGTCGTTATCCTTGTCTCCAAAAAGGGTCAGAACTTAAGCGGTGGCTAGTATAAATCCGGTACTTAAAGTGAATTGTGCAATTCAAATAAGAGGAACATATCCTTAAGACGAACAACAACTCCCAATTATATCCCAACTAGGCAACCTCATCTGTACAATTATCACAATCAAATTCACACGCATCTGAGTACCGAGCCAGCATACCCCGCAGATCTGCGCCCAGCCTCTAGCCTCACCCGTCCTTCCCAATCGGCACAACCCAACCAGGATTCCCTCCATCGGGTAACACTGACCTGCCTCTTCCACTCCAGATTGTCGTGATTCAAGAAAATCCGTCGTTCTTGGTTGGGCATTGGCGTACGCAGGTGAATTGTGGGTTTGTTTCAAATTTATTTAACTTATGCCTTTCTTTTTTATGACCATCTCTCACATCCTCTTACTTACATCTTTGCAAAAAATACAATAGTCGTTTTTGGAGAAGAAGATAAGGCAAGATGTACACTCAATTATTAGCTGGTTTCTTGCTGGCGCCTCTCGCATTAGCACAAAGCAATACCTTTGCATTCCCAGGAAATGGCGAGATTCCTCCTCTGTCCCCCGGCATGCCATTCGATATAACATGGACGCCATCACCAAACTCCGAGTCCGTCAACCTGATCCTCCGACAAGATCAAGGCGACGTAAATAACCTCGCTATAATCTCCATCATCGGCGGTAATGACCCATCCCCAATCCCAACCCTACCTAAACTAACAAACAACAGAAGAACTCCCCAACACAGGATTCTACACTTATCTCCCCCCACCAACCCTCATCAGCGGCACCGGCTACGCATTCCAAATCACCGATTCGGACAATGAGACAGACACAAACTACTCCCCCCAATTCGCCATCACCTCGCCCAACACCAGCATGACAGAATCAGCAGCCGACACCACCGTAACCAGTCCCCCCATCTACGTCGACCCCAGCGCCGTCACCAGCGTCGAGACCTCGGGCGTCACAGGCAGCGCCACGATCTTAGACACTTCAGCGATTATCGACCCGATCCGGACTTCGACGGCTGAAGACACGACCGTGACGAGCCCGCCGATTTTCGTGGATCCAAGTGTCGTGACGAGTGCAACGAGTAATGTGACTAGTATTAACACCTCTGGGGTTACTGGCAGTATGACGATTATGACTAGTCCGGTTGTCATTATCGATCCGATCCGTACTGAGAGTTCTGAAGGGGCGAGTGTGACTAGTCCGCCTATCATTGGGAATGCGACGGTGACGACGTCGAGGGTTTCGAGTTCGAGTGCCGTGGCTACTGTTACGGGGAATGCGGCGACGAGAGTTGAGGGGTTGGGGATGATGGGTGCTGTTCTCGGTGCTTTTGGGATGGTTATGGTTTTGTGATGTGAATTACGAAATGTAGGAATGGATGAGGGATTAAGGGAAACCAGTTATTAATTATGCACTTCCTGGTTATCATTTATCATTAAAAAATGCACAAATATCTCGCACCACACTCAATTTCTCCTCCTTAAAGTTCTAGAATCGAATCTTTACATATTTTAAGTAGATCCAATTAAATAATAAGTATTCCTAAATTAAATATAACTCGGAAATACATTAGCAACCCCTTATCAATGTGCTCCTTCTCAAGATATTCGTGGAATAGTATATACTACATGTAAGAACACGTTTCCAGATCCTATAATGATAGGCTAATTTAATCACATCAAAAACAACAGTACTTCTATAGTAGGTAAGCTTTACATGCTGCGTACTACTTCTTGATCACCGAGGCTTTTTGGGTAATTATCACTGTCCTATCTCATATAAATATCCTCGCTTAAGAGGCGACGTTTCTGTTCCTATAAAAGACAAGAGCTTTTATGTCTTTGACAGGTGCACTTGATATTCCTACAATTCACATTTTGGAGATCTCGGTGAAACGATCTCTTTTCGCACTTTTCGCACTTTATCGGAGCTATCATTAGACACGAGAAGCTCACAGAAACCCTAGAATGGGAACCCAGGTTTACCTTATCTTATATGAGAAGGCCGGGACAAGAATAAGGTCTAAGTTCTTATTATTATGTCAAACGGAAGAGCAGGTTCATGTACATTCGACACGTGCTCACCGTCATCGACACGTAGAGGAGAAATGTGATATACAACAGCATCAAGTTATTTCACGCACTCGTTTGGGAAGGGAGAATTTTAAGTTATCCAATTACGGGCCACCGAAGCTGATTTTATCAAGGTTTTTTGTTCCAACATATATTACAATCTCATAAACACATTATTTCATTACCCCACCCTTCAACTCCCTATCTATCTATTATAAACATCCGCAAACCGATCCGCAAGATACTGAATCCCCTCGGCACGATAAGTATCCGGCTCCACATACGCCAATTTCGTGACATTAACATCGAACACCATATTCCTAGGATTCTCGAGCGTATATTCGGGCCAGTTGACACAACTCACTGTCAAAACATTAGCAATCCACTCTCACTCAGATTCTTTACATCAAAGTGGAATTTGAGAGGTAAAGAGAAAGTTAAACTCACCACCAGAATCATTCGGACTCCCCCCCGTAATAAAACTAACCCACATGCGACTCATCAGTCTGGCCAACAAAAAGAACTCCTCGCCCTTCCCCTCAAAAGGATTCACGGCAACGACGTTCTTATACCCCAGACCATCCGTATTATCAAAGACGAATGCTACCTCCCGGAAATGTCCACTGCCTAACCACGCACCCGCCCCATTCGGGATGACGTTAAAGTGATAACTGTAGTTCGTCACGTTGTACTTGCTCCAGACTTGATTCACGATGCGGCGGGGCACGTGTTGACGTAGGTCGCCAATGTAGGAGGAGATACGCTTCCACTGCACGCCGTAGGATGCGAGGGGCCCGGTGGGACGGCCGTCAAGAGTGGCGGGGATGCCGATGGCTGGGATATCTGGGTAGAGAGCCGCGATTGTGACGGCGGTTGCGTTGTCTGGGCCTTGGGAGCGGACGTTGGCAAGGAATTGGTCGGTGGTATTGATGCCCTTTGGAGCGAAATCGGTTCCTTCGTCGTGATTGCGGCCCGTGAGGATGGGGACGCGGACGAAGTTGCCGGCTTGGAGGGAGGCGGTGAAGGGGGCGAGGAGGAAGTCGTTGTCGACTTGGGGGCCCCAGGGGAAGCCGGTTGTTACGGTGGAGTTGAGTATGGAAGAGAGGGTGTCGGTTGGGATGGTGCGGAGACAGGCGAGGGTGTCGGTTGCGTTGGAGCAACCGGCTGCGAGGGTGATATTGTTGTAGTAGGGTTGCCATTGGGAGGGGGTGAGAAGGCGGGAGGAGGCAACTGGTCCGCCGGATTGGACTATGGCTGCGCGGAAGAGGTTGTCATTTCTACCGCCGTAGGCCAGGAGTTGCATTCCTACCCCTGAGGCGCCAGCACTTTCGCCCCAGATGGTTACTTTAGAGGGGTCGCCTCCGAAAGCTGCGATGTTTTCTTGAACCCTGAGTTGCGTTAATGATGAATCTAAGTGTGTTATTCCGCTTAAGATGAGAGATAGAGATCTACTTCAGCGAAGTAGACACTTGAACAGTACAGTTGTCTGCTCATCTCTCTTCGTTTCGCCTCATCTGCTCCAAATCTTAGGAAACCGGAAGTATAACTCACCATTGCAAAGCCAATCTCTGATCTCTATTCCCCAGATTCGCATTTCCACTCTCCACAACCTCATTCCCAAACAAGAACCCCCAGGCCTGCAACCTATAATTCAATTGCACCACAATCATAGGCGCTCTCATCTGCACACTCTGTCTGACAATGAAGCTAGCATTATATCTAGGATCGCTATTTCCACCATTGGTATTGCCACCGCCATAAATCCATACACCAACAGGAAGATTAGTACCAGGCGCTACACCCTCTGGACGAATGACATTGACGGTCAGACAATCTTCAGAAATGTAATTTCCAAGGACCCAGGTGTCGGAGCCGTAGCCGATACATGCGGGGGAGTACTCGGTTGCGTTGCGAGTGTCGTTGAACGTGGTGTTTAGAGATTGCGGAGGACGGAAACGGAGGTCGCCAACTGGTGGTCGAGCAAAAGGGATGCCGAGGAAGTAATCCTGAGAGTACTCTTGGGAGTGGACGCCATAGTAGCTACCATTCAGTACTTGGACCGTAGGTGCAGTTGAATTCTGACGTTTGCTAAGTGCGGCAGTAGCGAGAAGAGGCAAACACCCCAGAACGTATGAGAGATTTGAGAGATACATAACTCCTGATGCTGGAAATTATATTAAAGTTCCTGGAGAAGCTCCCAGAACACGAATAAACAAATCAACCAACAGAGGAAACAAGCGATTCAAGAAGGAAAGCTTAGTATTTATACAAAAAGAAACCCACCATAGCTACTCTGATCGTCAGGTACGCTACTCCACGAAGACACAGAAAACTAGCCGACAGAGCTTAGCAGCTTAAAAATCAAACTGTTAATGACGCATGTTGGCCTGCCAAGAGGATTTAAAGATTCATGACAGGCTTTGACAACAGGTTACATACTGCTCCCCGCCTCCAGAACCCCATCAACCTGGCATATCCACGCGGAGTTGGAGAAGATTTCGGCGAGAATAGTGGACGAAGCCCCATGTAACATATAAAAGTGTGGGGTAATGACAGTTGCTGGGCCCAAGGATGGGATACACTAACTGCTTGGGAACCTTCTAATGCGGGGGAGATCGGTCCGAGTCGTGCCCAGCCTGTCCTGGCCGGTCATGTCTAAAGCTATGAGCGCCGCTTGGCGACTCAATACTCTGTACTCATATGCAATAATTTAAAGAGATTTCTACAGGAGGAATGTGCAAACTACAATAGACGCTCGGGAAGTATCCCGGCTTTTTTGAAAGTGTCTTCTTATTTATGCTTTATGGCAATTTGTCTGACTCGCGCACTAGTCTCAACCACCTCAATTGTATTGTGCCATTAATGACACCCATCTCCAACGCCAGTCGCTTTTCAGTTCCAAAAACTTACATTGTCCGTCCAAGCAAAGTACATGATCCCTCCAATATGACTCCCAAATGTGACATTAGCCGCTCTGTAACTCCGGATTGTAATTGTGACTATGATGGCGATTGTGTTAGTTTCGTAAAGAAAATATTGATACAGTGTGTTGTGAAATTGCAGAGTGATTGTGGAATAGCGCATGAATATGCTCATTTGCGAGAAATGATTTGTCGCTCGTAATGTGGTGTAGGCGTTTCCAGTCAAGCATGACCGTTCGGAATGCTAAATGACTGCTGGATGTTTCTCAAATTCTGTTGCTGGCTGGTCCCATTCGTAGCCTTTTCTTCTTGCTTAATCTGACCCATCATCTTCCTTTCTTCCTCGGCTCGAGCTTGCTGTTCCTCCAATATCAGCTTCTCTTGCTTGTGACAAGCAAATTCGATGTCTGACAAGAACATCAAATCCGATACAAGTTTGAAATTCTCGGCTTCCTTTCGTTGCTCCTTAGACTTTCCCCAATAACATTCAAATCTGAACATTGTAGGTTTCGCAGCTGGGTGCTTGTCTCTCCATACTGTAATCACATCTCCATGTCGCAGCTCACCCCAGAACCGAGAGGCGCTGTCTGGTGTCGTCGGATTGTAGCTTGGCAGATGTTCGCCATTGATCCAGATACCAGCACTCGCCTTTGTGGAAATGTAAAATGACATGTCTTGATCATTGTCGCTACCAACTTGCATTTTCTTGTTCCCCCGACCATAAAAGTTGGGCTTGAATGCGATAACTTTGAAGGCATATTTTGGTATGCGTATTTCTTTTCCAAATGCATAGCGAACGGTTGCCATATGTCCCCTACCCCAGCTTGTGAGACACTCGGTGATGTTCAAATTGATAGTTGGCAGACAACTGTCAGGTGTAGATAGCAATTTCGCAAGTATTCGCATAGGCGGAGCAAAGTCGTTCCCAACCACTTGAAAGGTTTCCTCGGGTTTGACTGGACCTGCAGGAGTAGCAGCATTTGATGTTGTCGCGGTGATCGGTAGGGACTCATCTTGGAGAATCCGGTGAGCAGCAAATGGGCCCTGCGAAGCCGTGTCGATTTCGAGTCGTCGCTCATCGCGTTTCATGAGCATACGGCGACCTTCGTCGGCAGTAGGTTCGGAATGGGCTCTGGGAGGTTCGATCGAAGAACTTCGGCTCCGGCTGCTGCGGAAACTGTGCATCGCCGTTTCAAATGTTTTCTGTCCGGACCGAAACGTTTCGCCGTTGGCCGCCGCGTGTTCGCTGATTCTTCGATAATCCTCCGTCGTCATTGGAGGGTAGTCGTTGTGATGCGTGGATTTGTCTGCCGGGTTCCAAAAGATACTAGCAGGCACCTCAAGTTCGATTTCACGCTCTGAACGACGTCGTCTTTTCGCCGGCATGCCTTTCGGTGCCCATGCATAATCACACTCGTCGGAATCAACCTCGCGGGGTCTTCGAAGGCTAACAGTTGCAGCATGGGCGAAATTATTTGGTGCAGCTTCTGCTAAAGGAGATGGGGCGGAAGCAGGAGAGTGCATGTTGAGGTTACCGACCAGAGATTCTGTCCCCATCAAGCTGGATGATCTTTTTGCGCGACTGTTTTGGTCGTTCTCCGGATTTTGTGGGGTGAATGGTTCGACAGGCAGTTCTGGAGAAGGAGCAACCATGGTCTCTGGTAATGGCGCGTCCATGTTTGCAAGAAGGGCCTGAAAATTATTTTCGACCTGCGATGAGGCTTCGCCATCTGTAAATTGTTGAGACTGACTGAACGCATCGAAGTGTTGTGAGGCATCTGTAGACATGGGCAGGTTGAGATGATTCATAGGTATAGCACCCGAGCTCCCCACTGCCGACACGTTAACCTCTCCAAATAAACGACCACCCGGAACAGCGTTCTGGGCACCACCAGCATATTGCAAAAACGAATAGCTCTCGTCCTCATTCAGAAGCTCGTTCTCATTCTGGAGCTCATCATTTGTATTAAAACTGCTTGGGATTTCTCGTTGCTGAATTTCCGTGACATCACTCATGCTATCGGGATCAATTTCAATGCTGTCCTCAACCGCAAGATTGCTTTCTTGAAGGTGGAGCTGCGAAAACTGTGAAGATGACTCCTCTATCTCGGTTTCTTGCGTGACTTGGACCTCGACATCGTCCATGCCTGTAATCCATGGATTCTGCTGCAACTCGGCAATAGTGGCCCGATGTTCTGGTCGAATGTGAAGCATTGATCTGACAAAACGCAGACCAGTCTCACTGATGCCAACATTCTGTAACGGCCGAATGTCCAGTGCCTGGGTCATAACCCGATCCAACAATTGCGAATAAGTGGTTTCCTGATTCTTCCCAAGTGGATATGGAGGCAATCCTGACATAGAGTACCAGATTACTCCAGCCAAAGACCAGACGTCAACTGCATGTCCGTATCGTTGTAGGGGAACGGATTTCTTGTTTGTGCCTCGCGGAACGCGGCGTCCAGAAGTATCATAATCCTTGTATTCCATGTAAACTTCTGGTGCACAGTAAAGTAGGGTACCACAGAACGTGCGAAGAAATGTCTCATCGTTGTCAATCATCTTTGAAAGACCAAAGTCTGTCAACTTGACGACGTATGGGTCGCGTTGTGAGATCAGGATATTGTCGGGCTTGACATCTCGGTGGGTGATGTTCTTTCCGTGCAGATAACCCAGTGCTCCCAGCAATTGATCTGTTATATCCCTGACAGTATTTTCGGGGAGGTGACCAGATTGACTGATGAGGCTACCAAGGTCGCCTCCTGGGACAAACTCCATGATGATGTACAAGTAGTCATGCCAGTCGACGTGCTCAATGTATTGTACAATATTAGGCTGCAAGGCATTAGCGACGTATCTTTGACTTGCCATTAACACTTACATGTGTAATTCGACTCATGATGCGCATTTCTGTCTCCATCTTCTGGTCTAGGATACCATTCTTCATGAAACGCCTCTTCTCCAGCTCTTTGGCAGCGTACGGAATTCCTTCAGATTTTGTGGTTACTTTGTAGACGACAGCGAAGGCGCCTTTACCAATCGTCCCTACTCTGTTGTATTTGTTTCCGCCTTGCCATTCCTTGATACGCTTGGGCAATAGAGACTTCCCGGAAGCTTTGGGAGTGTCAGTCCGAGGTCCGGCAAAGATGTCGGGCTATATAAAAGTCAGCAAAGCATCGCCCATATAGCACAGAAATCCAGTTCTCACGGTGTCTCCATGCTGGCCAACTTTTGCAGCGGTTCGGCGTGCTCGAATCTGGTCTCGGTAGTCTAGAAAGTCAGCTAACTTTTGTTCATACGCATCCTGTTGCGCATCACTACGCTTTGGAAGCCAGACGACGAAATCGTAGTTTTCTTCTGGTGGTGTCATGACGAGAATGATCTTCTGCCCATTCTCTAGAGTATGCTTGTAGCCTAAACCGTTCTCCTTGTCCTTCCCCCGCAAGCAGAGTGCGTCAACCACAGTGCCATTTGTACTTTGGTCCTCAATCATAAGAGTAGCATGCTCGTTAATGTAAATGCGAAAGTGGATGTTGCTTATACGTCTCGAAGGCTCATTACGACCGATTACGAAGTCACATCGAGCTGGGTTACGACCGAAATGAAAGCCACCGATCGGATCTTTAAGATCAGCAGAGAGCCGTAGAGCGATACCACATGGTGTGAGTCCCTGAGCTTTTATCTTAAATGTCTGAGCAATGTCATCAGGATGCAAGTGCTTCTCTCTGATCTGAAGATCGCCTTTCGAGAGGTATGTATTTCGAGGGTTGACCGCGCGGATTTCGTTAGCCGCATGGAGGGCAGGTAACGTCATGGGCTGCAGAACGCATATGATATCGGAAGCCTCTTCGTCCGTCAGTTCCGAATGCCCATGATCGGATCGTCGATCGTCGTGGTAGAGTTGGGTTGCTATAAAGAGGGGATCGTGAGCAGCCATTTCCTTTTGCCAGGCTTTGTACGAAGCAGAGAAAGAAGTGCGACGACGATGCAATTGAAAAAAAGAAGAAGTAAAATTGGGGGAGATACCTGGCTGAGTAGCCTCTTCCTCCTGGTAGTCCATCTTGGAGGGCGGTGGGAAGATGTGCTCGTCGTCGTGAGGATGATGGTGGGGTAAAAGCTCGAGATGCTCGAACAATGTGAATATCTGCACAAAGTGCTGCAGGCAGTAGTATTCACCCTAACAACACCGCAACGACCATGTGACTGCTTCCCGGACTATATCAAAGATGTAACAAATATGGCAAGTCGAAATGAAATAACAATGTTCAATGTCCAAGCCGTAAATCAGATCTGCTGCCTTCTTCCCAACAGCAAGTGCACCTATATATTCCAAGTTACAGCAGACGGTCCTTAAAGAGTGGCAGAAGACAGTCAAGTCCTCACTGGATATATCTCGCGCGTAGTTCGTGGTGGAGGCATCTATGGCGAGGGTGAGGTCCGCTGCTACAGATTACAGATCAGTCAACGGTCCTCACAGCAACGACGAACAAAAAATATTTGGGCACTAAGTACATTGCCTTTTGCTGGCAGACAACTTGCCCTCGACGGGCCCACCACAACAGGTGATAACTCTATGTGGACCTTTCTCAAAAAAATAGCAGAAAGTTCGGTTGTGCACAAGACTCGAGAAGTTGAACAATAAATGTTCACGCTTGCTTCACTCATGAGATGTTTCACACATACCCGGACCAGCCAGAGACCATTAAATTAAGCTATCCGAGGTGATGATCCGCGCCGGCGCTAGGGCCAAATTAAGCCTAATCAGGTCCTGACCGCCTGTGCATCATCCCATGTTCAGCCCTGTTCCTTCAGAAAATATTTCCCGCCAACTTGCATCGTCGCATTTGTATGCATAAAGTGCTTACTCGGATAAAATCCCATGAAGGCAACCCAAATCTCGATGGTGGCTATCCCTGAAGGTTTGTCGGTGGAAATATTCGCCTGACGTTTATCTCCACAACAGATACGCGGCCACTGAATCATTGTCACATGTCCAGTGACTGAGATATGTCGCACCAAAACACCAGAAGACTCGATCAAGCCACTCAGCCTTATCACGAGCCTTTCCACACCGAAGATGACTCTCGAGTACTCAAGAGTACGAAAACATGACGCCCGGTTACGTTGAATGACGGGTAGCCACGCAACAGTGTTACACAAACCCGTCTGTGAACCCCCGGCATTCCAGATGTCTCAAGCACGGTAAGGTTATATAATACCACGACATAAAAAAAATCCCTAAGATATCTCTGATGTAAGCATGAGGTGTGGTACGCAGAGTACGACGCCTTAATATATAACAACTTGTTACAGACGCGTGTTGTACTATCGCACCCCAAGCAGATATGGGCTTCAAAATCCCGCAATGAAATAGAGTATAGAACGGAAACGAAATGTTTGAAGAGAGATGTGCCATAAGTTATCCTAATAGGGTAGTCATAGAAGGATCAAAGGTTTGTAACCTTCTCAGGTGTGCCTGCCTATAGGTATTCTGCAATACGGTTATTTACAAACACAGCACTGTCTTTCTGGACACAAACAAAGCGTAAACAAAGGGTCCAAAAACACAAAGGACATATTTGGCATAGACTACGTACGTGTCAACTGTACCCAAGCACACTACAGTACCGGTGAACTTGGAGATTTCAAAATCACAATTCGAACACTTTAACAATTCTTTTGCTTACTAGAAGTGTCTGCCAGACGTGAACATGTAAATATGTGAACTTCAAATACATGGGAACACCAAGAAGCAATTACGGTTTCATCACAATACTATACACTCTGAAGGGAATATACACTCTGAAGGTAATTTTCTTCCTCACTTCTAAGAACTCCTATAATACAGCGAACAAAATCTTTTCATATTTGAAGCACAGGATTGACAAGATCTATGATAACATATACCTAGATATCCAAATATTCTTGTCCACGTCATGATATGATCTTATAAGCGGATGCCCACCGATTGTACAGGGGGCTTATCAAACCGTTTTGATAGCTTGCTGCATAATTGTTATAAAAGGAGCTTACCAAACCGGTCAGGTAAGTTGTTACTCAATGATTGCACCAAGAGCCTATCAAACCGCTTTTCTAATTTATTTCTCCACCTTCCGTTGACCCCAACTAAACCTTCCAGTCTTACTACGAGCAAGCGACCCCATCTCACCCCTGACCCTAACCGTCGCAGACTCTCTAGTCGCCCTGGTTGTATTACAACGAGCAATTGGTTCCGTCTTTTTCATAGCTTCAAACGTCGTAGACTGTCCGCACGTCGCAGATTCTCTAAACGCTCTCCCAACCGCCCTCTTAACTTTTCCAAAAATCCTCACACATCCCTCTTCTGGAATCTTCTTATGGTCTCGGAACTTTGTATTCTTTGGAACCTCCTCTTCAGCAAGCCTGCTAATATACCATTTCTTACCAAGATCTTCATTACGCGTCCATCTCGCAACAGTGACTGGCGTGTCTGGGTGTCTGGCAGCATTGTCGAATGTGATGAATAATATATTCTGCCATTCAATAGGATACATGGGTGGCCGCTGACGAGACATTTCAACGGTGATGCTCAGTGGGGGCTTCTCTGGTGTAGAAATTTCTTCGAGTTCAAATCCGGTCTCCTCTTGAATCATGATACGGCGCCAGTCAGGATCGAGCTTGTTTTCTAACATATCTAGGTTGGCGACGCTGAATGTTGTAAAAGGATCATCCTCTTCGTTTTGAGTCCCTGTGTGAAACACCGTCCAAAATGAGCATGGTTTTCCGCCGAGAAAATTCTCTTCTTGTAAAAGATCGTAGTCAAAAATGCTGAGGAAATTGACGAATCTTTGTCGGGTGGAGGGGCATGCCTTTTGATTTTGCTGTGTAGACATTTTGGGTTGGAAGTTTCTGGTCGACGTACAAAATATCGTGTCCGTTTTCTTAAATTGAAGAATGTAGACATAGTAAGAGAAAACTTCTGATTTATGTTCGATTCACCTCAAAGAAAACAATTTGTCTTACTGCTGTGGGGCACATTCTGCTATTCAGCCCATGAATGAAACTCACGAAAACTCTTGTACCTCTTGATTACATAGATGTCTTTGTTCACTGTTTTCAACAACTTTCAATGAGATTGTTCCATTAAATATTGATTGCTGTGAATCATCAACGATCTGCATCTTTCGCCAATAGATTGCAAAATGTATGATTTCACACTAATCATTTCTTCGAGGCCAAACTTTTGTTAGTTGACTCACTTCTTTGAAATGGTATTAGCAGACTCTAAGTTTCTTGGTTGTAAGGAGTTGTAGTTCGAACGAAAGAAATTGAAGCTCCTCCGTATCTCTTGTTGTCAAAAGCAAAGGCTTCCGAATTTTCCGTCTTCGATGTGAGGAACCACAAAATACATGGGATTGATATCGTCAGCCTGAGCTCTTAAAAAGTAAATCCATTTTTATCGTTTGATGCGCTGCCTAAAAAGTTCCACTAAGCGTTGGATGGAGCTCCTTTGTTAATTTTCTTGGCGCCATGCTCGCTTAGCAACATCTTCCCCCTTTTCGCATTTTCACGAACAAAATTATGAGGCAAGTGCGTATCAAACTCTTGATTACTCGAAAACATGACATACTAAAAAGGATCAACTGTATAACACAGCAATTGCCAAATACCGGAAAGCCCATCTGATATCATTCCAAATTCCACCTTCACCAGCAAACTCGCTTAAATTTCATTACTGCTTTGTCACTTTAAGTGAATCAGACCACAGCAGTGACACATTGGGATATTTTGTTGCATGTCGCAGCGCATGTAAACAAAACAACAAGAGCCATCCTTCAGCAAGGCTACATACTCACCAAGAAGATGCGCAAACTTCTGAAACTTTCTAACAAAGACTTGCGACGTACAACCAGTGCCACAATTGATGGACTTGACTACCACAAACATTGACGTTACGTCTTCCACATAATATCCAATCTATGGTCTTTGGGAAGTTGATTCTAGAATTCGAACCCTATGTTTACTTTCGAGGCTTTGTGAAGTTTCCCAGAGTATCTCGGAATTGACGCTCGCCATCCTTTTCACTTCGACCGTGAACACACCTCACAGTGCACCCACGCCTTTTTTTCGTATATAGCACCCTAAAGTAGTTGTTTCCGAAGAGATCACCAGATTCTGCAGACTCATCTTGCCAACCCGCGAGGCAGTTTGCAAAAGTTTTATAGAAATCAGAAGATCATTTCCTCAATTAACGTGAAAGTTTCATATCGTCAATTGCCATCTCACAGCACTTTTATAACGCTAAGCTTCTTGATAACGCTAGTCAACTTTAGCGCCCTTTCCTGGTCTCTTCCCGGACAATTCAGAATTTGATATTCGCTTAAACGCCAAAACGTCACAACAGGTGAATAATTCATGGCAACAACATCACCACGCATAGAATGTGAAAATTTTGTTCCATGTCGCACCGATAACTCCAACGACATGCCTTCCACGAGGCTATGGATGGGCAGTAGCGGAGGTGTTTGGATATGGCAGCCTCGCCGGAGCTTCCAAAGGGCGAAAAGACGCTAGTTTCCTCAATATCAAATTCACCGAAGGTGAATACAACCATTAACACGTCAACCTTTTGTTGTATATCGCACCGCTAACTACAACCACCTCTGTTCCACGAGGCTACTATATCAAGCGTGCTTCTCTCACTATATGATAGACAGCCTCGTCTCGCTTCCCCTGATGAGAAAGCCGCTATTTTCTACAACAGCAAATTCCGTTAAAGGTGAATGCAACTACATCATCCCGCAACGAATCCAGATTTTGTTGCACATCGCAACAGAGATCCAGACGTTCAACTTCTGCAAGGCTACCATTGAAAATCTCACATACCCTCAAGCCTCGTCTGCCGTCAAGTGATTCCCGTCACGTCGCCGTAGCCACGTCAATATCAAAATGTAAACATAGCAACAGTTCACCGCGATACTTGAGTTTTGTTGCATGTCGCACGCGTCTGAAAACGAAAACATCTTTCCGACAAGTCTACAAAACAGAGCTCCTTATCACTAGTGTGGCCTTGTGCCAGAAAAGTCTTCCATCCCTCCGCACCACCTCCGATGTATGTGAACATAACAAAACGCGATCACTTCACAATAAATTGGGTTTTGTTGCACATCGCACGCGTTTGAAAGTACCAACACTCTTCTTCTAAGTCTAACATCTATAGCTTCACATCGCTGGTGTTTACTTACCGAACGCGAGATCTTTCCTCACTCCACATCCCCAATTTTCTCATTATGCAAAACGCGAACAATTCAGCAGGACACGACACTGAAGTTTTGTTGCACATCGCACGCGTCTGAAAATAACCAACTTTTTCTCATAGATCTGCGAAGTCTTTTGTTTACATTTCTGGCGTGGACCTCTCGCTTCAAAGTCATTCCTCACTCCGCACCCCTAATTTCCACTATAACACAACAAAGTAAAATGTACCTTACCAAAACGATTGATTGTTAACAAAATACAGGCAATCAAGGATCCAAAGACCATTCTAACAGCGCTACTGGCCACTTATATTTTGATTCCTGGCCATGTCTTCTCGTTTCTCCTCTCGTAAATAAAAGTATTCCTCCATTCCCCACCACAACAGATATCAATACCGCACACAACACTTGATTCGTTGTTACATGTCGTAAAATATCACATGTATACTTAGTATCCTACAAGTTTACGGCATATTTCTACCGTTTCATCACACACATATTAACCTCGACAGCTTATTTCCAAGTAAGGCCATGCCCTTAAATCCACTACAACAAAAGTGAATACATCACCACAACACTTAAATTTTTGTTGCATATCGCAATGCGTTATACAAACGTCCTTTATCTTGCAAGGCTCCATTGCCTCGCTACACTTCCAGCACATATCCCCACCTCGTCAGGCCATCCGCGTATAAAATCTTGCATCAATCTCCACTACAACAACCGAAGGTGAATTCACCACACTACCACATCTGTCCACTCAGATTTTTGTTGCACATCGCACATCCCATTCCAACGTCTCTCTTCTCGCAAGGCTGTAGTATAAACTGTCTTCTCTTACAAGACTCGCAGCCTTGCCTCCTCTCTCCGTCCTCTCCAGCAGTAGTTATATCTCTCTAATACACAAAGGTAAATTCACTACACTATACACGTTATTTTAGAGATTTGTTGCACTTCGCACTAACCTTATTTTAACGACGAAGGTCTACATATATCCCATATTTCCTAGTACTTTTATCCTTATCTACCGCTCTAGGTACTTGATATTACAACTATACCTTACTCTAGTTTATGTTTACTACTATATCTCATCCTCGTTATTTGTTATACATCGTACTTTCTATCCTAAGCTAACAGCCCCTAAAATTCTCTACCCTCTAACATATAACCGTTTTATAATATATCGCGCTTTCCATTCTAGACTTTCAAGGTCGTTAAGGTAGACTAAGTAATCTCCAATCTCCCTTCACTTCCACGCCCATCTCACTCCGCACACCCAGTATCAAAACCCCACCTCCGTCAAAGGTGAATTCACTACTTCCCCTCATTCATAACCCTACCTCCGTTTTGTTGCATATCGCACCAACCTTATTTCAACGTCGAAGCTCCACTTGTAGCCTCTAATTCCTTCCCATCTCCCCCCCCCCAAAAAATGAAACCCACACTCCCTCAAAGCTCATTCCACCCTTTCCCACCCTAACCCCTATACCCTACATCTTATTACACATCACAACATCCTACTCCAACCTCTCACGTCTATACAACCTCCTATCTTCCTCACAACCTCCCAGCTTCCATCACCTCCACCCCCATCTCCCTCCCCACACCCCAACCTTCCATCTCCCTCAAAAGTGAACTCACCACCCCTCTCCGCGCCCACAACCCCAAATCCCTGCTTTTGTTGCACATCGCACACCTTATTTCAACGTCCAACCTGCATGTTACTGGTTACCTCATCACTAGCGTCGCGACTCGACTGCTCGAGAGCCCCATGACGCAAGTCCGATAGAATATCATATCTTTTGTTGCATATCGTGCAAACCTTACTTCAACGTACAGTCCCACGCTGGTGTCCTTTCACTGGGGTGGTGGGAGAGGCTGAGCATAGATCGATGTCGTGTCGGGGATGGTTTGAGGTTTGGAAATTCGTTTCTGGATTTTGGTCAGTATGATGACGAAATTCGTGGAATAGAGAGACGTACTTTTTACTATTAAACTAACATTTTGCTTTAAAAATAGGGCGTCATGATTTGTATACAAACATGAAGCTATCAACCACCCAATTCCCCCCACACCTATCTCAACGTCCCCCTCTCCCCACTCCCCATCCCCTTCATCATCCTAACCCTCTCCTCCCTAATACTCCTCCGATTCTGCAACGGAACCTGATAAGCCTTCTCCCTCCCCAACGTATGGCCCTCCCAGAAATCCTCATCCAAAAACGTCGCTTGGCGCTTCGCCTCCTTCCTCCTCCTCTTCTCCTTTTTAACCTCCATACTCTTCTTCCTCGCATCGATATCTTTGATCGCTTTCAGATTGAGATTGCGTATCGTTTCCACGACCCAAGTTTTGCTGTTCAGAATGAGCGAGTTGAAGAATTTGTGTGTTGTGCTGAAGAGCTTGCGCATCCGTGTTGACCATGCGACTATGAGGGCGAGGGTGATGATGGTGAAGGAGGCGGGAATAGAGATGATGCCGATAGTGCGGAGATGCAGGAAGGTACCACCTCCCCATTCGCGCGTGTTCATACCAAAAAGACCGGTGAAAAATGTTAATGGCAGGAAAATGACTGTGAAGGTTGTAAAGATCATTACCGAGCGTGACTGGGCGGACGCAAGATCTGCTTGGAGGCGAGACAGACGAACTTCATCGACTTGAGCTTGTCGTTGGACCATTTGAAGGAGTTTATCGAACTGTGATTCCATTAGAGAAGGTAGAGTGGGAATAATGGAAAACGACCTACATCTTCTCTCGTACTTTGAACGTGTTTGATCATTTTTTCCGTTTGGCTAGTATACTCTTGCAGCTTCTCCGCTGCTTGTTCCAAAAATGGCAACCCGTTATGAGTAAGGTGTTTGAGCTCATTACTCTTGTAATGAGTGGTCATATCTTGGATCGCCTTCGCTTGTATCTCAAAGAGCTTCGCTAATGTTTTCAATTCGTCTTCGATATCACGAAGCTCCAACAGAGCAGAAGTGTTTTCTCGGTTTTGTTTCTCGGCAAGTTCTCCTTCGAGCTTGTGTTTTGCTCTGATATTTGTAGTCCTAACAGCATCATCGTGGTCTATTGCTTTGTCTCGAAATCCGAGCGCACGGAAGCGTTTAAATGAATTAGTCATCTTCTCGGTCTGATATTTTCTTGTCAGTTTATCTTTCTATACGCACGAATAGATGGCAAAGGAAGTTGATTAGAGTATTTCATGATGACTCTGTAGCCAATATGCTACATAGTCCTGAAAGAGAGCTTTGAATCCGGTAGTGTTCGACTTACAAGAATACTAATAGCTTCCTCAAAGATACGGAATATTTCCAGATCTGGGTGTGACGAGCGTTCGAACAAAACAGTGACAGCATGAAGCGCAAGTAGTGCAGCAAGATCCCAAGAATTCTCACATCTTGCAGTGAGATCCGCATTAACCTCGTTGAAAACGCTGTTTCGTAAATCGGCCTGCTGGTACAGTCTTCCGTCGGTCGACAGAGCTTCTCTCTGCAGTAAGTGTGAGTAATCGGTACCTAGAGACAAAAGACATCATACACGATAGGATTCTAGAAAAACAAACCTTTGAAAAGAATGACACTGCTGTCTCTGAATATATGGTCAGTTGGTGGAGCTTATGATGGTGAGCGGGATAATCCTTACCATTATCCATAACCCACAGCCATACCTGATCAACCATCAACACATTACCATCAAGCACATCGTTTTCCGGCTCATCGTCACTTTCACTGCCACTGTCATCTGAATCTGGCTCAGCCACCGAGCCAGCAGGAGAGTCTCCAGTTCCTTCTTGATGCTCACTCTCCTCATGCTCCTTCTCGGTCGCATAAGTATACATGGAATCATGAGGATGATTGCACCTCTGTTTCGTCATTTTGTACAGCATTTGATCGTCGTCTCTAGCACGTGTATCAAGCAATCCAGGGTATCCAAACTGGTCTAGGGTTCGTCGAGAATTGACAGGAGGATCATGACCAAGGAATTGCCAGAGTATTTTAAGCTCTAATGAGTCTAACGCGGCAATCTTCTTTGGAATAGGACGAGCTCTGCCCTGCTTGAGACGTGATTTTATTAAAGCTCGTCTCTTTACCAAAGATTTATAAGTGTCAAAATGTAAAAATGGGAGGAACAAACACATCTGTGTTGGCTTATTGTGAGGGGAACTGCGTCTGCTGGCGGGTGGAGATTGACTAGGGGACACTGCATCACGAGAATTTAGCCTTAAGTCTCGCGGCAATGGAAACAGAATACTAACTAGTTTCAGGACTGATGAATGAACAGCCTGGTTTTACAAAACAAGCGTGGTGTTCAGCGTGCCGACCACGAACGTGTTTTGATTTCCAAAACTCAGTACTCATCAACTTCTCGTGGTGACTTGGTCCTTTTTCTACAGATATTGTTTCTAGTATGTCCTACAAATATGATTAGAGATTGCTTTACATTGCCATCACGAAGCTTACATTGGCCCAGCTTGGGTTGTTATATGGAACATGCACCCATACCAATTTCTGGTTCTTGATATCTGGCTTGAAAATTGGTACTGAGTCAGTATCCAAGGCAGCTCTCTCACTTCCCCTGCGACCACGAGGTGAGCTTGTCCGAGGGAGTGTTCCTGGTGTCAGTAGATGTCGTCCAACAGGAGATTCGCTGTGCCTTCGAGGCTGGTTCATTCCACTTATTGAGATGCTACCTCCTCTTTCGGGCTCCACAATAAGCGGTGTCCCTTTGAAGTCGGTGGTGAGTCCAAGGCCTTTGTTTTCCAGCTTTTTACTTTTGCCTTGCATTGGTGCATTGTCTTCCGGTCTACCGGGCCTGGGCTCGTTGTCTTCGTCGATCTCTTGTTGAAGCCGTAGGATATCCGAAGTTGTCGCCCGCTGCTTAGCCTGTAGAGATATACTAGTGAGTAATGTTTCGTCGCTATTTTCACGTAAAAGAGCGAAATCGAGAGGGATACGTGAGAGAATCAGTGAAACAAACGAAATCTTCGACTTACTGCCGGTCTTTCCTTGCTCTTGTTTCGACGTGCCCGTTTACCACTTCCACCAGGTATCAACAGACTTGAATTTTGTCCTGACGCACCAAACGGATCCACGTTGAATTTAATGGCTTTATCACTGTCAACTGGCTTCCCTGGAAGTAGCGATGCTGCTCGAGTATGTCGTCTCAAGTGTTGCGCTTCAATAGGAGGTGCTTCGTTTTCGGCTAACCGCTCTGCTAACAAAGCAGCTGGACCATACCTTTTGAAGTCGCTCAGCGACCTGCCAGTGGACCATAGCCGGATGGGTACTTCAGTCCCATAGATGAAAGGAGTACTCTCGTAAAAACCGATGATCTCTACTCGGACGTGTTTTTCGAGCTGTAATGTGGTATGTGCAGTTTTACTTAGCTCAATAGCTTTCCTCACCGCGTGAGCAAGCTCTGCCAAGTATGATCTTTTGGTCTGCTCGTTGTCTTCGAAAGTTCCGCAATGCGCATGATCACTTATTAAGGGGAACACCACTTCATGTCGGAGATTTAAGAGTGCAGATTTGATGGACGTAATAGGCGCGTGGAAAGCAAACTTGGCCTCCTTATCTTCCGATTGCGGATCGGTCAGATCAGTATCAACTGTTTCAAAAAAGCTCCATATTTGCATGTCTGTCGCAAGCAGTTTAAAGCTTGTATCAATTAGGTTCAGTACTTGGTTGTCTAGCAACAGTGCTTTGGCAATCTTCCTAGGCATTAAACCGCCGAGATTCATGATTTCAGCAATCCTAGCCGAATAATTAGGGTTGGACAAATAGCTTGAGCCGCGATGTGGAGTTGCTGATATCTTTAGCAAACGGCAATCTTCCTTGGTGGTGTTTATGGATCAACGTACCAAAAAAAGAAACGCCATAACAGTGTCCGAACACTGAACTCTTGCAGCTTCTTGCTTCAATCAAGGCTAACTTGGCAATAAGCCCACCAGTACTATGGCAAACGAAAAACAGAGGACGTTCATCTTTCTGATAAAGTGTCAGTAAATATAATGTACCACCAGTCCACGAAGTAGCAAATGAGGCCCTTGATAGAAGATATCACAAGGATTCATGCTACTGTGAACACCTCAGAAGCATTGCACCGGCACAACAGTTCAAGTGAGTTTGCCTTGCAAAGCATCGGACTTTCTCAATATTAGAACAATTCTGTGATAGCGCAGTAAAACGTGAGAAAGCAGAAGAAGAATAATCTTGCCTAATATCTTTGGGGCAGTGGTTTCACAACACACCGAGTGAAGTCTTCTATCTTACCTCCGTTGCGCGTAACTGTTCAATGGTACGCAGTAGCTGTATTGCCAGGCCCTTCAAAGTATGCTCGCTGTCAGGCGAGCCATGATCATATAGTAAGACTCTGGCCTTCTGAAGCTGTTTCTGACTACGTATACCGTTCAAAATCCATGCGGGTTCTGGTTTGTGATGCCCAGATCGAGATGTGGAAGCCCTTTTGATATTTTTCGGATAAGCTGCCGAGATGTCGCTCATTTCTAGGAAGCTTTTCTGTACCGGATTGGGCTTTGGAGGTGCTTCCAAAGCATCTGGAAAATACTTGGCTCTCGGTGTCCATGTTTGTTCTGGATCTCCATATATTGCCGGAATGGCAATTATGCTTTCAAATCAGCAAGTGCTCTTAGGAACAACTCAAGTAACATACTCGACCTCGGTTGGCCATTGATTGCTTCGTACTGCAGGCTCACGCTTCACGAAGCTTGGTCCTCGTTTGGCAGCACTCCCATTACGGTCTGACGGATTTGTGCTTGATGGTCCACCATTGAGTATCAATGGGGGTAGGTCGGAGTTAGCGGTTGAAGGCGCTTCAGTAGTGGGACTTGCGTTGGCAGACGTGTTGTTCGTTGCGCACTGGACAAGAGGAATACCTTGAGCCTCGGTATCTTGTGTTTCAGACATTTCAGACAAGGCACGAATTGATTGGGGGCGTGAAGATGTCATTGAGCTTGGAACGGCTGGTCACTCCCCAATGTATGGATACAGATCGATACCGTTAAACGTATTCGATTGATGCGATATCACCAAAGACGGTGGATCGAAAGCTCCCAGGTCAGCGACGAGAGATCCTTATTACTTGGAAGATTGACACCACATGCAGCAATCCACAAGGCTACGGATCGTGCCATCGCGGCTGGTGTCGCTGTCTAGATTTGTCCCGTCCTTGAGGCTCTGTACAAGGATATCGAGGAATTGGCATCTTCAATTGGACAGTGGCGTAAGTGTGACCATTACGCAAATTGACACCCTCGACGATATGACCGGCTGATTGGTGTAAGAGCGAGGACATGCATGCAGAACTATTGGTGGATATGATGTGGCTGTCTTGTCAAAAACTCAAGGAGAACACTATTAATAGAAGGAATAAAATGGCTTTTTGAACAGAAAAGATTGATCTACCAAGACGCTTCATCAGGCTTTGAAGACCCCAGACTTTAAGTCGCGTTGATGAAGTTGAGAAAGGGGGAGCGGATTAGAAAGAAGTGGCCCAAGCGTTTACCCTCAGCTTCGAACGTGTCACATGACTTGATAAAGCGTGATTTTTCTCGACTTACAAAATCCTAACTTCTCAGACGATAAAATTCTAGGAGAATTACCTAACCTATAAGTAAGAACAAGGCTGTAAAACTACTAATTCAATACATACTATAATTTCTTAAATATATTCTATATACAGTTACTACCCTTATAACTATCGCTAAAGAAGTTGTTATTCCCAATCCCTTGAGAATCATGGAAACCAAATCGTCTCTACATATCTTGCTGTCTACGGTCTACCTACAGTTCTGTTCTGTTTAAACTGCATAACTTAACATCCAAATGAAGACAGGAAGTTGTTTTAACACGATTATCTCGAACACGACCTATGCCAATCACATGAACCTGTTATTCAAAAAAGGCAATATTGATGTGTATGAACAGTTTATTATTTCTCCTCTTCTTATCTAATGCACGCCAATACATAGCAATCTCCCAAATGCAAACAAACTTTGAACCTCCCAATATAAACTCCAGACTCCTCTTTTCCCGAGAGAACCGGATATCACAATATGCTCGCTAATTGAACATGGACCAAATCCACAAAGAAATCCCTTCCTCCTTCTCTTTAAACAGAAACCTTCTCATTACTAATCTCATCGCTTGCGCTCGCGCTTGAGCTTGAAGGCTGATGACGCTGCTTCTTCTCACTGATCGCAGCCTTCACATTGGTCGTTTGAGCAAAGTAGTCGTGGACCTCGCGAGGGAACTCTTCGTCGACTTCGTTGCCGATGCCTTCTTCCGAGTCCATTCGTTCGGCTTGTCTCTCTGCCCACTCTGTGCGGAGATCGTTGACCTTGGAAGAGTAATCGAGCTTAGGGTCGTAGTGTTTGCCGGCGCCGCGCAGACGTTCCCAAATGGAGAGATGGCGTGGGTGGACTGCGATACCATGGTACTCCGATTCGCGGCCCTCACGGATGTACGTGAATCTTCGTTCTTGCTCTTTGAGATCGAGACCAGTGGTATCTGGCAGGAACAAGAAGGTGACAATCATTCCTGCAAGTCCAAACCATGGAACGACGTAGAATTTCGTTTGTGTGTCAATGTAATTGTAGAGCACTGCAGCGGTAAGAGCACCGAGTTTGCCGACTGCAGCAGAGAACCCGTGAGCAGACGCACGAACTGGTGTTGGGAAGACTTCAGCTGCGACAAGGAAGGTGGTGGAATTTGGTCCGAATTGGTTGAAAAATGACGACAAAAAGTACATTGCCTGGAATGCCTTGATGTGGCTTGTTTCCAATGCATAGTATTTGTAGTGGAATGCCGGAACAACGAAGAGGACGAAATCCATGAGGAAACCAAGCTGTTGCATACGCTTTCGTCCAACGAATTTAATGTCGATCAGGAAAGATGCCAGGTAATAACCGCAAAGCGAAACGCCGACATTGACCAAGTTCCAAAGCCATCCGGTCATGATTGACTTGCTGCCTGGCGAAAGAACGGCAATAAACTGGGACTGGAAGAGCTTGTTTCCGTAGAAAAAGACATCGTTGCAGTACCACGCACCCGCGGTAGCAATGAGTCGTCCTCCAAAATGGTTGCAAGTCAACTTCAGAGATTGCATATCGTAACCTGTGACACTGGACCTCTTCTTGGCAGCATTGAGCGCCTTGGAGGCGAGGGGCATCTTGTAGTATCGGTAATACACCAACCAAAGAGTTCCAACTGCAGGAAGTGCGAAGGAGACTCGGAAGGTCCATTGAGCAGACACCTTCGAATATGGTGGGTTTCCGCTTCCATGGTGGAAGCACAAAAGTAAGATGATTAAGATGACCTGATTAAAGAATTGTCCCCATCCTTGCATCAAGAAAGCCATGGTAACTTTACGGCCACGGTGAAGACGATCATCGCGGGTTGAAATACGGCCAGATCCAGTCGCGTTTTCCATTGCCGCTGTTGCTGTCATAGGATATTCTCCACCGACACCAATACCGTAGAAGAAGAGAGCCCAGCAGTAGCAAATGACCCAGCCGTTCAATGTTGTTCCCCAAGATGCAACAAGCATCAAGAGCCCAACAAACATGATCAAGGCATCTTGAATGAGACCCCAGCGACGACCGATACTGGACGGAATTAGTTAGGATATTCAAACATGCAAGCGGATCTGATTCTCTTACCCGTCTCCCAAAGCTCCAACAAGGATTTGGCCAACAATAATACCGCAGACCTCGAGGTATTGAACTGCTTCGACCCAGGTTCTGTTGCAATCGGAGTATGTTTTCCAGCAAGTAGGCCACGCCGCGGAGAATAATGGAGTCAGATTACCAATGGAGAAAAGAACGTAACTGCAATTCTGTTAGAACATATAGCTCTCCAAGTAGAATTGGTTGCTTACCCTTCAAGACCAAGACCAGCACCAGGTAGAACCGCATTACGGAAATACCAGGCAATTGGACTCAATGGATCTTTCTTGGTCATTGACCCGATCGCTTTCAATTCTTTGGCAGCTTCAGCGTTATCGACGGAGGCATTGAACTTCATCTGTTGACCAAATGGTAAATCTGCCCAATATGTTCCATCTGGGGTATGGGTGTCGTCAGGATAGATTAATTGCTTCATAATTCTCTCTTCGTCTGCTTTGTCTGGGACACCTCGCATTGAAAGATGGTCGTCGCCGGTTTCAGGACCGTGAGGTACACCGATCATACCAATGTTGGTAGGATTGTGGTGGTGATGGCGATGAATATTTTCTGCCATCTTGCCGGTTGTCGAGACTTGGACTTTTTGTAGATGGCCGGCTCGTTGCTCGAGCTTCGATGTCTCACGACAACGTAATTTCGCAAAGGCGAGGGGGGGACGTAATATAGGTGTACAAGTGTCTGGCAAGAAGCAGGAGGGAAGGAAAGAGAAGAATTTCAGGTCACTCTGGGGGTAGAAGTAGTTAGGAGAAGTGGCATGTGGACTTGGAGGGGAAGATAATAATGGGCTCGATGTGGGCAGGGACTTCGAGGTAGACGAGTTCTGGGATCATGTCTAGTTGCCATCGGAGGAAAGAGCTTTTTATTCGCACATTAGCGGGGAGCAAACAACGTATTTGATACTCAATCAGGAGTAGTGCAGACGATCTTGTGGTATAGCTTGACGACTGGCAGTGGGACGGGTCTACAAAGTTGTTCTGGATGTGATAGTGGGGTGGTGGGGAGCATCGGTCTGTCTGCGGTTTGCCTACGCTGCACTATGCCGAGGGCAAGCATCATACCAAGCACAAACGAACAGGAGATAAAGCTTACAAGTCAAAGGCAACGCAAAGTCGATGCTCGAAATATTATGATAAAAATAATTTTAAAAAGCTTGAGTATCAGATATTTGCTCTTTGCCTCTTTTCTCCCAAAAAGAATTAAGCATCATGGCTGATAAAGAAGCCTTAAAAGGTACTGTACCCTTTTCGGATCGTTAGCTAAACCGCCGTCTCGGCAACTAAGCTTCTTAGCTTGCCTCGAATTTTCGAATTTTCTCAGACCCTCCAACAAATCTGGGCGAAGCTGGTGCAGTCTGGCTTACGGTACCATTATTCACCGTACCGGCGCGACCGGCTCAACCTCCTTCTTTCCTACCAACGGCCTTTGAGATTGTAAAGACAAATAACGTCTCGTCAGCCGAAGTACTTTTACTACACTCGTCGCTTAATCTTTGCTGGCATTCTCCGCACCATCCAGGACGACCCATGGGTTCCGAGATGGCAAGGATTAGATAACACGAGTCTCTGCCAGCTGGTTTGAATATCGGAAAAAGTAGCTCCATTTCAGTATGCGGACTGCGCGGGATGGTCATTGAAGTAACCATGCGTGGAGAGAGTACACCCACTGCGACCGTTTTGCTTGTACTCATGTCGCAATTCCTACGTATACTTTGCGCGGGGTTTCAATTCTCCTCACAACTATCTCGATATCTTGAAATGAGGCGTATGATACGTCATAAGCTCTAATCGAAGATCGAACACAAACAAACGGTTGCGCCGCCGTTTCCGTACCATGGCATAGTAAACCTCGGAGAATGGTTGACAAGACCGACGAAGCTTTCCAAGAACGCTCGAAGAAATTCTTCGCCATCTGGGCGTTCCAAAGAAAGTTGAAAGGGGTCGTTGCATCTCAGCCTATCATTTCACCATGTGTTTGTTTGCTTGGTCTTCGACCCCAGAGAAGGTCCCTGCAGCACAACAAGCTAGAAACGCCTGACACCCCGCCATTTCTGCACGTCTCTGCAGGCATCCCGGGTCCGCGTACCTTGAGGATCATCTGGAGATGCCGAGCATGGCCCATCAATGTTCTTTGTCGGATGGTGAGTGGAAATGGAAATGGAAATGGAACAAGTGACATGAAATTACAATATCAACTGTTTCTCTAACCAAAACAGGGGAAACATCAAAATCTTACTGAGCAGAAACCATGCATTTCAAACCATTCCTAGTACCTGTCATCGAGACTTGTTGAGGTGTACAAATCGAATCCGACAGATTCCTGATTAAGCGAGATTCTCGAATATGCAACTGTCGAGAGAAATCAAGCCCAGCAACAAAGAAATGTCAACCTTCAACAAAAATCATATTGGAAGAGAGCACCATACAATAGTTATTTCAAGAGCGTGTTCAATCTCTGATTTACAATTCGATATCCTCCAAAACAGGGTTACTCATCCTTAATCCTCTTCCCGCAAGACGAAAACATCTAAGACTGATGACATGAATTTCCAGAACTATTCGTACTCGAGTATCTTCGAATGTATCTCTCTCAAAGCACAATGATGACATCCACCCAAACAAGCAACATCCTACGCCGTCGTGCTCAGTAAGGCTTATATCCCATTCCAAACCCCCGGAACCGAAACACCTCCACGTGTTGCTATCTCGCCTCTCATAGGTCCATCCCAACAACATCCAAACATTCAACATCTCAAATCTCCAAATCTCCCATCTAATTCGCCCTCCCATACTCATAATCCATCCGAAAATTCCGATATGCATGACTGTGAATCGGCGCTGCATCAATCTCCAAGCCACGCTGCTCATTAATGTCCGGAAGTGGCAAGGGTATAGTGTATCCATGTTCATTCTTGGACAGGTTCACGGCAGACAGGACGCCACTGAAAGCTTGATGGGTGTTTGGCGGGCATGGGCTGGGAGAAAGGCGTGGTGTGGTGCTTGGCGGTGAGTGGTTATTTTGACGACGTGTGTTGATGTTTGGGGGATGGGTGATGAGTGTTGATCTTGCTTGATCTAGTGGATGGGAGATTGAGTTCGTGGAAATTGCGAGGAGAGATGAGAGGGTTGTTGGATGAGAGTTACTACGCAATATGGACTGGGTCGTGTTTGCTCTTGAATGACTATGATTAAATGATATTTTCATATCACTAATGACGCATGGATATAGAAGCGGCTAGATTTCTTACTGATTCCAGTGCAGTGAACTCCTTGATCATTCTCTGGGTCCGCCATCGGTCCGCCACTTCACACAGCGTTTTACGACTTTATAACAGTTAAGTAAGCGTAGGCACTATTTACCTATCAAGTAAGTATGGGGTAACCAGCGTCTTCTTTGCTACTCGGAATTGACAGTGTTTCTGTAGGATATGCTAGTTTCACAATTTATCTGAAACCAAAGCAGAGCGTCCAGATCTCATCACGGATAGGTGATGCAAGACAAAGACAACTGCTTTTTTGGCTTATCCTTCATCAGAAACGTAAGGTACAAACTCAAACAGAATGACATTACTAACATCATTATATTACCTCATTCCCTCTCATTCGATGCTTTAAAGATATCTTATTCCCCCATGACGGTTTCCATCTATTTAAAAACACCAAATCACTCACCTACACCAGTAGACTCTCGTGACATGCCTACACTGGCGATACAATGAGAAGGGAAAACATTTCATCCACTAAGATGGATGTTTTACATCGAACGCAACAAAGAATTTTAAAAAGTAGTTTCCTTTCGGTAAAGGGTAATGCCCAAACCAAGTCCTCTTCACTTGACAAGCAAATCCCATTCCGATGCAAATGACAACAAAAATGTCAGCATTATAGAGCAATGTCAGAGTTAATAGAAGTGTTAGAACAATATCATACAACAAGAGAGCTCGTCAGATAAAAAACAACCCCTGATATTTCCTCGCTTAACAAACAATTACAACAACTGTACCCCACTAAAGTTCAAAAACATACAACAGCAGGTATTCGCTGGTGGTCACCCACCCAACTACTAACCCGCCGACTTGTGGCTTATGGATGGCAGAGCGGACGGGATGCCCAGTTAGTCCACAATCTATGGTCGTATGTAGAGGTGTGTTTGATTTTGGTGGCTATATTCATGGGGCTAGGGAATTCATAGAGCTGGGGGCTTGGGTTGTTGCAGTATGGAACTTGTGAGTAGACGATTATTGGATTAGGGGCTGGAAGTATAATGGGTTTGTGGGGCATAGTATATAGAGATTTTTAGAGATAAGAGCGGTATTTGGGAGGATTTAGGGGGGATGGATTAAGCGAGAAATAGCGACAAAGGTTAGGGGTTTCGTTTATTAGGTCTTTTGCGAATAGTGTCTTGTTATGTGAAAAGTTAATACTCATTAGACCGAAAAACTATGTTATTTCGAATTTTCATAATTTGCTAGATTGTTAATATTAAGCGATTTCTCTTTAAATTCTTACTCTTTTAGGAAAGCTCTCGGCTATATTTTAGTAATTATCTTTATCTCTATCGTTTATTGTAAATAATTTCAGTATATTTTCACTTGTTCTATAGTAGTATTCTACTATATCTTCTATAAGCGGCTAACGTTAAGTAAAAATTAGGGAAATTAAAAGTTATAGCTAACTTATATTATTTTGCCCTCGTATATCGAAGTATTTAGTATTATTTAGCTTTCTCTTATACTCTATATCTATTTATTCTTAATATCTATCTTCTTTTACCTTACCTACATCCCTCTTTTATCTCACTATCACTTTCACTATTTTCACTAGTATCTCCCTCACCTTCACTCTCTCTCACCTAGCTCACATTCCTCCGTTACAATCCTTTTAAATCCCCATGTACCTCTCCAATATACCGACAAGGCTAAGCCTTCCCCTCCTCAACACACAAAAATGTCAGCCTCGTCAGAAACACGACGTTGAAAGTGCGACATGTAACAAAAGGTTTACCTTCCCCAGGTGATGTCATTTGTGGTTGTTGTGGTGAATTGTAGGTGTAGGTATTCACCTTTGAGGACCCTGGAAGTGTTTAGCGAGATAGTGGGACAGGGGATAGCGATGGAGGGTGAAAGCTGATGGAAGGGTAGCGATAGTGTGTGATTGAAGTTATGCGAAGAAACTTCTGCTGGATACTTTTAGTAGCAGCCTGTAGAAAACAAAACGCCAATAGATGCCAAGCTCATTATTGAAAGCTGAGATTGGGTTCGATTGAGCATAAGAAGATTGGAGTGAGGGGATGCCCAGTGCAATGTTAGATTTTCAGAATTGACATAACTGGTACTTTATAGACTCAGAAGATCGACCTTTCTTTGTAGAAATGAATATAACTGTGCTTAGAATTGCGAGGAGAGTATGCTGCTGCACAACAATTTCCTAGTCAAATAGTTGTTATTGGATAATGTGATTCGCAGATGGATGTATATGGGATGTTGCGGTTATGGATTTTGATATTGGAACAGGTGGCTGTAAAGCAGCTGAGTGTCGTAACCAGTCTGAAGATCTTGCTCGAGGTTAACACTCTCTTTCTCACCAAATGTCAAAAGGCGATTTGGATGTTATATGATTATCTTTTTATTATTACTACAATTATATATATGTATATACACACTTAATGCCAAGAGAAGGACGGCCATCGCGTTCCAGCCAACACACAAATCGTCTAATTTCATAACCCATTACCTCGTGAGCGTTATTGTATTTATATCCCTATCAAATTCGCCTTCTCAATAATACTGTTCCCCTTTCTTCAATTCACTAACCGTATTCGCCAACCCAACAGCCACATGTCCCCCTTCAGAGCCTCTCCCTCCTATAACGCCAAACATCAACTTCACATCTGCAATCTCGTCGGGCAGCGGTTGGGCTACGAGACCGTGACCCCGAATGAGTGTGTCTAGATCCTCGTTTCGAGTCGTCATCAAAATGCTGGAAAACGAGCTGTCTGAAGCTATTCCGTTGACAGTAAATGCGTGAAACCCGATTAGGACATAGGCAATTGTTATTGCCGTCGCGACGCCATAGGTAACGAGGAGATTTCGGGGGTTGTATTTGTATCTAGCTTCTAGAAACAAGGCTGTAACCGGTACCGTAGTGTTCGTTCTGGAGAAGTCAATTATGTGATACATGAGCCTAACAGGGTCACTGAGCGCGTCGAATGGACCAAATTTGATTGCACTCACGTAAGTTCAGGTACAGTGAACATGCTTAAAGTAATGTTCCACGATAGGTCTTCAATAGCTCTTTCCACAGTTCCATTTCTGCATGACGATGACGACTCCGTTTCTCGCTGTCTGTAGCCGTCTGGTATTGCGTTATACACTTCCGGACACATGTAAATTGCAGTTGACCCGAAATTAAGTCCAGTCGGTACATTCAGCTGAGATGCTCCTTCGTACATTTTCCCACTAATCAGGGAGGAGAAGATGTCTGCATACGCGGCGTAGGTTGATTTAGATCTGTCGTGGTCCATATCATCTGGGTATCCTCTGTAGCTATATGTGTTCATCGAATCGACACTGTGGATGATTGTTGATTGAATGCCGTTGTTGAATTGGAACTGGACATTATATGTTGCATTGTACATTTGATATGATATGTTCTTGGCTGCTGACAATTTGTTAATCGAGATATAATTAAATCCTGACCCAAGCTCTTGCAAATTGAAATCTTTAAGTACGGGGTTATCAGAGGTGATGATTCTGCCGGGGTTGATGCCGTAGTAGACACGGGCCCCAACAGCTGGAAAGCCGTGGTGTTCATTCCAGATCACAGCATTGAAGCGAACTTCCTCTGACTCAGACACGTTGCCGCATTTGTAGGCTGGCCCCAAAAATTTCAGAGGGTAAGATGAGTTCGGAAAGGGGGCGTGTTGAGCTAATACGCCCATTGAAGATGCTGATGCGAAAGCATTACGAGATGCTACAATGCTTGGAGTTAAGTAAGACCCCCAGCCTTGGGTTGAAAACCAAGTTGAGTTTCTCATGTTTATGAGTGGAACTTGGAGTTGGGTTGTGTTGCTTCTCGAGATTAACTGAACTGAAAGGGTCGCTGGCGCTACAACACTTATGATTGACATCAACCTAAAATTGTTATTCAGGCTTACAAGGAATGTCTAAAAACTTACCAATAAAGGACAGCCATTAAGAGAGTAATTTTGCTCGGGCCAAAACCTCAAGATCTAGGAAGGCTAATATACTAGTGTTTAGGGCGAAAGCATTGTCCACAGCCTTGAGACTGAGTGATCTTTTCCGAAGGACTGTCCATAAACGTTGTGTCATTGCTACCACAAGAGCAGTACAGAAAGATGCTTTTGCGAGTACAGAAATTCCAGTACCAATTCCAAGGGACCATTGTTGCCGCATTTCTGAACCTGCTAGCTGGTTGTTGAGAAAGCTATAGTAAGCGTAATGGCTTCCCGCCAGGAGTATTCCAGTGACTGTAGACCCTATCAAAGTGAACGGTGAAAGCCAATGTACGCCCCAGGCGGCCGTCCTTCCTGGCGTAGAAGATTTCCCCGACTCATTGAACATGTTCAACATAATTGTATAAGGACAGAAACAGTCAAGGGCATAGAAAGAGGCGAAGAAAAGAGTCCTTTACGTTGCGTACGCAAGGCTTTGGACGGGATGGAACCGTCTCAGCATTTATAAGGAAGAGCAACATCAAGAGTCTAAGATCTAAGATACTTTTAGGCGCGCGCGGTAATCTAGATGCATAGTTATGTTGGAATTTGAGGGTGAGCCGAGAAAGGTGAAGGGTCTATGGTACGAAAGCGACGGCTGCAGCCAGGGCCCACATGAGACCGGTTGGTGGCTGAACTGCCATCAACCCCAAACCTAATCTACACTGATCTGCCCGCTTCGTGCTTGAAACGATCCTTCGACTCGATCAGCTTTGAAAAGTAGAACATGTTATTTTCAAACGAGAGATTCGACATTTGGTCAAGAGAAACCATTTTTTCACTCGCTCGACTGTGATATCCGATCCACAAGAAGTATTAATCTTCAAGATTCTGACGGAGAACTTTAATCCCAGTAGTGGGGCATAGGAGTTGTGGTTCTCGATGGTTGAGTTATTCGCAGATAACTAACCGCCAAGAGGTCGTGTTTCGGAAACCCAACTGTTGGTGCCACAAACATAGCCTAGGTAACCAGCAACTGGATCGATGGATTCAATACCTTGCTTCTGTGCAGGCAAAGACGCGCCTTTTTATTGCGGAGGCAACCCTTGCATGAAGACTGTACGAAGGTAGAAAATTGGCAAAGTTCCATTTCTTGTGAGAAACTTGCGGATGCCAGCATTTTCATCTACGGATGAAGCATGATCTTCACGAGGTTGTCCAGCATTTTTGTTAGCAATTTCAGGTAGGAGAGGCGATATTGTGAGCGCAAAGTAAAACCAGGGTAAACCATAACTAAAGCCAAAGAAGCCTTCTGTAATTTACTCGAGGTATACAGAGTGGATGAAGATCTAATGGCTTCTCCGTATGTGGGAACGACGACTGAGGGGAGGAACCGGTATTGATTGGATCTGTCGCCTACAAAGAATTTAGTAATGCCATTTCTCTATTCTGCTGCACTTTCTCCCGATGCGTCTGGCCGGTGGCAAGCGTCAAGGTGTTCTAATACCGAGAGCAGTCTTGCTTTGATAGAGGTATTAGCTCTTTGCTTAAGTAAATTCCAAGCCTTCGAGTGAGTAGATTAAAGGTCTCGATAAAGGCCGGGCTGTCGGTACAGCAGAAGGAAAAGTCACAGACGTGCTCGTAGAGACTAAATACGGATTCCAAGATAACAAACAAAGGCTGCTGTCTATTTAGTTGAAAAAAAAGATAAGAGAGTTTGAAGTGTGTTGCACCAATACTGAGAGACCGGTTCGCAACACTGTTCTCTCGATTTTCTTAATTTCTGCCAGGAATCTTTTTGGGGTTCAGTGCTTGGTTCGTGGTGAAAGCAATTGTGTTGATGTATTGTTGATAGATTGGCTGAAAGTCAAGGAACCCCACGAGACGATTCAAGTCATCGATATACCTCGCCTGAAATCTTAATCCTAAAATAAACCAAAGTTCGGCTCGTTTACTTCAATGTGTTTCTAAATGATAAGAGGACGTATAATGCAAAGACTTATCTTGCTTCACTGATCCCCACGCGTGGTGGATAGTCTGTCGACAGTTTTTGCAACCAAAATTTCTATCATCGATAGGACGAAGCAATCTGGTCTGTTTCCTTGGCCATGGCTCATCGCCTAAAGATCTTCGACTCGTGAACAGGTCGGCTCACCGCCGAGTCTTTCTCTCATCACGACCACTTGGTAGACTCAATTGACTTCTTTCTTTCCAAGGTTCCCACTCTGCCAGATAGCCGTATGATGGCGAATAGACTTCGTAAATCTTCTTCAGCCTCGGTCTTCATGCATGGATCCTTGAATCCTCCACCATTGAATGTGTTGGTGGCGTTGTGAAGACTGAAGAATGAATAAGGAAAATTGATTAGATTTCAAGAATGAATACGATGTGAAATATGAAGGGATGGTTTTCTCGCGCAACATAGAATAGAAGGTGCATCCTGTGGTGCTCCAGAGCTTGTCCATGACCTTAATTGTGATGTTGAAGTTGAAGGTGGTTTCGCTGGTTGACAATTGCAGGAGGGCGTATTAATGCGCCACACTAACAGCAAAAGGGTGGCTGATGCCCTGGCCTGGCGGGGCAGACGGATCACAAGTTATGATTGGCTCGCAAGCAAGCTGTAAAAACGCAGCCCCATAAAATTCCCCTTTTCGTTTACATTCGCATCCAAACACTTCAGTTCAAAGAGTTGACATGAAACGACGTCCACAATCACGCTCATTTATTGACACGTTTTTGACCACCGCGACTCCGGATCTCGATATCACGACTCACATTGGCTGAGACCTTACGAAGTTCAAACATATACGAGCTCCCTCTTCCATATGAGGTTAGGTCTCCTTTTTGGCCTCGGTAGCGAAATGGTCGTGACCCTCAGCCAAAAGCCAATGACTCTGCACTTCTTTTGACGTTTCTCTGGAGATCCAGCTAAGTCCGTGTACAATTCATTATTCTGTCTTTGTCCTGTCTTTTAGAGTTCGAATCTGGACTTGGTATTATTCCCATGTTATCTCGCGAATCCTTTCAGTCTTTGTCCTATTTTATTTCTCGTCAGAACAGCAGGAACAAAGTCATTATTCATCGTTTATAAAGACTCTCGTTGCCATAAGGTACCACAGCCTATTACTACAATCATTAAAATCCTTTCCTCTCTTTTTACAAGATCACAACCACACCACTATTCTCAACACGATTACTCAACCAACAACTTACCAAATCACTATCTCCAAATATGTTGTTCAACAGCCTTACACTGGCCTTCCTCAGCGGACTGGCCAGCACAAACGCACTTGCCCTTCCCAAAGACACTTTCCACACCAAATCCCTCGTTGCTCGCAAGGCCGGGGATCAAGCGGTAACGCAGCTCCTCCAACTTGCACCAGGCTCAGCCTCATGCAACGGAGCTCCCGTCCCAGGGGAATGTAGGACCGCCGAGCAAGCAGCACCATTCCTCATCCAAGCCTTCAAAGACTACAACATCTACAACGTAAACGAGATAGCCATGATCCTGAGCTTGTTAGCCTTTGAAACAGAGGACTTCAAATACAACACCGGCTTAGCCATGAACGGAGAAACAACGCCTCCGGCAGGCAAGGGGACGAGAAATTTGCAAGATGCTGAGAACAATCTGAAGTACGCAAGATCCATCCCAGCGTTGGCTCCACAGGTCGACAAAATCACAAAAGCCACATCCGCAGCTGGTCTTACCGACGAGCAGAAGAACGCCGTTCGCGCGCTGGTCTTGTCCGACGAATACAGCTGGGCATCCGCTATGTGGTATTATACCACAGAGCCTCTATGCGTCCCTGAGAAAGCTAAGATCCAAGCTGGCGGTCCAGATGCTCTGCCTGCTTATATTAGATGTCTGAAGACCGAGCCTGCCACAAAGCGCGACGAGAAGTTAGCACTGGCCAGAGCTGCGTTCGGAATTTAAGCGGACATCACGTTGTTCGCTGGCCGAACATACTTGGCTCCTGTCTGTTTTTCTTAATATACCCGTTAGCATCGTCGTCGGAGTCATGGAGTCATCAGCATTCCTATATATCTACTTTGAATATAAATACCAGGGGGATCGACAATTAGAACACTATTCTTTGTATTTACTTATGATTATTTAACTTTTATTTCTCTTCAAAAAGTGACGACTTATGTGCCTGTTACGAAATTATCCAGAAGTATGTATACATCCCATCCACCCACACCATCAAAATAAAAACAAAAAGACAATCGCCAAGCGAATGAGGTCGCGCTCACACATCTCATACAAAGAGCATTATATAAACCAGCAAACTCCTTTGTCATAAGTCAAAATTCGCCGACAAAGCAACAACGCTGCAAAGTCTGTATTCGATCAAAGAACCTATTCTTTACTACCATGACGCTCTCTACCAAAAGCCCAAATCCACACTTTTGTAGCAAATCATCAACGTTTATTCATCTAGCTAAAGATAATCGCTAAAGTGATCAAGGTAGCTCCCGCAAATTTCATACAAAGCGCCAGAAAGAGCATGATGTGAACCACCAAACTCCTTTATCATAACTCACAATCCGCCGACAAAGCAAAAACACTGCAGCGCAGGTACTTAATCAAGAACCCCCTCCGTCGCGCAAGGCCACATCAATAACGCTCACCAAAGCCCAAACCCACAATTCCGTAGCAAACCAGATAAAAACACATCAAGAAAGTCAGAAAATATGCTGTGACTAAACGAAATGTAATCAGAGTTTTCCCTGACGAAACTTGATTCGTCGTAATCATAAACCACAAATCACACAACAAAGATACCAGCTGTATAAACATAGTGTTCTTTCTTGAACCCACAAAACTGAGTATTTTTCTTGAATGAAAATCGAGCAAGTACAAGCGCAACACTGACCATCAATTGAATACACTGAAAGTTTGTTATTTCATGGTTGATGGTATAATATTGCTCTCTTCACGTGCAATAAAACAAGCGATTGCCCATGCAGACACATGGCCGGGCCGAGTAATGAAAGCCTGGTAGGTAATGGTAATTCATTTGATAGCACACTGTCGCCTTAAATACAAGTGTGTCTGTGCAAGCGAAGAGTGTTCAATTCTTGTTCCAGTGGCTGAAACCACAACGGGGCAAGATTTGGCGAGATTGTCAATTACATTATGTCTAGAACTCAATTCGGTTTGAGGACGCGAATTCTGTGTTACTGTAGATTTCAAGGGTATCTAGATTTTTGTATGTAATCTCTCCTCCGAGCTTGGTCTCAACATATAATCTGCTGACGTTCGTCAGATAAAGTCTCCTTAATACCGACAATCCATCTCAACTGATCCAAGCTCCCTCCTACAACTCCTCCATATCATTCCTCCCCCACAACTTAACAGTACGATCATACCCGCCACTAACAATCCACCTCCCCCTCCTCTCCACATCAACCGCATGCACATTCCCCGTATGACCACTCAGACTCTGCACCAACCCCCAATCATCCGCCGAAAAAACATTAATATTCTTATCAAAGCCACTCGAAACGAAGAACGTCCCGGCTTTCTTCGGTTTCCCAGCACTAGGCAGCTCGCCATCGCCTTTATACCAGCGTAAGTCAGAGACGACGCTTTTGTGCGCGCCGACCCCGCCAGACGGCTGCACTTTGCGGACGTCCCAGCATTTGATCCAGCCGTCGCCCGAGCCCGAGAGCACGCGGTGGCCGTCGACGCCCCAGTCGAGGGCGTAGATGGGGCGGATGTGGCCTTCGAGGATCATGACTGTGCGGCCGGTGCGGAGGTCCCAGATGCGGCCTATGCTGTCCATTCCTGCGGAAGCTAAGAGGGAGCCGTCGGTGTTGAATGATAGGGCGAAGACACCTCGGGAGTGGCCTTCTTGGAGGAGGAGTTCGGTTGTTGTGGTTACGTCCCAGAGTCGCCATGTTGTGTCTTCTGAGGCCGAGGCGAGGTATTTGCCTGATGGATGGAATTCTGTCCGGCACACTCGCTGGTTATGGCCGGATAATGTAGCGAGAGGTGTGTCTTGGTCTAGTGACCATAAATGAACATTGCCTTCCGCTCCACCAGAAGCAAGATTTAACGATGATGTCGAGACGTTCGTTCCCTCAAGTGTCGCCTCAGGATGCCACGTTATCCCTCCTATCCTGTCTGTATGACCTCTCAACGTCCGGCTCTCCTCCAAATTCGGTACCGTCAATAACTTAATCCCACCCCCCCAATTCCCAGCAGCAATCATCTCTCCATTCGGCGAAAACCTCACCATACTAACCGGTCGTTCCCCCGCCATCTGACTTCCCTGTAACTCAAAGCCCTGTAACCTCTCCTTGATCTCCTTTCGAAACTTGACATGCGTCCGTAATGGTATAGTCGATTCAACCTTCTGCGTCGCAATCCGCCGTTTCGCCCTCGGTAATGAATATCGTGCTATATCTCTCCGCGCCTCAACCAACTCCGGTAACCCTTTCGTATAAAACTCCTCCTCCTGTTCTCCATTTTCATCCTCCTCAACCCCTCCCATCCGCGCATCCCCATCATCATCTTCAGCCTCATCAATCTCCGCCTGAATCGCCATTAGCTGGCGCAAACGATCTCTCCGGTCCCCTAGACCCTCGCCGAAGAGCGTTATGGGCTCGCCCATCTCCCGTAACCTGGCGCGTACTCGTCCATCGTCTGTCGGTACTGCTATCGCAGCAGCTTTTCGTTTGCGGTTGAATTGGTTGAGGATTGCGGAGGCTCTTTCAGGGGCAATACCAGCCGTGGCTGATGGCATCTCATAGTCATGATCGAGAGCTGGAAGAAGTTGTTAGTATGCTCCTGCACTTATTGTAGACATGTACTACGTACGGATATTCTGGAGATCAATACCCCTATCCTCAGGCTCTGCCTCCTCTACATAGGCCTGCCGTGAAGGATGCATGATGGGCCGTACTGCTGTATTAAATGATTGACTTTGGTGAGTTTGTAGCAGCTGTTGTTAGAGCTTGAGGTCAACAATTTCAGCCTTGCGAAATCAAGTTCATTTAATTGGCACGTGATCGTCATAAGGCTGAATGTGGGGCATCAAATTGTCTGATTGCTGTCGGACTGTCAAGTTCTCCCCAAGTAAACTTCTCGAACAAAACATCCTTGTTTCGTACTTTCACAATTCTTTCTAGAGAGAGGATATTTATCATCCAAAAAGCTCCTCCAGACGCGAATTCTTCACCTTTTCCACTTCGATGGAGACAGGGAAACCATGTATTCTCAAACCCGCGTTCTTGTCTCGACTAATAAGCTATGCGTTCTTACACGGTCAAAATTCCTGACTCATTCTGCATACTGATGCTATAACAATAAAAAAGGTATCATACACGCCCCAACTCCCCCTTCCCAACCCAAGACGCCTAAAAATGCAATTTCTCACACGAATAACATATTCCTCATACAACGAACCTTGCCTTAAAACTTCCTCACAAGCCACACCACCTCACACACACATCCTTAAAGCTGCCCTTCCCATCATAACTCCCCAGAATGCCTCCCATCCCCGACAACCTCATCCACATCACCAACCCCGTCAAAACTCTCCAGCTCATCCTTGCCCAACGTCCCCACGAAAGCGCGTTGGATAAAGGTCAACCAGACCTTATTCTTCTCGTTCCTGTGGTGATGCTTCTTCTTATGGTGCTTCTTCTTATGATGCTTTTTCTTATGTTTATCCGTTTCTACGTCGTCGTCTTCTGCGTCGTCGCTATCATCTTCGTCTTCATCTTCGGCTTCGTTGTGCTCATCAGACTCATTCATTTCATCTTCGTCATCGCTCGGCTCCTCGTCCCCAATCTCATCACTCCACTCCAAGTCCTCGCCCTGCCCCTCAACATCCTCAATCGAATCCCCCTTCCCCGGCCTATACTGTCCAATGCGATGCGCCAATCTGATATAACTCCTCACAGTCATATCCCTCAACTTAAACACGGTATCGTTAAACGTGCTATACTCGATTTCAAACGCAAAAGGCTTCGGATGCGGCACTTTATTCTTCGGGTGTTTACCCTCATGTTTGCCTTTTCGCCATTTCTCCTCGTCAATTTCATCATCGTCCGATTCAACGAGCGTCATGTTATTAATAGCCGTCAGATTAGCGAAATACTGAGTGTAACCGAGCAGCGTCAGAGATTGAGGGGAGTAGGCTGGGCCAGGTGGTGTGCCCTTTGTTGGGGCTTGGGGGACGGTGAGATTGGGGTCTGTTGGTTTTTTGCCGTGTTTTCGCTTCTTTTTGCCGTGCTTAGACTTCTTCTTCTTGTGTTTAGAAGAGGTTTCCTCGTCGTCAAGGTCCTGGCTGGTCGTCTCTTCATCATTCTCAAGTTCCTCTTCGATTTCCTCATCAGAATCCATCACATCCAATGGTGCCTCCTCATCAAGCCAATCCGCCTCCGTCGTATCCTTCGAAATCACCTTGGTGTCCGCCCAGAGAGTAACACCATCAAGGCCCGTAATGTTGTACTCGACAATACGGATAGTCGGAAAGTAATTCGGCACTACACTCGGCCCAACATTCGTGACATGAAATCTCTCTCCCCAAGGACCACCAATTTTATCAAGAAGCTTATCTTTCTTGGACTTCTTTCCCTTTCCACCCTTTCCTTTCTTGCCCTTGCCCTTTTTTGATTTCCCGCTGTGCTTGACAGATTTTGGATCCTTCAAAGCCGAAGCAGGGTTCGGCAAGTCTGACCAATTCTGACGCAACTCCTCAAGATAATCATTCGCAGATTCAATGGAAAGTTCATCATCCATGATGTCGCGGTCTTCATCAGCGGTAGATGCCCCTTCATCTCCCAAAATGGTGATTTGCTTGGTATCCTGTAACATGAAATGATCAATGTTCATATGGCCGTAGAGTCCACCAACGATGATATCACGGTACTGTCGAAGCCATAGCGTGTACTTTTGCCAACAAGTCTCGTCCCATAGAGCCTTACTATCCGTTCTCGCCGGAGGAACATGGCCCATGAGCATAACTTTCATGCCTCTTTCTCGCAAGAATTGCAACTGGATCCGCAACCACTCGAAATGTTCAAACCCAGGCTCAGAACGTAAAGTGCAACCATCAACGCCCGCATTATTCTTGAAAAAATACAACGTATTCAAACTAAAAACGGCCAATTTGTTCGGAATAACCTCCACAAAATACCAGCCCCCGCGTTCGAATCCATGTCTCTGTTCCTCGGGTATAAACTTGCTCCAGATATCCGTATAAGATTTCAACCACTTATTTGGCCCCGAGAGCAGGATATTGTGCGGCAGGATATCATTATTTCCAAACGTCGAGACGATCGGAATCGACAACGCCTTCTCAGACCCGGCATCCGCTTTAAAGGTATCCGCAAACAGCTTCGCAACCCATCGATTGGTGTCTAGCACCTCGTCTTGATTTCGCGGTATATCCTCATCACTATCATGTCGCGCCGAGTCGCCCGTCCATATCACAAAATCGATCGTATCTTTGACATTCTCCTCGATCCATTTAAACGTCGCGTTCACGAGACTGTACGGACTATCGCAATCGGATGTCTCCGCGCCATAGAACCCCGCGGGCCCCTTCCCACGATGACACGCATCTTCTTCGTCGGTCGACGAGCGCGGCTTGTAGTGAATGTCCGGGTGCAAGTCTGGGATGTCATTAGCATCGCACAAGATAAGAGATCTCGCATTTCCATGGTACCGGTTATGTGGAGGAAGCGGCCATGCAATCGTCTCGATGCTGGTTGTGGGTGGTGTGAATTTGCCAGGTCCTCCAATGGCGCCTGCAGGAGTTGCTGCTGGTTGGAGCCCGTGGGCGTTGCATATGAGATCTGGAGCAGTCGTGCTGCTATTAATATTGCGGTCGTCCGCATCGTAACAATCTGGTGTGACAATCTGGAAAAAAGAAATAAAAGAAAGAAAAGAAGGGAGGAGTAGGGTATTTCGGATGGTGGTTAGGAATAGGTGACCATTTCTCTTGTCCAGACTAAGCGTTTGTATTAGAAGGGTTTTCGACAGGCATGTAGGCCTTTTTTAGCTGTGACGTTCGTGGCTTTCGCTTCCTGGTCTGGGGAAGGAATGTCGGAGTCCAACAGTCAACATATGGACGGGTATCTCAAGCACACGCACAGATGACTCCCAACATGTATTCGAGAAGAGGAAAATGATCGTATCTCTCACTCTGGGGACGTCAGACTTTATTACCCCATCCGCGCCAGACTCGGCACGGATCCGCAGCCCTCAAGGTGTATGTCTCAGCAACAAAGGCATCGACGCCGCGAACGAAGGACCATCTGACCAATGAAACCGCCGTATACGCCAACGTGGAGAACTTCATGGACTGGCAAAGGTCACAATGTTCCCTTTTTCAGACGAGGACACGAAGAGATGCACGCGACACTCACGGTGACTGAAGTAGCTGCAGAGGGTGGGTGGGGATCCAAAAGTCAGATCTGATGCTGTTGTTGGTGCCACCGGGGTCTTGATACATCTTGCGTCATTTATGGCATTTATATTTCTCATATGAATGTTTGTTCAAGCATTGGCTTAAGTTAGCATCGTCCGAGGTCAGCTTAACTGTGTATGCAGTGGATAGATAACCCGATACCATGTTGTGATGTTTGGTCTTTTAGGGGTCCGACTTTCTGCGAGGTGACCATGTTGTGTTCGAGAGGGTAGGACGGGCCCATGAGAGCCATCAAGGTACTTTCTGGATAGAGCTGTGGTGTACGGTGCCACTCCCGGAAGATTATTTCCAACCGTTTCACAGAAATCGCTATCCATTCCCTCTGATGCTGGTCGAGACCGTTCTGCTGCCTGGCCTCGAGTATTCTCGCTTGTGAATCTCCCCCCTATTGACTCCGTGATTAAACGAGGCAAGCAATTCACGAGCAAGTGAAATTATAATTCAGGCGATAAAGACTGACGTGTCTTCTTGTCTGTAAGAGGTGATGTTGTATTGAACAGAAGGAAGAAGTGTAATAGGCATGGTGTAGCTCAATGACCGGTTCTTGATCACGGGTTGGTAATAGAAGAAGCGAAACACGTTCAAAACAGACCTTAAAGGACAAGTTGCCGTATACTAACGCGGAAGTAGTAATTATGAATTTATATACAACCTAACTGACGCAACAAACAATATATACATCTATACTCCATTCCCATTTCCACAGCCAAACCATTACGTTTAAATATTTTGACGTGATATACCAAACTCCAACATAATTCATTATTCATTTTCTTCATATTCCAAAAACATCTCCCTACAGCCACACACACAACCCAACCATCGCAACACTCATAGCGAACAGACTTCCCGGCTCCTTATCCCGAGTCCCAGTGTTTGTATTTCTAAAAGGTGCACTATTCGATTCCGGGTCATCTGGATTTGATGTCCGTTCTGAGTCTTGAGAAGATGTCGTCGAGGTCGATGGGGTATTCGCCGAGGTTTGGGATGAGGTAGGTGGGGTCTGAGTTCCTGAAAGTGTGCTTAATCCATTTGCCCCTGTTGAAGACAATGATTGAGAAGGATTCGACTGAGAAGATGATGCTCTTGTAGATGATCTACTGGTGGTGGTAAAAGTGCTCCCTGCTGAGTTCGTAGTTGTAATGACTACAGCTCCTCCAGCACTGGTGGTTGTAGTGAAGGTACTGCCTGCTTGGTTTGTAGTTGTGATAATAACAGCTCCTCCTACACCTCCATTTCCAGAGTTGCTAGAGCTCGTAGAGATGGACGAAACCGCACTTCCACTTCCAAATCTCGTAGTCCCCTGCCCGACTATAACCGGCACTACACTCTGAAGCACGTTCCCATCTCTCGTCGTCGTCTGCGTAACCGTCGAAGTCATCAGACTCTGAACAGTGGTGGTCGTAACCTGCACATTTGTCGGACTTTGCGGTGTTGAAGAAGGAGAAGCCCCAGCAGTAACAGTAGTGGTAACCACTCCTTGAAGCTGACTAGCTACAATCTCTGCGTTTCTGATTGCTGAAGCCGGGATTGGCGAGCCTGCTAATTGACAAGCGAGCTGAAGGGGTGATAGGAGGACATTGGTGTTTAAAGAGTTGTCGCATTGAGCGCGCACTGTTTCGTTAGTATACTATGATTGTTTGGAAAGGAAGTGAACGAGACTTACTGCATGTTACTGTATCAGTCAGAAAATTCCCGGCCGATGCTCGACAGAGACATGATATATCGAGAAGGGAGCAATTGGTGTCTGGGGAATTATTGATGCAGTCTACGATGCAAGAAGGGAGGGAGTTTAGGAGTTGCGGAGTGGAGAAGGGTAGGAACGAGAGCGTAACGGCGAGGAGAGCAAGGTAATTTGACAAAGGCATGGTGAGGTAGTTGTGGATATTGACTGGAAAGACTGTGGTATGTGACAATTGTCCTTGGAAAAGGGATAGTAATTTGTAGTGTTAAGAGTGAAGCATTGCGCCTGGATATGAATTCGAGAAAGCCAAAGTTCGGAGAAATTACCTACGGACAACGCCAACTCTTCTTATGCACCTTGGGACTCACCAAAGATGGTGTGGCGAGAATTTCTCGAGCCATTCGGCGAGTGTTGTAGCAAGATGCATGGATACGTCAAGGGAATACCGTTTCCCAGTTTTTGGGTGGTTGGAGTAGCGTGGTGCTGATCTTTGAGCGACAAAACTTGAGTGGTTCATTGGCGGAAGAGATGTCGATCATCTCAAAAATGGCTGTCGCTAGAAAATGCACAGCCACGAGCATACACGCACCGCCACAACTACGATAAGTGGAGCCCTCGTGGAGGCCATCCAGCTGGATTGGAATCAAGTACAGTAGCACAGTGGGGTTTGTAGTATCGAGTACCCAGCCCAGGGCCAGGCCAGGTAGGTACTCACTGAATTAGCCAGAGGGCTGGGAAGTTCCAAGGTTGTGAGAATTGGATATGTGTATGACACGAGATGAGCTGTAATGTGTTGTAATGAGTAAATGTGGTAGAGTACCATCTCGTCTCTAATGGCAAGAAACGGTCTGCTGAAACTCTGATGTTCCAACAGACTTGATAGCCTGCTGGCTATGTCTGTAGCAAAGCTTTGGCATCCTCGTCAGGAGAATACTTCATCAATAAAGCCTTCCTCGCACTACCAGGAGACCGAGGCTCTTCTCCAATCGTGTGATATCCAAATTTCCGATAGAGACCGACCGCTGATGGGTTATCAGCATCAACAACAATGCTGCTCATGTACTCAGTTTCTGAGTCTGTCGCATCCTGAATGGCTTGCTTGATGCTCTCGCGCATAAGGGCTTTGGCAACCCCTCGACCGCGGACGTCAGGTAGAGTAAACATGCCATTGACGCGGAAGTGAGAGTACAGAGGCTTTTTATTAGTGCCGTCAAGAGCGGTCCATGGATTGCTCGTAGGAGCAATTCTGGCAAAGAGTTAGAGGTAGGACCTACATGTGTTGAAATTGATAGAGTATGGTCGTATGGACGGACTCCTCAAACCGAAGTAATGGACTTACTCTTCTGGAAGAAAAGGTAGAGGGCCAACAGTGGTTATCGTGCCTATGACACGATTTTCTTGGATTGCGAGAAAAGTAGTTGCCATTGGACTTGACAATCTTCCGAGCCATGTATCTTCGCTGAAAGCAATTTCTCTTTCATATGTTGAGCCAAACATATCTGGAGCCGTCTGTAATGACAGTAGCCGAAAAGCCTTGTAACGTTCTACATAAGACCGGACGGTGGCATCGTCTCGAGCGATTTTGATAATTTCGAAATCCATGACAAGTCTCAATGACTCAATGGGTTGCGGAACAAAAAGCTGATAAACCGTCGAATCCTCGGTTTCCAAGAGTGGTGTGTACCCTCTAGAGCGTGTGATGCAACACTATTAACGTGATATCTCTGACCGTTCTTGTAACTGGTGACACCCGAATGTTTGTTAATTGTACTTCAATTTTAAAGACGGTTCTCGTCCACAACCGCAAAGTAGTTCGGTAGGCGGTAACAATTTGCCTGCATCCGACTGGCTGCAATACGGCAATCGAGGCTACCTTCACTCCAGTTCGAAGATCTTCAATGTCAGGTTAGACGAGTTGATTCGTAGTCACTGTCTTTAAATTTAAAATGCGATTGTTGGTTGCAGAATTGTAGGAGTTGTTTTGACCAAGTAGACCAAGCACTGTACAAGCTTTCCACAGTTGGTCATCTGCCCGTGTTTCAGTACACGCCAAAGCCTAAATCCGGAAAGACAGACCCGCAACGCCTATTTTGTGGCGCTGTCAGCCCCGTCCCTTCCCACTAACCTTGGAAAAGCCCAGGGTCTCTAGGCTCTCGCGTGTCACGAAACCACAGCAGTCGGTCACTCCACGAGGCTGCAGTGGAAGCAATGGGGGCGCTTCCAGCTGAGAGTAAAAGAGACAGCCTCCTCATGATGTCTCGCTCTTGGTGTTCTTTTCAATTCGTTGACTGATTCTTGTGCGATACCTTGCGCTTGCGCCAGACATCAATATGGAGAAAGACGGGAGGTTCGTGAATTATGATGATGAAGACTACTATCGCAAGAGTCAAGAGTTTGTAAAGGACCCCTCGACATCGAATTTCGTCGTCGAATTTGGAAGGACCAAGGCCAAAATCGCATTTGATCTTGACGTACGTCAATTCGGAGCTCTAATATCAGAAGAGAGACCAGATAATAGGCATGCGAGACCAGCCAGCGAGAATGCGAGCTCAGACGATGAGAATGCGACCCCAGAACATAAGAATGAGACACCGATTCGGTGGATGTTGGTGGCCCATCTGTCCAACTTAACCATCATCTCCCGCTAATTGTTTATAGCAACATATGGGGACCCGATGGCGGAGTAGACCGGGGGATACGATACGATCGACTGAAAAACGAGGGCGTAGCGGATCTTCTTGGTAAACACTATGGCTTCTCTGCCAGACTTCGCGCCATCATCAAAACACCTCCGAACTTTGACGTTGAGAAAGCTACGACGAAAAAGCCGAATCGCATAAAACAGAAGTTACATATCGATAAACTCGGCGATGAGGAGAAAGGAGATGTTTCAAGGACAAGTTTGGATTATGCTGCTACGAAAGAGCCAGTCAAGGAATTGCCGAAGCTCAGTCATTACAGCATAGTCAATCAAATGGTGAATTATCATGCGGTCGACTCTGGAGATAAATGTAAGACACATGTTCTCAAAATTATGTTGCATACTAATGTAACCAAAGTTATCTGTGTTGGAGCAAATTGGATGCATCGTCGGAGATCCAAGAAAAGTGCGGCGAACATATTAGAAGATGAGGGGAGGCAGCGCCGATTATACTCATGGCTAATAATTTGTGACGACAGTATGTCCCTGGCCAGAGATAAGACACGAGCGATTATTGACCATTTCTAGACACTGTTATTTCGTTCCATGAGGATTCTGGCATGACGAATTCGGAGGACCTCCTATCTCTTCGTGCAAATACCATTAGTGTTTTGAGCCAGGTCTCAATATTAAACCAGGACTCTTTCAACCCTATATCTTTACAAACTGTTCGGGCTGCACTAGACCAAGAGAACGATACTCATCATGGCCATGAGGGAGCTAGTAATTTGTTCTATTACTTATTCGACGATTGGCATGCGGCCTATGAAACTGTTGCGGGGTTCCAAACTACATTGGGTAATTTGGTAAGTCTCTTTGTGAATTCATACTAGATTATGTACTAACTTATCCCAGAGAACATATATTTTGCAAAATGCAGTAGGTGTTTGTCATATTTTATGATTCTGGTGTCTAATTATTGTAGAGCAAAAGATCCGTCGACACAATCGAAATCGATGTAATTCCACGTTTGCACGTCCTCGGCAGTCGAATCCGTGAAATGGATCACGTCTACGAAGGCTACAAGAACATCATCCAACGAATTCTAGAACCTCCGAAAATAGATAACAGTAGAACACTATCCGCAAACAGTGAATCCCAGTGGTCACGAGGAAAGGGTCGACAAGGTCCAGCAATCGCTACATCCGCAATCTCACGATTCGAACGTCTCGGCGACCGTCTTCAACTCCTCATCCTCAGCGAAACCAAAGAATTCATGGCCGAAAAAGACGCTCTGACAAACACCGTACATCTACCTTTCCTCTTCCCGAAAAATCACAGCTAACATCCCCAGTACTTCAACATCAACGCGCAAAAAGACTCCGAAGCCACCGCCTCCCTCACCCGCGCCGCCGGTCTCCTCGCCAAACTCTCCGTCCTCTTCCTCCCCGTCTCCCTCATGACCTCGTACTTTTCCATCCAGATCAAAGACCTGGAAGGCGTGTACACGCGCGAGGATTACTGGTATTCGTTCGCTGTCATCATGAGTCTTTCGTTCCTGGGCGTCTTCTTTTGTGGGAGACTCCTGATGTATATCTCGGAGAGTTTCGATAAGTATGTTAGTAAACGGTTTAATACGAGGTTAGCGGGTGCGTGGGCGCGGTTGAGGGGGAGGAGTCGCGAGAAGGAATCGTAGGGGGTGGATTGTAGTTTTGTGGAAGGGTGGGGAGAGGATTTATGGCGTTTAAGGGGGGGATATACCATGGTAATTTGCTGGAATGCATTGTATTAATCCATCTACGAGATATCTGCGCTTCAAATAATACATCGTCAATATACATCATGACATCTACAGGACTGAGGACTTGAACCTCCCAACCTCCCGACCCAACTAACCCCAGATGTAGCCCCACATGACCCCCACCACCCTATCTTTTCGTCCAATCGCTCCCTTCCCTTTTTTGTTTGAGTATATATAATAAAATAAGCACTTTTTCGTCATGAATCAGGCCAGATGGCGGAGTGGTTATCGCGTTAGCCTAGAAAGCTAATTCCTTCGGGAGCACAGGTTCGAGTCCTGTTCTGGTCGCTCGATTTACTCTTTTGCTTTTTTCGTTGCCTGTTTCTTTACGAAACGCATGAGACGAAAGATGCAGTGAGACTTTTACGGGGATAGGAATTCAGGGGTTGGCGTTGGTGGTTAAAAGTCGGGCCTGGTGAAGTAGACGAGGAACTATATTTATTTGCTGTTTGAAATGTGATGAGTGAATTAAGGTACTGATGTTCTGAATTCCGAATGGATTCGAAAAAGTCATGTCTTTATGCCCTGAGACGCTTATTTGTTCGACAGATTGAAACCGAAAAAAGCCAATAATTGGAAACGAGTATCATTTGGGGATTGAAATGGCAGGAGGATATGAAAAAGGACGTTCCAATTTTATTAAAAAGATCGATAGAAGAGAGAGCGGAATAGTCGAGGCTTTGGCAACAGAAAGTAGTTTATCCCATAGACAACGGAACGTTCCTTTCCTGGTCAATTCAATCTCCAAGTACTTTCATAAAAGAAGGAAGCGAAGCTTTCCTCACTTCTTTGCTTCTTCTTCTTTTCCTCTATCTTCAGTTTGAATATCAGACATGTACCTAACCCCTCCTTCTACCTTGACTCCGCCTGAGACTATAACCATCTTTCGAAGTACTTTCACCTTACAGTATAACTTCTCACCAATCACTCGTAAGTCTCGTTCTTTTCGTAGCTATTCATGTGATTATTCTGTCACAGGCATATTGTAGCCCTCGAGTACAGATGATTTCCGGCGGCTATGATGCATCTTCACCGCGATATCGAGTGAGACGAAATCTCCATATCGATTGAACTCAAGAAATACCTAATCAGAATTGGACCTTTTTTCTATGTGACATGCATCTCCAATTGCAATCGTACGAACTGCATCTTCACAACACATTACTGGATCGGCTGACATGGGCGAAGCTATCCGCATAGTGTTGATGGTTGATACCCCACGTCTAGATGTTCACAAGTCTTTTGGTTGGGTTGCATTGCATATGTTTCGTGGATTCGAGCTTGCTATTTGTCGGGCAGCGACGTATGAAGTACCACCTCTGAATGGACTTGACAATTGAACCATTCACACGACCGCGCAAACGCAGGTGACGTGAGCTACCGCCTCACTTGGCTGCAAAGGCTGATGGAGACTGCATCCGAAAATGATCATGTTTAGGCTCGAAGGGTCCGAATGGATGCTCTTGTGAGAATGTGGATGGGTGATGTTGCTGAAAATACAAAATAGCTCGTGTTACTTCAGGGATTCTCCACTTTCCCTTCAAGATTGTCTGGGGCGGGCTGGGCCAATCACATTGACTGCTCGCTTCAGCCGGAAGCTGGCTTCGAGCAACGGCCGACTTCATCAACAACACCAATACCTTTCTACGCAAGACAATAGTCCACGAGAAGTATTTGTTTTCCACGAACCTTGCATTGCGATCGCGAGATATACCTGCAGCTTGACATTCGAATTCGAGCCCTCCATCGCTCCTGTGTAGCTATCAAACCGGTCGACGGAGAAGAGGAGGCGCCATGGCGGAAGATCCAAGTAAGAGCTTCCTTGATCACGAATTCGGGAACAGAACATTGTGATGCCGAATTGAATGACATATATACGGTCTCTCAGAGCTCGACAAAGCTTGTGGGCCTTCGATGGACTTGGAAGAGGGAACTTTTTGAAATAAAGAAGAGGCTGACGAATCTACAGCGGCACCAAGCCTCAACCTTACACCTGACGAGAAACGGGTATTCGGTCAACTATTTCGACAAGCTGATACGGAAAGCATCGGGGTGGTGACTGGAGAGGTTGCTGTCAAGTTCTTCGAGAAGACGAGACTGGAACCTCGTATCTTGGGAGAGGTTCGTTTGTTTCTTTCCCCCAAAACCCTGGACAGATGTGCAGAACAGGAGCGCATGAACAATGCTAACATGATGCGATTCTAGATATGGCAGATTGCAGATAAGGAAAATCGAGGCCTGCTCACACCAGCGGGATTTGGGATAGTCTTAAGGTTAATTGGACATTATCAAGCTGGCCGAGATCCTTCTCCCGAATTGGCATTTCAACCTGCCCCTCTTCCTAAATTTGATGGAGGTCTCCCAACCGGAATTAGTCCTACAATACAGCCTCCTCCTGGCCCTCCACCATCCGCACTGCAACCACAAGGAAGCGGCAATGGTCCTATCAGAGTTCCACCGTTGACCCCAGAAAAGGCGACTCAATATGCTGCGTTGTTCGAAAAGTCTGGCGCTGTCAACGGACACCTTCCTGGGGAACAAGCAAAACAAATCTTTGAGCGTGCTGGTTTACCGAATGATATACTTGGTCGGATTTGGACATTGGCGGATACTGAACAGAGAGGCGCTCTACAAGCTACGGAATTTGTGATCGCAATGCACTTGCTAGCTTCCTTCAAGGCCGGGCAGCTGAGAGCGCTTCCAAATATTCTTCCAGCTGGTTTGTATGAAGCTGCCGCGAGGAGGACACCGAGTCGACAATCAACCGGCTCTTTGCAGGGCATCCCAAGACAGTTCAGCGGCAATCCCGCTCAGCGTGCTGGAAGTCCTCTTGCTCGATCATTTCCCCCACCACCTCCTCAGGCACCTCAGCATAGTGGGATGGCTGTTGCAAATGACTGGGCCATTAGCCCATCTGATAAAGTTAAATTCGATGGCATCTACATGGGATTAGATAAAACCAACAAAGGGTTCATTACAGGGGACGAAGCAGTACCATTTTTCAGCGAGTCAAAATTGCCAGAGGAAGTTTTGGCGCAGATTTGGGATCTTTCGGATATCAGATCAGCAGGTGTATTGACCAGAGATGAATTTGCTGTTGCCATGTATCTTATACGACAACAGCGAGGTAAACGTGATGAAAGAGACACATTACCAGCAACACTGCCGCAGAACTTGGTTCCTCCAAGTATGCGAAATCAAGTTAGACCAACTGCTGTACCTACAGCGCCTATATTTGATGCCGCTCCTACTCTTCCTAAATCCGCAGCGGAAGACTTATTCGGACTTGATGCTTTAGCATCGCCTACAACTGCTCCAGTTCCTGCACCTATTCAACCATTATCAACAGGCGGTTCTGGAGCATTTGATCTCACTAACGATCCTTTCGGAAACAGCAAACCCATGACCCCGTCCTCCCCAGCTCGTCAACCTCCAGTTCTGGGATCATCTTCAGTTTTCAAACCCTTCGCTCCATCCTCGTCCTTTGGCCAGTCTTTAACTCAACAAGCCACTGGAGGTTCGAACAACGGACCCATGCAACAATCATTTCAAACTCAACGCTCCGCCACCGAGGATTTACTTGGAGATAATGATCCCGAGGAAAGCAAGAAGTTCACAAACGAAAGTGCGGAGCTCGGAAACCTCTCTAATCAGGTTGGAACTCTGTCGACGAAAATGCAAGAAGTTCAGGCGCAAAAGGTCACTACACAAAACGAACTGGGCCAGTCAAGCGCACAAAAGCAGCAGTTTGAACAACGGTTGGCTCAGTTGAGAACACTCTACGAGCAAGAAGTACAATCAGTCAAGAGTCTCGACGAGAAGCTTACAGCATCACGGAATGAAACCAAAGATCTCCAAACCAAGATTGCAATGATCGAAGGCTCCTACCAAGACTTACAAACTCAACATCGTCAAACAGCAGCGGCTTTGCAAGCAGATCAACAGGAGAATGCTAGTTTGAAAGAGAAGATGCGTGTCATCAACGCCGAGATCACACAGTTGAAGCCGGCTTTGGAGAAGTTGCGGTCGGACGCTCGTCAGCAGAAAGGTTTGGTGGCCATCAACAAGAAGCAGCTCACAACTAATGAAAACGAAAGAGAAAAATTGAAGGCTGAGGCACAGGAGTTGAATCGAAGCATACAGGAGGATACCAAGATATTAGCAGAGCAATCAAGAACTCAGAGTCCAACAAATATCACCAGTCCAGCTCAGGTTGCTAGTCCAGCCCCATCTTCGATGAGTGCCAACAACCCATTTTTCCGACGACATGGAAGCACATCCGAAATACCATCTCCCCCCCTTGCATCGCCAATTCAGCAGACCGACCGTTCTTTTGAGAATGTTTTCGGTCCTGCTTTTGGAGGTACTGTAGCTTCCCCAGCCCTAGGTGGACCTCCTCCTACGACATTTGGTCATTCCGTTGACACTACTCCCGCACCAAATACACTCTCCCGTGCTACAACTGGACATGGTGAATTCTCTTCTCCAGCAACATCTTCCCCTGCCACCTCCCACCGAGAATTACCTACCGCGCAAGCTATCATACCACCTCCACCAGCGTCACGAGAGATCAGCTCAAGTTTTCTACCTTTCCCAAGCCATGAAGATTCTGTCACCTCGTCGCGCCAAGTATCTGCCCCAAATAGCAGATACGGAGAAGATTCTACTGGAGCCGATACACCAACAAACTACATCGGCAACACACCTACAGGATCTTCCTCTGCGGGACCTAACGAAAACGTGAGAGCCGTGTCTCCAAACATCGATCGTCACTCGACAGCATCGCCAGCCAGCACAGGTAAAGAGCCCATGCCAGGATCTTTCCCCGGGGACGTTAATTCCGGGCTTGTAGCTACACCAACGGGAGGGAGTACTCTGAGTGAACAGGCCGCGTCGGATCCTTTCTCAATCAACAACAAAGACCTTTCACGGTCTGCTACGTCGAAAGATGATTTCGACTCTGCATTTGCCGGGTTTGGCGGGGCTGCAAAACCACAAGAGAGGATGAATACTGGCTCCTCTGCTGGTGGCTCCAATGGTGGATTGCAACCGGGGTTTAACAAGGAGTTTCCTCCAATTGCTGAATTGGAAAACGACGATGACAGTGAAAGTGCCAGTGACGCTGGCGGATTTGACGACGACTTTTCACCTGCGTCGCCAGGTCACACCAGACAGATCAGTTCATCTCAGTCACCTACCGTTGCCAAAGCCCCACCCATACCAGCACCAGCTGAAGAGTCAAACGACTTCCTTTCTGCAAGACCCATTGCGGTACAGAATGCGTCTGCCTTGAGCTTAGGCACATTACCTCCCACACCAGGAGCGCAAGCCTCTCCACCAGCATATGACAAGACAATATCACCAAGTGAGACGGCACACTCAGAGGTCCAACAATTCTCGGGACTTTTGCCAACCAGAGAAATACCATCATCACCACCACCAGCACTTCCTCCCACCTCAGTAGGCCAGCCTTCATTTGTGGCGCCGACAACATCTGTCCAACCTACCCCTCCAGCAAAAGTCCCCTTCGGCGACGATTTCGATGAATTTGACGATCTAGAAGATGCTAAGGAGGGGGACGCTGATGATGAGTTTGCCAATACTTCAACCGACCGTTCTGGTCTTGATGATTTCAATCCAATGTTTGACAGTCCACCACAATCAAAGGGCGCTGATCACGTCGCCCCTCAGAACGGCTTTGGCAACGACGGCATGTTTGGAGACTTCACAGCGTCACCACAAACGACTCATCCAAAACCAAATTCTGCTGCTCCTGCTCCTGCCGCAAATGCAGTTAATGATAGCCACGACTGGGATGCTATCTTTGCTGGGTTGGACGGACCTGCAAGAGATCCATCACCAGTGAAAGCCGAAGCGCCTACGAGTAATGGAAACGCGCTTGCCCCAGATAGACCTCAGATTGGCAGGGCTCTTACTGAAGCAGGTGTTCACGATGACCCTATTTTGAAAAACTTGACAGGCATGGGATATGCCCGAAACGATGCACTAGCTGCATTGGAGAAGTATGATTATAATCTGGAGAGGGTAAGTAGCTGGCTCACCAAGAATGCAACCCGGCACTGACATATCGGTAGGCTGCTAATTACCTTGCAAGCCAGTCGTAATATAATGGGGAAGGAGACTACGAGAGTGAAGACGCTGGGGAGGTAATTCTTGACATGTGCATAGGTTTTAAGAGCCATCTGTATTCTTGTGGCAGCATTTAGCAAGTAGCATTCGTTTTACTCTTGAATTTGGCGAAGAGATTATTATTATGACACTACACTTACAGAGTTCGCACTTTTCTATGCTCTGACTGTCAATATGCATTAGTTTCTCACATGACCCCTCTTACGTCAGAGTTGTATCACGCCACTACCATATGAGGTTTCGTTCTATCTATCGTTCACATATCAACAACCCATAAATAGATTCACATTTCTACTCACAAAATGCCTCCTAAGATTGACAAGGCAATTCTCTCAGCCCTCGCGCTCGATGCTGCGACTACCACTATCGCATCACATGGTGGATCGGGCTTTGCTAGCACGCTCAAACTCACGAGCCATAAAGATGATATTGAGAAATTGTATTTTGTGAAAACGGGGAGGGGGAAGGAGGCGGGGGTCATGTTTGAAGGTAAGTCCCCTAATCATTCATATTTTGGGATTTACTTATTATAACATTTAAACATAGGCGAGCATACATCCCTCAACGCAATCCACAACACCATCCCCTCCCTCTGTCCCAAATCCCACGCCTTTGGCACCCTGGAAGACGCGGATGGCGCGTTTCTCGTTACTGATTTCCTGGATCTGAAGGGGAAGGGAGACGGGTTGGCGTTGGCGAGGAAGTTGGCGGTATTGCATACCACGCCTGCGCCGACGCCTGAGGGGTGCGAGACCCCGGTGTTTGGGTTCAGGGTACCGACTTGTTGTGGGGATACGTTGCAGGACAACACCTTCAGAAGCAGCTGGGCGGACTTCTACGGCGAGAATCGACTTCAAGCAGTTTTGAAAGCTGGGGAGAAGAAACATGGTATCGATACTGACTTGAGGAATCTTGTGGAGAGGATGGTGGAAGAAGTCGTTCCGCGGTTGCTTGGGGATGGCCATCTTAAAGATGCGCAGACGGGCAGGGATGTTAGACCGGTCGTTGTCCATGGGGATTTGTGGAGTGGGAATTGGGGACGGACGAGGGAGGGGGAGGAGGTTGTGTTTGATGCCGCGGGAAGTTATGCGCATGGCGAGTTTGAGTGGGGGATTATGAGGATGTTTGGGGGGTTTGGGGGGGAGTTTGAGGGGGAGTATTGGAAGGAGAGGGAGAGGAGGGGGTGGGGGAGGGATGAACCGGTGGGGGAGGGGCGGGATAGGGAGGGGTTGTATGAGTTGTGAGTGAAGAAACATGGGAGGGTGTAACGGGAGGCTAACTTGGATAGGTATCATCATTTGAACCATTGGGCTATTTTTGGTGGGAGTTATAAGGGGGGTGCGGTGGGGATTATGAGGGGGTTGTTGAGGAAGTATGGGGAGGGTGGTGAGTGATGGTATGAAGGAGGAGAGTTTGAGAGATGGGTTTCAGTAAAGTATATCCTTGGTTCGTGAGTATGACAGTTATAGTTGTGGTTGAAGTGGGGCTGACAAGCGGACCGCGTCCCGTCGCGTCTCCCCGAAATAATTTACGCGTCGGCTTTTCTCACTACCAACAATTGCAATATTTGGGAACAATTGCACGCAAACCACAAAATGGCAGACTCACAAATGGAAGAAGATATCGTGCTCGAAGCACCAGCCCCAGATGTCTTCATCGCACCCTCAATCAAACACGAACTCCTCCACTCCGGCGCATCATATACATACTACTCAGACGTCCCACCCTCACTCCTCCCAAAACCAAACCAAGACCCAAACGACGAGCCAGAACTAGGACCACCATGCGCATTAGGCGTCGACGAAGCAGGACGAGGTCCAGTCCTAGGCCCCATGGTCTACGGCCTCTTCTACCTACCACTCCCATTATCCGACCCTCTCCTCCGCCAAACCCACCACTTCGACGACAGCAAAGTCCTCACGCCCACCGTCCGTTCTTCCCTCATGGAAACGCTCTGCACGCCCTCCACAGACCTGTACACGCAGTGCGGCTGGGCCGTCGAAGTCATGTCGGCGCGCGACATCGGCGCGAACATGATGAAGCCGGCCGCGACGTATAACCTGAATGCGCAGGCGATGGACGCGACGATCAACTTGATTCATGGGGTCTACAGGCAGGGCGTTAATGTGAAGGAGATTTATATCGATACGATTGGGAATCCCGCGACGTATCAGAGGAAATTGGAGAAGATCTTTCCCACCGCGTTGGTTACGGTGGCGAAGAAGGCGGATAGTTTGTATCCGTGTGTGAGCGCTGCGAGTGTGTGTGCGAAGGTGACGAGGGATGCGGCGTTGGAGGTTTTGTATGAGAGTTATCTTGAACCGAAGGATGAGGAGGACGAGATGGAGGTTGTAGAGCCGACTTGGGGATCGGGATATCCGTCCGATGCGAAGTGTACGACGTGGTTGAAGAGGAATATGGATCCGGTTTTTGGGTGGGGGAGTGAGTGTCGGTTTAGTTGGGGCACGGTGAAGGATATGTTGGATGCGAAGAACGTTGCGGCGAAGGTTGAGTGGCCGATTGATGGGGATGAGGGACAGAGGTTGACGAGTTATTTTGGGGAGGGGAAGGGGAGGGATGGGGATGAGTTGGGGGGATGGTTTGGTCAATCTGTGGAGGAGGTGTTTTGATCTATGAGCATTGGGATATTTGCTTTAGGGGGTGTTCCCTACACTGCTGTGCTACGGATATACCCCACGGTTGTATTTCGAACATCCTATTTCTCTACATCTTCAGGAAAGGCGTAGGGACAGCAGGTTGCTGAGAGTAACATCTCACTTGTTTACTTCAACACCTTTCGGATATCATGCCCACCCATAGCTTCCTCTCTCGATCTCTTATACGTCAAGTATAGAAAGCAGTTTCGTCAAGGCGGCTCTTCAGCACGAGCAATTGCTTTTACCAATAAAGAAGATCATTTGAGCTGCGATGGTACAGGTGTTTCCAAATATCATGTTTCCCGCTCTATAGGAGTTATAACATCAGAATAAACAAGCCATGATCTGCAATTCCGCGGACTAGAACGAGGAAATGGGGCAGACTCTGAGTAAGTTTGTTAACGACTCAATACTTGAGTGAACTAAGCCTGAACACGTCGATTTCCAAATAAACACAGAGAGCAAAGATCAAACTCGTACCAAGCCAGAGTCGATATAGATTAAGTCACCTCACGAATCCACGGGAAACCCCGTATCCATTGAATCATAATTGTGCTTTGCAACCGAAAACTACATTATTTTCCCACCCAACGCCAGGCTATGCTACATAACAAAGGGCAACTCCCACCCTACATCCACAACCGACACGTACCATCCGCCCCAGCACTAACACACCACGGTTCCTTCGGATGCCAATCGATATCCATGACGCCTAATGCGCTCTTGACCTTATGACCCTTCAACACCTTCACCGGCACGATCGTCGCATTCTCCATCAGATCACTGACAACCTTGCCATGGAAGATTTGCAGGCTACCGTCGTCACTGGCGTCCGCGAAGAGTGGGAAACCACCTTTGTGGTATTTGACTGCGCGGATGGCTTTATTGTGGAAACGCATGGTTTTGTAGGGGCGGGTGGAGAGATCGAGATCGTGCCATAGGAGACGGCGGTCGTAGGAGCCGACGATGAGATTGTCTCCTCCGGGATGGATGTCGAAGGATGAGATCCAGCGGGCGCCGGGCTGGATGATCTTGACGAGTTCTTGCTTTTGGAGATCGTAGCTGCGGATTGTGCGTTGGGTTGCGACGAAGAAGAGGGGTCGGGATGGATGGAATTGGACGGTTTGAGCGATACCGGGTAGACGTCTGAATGGGATTTGTGTGAGATGCTTTGATAAAGTGTGAATAGCGACTGCGCTTCTTTGGGCTGTAGGCGATACTGTAGAGAAGAAGTCTCCTCGGCGATGCCAACTAATGACTTTTACTGTTGTTCGGACTGTGATCTTGATGAGTACCCCCTCATCCTCCAGGCGCGTTCCTGGTCGAGTCCATTTGGCTACAGGTTCCTTTCTAGCACCATTTGCTGTGAGTGTCTGTGTTGCATTTGTTGCATGCCCAAAGCCATGGTCTAGAATCTCTCGGCTAGCAGCATCCGTTTCTGGGTCTACAATCGGTGGTGCGAGGAGATAGATATCTTCTCCAGCACCTGCCGACAAGATGACAGCGTCTCTTCCAGGCCGCCATCTGACAACATTGACAGCCTCATCGTCCCCAATCTTCGCACTCCAGAGTTGTCTTCCAGTCAAGAGCTCCCACACCCGGACTGTACCATCATCACCCCCACTTGCAAGCCATACACCTGAAGGGTCAATCGCCAATGATCTAACACGTCCTTCATGACCGCGGAATAGCGTAGAGCAAACGGTTGGAAATGGCTTGAGCTCTTCTGGTCGGGGTAGCTTGGGCAATAACGACGCTGGGTCGATGTTCAGTCGATTCTTTCGGACTCGAGGAGCCAGATACAAATCCAATGACCGTTCGAATCTCTCGTTGATGAATTTTTCATAACCCGGCACCTTACGCAGCGAATCGTAAGATGTTGGAAGATACTCCTTTTCTCGGTCCTCGGCGTCTGTTGATTCCCAGGCCTGCTTCTCTGCCTTTGTTGGAAGATACTCAGGAGGTGGATTATAACTCATATCGTAACCTGGAGGCGCCATCTTTGGTGCGGGAATATTCATAACGTGATCGGGCCGAGGCTGCTCATCCTGCCATATATCGTAGTGCACTTCTTCATCTTCTTCCTTTTGCTCCTCGGGTGGTCTATATGGCATTATTCTACCTTCCCGTATCGCTCGGACAATCTTCATCACTCTTTTGGCTTCATGTTTCGACGGGAGGAATCTTCGCTTTGGTTCGGGGGCTGCACTGAGTGGCATTTTTTCTTCAATGCCAGTGAAATATTCAACAGTAGCCTACAATTGTTATTAGCTTGAAGCAGTAAAACTACTGACAAAACACTTACTGGATATGGGTCATATCCATCTTCCGGAAGCTCGTTGGTCTGTATCCTTCGTAGAATTTCCAGCTCATCCTGGCTCAGATTGAGAGGTTTTCCAGTCGCAGGATCTGTAAGACCTGTCCATCCTTTCGGTATATCTATACTGTCCAGCAAAGCATCCAATGCTTCTCCCTTTGCAGGCCGTAATATTTTCTTTCCGTTAATATCGTAACCAATATGAGGATATGAATCGTAGAAACTGAGTGGGATATTTCCTATTGTATTCTCGGCGACGGCTGCGTCCGAGTCGTCGGAATCGTAAACGGGGTTGATTTCCTCATACACATATCTTTCTCCTCCATTGGCGTCTGCAACTACTGTATAATTTGGTATGTCTTGCTCGTCCTCGAGCGTCTGCTGGTCCCCTAAGATGCTTTTCACCATGTCCTGTGCACTTTTGCTGTTGACAGAATCTCCATTCAATCCATCTGCTTCTGCTTCCCCGTTTTCTGAAGGAATCTCATCGCTGTCGAGAGCTTCTAGTTCGTCCAGTTCTTCTGCTTCCTCGTCCTCGCTATCTTCTTCTTCGTCCCCGCTGTCACCCTCCGAATCTTCACTTTGCGACAAAATCCCCTCGAGAAGACCATCTCCAAATTCTGCTTCTGATTCTATATCAGAATGTTCCGGAACATCGCGAGTAACAGCTTTGCGCTTTCGATCGAGCGTTGAGGGAGCCATCGTTGCGGATTGGGTATTTCAACTTATTGGCGATCTCTTTGCTTGGGGAAAAATAAATTTGTCGAAGGCTCGCTATCAGTCGGAGCTAAGCTTATCGGCTAGTGCGTCCCCTCTTCCTGCAACACCCTATGAGAGTCGCATGCGCATACTTCGCAGGCCTACCGACGAGCATAAAGCTGTTATTGGTACCACATTATTGCTATTTATTCTATATACTTTGGATGTCTTGTTTCAACATTTGCTTATTTCTCTCGATTTAAATCCTGCTGCTTGTGGCTCCAATCATGCCTCCCAAATCGAATGCTACGTCTCAGGAGAAAACGGTAAAGCATCGAGCCTGCGATGAGTGCAGTAGAGTGCCTGTCATCCGACGGTGATGAGTAACTAACACGCGCAGGAACACGAAAGCTAGCTTGCTCCAAGAACCCAGATGGATGTGAACGATGTAAACGAGAAGGCATCGTCTGCCATTATTCTGAACAGAAACCTATGGGACGTCCTCGAAAAAGGCAGTTCATAGAAACCACACGCGACGACCCCGAACCCGATCCTATAGTCGATTCTTTAGGTCTTGGACCACTACCGTTTGCTGGCGATTATGATTACAATGAAGGCGCACTGCCATATTTTACCAATCAGCCCATCTTAGGCTTTACTGAAGACACTGCAAAGGTGGCTGGAGATAATAACGGAGGCAACATCTGGCAATTTGGAGACCCTCAACTAGTGGGCACAAATCCAATAAGCTTCGACAATTTTGGTTTCGACGATACGTTTCAAGCAGACCAAGGCCTGGAGGCACCTTTATTGCTGGCAGGCAATGGCGATTCTTCGTCGTCTGAAAGCGAGAACAGTCCTCCCAAAATACCCGATCCTGTTTTCAAGCCTGCCGGGCCATGTAGCTGTCTGGCAAGCATGTACTTAGCTCTAGCATCTCTTCAGCAACTGCCGTTAGACGTTGCGAGTGCTCTTCGGACAGTTAGAACTGCGGCTGCTACGGCGGCAACCACGATTTGGTGCCCACAGTGTGGAGCGATCATCGTGGAGAAAAAAAGGCCTGCCATAGATGGATTCCAGAACACCATGCTTCTTGGTACTCTTCTGCCCATTATAGCGCATGGCTATCAGAGGGTTATTGAGCTGATCGATATTGAAGTGGACGCTGCTTTGGCAGCAGGTACCACCAAAACCTTTGAATTTCAGGAGTACGGTGGGCTTTGTATAAGCCAGACCCCCATTGAAGGGGAAATGGCTTGCGTACAAAAGGAAATGATGTTTAGTGCTGTCGAGATGGCTCCTATGCAATGGCGAAGCACAGTTCGGGCTTTATTGAGAGTCGATATATATGGGCATGATGGACTTGGTTACAAATATAAAGGACTGAGAGGCCTGGTCACCGAGATCGAGAATCGTCAACGGACACGTCACGACTGGCTGGACTCGCTTCCTGAAGATGAGTTCAAAAAAGCGGCTGTCGGACCATTTGCCCCCTCCAAAGCAACTTGTCTAGGCGAGCAGACTCATGGCTGCCTTCAAATTTTGGAGATGGCGAGACTTGCGCTTGATAATCTGGTTATTGCGTAGATTCGTACCGTACGGAGATGTGCGACTCTACTGAGTGAGCGTCCGTTCGCTTGGGTTTTAATCCCATGAATGGCTGCTTGAGATGGAGGACGAATGGCTGGCGCATGGGGCTAACTATCTCGGTCCAGTATATACGAAGATTGATAAAATCTCGGTTTTGATATAGAGTTTTGGTTTATGGAGTAATGGCGCTCGGGAAAGCGTAGCAGGATAGCATTATATCTCCACCGAGCATACCACGGCATATTGGAATACAATCAAGACTTAGCTTTTGAGCAACTCCAGCGGTTCTGGAGTGGGAAGCTTTGGTTGCACAAATCTTCAACAAATAAATGGGCTTGGGATAGCAAGTATGCTCGGTGTTCATGTCTGTATTATACCCACTTTAAACAGTATATTCCTCTATATATTCCACTAAATACAAAACACAATTCTCGAGCAATGAGCTGTATATACCTATCTCACACTATCCCGAGTCATCGATATCTGGTTGAATCAACTAAAGCAGCCAATTATTCTACATCCCCTTTCACTAATGTGTGCTCACTCTTGCGGTACACCTCCTTAGGTGAGAATGACAATCTGGTTTATCTTCAAAAGCTCTATGTTCTCATTTGGTGGAAGTAAGTCTACTATATTGTTCCTAAGTCCACCGTATTGTTTGTCCCTTCGGTAAGCGTCAATATGATGATCAAGGAAGGAGTATGGTAAAGCCAGTTTCTATCATTTTTGTACTTAGGGTCTTAGGGTTATCATGTTAGTTTTGCAATGAAACCACCGGTGGTAAATAGGTATTTTGAGGAGCATTGGAGTGGCGCGAGAGTGGAGGTAAAGAGTAATTGGAGGAATGAACTAGTGGTGTCCAGACGAGCTTGTTCATTCATAAACGATAACACTCAGCCGACTAGGGCGAGCACGAAACGACATCTCATGCAATCAGTTAGGATAGTCGGATGTCTTACTAACATTCACAATAGTATCATAGTCAAGAACATAACTTCCTACTGCTCTTTCCCCGACAGACACGAGAGGAAGGGTATCCTCTGTTTCCTCAAGCAATAGTAACAAACACAGCTTGTTAGGTACTCATGTAGTCCAACTATGGTAATTACATGTACCGTTAGCCTTTTGAAGCACTGGCGCAAGCTCAATATACGAGAACGAAGCTTCTTAAGGGTGTGAAAACGTGATTACCAACATCTCTACACATAATTTGCACTAGAAAGCCAACTGCTGTTGTGACGAGATCATCTCCATATGTTGCGACGCTTGTGTGTATAGTTTTGCCAGTGAAAATGGGAAGAGAGATGGAGTAATGAGGCATCAAGGGGAAAGAATATGACCCAGCGTCGTGAATAAACTCGGTCTTCCAACATAAAGCGCTCAGGCTAATTTTGCATAGCATGGCGAAGTCTGCTTTGCAAGCTAGCGAATGAAGAAGATCCGCAAATAGTATCATGACGGTGGGGGTTGGGTTGATGGGAGCAGGTCAAAGATAGGGAAGGTAGGATCGAGTATCGAAACTGTTGAACTTGCAAGGAAGAATTAAACCCAGAAAAACAGTTGTTAAGTTTTCCCGGTTGTTGGGCTTTTCCCTTACCGCCGGGTCACAACCAATATTCCAAATTACAACCTCCCTCCGGATCACCAACAGACTGCGCACTACTGATTCAACATCCTGATACCGCAGCCCCAACTCTCAGAACTCCTCCCCCGCGGTTACCCAGACCGCTCTAACATTCCTTAAGGCTATACGACGATCGCCAGCTCGTTGGTTGAAGAAATAGCCACTCGTCGGGATGCGGTAGTCCGGGCGCTGTCATTTCCATCGCTGGCAATGCCCAACGGGGCAATATATACGAGACGTCGAAGATAGTTGGAGGGGATTCAGAGATTGTTGGGTTGGGTTTCGGCCGGTTTGGTGGTATAGTTGCTGGTTTGGTGGTTATGGCGGCCGACCAACCGGACCTATACTGAATACAGCCAACCAACCAACTAACCCCCTGATAGGATGCAGGAGTAGGTTTCTGCTGTGGCTTAGGTTCGGGAATGAATTATGTTTAAATTCTTTACTTGAGGATAGAATTTGCGTCTAATTTCCTAACTTGTTGATAGACCTTGTGCCACTAGGCCTTTTGAATATATCTATAGCCACCAACAGTTTGTTGGTTTCAAGATACGACATATGACCTCCCTGTGGCCCAACGTTAGCGGGTAGATATTCTTATCTGAAGAACTTAATCTTTATGGGTTTTGTGATCCGTAAATTAATTCTACGAGCACTGTGGAGCGTGTGGATGATCAAATCAAGGAATAGGTGCAAACGCGCAGAGAAAGTCGAAATAGCAGCATGATGCATGGGGCAATGTGAAACTGGCGCTATTCCGCCTCACGTCGTATTCGAATACCTCTAAAAAGCTCCCTTCTTAAATCCCTCGCGTATTCTGTTGTTGAACGAAAACATAGACGAGGTAGGAGGTTTGAAGTGACCGGCTATGCTAGAAAATGATTGCGTCGCGAGGTATGCGCCGCTGACTTTGCGGGACATGTGAAATGATAGGTCAGTTCGTTAATAAATGCCAAAGTCTGCACCTAGACGGTTTCACTCGCGTGCAGACCAAACGGCTTTTTGGTGTTACATCCATTGGAGCCGCGAACGAGCACGTTTTTTGGAGATCAATTTAGAGTGGGTGCCGTCAGCAGCGATCTGGAGAAATTGAAGCTTATGGGGATACAAGGACGTAGGTATGACACGTGTAAGCTGATCTAGAGCCATCTTCAGTCACCAAGGACTAGCATCCAAGGATGCAAGAAATAGCCACAATTCTGACGGATGCCGAAAAGACTCTGCTGGCCGCGGATGATGTCTATTCCAAGAATGGATAATGGTCAAATCATGGATTCGAAAGCACAAACAAACTAACAGACAAACATGCACATTTCTTCCCATGTGAGCCTATCAGCAATCCCAACTACTCCTCCGGTATATTCCTCTACATTAATTCCCCTTTTAGGAATGCTGAGGCGAGGTCGAGGCGTAGAGCACGCCCAGACTTCTGAGGGAACGGTACCAGCGAACATGCACAACTCCCGAACCCGAGCACAACGGCATCGGGAGTCCGTGACGTAGACACAATCCAAATCGAAAGCAAGATGCATGAGATTCTGACTGATGAACAGAATTGGCGGTGGGGGTTGAGTAAGCTCACTCCCCGCAGCTGCAAGATGGATTTCTCACCGTACTTCTGGGAGTGAAGCGATGTGCAACGAAAATAAAGAGATGCCAAAGCAGACAAGAACTTCGATATATGACAGTATACAATTCGTCTGCCGGGCCCCGAAATGCCTTGTCTATGCTGTAAGCAGGCAGCAGGAATTTGGAATTGGTTTCCAGAAAAGAGCCAGTTGGCTTGCAAGCGGCACAGGAAACAGAAATTGCAGAAGAAATAATAACAACTTTCCAAAAACAAACGGATTGCAAAGCATGGAGATAAAAATGTCCGGAGCCGCTTTGCTTGCCCTGTAGTGACGAGAATAATACTGACTCTCTCATAATAGCGGAATCTTTGAGCTGATGTGAGATGGAGAAGAGGTCAAGGTTCAAGGCAGAAGAGAAATGGAGGGAGCCGATGCGGCACGTGACATCCCACTGAGTCCTTCATCGTAACTTCTCCCATTGCTAGTAATCTGTGTGAGTAGATTGTAAAATCGATTTCAGTATTGTCACAGAGTATTCGCCTCTTCATGCGGAAAAAGGCATGATGTTGCAATATAGTTTAGAACTTAATGAGGCAATCCGGTCGAACGCGAATGGAACATGTAATGGAACAATCCCCCGTCTTAGGAACGACATCGCTTGAAGATCTCCCACCTGCATTTATTCACTTTCTCCGCAATAACCAGGGTTATAATTGACTGTTTTAAGAGGAAAGCATTGTGCTTGACGATAATACTGAGTAGCTGTTCTCCCTTCAACTATCGTCCACTTCGATCAAATCTTCAGGCAGCCGTTTAAGATGAAGAAATCATAGACCATACCATTGGCTGAGATATAAGTCCACATATGGCGATTGAGTGCGAGTCAGCGCGGACCATTATCCTCAATTGTCTTGATAAACATTGAGTCTCACTCGTTGTACACTTCTAGTTCTTACAAAGTAATACATCTCCACGTCGTATACACCCATTGGACATCCTTGTCGCTTTGTCCATCCCGAATCCCATGTAACAATTTGCTGCTCATGCCCAACGAGGTCGGTGTCTATCGACGAGTCGCAGAACCAGTTGGTGTCTTGAAGTCTTCCAAATACTGAGTTTCAGAGTTCCGGTGAGAGGATATAATTGGTGGTGCTTAGAAGATGTAGTCCGTAGGATGCAGAAACTTCTAAATTTGCAGATCATCTTCCTCGCACACTACCGAGTATGTTCTTGTGCGACTTCACATGAGACTATACGCTTGCAGCATTCATTGTGCGACAGCGTTGTGCGACCGAACTGTTGAAGCGAAGATTCTTGGGGGTGGCACCGGACGATCGTTATAACTTGAGGATCCGCAGGCCTTCAGGATCACTTGATCAGAGGATTTGTTCGTTCCTGGACCTATCGAGCGTGTTAGTTGCAACGAATTGAAAGATGGCGAGTCGCTTCGTGGTGATCAGAAAGGCGGCATCTCAAAGTGAATGCAAGCTAGACGATGGCAAAAGAGGCGTTCTTTGAATGTCCAAACTGAGGTGGCCAAAAAGTAGAACTCAGCGAAGTATCGTGATATTTGCTCTTAGATGATCCGTCCGAAGATGGCAGAAATGTTTTTAGCAGCCCAGCAAAAAATAACTAGTTCCACATACGCAGAAACCACGTTTTCATCGCCTGGTCGATCTCGCACAATACCCACATTGTCCTTTGTTCTCTTGTACAACAGAGCAACTTTATTAAAACGTGGAAAGAAGCTTTACCAGTAAGGCTCAAACTCTTTGTTTGGGGTCGGAGCCCCCGAACTGCACTGGAAGCTGTCCAGAGAGGTCAAGAAGATGCAGCCCGAACCCGCGATCCTGGAAACAGATCTCCCTGACCAGTGTTATTCTCCCGAACGTGTCGATCATCGATCTCGTGTCACTCGGCTTAGACGGAGCCAGCCGAACATCCTGTCGGGCTCTCCTCCATGTTTGCCTTGCTTGAAGAGGCAAATTGTACATACAAACAGATCGAATCGCATTATTGTCAGCATGGCCCAAGAGAAGGACTCTCAAACGCCGTTGTAGCTGCGCCATAAGGTTCCTTTTGGAACAGAGTTGGAGTTGGTTAGGCTAGTGGGTGGCTGGTGAGCGCACCTTCATGCTGTTGTGGGTTGAGCAGAGTTGGCACGCCCCATCTCGTTACGATCGCTTCTGGCTCGTTTCATGAAACAGACCGCGGTTACTTTGGCGAAAGCGGCTGCGCTGGAGTTTCTTGGAGATGGGCCTTCAGCGGCCCATCTAACTGGTTGTGTCGTTTGTCGGAGGCAACGGATATTCTCGAGGAGAGGGAGACGAGAGAAAGCCAACGGCGAAGAACCAGGGGCTCAGGAGTCAGGGGAATAACAACAACAACAGGGGCAAGGGGTTTAAGCGAGAGAGGCTGAGGCCATACAATCAGTGATTCAGTGGCTCTGAACTTCTGAAGAACAACATCCAATTGGAAGATAAGTACGAGGAAATTGCAGAGTGAGAAATTCATGGGGAAAGATATGGATGCCATGGAGAATCCCACCTTCGACAATGTTCCCTTCCGCATCGGAGACTGGGATTTGGCTTTCTGCTCCTCTTACAGGAAGTTCCGATGCAAAGATGACCGTAATTGCGCTTTACAGGTTTGGCATTGGTTAGGCGTGGAAGTTGCAGTTGCTTAGCACAGCTCCTAAGGCCACCCCGACACCGAGTATTACTGCAGTAGCGCTTGGCTTCCAGAACACTTCGAAATCAAAGATCTGCTGTCTGCCCATACCGCCTCTTCATCACCATGCGCTGTAAATCTTTCAAAGCATAGCGTATTATCAGAATCTTTGCAACCGATACGAGCTGAAATTTGTCAGCAGTGTTACCTAGAATCATCAGGTATCAGTGGCTTGCAGTACGATCGCTGAGCTTCACACCAGATGCCAACTTCGTGCAATGAACGAGAATAACGCAAGCGCTATTGTGGATTGTCTTCCATCGTTTGAAAAGTATTCTATTATTACAACCTGATCTACGGCACCAGCAACAAAACCCGTGGGCCAGTTGGCCGCAGCACACTGGGACCTCTATTGTGGGTAATTAACAGCAATTATTCCCATTCCATGGCCCGCGGATAACAGGATTGTACTGTTTGCGGCCTGTTAACCATGCTATAATGGTATTTCCAGTCATTTTAGCTTGTTTAAGCTTCGATCAAGTCGTCTACCATGGGTCAGCTTCCCTGTACCAAGTACCGTGCCCCAAGTTCCGCCGCCTGCTCCTCAAAGTTCCCCTCTCTCTAGTCTGGGATCGATAGGGGGAAGACTTTGGGTGTGATGTGCGCAGGATCGCCCACGACTACGAGTATTGTCCGTGAGCCCTACGTGACCGGACACCCTGGTTAGTCTCCCCATCATGAAGAGTTAAATGGGCTTAGCTAAGGCCCACTGAGTAAGTTGGGCTGACTTACTTTCCGCTTGTGCATATGCCTCAATCCACATTCTATGGCGCGTCCTCGGCTTCCTGTATCTCTGCCACCCTTTAAGCGCGCTCCGTTCGTTCTTACATCCGGAGGCTCTTGGGATTGACAAAATGCACGCCACCAGAGATAGGAATCCGGATGTGAGGGGAGAGTCTTTTTGAGGATTCTTGCAGACTCAATTAGAAGCGGCGCCGAAGATAGTGGCCAGCGGCGTTAATCGGCGGCTCGCCAACTGAGAAAGTGCCACCACCGCTTCAAGACTGGAGAAAATAGTATGCTACAGATGTAACTGGCAGTTCCGTAATGCTAAAGCCGAAATCCGGCGCCTTGTCCACAGGTAGAAATCGAAACGTGGGGAGCTTGTGCTAAATTCTAAATTAAAGCTTTGGCCTGACAGCAAGTGACAATATAACCGGCCTAAAACAACAACGGTCCGTGAACTAGAGACTGGATTACCAGTATAGTCTTAGTCCATCCAAGGCTGAGAACTAACGCCGTCCCAACCTCGTCTCTACGGCCAGAAAGGGTATCTCGCGGCGTCTGGAGAGGCAGTGGGGGGGAGGTGCAGCGGCAGGATTAGGACAGGGTTGGTCTCACATGGCCCCGGCTTCGACAGGATCTTTGAACAAGTACAAGAGAGCACGTTACTTTCTTCATCTTTTATAGAACCTGCATCAAAGGTATATTACTCTACCACTTCCCCACCATGACACAAACCGCATTCTACAGACATACAAGCCCATATTCAAGCCAAGGCAACTCATACACAATGGATTCATCAGCAGACAAGGAAGAACGCAAGAGAGAGGTATGTATTGCTTTCACTTCTTCTATTCTCATTAACTAACTTTTGATTTGTAGTACAACAGACTTGCACAGAGAGAATTCCGTATGTATTTCTTGCTTTCTTAAATATGACCCATTTCTAATAAATTATAATAGGTCGTCGCCGCAAGGAACATCTTAAGAACCTCGAACAAGCACAAAAAGAGCAGAGCACCGAACAGTCGGAAGAAATCGAGCGTTTAAGATACATGAACGATGAACTCAGACGAGAGAACGAGGCACTTCGAGCTCAAGTGTACGGCTCTTCATCATCATCACACGCAATGTTGTCGGCGCCAATCATGGCGCCGCATGATGGGCGTTCGTACTCGCTGTCTCCTTCAATATCGCAGACTTCTTTATCTGGGGCCGGGAGTCCACCGTCTTCGATGGGTTCAGATATGATGCCTATGGCCGCTCTATCTTTAACCTCATCGATGATGAACTCGAGCATGCAAGCATACTCCGACCCCTCTGCGTTGTCATCTCAACCATACTCTATGGTACATCAATCCGGGCTCCGTCATAATTCACAAAGCTCACCTGAGTCATCAGGGTACCGAAATTCTCGATCTGCAGTGGGATCCCCTTTTCAACCTCTGAGCATCTCTCAGTCGATCGAGGCAGCACCCAGCGTGCATGGCCGCAATAGCAGACTCGGTTCTCAAGCATCAAAGTACGTAGGAAGCACCAGCGCTCTACTATTCCAGTATTAAGACCTCTTCAGCAGCATCATTGCTTCCTACGATCGCAACAAGGCACGAGCACAGATCAATCAGATATTCCAGCCACTATACTCGGACGAAACGATCTTTTCCAACCCAGAGAAACACCTTGCAGTTCTACGATCTCTCAGCGACAACCTACCAGCTTCTTTGAAGCCTAGTCATCGACAGCTTGAGAGCCCGCACTACTGGGGAATAGACATGATCGCGTCGCCTACAATCCGCGAACGGCTTTTGGGTGTTACAAGCGACGTAGCTCAAGGCTTCATCGAGGAAATCGGATTCACGGGACCCGGGCAAACAGATGATGGGCATCTGACTATATGGGGAGATGATCCTTTCAATGATATGTCTTGGGAGTTCTCAAGAGCGGTCTTGGGACGTTGGGGTTGGCTATTAGGCCGCGAGTGGGTGGATAGGGCAAACATGTGGAGAAGACAGAGAGGAGCGGCGTCTCTACCTGAATTCCAGGAGGTAACGGCATAAAATTTTGGTTTACGGTTGCATGGTCATGAAAGCATAGCGATGGCGTTTTGGGCCCTTTGTGGCTGGGTACTGGGGGTCAATCTGCAATGGAAGGCGTTTGGAAGGAAATATGGGTTGGGAAATGACATATATACCACTTGAAATTAAGCATGTTTACGTTCACATTATGACTTTCTTGCAATAGTTGATTTCGTTGTGTTGGGTCTTGAGCTACACCAGCCTTTCACTTGAACAATTTCCCCTCTTCAGCCACAGGTACAGGGACAAATAAAACAAAATCACTTCAATTCAGCGAATGTCTCTTGTCCTGAATTATTGTAATTAACACGTTGATCAACATTTAGAATTGCCACCAAATACCAGCTCGTTTTCCAGTCCATAGATGAACCTCCGTTCAATTCTCTGATTTCGCACGTCTCACACATGGCATTTTAAGATCTGCATTATATTATGCGGCAGCCTGAACTTAAACTCGCGAAGAACACCAGCCAAGCCGGGACCGCACCCGTCGCTGAATTCACGTTCCCGGCCGGCAAAGTTGGCCGTTGGTACTACTGGCATCATCCCTAACTAGCTTATTGCGGCCGACCAGATAAAGGGCCTCCAGCAGCGTAATCGTGGATCGACTTTAGCTGCGTAATTGCAAGGTGATTGCTGCGATTCTACCGGCCAAGATACGTGTGCCGGGCACGGCGGGGGAGGAATTTCGCTTAGAGAGGCGAAGGGTTTAGGGGATTCGATGGTTCATGGTTGCTGAGGGGTTCACAGGTTCGAAACAAATCTGGTAACTCTGAATGGTGATCGAGGATTGGCTTGGGAGTGCTTGAGCAAATGATGCAGTAACGTTGCAAGGAGGGGAGGGAGAGGGAGGGGTGCTAGGAAACTGTGCTCCTGACTCTGTGACGCATGTAATACTGGCTCGAGTTTGCACCTGTTGGGTTTAGAAGCACTTTGGATATTCATTGATTTGTCTATGCATGTAAGTACTCGGTCACCAACAGTTGACCACCCTCTTCAACGCGCTTCAATCACAAAAGCAATTATGAACGGCAAAGTTCATATTGATCATTGGTTCAACTCAAGCTCTATAAGCGCTGAAGAGTTACCAACTATTGAGTTCCCGATAAGAAGAAACTTGTGCTACAGAAGAAGAAGAATGCGGTGTTCCTTCGCTTGAAGTTTCCATCCCTATGCAATCAATGTAACGCCGCTATGTCCACCACTTAAACACAACGTCGATATCACACCTGCGCAAATAATATGCTCACTCACATCTATACCACTCATTGAGATGCTTGTTAACAGGGAAATGCAGGAACTTCAACAAGTCACACATGAGTTAGGTCTAGCCACGCGTATTACTTCAGCACGTTTCAAGAGCTCTCCTTCCCAGTATTGCGGATGTACCGGAGCTACGAGCTTCTGAAGCAGGACGATATTGCAGGAATACGCGTGTGATGGAAACTTCAAAGGCTCCGAATGGAGTCACTCTTGTCGACGCCGCCTGCGGCGCATCCATGGCAGTCAAAGCGACATTCGTCCTCCCTCCGTTCACGACATCACAGCCATGCAGGTGTACAACCCAGCCAACAAGATGATTCTGACATCGGCAGCTGCTATCTTTCCTGGCCACGATTGAGCCTCTCTCCAGCATTGCATCTTCACTAACAGCTCGAGCACCCAATCAGCATGCCTCGTGCGTAAACATCTACCACACCGCTAAGCCCTGGACGGCGCTTCAAGCACCTCCCCCTACCATTCGATGGCGCTTCCAGACACCTTCCTTCGCGGCACAATGCCTCGAGTCTGCTGGCCCTATCAAAATCTCCGTTCCCAACCAACTGAACGAACAACCTTCTGCAACACCCTGCCGAACCCATGCCGTACGCCGTTCCCCATACCAAGGGCGATTTGCGCTCTTCAGGCCTGTTTATCCGGCGTTACATCGTCTTGCGACTTGAAAACCCTTGGTACTTGCCATGTGGCACAATCGTGATGCTGTGACCTGCTCACTTAAGCATCATAAATTAACCATGATTAAAAGAAGAGTGCTTAACTCCGAGCGAGACCAGGAATCTTCTAGGAGTTAAACTCTGAGCTTCACGTAATTGTCTATTCATATACACAGCAGGACGACTACTATCGTAGGAATTCTTCCATTGCGTCTATATATGGTGGGCTCTTCCTATTGGCATTGCTGCTCCCCAATAGTCTAAACATCCCGCTCCACTTCAATCACGGCGTGGAATTCCGTTACTGAAATAACACTTCGCTCATTAGAATCTTCCGAACAATATCTATTGTTGTTTGCTCAGATTTACTTCCCTTGAAATGCAACTTCGGAAGAGTCTAGACCACCGATCCAAGATATCTTCCACCCTCGTTCTCAAATCCTTTGAGGCGTTGCGGAAAAGAAACGAGTTTTCCCATTCGCGAGCCTAAGCGCTATTTGATATCCAATTCTTGATTCTGATGCGTTTTGGCGTCAGTAGTGCTGACCATAACAAATTCGGAGCGCAAATTGGACGCCGGAGACTTTTCGGACACAAAGAATTTTCATTTGACCGCGGCGCGGTGCACATGGGATGAAGCTGTCAGCTTGCAACGACAAAAGAAAGAGACAGAAACCGCTGACATGGAAGCGGGTGGTTGGAAAGCCATCAGCCAGAGTCCTGGAATCTCACATGGCGGCTTGCAGTGGTCATACTCGGTGTTCCAATGGCAAAAGACGTGATATCAAAAACGAATAACACTTAATTTGATATGCGATCTCAGATTTCGTTTCATCAGACATACGGAGTAAAAAGCCGTACGGTAGCCTTCAACCTTGTCTCCACAATCCACACATTATTTCCCAACTTAAAATCCACATCATATCATCTCCACTAGTAGGGCCACTACCCATATCCCATACGGTCCGAATATCGTAAACTACCCAATAAAGCATAGCCAGTTCCATGTAAGCTTAAACCGTATCGCAGATACGATTATCTGTCGATCTTAGTGTTGGTGCAACTTGCAAGAGCCTCTAAAAGTTTGTCGGGAATGGCAAGTTAGTGCCGGGACTCGGCTCGCTCGCTGGAAACGTGGACAGGACCCGGGGACAGGAGTTCGGGTTGAGATGTGATGTGCCAACGCATACTTTGGGATTTGTTGTTTACGATGAGACCGGTGAGATTTGTTGGTTTGGAATTATGAGGATGGTAGAGATGAGCTGACGGAAAGTATTTCGCACCATAGATAGAGGTTAAGCGAACATAGCGCTTTTGCCGAAACTACGTCAAGCACTTGTGAATATTTTCATACTCGATCAATCGTAGATCAAGTGCGAGATACGCAGTATCACAGCATATTTACTGGTAAACTTAAACCCTTCCTTCTAATCGTGATCATACCAGATGGAAAGCCACGGCTTAACACAGGCCAAGTGACTACCTCCTTAGCACGCCTAGTGATATCACCCTACTCTGAAGATCCCCAAAACCCAGATTTCCTGGAAGCATTATCCAAGCAAGACTGCAAAACGTGTCATATTACTCGAACAGGCAAGATACAACCTTGATGGATATCGGGCAAGAGTCTAATCCACCACCAAGGCTACTCCACAATAGGTATGCCGAAACTAAAACATCCGTCGGCACTATATCAACGAACTATTCCAAACGTAGGAATTTACGAAGACAAGACGATGATCTGGTTCTAGTTCATGATTCAGATGCCCAGAAGTGAATTTGGATATCGCTGGTCTCAAGTGCGTATTCCAGCCTGTCTTCTTAGTGAGAGGGATTTTGCTAGGTCGATATCAAGGAAGAGTAATGTTATAAGTCTACGGACGACTGTGTTCTGTATACAGGCAATGCTGTTGCTAGTTGCATTGCTTTCTTACACCATGACAAACCGCGTATGAAACAATCAAAGGCTATAGTATTGTACCTAAAACAATATCGGATTAAGGTAAACCTGTTCATTTGGATTAAAAGTCCCGATCTATATCTTTTACACAAATTACATCCCAGAGAGGGTTAAGAAGAACTGCTGTCAATCCACAGACAAGCTGAAAGGAAAGTAAAGCCAACATGAAGTTGGTTTTGGTTTTAGTAGGTTAGGCGAAAACGGCATACAAGTACTGTTTCTTTTCGTAAATACGATAAAAGATCTAATTCTTACGGTAGGGCAAGTTTCCATACACATGCACAACAGATCTAAATTAACTCAGCGACTTATTCTCGCCACCGAACGGTATCGAGTAAAAGGAACTGCAAGGAAGTGATAATTGACATCACACTTCCACCACGAGACCATAGACTTCCGTCGTTTCTACTCCGCTAAACATCTACAGCAGAAAATAAGTGTTGAAATCCTTTTATTGGAAGTCCCAATAGTTGTGTTTGAAGTATATCCCATTTCATTTCGCTGAAGTGCCATCTTCAAAACATTTTCCTGGCGAATACAGGATATGCTGAAAGCCAAATACCACACTCTTTCAGTTGCAAAAAGAGGCTTTTTTGACACTGGTCATTGAGATTATAACGTGCTCACTTACTACTTCATACCCCATCTAAAATTCATACTTTATGTAAAACAAACCAAAAGCTGTCTCTAGCGAAGTTTTGTATAATCCAAAAACGAAAGTGTCCTCACATTGTACCAGACGAGTGTATTAAACAAGCAAAGCTCAAAATCTGCAAACAAAAATTCGACTTGGCCGAGGTATGCTTGTTTAACTATGTAAGTAGATGTTATGCGTGTGCAGAAAGTAGCAGACTTCAGAGTACGACGCGATTGATTACAGTACTTGGGACACGATATCTTTGAGTGCGAAACTCACATTATTTTGTTCTCGTAATGAATGTTCAACCAAAAATCAATTACACTAAATACTTCGACCGGTCAACACATACGAACTCTCTCTGCACTTAGACTTCATTCCATCAAAACCCACATCCTCCCCTCAACATTATTCTACTCACCCTTCAAACCCTCCAAATACCAAACCAACCTTTTCTTAATAACCACCCCCTCGACCCTCCCACTCCCCTCAGCAACAACAACCAAGTACCTCAGGCCCAGCGCCCCAAACATCTGCACCGCAACTTCCATCGGCGCCTTCCCACACACAGTTAAGGGGGTACGATCCACAAACGCCGCAATCGGACCCTGTAGCAAATCCACCATCTCTTCGCCTTCATCAAGTACACAGGGTTCAGAGAGCACGAAGTCTAATTCGGCTTCGGCGAGATAGCCGTGGAGCATGCCGTTCTGGACGAGGACAACGCCTGCGTCCATGAGACCGCGTGCTTTGAGTTGTGTGAGTTTGGTGGCGAGGAGGGATTTGGGGACTCTGAAGTCGGCGGGGAGGTCTACGGTTATTTCGTTCATGGTTTGTGGTGGTGGGATGAGTTCTTCGACCTGTGAGCCCTCGTTGCGTACAATGTGTAGGGCGTGATCAGGGTCTAAAAATGGATGACCTAGAACAGTTTGTGCGAGATCGTAAACACCTTCGCTGCTGAGAGCATCGGCAACCCATTTTGCGATCAAGATGGCGATCATGAATGGAGGGATGTAATCTACTTCGCCTGTAAGTTCGAACATGATGACGGCGAGGGAGACGGTCATTCTGGAGATGCCAGCGAGAAAGGCCGCTGCTCCAACCATGGCAAAAATTCCGGGGGAAATGTCGGGGATTGCTTGGCCTACGAGACGACCGAAGAGGGCGCCGGCGTCGAGAGCTGGGATGATAATTCCTGATGGGACTTTACAGCCAAAGGTGATGATTGTGAGAATGAGCTTGACGGATGTACCGTACAATAACCAGCCGTAATAATTGGTCTTGTAGTCTTGACCTTCCTGGGCACATATCCAAGAGCCTTCGGGTTGTCGACAATCGATTAACACACTCTTCAGGATTATATCTCCAGGTTCCCGCGTCAGTGGATTCGGGAACTGAAGAAGAGCTGTAACAAGCACGACTAATGAAAGCTCAAAGACTGGGTGGTTTTTGATGATTGAGTATTTGCGAAAAGATTTGGACCAAAGAAAGTTCGCTCTGCAGAAGATACCACCAAAGAGCCCGCCTACGATTCCGAGGAAGACGAAGACAAGATAGTGTATCGGTTCATAGTTGACTCCGTAATTTGTCTCGAATAGCACGAGCTTTCCGGTTCCAGTTGGATTTAGTGCTTTTAAGACAATCGCTGCCGTGAGGGAGCAGAGAAAGGCCCTCCAAAGCACTTTCCGAGGGAAGTACGTGCTGATTTCCTGTTACTAGATTAGCAAAAACACACCTGCAATTGCAGAGTAGCTCACCTCATAGGAGAACAAAACACCGCCAATTGGTGCGCCAAATGCAACACTAAGACCGGCTGAACATGCCACGCTTAGCATCTCTCTCATCTTTCGACCATTGTCTCGATATTTGGGGAAAAGACTAGCAACAAGATATCCCGCGCAGGTTGAAATGTGTACAAATGGACCTTCCTTTCCCAAACACATTCCAGTTGCTACAGCAAAAGCTGATCCAACAGCTTTGACGACAAGCACCTTCAAGTCAAGAAAATGTGGAATGACAAAACCTGACAGGATAGTCTTGATTTCAGGAATTCCGGAACCAGCAGCCATATACATAGCTTTACCCACTGGGGATGTTTCCTCGGATCGCTCAACAGAATCCTGGTGAGATACAGCAGGCAGATTCGCTTTCGTAGTCATCGTCACACCACCAGCAATCATTCCATATATCAAGGCAGACCCGACATATACAGCGAACTTGACCCAGTATGTGTCCGACCACCAAACCCAATCCTCACAGTTCTCGCCAACGGCACCACTGATACTTGGAAATGGTGACTTATTCGTACAGCATGCTTCGCGTGTAGTGAGGAAGTTTGTGGAGCAATGTCCGAGTTTATAATCGCTTAGAGTGGCTTCACTAATGTCTACATAGAATTGTCAATGAGATTTCTCTTAGGTGGAGGTGGAACATACCAACCGCAAATGCTACCGCTGCAGTAAATACACCTATCATTGCTGCTGCTATCCATCCTTGACAAGCGTCCCATGCTGCCCACGTTCGATTTATGAAGCCTTTCTTGGAATGAAGATCGCGGAACCGGTAGGAGTCTTTGATCTGTTCGGGCAATGAGTCTTCGTGACGTTCCCGCGACAAAACAGGCTTACAAGATCATGAAGCCAATCGATGGTGGTGTAGTCATTGTATGGCAGCCTTTCACCTATAGCTGTCCCACCTAATGCGAGTTCCTCTTTCGAGAGATGAGAAGAGATGATTGAAGAAGCATCTTCAGCCCGATAACTGCTTCTCCTGCCGCTCAGCTCAGTGACCCGCGGATCAAGTAGTCTTGATTGTTCATGGGCTTCCTCATCATAAGGCATGGTTGTATGTAGCCGCTGTTGGAGAGGAAAGAAAGCAAACGAAAAGCATCCTTGAGAATTGCAATAGAAGGGAGCAAAAGAGAACGAAGTTGAGCATCTCCGCAGACCTCCTTCAACCTACCTAGCTATCAATACCAGCGTGGCCAGCTGGTTGGCTGCAATATCCTGAGCTGGTAATGGCATCTAGATGTAGATAAGGATAGCGATAAGCTGCCATGCAATTGTTGCGGGGAAAAGCGTGCAACCAATCCTTGAAACACTGCATTTGAACCAACTTGTCGGATTGACGTACATAGGACAAGGCTGATGGAGGTTCAGCCTTGCAATAAGGGAAATGAAGATATAACAGCATCATCTGGAGTTTTTGAATCTCTGAAGATGATTGAACCAACTAACAAAGGATTCGACTTCGACGGGAAGAAAGTGAAGCATGTGATAAGTGGGGCTGGCCCGCCAAAAGCTGGCTAGCCCGTTTCTAGCCAGGACCCCGAAGAAACGATCCAGAGCACGAGACCAATTCAAGCATAGCACAACCGTTTTTAGCTCCTCACTTATTCATACTTCCGCCAGATTTGACCATTTGTCCCCTATTTTCCATCCTCTTATTAAATTGTGTCTTCGTTCCTAGAACTTTTCTCAACCCTGTGCAACATAGACTGAGTCAACTCTCCACACAAATTGAGCATTTCAAGGACTACTTTCATCATCCCCACCTACTCCTCAAAACCTCCACTTCTCCACAACCCAATTCATAGCCAGTTCATACATTTCCGTATACCTAAAAGTGCCTCTTCAGACACAGCAGTTCCTACCGCGAGTACCTTTCTATCTAATTCGCGACGGCCAATTCCTAGAAGAGGCGATTTATGACGTCGTCTGGCACATGCTACAAAGCAAACCGCTGATTGTTTCCTGGATTCTCACTTCCATACTGTGAATCTCACCCGCGCATGCCGCTCGACGTTTGGCATATTTTCGTACGTTCTTCTCATTCTTTTATATACGGCAGACTAACTTTTTACAGATCTGCTACTTCACCGACTTTCCTAAGAAAAGAGAAACCTGAGCACCACCCATTATGGGCTCTCCACTCGAATCACAACCAAAGCCTGGCAAAGTGAGATTCATTCCTCTAAGTTACAATCAAAGCGATTCACAAACATCGGCCCTACGTTTGATCCTCACACTCCGACCAGATTGGGAAAATACCGATGGAAAAATCGAATTTATACGTTTTACTGATGGCATAACCAATACACTGTTAAAAGTCATTAACAAGAGGCCCAATCTGTCACCGGAGGAAATTGACGATGAAGCCGTCTTGCTAAGAGCATATGGTCAAGGTACGGATTTGATAATTGATCGAGAACGCGAGACTCAAAATCATGAGTTACTCATGCAATACAATCTTGCTCCAGCTTTGTTGGCCAGATTTCATAATGGAATGCTTTATCGATTCATTCAAGGATCTGTGACATCACCAGCGGATTTACAACGAAAGGAAATATGGAGAGCCGTTGCCAAACGATTGGCAGAATGGCATGCTGTTGTTCCCTGTTTACCATCTGCCAGAGCACCACTATCCGCGGAAATTGTTGGAAGCGAAGAAATAGGTATCTCAGCACCAACACCCAGTAAAAAGGATCCAGCTTTACAATCTGCGATTGATTCTGTTGCGCCTGGGAAGCTTGCTCCCAATGTTTGGACAGTAATGCAAAAATGGATATATGCACTTCCCACCAAGACAGAAACCGAAAAGTCAAGACAAGCAAGCCTTCAAAAGGAGTTGACCAAAATAGTCGAGGAGTTTAGTAATCGACCTGGCTTGGGTAAAGATAGCGTGAGTTTAATTCCCGCCTAAGGCTTTGCGTGATTCGGAGCACCCATCACTACCACAATGACTTTCAGGAAATTCGGCGACACTGATAACTAGAAACTCACTGACACAAACCAGCTCGTATTTGCCCATTGCGACCTCCTAAGTGGAAACGTAATCATCCAACCCAAAAAAACTGGCACCACAACTCCCTCGGACAAAGAAATCGTCAGTTTCATAGACTACGAATACGCAACCCCCTCACCCGCCGCCTTCGACATAGCAAACCACTTCGCCGAATGGGGCGGCTTCGACTGCGAACACCATCTCCTACCCGCGAAATCCCAGCGTCTCGATTTCATCCGCGAATACATCCGCAGCTACTTCTCCTTTCAGAAACCAGATTCCCCTGTAGACGAGGAAACGGAAATCAGAAAGTTGTTCGATGAAGTCGATGTCTGGCGCGGTATCCCGGGGTTCTATTGGGGGATTTGGGCGCTCATCCAGGCTACCATTTCGCAAATCGACTTCGATTACGCGTCGTATGCCGAGGTGAGACTGGGCGAGTATTGGGCGTGGAGGGCCGAGGGGGATGGGAGTCGTGTTGCTGAGGGGAGGGAGATCTCGGTTAGGGAACGGAGGTGGGCTGAGGAGTCTTGAAGAGGATATTAAAACTGATCTGGAGCTTGGTGGAGAATACATAAATTGATTTGGGGTTTGGGATATCGAGATTTTATTGGGATGGGTCGGGTCCATAGGGCTTCAACGCACATAGATGGATGGGAGTTTGTTGTGTGGATTTGGAAATTGGGCGTTTGATATACTACTACTACTACGACACTCCTCGTTCTTCAACGGATGAGGGGAGGTTGGTAGGCTGGAATATACCTAGATTGATATTCGTTTCTTCTTCTTCTTCTTCTTCTTCGTGACTCCTATGATTTCCTGGTGGTCACAGTAAGTAGTAACATCTTTATCTGGTGAACCTCAACCTCTCTGGAGTATGCCATGCTAGCTCGATATTGTGCAAGTGCGGTATTCTGATGTCACATCCCTATAAGTCTTTGCCAGCCTTGGTCTGTAAAGCTGACTTTCATGGAATCTTTTCCAGATATCAAAGTAAGCCTTATAATAACGATTTGAAGCCACAGCTTCACAGAACCTCATTTTAGTATCTGAGGCCGGATATGGTATTCGTATGGTGAAATCGGGATGGATAGTGTGGGGGAGAATCTTTGTTTGAAGCTATAAACCTGGGCTGAGATTAGCAAGTTAGGTCTAACATGACAGCTATTTCTCGAGATAAGAGCCAATAATTGACAGGCAGTAGCAAAGTCGCGCCTTTCGAATGAGGAGAATACAGTGATAGATGATTAAAGATAGAATTACTCTTTAAATAAGTCCCATCTACCAGCACTAGATATCACCCCCAGCACATCAAGAACTGCAAACTTTTCCGCTGTATTCTCCTATCTTACAAGGAGAATCCCCATACCCATCGTCGCGCACGACATCTCCAAAAGCGAATCAAGTATCGATTCTTCACAAGCGCTTTTACTCATCATCCTCATCATCCTCGATAACATTCCTCTTCCTCCCTCTCCCCCCAGCGGGCCCATCATTCGAAGCTTGCGCCGCCGGCGCCTCGTCATCATCCAGATCCGCTTCACCATCGGCATCTGCATCACTGACCTCTTCAGACTTGGAAGTTTTCTGTTTCTTTGCCTTCGGTTCTTCGCGATCACTCTCATCCTCGAGCATCTCTTCCTCTTCATCGTCATCTGCTCCACCTTCTTCAATCTCCTCGTCGCTGGATGCAAGAAAGTCATCCTCCTTGTCGTACTCATCTTCCCTTCCTTTCCCGCGTGGTAGGTCATCGTCTGAATCGTACTCGGGCCTTCGTCTCGGTCGCTTAGCTCCGGGAGGTTTCCTGCCTGTATTTGGCCCTCGTCTTCTTCCGCCTTCGAGGTCATCCACTGTTAAGATGCCTGCTCCACGTCTGGAACCACTCTGGTTTGCTTTCTCGGCTGCGGTTTCCCGTCGGCGCTGGAGCCTCATTTGTTCCTTCTCAGCCATCTCGGCTCTCTTCTTTTGCAGCTCAGGATCTTCCTGATTGACAATGAGTTCCGGTCCGTTCTTGTCGTTGCCGCCCTTTCGGGCAGCCGCTGCTAAACTCTTTTGAAGTCTGTCTAAAGCATCGTCTTCGACATCTTTGTTCGGTCGTACGGTATATTCATTCGTCATATGCCCGACTATACCCAATAGTTGCGCAGTCATAGATGGGGTAGCAAGGTAAGAGTGAGAGTCCCTAACCTCAAGATACGGTTTGCTATCTCGCGGCGGCGCAAGAGGTTTCGTCTGTAATTCGTAATGTTGATCCCCAACGCATATAGTGGTACTGCCGTCACTCCATTTGTAAACTATCGTATTGCTTTCCAGATTTCCTGCTGCGTCCTTACGATGGCGCATTGTGGTGGCAGCAGTTGCGCTGGCGGAAAAGTTGGCTGAAGCTACATTTGAATGATGATCCGTCATCTTTACTTTGTAACTATCGCGTGTGTACAGGTGCGGTTCGATACCGAGAAACTTGGGGAGTCTGAGAGAGTTCAACTGAGCGCTATGTTAATAACGCTCATGGAAAAATGACCTTTTTGACATACCTCCCCGTCCACAGGCTTTGGCAATGGATGCCTGGGCAGTGTCTGCTCTGAGATCCGCAGGTCATGAGTTACACCTTCATCTAGCAGATCTTCCTGTCTCCTCTGCCGTCTGTCCTGCCTGTTCTCGTCGTCGCCAGAATCTAGTTCTTCATCATCCAATTCGCGCAGCTGGTCAGCTTTTGGTTCCTCATCCGCCTCATCTCCGAAGAGATCATCTTCTTCAAGCTCAGGCTCTGAGTTGAGAACGTCGTCTTCGGAAGAAGCCATTATGGCGACCGTCAATGCTTGTTGCTTGAATTCAACAACGATATTGAGCTCCTGGTATTTTATCGCGAGGCGCGTCGCAACTTGTGGATGCTCTTTTCAGGTCGACCAGTAGTTGTTGCGCAAGGTTTAAAGTGAGGTTAAATCTGGTGAGTCTGCACAATTGACGCTGCGGATATCAGAATTGATATGGAAGAACAGACAATCGAGCTGATGAGCTTCCAGGCTAAGCTCACCCAGATGCTTGTACAACTACAAGTATCTGAAGTCGACCAAAAGACGAGCAAAGGCGGCGGCGGCAGTATCCGCGCAACGCTGTCAGGAGGCTTCACCGCCCTCGGCAGCGCTAATCACTTTCAATATCTGGATCGGTCTGTTTGAGGAAGTTAATCAACCCTCTGCGATATCGTATTTGACAGCCCTCCAGTTCTTCCGCCATATCAACACGAGTATCGAGCGGGACAAGAGACACACGTGACCCTACTTATCTGCGAGTGGTGATAGCGAGCTCGCCATGTCGAACTTATTCTCTGGAATGTATGTATTGATTTTTCCCCCTTATGTTGGTGGGGGAGTTGCGTGGTTGCGGGACAGCTTCGGTGGCTGAATTGAAGGGGTGGGAAGTCGCATATCTTCTGGGACGACCTTTCTTTGATACATTCAGCTGGTCTACGAGACGGGAATTTCATCAAATATGTCTGGCTGGTCAAAAGCGTGACCAAGACATGTCTCATCAACCAGCTGTCCTTTGCTTTGGTCCCGTCACACACTTCGCTGCTCTCGTTACGGCCATTCCAGCAATTTAGTTCTGTACTGGGAGGCAGAATATTCCATGAAATAGAACTTCTCATTAGCTTGGCAGTTGCCTCGCAGTGTCCAAAGCAGGCTGAGATGGGGAAATCATTCACTTCACTCCAGAAATCGGGATTCGTAAATAGAAAAGTGCCAGCAAGTGCGTTCCAGGATACATCGTTTTATAGCCATGTCTCGGGCTGTCTCCGCGCTATGAGATTAAATCCAGATTCACCCCAGATCACGTTCGGCAATTTCAGAGCACCATTCACTAACACATTTATAGTAGCGGACGCTTCCGAGGTGGTGGTAAGAACGGAGGAGCTAAAAGCCCTGGGGCACCCAATGGAGCTTCGCCAACATCTCCCATAGGCAATCCTCAAGGCAGTTCTTCTTCGACCAATTTAGCACCAAGAGTTCCGCCACTTCCAAACTCACCATCACTCTCTCAGAGTATGTCAATGGAGAATTCAAGCGCGGGTGGTCAGGCCAACAGCAATGATCCTCTCGCTATCTACAATCTCCCTCGACCCAAACCCTTATGGTTGAATGACACCTACTCTAAACACATTGTCAAAGGCAACTTTTCGACTTTGTCAGCACGTCCAAAGACTGTAGAGCAAGGGGAATGGATTGCCCACCAAGGTGGGACCAACTTCGATATCATGAGTGCTTTACAGCTAACCTCTCAATCAAGTCGTCGAACACTACCGCAACCTATGGAACTTCGTTCGTGTGATACATGATAAGGACGAGAAAGACAACACCTCAATTTGCAATGCGCAGACGTGTCCTCGTATGTCTGCTGGAGAGTAAGTTCAGTCGAAGTTGTTGAATTCACTACTTTTGTTCTAATCTTCTATCCAGCAACCACTCCTTTACATGGTTGAACAGCCGTAGAGAACCAGTCGAGGTTCCGGCATATGAGTATATTTCTCTCATGCAGCGATGGATCTCTGGTAAAATCGATAGTACCACACTGTTCCCGACCGACCCAGCAGGTGTCTCGTTCTCCCAAAATCCTAGTGGACCTGCTATCGCCAGTGCTACATACGCTTCTGGAGGCCTTGACACCCCTGGGTCCAACACTCCGATTCCTGCGGGACCAACCACCCTGAACACTTCTTTGTCCCAATTATCTGGCGCCGGTGATTGGATTGGCAAAAGCAGTGGATTTCCACAAGAATTCGAGGATGTATGCCAAACAATTTTCAGACAAATGTTCCGCGTCTATGCTCATCTCTATTGGGCGCATTTCATCGAGCCTTTCTATCATTTAAGCCTCGAAAAGCCTTTGAACAGTTGCTTCAGTCATTTCATTTTAACAGCAACGGAGATTGACATGCTGAAGCCTCATGAGCTGGAACCAATGCAACCGTTAATCGACCTCTGGGCTGCGAACGGAACACTTCCTAAGGATTCGAAGGCTTATGGGTGTGCCAATCTCCGAGCTGGCGAGCGCTTACTTCAGCTAGCCGGCCCTTGATGGAAAAATCGAGACTTGAATGGACTGGTCTTTGCATAGTTTGCAGTTCGCTTTCTCATAAGGGTGGAGTTGTGATTGATACTGGCATTGAGAGGGCGGCGTTTCTGCTGTAGTGTTCAGGAGAACTCAGCTTTGTGGATTTCGACGATCTCCTAGCATAGTTTTGAAGCGATGTCGCATGATTTTGACCTGGGGGGCTTCAACTGGAAATGGCGTTTACATTTTTGATATTAGAACAAACAACAATGTTTTCAGTTCCATATAGACAGTCATACTCTTTACAATCGAGATGGACTAGCAAAAGCATCACAACTGAAATCACACATGAGAAAATCCATTTCTTCCAGCTCACAAAATCTTCTTGGAATTACAATGCAACTACCATTCCTTCCCTCACTCACTCACTCACTCAAACACCACACAACTCTTCCTCTCCCAATTCCTCGCTCCTCAAGCCACAACCTCACTAATCATATACTCAACCACAACCGGCTTTCCCTTCTCCACCACAAATCGGCCGCTCCCCACATAGATTTTCTCCTCCATCCCCCGCAACGCCTCACTCCCCGTCTCAAACAACACATGCGTAACTACATTCCCGAACTCCGTCGTCGCTGCATCGGGAGCACCAGATAACACGGCGCCGATCTGAGGTGTTAGCGTGATTATGCCGCTGTATTTGTACAGGATATAGGCGCCGGTCGTGTCGGAGAGGGTGGATGTTACGTCGAGCCGCTGGGGGCGTTAGTATGGCCCGTGTTGTACGGGAGAGGGAGATAGATGGGGGATGGGGATGGGGGAGAAAGGACGAACAAGGTGTTTCCCAGAGGGATCTTGTCGGATATTATCTACCCCATGAACGAATTTCGCGTTTACTTTTATGGGATAATCTGGTTCGGAGCGTAGGAAGGAGTTTTCGGAGCGGAAGGTTGCGATTGTGAGGGGGGCGCCATGGGAGACGGAGCCTACTGAGATGGGAGGGTCGAGGACGATCTGGGGGTGTTAGGTTGTAGGCATCAAATAGATAGGAAGGGAAGGGAGGGGAAAGGGAAGAGGAGGGACCAACGTTAGTTGTGAATGCGGGGATTAGTTTTGGGAAGTTTGACATTTTGGGTGGTTGTTTTGAGGGGTGAGGTTGTGGTTGTGGTTGTGGTTGTGATTGTGGTTTATGAGGGTTGAGATGTTGAGAGGGGTTGTGATGGTTGGAAAGAAGGAAGGTACGATTCAGATCTTACAGACTTTCTTTTTATACTACTAGAAAGAAATCACATTCAGTTGATTGAACTAGCTACGAAAGATAATCACTCGTCGATCCGAGTGTAACGAGCAGGTGCGGGAGATGTGCTGCCCCTCTTTGACCCCACCTTCTCTTTCTCGGTGTTGTGGAACCAGAATGGGAGAGACAACACCAGAGCATATTGGGCTTCCTTTTCAATAGTAGAAACCTGCTGTCAGACATCCTCATTTTAACCGTTTTCGCTTATTGCCTTTCAGCAAATTCGAAGTTAAAAAGCGTCGAGTTTTCAGGTATACTTCGAACTTACTTTCTACTAGCCCTTCAATGAGTGCGGTATGAAAACGGTCGTTTGGAGAAAACGGATTCAAGAATTTGAGGATTCCTTAGAAGAGAGATCATTAGTATATTATAGAGTGGTGTTGTTCTGCAAACAAAGGTATGGGTGGATTTGTTTGAGCATATTCAAAGTTTCTCTCCAAACAAGCACAGGGGGTGCACGGATTCGTTGCACGGTATTTTAAGCACAACTTCGAAAAAGTACTAATATTTCACACATAACTTTAATAAAATCGCCTAGAATAACCTATATAGTAGTCTAGTACTTACTATATATTAATTAAGGTTTTTTTTAGTTACGTATAAAAGTACAAAAACATGTTTTGCGACCTTAAATAGTGCTTTGCTTAAAATACCGTGCAACGAATCCGTGCACCCCCTGTGAAGCAAGGAGATCGTATAAGATGATGACTAGCATGTTAACAGTCTCTTGCCTCCAAGGCTCAAAACACTACAAACATCTCAAGTTTTGCTGGCCTACATTTTAATACAGACCGCATGATTTGCCTTTTCCCTTTGAGCATCGTCAATTGCTGACTGTCCGAAGCTGTTCATGATTGGTGTTTTCACAAAGTTGTCGTGGAAACATTGACCAGACAAAGGGCAAAGCCAATCACATGTTTTTGGATAGCTGATTGTTGTGAGCAAATAGTTGAACCATGCTCGATCCAAATGTTGAATGACAACGAATCATACTATTGACTACATCCGTCATCGGTCAATTACTGCAGACCCTGAGTCGTTAAAGTATAAAGCTGTGTTGGGCCTTGGCCACTTGGGTATCAAACCCTAGATTGATTATCAGATTTCGTTTTCTTGATTAAGCACTTATCTCAGAATGTCTTCTCCGTCGCCTCCAGACCGTTCAACGCAAATGCCACCAAAAACCTCACCTCAATCGAAGTCTTCCAGTGGATCAGCCCACACCCAGTTTCCAGTCTCAACGGGGGCTTCTCTCAATCAACCGTTCAGTGGTGATCCACGTGATGTCTTTGAAGCGGTGGCAACTAAATTGCATGCTTGGGTAATTTGGGAGCTCAAATAAAACCAGCGGGTCTCAGAGGAGACCGGGAAGAAGTAGATCGTATTATTCATGAATCGTTTCGAGAGGCCGGAAGATTATTTACCGCACTAGGACCAATATTGAGCCAGGACTTGGCACCGATTCCGCAACATTTCTCCAAGTGGCTGGCACAATTGCACAGACTTTTGAAACCATGGGTATCTGAAATTAAGACACGTGCAAACCAGAGGCACCAATCTGGTGAAGCCGCCCTGCAACCTTCGACAATCGAATGAAAGACGCCTCGAATCAAATAAGATGGAAACATCAGGTCTCCTCTCGAAGACAGGCTGCTAACGGGTGTATTGTCAGTGGTCTGATATAGAAAATAGCTGATGACGGAAGAGGAACCTATACCAGATTGTTATCTGACAACTTGGAATGATGAAGAAGCTGGCGTCCTCAGACCTGACAATGAACGTTGGATCATTCCAGGGAAAGAAAGATTTGTTGAGCTTCAGTTGAGCTTCTCATACATAGTCCAGAAACATTTTGGAGCAATAGAGATAGCAAAGAATTCATAATGAGATTTATCGAGTGACAAGAGAAACTAGTTTAGATGTTGATAACATGTTGGAACAAGCACCGCCTAAATAAGCATAAATTTGGTTTGATACCTGTGGCCTAACCTACAGTCACAAGCATTGATAATGAATTGAAGTTGTTGACCGTCCAAGAACATGCTTCTAATGAAAGGTGTTGCGAGGTGTACTTGAAATGTATCAATTACTCACCGCCTGAGTGGCAGAATACCTTGTGTAACATCCGCTGTTCGGGTGCAGCTGTGTTGACCCGGATTTCTGTCACATGTCAGCCCTATGCATTCGTCACAAAGCTTCAATGTCTGAAGCACCTCGTTGAATGACTGAATGCCTGCACCTTCTTACATTGGAAGATATGTGACCACGCCATACAATGGGATTTTCTCTTTTCAGATCAATTTTTGTGCCTCCATCAGCTTGCAATGGCTTCATTCTTACCAGCCGTTTGGGCAATGATCTTGGACGTGCTCCTGTTCTGGTGGACTGTCAGTACTTCCCCCTTGGTTGGCACATCACCTAGCCTAACCTTTTAAAACAGAAAATCATCAGCTGGTTTACGCGTAAGCGGCCCGTACAGGTCTGGTTTGACATTCTTCGAGACGCGCAGACCTTCGACGAGTGGGAAGAAGCAGCACTTCAACTAGATGTCTTGCTTGGGAACGACTTATGGTTCGTGAAACCTATCTCCCATTTCCGTTGCGTTGTGCTAATGGCTTCCATAGGCGTCAAAACCCTACCTCGAAATACTACGACTACCGACTGATCCATGAACGATTACAATCCATCATAATTGCTCGGGAAGAGGGAGACATTTTGCAATTGGTAAACCTGCTCCGATCGGGTCTGGTTCGGAACTTGGGAAACATATCAACACCAAGGCTGTTCAATAGGGCCTTCGCAGGAACGAAGCTTCTCATCGAAGACTACATTACACAAGTTGCACAAGCCACAGCGGATGTTACGAAGCTTCCGACATCCCCTGGACCAGATGGAAGCTCAGTTATACCGGGTTTCAGTAGCCAAGCTAAGCTTGATCTGCTCCACGACACAAGACAGGCTTTTGGAAGGAGTACCTTGGTTCTGCAAGGAGGCTCGATTTTTGGTTTATGCCATCTGGGCGTGGTAAAAGCATTATTTTTCAAAGGGTTGCTGCCACGAATAATCACAGGTACTGCCACTGGGGCTCTGATTGCTGCGCTTGTAGGAATCCACACAGAGGATGAATTGCCAGAGTTTTTGAGTGGCGCGAGTATCGATCTTACGGCTTTCGCTAGCAAGGGAGCAGGAGATGCTCCCAATACAGCAAATACAGCACACGATGGCTGGCGGAGCACCTTGTCACGAAGAATAAAGAGATTCTGGAAGGAGGGCTACTTTTTGGATGCCTCTGTGCTAGAAGAGTGTGTTCGAGACAACGTGGGAGATCTCACTTTTGAGGAGGCTTATAACAGAACCAAGCGTGTGCTCAACATCACCGTTGCTACATCCGGCAGAAGTGGTGTGCCCAACCTTCTGAATTACTTGACAGCTCCAAACGTAGTAGGTTAGATCAACGCCAAAGCCAAAACGGAACTGACATTCTACTAGTTGATTTGGTCTGCTGCATTAGCTTCTAATGCATCATCACCGTCATTATATGGCCGGCCTCCGACATTAAAATGTAAAGACAGCTCAGGCGCAATAGTTCCATGGTCTGCTGCAAGTGACACCACCTTTCGACCATGGACCCACGTCTCTTACGCCGATAGAGATTCCCCATTGACACGAATCGCGGAATTATTCAATGTTAATCATTTCATTGTTTCTCAAGCTCGTCCGTACCTTGTTCCATTCCTACAGAGTGATATGCATGGCCCTTCGCCGGTACACACTCGACGGGGACGAACATCCCTCACAGGTGGCCTTCTCAGACTGTTTACAATGGAGCTCCACCACCGTCTCCAGCAACTTGACAGCCTCGGCTTTTTGCCTATGTCTATCAGAAGATTTCTGGTTGACGAGCATATCCCAGCGGCATCTGTCACATTGGTTCCCGAAATCTCTGTTGGAGACTTCTTACGATTACTGGAAACTCCAACCCAAGCAAGTCTTGACTACTGGATTCTGCGTGGAGAGAGAAGTGTCTGGCCAGCTGTGGGAGCTCTAAAGGTTCGATGTGCAGTTGAAACGGAACTAGACCGTGGATATCAAATTGTACGAAGGAGAAAGGCGGGCGGCTTGCGTCGGAGAGGAAGTGCCGTCGACAACGCGAATGGAAGGTACTCTACAAAAGCACGAGAACGTGCTAATAGCGCGGGTGCAAAATAAAATACAGACAGGGTTGGATTCAAAACATGTGCGGCGTCGACTGTCATCTGGAATTTCAAGGGCAAATAAGACCAGGCGAGTACTCTCTTTAACTGGAGTCTTGAAAGCTATTTGAAGGCGTTCGGGTTCGTCAGCCTTGCAATTCTCCACCCATCTATTCGACAATTCATTGCTACCCAAAAGCCATGTCTTTGCCTCGCCTTCAGCAGGGACATGGGAAGCGGAGAGATAGAAGGAGGCTAGAAGCATGTTGGAATACGCAAGCTTAGATCAAAAGTCTCACTGGGCAATGGTAACCGGGTTCACATCATACCTATGAACAATGTACGTCAATGCAGATCAGCAGCAGCAGTTGTTACCACTACGTATCGTCGCTTTCTTCTTATTGGCACTCAGTTCGCAAGTCCCCGCGCTCAGGAGTACGACTCATAAGGTCAGATGCACGAGATTGCATTCCCCAGATCTCATGCTATGATGCCATTCATGAGGCTCTGCCCAGATCTCCTTGCGAGACCGGACTCGAAGGGCTCTCCTATTAAGCGAGCTGGCCTTGGGCAAGCTTCATCGGGCCGCGGCGCACCCCGTGATTGCTTATGAAGCAAGAGCTCTGCTTTGTTTCCTGTCTTTAGCCCTTTGAATTCCTGCCTGGCATTGGCGAATGAAAGAGCTAAATGCATGCAACCTGCCTCTCTGATAGGTTTAGATGGATCACGGCTCACTCTCTAGATCTCGGTCAGCCTAAGCCGGCTACACCCACCTTCAAACCACCACTCGGCACAAGGCAACGCCCATGATCCGTCCAGCTATCATATCATTTTAACGCACAGTGATGCTTATCCACGTCGAACTGGTCTAATGTGCAACGTGAGTTGTCATTATGGCCCTGACAAAATGTTGTTAGGCGTTAATATCCTGCGATCTCGTCACGTTCCACAGTCCGAGGCTAACCGAGCCGAGTTCAGGGGCAGCTGGAATCGTCGACGACCGCCATCCGAATGGCTACATAATGCAGCCACATTGAGATACTGCACCTTGAGAGACCAAATGTCACTACTCCTGCATGTTGCACGTTAGATGCGTCGTCATGGGAGGAGAATTGGGGACTGTTTGAACGTGTGGAGTAGTAGTTCCTCTAATCCGGACCACACATTAGGTAGGGCTGACGAGCCGCAACAGCGGAATTGGAAGACACGAAGAACTTGGAAGCTGTTTTAGTCCCCCCAATTCCGTTTCCGCTTCCGTCATATGTCGAGATATGATTTGATAACAGCTATAGCTTTGAAGCTACCCCTTCGACCCCTCATTCCTTCAAAAAAGAGTCCTGGAAAGATCCGGCGGCTGCCTCATACTAGCTGGGCGTACCACCGTCACTTCTAAGTTACACGCCTCGCACTTTGCACCTCACTGCCCGATCATCGGAGGGTTTATCGACCCAATTTCACGAGCTGCGGTTGAAGACGTGTCGATGATCTAGTTGCTCACGTTCACGTCCATGTGCCAAATTCCGAGGAGGTCGGTGCATACGAGAAATATAAGATCACAGGAAGTTCTATGTCTGATCTCCTTCGTCCAAGAACTTTCAAACTCATCATCAGAACTCTACTCACTTCAAATTTGTATTCATATACCCCTTGCACTTGCAAACATTGTAAACCAACATCGTCTTCCTAGCTCACTGCTGTACCTTGTCTTTGCCATCAGCCTTATCACATACTGCATCATCTTGCATCACTACTACCACACAAGCTCTTCAAGGGTCTCAGCCTTATCCATCTCTACCAGTCATCGTAAGTACATCCACCCAAGAGGATATTAACTTACTAACAACCTTCAGATTCCTAATGGGATACCAATACTCCACCATGACATCCCACAACAACAAGAACAACAATAAAGACAACCAAACCAATCACCCTACCCGCAGCTACGAAGATTTCACCTGTCCAACATGCTTCCGCACCATTTCCGCAGACCGTTTCCCCATCCTCAATCTCGAAAACTGCAGTTGTATTGATACCACCACTGCCAACTCTCCACCCAAGAACGACTATAACCCAGAATCCCCTCCCTCTTCTGCTAACTCTGTTCCCCCGGAAGCACGAAACCAAAATACCTTCCGTTCCCTCGCACCCTCTCCAAGCCTGGGCCAAACAGAACAAACTCACCCAGCAATCTCATATCCACTCCACCAATACCTCACAGAACAAACACAAGAATATGAATGTGTGCCTGTGCAGATGGAGCGGGAGACCAGGATGGATATGCAGGTTGACTCCATGGCTAAGGGCAAGATCAGCAAGAAGAGCTCAGAGGGCAGTGATAGGACGTGGATTGGCTACGGAGGCGCCGAGATGGCCGGGCTTGGGGGATGGGTTGAGGGTGTTGGATTGGGAATTTTGGGGCAGGATGGATATCCGCTGGTTATGAGTGGGTTGAGTGAGTGAGATGGCCGAGCTATCATTTGGTGGTGCATTTCCTACGGGGTAGTTTATGGTTGTACGGAGTTTCTCATTTCTATGGTGTTTAAGGTTTTATGGGGATATTTCAGGCGTTGTTTTGTTGGCTGCATGTCGTTTTGTATGATTGGATGCTCGTTATACTCGCGGACTCAAGTCTTGGCGTTTGGGATGATAAGTTTGATACCCCATTTACTGTCGTTTCTTTTTGGGTGGGTGTTTTGTAAGATGTTTGTTTTGTTTAGTGGTGGATACGATATACCTAGGTAGCGAATAAATGTTATAAATACTAAGCAATGATTGATGATATCTGTTTATTATCTTGAAATCACAATAGAGTCGGCATCATCTTCCAAGCGCCGAGTTAGCGATTTCATAAAACTCTCCTTTACAAAACCTACCACCCTTAGCCAGGTTCTTAACTTACAACATCGCAATCTCATGCTTTACTTTACTATCCTCAACCCACAGAACTTCTGCCTCACATTCTCAACTTCCAAACATATAAATCCTCCCTGCACTCCTACCCTCTACTAATCACCCTCAAACAAAAACACCTCTCACACACTCACAAAACTCAATCCAAATCCTCCCTATAGCATTTACCCAAAAAAAACGTCACGTACCAAGTGCACGCCTCTTCCATTCCCAACCGCAGCCCATACGGTCAGGAAACCTTCACATGATCTTCCCATCTAGGTGCTGAGCCTACTTGTACAAGTACCGTAAAAGAAAAGTGGGGGTCGTAGGAATTCCATTTGCGCAGATCCATGTGTGGCTGGTTGAGATGTGGCTTCTTTGTTTTTTTGCCGAGGTCGTTTTTGTTGGCTTCCATAGGTTAGGTCTGGGTTGTGCGTTCCAGGTTGTTTTTGAGCTCGAATGCGACGGGAGCTCGGGGGTTGGGTGGTTAGAATTTGGGTAATTTGAAAGAGGATAGGGTCATTTCCTAAGTTTAATTTAACGTCTTGGAGGAGTGATTTACAGGTAGCGAATGAGTGAGTGAAGTGTACAATCATGGGCCAAAAGCATGTCATGGCTTTTGGATACCTACCTTATGGAATAACTCCCATCTATTGTATGCCGCCGCTTTCTCACCACAAAACACATTCATCAAACAGGCAAACAGACATACGCTATTCATTTCATTTCAAAAAAAAAGTGCACCACAAAAACGATAAGTAAAAAAAAGAAGAACTCCACCCAATGCGGGATAAACCCTCCCATTTTCTTCTTCTTTTCGAGAGCCAAACACTGCTCTCGAGATAATTTCCTAAACCCCCCCCCAACAGCCCCATTGGTTGCAACCACATATCCTCTGGAACCACTTTTTGCTTGCGCGGGCTAAACATTTGTTTCTAATATACCTTCTTCTTCTCGTCGATGCTGTATTTACCTGGTCCGCTGTTTACGAGGAGGAGAAGTCCTCCGACGATGGAGAGGATCTGGAAGAAATCGTACTTGGCGAAATCCTTGTGGGGGTGGTGTTCGTGGAGCTGGGGGGTGTTAGTTGTGATTTTACAAGGGTTTGAATAGGATGCGACTTACAGTCCAAAAGTTGTTGACCAACAGGTTGAAGATGCTCAAAATGACAACCAGCATGATAGCGCTGAACTTGGCCTTGAAGCCAATTACAACCATAACGCAAGCCACGAATCCGAGCATTGCGACGATGATTCTCCAGAGACTCCAGGTGCCACTGAAGACGAATCCAATGAACAAGAAGATCAACAGAACACGACCAGCAAGCTGGAAGTACATCTTGCGATCTTTCTCGTCCAATTCTGGAAGTCCTGCGAATGCCTTGGATTTACGAATCCACGAATCGGACAGGACCATCAATAGACCACCCATAACCGACAGATTTCGGAGGAAGAAGTTGAGATCGAAAATGAGTCCATATCCCAATGCTTGCGTGACCACCACACCAATCAATCCACCGACTGCGTAATCCGAGTATCTACGTGCGATGACGAGCGACGAGCAGGAAACCATGGCAATCACATTCGCTATGAGGAATAGGTGGGTTAACCCGTTTGGAACTGTAGTTTGCCCCGTTAGCTATTTGGGCGCGTAGAAGGCGGGTCTTGTCCTACTTTTTCTCCAGTCGTGGAGGTATAACAGTTGGTCGCTCCATTGTGTGATGATTCTCAATGCATCCTCGAGGAAAGTGACCACGATTAGGAATCGTCCGATCGCCGGTAAATATCTGCAGAAAAGACACGGATTAGCATTTATCTAGTACGCCAAAATACCCAACTTCAATTTCCAAAACTACATAGCTGTCCTCCCAGTTACTCCTCCGCGGGGCTATTTGCGCATCGTGCAGCGACTTGGGGAGCACCTACGGCTTGACTGGCTCACTGATCGTGTCCAAAAAGTCCTCAATCTTGCTCGAAGCCTGCTTGATCGTGTCTAGAGGACTTGGGTCTTTGTTTTGTTCCTGCATGTTGGGCGCTCCAAAGTTTGTCTGGCCTCCCAGATTATATCCTGCCGTTCCTCTGATTTGTGCCATTGTCGCAGTCCTGCTGGAAGCACACTAAATCTTTCGTGGTAGACGGTTTATGAGAAGGGATTGATTGAACGGCCAGCGAATCTGCAAGTTCAATTATCGCGGTTTTGGACAGCTGGGATAATGAAAGTGGTTGTGAACGAAAGTCAAGGTGTCGACTTCTGCTTATGTAGACTCGGTAACGTGGTCTTTTGGCGTCCTCGCACGGCTGCAGGAGGATCTACAGTACGGTGGTCAATTCACTTTACGGAGGAGTTGATCTTGTGGTGCGCATCCGTCCCACTACAAACGCTCGTGAGAGGCTAAAAATAAAGCTATAAGGCTGTTATGAGGTAAACTTGATCATTTAGTCGGAAATAAGCTTAATTACGAAAGTTTACGAATTTGTGGTCATTGGAGTTTTACATGGATTTTCTTTGTATTGTCATTTGCACCCCGATTGGGGGGTCCTATGAGCTGCATCCCCTCTGATAGGGCGCCTTTGAAATCCAACCGGAACCCCACATTCCCAAGGCTTTCGCCAACGGTTTTCGGATTCCGTGAAGCCTTCAAGCCTCGTGCTCGTCTATTGACTTAACTCCTGCCCATGATATCAAAACTTTGATGATATACTTCAACCTAGCCATTTCTTGGCCCCTCACTGAAATGCACTCAAGTCCAAAGGTACACTACTACCACGGCCCGCTCTATACTTCTTCGCTCCCCCAGTAAAATCCCTTGGTTTGGGTAAAATGTTCTCATCTTGAAATTTCCATCTCGGATCGTGTATGACGACTCTACTAGAGGCCGTCGAATCTCTATTCGGACTGGAACTTTTCGGTAAAGTTCCATTAAATGATGATAGAGTATAGGAGCTAGGATCCAACATGGATCTTGTGGGCGCCTGGGTTGGGGGTCTGCTCATTGGAGGCGGTGGAGCAGATACTGGTGGTGAAGGTGCTCTCAATGAGGGAGTAGGTGCTTGACTTGGTGCTCGGCTCATTGGAGGGGGTGGAGCCGAAGCTGGTGGAGGAGATGCTCGGAATGAGGGCGCGTTAGAAGGTGGTGGTGGAGGCGGCGGAGGGGCTGCAGCTGGAGAGGCTTCTCGTGCCGCCCGTATAGCGGCTTGCATTGCAAGACTCTGGCCTGCTCCATTTGTAGATGGCGCGGGGGTTGGCGGTGGAGGGGGTGGTGGGGGTGGTTGCGATCGAGAAGGAAGCCCAATCGGTGGTCGAGGGGCAGATGGAGGCGGTAGACCTGGGGGAGCTGACGACGGTGGAGGAGGTGCAGAACTTGGGGGAGGAGGGGGTGCGTGAGGTGCTGGCATAGAGGGCTTTCGCGAGCCTGGAGGGGCAGGAGGTTTCTTTCCTATTGGCGGTGGAGGTCCTTTCATTGATACAGACGAGGACGGTCTCTGACCAGGGCTCACGCCAGTTTTCCGCAAATTCGCTAGTGATGGAACAAACGCTGAAGTCGATGAGCTGCTTTGCGGTGCCGGTCGAGGAGGTGCCGGAGCGGATGTGGGAGGTGGCCTTGGGGCAGCCATAGTGGGAGGTTTGGGAGCGGATGTTCGTGATGATTCGGGATCTGATGTATAGGAGCTTTCTCGGTTTGCTACAATACAGTTAGCCTAATGGAATAACAACCAAAGCTCATATAACTTACCTCCAGTGTTTATGCCTCCTCCTCGAGACTTCAATTTCGGCATTCCGCCAGCGAAAAGGCCTCCTAACTGTGGTGGCGCTTCCATGCCCGTAGACCCTCCAGCATCTCTTCCACCTTGATCGCTGTTACTTCTCGCTCTATTTCCTCCTCCCGGTACCGGTGGTGCAAGTCCTCCGGGAGGTTTTGGCATGCCAGGTACAGCAGGTGCGCCAGCTAGTGGTGATGGGCCCGCTCCACCAGGTGTTCCAGCTACAATCGGCGCGGATCTATCGTTTGTGACCGTCTTCTTTAATGCTTTGCCCTTTGATATATCACTGAGAAGAGCGCCCTAAGAAAGTATTAGCACTAGGTCGTAAACTGGGGCTTAGGCAATCTCTTAGTCAAAGAGAAGGCCTTCGGAATATGTACTCTATTCTTTTGAGGCGGTGGTCTAGCGGGAAGTCCTCCTGGTGGAGGGGGAGGAGGGGGTGGTCCTCCCATCATAGGCGGTGGAGGAGGAGGAGGTGGAGGAGGCATTTTGACTGATTGAAGACAAGAAGCCTTCAGCAGTTGATTGCGATCAGAATTAGAGAGATATGCAGGTCAAGTCGATCTCGTGGTATTCGTAAGGTTTTTTGTAGCAGTTATTTGCTCTTGGTGGGCGTATATTATGTTGTTGTGATTGTGTTGAAGAAGCCTGGAGTTTTGGCATGTTTGGTGACAATGAACTGTATGCGATCGTCGTCACCTCCGTGGCGGGCCACTTCAGCCTTGAATTTAGTAAGCCTGCAGGGAGCTCGGCCTGAGCTGCGCTTGTCTCGACCTCAGGAAATTTTAGAGAGATGATTGTTCCGCTAGAAACCCAATTGAACAGCACCAAGACGAATTAAACATGTCGAAACGCGTCCTCAGACCGACCATTGGCGTCTGCCATCTTTGCCAGTCCATGCTAACTCGAAAGTCTTCCCCCGCGATATCAATTCGAGCTACGAAGTCCGCGAACGCGACTCGCTTTTTCTCTTCGAGGCATCCAAAATATCAAAATACACAGAAAGAATCTATCATACCGTCAGTCAGGAGGAAACAATCAACATCGAAAGATGTAGAGCAGACATTGCCGGCCGTGAAACACCGCAAAACGCTTCCCGAGATAAAGCAAACATTTACTGAGCTTAAGTCAATCAGCAACGCAATATTGGAAGATTTGGAAAGAATACCCTCGGAAAAAGAAATTGAGTCTTTTTACTTTCGATGTATAGAGCTAGCGAAGGCTCTCCAAGCTGGAATAAAACCAGAGCAAACCGATAACAAGGAAAGGAAGGATCGAGCTACCTCCGCACTTCTCGATTTGGAAGACGACGAGGGAGTACCGTCGATATCAAATCAAACGCCAGATCTAATTCGCATGGAAGACGAGCTCTCGAAGCTAGCCTACTCTATTGCTGCGCATCCTCCCATTCCGTTAACAGCTAATATTTTGGCTGCATATGTCAAGATTCAGCACACCTTGAAGAAACCATCAACCCTTGCAGATGTCTTTCATTTATATGCCACCAAACCGATACCAAAAGAAGGAACTACTCCTATAACCTATTCTGTCCAGAATCCAGACAAATCATCCAATGCTGTCCCTCAACCAATAGCCGACAAAGCATTAGAGGCTGCAATCGAGAAGAGGGATTTAGTAGCCGCCATGGACATCATCGAGTTCTCTTATGCAACGAAAGCCTATCGACGTGCGAAGTTTATAAAGACCGGTCTATTGCCAGTCACTGGCTTCGCGGCTGCTCCATTTGCCGCATATGTACTCGCCTCACGTCTTGCGCATTGGCAAACTACAATGGAACCGGAACTAGCTACAAATGTTGCGTTTGCTGGAATGGTAGCTTATATTGGCTTCACCGGGTCTATTGGGGTAGTTGCTTTAACTACTGCAAATGATCAGATGGATCGCGTGACTTGGGCACCCGGGATGCCACTGAGAGAACGTTGGGTACGAGAGGATGAACGAGCAGCTATTGACAAGATTTCTGGTGCCTGGGGTTTCCGAGAATTATGGCGAAGAGGAGAAGAAGAAGGCGAGGAATGGGAAGCTATAAGAGAATGGGCGGGTCTGAAGGGGATGATACTTGACCGAACAGAGCTCATGGAGGGTATGGAATAAAAATGTAATGTTGCTGGATGAACAGCATCTGACCCATCACTCCCCCTGCATCTTCCATTTCGGTTTTCCCTGGGTTCCTCCAGGCAAGTTTTCTTCTTTTCCACCATGAGACTATCCTCGTCATTTATTTTGTAACCATTCAATTTTTCGCACTTGCTGAGGACGTTCTCTTGACAAGTTCCAGCAGAAAGTTCCCTCAGATGAAAAGATTTATCTCTGATGCTTCTGTTCGGGCTTTATCGGCAGAACAAGGTACGGTGCGAAGCTCTTTACTTACGACATTCGGTATGATAGTCGGTCCTAACCGACTATTGGACTTTCATGCCAACTGTCTAACAAGCATATTGAGCGACGACAGACTCGACCCAGCGCGGTTTTAGTCCATGAAATGATCGGTAGAAAGCGCAATTGCATTCATATCGTATCATATTTACATACAGGAGACCTCGGTTTTTGCGACACGTTTGCACTCGAGGACAGAACGCGAGGACCATTGTGCTTTTGAGATTGTTATCAACTTATAATGGCTCAGCGGTTTACAGCATCAAAATTTTTGGCTAGTGGTTGAACTGGTGCGATTCTACGGGGAGCCGCTACGCAAATTGGTCTAGACTGCGACAGACCCTTCCCTAAGATGCCGAATTCTAGTATCAAAACACAATACTAGAGAGTTTCCAAGAAACACCATTCCACGAACACCCAATCAGATACAGTGACTAGAAGAATTCAACATCCAAATGATCCTATTGGAGGGTACAGAAAGCTTAGTACAAGCACTATAATGCTTCGCTACCCGCCGGCACTCCTACTACCACGGTACTTGCTCCATTTTACGACGATTAGACGTCATCTAACAACTCATGGTACTATTCGTGGTCGCTTTTCGTAATACAAATAGCTGGCGCAGCCCGATGCCTTCTAGATCCTGCCAACACCACAACCCAAGAGGAAGACACATTTTCCAACTGACATTCTTTTCATAACATCTGACCTACCTCCTTCTAAGAAATCTCCGGTTTCTCAATCACATTCGCTTTGTTAATAATCAGTCGCGATTTGCTTGGTATTCATTTTGGGTTGCGAAGGGTCACGATCATACATACGACAAACCGCCAAGACCACCGAAGCGACAACTGCCCCTTTACGTCAAGATGAACGAAACAGAAATAATCCCTGGCCCTCGACTGGACATGTGCAGGAAGTACTCGAAACTACCGATGGACATAAGTCATTCGAAGGTTAGGTGGATCTTTTGGGGCGGGATTGGTGCCTCTGTTGTCATACTATGGATTTGTGGATATGCGTTTGCGCGAACGATTAATCGAAGAAGGTACGATGGATTGCTTAGTGTTGAAAAACGTGATACTGATTATCGTGTAGGAGACTTCTAAAGTACCAGCGTATATGGGAGAATGAAGATCCATGTAAAGCTCACGCGACGGAGTTAACAGACTCAAGACTCGTCCAAAAATATCGATCCAGAGTCAAGATCACTTTTGTCATCTGTTTAATATGTACACTCCTGACAGCTGGGTTGACCGTTTGTATCGCTTTTGCAGGACTGGCACTTCAATTCTGCGATGGGGAGGAGATGTTCTTCCTCGTCTGGTCCTTCTGGCCACTTCTGGCTCTCGGTGCTGTAATTGCTGAAATCGGCGTTTGTATATATCTATGCAAGATCCTGTGCAGGAAAAAGGATGAGGTCCCATGGGGTACGGCAATGGGAACGCCAATTCTGATTCTGGCAACGGTTGGGTATTGGGTCCTAAGGGGATTACATACGCTTCTTCGATATTGGTTTCCGTGCGTCTGGAGCCCGACGGATGATGCAGATCTGTAAGAAATTCAACTTACTATCGTAGAACTCTAATTGCTAATACGTTCTTACAGTGGTTTCCCAAGAGGCCGCCCACTCGACGAGGACGAAGACAGAAGCACGGTCATGGCGACAGATGCATTCATGGACAATGAAGACGACGAAGAACACCAATACGACCTGGAAAGCTTTCCTAGAAGTAGGCCATGCAGTCCTCGCCGCGTGTATCCAGGGACTCGGTCATGGAGAGGATCTCAGAATGGGTTAATTCCTCGATGTCCTGCACCTTGCTGTCGGGCAAGGTCACTGTCATTCTGAGGGGTGGGATCCTGACAGATGGTGTTAGGGATCTTGTGTTTTTGATAGCTTAGCGAGTTAGTGATACCAATTGAAATATTTTTATTATGGGATCCGCAAGAAGTCAAAAATGCTAATAGGGGTCCGTCCGTAATCATCTGGTCTCTGTACCTGCTCAGTGACCCGGCTTTCTACTGTATTATGACGAAAATTTCAATTATGTGTGGAATCTATGTGTTTCGGCCTATGAGTCACTTTAATACTGTTAACGCGAAAAAGAGGTCACTGGCTCGCTGATGATGCTCAGTATCCGAACACAGTGTCTTGCAACTGGGCTCATATTGTAAGCTTGTGATTCTTAACTTTTAACATTTATCTCGATCTCACGTCGCTCGTCCAGCCTTTCCCATTTGAATGATTTCCCTCACAGGTTCGTCGCTTCTCAAGACTGGCCACGAGCTACCATCCGCCTTCACAAAATTTACCTCCAGCTTCGTTCCCATTATCTTGAATGATGACGCTTCTGTATCGATTGAACCAAATAATGGAACCACGGTTTTGTATCGCTTAGGTAGGGCATCTGTCGTAACGAGGTCGAGGTTGAGTTCGGTCTTGGAGAATTCTACTACAGCCTTCTCCTTGTTGATCTTCTTCAGGAAAAAGGACGCGATTGCAGATGTTGGAGTTTGGTAGAAGTCATGACTGTTGTTCTTTATTAGTGACCTAGTCTCCAGTGTTGGTTTTTGTAGGCCATCTCAACGTACCGGACTGTTTCTAGCACCTCTTCCCCTCCAGTTTTGGCTTTACTCTTCTCTCCACTTCCGACGAACAGATGTCTATCTTTCGTCTTGCAGCCCTCAATCTTCATAAACTCATCAAATTCCAATACTCTCCGCTTGCAACAGGTATAACCCTTGCTGCCTTCATGAAATATGGGTGCTCCAGGATGATACACGCATTTCTCTCCTTCTCTATTTCCAGTATATGATTGACCGCACGCTTTTCTTCTGCAAATCTTGCCCTTTGGTATTTCGAGGCTGGGATCGTCGTCTTCTGACTCTGGTGGGGGAGGTGGTGGTGTGGCTGTTGGCTGAGGCGCGGAAATGGGAGCTCGTGAAGCTTCAGGTGCAATTGGCTTTACAGTAGGCGCTGAACTTTCGGATACGTCTTGCTCTCCTTGCTTCTTCTCAATGGTTGGAGGAATATCTGTCGTAGAGTGCTTGCCAGTTGTGCATGGTGGAATGGAAAGGAATTCGTCGAAGGTAAGAACTCGTGGCTTGCAACATTTCCAACCTACGAGTAATTATAAGCCCAACATTCTAAAACAGAAAAACACTCTTAGGAACATGTTTTATAAGTCAAATACTACTTGCCTTTCTGCCCCTCATGAAAGATTGGTGGGCCAGGGTGGTAAACGCATTCCTCTTCTGGGTCTGTGTACACTTTCGCGCAAGATTGATGCACACACTTCTGGGCCATGATTTTAGAGTAGCCTGAATGTTACATGTAAACAAAAATCAAAAGTGACCGTGAAGATGTGATCAAGAATGTCAATGTTTTGTTTGATTCTAGAATACTCCACCAAATATTCTGCCTAGGCGGTCAAAAACAGCCCGCATTATTGTGTACACCGCCAATTTCTGCCATGTGGGTATCGCATTTTTCTTGAGAAAGAATATCAAAAAAGTTACCAGTTGCGTCGCACATTGCTTGATACAGCAACGACATAATGGGGAAACGCAGCAAACAAACGGAAGATGGCGTTGAAGGCGCAAGTAAGAAATCTTCAAAGATTCACACCAAAAAGTCTGTTCTGAGCGACGAGACTGCTGTTGATCCGTCACTGGCTCTACTGTTTGCTTCAAGTGTAAGTCCACTGTGTAAGCAATTGAATCATTATCCAACGTTTTCTAACATTTTTTGTCAAACAGTCTGGTCCCGTTCAAGCCCCTCCAAAATCGCGATACCAGGAACCACCACCCACAAGAAAACGAGTCCCCTCCGAGTCCGAAGATGAGGAAGAAGATGAGTCTGAGGATGGTGGGGAAGCAGACGGGCATAACGGTGACTTGAGTAGTATTGATGAGGACCTAGAAGATGCGAATATTTCGGGATTGTCCGAAGACGAGGAGGAAGCCGTTGAGGAAGAACCCAAACTGGATAAGATTATTGAAGCCGTTACTCAAAAGCCAGAGAAGAAACGGAAAAGAGCGAGACAAGAAGAAGACTTGGAGGGCAAGTACATGGCAAAATTAGCTAGGGAAGAAGAAAAGGAGGAGGAAGAGCGACAAGCAGAGAGAAGGTTAAAACGCCAAAAAATCGTGGCCAAGAAGGACGCATCCGAGGATGAAGATGAGGATATGGAAGACGCTTCAGATGCCCAGAGCGCGGACGAAGCTGCTTCTGACGATGACGATACCTCTGAAGACGATGCGAACGCTTCTGGGCGAGCGCCACCACCCGATGTTCCCGTCCACGAATCTTTAGCACCAAGTAAAGAGTCTTCCGAATTGGAAAAGGCGACCAGAACTGTCTTCCTCGCCAATGTTTCTACCGAAGCTATCTCGTCAAAGTCTGCGAAGAAAACATTGATGGCGCATATGGGGTCTTTCCTGGACTCTTTACCAGACCCACCCGAAGGAAAGCCTGCACATAAAGTCGAGTCATTAAGATTCAGATCAACGGCCTATGCAGGAGGTGGTGGACTACCCAAAAAGGCTGCGTTCGTCAAGAAGGATCTCATGGGTGCGACGACTAAAAGCACAAATGCTTATGTTGTATATTCCACAGCATACGCTGCTAGAGAAGCGGTAAAGCGGCTTAATGGGACCATGGTACTTGACCGACATCTAAGAGTGGACGGTGTAGCACATCCTGCGAAAACAGATCATCGACGTTGTGTATTTGTTGGTAATTTAGGCTTTGTTGACGATGAGAGTCTGCTGGATCAGGGTGGTGAGACTGAGCGAAAGCGATCAAAGATTCCATCAGATATTGAAGAAGGACTCTGGCGACAATTCGGGAAAGCTGGAACTGTAGAAAGTGTACGAGTTGTTCGAGATGAAAAGACTAGAGTTGGAAAGGGATTTGCGTATGTTCAATTTGAGGTAAATTTACGGAATTATCACCCTCGAGCTAGAACTAACAAGATTCAGGATGCCAATGCAGTAGAAGCTGCTCTGCTATTTAACGAAAAGAAATACCCACCTATGCTACCCAGAGTTCTCCGTGTTGTGCGCGCCAAAGCAGTTCGCAAGACCGCTCTCGCCTCGCAACAATTCCAAAACAAAAACTCAAAAAGGCCTTCATCAAAACCTCAAATTTACAACCCTAAAACTCCTGCCGAAGAAGCATCTTTGCATGGTCGTGCGGGAAAGCTATTAGGAAGAGCGGGTGCGGCGCAGCTTAAGAAAGGGAAACTCACTGGTGCAAATGACATGGTCATGGGTAAACGTGGTGATGGCGCAAAGTCGATTGAAGGTATCGCGAAAACGCCAGAAGCAATTGTTTTTGAGGGATATAGGGCTAGTGCTAAGAACGGAAGGCCAAAAGATCTGAAAATGGGCGGCAAAGGAAAGGGAAAGAAGAAACCTACTGGCAGAGCCGCGAAGCGAACGAGTGCGTGGAAAAGTGGTGGTAGCAAAAAGGGAGGGAAGGATAGTTAAGTAGACTTTGTGTACAGCGGGACCTCTTGAGTATGATACCACTTTGGCATTGGCAGAACCAATGAATCCTTGATGTGTGATTATTCTGATATGAATTGTATAATGGCACTATAACAACCGCTTTCTCGTGACTACAATATCCAGGTGCAACCAATTTCGGATATTTTACCAACAAACTCATCAGGCTATCTTGCTTGGGGCATACATCTCCTACACAACGCATGCATCATGATAGCTCGAGGTGACCCCTTGCTTCAAGAGCTCGTCAAACAGCAAGTCCTTCGCGCAACCGCCACGAAGCGCAGTGTCTGGACATCGTTGATGATCAGTAAGTACCTCCTTCTTCGTTCACCAGATCCCTCAACCCGTCAATCTAACCTCCACAACCGCCCTCCTTACCCCATCACTCTCCTCCCTAATCTGCTCAACCAAACCACCCTTCCCCCGAACCAAATCACAAAAGTCCTCCATCGACCCTCCAACTCCAAAATACACTTTCTTCGCCGCGACCAGCGCCGTACTTCCTTCCGCACTCGGTAAATTCAGTAGACTCATTAATGTCTCTCCAAAAGAAGCGAGCGCAGCAGGTGAGTAGATGGTTTCTGCACCGATGATAGTAAGGGGAGTCGATTTTAATGTTGAGTCGCTGGATATAAGATCTACGAATTCGGGGCTCCAGGCGCCAGAATAGAAGGATAGTGAGATATTGTGAATTTGCAAGCTTGTTAGGAACTGGGAGATGAGATCGGGATCGATTTCGAGTTCGCCTTCTGCTTCCCAAGTTTCTGGTTTGGTGGTTTGAGCCCATGATAGTAGGGTATTGGGTAGTGTGACGAGTTGGAGGACCGTAGGATTGTAGTCTGCGAGTCCAAGATTGACGGCTCCTGTGGTAGTGACGGTACGTTGGAGAAGCCATTGAAAGATCGCAAGAGATGGAAGAGCTGTACCACAACCGAGCTATTAAAATCAGCTGAATTCTCTCCAAAATAATAATAAAATTGCACATCTCAAAACTAGAAGAACACACCTCAAAAACACTCCTCCCTCCCCCCACCAACCCCCTCCTCCCATCCACCACCCTAACAACATCAACACTACTCTCCCAACTCTTAAACCCCCCCTCATAAACCCCCGTCTTCACATCATCCTTCCCCAGATTCCCCAATCCCTCCTCATCATCCTCCGCCATCAACTGCACCCTCACATCCCACAGCTCTCTCCGCGGAATCCTGACCTCCCTCCCTTCATTCCCATCTAACTTGATAGTCAGCGTGCTGTAGGAGATTTTACTCGGTAGCAAGTTGAGCATTTGGGTTAAGTCATGCTTTTGCGGTTTTAGTAAGGGTTGGCCGGCGACGGGGAATGCGGAGCTGGAGGGTCGGCGTAAGGTGCCGGTTTCTGCTGCGTGGGTGGGCGGGGGATGGGAGGTGGTGGTTTGGTCTTCTTCTATGTCGTCGCCCGAGAAGGAGAAACTGAAAGACATGTTTGGTGTATGAGTTTGTTGCTGTGGAGTTATTGTTGCGGTTTGAATTTGGGAAGAGTTTTGCTGGGGTCGCGGAAGGTGCCAAGACTTGATATTGGTCACTCAACATGAATGTAACAATTCCTGAAGATATTGTAATCCTTGAATCTTTAGATTGGTTCTATCGTTTTGAGCTTGCAAATTCTTTCATTATCGAACACTAGTATCTTCATTTCCCGTACTCGTTCTTTCTCTTACAAATACGTTACTTGTACTATTCGTCCCAGCTTCACCAGGGTGTTACCAGTATTCATTTCTATGATGTTTTATTTGATTCATGAGAGAAAACTCAGGGTACTGTCAGTTCCTAATATGAAAACATGAGTCTCGAATGAATTCTGGTATTCCCTTCTCTGTGCTACAACAGACCATGCGCAGTTGAGTGCATAGAGCAGGAAGTTCTTCTTCCCTAAAACACCAATAATTTCAACATGTAAGACAAAACAAGTATCAGAATGAACTGTTGCCTCAATTCTTACGTCAATACTTGCTTGACTCATACCATTCTATCCAAACATTCTACTGCTTCGATCTCTCAATCTCTCATGTCAACCATGCGTACATCTCGCTCTGCCGAACTGTTATATGATGGCATTATAAAGGTGAAGAATTATCAGACAGTATCTTCGATTCTTCACCAATGTCTCAAGACGTTAGAGGAGAGTGTAAGAAACGATTCCAAGAAGCAGATGAAGATATTGGCATCTTGGTGAAGAACACCTGTGTGTCAGATTGCGTCTCTTACCATTTGTAGAAATTCTCACCTGGCTGCTTGAAAGAGAAACCAAAGACATGTTAGAATAAGAACTCTGTGCATTTTGCTATTGTGATTTTCATATGAAATAATGTTGCTAACATCTAGCATATGCCAATACTTAATTTCCGTCCTCAATATTCATCTCATATAAACTTCTCGCCAGGCATAATTTCATTAATCGTTAATCATCCATCATAAAATTCATGTTCTCCTCCGAAATAGCTGCAAATTCCCCTGTGAATAATGGATTCCCAGCCGATATTCATGCCTGCACCCTTCACATTTGAGATATTCCCATTGATGGTTGTAGAATCCAAGAACACCAATTACTTCCAATGACTCCGTTAATGACACTATGTGCATCAACATCCGTTCCCTGCAAATTATAACTTTGAGAAACAAAGAAAATGACCCCATGATGATGCTTGCATAAGGCCGTGAGAAAAGAAATTGCCTGAGCACACGGAATTTGAAATCGGCTGTGGCAGGACGATGTCGTGAGGATGATTATTTGCACATCTCGCAAGATGCTTCCGAATCCGTTCATTCCGACAAAATAACTTTCCTAGTCACCCCAAGTTTGCAGGCAGTTGCGTCCTCATCCTCATCCTCAGATTGATCAACATCATAGAAATCATTGCTTAAATCCTTCCTACCCGATTCTGCAACATTGTCATCCACGTCGATGTCGGACTCTGCATCATCTAAATCAGAGTCGGTGTCCTCCAGCGCATCATCAAAGTCTTCGACGTCGCTATAATCCTCGTCCAGGACTGATCATTGCCACTCCTCTTGGTAGAGGCCATCATCCTCTCCCTTAAATTCTTGCTCTGAAATCTTATCATCCTCATCCTCATCTTCATCCTCATTCTCATTTTCCGCATCGGAATTCCCCTCGTCACCGTCTTGAGGTGTGTTGTTCTCTGCATCAGATTCACCATCAGAATCAGAGTCAGAGTTGTTTTCATCATCGTCTAGCTGCTCTCCTTCGCTCATTTCGGAATCTTCTTCACCGCGATTCTCGGCAAACGGGTTCTGCGGTCTCAGCTGTACTTCCGCATTTTCGAATGTCGCATTTAGAGCTTCATCGTATTCGCTAATTATCTTCAAAAGCTCACATTGAAGTTTTCGTCTAAGCTGGTGTTGTTTAGAAGAGGTGTCTTGCGGCTTGGCGAAATGAAGCATATTGATGTAATTGTTTTTGAATTGATTGCGGACAAAGGAGACTGCGTTCGTGAAACTGGTCTTACTAACTTCAGTTATGTTCTGAAAGTCTTTCTTTAGAAGTTGGCTGCATTCCTGGTATAGGGTAACTGCATTGTCTTCTACGTGCAATTCAAACGTATCCTGCATCTTAAGCAAACTTCCCTTACCTATTATAAATTAGCATAGATCGGCATAATAAGATTAGAAAGGTCTTACCAGTGTGGTTAGCTGCAGCCTCAAATCCTGCAGCCATATTGTCGTCAACGACAGACTTAATTTTGGCGTGACATTCTCTACTAGCTACCCTAAAAGCATCAAAGCTTTCATTTACCTTCACTTTGAAAGCATCTTCCAGATGCGAAGTCTGGCGGATGATCATTTCTGCCGGTTGATACTCTCCGCCACAAACTTCTTTCACAGAATGAGAGAAGCTGTCTTGAAGGGTTTCAAGATCAGTGGTAACTGATTGAATAATGTTGCGGTGTATGGTGTAGATGTCGTTGCGCACAACATCTCTCCAAGGACGGCTGACAGGTCGAAGCACGAGTTCGAGCATTCCCTCATCCCATTTGTACCTTACACCTCTGACACTCGTAAAGTTCCCACTACGTCTGCAAATGGCTTTAAATGTTGACCATCGGACTACCGGTGCGCTATACTCGGTATGGTAGATGCTTTTATCCTTCCAGTTCTCCAGGAGTTCCAATTTGCTAACAGCTTTCCGAATCTTGCGTGTTAACACACCTCGCATTGCCGTGATCGCTTTCTTGACGACAGATTTGCAGCTCTAGGGCTCGTTAGCTTTAGACGGTATAACTGGGAACAAAGATATCTCACATTGTCGAACACTTGAATGTGCTTATCGAACGCTTCTCGCAACTTCGTCCTTTGCTGCTCTGGCAGATGGACATCCGCGTCTTTCGGATTCGCCCATTGCTCTAGGTCAGTCTTTAAGATCGCCATGCGGTTGTTAGCTTTGTCGGTAATACTTTCTCTGTCGGGGAAAGTCAAGCTTGTCGCAAACTCCTTGAGCCTGGGGATGTTTTTTGAATCAAGTGATGGGAAGCCGAAGATTTCTGGCTCATGTTTGAAGCGGCCTTTCAGCTGCTGATAAGCTTTGGAACTAACGCCGAATACCTTTGGGGTTGGTAATCTTTCTAGCTTTGCTACACATTCAGGTCAGCCGGGTAACATTCAACATCGATCAGAGAACTTCTTACCTTTCTCTTTTTCAATATTTGCCTTCGCCTGAGCCCGTGAGCTTTTCCCTTTGTTCTTAGCTTTTTCTTGGTCATTTTCTGCTTCGATCAACGCTTCAATATAATCTCGAAATCCTTCAACAAAATCTTCAGCAATCCGTGTCTCGGCATATATGTTTCGCTCTACAATCGAAACAGCTCTCATTTTCTCGTCTAACTTGCTCTTATTATCTTGGAGTCGTTGAATCGTAGCTTCGAGCAGATCTTTCTTCTTCGAGGCTTCACGCCTCGAGTTCAAAGAAGCTAATCTCTCATTGAGGTCATCGCTAGGAGGCTCGTATAATGGATCCGGAGACGCTGTTTCGTTTCGTTTACGTTTGATACTTGACAGCTCGCCAGCTGTTCCTTGAAGCGAAGGCTTAACCTTCTCTGTAGTCGCCAGTTTATCGAGAACATTCTTGCACCGTTTCCTTTCCTTTTTTGCCTCATTTAACTCATCAGAAGCGGCACTCAAATCCTCCATGATTTTTTGCACTTCAAATGCCTCCTCCTTAAGTACGCTCTCACTTAGCGCGAGCGACTCGATAACCTCAACATGGTTAACATTGTCGGTTTTAGTAAGAATAAAAGACACGGAACCGTACTTGTCGTTCCTCTGGAGAAGCCCACGTACAGAACTCCCCATGCAGTCCCTTGCTACTTTGTCATCGACAGCCCGATTTGTATCGGCAACGATCCACATGTGATCAAGTGAGCTCATGTATTTTTCTGCTAGGCTTACTCGGCCAGCATTCGAATCCCCAACACCGGGGAGGTCAACAAGTACTAGACCGTTCTTCAGAATGGGTGATTTTGTAAAAATCTTGACACTCTTTAGTAAAGGCCAGAGGGCAGCTTCTCCGGATTTCGCACAATTATTGCGATTGTCTACGTAGGCAGCGATCAGTTTGTTGAAGCGCTTTGCCGAAGTCTCGTGAATAAGTTCCTTAGTTCCCAGAATGTGGGCTAAGTCCTTTGTGGAAGCAAGTTTTTGGGGGCTTTTGCTACCAATGTCACCCTTACACATTTTTGGATAAACAGCACATAATTTATCCCAGGCCGCAGCCGCTTCACTATTTTTGGTGGCAGGGACAGTGGCTTCTGTATCAGTGGTAGTGCTCGACAATACTTCGAGTTCGCTGATCCACTCTTTCGCAGTGATAAATTCGATCTCTGCGGTGTAAAGCTCCGATTTGTTCTTTGACTTGTTTGCTGATACTTCAATAATGGCTAAATCAACATGTTAGTAATTATGAAAATACGGAATAATGCGATAATCAACATGCGATAATCAACATGCGATACCATGATTAACTTACCAGTCGTGGCAGCCCTCATGGCATTTGTGGGTAGGAGGATCTCTTCATCGAGAAGAGCATTGATCAGGCTGCTCTTCCCACTACCTGTACCACCTAAGACGCCAACCACTACTCTGGGTGGCTCAATACTTTGCTTTATCTCCTCTGCATTTTGTATCAGCAAACGAACATAAAGTGGTGTGAAAAATGATTGTGCAAATCTCACAAACGAGATCGCGTACCTGCAACGCTTTTGAAATGCTTGAGTTCTTCAAAACTTGCACCGTACTCCAGGGCAGGTATTATTTTCTTCAAAAAGCTAATTCCGTGTAATGTGGCTGTCTCTTTTTGTTGAACTGTAAGTTTTTCGAGTGCCTTTGCGACAGGTTCCTTTTTACACGTTATCAAAAGTGTAACATAGGGGGTCCTTTATAGCATACAGGAGATGTAGGCGCCGGGGTAACTTGTTCCTCGACCTTGATGGTCGTCTCTTCTTCTTTCTCCTCACACGACCCCATGGCGATCATGCTGGAGTTAAATTCGGAGAGTGATCTGAATATCTTAAATACTCAACGAAGACTAAATTTAAGAGGGAGTGTCTATGGTGTGCGATCTTTGTTCAAGGCAAAGAGAAGCTGTGATACTAATAGTCAGCTCTGATAAAACAGAAGAAGTTGAAGATGAGAGAAAGCAAGAGAATAGAATAGAACCTTCAGCTAGTGTGGATACCGATGGTGTCAATCAACAAGAAAGGTGAAGTGTAGACTTACTCGTCCGCGGAGATTCAGTCTCTAGAGCTGCGCGATCTGATGAGTATGTGGTCGATACGGATGTTGAGATGGTACTGCTAGGATTAGATTGTTTCGTATCAAATAATGAATTGGTTGAAGATGTAGGTCGTGTGTGTTGATGGATGCCGGTCGTCGAGCATATGTTGTTGTTGTTGTTGAAGAAGTGAGACTCTTCGGCGAGTTGAAGCAGAAGCTAAAGTGGAGGTGAAGGTGAAGATAACTGCCACCACCAATCAGGGATCTGGACGAAGATTGCTGATTGTGTACGTCGAGGCTAAGTGATAAGATCTGTGTGTGTGTGTGTAGGAAGTTGAGAGTGTGGAGAAAGTAAGGTTTCGCAGATGCTTTTACAGCAGCGGTGTTGCGAATGAAGAGAAAGGCGGGTAGTAAGCCACAGGAGTATTTGATAGGTAAGGAGCGTTGAGAAAGTTGTGTGAAGGGACGAGTCGTTTCAATTTGAGCGAAGGGCACTTCTTATTTGGCTGAGATATGGTTTGGGAAGGTGCGGATGAAGGTTTGAGATGAAGGTGAGAGACATATGGCACTAAGTCTTCAACCCAATACAACTGAGATTTCCTACCTATCTAGGTAGGTATGTACGTTGTTATCCGCTTAAGCGATCAACCCAAGGCTGAGGTCGACATCGAGGGTGAAACATTCCAGGTTATATCTGTCAACAAGTGATGGCTGTGAAAGGAAACCCGACTCGGTGGCCAGAAATACCGAGAGATTGGTTGTCCTATCAAACATATTTTAGAGGACACCCCAACCAGAACCAAGTCATGGGTCACATAGAGGGTACACTTGGCCAGATGATTTTAATGGAGAAACTGTCCCAGTTGTGTTGATTGCTCTGGTCATTGATTACTACAAGCTATATATCTACTTTGCACTTCAATACATGAGTTTCAGTCTCATCTTTGTTGCGAGTATAAGTCGGCAGAGGCTCTCAAAAATGAAAATTTGTTTGACCTCAACACATGTGATGTTATTATTACAGTATGACGGGCATGGAGATGATACAGGAAGAATTGTTTTATGTATAACACAAGATTTGAAGCGACCCTATACTCATACAACTATGCATCGAATGACCAACCAGCATCGAGATCAATAACTTTCTATCAAGATCGATGGTCTTGAGAGAAAGTGGAGACCGAGACCAACGCCAGAAATCAACACCCAAACATGAAACAAGCCAGCAAACAGAACATTGCGTATTTGGTGGTAGATTCGGAACTGAGCCATTACAACTTCTCCATGAGTGTGCTCATAGTCCATCCACGATACCCCTTTCCATTAATTCTCGACCATTTCGAGAATATAGACAAACGCGCCATTTGATAACCTTTGGCAAAACAATAGGAAATTTTGTCACAGACCCTCTGCGCTTGACGACTTTTAGGCCTTGGACCAGCAATATAGGCAAAAGGAAGAAAATAACGCACTGAGCATCCCTCATGGTTGACGGTGATATCTGCATGAACAGATCGTCGAAAAAGATGAATCGCAAATAAATGATTGTTGAGAATGCGAGAATGACGAACATACAAGAAAGCCGAAGAAGCTAGTTATCACCGTAGTTCAAGTTCTCGGTGTAACCGTTCTCGTCGCCATTGAATTCGACGTCGTGATCATCACCGTTTGTTGCACTAACATTCAGTTGATCCGGCATCAATCCCTTCTCCTTGAGATACTTGATAGACTTCAAGATGGTGAGATCGTCTTTGGCAGTGTCGTTGAGGATTAGCCGCTGAGCCAACGTCGTTTTGCCTCCGTTGGCTGCTTTGTCTCGCAAAGCTTGGTTACGAATATCGACATCATGTACGAAACGACACTTGCCCTTCTTTCCACAGGTGCCGCCAGTTGAGAAATACTTGCAGTGTCGCTGAAGTTGTGCTTTAGGTGGAGGAGGAACACGCATAGGGCCCCCACTGCGAGATGTCATAGTTTCAGGACCAGAATCATCGTCAGATGATTCAGAAGAATCGTCCTCACTGGCATGGTCCCGATCATCATCTCCCTCATCGCCATTATCGCGCTTTCGCTTAGCACCAGACATATTGCGTTCGAGTTTCTCAAGCTCAAGTCGAAGCTTTTCGGCTTTTCTCTGCTGTCGCTCAAATTTGGAGTCGGTTTCTTCTTTCTTAACAGTTTGCTGTTCTCGCTTGACTCCACCATTGCGACCGCCTTGATCACGACGCTGGTGGTTTTCTTCAGCCGCCTCTCTACGAGCTTTCGTAGGAAATTTAGCTTTGCGCTCTGCAAGCCAAGCTTGAAGATCAACGGGCATTCTATATAGCGTTAGTTATAAAGCAAAAATATAGTACATCAAACATACAAAACATACTCTGGAGTGTCTGGACCAAGTAAAGTAACAAGACGAGCTTCTTCATCAACATCATCGACTTCTTCTTCACTTTCCTCATGATCTACACCATTGGGTGTTAGACCAAGGGTGTTTGTTCTGCGTTTCTTCTTCTTCTTCACATTTTGATATGCACCTGCAGTCTTATGTGAGATTTCAGAAGATGCTCTATGGCCATTTGAAGAATGGTTGTTGCCATCGCGATTACGATTATGAGAAAAGTCACCACGGCCTCTACCATGGTTACCGCGGCCACCGCCCCCTCTGGAAAAGTTATTGTGATTTCCTCTTCCGCGGTGGGGGCTAGAATTGAAGGGATTAGGATCAAGCGGTGGACGCTGCCCATGGGTGAAATTCTGCTGAGAATAACTTGGATACGAAGGTGAACTGAAATGCACAGCAGGAGGGCTTTGGTGATTGACATACGGTGGAGGAAACCCACCGCCCGCTTGAGCTGGGTGGTTTCCTCTATCATTGTCAAATCCCATCCTAATTGGAGGACCCATTAAAGGAGCGTCACGACCTCCACGGCCATTTACGAAACCACCACGGCCACGACCACGATTATTAAAGCTTGGTGGTTGTGGTGGGCCAGTCTGTGGAGGTCCCTGCCACTGCTGTGGTGGCTGTTGATGGACTGGTGCACTATGACCATATGGGGGTTGTTGCTGAGGGCTTTGAAACTGCTGAGGAGGTTGCTGCGGACCATACTGTGGTTGCTGGTAACCCTGTGGAGCATAATTGGGGTGATAATTTTGCGCAGACAGAGGTGCTGGGGCTGGAGCATGTGGTACATGAGGTTGATGACCTGCCTGCTGATGTTGAGGAGGACCGTGATGTTGAACATGTTGCGCGCCGTGTTGCGGACCATGTTGCTGGGCGTGCTGGTCATTGTGGTTGTGCTGTTGCCATTGAGGTCCGCCATACCCATTTGGCGCACCTGGTTGCTGAGGACCAGGAATTTGAGGCCCTATATATGGCTGATGATGAGGCGGTCCATTGTAGCCAGCCGGTGGACCTTGTCCTTGATTTACACCATTGTAAACATTCTGTGGCTGCCCGTATGGTCCTGACGCGTGTTGTGGCCCCTGGATTCCACCTCGTCCACCACGGGGATGACCACCACCTCGCTGAGGTTGCTGATATTGTGGAGGTTGCGCGTAACCGTACTGATGCTGCTGCGGAGGCTGATTCGGGGGAGGAGGACCAGGCGGAGGTGGTGGAGGAGGGAAGTTGTATTGACCTCCTGACATCTTGCGAGATTGTTGAACTTGACCAACTCGCGATATTCGCGACTGTGGAATTGTGCTTCGAACTACTGGTATAAGTTTTTGATGGGGTTCTTCGCCTCGGCGGCGAGTGACAAGTTGAGAGTGAGAGCAGAGGTCTGTAGGAAAGCAAAGAGTGTTAATGATACCCAGAAGAAAAGAAACGCAATGTTCGCAGATGAAAGAAGGAAGGAGAGAAGGAGTGAGCTTGCCTGCCATGTTTCGGTTTGACCAACCAATGAGGCACAGTTCGCGGCCGAGACAAGCTTAGTCAGCCTTTGTATTCTCGAGGTCTTTTATACCCACTTAGGAACCTCAGATATGGTCGCTATTCGCAACTTTTTTGAAATCTATGAACGATTATTTCCACTTGGATAAGCCTGGACAAGATTGCGTTGTTGTGTTTTCGTGTGGTTTGAGTTTGTGTTGAAGAGATGATGGATTTGGTCTAAGAAAGAAAGATCGGACCCCTGTTCTCTCTATTCAACCCTGTCGCAAACTTTGATGATTGGTGAATTTCCGTCAAGTATGAACCTCGACACAAGCAAAACCAACTCTCATCCACTTCTCTTATTTATTAAATATTTTCGAATCTAGCTTACAACTCTGCTATCTCAACCCTTTTTGAGTAATCCCCAAACAGGAAAGAACGGCAAAATTCGTGGTTCAGACCCACCATAAAGCATCCCCTTCACAGCGTCAAAAATCATCTGCGAGAGAGATAACTGTTAGAAAATTTACCAATAACCTAAATCAATCAGAATTGGCTAAGGTTTTAAGTTCATTTGGCCATTTCTTGAGAGGAATAGAAATAATAAAGTTCAGCCTTAAGAAACCTGGTGAAGATTGCTCATCCATCATCTCGACTCATCCCTTGCGCTTCACTGGATTCCAGACCATCAGAATTAAGTCTCAGAATTTAATTGTCTTGGAAGTCGCGACCAAGAATCCCATTTTGGCCGCCGAGGAACTCCTGTAAAGGAGGACGAGATGTTCATCCTCGTGAGACAACTCATGACCAACCCAGAAATTATTCTAACAACTACACAGACAAAAATTGCGGACCTCGTCCAGATCATACCAGAAGATTTTGAAAAAGAAGCTTCTCAAGCAATTGAAGATAACATCAATGCTAAATATGCGAATCGAGTCATTCAGAAGATCGGATTATGTATATGTCTGTATGACCTCCTCTCTGCCTCGGAGGGATTGATTGGCCATGGTACTGGTCTTGTGAACGTCAATGGTATGTCTTGAAAGGATTGCGAGTCCTTTAGTACGTGGTGAAGGGTTATGCTGACAAAATTATGCAGTCGAATTCCGCCTCATAGTATTCAGACCCTTCAAACACGAAGTTTTAACCGGCAAAATCAGCAGCGCAACTCCAGAGGGAATCCGCAGTACGTCTCTTCCGTCATCTTTCACCTCTCCTCTAATACATCACAGTCCGCACCGAATTCTTCAAAGACATCCTAGTACCCGCAAACCGCCTACCGCAAGGCTCAGTATTGTACGCTTCCCATTACCCTACCTAAACCTTTTCTTCCTAACACTCTGCAGCAACGACAATGAACAGGTTTTCACCTGGGTAACAGAAGACGCGACTTTATATTTCGATTCCCACGAAACAGTGCGTATCCGGGTTGAAGAAGAGACCTGGCATGATCAGGCGCCGACGAAAGCCACCGGCGGAGAGAATGACCAAGATGACGGAGAGAAGGATAAGCATGCACCGTATGGGATTATTGCTTCGATGGAGGAGTCTGGGTTAGGACCTTGTCTGTGGTGGGATGGGGGAGAGGAGGAGGAGGAGGAGTCGTGAGAGTTTACTGGTAGTAATGAAAGCTGGTTTGGAGGAGTGACTCGTCGATATAATACATGTGGTCTGTATGCCAAAGAGTGTTTGAGTTGTCATACACTTGGACCAAAAATTCCACAGTTCTAGCAGTTATGCTCACATTCTTCCAGTTCATCCAAATATTACTCACCATAAACTGCAGAAAATCTGGTACATTACCAACATCCATTTACATAAAGTATCAAATCTCAGTACTTCCTCTCCTCCATCCAGCAGAAACATGTTTCTCAATCGACTATTTACCAACAAACCCGAATCAATACACAGATGTCGTCAAAAATATTTTGATAACACCAATATCTACAGCCAAGTTTGGCAATTAAATACCGAAACCCCATGAATAAAACGAGTGATATAATCTTGCACACTCACTATATAATTCTACTCTCCGACGACCCATTCTCTTCGTAGAATGCGACTTTCACGTTCATTAATCTCCCTGGTCAGCCCAGGAAGACTGCTCCGCACCTGGGGTTCGCTTGGTATAAATGTCGTGTTGAAGGACTAAACTCATTGATGATTTTGAAGAGCCCCTAGTGCTGTTACTTCCCGTTTTCTTGGTCGGTTTCATTGGGCATTACTGCGAAGGGTAGTATTAAATTCGGTGACAGGGTTGAAATCGGTAGCAAACTCTCGACACGTTGAGCAGATACGTTTTCTGGAACTCCACAATATTCGGACTTTAATACCTCCGTCCATCTCTTGTATGGTCAAAAATGATAGCATAAAAAACCCCAATACCCCCATATCGCCCCCCAAACTTAATTATTATATAACCCAAACTCCGCCAACACGAACGACGCGAAGTGTATCGTGAAATTGGCCATTCCACACAACGCTAGGATATTATAGAAAAGCTTACCGTAGGTGTATTTGGCCGCATGGATTATGCGGCTGAGAAACGCAAATTGAGCATTGTTTTGCTAGTAACTTAAGATGTAGGTTTTTTATACTGAGGAGGTGTTGAAATAAATGACTCGGGGGATTTAGAATGCATTTTTGTGTCTGGTGTTGAAAATGGTAGAGTAACTTGAGTTGAGTCTGATTAGGAGAAAGAATGACAATAAATAGGTTTGACAACTAGTGGCTAATTGGATTAGATGTAGGGAACGGCCGGGGGACTGGCGTTCCCGCCAGATGCTTGGAGCTCTGTCGCCAACAGTGAGTGGTGTTCTCAACTTCCTGAATTTCGATCGCAATTTTGTAATGCGTCGCCTACCATTGAAACCACAAGTCTAGCTTCAAGTTTCTTAAGAACTGGCAGTATTGCAGTTTGGTGTTTTCGAGAACGGTAGATTCGGTAGTGATTTCACAATCGGTGGTGTTACAATGCTTTCTACTTTCTCGCGAAATTCCTAGACATCCAACCTTCGCATTAAGAGTATTTAGAACAAACCCTATTCCATCAAGGCTTTTCCACTATACCCTAAACCAACAGACCTTGCTTGTTTGAGATATACATGGCAAACAACACATCAAACCAAATTCTGTAATGGGTAGATAGTTTACAATCAAGTGAAGGGTTTTTGGTTCTTATACAGTATCAGACTGACCCAGCCCAACATTATTTCTTTCCCAAAAGCCATGAGTTTACATCCCATCTAATGGAGCAATTGGAAATATTCCGGTTAAACCCAGATTGAAATCTCTTACTATTAACTCCAATTTATCTCACCAGAATCATACAATTCAAGCCCTCAAAACCGACCTCCAACATACCATCAACAACACACCCCAACCCTCCTCACAACCCAAAAATCGAGACACCACCCTTCAACGATCGCAAAAGTATCCATTAGATAAACTAGTAACAACAATACCTATATCGTGTAAACCCATATTTAAGTAAACACCAACATCCATCTGCATCTCCATCTCCAAGCCTACCGTCATTCCCGCAAACGTATTTGCGAGTGATGTCTCAGTCCTTGAGACTTACAAGTGATAAGCTCTTATCGCTTTTCATCTAGGGAAAATAATACAGACAGTGTTCTGGCTTAGACTTATGAAAAAGAAGCAAAAAAATGAGAGTCAGCAAATCGGCAGCAACTCAACTTTCGGCAGCAACACTCTCCTCTCTAAACACAATTAAACAGCCCCTTCTGTTTATCGCCTATGGAATTTTTCCTAGAGAACCACTACTTATGACAGAGCTAATGAGATTCGACAGCACAGAAACTTGCGACTTCCAACGCATAAATGTGTCTGGATTTGCGATCTTGATTATCTGCTGCTTCCTGTCGTCGAAAGGGGGAGATTTATACACTGGCTTCGACAACAGCACAGACTTACTTCGAGAGAGCCTCCTTCACTTGATTGATTTGAGTTGCGAATAGAATAGTCACTGCAAACAGGATAAGTCGCGGAATCAGATTATGATTTATTATTCGTGTTAGAAACAATGAGATCTACCACTAATCTATCCCTTAGATCCAAAAGAAAGCCATCCACCATGCAACAAATAGGATATTCTATGCAAACAACTCTTTTCCAATCCATCCCTTACAACGCCAGCGCAATGCATAATTCAGACAGAAAAATCTAGGAGCTTATGCGCCGTTCGTGCTAAGACCATTGATACCATTTGTGATTTTTGGCCAGACGACTGCCTTCTCAAGCGCTTGAAGAACATCGGCTTTGAGGTCTTCTGCGTCTTCGATACCACAGCTGACTCGGACAAGATCGTCAAATACTCCGACTGCTTCTCGTTGCTCCTTGGGGATACCGGCGTGTGTCATGCTGCTTGGAACTTCCACCAAGGACTCAATTCCTCCAAGAGACTCGGCGAGTGTGAAGAGAGATGTGTACTGGCAGAATCGCTCGGCTGCTTCGTGTCCACCCTTGATTCTGAATGACACCATACCACCACCCATTCCATTTCTGTGTTGCTTGAGTGCGATCTTGCGATGAGGGTGCGAATCGAGACCGGGATAGTTGACGGCTGTAACGTGAGGTGATGCTTCGAGCGCATGCGCGACGGCGGTAGCGTTGACGGTTGCTTCTCTTGCTCTCAAATGCAAGGTCTTTAATCCTCTGTGTGCTAACCAGGAGTCGAAAGCCGAAGGTACAGCACCAATGGCGTTTTGCAGGAATGACAATCTCTCCTTCATAGAATCCGAGTTAAATGCGGCAACACCCATGACCACATCGGAATGTCCATTGATGTACTTTGTGACAGAGTGGACCACGATATCTGCGCCATGATCCAATGGATTTTGAACATACGGACTGAGGAAAGTGTTATCGACGACCACCATGATTCCATGCTGGTGAGCAACCGAAGCGACTGCGCGAATGTCTACCAGGCGCAATGTAGGGTTGGAGGGTGATTCGATCCAAACAAGCTTCGTCTCCGGCTTGATGTACTTGCTAATATCGACTTCAATCTCCGGCGTGAATGTAACATTTACTCCATGCGCCTTTGCGACTTGTGTGAAATATCTGTGTGTTCCTCCATAGACATCGCTGACACTGATGACATGGCTCCCGGAAGCTAGACTTTGCAAGATAATAGCGGTTGTCGCAGAACCAGAAGAGAAGGCCAGGGCGTATTTTGCATGCTCAATGGCAGCTACAGCCTTCTCAAAATTATCGCGATTGGGGTTCGAGGATCGACTGTATTCGTAAATGCCCACTGGCTTGCCTACGGCTGTTTGCGCAAAAGTCGTACTGAGCGAGATAGGCTCGATAACGGCGCCAGTTGATGGATCGTGAGGAGAACCTGCATGTACGGCAAGAGTTCCAAATCGATGAACTGGAGAGGGAGCGCGCGGAGGCGTATCGATTGGGTGGTCGGTTTGTGTCATTTTGAGTGCTGCTCGTTTTATGGATTGAGAAGCTTGAAATTATTTCTGAAGAAATTCTAGAAGGGATGGAGGGGAAATGCGGCGGGGTTCTTCCGGTACTCGAGTAGTGGAGGCGAGGTCCTAATAGTTGACCGCCAGCAGATAGTTGAAGAAGTCTAATGTGAACGGGAGATGAGAGAATGAATCTCGAAGAAGACCGAGAATGACGAGATTATATATTACTTGTACCTGATATACCGGGAGTGAATATGCAATCATCTTCTAGAAGGCAACTGCTTGATAATGTCATCCAAATGCTTGTCGGCTAAACCACTTAAGACCGACAAAGCGTGTCGAGAGCACGCCATAGGTACGTATCAGATGTTGCCATGGCTCAATGAGCTTAAGCCGAGCAAAAAGGCATTCTTCAAAGACCGACAAAATGTAAGATGATGTACGATTTGTAAGAAGAAGCACGCAGACAGAAGGTCGGTACACCAGTGGTATGCACTGTGCAGTCTTACCTCGGAGCTCGTTTGTCAGTCGTCATCCAGGCTGCAGAAAACATGCCGAGCAAGCTGGGGTGATGCCGACTTTTGTGGCCTTATTTGTTGCCTTTGATATCGGGCACAAACGCATCTATTGTCTCCTCCAAACGCAACATCAATATTCTTGAGGTTCTCCCCTTGTAACTACATACAAAAGCCCAGGATACTCGTATAGCCAAGAAAGAGCACGCGGCGCAAGCGTTTTTCGTGTTCGTATAACTTCATTTTTGAGCCATTGACGAATTTCTCCCGAGTATCCTACTCGTTAACTCGTACGACTGGCTTAACTTTCAAAGCGTCAGCCTTCAAAGTGGTTCTCGTTCTCCGCATACTACCCATCCACCTGCGCTTTCCGCGCAACCCTCTACTGTCAAACCTTCCGCCCGCCGACTTGTGAGTGGACGTATGAACAAATTATATTGGATCCTCAAACCCGTGGAAGAGAAGCGACATTTGTTTTGAAGCAGAACCCTACTCGTACCTACCTAGTCAAAGGACGGAGGAGACTTCACTGTGCTTGTTCCACCAACACAATGTCTCCCATACTCGATCGGCAGACTCGCCCTATACCATAAAACTCGTCGAAATGGCCTCGAGGCCGCGAAGAAGCCACAAGAAGTCCAAAGCTGGCTGTCAGCGGTGCAAGCAGCGAAAAATCAAAGTCAGCAACCTCGAGCTCTGTGATACTTAGTATCAGTTGAACTCCAAGCTTTATTTTTTTCGTGCTTGCTAACCAGTCCCCAGTGCGATGAAATACATCCAGTCTGTGGAAACTGCTCCAAGCATGGTGTTTCCTGCGACTTTGAAGGTCTTCCTATCGACCTCAACTCACCCAGCGCCAATACCCCAGCTTTAGTTAGACAAAGCACCGCAGATTCAAATGGAGGACCTTCCTCGATCCATACCCCTCAATCGGCCGTGTCTTCTCCTCCATTGTACGATACTCCCACTGCTATGGTTCGGACGAATTCCCATCCCGCAGGCTCCCGACTTCTGGAGCTCAAGCTCATGCATCATTTCACCGCGCAAACAGCTGCCACGTTCTCTGATATAAATGATACCACAGCAGCATGGCGGGACGAGATCCCAACCCTAGCCTACGAATCGCAATACCTCATGGATGCTATCCTTGCAGTTTCTGCTTTACACATGCGGTCCTTGAATCCCAACGACCAGAGTCTGGTCCGCGCGACTCACAGCTATATGGCCTCTTCGATATCCCAGTATTCAACTTTGTTGTCCGAAGGCTTGTCCGCTGAGAATGCCGAGGCTCTGTTCTGTACGGCAGCTTTGATAGCTTTTCAAGCCTCTGCTTCCAGGTCGGTTGAAAACCCGGAATCCCAATATGTTGTCCCGCTTGCTTGGTTTCATTCTTTTCAGGGAGTCAAGACTGTGGTAATGGCTAGCTGGCAATGGCTTAGGTCGAGCGAGCGTGTGTCACCAATCATAAACAGTCAGCCGGCTCTTGCACTCAATCTGGACGCCAATCGAAAACTTTTCTTTGCGCCCCTCCTGGAAGGGCTTGAAGATCAGCTCAAAACAATACCTGAGAATCTTGTCGTATCCACCCGACAAGCATATGAACATGCTGTCGCATTCCTCAATTGGGCTTATCAGAAACCTCTTAGAAATAGGATACTGGGATTTGCAGCTACCGTATCGCGACGTTTCGTTGACCTGATTGCGGAGCATGATCCACGCGCTCTTGTAATAATTTCGTGCTTCTTTGCGCTTACCAAAACTGTCGACGACGTATGGTGGATGAAAGGCATAGCGAAGAGAGAAGTTAACGGCATATTCAGCTTGCTACCTGAAGAGTGGTGGCCGAAAATGGAATGGCCGATGAGGATTGCAAACCATGAGGGTCCGATCGATGATGAGACATGGGGGGCACCCATAAATGACGTTAAATCAGAAGACGAAGTTATTTTTGGAGATGTGTTTAATCACATCGATGTTTTGACACAGTATATTGAGAAATACGCCCCACCTGGGCCAGTCGACTGAAAGAATCAATCACTAGTACCAGCGAGGGCAGGGAAGACATCGAGCATACAAGGAGTACACAGCACGTATTGGTCTCTGGCAGGAGAAATACCAGAGGTGCATTATTAGCACCGTCCTGTGGTCTGTCGATAGAGTCCTCACCATGGCTTTTGACTGAGCGGATCCAAGCCAGGAGACTGGGCCGCTACGGGGGAGCCGCGCTATAGCATCATATATGCTTATTGCTGAAAATATTCAGTATCGCCAACAATGGTGCGGACGAGGTAGGTAATGATTGGATCTAATCCGATCGCAGTACATACCGATACTCTACTCACAAGCTCCAAAACGGAGCCACAGCTATACAAATATAAAATCCCTTCACCGCATATGATAACGATTCTCGTTGACTCGGGCAAGCCGTGATAGCAACATGGGTTAGTTCCGGGTTGTACTGACCGCCCTTTCCAGCCTTTCCAACCTTTTCAACTTGAAAGTCATTAAATCCATTTCCTTATTGACCAGGACAAGGATCAGACACCTGTGTCATTCCTAAGCCTTAAGACTTCAAATTCTTAGCCCAAAGCCCATACCTCTCAACCACCACTCTGCCGAAAGTACCCCCAATCTAAAGAAGCAGGTACGGTACAACCCCTACAATCGCACTTTATTAGCCAGATTAATCGACTTTACACCCGTTCGTGCATCGGAAAATATGTATATGCAAGGCCGTTTGCCGTAACTTGATCCTGTCGTGGTGCGGGGTTCCTGACTCGACTCGGTTCGGTTGGGGTGAGGCTCACGGCAGCACCTTGAGATAGGGTTTTACTTCCATCTACAATGTACATACCTGTGAGCTTTTGAGATAAATAGGTTTTAGTGTAAATGATATAAGCCAGTGATTTCTCCGCTCAGATGCTTCTTGGACACGGGGGAATAAGAGGGGAGATATGAACTGGGACTAGGTACGTACGGAGCCGTCTTCACCGCTAGGGTAAGGGTGCTGTGCACTGCAACTGCCACTGACAGCACAGCACAGGACGGGAAAATGCGAGATGCAACAAAGAGATCAGTGAGGTGCTGAGGCCGGGAGCGTGCAGTTTCCGTTGGGCTGTTATGGGGTCGCGGGTTCGTGGAGCCGTGGTATTGGGTTTGGTGATTGGGCTGGGGGATGGTCACGAGATTTGGAGTATGAGATTAGGATGAGATGTGGCAGCGGCTTTGTGTAGGTAAATGAGGGTGGCAGTGTAATTTGTGAGATGGATGTTGTTTGATGGGAGTAGGGCAGGTGGTATGGGGGATTGGTTGGGTATAATGATTATGGTTCGGATCTAGGAGACTCTATGACAAGACGGGTTTTTTCGGTTTTGCTTGGAGAGGAATAAAAAAAATTTTGGTCTGGTTAGAAGACAAATTTTGATAATGTGATTAAACTGAGGTCATTGAATGAATCTGAAGTTAGCAGATATCAAGTCCAAAACTGTCTTAAACTTTAAACAGTTTAGATAATACAGAATATCTAATCTCTTTCTGCACTGTAGAAGACTTAATTTTATGAACGGGTGGAGAAGTGTTCTACTAAGCAAGGGCTGAAGTAAAAGTACAATACGAATGTTTCTATTCTATATAGTGGACAGAAGAGATTAAAGATATTCAACAGTGACTTATTTTCGACTTTACTACTCTCGGGTCATGAGATGGATGGATTTGTTAGAGCTGTGGTATCTTTATTAACTCTACCCAAAGACAGATAAGAACAATCAAACGCTTAGGGATGTTGTACAGAACACGCGTGAGCATGCTCAATAGCAGATTTATAGTCTTAAATTCGATGGCTAGAAGACTAGTTCGGTTGGTTGAGAATCAAGTAAATACTCTTAATGTAAATAAAAAGAAATTATGAAATGTAACACTCTCTACCATGAATGTTGGAGAATTGTTCAATTGCTGTAAGAGTACTTATTTCAAGATGTATTCATGGAAACAGAGGTCATTCAATAAACCAAAAGCGAGAGAGAAGCTCTGTTTCAGTAGATATATTATAACTAATAGCCAATTTAAAAGAAATGAAAAGCGACCACCGTCCTTTGAAGTCGTCATATATATCTGGAAATATAAGATCAAGCCTTTATAAAAGTTCAAGAAATTCATTTTCATAATACCAGAGGTTGGAGAGAGCAACTGTAGAGCCATTTCCTGTCTGTGAGTTGACATTGACACTCGAAGGTAGAAGTCAAGTTTTCTCTAAGAACACTTTGAGCTTGAACAAGGGAGATGTATGTTTTTACACCGAGGTCAAGAAATAAATATAATAGTGAAGTGTCTAATTATGACATCCTATTATTCTTGCTTTCTTCAGATAAGTGAATAAAGTTACCAATCAACAGCAGACTACTGACTGGTTTAACTCTAAATCAAGAGCAGAATTTCTGACTCATTTTCGTACATAATTGGACATTCCTGAAATTATTCACATATGGTATTTATAAGTCTTACTTCTTGCAAGATATCAGCAATCCGTTTCGTACCATGGTAAAGTAACATAGCCGTCCACTGCGTCCAGGAAGTGATTATCACTATAAATAGCCTTTCTTGTGTTACCTTCTATAACTTTAAAGTTATTCCTCTGGCTCATGTCTCAGCTGATGGTGGAGATTAGCCAGCTCCTACTTGTGAACTCCAACTATAAGTCAAAATGAGTAGAGATATCAGCCTCGAACTGCTATCAATATCTCGTATGCCGGGGAAATTTAAACTCGTATCTAGTAAGAGAAAATCGTAAATACAATACATGAATTCTCAAACGAGAAACACAAGACTACCACATGCCCTCCTTACCATGCCTTTAATTAAATACAAGGTAACTCGTCTGAACAACATCCTTCTTTTTCACATCCTTTCTCCACCCCCAACCCAAAACCATCCATCTCAACTCCAACAACCCTCCCAAAAGTACCTAGGTACCTCCCACCCCTCCCCCTTCCACACCCCTCTCACCCATCCTCAAACTTCACTCTCCCCATCATCCCCAGGTCGGACTCCACATCCGACACGAAGTGCAACAAAACATCAATTCCTCATTTCCTTCCAAATACAGTCCTTTTACTTCCCGATGCAACCATCTCCACCATCTCCACCATCTCCACCATCTCCACCATCTTCACCCCCAGTCCCCAAAATCCACGATGCGGAGCAAACGACCGACTCCATGGGCTCGATGGTGGACATATGAGGCGGTCGTGTGAGTGGCCGGGTTATGAGGGATGCATGTGGATTGGCTGTGGGAATTTAGGGGTCTTGCGGGGATGTGGAGGAGTGGCGTGATGTTTAGAGTAGGTACGGAGGAGGAGGTATCTTTGGGGGCGGTGTTTTGAGATGAATTGGAATTCATCTTGTAGGTCCTTTCAATTGCTTGCTAGAATTTAAGGGCTATCTCCGGTCATATCGTTCGTCCACAAGCATGGCTAGCTATGGAGTATATTGATGTATCCTCGGATAACTTAGCTTCTTACTCTGGAGAGTACCTATACAGCCACTTCAAAGCATAGTATACTTTCGGTGTATAAGACGATTGTGCAACGGATGACATTGAGACACATACCCTTAGCCTGCAGGCAAGGCCTATCACTGATCACATACCTGTCATTCTTGCACGTTCCAAATCCCCACGTACTCTTCAAACATCTATGCATAATTGTCACATCTAAAAAGGGGTATACGCGATTCTACCAAACCACCGAACCCACAGACAAAATCTATACCCATTTCCTGCTATTATTAACTTTCTCGTGTCTCCAAAAAATGCTCGCTATCCACATGCAATATTGGAATGGGTATAACACCTGCCGAAATATGCTACTCCCAATGAATCTACGTGATTAATAATGACTTCCACATCCACTACCTTCTTGGCGTCGAGTATACCATTTGTCTCTGTTTGTTTAGCCAACTTTTTGGAGCGTCTTGACGACGTTGTAATACAACATGATTGCTTTGCATCCTGTTTGATAGGTCGTACCAGGCACTGGATATCAGTGCGTTCTCTCTGAGAAGGTTCTTGATCATGGATTCGTTCGCCACCTGTCAATATTAGTTATTTGATATGCGCATCACAATTTTGTGAAAAGAAATTGTTTGACATTAAAGAGATGTGGAATGTGAAAATATAAATTGATATGAATACAGAATCCGCAAAAGACCGCTACCGAAATACTGGGTTGGAGAATACAACATAGTGGAAAAGAATACGATACCTTTTGTGCATCGACACCCGCGTCCTCGGACGCCTTTAACCTTCTCTGGAGGTCTTGTATGATTTTCTCCTGAGCTTGAACCTGCATTTGGCTGTCAGCAGGTCTCTTGTAATTAAAACCCACGAGATATCGGAGGGGTCCGCGATCTAGGACGCGCAACGTGAGCCCCAGGAGGGGGTCTTGGTAAGGAACCCGTGTCAGATGGAGGACTAGAGCTACGAGCTATCGGACCATTCACTGGAATAGTAGCTTGGCACTCAGACGTGACGAAAGGAGATGGAGTTGCTGTAGACACGAAGCTCGCAGGGCGAGACATGTTCTCACGATCCAAGTCTCGGAGTATCACGCCCATGGACGCAAAGGTATCACTCAGGTCAATCTGCAATGAAGCTGGATCGCCAACACCATTCTGTGCGACCGGCGGACAGAGCGATTGACGATTTGCATCAGCAGGCGGAGCGGTCGTGCCCAGGAACGACGCAGTAACCTTTTGCCAGAAACTGCGTCTTTTCGCAGGACTATGACGTGTCTGAATAGGGGAATTTGTAATGTGACTTACCTCTATAGGCTCCTGAGCTACTGCTGGAGTTGCTGGTGTGCTAGACTCCTTTGTATCGTCGGCTTTGGAAGGTAGAGCTGCAATCTGTTGACTGAGCTTGTCTTTAGCTAAGAGTGCGTCAACAAGATGAGACTGTGTTTGCTCGTGATCAGTAGCCAAGTTTTTGTTCCTGCTCTGTAGCAGAACTATATCGGATTCAAAGGATGACGTGACAAGCTCGTGCGTAGCTTTGAGCTCCTCCAAAGCATCAATGTCGTCCTGAGCAACAGCAGCAACAAGATCTGATTTTGCTTCAAGAAGTTCCCTATCACGGGCTGATAGCTCTGCTTGAGTCTCTGAGAGCCTGGCCTTGAGCGCGAGATTCTCCTGGTTAGCCTCGATATATAGCTTTCTGGTGGCGGCAACGGCTTCGTCTCTAATAAAAGTGTCAGTTAAAATCTGAAGGTTCCCGTAAGACAACATCTCATCAATTGAGCCTACTAACTTTTCGGCATCAGATTTGCTGATGATTGCATTAAACTGCTGTTGAAGAACAGCGTGTTTCTCTTGCAAGTCTCTAAGGGTTTCTTGATATCTCTTGCGTATTCTTGCTTCTTCTTCAAGCTCCACGCGAAGATTAGCGTTGGTAGTCCCTCCAAGTTGCCCTCGAAGAAGTTGAGCTTCCGCTTTTAATCGAGAAATCTCAAGGAGGTAATTTGGCTCAGGCTCGTCGGACTCTGCCAATTCTTGCTCGAGAGAAAGTGGCTGCTTGATGCTAGGTGATGGTGGGGCCAAAGAAGCGACAGAACCTGTCCTCAGCTGCTCTTGTAAATCCGCAATGAAGTTTTCATCGTGGCTTTTGCTAGCGGTAAGACCCTGCACCATTGAGAGTTGTTGTCGAAGCTCCCCTTCCAAGAGCTTTTTCTGGTTATTTATCTCCACGAATTGGAGCTCATATGAGGCGAAGCGAGAACGATACTCACTCATAGTAGCCTCCAATTTAGCGTTTTCATCCATGACTCGATCAAACTCATTCTGATTGTCCTGCAAAGTGTCTATTTGCTGACGCAGCCTGACATTTGCCGACTCCAACTCAGACTGGGCTTGGAGCTTCTTTTGGTAATGATCCGCCGTGTTAGCCTTTCTGGTGAGAATATCGTTCTGATTTTTGACTTCACTGAGCTCGTCTTGGAGCGCCGTTACCTTCTCATTCAGTGGACGCAACTTTTGGAGTTCCCTCGCTTGGTTTTCCTTTAGGACTCGGGCGGTTTCCAATTGCTGTTCCTGATTGGCGATTAAGTCTTCATCCTCCTGAATTCTGTGTTTTAAACTTTGGATATGTTCGGTCTGGTCCCCAAGCTGGGCCTTTTCTAATTCTCGTATGCGATCATTGGCTTCGGCGTTGAATTGTTGGAGCTCGTCATGGGCATATTGCAAGTATTCCAGGCGGGTTACAAGGTCCGCGTGTCTCTTTTTGCCAAGGTCGAAGTCGGCTTGTAGCTTCGCATGTGCTTCTTCAGCAGCTAGGTCGAGGTCACCACTGAGAGTTTTGATGGCATCGGTTTCGTCTAAGAGTAGGTCCTGAACATCTGGTTGTAAGAGTTGAATCATTTTGGCGACTTCTTCTTGAACCACTTTGTCCTGGAGGTTTATGAGTGTTGGGATGTACTTCTCATTGCTCGGTCCCTTGATAGCAGCGACTATAAAAATCCCAAGGAGCTGGTAGAGTGTGTCAGCTAGGAGCGTACCGTGGATGATATCGCTGTCATCTTCACCTACTTTGGTAGCTTCTTCAGCATCATTGTGTTCCGCAATAGCATTCAACCCAACCGGGCCATCAAGGTTTATAGGGCCGAAGCAGTCGGGGTTATCGCGCAGATATCGCTGTAAAGATTTGTAGACTGCTTCCAGTCGCTTTTTGTTGGCAAGCCATACCGAGGGGGAGGTTATCTTTTCGAGATCGTGAACGGCGTACTCGACATCGATGTCGGCTGGAGAGGAGGAAGTGTTAGGAAGGAGAGTTACTGAAGAAGAGGATGTAGAGAACGTACTCAAGATCTTGTTGAGAGCAAACCCATCAATAAGATCCGTAATCTTCTCGAGTTTGGGATCCAGTGGGAAGCATTCATTTACAAAGGTAATCAATGCTGAACCGGTTGCTTTGTTATACTGACGCGGCATCTTGAATCTCTGCGCCTAATGGCAGACGTGGTCGGTCGTCTTACTATGAGGACAAAAAGGAAAAGGAGTGTTGTTTCGAATTGGGTTCGAAGGAATCTCTAACGGATTATATCGCATCTTGTCTGCATGGCAATGCAATGCACATTTAATGCCATCTGTTTCACTGTTCCGTAGAGAGGTCGAGTTGTCGCGATTGACAAGGAACAGCGGAGACGCGACAGTTCCACAAGCCAGCAGCCGGGACTTTGCAGCCGTGCTCTTTGTTCGCTTTAAGTCTCCTTTCATATCAACAATGAATTGTTCTCGAGATAGGTTCTGGTTGCTACTAGATTTACTATTCTTGGAAGTCCATTCTTTTATGTTACTGATGAGTTGTAATAATGTTCTTTGATATTTTTGTGCTTCAATATTACAGTATGTTCAAAGAACGCACGCCCAACAAATGCCACCCATTTACAGCAGCTGCGTTATTAGCCGTGACTATGGCAATACATTATTGTCCATAGAAGGAAAGTGATCAAGGCTACCTTCGAATCATGTCATCTAGAGTACACTCCAGGTCTTTGTTCTCTGAATGAATGGCGCTAGTCGTCCATTGTCGTAGGTACTACCGTAGGTAGACTGGCGCTGGGAATGGTACTTGACCACGAAGACTGATACCAGAAACATGACTGTTGAGCCACTTCGTAAATTATGAATATTGAAACTGATTAGAGCTTTCCGATAAAGTACACTTGGCTTTCTCTTGTTTGAGTTCCCCATACATAACCATGATTGTGAGGTCAACGGGTCCGCAAATCGAAGCAACTTGTGCAGTAGTATGAGAATATTTTCAAAAGAATAACTCGTCCATTCATTACGCCAATTCAGAATACGTTTTGTCCGTAGACGCAATAACTTGTAAGCCGATCCCAACGCCATGTCCGACATGAACCCCCTATTGATGTCAAGCCGCCCAAAATGAAAGTGTTCCCTTGTGTATATAGTTGTTAATGTTCGGATGTTGCTTGCTAGACCGGCTTATGCTGCGACACCTCCATTGATTGAAACCATCTGATCTTCTTCGATAACGGCATGATAATCGTTTCCCCAGGTTTGGACTTGTTCTAAGATCTTGGCTGGTGCTTTCGCAGCAAATCCTCTACAACAAAGGTTAAAGCTGCTTTGGCCGGTGTGGTCGTTGAACTTACTTGATAAGTCTATATTCATGTGTGATCATTCCGCCGGCCTCTCTAATGGCATCCATCGCTTGGTTGACGACAGAATCTGGTGTCTCATCGGGGTACGATACGATGACGGCTTTCTGAGGGACGGTCGCAGCGAGAGCGGCTGTCGCAAGCGCAAGAATGGAAAGAATCGCGAATTTCATGGTGAGGCTTATGTAAACGTAGGGTGTGGTGCGTATTTTATTGTCTGGTAATAATCTTCGTGGATGATGAGATGAATCGTTATTGAGAAGGATTGGACGGTCCAGGCGGCAGTATGGGTATCGGTGAATAATGACGCTTGGGCGGCTGAAGGCGTTTCCCCGGGTGGGGCTAACTTAAGCGCTAGCGCCAAAAGCTGGTCTTCAGACATCGCAGCCTCCTGCCATCATGCTGAAAGCAAGCTTCCTTGAACAACCGCAATAACAACACCAGGACCATCTCCGCGATCGCCGAGCATCATCGTGCGCAACTATTCGACGCTACGCATTAGTATCTGTTCTTGGGTAGCGACCTTGCATAACATACCTATATTTGAGGACGTGGGCGTTTGGATTTGGACAGCAGTACGAGGTGGTGAAGCATATTGCGCAAAATAATTGAAGGCCAGGTGGTCGTCTGGTCGGGTTGGCAGTATCAAATACACACTTCTTGTTCTCACTGAGTTGAATGCACTTGTGTGGAATTAGCTAGTTGCGCTTGAAGAGCTTTCTTTTCCGGCTTTGGAGTTTGAGGGATTCAGACAAAGACATTTTCATTGTGGCAACCTTCGTCCAGACCATCATCTCACAAGCACAAGCAGTATTCATTCCCATAGCCCATCATGAATTCTGAAATCTCTGACGGTGTCGCCGAGGATTTCCGGCAGGCTCTTCTCGATCTTACCATGAATTCGAGATATGAAATCAGCAATCTAACAGTCATCGCAAGGGAGAATACAGAACACGCGTACGCCATTTCGGAAGCTCTCAAGCTTCATATTAAACAGGTTGGTCACTACTCATCTCGGTCGTCGTAAAAGCTTCAGTTTCTTCCTTTAATCGTTTTCACTACATGCTTTCTTTCTTTTGACAATCCTATACAAATACTTACTTGTATCTAGACCTCTCCTCAGAAGAAACTTCCAGCCTTCTATGTCCTCGACTCGGTGGTGAAAAATGTCGGAACACCCTACACCATTTTCTTATCCCGTGGACTTTACTCTACCTTTATGGAGGCATACGCCCTTGTGGATACAAACGTTCGACGGAAGATGGACGAGATGTTGAAGACATGGAAAGAGCCAGTCCCCGGTGCTCTCGACACTAGACCAGTCTTTCCTCGTGATGTGACAGGACCCATTGAGAATGCTTTAATCAAAGCCAGGACATCTGCTGTCCAGGCTCATAATGAATATCTTCGAAGCCAGCAACAGAATCGGCCGCGCTCAGCAGTGCCAAACATCCCGCCTCATCGAGACACCCCGACACCTCCCGCTACATACAGGCAAGCTGCCCCACCTACCACACAGAATCCGCCAAATACATATCAAAGCTCCCAAAACAGTTATCGACAGCCGTCTCAGCCATCTATGCCTACTCCCCCAACTTCATTTCGGCCACCTCCACCAGCAGTCTCGACACCGCCAGTAAATTATGCCTTGGCTGCCCATCAGCCAAACAGCTATGGCGGGACTGCTCAACCACCTGTTCCAACTCATTATGGATTGCCAGTCCAGCCGCCTCCATCTAACAGCTCAAATTCAGCTCCACCACAGCTTCCGCCGTCTATGCTGATGGAGCTGCTTCGTGCATCAGGAAGATTACCTCAAATGCCTATGCCTCCAGCTCCGCCAGTAAACATTCCCACCCCTCCATTAAACTCGGCTTCAGGATTCCCGCCACCCTTTGGAGCCGTGCCTCCCCCCTATATTAAGCCTCCTCCAGTTGTAAACACGCCTCCCTTTGTTGGCGCCACACCTGTCGCAAGAGTACCTCTAGCGGAGTTGCCGAACGATGTTGTGTTCTCAGATCCCCACTCTCTAAAATTGTATGGCCCTTTCCTATATAAGATGTGACATTCACTGATGGTTGTAGACCGCGACCGCATCTCATATCGCGTCTCTACGAAAAGCTTGGGACTGCTTGCACTCAATGCGGTCGCCGCTTCCCGACTGACGAAGCAGGTAAGAAGAAGAAGGCTGATCACATGGATTGGCACTTCAAAGTACATTCTCGCATGAGGGACGCAGAGAGAACTGGGCAACACCGCAGCTTATATGTGGACGAATTTGTAAGTCAGGATCAACTGCACTGTAGATCTTTATGTTAACATGTAGAAAGGATTGGATTAAATCTCGTGAAGTAGAAGGAGACGAGGTTGCTGCGAAGGCAAATGGTATAAATGGTGCTGGCGCCGCTAGCTCTAGCTTAGATAGCAAACCAGAGCTGCAATTCCTCCCTGTGCCTGACGATCCAGTATTGGCTAGTAGCCATTGTCCTATTTGTCAAGAAAAATTTGAGACTAAATGGGATTATAACGTGGATGAATTCGTTTGGACAGACGCGCGGAAGGTTGGCGAGCGGATTTTTCATGCCAGTTGTTATGCGGAAGCAGCTAAGGACTTGAATTCCCTATTGAAGAGGAATACACCAGAGCCAGTTCTTGGGAAAAGAAAAGCCGAGGTGAGTTTTGTTCAGCCTGGAACGGGGCCCGAGCTAATATCTTGACAGGAGGATCACATTGCTTTGAGATCTAAGATCAAGACAGAGCCGACTTATTGATTTGTCGTTTCTGTTTCAGTTCGAAACTCAAAACACCGAGCATTTTGAATGTATGTTTTGAGTGGCATTATTATTATTAGCATAGCACTGGCGTTGGTAGGTACTTGACTTATAGCACCCGTAGCGAGCTTTTGGCGGGCTCTTATAAGAATATATCACATTCTAAAATTCGCGAACACTAGATTTTTAGACGATAAGCCCGCTGTGATTCCAATGTTAAATCTCCTATTATGTCTTGATGTCTGGGTTTGCAGTGATGGGGGGACGACGAATTTAACAAGGTCAGCAAGTACACCATCATTTGACAACTCTGGCTTTACTTCTAGAACAACCGATGAACATGGTACTGAAACGCCACTTAAAATCCATATCTAAAAACATCAATTTCATTTATGTTTTGCACTACATTATTGTATTAATATTTGTAATTTGGCTCTCGAGGTTGTTCTAGCTGAGGGTCGAGGTACCCTTCCAAACTAAGCAAGCTGGGCACGTGAAGTTCTTGCAGGGGCCAGTGGTCCCGCTCTTAGCGATTCGCACAACGATCTCCAATTCCAGCCTACGAGCAAAAAAATTCCAACCTCAATTTCTAGAACTTGTCGTTTCAGTCTCCGCCCAATTCGCGGTTAAAGTGATTGATTCTCTTGTTCATCCCAAATCAACAAATCTAAATGTGAGTTTACAGAACTCTCCTCTTACTGGAGTTCGTCCTCGCTGCGCAGCCCAGCAAAATATTTCGACAAGATGTTCTGACAACCCCTCCTTCCCAGCTATCAAAATGAAGCACCTCGCAGCTTACCTCCTCCTCTCCCTCGGTGGAAACTCCTCTCCATCTGAGAAGGACATCAAGACCGTCCTCGAGTCCGTCGGAATCGAAGCTGATGACGACCGTCTCAAGTCCTTGATTTCTGAGCTTAAGGGCAAGGATCTCCAAGAGGTACAGATATCATAATGTTGGATGGAAGAAATAAGCTCTAATACCGTGTGTAGTTGATCGCTAAAGGATCAAGCAAGTTGGCTTCCGTTCCATCTGGTGGTGGTGGTGGTGGTGCAGCTGCGTCCGGTGGTGCTGCCGCTGGTGGTGCTGCCGCTGCTGAGGAGAAGGAGGAAGAGAAAGAAGAGGGTATGTTGCGCTGTCTGGGAGAAGTGAAAGAGCATTTTCTAACTTGCGGATTCAGAGAAGGAAGAGTCCGACGAGGATATGGGTTTCGGTCTTTTCGATTAAGCAATCAACTAACGCCTCTACGAATTCGATGTTCACTTTCTACGAATATAAGTGGTTGGGTCTTCGAAGGATATTTGCGCAGGCTTTGCATATCTTCTGCATGTCATGGGAGTCAAGGATCGAATTTTGCGAATCTTTTCGTGACGGAATATCAATCATGCAAGTTAGATAGCCGAATACAGACGCTTCCTCTTCAAACTACTGCTTCCTTAGATAAGGCTTATGTGCCATATCCCAGTTGCGTGAGCCCCAAATAATTAACAGTTCACGAACATATAAATACCAATTGCTAAAATCATGGATTCATCTCAACCTCAGAGTCATGTCGACTTGGTAGGACTGCAGGCTATATACAAATTCTACTAGAGCAGTATTGTTTAAGGCGCACTGTAATATCCTCGAATCCTAGTTAAATCAAATAAGTACTCTATCAAATCTGGAATTCAGTTCCGCCAGCATTGAGTTCCTACTTCAATAGCATCGACAAGGGTCAAAACGCCAAGAGTTCGATCGGACTTTAGGGCACACAGTCGGTTTTCGCCAAATTATGCGCTAGCGAGCTTCTTCCTTCATCCCGCCAATGCAAGTTTGAATCTGAACCTCACGACAACCACATTTTTCGACCAAACCATCAACGTCGAAACCACTGTAATCATGGCTGACGAATACGTGCGTATCTGAACTTATCTTATACTCCTCTATATCGTGATCAGGGCGAGCACTTTCGCACGCCCTCAACGTCGTCAATTTACCTACATTATGCTAATCCGTGTTGGAATATTCAGGACGCTGAGGCCGCTGCCGAGATCAAGAAGAAGAGATCCTTCAGAAAGTTTTCCTACCGTGGAATTGACCTCGATCAGTACGCCTCCCATACCTACATTCCTGCGCCCTAGAATATCAAAGGGGATCTTTCTTTTGCCTTGCAAGTAAAAGACAAGCTAACCCTCTATTCTCTATAAAGACTCCTCGATTTATCTTCCGACCAACTCCGCGATGTCGTTCACGCTCGTGCCCGCCGTCGGTTCAACCGTGGTCTTAAGCGCAAGCCTATGGGTTTGATCAAGAAGTTGCGAAAGGCAAAGCAGGAGGCCAGGCCAAATGAGAAGCCAGACCTCGTCAAGACCCACCTCCGAAACATGATTGTCGTCCCAGAAATGATTGGTTCAGTCATCGGTATCTACTCTGGAAAGGAATTCAACCAGGTCGAGATCAAGCCTGAGATGGTT